GGCGGCGGCGGGGGAGGGGGATGTTGTAGGCGGAATTGCTGGCGGTGGGGGACGAGGCGGTGGGGATGACGCGGATGTCGGTGGAGTGGTGCCGTGGGGTGAGGTCGAGTTCAGCGTCTTCGTTGATGGTCTCGCTGGAAATGGGGATCGAGTAGGCGATACCGCTGGATTCTTCGATGGGAGGACCAGGGCGGAAGGGGCTGCGAACCCGCCCAGGAGATCGGAGAGGGCTCGACGAGCGGAAGGACGGAGACAGCGTCATGGAGTGGCTGTCGAGCGGGATCGGGTTGGAATGTGCTCGCGCCATCGGAGGTGCACTCAGCGATGATGAGTTGGTCGAGTGAGATCGTAGATGACTCCTGGAGTACGGAGAACGCGCTCGAGGAGAGCGAGATTGGAAGGATGGAAGCAGCGTTGGGGTCGGGTCCGTGACGGCGCGGATGGGGGTTGTTTGTATATCGCCATCCGTTTTCTCGGCGGGAGAGGAGAGATTAAGGGTCGCCATCGTCACCGTCGGCGGGTCGGGGGTGGTCGAGGAAACTTGTTCGTCCATGATGCGAACGCGGGAGACGAACGAAGGGGAGCGAGGAGTTGGGATCACGAAAGGAGCGTCGGGGTGGTTTGAAGTGGCCATGGTGCGGCGAAGGTGAAAGTGAAGGGGGAAGGGATTTCGATGACTCTATGACCGGTCTAGGACCCGGTATATGATTTGGTCGGTGAAGTCATGTCGGTCCCGTTTTGGTCAATCGGTTCAGCTGCCGGCGGGCATCTGCATTTCAGGTGATACCACAGGCGATATTATGCTTGTTGCAGGTGGTTGAGAGGGCAATTCGGTCGAGTGGCAAACAACATACCTTCTAGAGGGAGGGGAGAGAGGAATAGGAAGAAGGGTGGAAAGAGGGGGAGAGGAAGTGAAGCAGCATTCAGCAGAAGAAGAGGAAGAGGATCAAGCTACAACAGTGACAGCGACATTCCAGAGTCAATCATCAAGAGAGTTACCATGTCGCCCAATAGATTCACGTGGGAGGTTCTCCTCACTGATCACTGTCACATTAGCTTGGCCAAGTTCCTTCTAACAGGTTACTAACTATTTGACCCTGCATTATTCTATCTTGCATCTTCCAATGACATCGAATATCTCTGCTGCGAGTGGCGGCTGACTCTTCGCCCGACGTCCCGTAGATCACCACATCAACCCATCGCTCCATATTGCATGAACCTCCCGCATGAGAACATCGGCATAGAATCCCATTGATAGCTAGACCACTCCAGAACCCCGACAATAATGAGATAATCCCAATATGGATGATGCGAACCCTGACTACTTCGTCAACCGTGATGAACCCATCCCCGTCATCCATATTGACAGCCTTGATGGCTTCCCAGAGGGCAAAGCGCCTGATAAACAAAAGAGCAAAAGGGAATCACTGAAGGATGCCATCTCGAGAGAGAGAATTCGGGAGAGGCTGGATAATTTCCAGGCGAAAAGATCCGCGGCATCGGGAGGGTTACAGGACCGACTGTTCACCACGTAAGCAAAATTCTTGCCGTCGTTCAGACATGGCTTTCGCTGGAAGGGAGAAACTGAAATATGATAAGACTCCTTCAACATATGATTCCGACCGAGGATCAGCAACAGGACCTGCCTGGGGATCGTCGGGAAAGGAAATACGTCGAGAGGCCTGGCTTCAGCCTCCCCTTGATGTCCAACAATTTCCGTCGATTCAATGCTCGGTATGCTTCCGATGAGATCCTATATCAGTTATGATTCGGACCTGACATTGTCAACAGTATCGGAGTTGCATTCGTTTTCCAAAACCGTATGATCCGCCTCTTCACCTGGAGGAAACCCACCCATACCCTTTCCTTCTTAGCCATCTATACTTTCATCTGCATTAACCCCTATCTCCTCCCCGTCCTCCCTCTCGCCCTCTGTCTCTTCTTTATCATGATTCCCGCCTTCCTCGCCCGCCACCCCCCTCCCCCCGCCATGCTCGAAACCGACCTCTATCCCCTCGCCGGCCCTCCATTAGCACCCCCGCGACGCATCCGTCCTGCCCCGGAACTCTCCAAAGACTTCTTCCGCAACATGGGTGACCTGCAGAACTGCATGGAAGACTTCTCCCGCATGCACGACCTCGTCCTCGCCACCTTCGCCCCGCTCACCAACTTCTCTAACGAATCCCTCTCCTCCGAACTCTTCCTCCTCCTCATGTTCACCGCCGCCGCCCTCTGCCTCATCGCCCACATCCTCCCCTGGCGCACCCTCGCCCTCCTCATCGGCTGGTCCGCCACCTGCTCCGGCAACAAATCCCTCCGTCGCTTCCTCCTCGCCTTCTCCCACCACCCCGCCGTCTCCGATCTCACCTCCGCCACCAAATCCAACGTCGCCAAGCTCACTGACCCCGACCCCGACCCCGACACCCGCCCCTTCGACTTCTTCACCGCCCACGCCGCTGCCGACATTGTCCTCGCCGAAGCCCCTGAGCAGCGCGAAGTCGAGGTCTTCGAGCTCCAACGTCGCGACGTGATCCACTCCCTCTCGACCACAGTGGACAGCAGTGGCGGCGTCCCGACGCCCACCCACCTCGCGAGCTACGACAACGCGCCGTTCGAGCCGTACATATTCAGCGCGAGCCCGCACACGCCGCTGGCGCCGGCGCGGATCGCAGGGGAGCGGCCGCGGGGAACGCGGTTCTTCGAGGACGTGCAGGCGCCGGAGGGGTGGGAGTGGGGGGGAAAGAAGTGGGTGTTGGATTTGGGGAGTCGGGAGTGGGTGGAGGAGCGGTGCGTGACGGGGGTGGAGGTGGAGGTGGAGGGGGAGCGGTGGGTGTGGGATATTCTGTATGATGAGGAGGTGGGGGGCGAGAGGGAGGAGGGTGAGTGGGGCACGAAGGATAGGGGGAAGGGGAAGGGGAAGGGGAAGGTGGTTAGTTGGGAGGAGGGGAATGGGATGGGGAGGAGGGGGGAGTGGAGGCGGAGGAGGTGGGTGAGGACGGTGAAGCGGAGGGTGGTGGTGGAGAAGGATACGAGGCCGGCGAGTAAGCTATAATGATTCAATGGACAAGATCTATTGTATCGCGGCGTATCTACTATTGTTCCTCAGGCCTCGACCCTGTAATACGAAACCGACCTTTGCAAACTTGCGTGCAATGCTCCTTACTTGCCCGCCAGGATGTATGTCGACAGTGTCCTCAAGCACCTGTCTACCGCTCTGCCATCCTAATTCACAAAAATAATTCTTCATTTAATCATGCTTACCGAATCTATTGGATGCTAGCTATCCAAAAAAGATTAAGCTGAGTGTATCATAACGTATCATAGACTTTTTCCTCCATGCTGCGCTTCGTCTCTAACCAACATGAAAGACAATTTCCCCCATATGCACAAAAATTCCTCCCATGAACCCCTCTCCCTTACCAATGACATATCCCCCCCTCACTGTCATCAACGCTCCACGTACCCGCCAACCCCACCACCTCCATCTCCCCACTCGAATCCTCCTCCACTTTCCGCAGCCGCGTCCCCTCCTGCCCCGGTCCATTATTCAGCAACCGATTCGCCCACGCATCGATCGCCGGCTCCCCCGTCTCATCCCTCGCCTGCTTCAGAAACGGAATCAGCGCCGTGCCCCCCGTGCCGCGTAGCTTGCGCCGCCCCGGGCGGGTCGACTCGCTCGCTGGGATGGACGTCGGGGTGCCCGTCGTGAGCACGGCGCTGCCCGGTGGCTGCTCTCGGTCGCGCTCCTCTTTCAGGGCCTTGGGGTCCTCGAAGTGGCTGGCGCTGGCCAGGTTGAGTCGCGTGGGCAGCTGGTGGTGCTGCGGCGACATCGAGCGGCTGTGCGAGCGCGATTCGCGGGACTTGACGATGATGTAGCGGCTCACCATCTGGATGTGCTTGTCGCGAAAGGCGCGCAGCATGGCCAGGCAGGCGTCGTAGGCGACGACGAGGGCGCGGTTGTTGCGGCGCGCGGTGACGAAGGGGCGGATGTTGGCGACTTTCTCGACGTGCTCGAGGAAGCGTCGGTGGGGCCCCGGCATGTACGTCCGCATGTCCTGGATGAAGTTGTTGGATGGGCCGGTCAGCGCGGGGTCGGACGGCTGCTTCGAGTCACCTGTGGGGCGGTGTTCCACGCCCAGAACGATGTCGAAGAATTGGATGATGGAGCTTTGGGCGTTGCTGCCGCCGGAGAACTGCACGTACTCCGAGTGCCCGGTGCCGTCGTCAAACATGACGCCATTGGGAAGTCCAGCCTCGGCCATATTTTTGCCACCGGCAAGATATGGTCGGATGCGGTGGTAGAAGACGTGCGGATCGCAATTCTCGTACATCCGGACGAGCAGTGTCGCGAGTTCGTCGAGCCGCTCTGCGAAGCCCCGGAGGCATTCGGTCACGGTGAAAGCGTCATTCTGCCGAGCAGCAGTGATGGCTTGGAGCATCATGGGAATGATAGGAGCCCCACGAGCCTCAATGGCGACGGAAACGAGATAGAACCATGATTCGTCGATCGACCCCGTGAACGTGGCAAGCGTTGTGATGTTCTCCAGATTGTCGACTGGCTCGGTGGGGAAGAGTGCCCGCCAGTTCCAGAGCACCACCGCGGCGTACGTCGCGACGGAAGGGAGTTCGAGATGGTTGCACGTCGCAAGAAAAGGAATGGAAATGCCAGGCGGGACGACCTAAAGTAATGTTAGTGCTAGACCGATGTTCCCCACTGCTGCTAACATACATCAAGTGGACGATCTCCTCCCCATACATATGCATGCGTCAAGATTGCAAGGACCGAATATGCCCGTCTCCACTCTTCCTCCGTCTGTAAATGCTCCGTCGAGAGTACGGGCAGTTTATCCACCATACCTCGCAACCTCCTCGTCAGGATGAGGGCTTGTAAGTTCCTGATCAGGTTCTCCCATGGTGCATAGTACGCGTTGGGGAGAACCTCAAGGGGGGGCTCTGTGGGGAGAAAGCCATTGATGGGGGATACGTCATAGTTTCGGAGGCGAGGGATCGATGGTTGCATGACGGCAAACCCAAAGGCTCAACGCCCAACTGATGGGAGGGTATAGGGGCTTTCACTCAATAAAGTCGTGAGATCATGAGGTGAATAGATGGCCTCGCGAGGTACCCCGCGGATGTCGCGTGCTAGCCGACTTCGGCAACTGGAGAAATTTTCCGTGATCAGATGAGGTCTATATGAGGAAGGTCTGGAGGCTCTTTAGTCGCCAATTGGCACTTTAGAGAGAAATTTAGAGCATAATATGAGGACTTGAGGCTTAGAAAGATAAGGAAATCCGTTGAGAGGCTGAGTATCAGATGGGACCAGATTACTGATATGTGGGGGAGTGGAGGCAAATATGGGATGGAGTCAGGAGGGTTCAGGTTCCAGAACCATCAGCGGACGGGATATTGACGACCCGACCGACCAGCAAAGTTTGAATGTTTAAACCAACAATAATGAATCTTGAGAGGATTCCTGAATCCTCCGTAATACCTAATGGCTACCGGCAAGCAAGGAAAATGCCCGACGGTTGCGTCCGGAAAGCCTCGCCCTGCGGCGACCCGTTTCTAGTCCGATGAGGGCATGGATAGCTTAAGATACTTTCTTCATGGTACTTTGACTCCGCCTCCACATTCTGGGAGCCATCCCGACTCAAGCCGAAGCGTGGGAGGAGTTGATTAACAATCCTGAGAAGTTGGTTGTTCTGATCAACGTCTGACATGGAGAAGTGACTCTGAAGAACCCCACGGGCTTCGGATGGATTTTGACTCTAAATAACCGTGGCTCGGACAAGCCACGGAACAGTGGATAGACACCCTGTCTAGCGAAGTATTGATCTCATACCAGAATCAATAGCTGGCATATACAAGGATAGAATACACCGTGGAGGTGGCTTGTAGAATCATGTTCCAAGACAAGCGAGGTTGAACTTTTGGAGTGGTGAGGTGTATTCCACGAGAAATTAACATGGGAGAGCCGAGGATTGGCTCGGATGCAGCCCCTATCCAATCGCCTGTACATCATCCCACCAGCGCCAACTTCCCCAGAGGCGGGGCTGCATCGTGCATAGTACGGAGTAAGGCTGGCCAATATTGGTCGACGCCGATTAAACTTTTGAAAATGATGCGTTTAGTGAAGAATGAGAAATTGAAGTTGGGGACAAGGTGACCGCATATACACCAATTCAAAGATTTCATATTTGACCTCCATGTCCCATTCCGGTCGTAATTCCTATGTACCAGTCATCTCAAGACCCATATCATCATATAAATCCCGAAGGCAGTCAATCGCTTTTCGTCTCGCACTGGGAGCCAGCGTGAACATGGAACTGCATCCTCCTCAACCGAGCCGCTCCGCAGAAAACACCAGCCTACTACCTAACAAGACCCCTTTCGTTGATCATTCATCTCGTCTCAGAACACACAATGTGCTCGAATTCCGCAAGCTCCATCCCTTCGTGCACCCGAGAGTTTGACGCGCTCAGAACCTCGATGAGACATCGGCAGAATGAGCGCCAACCCCAAGTCATTTCATGAAACGACCGCGAAACACCGAACCGGCATGATCCTGGAATCTGCCTTCGAACAGAATAAACCGAAAAAGGTTGTCGGGATCCAGAGCGTGCCTGTAGCGACAGGTGTGTAGCCATTTATGCGGCTAGATAACATCCACAAGGGTGGAACAAACAATGTGTAACAAAACTCCCATTGGAATCCCCCTGACCAGGCGCCGGAAAAGATATAAAGGTAGCCTGGATTCAACGGATTTTTGAAGATCGATGTCAGGGAACGAAGAATATTTCGGAATCTCATGAGGGCCGCGGGGGCCGGGTGATTCGATCGCTGGAAATGCTGAAGCGTTCTTTGCCGCATCAGGAGAGCAATTGTGCCGATTGATCAGTCATTCCTGGGGTTCCAACGGGGTGCGCCAATGATGTCTGTGCCCGATTGTCAAGGTACCGTGCGTGCAGCTGTAGAGCGTGAGACATGACTTTCGTGACTATGGCCCAGTTAGCGCTGCTTGGGGGGGTTGGGGGTTTAAACCGGACAGGGGCACATACTCGGCCAAACCGCGGCCTTCTCCATCATGTAGGCCGTTGTCAACAGTAGCTTGCTCGCGTAACCCATCTTGCGCATGTCGAAATCTTTGAACGGCCCAGAAAATGCCGCCATGTTGATATTGGGGTTTCCTGGCGCCGCGGCGCCAATGTCCACCGCGATTTTATAGTCCGCATGATGCAGGATTTCCGCGACCTTTTCCAGCAGCTTACAATCCTCGTCCTCGAGCAATAAAATTGCCGGTACTTGAGAGTAATCGATATCATCGCGGCCAAGCACGCCGAGGAACCGGCCCACCCGCTCTTGCACCGTGGCGAGCCATTCGGCGAGAACTTGGGCGCAGTCAAACGTGCACATGGCGCTCGCGATCGGCAGTTCACGTGACGTGAATTCCGCGAACGTCACGCCGAGCTTGTCAGCCATCTGCAGGGAGTCGGCGGCGTAGAAGGCTGCTTTGCGGAGATGGCGCTCGCGCTTGGACTGGTGGTGAGTGGGCATGGACGGATCGCTTCCGGGGGCCAGATCGTTCATGTCGACATCCGCAGAAGCAGAGCGAGCACGGGCGGATTGGGCGCCGTCTAACGGCCCTTCAGAACCGTCGCGAGAGTTGTCGGCATGTTGGATGATCTCAATGCCGCGGCCGAGCTCTTCGCACATGGCGTCGAAGTCGCGGGCCCAGAACGCTTCTTTCGAGCGGCCGAGGTTGACGAAGAGGCGGACGTATGCGAGGTCGAGCAGCGGGATGCTGTTGGCGGGCATCGGGCCGTAGGGGTTCGGTCGTTCGAGGCTATGGTGGGTATTGGATCTCCATGCGGCTTGCCAGGCTCTCAGGGCTGGTTCGATTTGGGCCAGCATTTGCTCGGTCTCGCTCGTTTTCCATTGGCGGCTATTGTGTCGTTGACGAGTCTCCCAGATGTAGACATGCAGTGCGTTGATCAGCACATAGCAGCCGAACGAGCTGGGCTTCAAATCACTCTCAGGGAGGTTGTCGAGCGGCATTGAAGAGCCAAAGGCACTGTGGAAGGGATTGTGTAGGTTGTGGTGGTGACTATCCCGCTGAGAAGCAGTGAGTAGAAAAGAAAGAGAGTCGGCGAAACTCGGGATATTCTGTTCGGCAGTAGGACCACCGCTCGCCAGCCACGCCTGTGCGCTCTCGGCGCCCCAAAGTGTTTCTTCGCATGGTAATCGGAGGTGGATTTCGGAGTTAAGGATCCGGGGCAGGTGGTTGTATGCGGTCACCAAGATACTGGACAGGACGAAGATGCAGAACAGCGTTCTCTTCCGCTCCTCGTTAATTTTCCAGCGGTACCATTGCGCCTGCAGGGCGTTCATCTCCTCGGTATTTTCCACGGACATCCTGGGACCGTACGATGTGGGCGAAAGGCCGTCCTCGCCCAGATCCATGTCTCGGTCCATCGATCCGGTTCGTGCGTTGTATAGTCGTGCATCGATCTCCACGTCGGAGTCCGGTTTGTCGAGCTCGGCCGCTTTGGCCAGGCTCACTAGAGCAGCGCAATGTGTGGTCGCAATATCGGTGGATATCTTGTTTCCGCAATTATGGCCGTAGATCAAATTCAACAACATGGCCTGAACAAGCCAGAGCGGGGTTTTTTGATTCGATGCGTTGGCGCCCATCATGCCCGCACCGGCATTGCTCCCCGACGTCATTCCGGATCGTCGTCGTTCTTCGAGGTATATGCTGATCATCTTCTTCGAGTATTCAAACAGCCTTTCGCCCACGTCGTGCTCGAATTCGTAAAGGGCTCCGATTGCGGCCATGGCGAGGATTAAGCAGCCGCCACCACCAACCATGGAAACGCCCTGGCCGAGATGGGTGGTAAACGCTGGAGAATTAAAAGTCAAGGTTGGAATATGCAAAAATGGCATGTGAGGATGAAAGTAATAGATATACGAGGCGACGTAGCGCTGGAGGTCTGCCGTGCTCGGGAGCTCGACCGATGGCGCTTCGCTTCGAGGTGTGTAACCTGATGAGATCGGAGATCCCACTGGAGTCTGCGAGAACTTGCGATTCGTATGCCCAAACCCAGGAGTTTGTGACAAGCTGATCAACAGCGCTTGTCGCGTCGCATCGGTGATCGAGTCGGTGGAGACGGAGGAGATAGAGCTGGGTCGCCCACTGCCGTTGACCGAAGGGGACGACATACTGTTGGTGTCATGGTTAAACGTCATATGCGGCTGGAAGAAATGGCCTGGCACCGCAGTGCCGCTCGAGTTCGGGCTCATGGCATTGCCGTTCGTTGGTCGGGGAAAGAGATTGAAGTTCTCGGCGTTCTGGTCAAAGTCTTTGGAGGAAAGCGTCGCGTTCGGTGGTATCAATTCCGGGAAAATCGCCTGTCCGATCGTATCCAAAGAAAATGCTCCCTGTGCCACATCGGGAGCGCCCATGGTTACGTGCGGCCAGGTGTTCTGAAGGTTGCTGTTGGAACCGTCGAGCATTACCTCGCTGAACCCGCTTTGGCTGGCGGTGCTCAAAGCCGAAGGAGAAGAACCGTCCAGACCACCGTCACCGTTCATCGCACCATTTTCCAAACCGGCGGCGGACCAGTCGAAGTTATCTTCTTCTTCGAAGCCGGCGGTTCCATTTAGCGGAAACGTGGGGAAGGTTCCGGTGGAGGAGCCGAGCCCACCGCTGAAATGAAGTTGCGCAGGGTTAATTGTCGACGCCGACCCAAACATCTTATCCATGTGAAACCCGTCCCCCATGTTCTGGATAGGCGCAGTGCGCAGCCCGCCGCCAATATTCATATTTAGCTGCGTGTCGAGCTTGGGGAGGGCGTTTTGATCCGAGTGCTGGCCAAATCCGTTGGGCATACCCCGCACGCCGAACCCATTCATATTCGCCAGGTTAAACATCATGGGGTTCTGGGCCATCCCGTTCGGATATGCACCAGGCCGTCCAGGGACGCCAGAATTCGCTAATAGGCTGTTCAATGCACTTGCATCAATATGGCTGATGGTGTTTGCTCGTGGACGCATAGGTCCGGATCCAGTTCCGTTCGGACCTCCCGCAGTACTCGCAGTCGAACCTTTCCGGCCCCGTTGCAGACCCGTCGGAGGCATCCCACTCGTGCTTTCTCGACGTCCATTTCTCGGTCGAGAGGAGGCAGCACCCTGCTGGTGGAGCTTCTGTTGGTGCCGCAAGAGGAGATCTCGACGGGCGAAACACCGGGAACACTGCGGACATTCGAACGGCTTCTCTTTGGTATGTGATCGCTCGTGTCGTTTCAGATGTTCCAGCCGTGCAAACGATCGTCCGCAAGTGGTACATACGTGCGGTCGAGGTTTGTCGGTCTTTGGCGGAGGAAAGTTGGGTGCATTGCTAAGAGTTGTCTCTTCCTTCGGCGATACTGCAGCTCCTTGTCAGTGGATCGAATATCTCTGGTGGTAACTACGGATAAAGACGCCCAACTAGATAGTGTATGAGTCCTGACTTACTGCCTGCATTATTGTCGGCACTCCCACTCTCCGTGCGACTCGCTGCTGTAGAGGCTGCCATAGACGGTTCTCTTAATCTTGCCAACGCCTGGCACTATAAGCCTGGCGAGCGGTCATCCAATGGATAACTCCAACAGATTGAATACGCTTGGATCTCGAAGGAGGATTGCAGAAGAAGTTCGAGCGGGACCGTCTCACAAACAACCCAGCGGATTGGTACACGGCCGGTTGGGAGACAATTAAGAGCCTATTAGAGCGAACGATTCAGGATTCCAGCTCTTTTTGGTACAGTCCAGCCAACTCGGACCAAGGCTTGTGACCTTGGGATCTCGTTCTCGCCTTAGTTACAACTTGAGGGGTCGTTTGCACCACGATGGCTTCGCGGCGATTCCTAGCACCAATCGAGCTTGGAATAGTCGATTCGGTCCACGGCGAGAACTTAACGGGCGTTCCAGAAAACAATCGAAGACAAATCGTCCGTCATACGTAAGCCGCCAAGGGTGAGAAAGTCGTGAAACCGAAATCGTGCCTCGTGAGGAAGAAACGAACGCTCCGAGATCGCAATGTTTTCGGGCGATCGTGGTGGTGATTGTCAAGGAGTGGGCAAATGGCGTCAAACGATGAAGTGAAGGCAATTAGAAATGAACCAAAGGGAAGGAATTGAGGATCTTCTTCTTGCAGGAAGGATCGTGGCGATACGAAGAGTAAGTACGGAAGCAAGTACTCTTGAGTCTTGACGCAGGCGGAAATGAGTCCGATGGTGGACAGCGGGAGGCAAGCCCAGCAACTCAGCGAATAGGCGTGGATACGGGGAAACGCAGCAAAGGTCACCTGTGCGTCTAAGCAGGGACGTACCGTCCGAATGAGCCGAAAGGGAGGATAAAATACTGGAGAGGATCTTGCATAAAAACGGTCGAACAGGCCAATCCTGAACGAGTCCCAGAGGAAGAGTCAGCGTCAGCTTTTTAGACGGTAGTCTAGCAGAACACTAGAACTTCGCTGGATTGTGGCGGGTAGGGACAAATAATGCAGGACGGTGTCTACAGTGGGTTGCCGTCCTAGTCGAGGACGGATTCCGTAGGCAACCGATGTATAAACCCGCCAGAGAAACCGGTTGCAGACTGAGCGAAGGATATTGGAAAGCAAACCTTTTCCAAGGGACGGAGAGCCCAAGAGGGAAATGATTGCTCTTAGACGACCTGTAACGATGGGCGGATGATTGGAGGGATGAGCGGATGACGGAGGGTTTAGGACTTCTGGGGATAGGTTCAAGCGTCAAGTTGGGGCGAGCGAAACTTCGATATTATGGAGAAAATCGTCCAATTGCCCCCCAATCCTCAATCCCCAATTCCCCAGGTGCCCCAGGCGCCCCAGGTTACAGGTAGTACCCCAGGCGGGAAGCCGGAATGGAAAGGGAAAAAAAGCTGGGGAACATTAGCGGACATCGGGGTATCCCACCGCCCAAGTCTGGATTCTGGAGCCTGAGACGTGAGAACAGGGGGGACACCGGACACAATTGGCACGTAATTCTCGTCTCGCCAGCGGGTCAACGAGTATGCACGGGCTGGACTGGCCCTGGAGGCTGGAGCCCAAGTTTGACTGGACTGGAGGCTGGGCTACTGCCGCTGGATCGATCGCTGGCTGGCGAGCGGACATGAATCCGCTGGGTTGGCACTGTCCATCTCTTGAATCCGTTGCTGTTGTTGCTGTTCAGGGCTCAGCCTGCGACTCTTGCGTCGGCTGCTGCAGCTCCCCAGGGAACGATTGACCTGGCAGACTGATCCTATTGTGCCCATTTGCCCACCATCATCTCATTCTGACCACAATAGAGTTCAACGCCCAGATAACAAGAGGAAATGAAATGAACTCGAAAATAGAAAATCCTGTATTCCGTATATGATATCACCTGTTTCCCAACAGCCACCACGCCACCCTCTCTCTCTTCTTCTGCCACAATCGTCCGATGAACGGTAATAATAAACCAACCTTGACCGATCGGCCTCCATCCTCGAACAGTCGAACGGCACCATTCCCACAATGGTCCTTTTCTAGCCGATTGCATGACACACGCTGCCAGACTCGCAGCGTCACCCTGGCGGGCAAATGTCGCGCTATGCCCGTAGCGGCGGCTCGACCGGCAATCCATCTCATTGGATTGCGCCATGTTCTCGCTGGGCCCAACCCCAGACGCCGACCGTTCTTCACTAACCGCTCCATGAGTCCCTAGTCCACGAGACAGGGTCCATCCTGGCAGGACCTAGGCCAGCCTTTGGTTCGTTGTGAAATGTGGATGTCTCGTATTACGATTTACGATGTATCTCATGTATGAGATAATGAGAGACACTCGCACGCCCGGAACATAATAATAATAATGATATTAGACGGATTCATGCTGAGGTAGGCGACAAGCGCGAGATTCCGAAGCATCGTATCCGCCATACCGGGTTGAAATAAATATCTAGAGCACCCAGGATGCGGCTACCCGTCGCACAAAGCGAACTCTTCGCACTCTCCTGCTGGTCCTGCATCCATTATTTCATAAACTGTTTCATCGCTGTTCAAGTCGAAGGTCCGCAGGTACACCGTTGAGAACAACAAATTCGACGTAGATTGAAATTAGCCATACATAGTACATTTCGTACCCGAAGACAAGAGTAGGCGCCAAATCATCTGAGACGTCGAGTACGGGAATACTCGAGTAATAATGGCGCTGAATCGCCAGCTCGCCGCTTGAATGTTGACTAGGATCAGTCACTGCACAACAGTCAGAATGCCTGCCGCCACGTGACGGTTAATATCACCAATATCAACCGTCCTCCTCTCTCATATCGACCTAAACGAAACAACAGAATCTGATTGTGGTTGAAGTGGAATGTCCCATCGTCTGGAATCACATTCCTCGAAATAGGTGTGGACGGGCCACCATCGCAGGGTGAACTCTATTGCTTTCGGACGAGTCGATAGGCCTGACGATGCATGATCTTGAGCGTTCATCGCATGAACGACCATATCACACAGCTGATGCTGCGAAACCCATCTACCCTGATACTTGCGTTTTTACCTAGCATTCCATGTAGTGATATACATGCACCAGTTACGGTATCTCCAATCGGAATTCCGACGGTTGAAATTGAGTTTCAAATCCCACAGACAATCGAATTAAAGGATCCTGCAGTTCTGCGCTCTTCCAGCGGCCCGAAGACTGCGGGCTAACTATCCTGATGCTCCATTGAATGGATGATGGATACTTGCACGGTATGACCGAAGATCAGATAGACAGGTATTGCGTTGACTCGTCCGAAACTCCAAACTAACAAATGTTGCGATTGCCAACTCGTATTTGTAAATACCCTGATCGCAACTTGCATGAAAAGTCTCTCCATATGCCCTAGCGTCCTGCATCTCATGGAAGCCGTCAGTCGTGTCCGAAAATCCATGTCAGAATCGAAAGCAATGAGTCGTTCACTGCTCACCTGAGGAAGAAGGAATTGTCGAGGAGGACCAGGCCAACAGAGAAGCTAGACAGCTTCACGTTCAGCCAAACCCTTAATATTCGATATACTTACGTTGCAGCAGCGATTTAGCATTGTTCACCGGTCGGACAATAGAACCTTATCGAGCTCTCCTGTATGGCTATTACCCTAATTCTCCGGCGTCAAGTTTGGAAATAAAACTACCTACCAACTTCAACGGTTCAATCTGTACATGACACCCCAACCGCAAATCTGTACAAGTACCTGTGGTATAACAGAGAACTAATACCGCAACCAACCAATATCTCAACATCTTGCCAGCTCCCCACGCCTGCATCCGAGAGATAAGACGACCTGATACTGGCAGTCTGCTACGGATGCGTCTAACATCAACCACCCTAATCCAACGAAGAACACCCGCAACTCCAAGAATCCAAGTCCTATCGGCCTCCTCCCTCTCAGCAGAGCCCTAAGGTGTGCCACTCGACTTGAGAGGACGCATATCCGGAATAGTCCACGCCTGCCGCTCCTGCAGGCAACACACCCACCTCTTCCAGCACCCTCCTTCAATTCGTCAATCTCTCCCCTCCCTGCTGCCGCCGTCCGCCACCGTTCTGATGAAAATCTGGGGATAGACCCGACCCCATGACCATCGACCAGTTAGGTCGACCAGGCGACCACCATTGCTAGCGGAACCCCTGGTGCACCAAAAATCCCAGTCCCATGTCCAATGTGCATCTGCCGTGACTGAAAGCCAACGGCTGCGTGCGGGTGGTCATGATGGTGGCGAGTGAACCGGGGAATTTTTTGAGGCATAGGTGTTGCCCAAACCTTCCCGGAGTATGACCGCGTGGTTATTTACTGTTACAATAGATTTCTCCTCTAATCTACTCTTGGGAAATTGGGATTGATCGTAAGTTGAGCGGAGGGTATTCATCGGGTACATTTATATGGGAAGCCCCACACAACCCCAGGATTTCCTGGAGAAACACGCAAACGGGTACGGAGCAGGTAGCCACGGAGGCGGACGGACACTCATTAAATAATAGCCGACGACAGGCGAGGTAGCGTCATCAGATAGCTAATAGCAATTAGCATCTGCACTAGACGAACGAATCATTGTACGGAATACGCTGCCGTACCGTGTTAGTCGACCTAATGGAAGACTATTGTCGAAAAGCCAAGCATTATTGCCCATGCGAACTGAAGTGCGCCATCCGAACTGATTTCTTGCAGGAAAATTTGCTTTTCCTGACGATTATTACCGTTCCGCGATATGTACATGTCGACGTCAGCGCCGTGGGGCAGAGGCATTTATTTCTGCCCCTCCATCTGATGACTTGCTGCAATTTTCAACATCAAATGGGGCCTGGAGGCTATCCTCGAATTGCCATGCAGTCGATCATGCATGAGTCAGCAGTCATCATTCACACGTCTAGGTCCCCCCAGAAATGCCACCGTGAGTTTAATTCGGCATCGCCCTGTTGTACTTACCTCGTTGTATTGTAGAGCGTCTTGGACGTCTATTGATCGACGCCAAAATCCTGGGAAGGGGAAAAAGGGTACAATGTTCAGGGTCTGACGTAAGTCCGGGGTTACGTTGGATGTAATATTAGGTACTAGTACCTGTACCGGTACTTTCGTTCTTCATCATGGAGACATTCGGCGCAGATATTATCAGGATGGCCCCCTCTGTATACTGGGGACTACCTGGTTGAACGAGTACCTCGTCTTAAGCCTAAAGGGTAGTGACATGCAAGAATCCGCTTCTGGCTACAGTCTGACTCGTGCATATAACAGCATACGTAGTAGAGGGAATCTTCTTATCTCCGAAGAGGCCGCTTGGCCAGTTTCCAGAATGTTATGCACAGCCCAACGAATGCATTTGTTAGTTTCAGCGATGCCGGAACCAGTGCACCAGAAAACGGGCGAGTTCAACGCGGACGAAGATCGGGGACGACTCCATCCATTGGATCACAGACTCACTGTCCGGTTGCCTCCGCTGTCGTCATCTCACATCTCACATCCTTTATTCTCACCTCTTCAGCTAAGTCCACGCTATAGTCTTCGCCACGCCACTATCGTCGGTTCTCCTGCCACCCGTCATCGGTATCGGATTCCTCATCATCATCTATGGGGTTTTGAAGAGTGTGGTTGAATTGGATTGGCGATCATTAGTGACAGGGGCATGGAGGGGCAGGTGAGGGGCATGGATTTTGCACACCGACGTCGGTAGAAGAGAACGATCTTCGGGTACGTAGCGACGGATTGCCGCATTCTACGCAAACGGCAAGGGGAAAATGGTATGTAGTACGCCTATTGGAGCGGGTCTTGTGCTTTGTTATGAGTTGACTATCTGCTTGGTCAACAGCGTGGTCGTCGAATGGGCTACAGCTTCATCGGGACCACCCTCCTGGTTGCAGCCAGTCTGCTACTATAACGATTGTTTTTTAACAACTTATACGCAATATGCATGGCCTTTTCTGACAAGACCTCTCACTGTTTTACCTAAAACGTATTTTTCGGTGACAAAGCACTATGGTAGCAGGACTGACTACGACTGATGATCCGAAACAGAGGAATTAGTGTACACGCTCTGACGGTGGAACATCTCAGTGTCACGGCTTCGACTTGAAGATCAGTCACATACCAGATTGCATAGAAAACTCTTTCTGGGTCACATATCACCAAGAAAGGAAACCTTCGTCAAGCTTCGACGGAAATCAAACATCGATACGCATGGACATAAAGACGCTGGTGGCGGTACGTCTTGGGGTGCAGACTTGCAGTTCCGAAACGCTGGCTATGCCCGCGGGTTTCCCTTTCGACCAAGCCCTCATTTGCAGTCCTGTGGCATCTCTCATATCCGGGCGACTGACATGGATGGCGAATCTGGGGTGCATACTCCAGGCCGACATACGTCCATGTGCCTGTGATGGATTTCCATTCATCATCTTCTTGATTTCTATTGTCCAATCAACAAAAACATCGCCATCCACCTCTATCAGATCCTGCAGGTATCAGAACTGCATGCAGGTAACCAACTGACAACCTTCGTTTGCTGCAAACGTCCCAGTGTCAGTTCCTGAAGCGTCGCACAAGGCTGGACCTCCCCCCTTCGCTTCCTTTTATCCCGCCTTTTCTTCTAGCCTTGTCTCTTCTGCAAGTGTTAAACATATTATCGGTCTAGAATCGCATACGAGATTTCGCGCTAGTGGGGCCGGCGGTTGTGGACGACCGAAGCCTAAAGTTCCTGAGCCGTCAAGTTGCCTCGGCTTTGGGGATAGCTAGACCGGTTGCTGCATCCCACGATGGCCACGATGGTTTCGTGGCTAGGGGCTTTTCTAAATCGGACCTGGGTGTCGCGTACTGGGACCTTCCGTCAGGGCTGATGTTAATTTGGGCTTCATTTACTGTTCCTGGACTGGTTTTCTTGGGACATTAATAACTGAATGGGTGAGATGACCGGTTCATCTGCACCGGGTAAGTTTCTAGGGCACAAGCAACATCAATCTCGTTGAGTGTGATGGATTCATAATTCTTTCGAAAAGTCTGTTATGTAATGGTATCAAGCGCTGCTCGATATGTTAAGCTGCCAGAGTTCCATTTCCTAGCGAGCGTGTCAGTCTCATACAAATGCCTAGAGTCATCTCCACTTCATCCGTCTATGAGCGTTCTTTCTCTCGCTCATCCAAGATGGCTGCGTAGAAGATTGGACGTTATGACCATCGTACGGTGGGTTCCGGTAGGAAGTGTAATTGCACATGAGTGCCCATCGTCGAAACAGTCTCTCTGCAAGCTCGCCCGTTCGTTTAACATGTAGAACTGTATCTTCGCTTTACTTGCGAAAAGTTACATTTCTTTGAGAAGTGCTCTGCGTGTGGTCATTTCCTGCATTGTCCCGATATCTTCGTCGTCAGTCGACTGAAAGAACTAGGAACCTGCCGAATCAAAATCATCGTGAGTGGTTCGATGTTTCGGGAGCGCGCAAAGCAAAGTGACAACATCTGAAAATCTTGCAGGTCCCATTTTGAGGCAGAGAAGTACTGATCCGTGTCGCTCTTCCTATTTAATATCTGGAAGCTCTTAGTCGTTGAACAATTGACCAATATACCACATTAATTGTCGCAACAATGGCAGACCCTTCTGGGAATAACGACTTACACTGCGGATATGCTTCCTTTCTGGATCCCAACGACATCCAATTCGATGACCTATTCTCGGGCGCCTCAGCGCCTCCTGGTACCGTAGATCCAAACCAGACACAATCAGGCGCTTCCTCACCCTTCTCATCGACTCTGGATGACATTGACTTCACCCTCCCTATCCCCAGTGTCGAACGTTTCGGCACCGAAACAGAAGACTCGAAATCACCTCTCCCGTCCACCTTTACGGATTCAGATCCTATCATCACGGTGACCGCTTCGGAGCATATTCGACTACATGAACAGCGAGCCTTCCTGGCGAGCGCAGCCCCCCACGCCCAACATGCAAAACGACCGCCTTCAGGATCGACTTCTTACGTTTCCGAGCGCCCATTCACAGCTTCGCCCCACGCATCCTCCTTTATTGAGCCTCCCGTCCCCTTTCCGCGTCCAGCCCCGGTGCCATCACACTCGGGCGTCATGACAGTACCGCCTACTCCACAACCGTATTCCCAGTCGATAGGGAGCCCCGCGATGCAGCATGAGCGCGCAATCAGCCTTCCACTAGGAGACGACATGCATGCACACTTCGACATGAGCAACATCCCGTCACTACCTCCGGGCATCTCTCACCAGACGCCCATCTTCAGTCGCGATGGTGAATACATCGGGGATGCCGCGACGCATCTAAGACATCGGAGGAGACGGCCCGGAGCGAAGAGGTCGGGAGGAAGCACCCTCACTTCGGCGCCACGAGGCCCATCGACGCATCAAAACCCGATAAAACATGGCCCACAGCCGCCGATTGACTACAATCCAGAGCTTAGGAGACACCAAAAGGGGTACGGACGATGGCACCCATACGAATCAACAAGCTCAGGGCGCCTAGATCTCGACTCCAGTCGTGACAGTACCCCGGCTCTTCACAGAGATGCAAATATGGACGAAATCTTTGATTTTCTATCAGCGGGCAACCCTACGGAGGCCTCGAGTGTTACATCGGCGGGCGCCATAGGGTCCGCAAAGGGTTCGAGCTCGAAAGCGCAGCGGGACGATGGCCAGCCCAAAGGCAAGAAGTCAGGGACCCATGTTCTGAAGGTGGACGCGATGGAGAGCCGGTATATCATTCGCAGTTTGGCTCGGCTGTTAGAGGAAGGGGCAGATTCGATAGATAGATTAAGGTCAATAGACGGGGAATTGGAGACAACAGCAGCAGTTTTAATACTATTTGACGTGGAGAAGGGAATGATTGAGAAAGTCATGGCGAACAACGACGGGTGCTCTGATACCAAGGAAGATATCAATGAAGGCGAAGCATGAGAGCACAGGAATCGGGAAATATTTTAATATAGACACATAGAATATGATCAGACGACCATAGGATTGCATTGGGACAAAATTAACAGCAAACGACATGCACCCCAAGTAGGACTAAACCATCTCAAGGGATACTCCAGATTTTCCCATCACTTGAAGAAGCTGAAGTTGCACAAGTGAATAATAGTGATAAGTGATCAGTGATCAGTGGACAGTGAATCAGTGGACAGTGAATGTGATGAAGATGCGATGCGCACAGACCACATTTGATATTCACAACGACGACTTCCCAGAAACTCCATCGACTTCGCCATAACCACGCTGCAACTATCGTAGAAATATCGCTTGAACTACACCGAAAGAATGTCATCGTCAGACAAGATCAACGAGCTTCTCGCAAAGCCAAAGAATGAACTGACGTACGTCCTCCCACCAAACCTCAAAATCCAAATCCATGACACTGACGTCCTGCAGAGAATACGAAGTCAGCCAAGTCGAAGAATATGAGTTCTCCCACGGCCCCCTCTCCCTCCTCCGATCCGCAGTTTTAAACCACTCCCAAGTCCTTATCTCCCTCCGGAACAACCGCAAGCTGCTCGCGCGGATAAAGGCGTTCGACCGCCACATGAACATGATCCTGGAGAACGTCAAGGAGATGTGGACGGAGACCCCCCGACTGTCGAGCGGGAAGCCGGGACGGCCAGTGAACAAAGATCGGTTTATCAGCAAGCTGTAAGGATGGATCTTTCCTCGCGTCCGGACTGGAGAACTAACGCGTGACGCCGCAGGTTCCTACGAGGCGATAACGTCATTCTGGTGGTGCATGCTGGTTGAGCGGGAGTCGTTGTGGCATCGGAGATATGACGAGGCTTAATCAAAAGATGATTTTGAAAGGTCGGGGCGAGGGTCGGGACAATGGCGTCTACGGATCAGGGACGCCGACGGCGCTTGGGTGGTGGACCTGGAATGCACCAATTGTTAGGTTGCGATACCCCTCAAACATACGCAACACCTGCATGGAGAGGGGATGAGTCTGCGACGAGGAAGCCGTAGCTGGCAGTTGGGCTTGAGGCTTGAGGGACATGGCGTGTAAATGAACACGTTAGCTACCGGATAAGACGTTTTACTGATATGAATGCTTCTAACTAGCTCTACAATTCCCGTGGCTTTCTATGTATGTCCAGCCGTCCAGCAGCGGTTAAATTCTGGCCGTTCCAAGTCTCGGGCTTTGAATTGTGCTTTTGTAATGCAATGTGCCTGTCTCAACCGTTCTGGTATGCTTCGTTGTCGCCCCGGAGGTTAACAACGAGCTTCCTATGAAACTATCCTTGGTCATACAGGTGTCATTCATTCATGGTATCCAGCTATGATGCTAAACCTATCTAGCCATCCAAGAGGTCTCACCCAAATCGGTTCCTGTCATCTAAAATCTAAAATCATGACGTCTAATATCTCCCCATGGCCATCGGCATACCCATCCCTATCCCCATCCTCCGCACAGGGCTCGATCCACCGCCGACACTGCTGCCAGTAGCACTATACCCACTATCCCTCTCATCCGGGTCATCAAAATCAATATCAAACACCTCCACCTTCTTCACCGCCGGCACCTCCTCCTCCTCCTCCTCAAACCCCCCCTCATCCCCCTCATCCCCCGTGTCCTCCCCCTCCTCCTCCTTCTTCCCATCCCACCCCTTCTGCACTGCCCCCCGCACATTCCACCTTAGCGCGCCCTCCAAGCTACTAAACCAATCCCGCTCCGTCCGCCCCACCGTCGGGAACGGCCACCGTGACGCCTCCACCGTCACGTAGTCGCCGGGCCGCAGCTCCACGCGGTTCTTGCCGTCAAACGCAACGTAGGCGCCCGCGCGGCTGCCCCGCGGCACAGCGACCTTGAGCAGCATCGAGTCGGAGAGGACCATGGGGCGGAAGGAGAGGGTGTGCGGGCAGATCGGCGTGAGGAGGATGGCCGGGATATCGGGGGAAACGAGGCTGCCGCCGGCGCTGAGGGAGTAGGCGGTGCTGCCGGTTGGGGTGGAGAGGAGGAGACCGTCAGCTTGGATGATAGTGAGGAGGTCTTGTTCGGGTGCGGATTTCGAGGAGGAAGACGATGATGATGCAGAGGAGGTGGTGGAGGAGGTGTCGTTGGTGGACGGCTGGAGGGAGTAGAGTTCAAGGTTGGAAACGTAGGGACTCGGGCCGCGGTCGATGACGAGTTCGTTCAGTACTTCGAATTGCTCGGCTTCGACGGGCTCCGGGACAGGACGGCGACGACGACGGCCTTTGCTGGTATGTGCTATGTCCGCTTGATGCGAGGAGGCAGTGGACGAGCGGGATATGGCGGGGCTGCGATATACAGTGCAGGTAAAGCGCATACGAAGATTGACCCGCATCCCCGCGTCGCCCATGATCGGGTCCAGCCCCTTCTTGTACTCCGCGAAATCGAAGTTGGTAAGGAAGCCTAGCGACCCAAGATTGAAAGAGAGGATCGGAGGGACGATGCGCTGGAAGAGCCACGACGTGAAGAGCACCGTGCCGTCGCCGCCTAGGGTCAACACCAAGTCGAACTTTTCCGGCTGCGTCCAGCACATCTCCGGCGTCCAATACCGGAGCATGTTCCCCTCGACGAACCGCGGGTCTTTCGCAAGCAAGCTGTCCGCATCGAAGCGCTTGCTTCTCCGTAGCTTCGCATCCACATACACGACCACACCGACCGCGTTGCCATACCGCGGCGTGCTCATCAACCACTCCGTCAGTTCGCGCGTCTTATACACCAGATCATTATCCCGTGCCTTTGTCACGATCATCACCGTGCGCACCGCGCGCTTGATCGGCCGCCGCTGCAGCTGCCGGCTGACCTCCCGCACCCCCGTCGCGGTTCGCACGAGGCGCGAATGTGAGAGCGGCGCGTCCGCACTGATCTCCTCGAGGACCCGGTCGATGTTGACAATGCTGTCGAACCGCTTGTGGAAAAAGCAGGGAGATCGCAACGCGGCGAGTTGGTCGGATTGGTTGGCGGTGGCGGACAGAGCGGAGGGGGTGGGGTCAATGGTTAGGTCGGAAAGGGCTTGGGAGAGGCGGCGGTCGCGGTGGTTGGTAGTCGGAGGAGCGGAGGGATCCGCATGGTCTTGACGGGCGTGGAAGGTAGAGACGGGGGGCGTCGTAGGGTTCTCCATGAGGAGATTATGGATATTGGTTCTATAAGAGGCGGGTTGCGAAGGCGGTTGTCGGCAGGCAAGAACCTTGAGGAGGGTTTGCTTCGGGATCGAGTCAATGGAATATGTCATGCGATGATTCCGGTGTGGTGCTAGTGCAGCTGGAGGGTGTTCCGTCTTTCCTGGTAATGATTGGCTTCGATTGACTGGAATCTTGTCATCATTCGCGATTGTTCGCGAAGGCAAGGGAGTGGCTCTCGGTGTGGAGTCGCAGCTCCGATCCACGAATATGGGAGCAGAACCGTCGATTGTCCCCGAAGAATCTTGAAAAGATATCGGGTCGATTAGTATGGATGCTCTCTGAGCAACATTTTGACTTCTGCCGGGGCCTCGCCGGGGGAGTCCGTTGCTATTATTAATATCTCCGACGGTGGATGTCGAAGCGGGATTTGGGGGAACGCGGAGATCGGATTCGGCTTTCTCTGGTTTCCCCGAGTCCCAATGTCCGTGGTTCTTAGCGGAAGGATTATTCCTGCAACTAGGCAAGTGACATGGTCTGTCTTCCTGGGTATTCTGCACGACCATGACGCCGCTTATGAAGCCCAAGGATGCCGCTTAGGCGATCGTGAGGGAGCGAGAAGGCGTCACCGCGTCTGTCTGAGTTTGGGGGAGGAGGCCTCGGGCGACTCGATTATTGATCAGCCCCAATTTGCTTTATTAAGCAATTGATGTTATTCCATTGATGTTATTCCATTGATGTTATTGATCCATGGGTGAGACAATCACAAGGTCTTGATATTGTAATGGATGGTGAAAGAGTCTCGGTCCAACTGTGGAGGACGGAATGGTCGGGAAGCTAAAGCAATGTGATTGTGATGAGCGGAGGGGTGGCGGGGTTCGCGGTTAAAGAGGCTGGCTCTTTTCGACAACAGTGGACGCAATATTAATATTCAATCGTGCTAAGGGATACCAAGAAAGGAATGTGATAGAGGTGGCTGACAAGAAATAGGTATTATGTTCACAACCAACCGGAACCAAGGAAATGAGTACGAAATGGGAGCTAACAATCCCAACGCTCTCCAGGAGCAACTCCGCCAGTTCAAGGAGTGTGATGATATTGGCTGAGTGATGCTCTTGACCTTCACAGTATCTCCAGCGACAACTAGGGTACTTATTTCTTTTACATCATCTTTCGTACGGCTGCTCCCGCACTTTCTGTCAGCCGAACCTTGAGGATGGAGATGGCTGGTTGGGCTGTGACTTTTTTTGAGTCTCCAAACTTTCCACGTCTCATACATCTCCACTTCTCCTGTCTCGACGCGGCTTGATGGCGGCATCGCCAGGATTGCATGCCATAATTAGTATGTAAGCCAGGTACTGAAATCGAGAGGCAACGAGAGCAAGCCATGGTGGTGCGGAAATGGTCTGGTGAGATGAGACTTGATTCCTCGGGTTTGTGATAACAAGTCCATTTTCATCCCCCTTCAATATCATTTCTCTTCTTTCAGACTGCTCTACTCTCCCTCCATCTCCCTGATCCTCGCCTCCAGAACTGTTACAATTGGCCTCAGATGTGCCTCCCCTCTAACGACGAGTCCTCCACCAGAGTAGGAAATGTGATATCAAGGTCAAAGTCAATTTCAAGTCAGCTTCATGCAACACTTGCTTTCCACCCGTCAGTCCAAGTGTGTCGCGAAATGCTTCAGAGCCAGGCAACTTATCTCTACCCCTATTGGGCTTCATCGTTTTGGTTCTATGTTCTGACAATACTGACATGCTGGTGAAACTTCCCATCGCATTAGTATACGGTAACACGACCGTCCCTGTTATTCCTGTCAAATTAACGTTGTCTTCAAGCCACTTGGACAATACATCTTAGGGCTCTGATACGGAGTTATATCAATCTTTCCGGGTTTTTCCGAGTACCGACCTAGTCAAACCGATCTATTCGTCATTGGAAACAAGCGTCCGGCTTCCAATATCAGTTCACTGCTAAGTGTGATGTCCTTGCTACCACCGCTCCGGCCACTCCTAGGGGATAATGGCTACGATAGGGCGGCTACTGTGGATGCTCACATTGATGCCAGGGGTGGAGAAGATGTGTCAAAAACCAACGAATACCACATACGTCTAAGGGTGATCGCTTTGTGGTCTATTGGGATTTCCAACAAGATGATACTGTAGACAGCGAGGTTATGAGAGGGAGAGAAAGCTGCCTTCCGGCAACGCTGTACAGCAAAAGCTAGAGTGGAGGAGTGAAGCTTATGGAGTTGGCATCCGCTCCGGTATATATTTAAGCATTTCGGGGGGGAATTATTTCAGACTGGTGAAGTTGATCAACCATGCGTATGAACTGGTGATATATGATGTCTTCAAACGAAGGCAGCAGCTCAGCATGAGAATATTCTTATCGAATCAAACCCTGAAAGCTCAAGGAGTACGGTATTAATGAAAATAGAGAATATAATTTGAATAATAACACTAATAAATGTAGCACTTTAGGTATTGTTATAAAAGGGAAGTGTGATTAAGGCATTAAAAGACAAAGGCGAGGCAAGATTCGATGCCCTCTGTGACTCTGTCGCAGACACTAACTAGCCTAAATCGGTAACGATAGACGTCAAGCTTCGTATGCCGCCGTGTGGATTACATAAATGATCCAACAACTGGTGAACGCAGTATTTACGTTTTCTGCCCTTTAACTCAATCTGCGAAGTCTAAGGAAATGATAAGAATCCGAGACTGGGTGTAGATTCTTCGATCCCGGTCCTTTCTTGAAGAGGGAACCTACTGTCATCCCTAGACCGACAACAATCAACATTCGCAGTACTCGCCTCAGGCATTCGATTTGCCGAAATAATTTATCCTGCTTCCTAGTTGAACGAGATCGTAACGGAATTTTGTATCAGCCGACCTGAGTACGTGGGTTAGGATCTCACCTCGAGATATTGTCAAGAGCAAGGGATTAAGAGGACGTCATGGCTCCAACATCATCAGAGCCCATCTCCATTCAATCCTTTGCCACAACCCAGCTCGCCTTACTCGACCGGGAGATTGATCTTGAGAAATCAGAAACATCCGCACTCCTATCCCAGTCGAGCCCGAAATTCCTACAGCGTATCGGACTGGCTATCCTCAACTTGCAGGTGACCAACCAGCGGACCGGCTTCGGTGGTAAGACCGTCCTTGAACTCGGATTAGATACCGCTGTGGGAGGCACATCAGGAAAGAGCAGTGGGAGGAACTTGGGTAGCAAAGGGCAAGACAATGCTGTGCGGGGTGGGAAGTCATCCAGCGGTGGAAAGAAATCCCGAGGTGGAGGGAAATCCGGGGGAAGCACCAAAGGAGGCCCATCCAACGCTGCATCGGTAGCCGACGATAGCGATGGTGGCGAGTTACCGGAACACTCATTACGAACGGGAGACATTGTTGCAGTCCAGACTCAGCCGACTGGGTCGGCGAAGAAGAAGGAAAAGGCGGAGCTGCGCGAGGAAGGCGTGGAAGGCGTGGTGATGAGGGTCTCGGCGAGGGGCATATCGATCGCCTGTTCCAAAGAAGAGGTGGAGATGCCCGGTGGGAGATTATGGGTGTAAGTTGATATGGACTCCGGCGATACCTTGACATACACTTGGAACGACACTGATGAGACGCAGAGTGAAGTTGGCGAATGATGTCGTGTGGAAACGGTATGCTATGATGGTCCATCGACTGAAATTGTTCGACCTAACGATATCAGAATGACCAAGGCGATGACCTATCTACAGTCTCTCCAATCTTCGTCATACACATCCTTGATGCTAGCGTTATTTAGTCACGTCCCGCCTACTATCCCTTCCCCTTCTTCTATTACCTCAATATCAACCATCGAATGGCAATCGCCTAACCTGAACGAATCCCAAAAACGTGCGGTAGTCTTTGCACTTGCTGCGCCGACGATGGCACTCATCCATGGTCCACCTGGAACCGGGAAGACCACAACGCTCGTGGAATTCATCCTTCAGCATTATAAACGAAATTCGGATTCTCGAATCCTACTCTGCGGCCCAAGCAACTTGAGCGTGGATAATCTGATCGAACGACTTGCACCATCTAGGATCCCCCTAATTCGACTGGGTCATCCAGCTCGACTGCTTCCATCCGTTCTGAATCACTCTTTGGATGTCCTCACTCGTACATCGGACGCTGGAGCATTGGTTCAAGATATTCGAAAAGAAATGGATGACTTGCAAGGCAAGATTCGCAAGACCAAAGGCCGAAAAGAAAGAAAAGAGGTCTACGGAGAGCTCCGAGACTTGCGGAAAGAGTTTAGAGCGAGGGAGAAGGGTTGCGTAAGAGGGCTTGTAGAAGGTGCTAAGGTTGTCTGCGCGACGCTCCATGGCGCTGGAGGGTCGCTGTTGAGGGATGTAAAGGAGCGATTTGACTTGGTTGTAATCGACGAAGCTAGCCAAGCTTTGGAGGCCCAGGCGTGGTAAGTACTTTACTTCGACCGCTGGAATGGAAGAAGAGCAGAACTGCGAGCTAACTCGTCCAGGGTGGCCCTGATGAGTGCGAAAAAGGTCATCCTTGCTGGTGACCACCTTCAACTTCCTCCGGTAGTGAAGTCAGTCAACTCGAAGACACAGTCAACTTCCAAGGAAATGAAGAACAACAGTGAGCAGAAGGGAGATGGCGAGATTATCAAAGGGATGACATTGGAAACCTCCATATTCGATCGTCTCCTTGAACTACACGGGCCGAAAGTCAAACGGATGCTCACGGTCCAATATCGGATGCATGAGAAGATCATGCAATTCCCATCTCAGGAGCTATACGACGCTCAACTTACCGCTGATGAGAGCGTACGACTGCGATTGCTGAAAGACTTGCCCTATGCAGTCCAATCCACTGAAGACACGACACAGCCGCTCGTGTTCTACGACACGCAAGGAGGCGACTTCCCGGAGCGAGCAGACGAAGAAGACGAAGACCAGAAATCCAAACTGAGCATAAGCGAAAGTAAAAGCAACGAAATTGAAGCTGCACTAGTGTTCTCCCATGTCAAGGCCCTGGTCGATGCAGGAGTTAGAGCTGACGACATTGCGGTTATTACTCCGTACAACGCTCAGGTAAGTCTCATGAAGCTGGTGCCCCGCGCTTTTGAGAATGAAGCTGATACGGATTTACCTCCGGGACACGAGGTGGGACTACCTCCTAGCAACATGGAGTGACAACGTGCATTATCGCCATCCGTACCTGCGTCTCATCGCCTAGCGTTTGTAACACGTCATGCCTCCTTGCTTGCTGCGAGTGCATCCTGATACCTCGATCATGTCCCGGAGAAATTTCGGTTCCTTTGTAGCTTGCCATACTGTCTCAAGCGATCAAAAGCGAATACCCCGGCATCGAACTCGGCAGCGTTGACGGGTTCCAAGGGCGAGAAAAAGAAGCGGTCATCGTGAGCCTGGTTCGAAGTAACGACAAGGGGGAAGTTGGATTCCTGGGCGAGAAGCGGAGATTAAACGGTGAGATCCGGAAATATTCCATGCAAAGCAAGCTTGCAAGCATTATTTTACTGATTCTGGAAATTGACAGTTGCCATGACACGAGCAAAGCGACATCTTTGTGTTGTTGGCGACTCAGAAACGGTGCAAAAGTAAGTTCACTCGGCCCATTGCGAACCACGCTGGACGGTACCTTGCATGGCAATCGCTTCAAAGCACCAAAGTGGGAAACTCGACCGATGCATACAATGCTAATGGATTCGCAGAGGCAGCAAGTTTCTCAAGTCGTGGATGGGTTTCTTAGAGGAGCATGCAGATCTGCGATTTCCAAACGTCGGTGACCTGTCATAACTCATAAGAAGCCCGAATATCTGAGATAGTCGACAACATGAGACAATGGGTCTGCAACGTGGACGAACCATAACTCCGAGAGTGGATTTCATTATTGTTGAGGCTCTTCATGGAGAGATATTTGGCCGAGGGAAATGTTCATGAATCTAGACCGCCCGGCTAACATCGAGTCAGTTAAAGATGGCCAAACAGCCAGTGTCAGCCACCCAAGGGCTAAGCCCAAGAGGCAAGTGTACATAGAATCACCATTCTTCCCTGCTGCGGCACAGGATTTAAATCTTATCATCATTGCAGCGTCACAGTATGGCGTGTTTTCCAAGAATGGAGAACCGAGAAAGCCATTGAAACGATATTCACCAGGAACAGTTGCGCTGTGAGGTGGTGTTGGCTGGCGAGTGCCTGAATGGTGTGTGACAGTGTGAGGGAACAGGGCGATCGTCGGATGAGATTGGTTAGTAGCGGGCAGGAAGTTGGCGCCATCCGCAACTTGCATGAGCGATTTGATATTGGGACCCCCTTCAGCCACTAGAGTCCCGTATTCCACCAGCAACCCAGTATCCAGCAATCAGCATGTTTTATATCGGAATCGTTGAACAAATCGAGTGGAAGGGCCGAGCCGTGGTGTCATGGGACGATGAAAAGGAGAAGGTGGATGGTGGTCGTATCCACGATTCCACGCTACCACTTCTGCGTTTCTACACCGACAGTTGAAGGGCCGTCCTTGAATCCTAATGCAACCATAATGGATACAGAACGTCGCATGCTACCGAATTGGCTTTTCTTCGCCGGCGACCTTCGTGGTTCGTACATCGGCAAGGAACCGTCCATCCTAAGCTTATTGGCCCTGAGTCTATCTCTGACCTACGTCTGGTGCTATACCGAACTGAGCATTTGCTTGCTGGGGCTGCATGCATATCTCAGGTCCATCAATCATATCACAGTTCACACGGATGTAGTTGTGCCGATAAACAATGATGGAGTGTTAATAATCATTTCCAGCCTCAAATGTGCCCTCTTTCTTGGGAACTTGATATTGAACCTCTAAACCCTAAGGTGAGCCGGTACTCGCAGACTTCGGATTTACCCACCGTTCGGATCTATCCATAAAGATTTGCACCGATCCTGTCTCGTCGACTCCATAAACCAATTACGAAGGCTCTGAGTCTCCATGTCGGATGCTGGATTCAATATTGGTAGATTGTGGCTCGATAGTTCGTGGAGGTGGCCAGACCACCCGCTACCCCTGATTCCTACCAACCTTGAAAAGTTGAAACCTCTCTCTAGTCTCCACAGTCCACTCCCTTCGTCTTCCCTCATGCTCCACCGAGAATGAGATAGGGCCACGAGTATTCGGGCATGCGCCCGGATGGCATAATCCCATCGTTAAGTTGGTTTAGAAAAAAGACGCGCATGCAATCGAGCTCGTACCCTAATGTACAATCCCTATCCGACAAGCATGGTTATTTGGTCACGAGTTCACGACGAACGGAATGAATCCCGTTTGCCCTCACCCAAGATTCCAAGCAATAAGTTTGATTTACAAGACGGACTAGAGATACTGAATAACTGAAACAATATTAGCAAGGGCTTTGCATATCAAGTGGACCGGCTTGATTGGAAGTGCGGCTGCAAGTCTCCGCTGATTGCTGCACGTAAAACTCTATTAAACGTCTTTTTTGACGCTGTTCTGCCGAATGCTAGACTCCTGGAGGATCCATCCTTAATCCAGGCGCATTAATCCTTACAACATCCACCTGTTCTTCGAAACCACCTCAATAATGACAATTACACTGCGTCTCGCTTTGCCCATTGTGGCTTGAGGAGTTAAGCACCATGGATGATCAGGGCCAGCTCAATGCAGCCCTCCATTGGCTTCCCTCAATTCTCTGCCATCATGCCATCATGCCTGGCTGCATCCTCCGCCTGCAGGACAAGTCAGGAACTCCTGTGAGGAACTTAGGGTACAGCCATAGGCACTTCATAGCTGGCGTCCTTGAGACCTGAGCTGACCAGGCCATTCACAACTCAGATAAGGGGCTGGCCAAGTCGTCAATGGATCTACCGGCTCATGCCGCCCCAAAACTAGAAGCGGGACACAATTATGACCGGAAATAGGCTCTATTTCTTGCATACTCATCATAGCGCTAGTCGCTACCCCACGCTCCCCTCCTCCAACCTGCCCAGCAAGGTGGCTTGCTCATGCATCTCTCCACCTCTGTACACCTGTACAGACGGAGTCGCCGTCTGACTTGGACCAAAGACCCAAAGCAGGTACATAACCGCTTCCAGCGCCCCTCTTTCGGTTTATCTGGACTCTGGTCTAGCATTTCTTTCCTAGCGACTCGTTTGTCTCCTTCTCCCCGGGGCGGCTCATTTGCGTTCTATTGCTTGCGTTGCTTTTACAATCATGATGGTGGCTGTTCCCATGAGATACTTTCTGATGCTGCTACCTTTCATGCAACGTTCATTCTCGTCTCTTACATTCCTTTGAGTATCAAACAACACTTTGATATCTGATTTCAAGACCCCCGATTTAAGCCCGGTCGACCGTGTCCGGCGTACCTGCATGCCTGCAATAATCTCATTTTTCGTCCTTCGCTCAAGATAACTTGAACGACCACCCCATTCACGGCTCAGATCCCTCCCGAGCACATGTCCAAGAGGTCACTCCACGGCGTTGTTCTCTTTTGAGTTTCGTGCCTGTCGCGCATGCATACCTCCGCACATCAACGCAGCACCCCAATTTCTTCTCCTCCCCGACAATGGCCGTACCACCATCTCCCCTTAAATCCAACCCAGTCGACCTATCCCCGGCCGAGCGTCGTACGTCCCATTTCTCTCTGTCCCTCGACCGCGATCGGACGACCTCGAGGATAGCAGCCATTCGCCGTGGCGAGCTCAAGATATCGGCGCCGATACCCATGGCCGAGAGTACAGGGGCGTTTTTTGGTAACACGGTGGCAACTCCACAGGAGGAGCGTGGTAGCTATATACAATGCGGTGGAACGCCAGATTTGGCGCAGGGGGAAATGACATCGACAAGAACGACGTCAAGACGGCCGTCCACCCCGGCTGAGGCGATCAAGTCTTCGATGACTCCGACCAAGGACACGTGGGAACAGCCAGATCGTCAAGGTCTAGCGAGATCGACTGGGTCAGCTGACGGAGCTGTTGAGCCAAGTGCCGTTCCCAACGAGCGTGGGAGCGTCTCTCCGCAGGTCTTGAGGCATAAATTTTCGTCCGAAGATCTGATGAACCGGAGAAGCACCATGAAACGGCCCACCTCGCCAGGAGCCTCACCCCCTTTTGCTACGCCAATTCCGCTGCGCAATACTCCTATGAGCAGCAATGGCAATACAGCCACCCCGACGAAAAAGAAGCAGCGAAGAAGCGGGACGATTAAATCGGTCTTCAGGCGGATGTTTACGAGTAAAAGGAGTAGAGTAGACGCCGCTCAAGGAGAGTCACCGGCGGCTAAACCATCTCCACCGAGGCATGAATATCACCGTAGTGTATGTATACCTGTATTGTGAGGCTCACTGATGCGAAGAACGCGCTGACAGTGGAAAGGATCCGGGAATGATTCCTGAGGGCATAGCAACTCGTGGTAACGGCGAAGGTGACAACGATCAGTCGCCAACGCCCCATCAGCGCAACCACTCCGTCCCTATCCGCCGATTTTCCGAAAACATTTCCGAAGATCCCGGCACGCAAACTCCTATCCGAGCACATCTCCCCTTCCCGATGAACGTCAATGCCCCTCAGACTAGTAGTCCTACTCGGCAACGTCAGGTCCGTCCCGGCATTGATGCTTCATCGTTGTCTCCAACGCATAAACGCCGAGCAACTCTTCCAAGCGTCATTCTCCCAGTTTCCGATGATCCTAGCCATAATCCTTTCCTCGACTCCCCCAATATAACTCAACCGCGGGGCGGAGCGTCTGATGCTGCACAGATCGGCCTTGCGTTGACGACGACGGGGTTGAATAACGGATCTTCTCAAAAAGCAAATCCAAACCGTCGGTCACGCAGCGCCGGTGCGCTTCGCGACCTCGCTGACCGTGGTAATAATCAAGCCGACTCGCGGCGTCGAAGTGCGGAGATTCGCTATTGGCGCGCAAGCTATCTAGGTACCCGAAGCGGGTCGCCGGTGCCAAGTGCGCAGCGGAAGAAAGCCAGTGTCTCGCATGCTGGGACAGAGGCGATGCCGAATCGAGCGGAGATCGTCTCTATGGGCGCGGAGGGTACTAGCGTACGGCATGGTTCGGACCTGCTGCATGGTCGCGAGCGAATTTCAAAAGAGAGAGAAGAACGTCGGAGGAGCGATACGAAAATGGGAGATGACACCCTGGAGGCGTTCGGCTTCGACCCTTCTCAAGAGCATGCAGCGGACCGAGACCATTCTGCTAGTACACCTCGCGCTCAGCATCACTCCGAACGCCAACCTGGTCTCCTTGCTTTGGAAGTAGACGAGCTTGCTCGTCGTGGATCCGACTCGGACCCTTCTTCGCCCAGCAGCCTCACTGAGCGCCTGGAGCACCTGGAGCGAGATATGCGCGGTTTCGAACAATCGCTCCAGCGTCTCAGAGACAAGAAAGCGAGTGGATACCCCACTGTCTTGCTATCCGATGCTCCAAAATCGCGCCGACGCAGCCGCAATCAAACTCGACCATTTCTCGGCACTTCAACCATGCCCGGCGATGCAGACGAGCGACCTGTACGGCCGCATACCCCGCCATCGAGTAGCAGCGCAGGTACCGGAATGGGCCCTGGATTTGGTGTTGGATATGGTTCTGGCCTGTCGCCAACTGTTGCGTATGCTCCGCAAAATGGGATGCGAATAGCGGATGATTATATTGACGTCCGCCCTCCTACGCGACATGGCCCACCGTCTGGTGCGGCGGAAGCTTTCCCGCTGTTCTCTCCTGCATACGGGCCGCCTCATGAATATTCTGACGCCGGATCAATAACCCCTTCGTATGCCGCATATGGTCCTAGCGCACGCTATGCGAATCCGACGGGGATTTTACCGCAAAGTCCAGACATTGCTGCTCATCTGACGCCGCTGTACGAAGTGTTGAAGTACGAGCGGTTGGTGCGAAAGAACCTAGAGGCAGAGGTACGAGAGCTGCGAGCGGAAGTGATGTCGTTGCGAGGCTTTGTGGGGCGTCTTGTCTCTGCCTCTGGTTCAGCGACCGATCCTACCGCGGAATCCGGTCACTGGGAACACGGTAGGCGAGATACGGCGTGGGATGACCACGAGAAGCAGCGGGAGCGGATGATGGATAAGGAGAAGCGGGATCGGATGGAGGAGGAGGCGAGGAGGCATACGAGCCGGTTTAGTGGGCTTGATAGTGTTGATGGGGAGGAAGAGGAGGGGGAAGAGGTGGAAGACGAAGAGGAAGAAACAGAGAAAGAGAAGGCGAGCGAGGTATTTGCCACGGCCAAGGAGGGGACGGAGATGGAGATGTTTTAGGTATTTCCGCCCAGTGTTTGGGATCTTGCCTACATTTCGAGCGGATTTGAAGCATATGCAGTTATGAACAGGAGCAGCCACGAGGGAGAGCGGGGGCTACGATACATAATACGGATTGACGACATATATCAAGCGTGTTTCTTCATCTTGGATTTTATGATACCCGGCCTTGGAACGAGCGCAGGTCTGACGTTTGTTCTTACCTACCGCAGTGTAATTAGCCGAATGGAGTCAATAACAGGATATCATCACCTTTTCACATCTTCCAGTCCACTCGTGAGCATGTTAGTGATGTCTTGCTTTGTCCCAAATTGTTCTTCAAGGGAAGTCATCCAATGGGGCTTTTCATTTTTCGTTTGAAAGGTAGGGTTTCCTACAAGTAGCAATTTTATTCCATATCGCTTGGGATATGCTGTATAAAATCATGGTTGAGGGAAAATTGCTATGCATTGAACGCAATTATGTGATGTAGGAATGGAGTCAGCTTGCTGACGCTTTCAAGGAATTCAACCACATTCGTTGTCACATAAAGTTACGATTATCTCACCACCACCAGCATCTCAATCCTCCTTTGATCACAACTCCAAATACACACCCTAATCATTTCCCATGTCTGCAGCCAAAGAGAGAAAAATAAGTCAAACAGTAATCATTTTAAGATCATGGCCAACGCCCTACCTAAATTGGTACCACGGTCTCATCCATCAGATCGAGCTACAAGTCCACCTCCATCAACACCACATTTCCCAGAGCCAGAGCCTGTAGCGTCAGATCACGCATACATCATCCCCATCCGACGAATATTATCTCCAGACGATCATGGCAAATTCCAGGCATCTCCGACATATACCCTCCTCACTGGCTTCGTGTTTACTACCTCAGATGCCGTTCGAGGCGTACCTATCTCTGCTCTAAAAGCAGAAAGTCTCTCACCAGCTTTGTCATCGATATTACAGGTGCTAGATTCTGTCCACGAATTGGTCAAGTCGAACCCTCCAGTCGATACAGCAGGCTCAAGATTCGGAAACCCTGCTTTCCCCGTATTCTGCTCTGCTCTATCATCGTCTCTCAGTCCTCTTCATGAATCTATCCCTGGCCTCCCCTCCGCTGCAATCCCGGAGGTCTCAACGTACCTGCTGCACTCTTTCGGCAGCGCGGAACGAATCGACTACGGTTCTGGCCATGAACTGAATTTTTGGCTCTGGTTGCTGTGCCTCAGCAAGCTCGGCGTAGTACCATCCGACAAGGAAACCTTGCAGCAGCTAGCGCTCCGAATCTTCCCTCAGTACCTCAACGTCGTTCGAATCATCCAGCTGTCTTATTATCTCGAACCCGCAGGCTCTCATGGCGTCTGGGGACTTGACGATTACCAGTTCCTCCCGTTCCTCTTCGGCGCCTCGCAGCTCATCGGGCACAGCTACATCAGGCCCAAGTCGGTTCACCAGCAGCTTGTACTTGAAGAGTGTGCGAAGGACTACCTCTATCTGGACCAGATCGCTTTCGTGAATAGCACGAAGAATGTCGAAGGGCTACGGTGGCATTCGCCTATGCTGGACGACATTTCAGCGGCAAAGAGCTGGGAGAAGATCGAAGGTGGCATGAGGAAGATGTTCGTCCGTGAAGTCCTTGGGAAGCTGCCCGTGATGCAGCATTTCTTGTTTGGCTCGTTGATCCCGGCTGTGGAGGGAATGACGCCTGCAGAGAGTGAAGGGGGTTCCGGCAGTGCGGAGCATCATCACGATCATGAGCATACGCATGAACAGGGAGAGAACTCGTGGGGCGATTGCTGTGGGATCAAAGTGCCTGGCAGCGTTGGTGCGATGCAGGAGGCGAGGAAGCAGGCTGGAGCTCAGTTGAGACGCATACCATTTGATTGACTGGAATCACTATTGTGCTATGCTCCAGGAGAAAAGCAGGCTGGTTATATCAGGGAGAAAGAATGGAAACATGTTCAATACTGCCTGGAAAGGCTGGGATGTTGCAGCTGTGCGTTCATTCGTTCCTTAGAGACTCCAAATTGACTTCACAGCACCTTTAACTATAGGTATGAAAATATCTGGGTCATTTGGAATGCGGCAAAAGACTGCCCATGGTATTAGGGAGTAGGGATTGGGGAGGAGCGGCGGGGTGAGTCGACAGCGTCTCACCTGCGTCGCCTCCCAACACCAAAACCTAACCTTTAAATCGGTTTCGACACCCTCGCCTTACCTTCAAATCCACCCATAACAAAAAATTATTGTAGCCATTCATCATGGAGCAGTTATCTATTTCCAGTTCATCAATAGGAGGAATTCCTGCCGAGATTCTTACCCACATTGCGCTGTTCTCCGACTTCCATACGATCTACAGCCTCATCGCGACATGTAGCTACTTTCGCGAAGTTTTAAACACGAAATTCTTCTTCCACAGTTATATCAAACTCAGACTTTCGTCATACAGCCCAGAGGAATGCTCTCAATTTTTGAACTATCTCGGAAAACCCGATGCTCTCTCATTAAGCGCTCTCAAACCCCTAGCGCAACTGACGGCAATTGATCACTCTCGAGATCAACTGTTTGCGGGTCGGAGACTTCCTTCCTTGAAGCGAAGTCCTCCTGAAAGGAAAATAGATGTCCATCAGGTTGGGCCTTTGTTGAGGCTTTCTCTCCTTAATCGTGAGTGGTACTCTTGTATTTCTTTGAGTAACTTGCTTTGATGCTAGATTTATGTTGGAGTCAAGCGCTTTATCATACTCTAATGGTTCGGAAAGAGCTGGATGTTCGATGAGTATCTGACGACGCGGCCAAATTGTTTCCAATGTCATCGTATGATGCCTCGAACTTTGATACAAGACACAGTTAGCCATCGATGGCTTGAAGTTCCGTGATCTTATCGGGAAATCTTAAACTAACAATTCGAACAGACCCGATACTTCGGGACCTTCCCTTGACCCCTATCTGGGGATTGATGGGATGTTCCACCTACGTTGAGTTTTCTAAGATTGATAATGCAATCTTAGGAATTCCATTCGGCGGATCCACGACTGATTGGATTGTCTCAAGATATTTGTTGACCCTTCGCCTACTGAGCCATCCAATAGAGCCAGTTGAGTTACGCGTTGATGCAGAAACAGAAGCCGACGGTCAGTTGCTTCTCCTCCAAGAGGGGTGGAAGAGGCTCTATAAGAGCATTACCGCCTGCAATGGAATTTGGGGTACAGAAACTCCCTTTCCAGAGTCAATGCATGTCTTGGCATATTCCATGGCCGCTCAGTGGACGTCACTACTCCTTATCAAACTTTTCAGAATGCTCCAGTCCAGACTCTCGCGCGCCGGGTATGTGGATGCCACTTCTGCGGGACTCTCACCTGAGCACAGCCAACTACCCTCGAATCTGATCCTTCCGCCATCTATCGACACGATCCCTCTCGCGCAGATCTATGCTGATCCAGAAAATGATAAAAGTGCCCTGCTCTCGGATTGTTTCGGTTCCTTTGAGGCGTCATATCGATTTGCGGTCTCACATCTGAAAACAATGGCTACAAAGCAGTTCATGGAAGATGACTGGGTTGGATATTATTCCTGCTGTAACGCCCAAGACACCCCATGGGATATGACATTTGATGGGCCAATGCAAGGAATTAAGTTTTCAACAAGCTCATCTCCTCCCAACCACCGCCACGACATGACCCTGAGGTCGAATGGCTATGATGTAGTTGGAGCCTTCCAGTTATTTGGGTCACTGAACACAAATACTGGGTACTTTCATCTCATAAAGAGGTACGAAGCCCAGCCTGTTGTTTGGAATTGGGAGGGACGCCTTACGCCCTGGGGGTTGGTGGGAGTTTGGGGCCGTCACGCGCCTAGCCAATGGGGCGGACTTTTCTGGTTGTGGAAGTCGAGCTGGAGTAGACCAGCACCGCCAGGAATGGTCCTTGAAAAAGGCCGTGGCGGGACGGAAAACCTTGCAGGTCAAATATCCATTATGATGTTTCAAGCGGTCTCCCGAGAGGAGACGGAAGTTGGTCTCATGTGGAATCCATGAGACATCTTCCCCTGAATTGGTTGGTTTCAAGGAGTCTGGCAGATATGTATCTAAAGAGACTGTTATACAATGTTTCGTACGTATGGTACAGTTGCCCCGCTCGTAACAGTGCCCAGGTTTATTCCCATATATCCCCCCTAATGACCGATGCGCCCTGCTAGGTATCAAATCATCGTTTCTCTCAAAGTTCCTTGCTCCCATCATCTGCAGGAGTATTCTTTTCATCTTGTTTCTCCCAGCTCCAAACTTCCCAAATCTGCTCGATCATCATATCCCAATAGCCTTTTCCTTCAGCCAGTTTCTCCCTCTCCTCCTGTAGTCTTCTCTCCTTCCAGCCCTCCTTTTCGTCTCCCATCCACATCTTTTGCAGTACGCTCCGTTTATCTGGCTGCTGCGGTTCCTCCAACTGGCTCCCGGTCTCAGAGCGTACCAGCGTTGCCGGCATAGCCACGGCACCTCTGGACGCCGTAGCCTGCAACCTGTCCTGCTCCGCTTTGTTCGTACGGCCGCTCTCTCTCTGCTCTCTCAGCAACCTCTGAATCTCTCGAGCTTTTTCCGTCGGCAAGCCGTCCGAGGCCTGTGTACTAAACACTATTGGCGCGAGATGCTGGAACATCGACCGACCCGTGTACTCCTGAATCTGATGGTCCAAGCTGGCGGACCATACTGACGAAAGGCCAAGTGTGAACACGTTGAGTTTTCGAGGCGGGGCGAGGAGAAGGACCGGGCATACGATGATGAGCGCCTTCGCGAGCCCGGATTTGACGGATTCAAATTGTTGTTGCCGGAGCTGAGCGAGCTCTTGCTCGGTGGTGGTGGTGGTGTCTTTAGTAGCCATGCTGGATGAGCGGAGGGGACTTGGAGGTAATCAAACCCTGCGTCTTGAGGTGGTAGGAATGGGCTACGGTCGGGAAAGCGTTCTAGTTGGCATTTTATGAGACAAGCCTTACGGGTCCGTCTTCAGGCGCGAGGAAATAGACGTAGGACGCTGCGAATCTCGTTGATTCAAGTCCCTCAATATCGCGATGTCTAGAAATTTTGGCAGTTGACCAATCATATCGCCCTCACACTTTCAGCCTAATCACGTGCACGGGTTGGTGATTGTCAAATTTACGCCTCATTGCCTTAAATTCATATCCTGCAATTGCACTGTTGCTTATGACGCATCGTCTTGTGACTTCGCGACAATCTCGCACCTTTGCCGTTTGAGGAGCGCGATCATTGAGGCGAAGTGGAAGTGAATCGCTTTATACCCGTTCATTCACATGTCCTTCGCTATTTTACTACACCAGGGTATTTAAGTCTCCAGGCGTACGGGACTTTTCAATTCGCCTTCGTACTTCCGCCACTTTGCCCTCTGGTGTCGAGGAATATCTACTCGGTCAGAACAAGCAGCGGAAGCATGGAAGGTCCCCAAGGAGCCCCGAGCGATAATGCTTATGAGAGAGCGACGGATACCCGGGCAGAAAGTGTCATGGCAGAGGATTCAGAGGCACACACTGCGCCTAAGGAGCCTGAAATGAATGACGAGGAACAACTAGGATTCCTTGCTGCAGCTCGCAACCAAGATGATCTGGTGCGCGACATAGGGAGACAAGCCGATGAGATTCTCACCAAGCAATCGGATGAACGCGATAATAAGCGAATCGAGAAAACCGAGACCAACCGCCGACGGTGCGAGTCTCAATTGAAGCTACTACGACAACGCCTCAGCCTGCCGATTGGCGCCTCCGCCAGAGCCAAAGCCCGCGTAGATATTACTCAGCTTGAGGAGCAGCTCAAGAGTCTTGACGAAGAGCTAGAACAGATAGCTCAGCGAATCGAAGAGAGGCACAAGGAACAATATGGCGGGACTGAAGGGGACACACAACTGCCGCTCTCCAATGAGAGTCGGCGAGATTTTCTCATACGTACGGGGAAGATCACTCCTTTTTCGAAAATGGCGCAAGTCCCTCGAATGTCTTCCAACTTGCAGGACGTCATGTTGGATGCAGAGGTAGAGCAGGCTGATTTGGAGAAGGAGAAGGCTGCGGTGGATACCGACGGGCCTGTATCACATCAGCATCTTATGCGTCCAGGTTTTTTCGAAGACGAGACCAGCGAAGCCAGCTCGGCCTTGGATACGCCAGAACGTCCTTCGAAAAGGCGGAGAGTCCAAACGCACCGCGAAGCTATCGGAGACGAATCCGCGTCGTTTACGGATGAAGTCGAGGTGTCGGAAGACGAGTATTCGCCGGGGATGGATGATAAGGGTCTGGCTACTCTTGGAGAGTCTGAGGAGAGTGAGGAGGAAGTTGATGGCGAAGATGAAGACTTTGTTCTGGATACTCCCGCTCCTAAGCGAATTCGAAAGTCGACAGCACAATCGTTAAAAGCTAAACAAGATGTTGAGGAAGAGGAAGGGGATCTAGCGGGCCTTGATGATGGTAACGAGAGCCTATACCAATCTCGATTGAGTAGTTGGGTTAAGAGGCGGAGCGCGGCAAGGCGGAAAGCTCGTGCTGGAGCGGCCGAAGCAGACACAGCAATGGAAGACAGCACAGACATGGAAGAATGGTACCAACCGCATCCCACTCGTGCCGATGCCCGATTCGATGGCGGGTTCCGTATTCCCGGAGATATCTACCCATCATTATTCGACTACCAGAAGACTGGAGTGCAATGGCTTTGGGAGCTCTATTCCCAACAGGTTGGCGGTATCGTCGGGGACGAGATGGGCCTGGGGAAAACGATCCAAACCATATCGTTTCTAGCTGGTCTTCATTATTCGAAGAAATTGACGAAGCCAATCGTGGTAGTCACGCCAGCTACCGTGATGAAGCAGTGGGTCAATGAGTTCCATCGCTGGTGGCCACCGTTCCGTGTGTCTATCTTGCACACCTCCGGAAGTGGAATGATGGATGTCAAAAGGGAGCGGGAGCTTGAGGATGACCTTGAGCGACAGCCTTTTTCGTCAAACAGACGTCTCACTGGACCTCAAAAAGCCGCTAAGAAGATCGTTGATCGAGTGGTAAAAGAGGGCCACGTGCTTGTCACGACATATTCAGGGTTGCAGACGTATGCCGGGCTTCTTATACCTGTGGACTGGGAATACGCCGTTCTTGACGAAGGTCATAAAATCCGAAACCCAAACGCACAGATTACGATTTTCTGCAAAGAACTGGTTACTCCGAACCGAATCATTTTGTCCGGCACACCCATGCAGAACAACCTCACGGAGCTATGGTCGTTGTTCGACTTTGTCTTCCCAATGCGCTTGGGCACATTGGTAAACTTCAGAAATCAGTTCGAGTTTCCGATCAAGCAGGGAGGTTACGCGAATGCGTCGAACCTGCAAGTCGAGACGGCGATTAGATGCGCTGAAACCTTGAAGGAGACCATTAGTCCGTATCTTCTGCAACGGTTCAAAATTGATGTTGCCGCAGACCTTCCGAAGAAGACTGAACGCGTGCTCTTCTGCAAACTCACGATGCTGCAAAGGAACGCATACGAGGAGTTCCTCGGTTCGGAAGAGATGAAGTCAATCTTGGCTGGCAGACGCCAGTCGCTCTACGGCATCGATATCTTGAGGAAGATCTGCAATCACCCAGACCTTGTGGACCACAAGCGGCTTTCTATCAAATCGGACTACAACTATGGCATTGGTTCGAAGTCAGGCAAGATGCAAGTGGTCAAATCTCTTGTCGATATCTGGCGACGGAACGGTCACAAAACATTGCTCTTCGCGCAGCACCGCATCATGCTCGATATTCTTGAGAAGTTCATGAAGAAGATGGAAGGTCTTCGATACGTGCGTATGGACGGTAATACATCCATCAAGGACCGCCAGTCCCTCGTGGATGAATTTAATCGCGACCCTGACTTGCATGTATTCCTGCTCACGACGAAAGTCGGTGGGTTAGGGGTAAACCTTGTGGGAGCCGATCGCGTGATCATTTATGACCCCGACTGGAATCCTTCGACGGATGTTCAAGCCCGAGAACGAGCATGGCGCCTCGGTCAGAAACGAGAGGTTGAAATATACCGACTCATGACCGCTGGGACCATCGAAGAGAAAATCTACCACCGTCAGATCTTCAAGCAGTTTCTGACAAATAAGATCCTAAAAGACCCGAAGCAACAACGAACGTTCCATTTCAGCGATTTGCACGACCTATTCACCCTTGGCGGTGAGGATGAGAGTCAGACCGAGACGAGCTCTCTCTTCCGAGGAAGCGAAGTCAAGCTGCGTTCTAGTGATCCGAAGCAGACTGGAGCTGGGATGCCTACTCCACCAACAGAGTTCGAGTCCGGGAAAGCTACCACCACGGCGACAACAACCGACGACCTCGCCAACGTCAAAGGCATAGCTCATCAAGAAGATTTCCAAACCGAAGAACCCACCCCAACCACCCTAGGAGCCAAGCCCGAAGAACCCTCTACAGCCCAAGCAGACCCTCTCATGACTGCTCTTTTCCCCCGATCTCATCTCCACTCCACCGTCTCCCACGACGCCGTCCTCGCCTCAAACACCCCTTACCGCTCCCGCAAAGTCGCCCCGGACCCCCATATCATCGCCGCCGAAGCCAAGCGCATCGCCGCCTCCGCCGCCGTCCAGCTCCAGCGTGCCGGCGAGGTGGCCCGCACCGTGACGCCCGGCACTGTCACTTGGACGGGACAGTTCGGCACCGCAGGCCGGCCGGAAGAGCGCGCGCAGACGCGCAGCCCGGTGCCCGTGCCGCGGACGGGCGTGGGGATGCGTGGACGGGGGAGAGGGCAGGCGCCGATGAGCGGGGCGGCGCTGCTGGCGTTGCATAATGTGAGTCGGTCGGGGACGTCGACGCCGGTGGGAAATCGGAGCGGAGGGGGCGAGGGGGGGTCGCGAGGGGGGAGTGAACAGCCGGGCGGGACGGATCTGCTGGGGATGATTCAGGGGTTTTTGAAGGCGCATGGCGGGGCGGCGTATAGTCAGATGTTGGTGGATCACTTTAATCGGTTTTGTCGGACGGAGGAGAAGACGGCGGAGTTTAAGGAGTTGTTGCGGGAGATTGCGACGTTGGAACGGGGAGCGAGGGGGGGTAGAGGGAAATGGGTGTTGAAGGAGGAGTGGAGGTAGTAGTTCGTAGGAGATCAGGTTCAGGTTCGACCGACGTCCTTGTAACCTTTTTCAATGAGAGGCCGACAAGCAACCTCACGACGCATAAGACATACGACTGAATGATATCAAGAAGAATTATGGCATTAACTATCTCCTACCAAGGCCACCCTCAAAGGCGACCTTGGCATAGATTATTATCGCTCCAGTGCTCGACAGCAAACTCAATAAATTTCGCAGACCAGACTCTCCACAACCAGTGCTCGCAATGAAAGAACGGCTCCAACGCCGCGAATGACTAGCCCATAACCCTGATCGCTTTCCTGCCTGTCTTGTGGTCGTGTAATGAGCGTGATATAATATGCACAATGAAATGTTCATAAGATGGCGCTACTTTCCCGTAAATGAAACGCACCAAATGACGCCCCGAATGCAAAAGTGAGGGTCCAACGCAGGATGATCCCTTCCACCTCCTTACCATCTCATCCAACCACTTAGAAGATGCCGAAACGGCCGGTAGCGAAGAAGGTGAACGACAACATGGTGACGAACGCCACCGTAAGCATCGTGGTAAGAGTTTGTCGTTCCATGGCCGTGAGCGCACCGGAATTCAAGCAGGTTGCGCATTGGAACTCTGTGCAGATAGAAACGTCAGCGGACACCCGATTGTCAACCGAAGCGAAACGACTTACCATCCAAGTCTTTGTAATCCTGCTTTTGATACATCCCAAAGGTGAAAGAGCTGAACAGTCCCAAATACCCGGGTTTCGGGATCGCGGTAATCGCACTCGCCGCATCGTAGATGATCAGAGTGTACTTCTCGGTGATCAGCTCCTGCGTCCCCGTGTTCTCATACTGCTTCGTGTCCCAGACCACCTCGCCGGTGGGCCCCGTGGTCATATTGGACGTCAGCGTGTAGGTCGCCTGGTTCAGCGAACACGACGCCAGCACATCGATGGCGGTCGGGGTGGCCGAGAGCGACGTGTAGTTCCACTTGAAGGTCACGTATTCGCCGATTTTGTAGTATTGCTGCCCGTCGAAGCGTCCAGGCTTCACCATTTCGATGCCGCCGGCTGGCAGACGGGGGTCGTATTCGGTGGTTTGGCTGGCGTCTGAATCAGTTTTGCTGGCGCTCCCGCTATCGCTGGCAGAGCCGGATGGGCGAGAGCTGCCGGATGGGGAGCTAGTAATTGAGGCAGTCTTGGAGTCCGGGGCGGATTTCGAGGCCGCTGCGGATCCAGATGCCGATGGCGATGTTGTTTCTTGGGCATCTGAGGCCGACCGGGTTTGTGAGGTGCCTAAGAGGAGATGGATGTCAGTGAGATGTTTCAAGGAATTCAAAGAGATTTTCATCTCGTCCGATAATAGTAATGGAACATACTCTCATCTTGTCTCCCGTATATTAGATTCTCCACCCCCCTCTTGACATGCGCCTCGATCGCTTTGTTTGGCCACGGCCATGCCGACGCTATTGATGACACCGACACCAGGGCCACAAGAAGTTGTGTTGTCCTCATTTTGAGGTTTTGATGTCGTCACTGTCCCAAACCACCGTGTCTCAAGTATCTGTCGATACGCGCCCCTGTTTTCCCCAAAGTAACGTCGTCGATGTCTCTGAGAATAGATTCCAAAAGGGTCGGGTTCGGATTCGGATGCGTATTATCGTCGACTCCAAGGGTGATGGAACGAGTCGAGTCCGCCTGAATGAAGAAGTACGTGGAAGCGAACCTGTCAAGACTTCACGGTGATGGTCGCACACCCGAGCGAGTGAGGGTGTTCCCAACGAATGAATAGTCGAATATAAGGCTCTGAGCGAGAGTAAAGGGGTCGAACGTGAGATGAAATGGAAAAATTGGACGGTATGGGGGCATCAATAGTGATGTTGGGACAAGGAGGCAAAACTTGGGCATCCGGCATCGTCTTCGACAACGAGCCAACTTGTTTAGGGTTAGTTCTCGGGCGAGCCCCCTGCTGAGTGAGATGTGGGCGTTGGGGCAATGGTCCGCGTAGCAACAGCCCGTGCTATTTTCGGGTTCACTGTCTTGCGGACTTGTCATTCTTTCATACACCAATGAAACCGCTGTGGCACGCTATGGGTAACCCGAATGATTTGATTTATTACTACATATGAAGGACTGCATTATAGATATGAAGGACTAGCTGTATAGCCCTCTTCACTGAATAGCATCAGACGTGTGTTGATTTCATCAACAGTGATAAGTATTTAAGGTTGATTGGCACGTGACAAGAGTTTGAGTTAGTCAAATTTATAGCCTGAGGCATCAAGTTTAAATTAAAAAGGGTTGTGGCCTGGGGCATCAACACTCACATTTCGGTAGTGGTCCAAGCTCCCACGCACCACAAAATCTCTATTTTCTTCGCCAAATCTTCCACCGCACATCTCCAGCTTCTTCATTCCACAACCCGGAGTTCCCTTCCATACCGACAAGATGGCTCCTCAGAAGACGACGTATGTACCACCTATATCCTAGATCTACTGATGCCCGAAGAAAGAATGCAGAATGGTTCGCGGCTATTACTCGCTGGATGACTGCCTCGCAGTCCCAGCTCGATCACGTCTTGCAATGAGCGCCATCGGCAGTCACTCGATTGCTAATGGATGTCTCGGAGCGAGGTTTTGGGGTTGAAGGTCTTCTTCTCTCTTAAATTTGTCTGCTACGTGCTTCCGCACTGCTAGCAAAGTTCTCGAATGAAAATTCGAGGTTTTGTCGTTTGAGGCCAGGATGAGAGAACATAGTCCCTGGCGTAACAGCTAGAACGACAACTCCATCCCTCATCGACTAAAGTCGTTCTGTCGAGTCTATCCTCCAGTTGAGAATGCCGCATCGCTGCACTTCTCTTCTAAGAGCTCTCATATTTGGTAAAACGCAACCATTTCTGACATTTCATCGGGTAACAGGTCCGTCCCTACCAAGGACCAGATTCTGGTGCCTGAGACTCTCCTGAAGAAGCGCAAGAGCCAGGAGAAGGAGCGCGAAACTCGTGCCGCCGAGTTGCAGAAGAAGCGTGATGTAAGTTCTTATTCTCTGTTTTAACCATGCACTTTGGTGATGATAAATACGCAATCTGCGACTAGACTACGGTCGATGTTGTCGCTTTGTTAACCATCTTTCGGGACTGATCTTATTTTGCCTCTACATTTTCTTCATGCGAATCAATGAGCGGTTGGCTGACAACCGATCTCTAGGCCAACAAGGAGAAGCGCAAGACCATCTTCAAGCGTGCCGAGTCATACATCAAGGAATACCGGGACGCAGAGCGGGAGAAGATCAGACTCTCCCGTCTTGCAAAGCAAGAGGGCTCCTACTATGTCCCTGAAGAGCACAAGCTCGTCTTCGTCGTTCGTATCAAGGGGTATGTCATCATCAATCTTCGCTTATTGAACACCATCTAACCTGCATCCAGTATCAACAAGATTGACCCCAAGAAGCGAAAGACCCTCCAACTCCTCCGTCTCCTCCAGATCAACAACGGCATCTTCGTCCGTCTCACCAAGGCCACTCTTGAGATGTTGAAGATCGTCGAGCCCTTCGTCGCCTACGGCTACCCCAACCTCAAGTCCGTCCGTGAGCTGATCTACAAGCGCGGATATGGCAAGATCAACAAGCAGCGCATCCCGCTCACCGACAACGCCCTCATCGAGGAGCACGTCGGCAAGTACGGCATTGTGTGCATGGAGGATCTGATCCACGAGATCTACACCGTCGGCCCCAACTTCAAGCAGGCCTCCAACTTCCTCTGGCCGTTCAAGCTCTCCAACCCTACCGGAGGGTTCCGCACCAGGAAATTCAAGCACTTCATTGAGGGTGGTGACTTGGGTAACCGGGAGGAGCACATCAACGCCCTGATCAGGCAGATGAACTAGGCGTGTGAAGTGACGGTACGGATGTGACTTCCTTGCAACGATATCATGGGAAGCTCTGGAGCATAGGCGTGTCCCTTTGGCCGGGAAAATGGAACATCTTTATATGGTGTTAGGTTTAATGGCTCAATGAAAAGTCCAAAATCACGCTATGTGCCTCTGTACCTATCTCAACAGCGGCCTGATCAAGATCCACTATCTCGTTGAGTGTGAACTCACTGTGACGCTCGGTAAACACAGGCTAACCCACCATCCAAAATCGAATCAATGAGACCTATCTGTCATCCACTCCAGCCACCCATCCCACAGGCTACAACTAACCACACTTGTGGTTGTCGTGGAAGACGTGATCCGAACTAAACGGAACTCTTTCCCTACTTTTCGTTTTAGGGTTTGGGCGACCTAGTGCGCAAGAAATGGACCGTCCCTCACTTTCGACGTCCTCCATCCGACGTGAAAGCCGACTCGTAATTACCGAGTTACCTCTATAAGGGGTATCAGACGGTATTTCCAATCTCCTAATAGTAATGTAAGGCGAAAAGAAGGTATCGGTTGAGAGTTTGGACGCCCTGAAGTCATACGCCCCGAATCCCGATCCTCGACATCGCTAACCTTTCACTGCTCTACCATGTTACCCCGAGTGGTTATATGACGCTTCGCCCCTCGCACGATGTCTCGCTTTCATGACAAGGACGAATTCATGCCCGTCTATCAGCTCTCTCAAGGGCCATTCCCTCGATTCCCGCACCCATGGACCACCAGCTGGGTGATCCAGCACACCGTCATTCCTCCCACCGTCCACCGACAGGCGAAGGCGTGCCCGGCCGGTTGACCGTTGACAGTGTCTCGTGCGTATGATGAGTTGTGGTTGGGGATACACTCCTGTCGCTGTCGCTCGCTACTGAGTCGAACGGGTCGACCTACCATGGTCAGTTGGTTCGCTGGCGCACAGGGCATCCGATTCGGATGGCCGTGTTTTATATGCTTCGACTTACCCGCCTTCATGGACTTCCCCATCAGCCGTGGCGCGTGCTCGCTCCACATCCCGTAGTTCTCGGAGAACAGCTTCGAGGCCTCTTCGAGCATCTCCTCGGTGATTTGATCGCCATTGTATCTCTGGGAGAGCAGTTCCTTCATGTTTATCTAGATTGATTTACTTCTATAGCTGTCCTTGCATCAAGAAATAATTGGCAAGAGATATCTCCGAACTTTTTCGTAAAACAACGGGATTGACTCGGAATATATGGCAGTAGGTGAAATTGATGACAGTTCGCTCTTGGTGTACCCCAGCCTACAGAACCAGAGTATTGTATTGACCTATCATGCCTATCTGAAAGTAGTCTTTCGGCAAATCTGAAATGCGGTAATTGGTGATTCGGAGTTTTCGACCCTGAAGATATGGTTCGAAATATTATGAATCATCGGATAGACATCTGATGGAGCCTGGCCAGCCTCCCAATCTGATATATTCATAAGCCTTATGGCCATGGAGCCTTACATCATACCCACCAAAATTCATGAGCACAACTGAACATTCGAACTCAACTGAAGGTTCTGTTGTTGTTCTGCAAGAACCAGCCATGATCCAAAAAACATTCCCTCAGATTTGATAATCGCTCCTAGAAACAATATAGGCGGCATAGGGTATCGCTGCCCAATTCGCGGCAGACAATCTGACTGCAGAGATATTTCGAGCTGCCTAATAAGACAGCTAACGATAGTTCTTACACACCCAACCAACCAACCGATGGATCTAGCTCCAGTAGCTGGGCTCCTCGTTTAGCAGCTGCCTGGCATGGGACGTTCTAAATCGGTCTCGCAGTTCGTGTTGAGGATGATGACACTTGACGCCTCTCGGCGGTACTGTCCGTAAACGAGGAGGAGCATGCGTGGCGCGGAGCATGATCACGATCAGTCAGACGAACTGCGACTCTGCGAGTGTCCGGATGGACGACATCAAGTCACAATGATGATCAGAGAACGGCCTGGATCGCACGCTGGCGTAGATTCTGACATCAGGTCCATCATGATTCATTAGAGCTAAGTCCAAGTACGTACCTCTACTAGTTTATACGTGCTTTGACCTTTGTAGTCGATTCAACACTTGCCGGGCTGCTAATTGCCGTGATGTACCTACTCGGTTACTGGCACCTGCTCACGGGCGAACCCGCAAGCCTGAAGCCATTGAAGCCCAACCCCTAACCCGAAGGAGATTCAAATCCAGAGACTCTGAAGAGTCTGAACCCAAAGTTTGCGTCTGCCGAACCCTACTTCGTTTTCTCCGATATAGGCTCCTTGGAAATGGTGACATCCATTTGCAAAAGCCGCGGTTGGCGCCACCCGCGTGGGCGAGCCTAGAAAACGCGTTATACAAAAACTAGAATGAAGTCCCCCTCCCGCCCGGTGGTAGCCGACCCAACAGACCAATGACCACGATGGTCGCACCCACGCATCCGCCGCCGAAAACGAGATAGCTGCGCTGCATGGACGAACAAGTTGCAGTGAAGCGTGAACCCTTTACCTCGGGGCAAACCATGGCGTGGGTAATTGGAGATGGTGTCGAAGTGTCTTGCATTGGCGGGAGGCGATCCGGCCCCATGATACGATGAGCTGCAACGGTCGGCGACAAACTTGAACGAAACTAACGCTGCAACCGGATGAAGGGTTTTTGCGTGGACCATGTCGGTCGCGCTGCCCATCTGCTGTGAGTACAGACGACGGTTCCTGACGTGGACATGGTTGGGCACGAGGTGGATGAGACGGCTGTTGGGTGCCGGTTATGTTGCATCTCGTCTGGACGACGAAGGACCATATTAGTTACTCTTGTCGAAAATCGGAGTCAGAGATTGTGAAAGGTATGCCAAATGCTAATATGCCATTACATCCCATGATCCCTCAATCCGTTCCGCGGCTCAAATCATATTAAGGGCCCCCCGATATTGAAGTCGATCGGAATTCCCACGCCTTCGACACATGAACAACCCTCCACAGAAATGCGGAGGACGCGGGGACAGATGCTCAATAGTGGAGATAATATAGGTGCAATAACCCTCCACGCGATGCCCCTGTGCGGCCAAAACGTGTGACCATTTTTGTATATGGCGCCTGCGAGCCCAATATGAATCTGGAAGCTGAAATCGCTGCTCGGTGCCCTAAGTCGTTTGATGAATCCATTTGGGCCGCCTGACTTGCGCACGTTTAGATGGCGAAACATGTATTATTCCGTACCGAAACCTGATACATATCATCAAGGTCTGACGGAGGGGGGTAGGGAGATCCCATCGCCACCGACCAGGAAAGATCTGGCTGTGAGAAGTGCAGGAGAAAAAAGCCATCGAATGTATGACGACAGTCCTCGAACCTGCAGTATTACCTACTCCGTCTGAGTCGACTTGATTCCCGTCACAGAATATTGACAAAAGATCCTTGAACTGTAGGCTGCAGGCAAATATTCCAGACGACGGTCGAAATTTCAGGAGGATGGGCTAGGCAACGCGTATGGTGTCCATCGATCATGGTCCATGGATTGACATCTGCCTGTCCCATCAAATATGTTAAACTTGGCTCCACCGCCCTGCTATGAAGGACCACGATCACCGCCCTGTAGAGTGAGTGAGTCGTAATCATCTCCTGGTGCATCGACCTTTGATTCGAGCTTTCATTATTATCCGTCGAATATTCTGGATCATCGACAGTGGCTAAAGAACGTGATAGAGTCGGCAACCTGGCAAACCCCATGCCACTTTCACCAGTCACCAGTGCATAAATCCACTGCGTCCAATCGAGCGAATGGGATATCTCCCGACTCTCCACACATCGACAATACTGACTCTCCTGTAGGCTGTAGGCAGATGAATTTCCTCGCCGGAACCGACCCACGGAGGAATGCGGAGGGGGTCTCGCACGGGCAAGTTCGTATTGTCCGGTATCATTGGGCAGGTGATGAGAACGGTGGCTTTTTTCCCTCCTCGTCGCGGTTCGCACTTGCATTTTGATTTGGGAATCAAGCCATTTGAGTTTCGCTGCTTGCCAGACCTGCTGCCACCACAGAACCGCCGAGAAATGAGGGAGGGGGGATGCAAGTAGGATGCGAGGATGGGAGTCCGATGGCGGCTTTGTCAGAGGTGCAGACTGGATCCATCGGTGACAATATGATGATCATGGACCAATCAGGAGGGGAGGGAGCACGGTCATTCCTCCATTGGGACTCGAGCTAGGCCGGATACGAGTTGAATGTTACCTGGCATTTCAGGTGAAATGCAGGGGAGAGCGTAGGCAATAAGGCAACTCCCCCGGGATACGGAGAAACGTGCAATTTTACCAAGTTAATTACAGCCGTTTGGCAACCAAGACCCTGTCCTCGCATGTGCTTGCCGATTGCTTTTACTTCTTATTAGTTATTTTTGTTAACAGGATTTTCCGTGAGGCACAGTACGGAGTAGGGTTGTAGTTGGATCAGTTGGCTTTGTCTGACAACCGACAGGGAATGGAAGACCAGAAGGCCTTTTCAAAGCTTCCGGGTGGTGTGTTTGTTTGATTGGGATAAGATTATGTGAACAGGATCATGAATGATGATTGATGAAAGGGATTCATCCGGATGCACTTCAGTGGTCCATCAGGACTTCAGGAGGCCTTTACTCTTAGCAATTTGCACAGGGTCCAAATTTGGCTGGTGCATGCCCATCATACGGTTTGGCTGGTCACTGGTTGTGTGGATGCTCGATGGGGTGTTAGGGTTGTCACTTGTCAGTTGTACCGTGCGGGCGTCGGCGGTCGGATGAGTGGCCCAGTGGTGTGTTCATGTTGTTTGGTGTGTGTGATGCGTGCGCCTGTGTGTGCTGCTGCAACTTGCGAGCCTTAACCCAGGCCTTTGATGCCCTCATGCCCATTATTGCCCCCATCCGCTCCGCTTCTGGAGACACGGGCTAATACTATTATTATGTTGAATCGCGGGTGGATTATTCAATGGAATTACTGAAGGACTGAATGCGGAAATGGTCGAATAAGCCGGCAAAGGACTCATGAGTGCTCATTATTCAATTCGCCCATCCATCTTTTTCACTCCAACCAAATTTCACTTCATCGCTTTTTCTTTGAATTTTTCCATCTTGCCCCATTCGATCAATCTTCAGCTCCTTTTCACCCCCTCCACCTCTCATTCCCGTATTCACTTAGGCCTGACACAGTCACACAACCACGACTCACCATCACCAAGACACCAACAGCCCACGCAACCGGCCAATTCTTCCCTTGCGGCACGATCCTTCCTATGGGAGATCCGTGGACACCTGGACGGGCAGAACCACCCTAAAGTGACTAGTGTTTAGCGCAGTCTGACCACTGACGAACAGGCGCTCCGTGGCCCCCGATCCCGTTCCAATCCGCCGCCCGCTCTGGTTGCTGAAAAAAGGTGCAAACTCAGCCTGCCGGTTTTTCCTCTCCCTCCGCACAGTCCACAGCCCACAGTCCACACACACACCCACACACACACACACACACACACACCATAGTCCACTCCTGGCTCTCTGTTCTCTCTCACACAGACAGACTCCCCTTCTCCCTCCTTTCCGTCATCATCGCCGCCTACCTCGCTCCTCCTTCCACTCTTTACTGAAATCCTACGTGGCTGCTATTCTTGTATCCGCTACTGTCCGGTGCAAGTCTGAAACCTCCCACAAGAGTGGTCGCAAGGTCCAGTTTGTGTGCGATTGCCTGGAGCTCTGTGGCATTCCTAGAGCGGACTCCGACGACACGAACCTGACGACTTTTCTACACGAAACCCCATTGCATTTCATTCCCCTCGCATCGCTCTTCGAACAAAAGTCTTCCTTGGGATATCATCATTCTTCGGCGGTTTTCCCTCTGGCATTCTTTCGGGAAGAGTTGGTCACGGCATATCCCTTTGGCATATCCTCCAAGTCGCCTCACATCAGTTCTCGAACATACTCAACCGACTTGATTCCTCACTTGAACCATCGAGAGGATTCTTGGGTCTATTGACGACCTATTGATTTAGCGTCGTCCGACTGTGGTATTACCTCAATATCTTCGTTCGAGTTGCCCTCGCACTTTGAACCGCACAACCAACCACCAGCCATATTCCTCTACCGTCTCGACACTTCGACATCATCCTCAACGCGGCATCTTGAGTCGTGCGACCGAATCGAGCAATATTTTCATCAACACAAATGTCGTCTTAATCGACCCGACGCTGGGAATCAACCGTTTACCGGTAAAACACCGGTCGTCGACTGTCTCACCTACCTTTTCTTTCCTTCAATTCATCCTACCACTATTGAACAAACATCCGACATTGGACATTGCATGAAGAGCCTTACCTAAAAGAGTTTTCGTTGTTCGCTTTCGAGCTTTCGCTCCCTCCCTCCTTGTTGGTGGAAAGCAAAGGACCGGTACGTCATAACAATGGCTTTCTTCGGCCAATACTCCAATTCAAAATTCTCGGTACTGATATTCTTTTCGCAGCGTGTGCCTCCACACCCGTTTCTTGCTTTCTCCGCAAATCCGTGTCGACCATGCCGGCTTTCTATCCTCGTTCACTGCCTCGAGGCCATCTGCCTCTGACGCCTCCAGAGTACGTACCGAGCTACTCTGCTAATCCCTCTGTCATGCAGTATCCTCAGAGCTGCTACCCGAACCATCCAAACGTTGGGCGTCATGAGGAGGCCGGCTACGACTACTCTGCTCGCTGCGATCAATCTCAAGTTCCCGCAGCGGCGCATCAGCCGATGGTTTATCACCCTAACGTTCCGGCCTATCCTCATCCCCATGTGGGCCTCGCACCCGTCAATCACTACTATGATCCAGTAAATGGATCCACACTCCCTCCGATGCGACCCTACGAACAATCACAGGCGATCAGCGATCCATCACGAAATCGCCAGGTCGCAGACCGTGGCCAGTCTCAGAATCATGCTCGTCATAATGCCCAGGATGAGAAGGCCACCGGAGGAGTGTCGGCAAAGCTCGACTATGACATGGAGATGATGACAGACTTTGTGGCCGAAATGGCACAGGGAATGTATGCATTCTTATCATCCGCCATTTGCCTGGCCGATATTGACATTGGATCCAGCATTCAACGACCCGGACAGCTCATCGCACCGACCTATCGCAAATGGGTGAATTCCGTCCTCACCGCGACCCGACTCCCGAAGGCGACCATCTTGCTCAGCTTGCACTACCTGTCCATCCGGATGCAAATCATCTCGTCTCGCACCCCCCAGCGCCGCCAGGACGACCGTGGCGATGTTCTTGAGATGCTGACCACTGCACTGATCTTGGGTAGCAAGTTTGCGGACGACAACACTTTCATCAACCGTTCCTGGTCCGAAGTGAGCAGCATCAATGTGAAAACCTTGAATCGGCTCGAACGCGAGTGGCTCGGCGACATGGTCTACACCCTCCACCGCGATCCCGCGGAACCGAACGGCTTCAACAACTGGCTGGCGCACTGGGAGGAATACGAGTTCCAATCGGTCGCCCGCTCGTCTCGCAACAAGCAAACTCACCTGACCGTCGAAACCAATGGACTACTTACACCGCGTTCTCATCACGATGGCGTCGATCCAACTCTTACACCACTTTCTGCGCACCCGCACTCGACCACGTATCCAGCTCCGTCCCAACAAGCCCCTGCCAGCTACTCCAACCCCGCACCTCCACCGTACTCCCAGTACGACCCATGGGCCAACTCACGCACCGATTCGTCCCCCATATCGGCGCCTCACACCGGGCCAAACACCCCCGAGTACTACGGCACACCCGGCGTCTGGACCCCTACGGAAGGCTACTCTCGACGCACGATGTTCGGCTTCCCTCCTCAGGGCCCTCCGCCTCAATCGCAAGGACGCCTCGCGTCGACCCCTGCACCCGCCCCGGGTATGTATGGGATGGCGCCGTCCGCGGCTCCATATACCCCGCAAGCCTACGGCGCGCCGCATTATCCGCATCATGCCTATGGAGTGTGGACCGGCAATGGAACTGTCAGTGGAGCGTATTGGCGCGAGCAATATGCGCCGACTCAGCAGCCTCCGTATATGATGGGGTATGTGCCGCAGACCGTGGTAGGCTAGATACCTGCATCTTTCGAACGGGCCACTACACTTGCCGCCGCGGCTCACATCGTCGATAAATTCCCTACAACGGACCATCAATCATTGTTTGCACTTTTGATACCCCACGAACCTTTTTCCCTATTTGGTTTCCTTCACTTCCACTAGTGTGCAGCTTCCAACCGTTGCGTCCGACCCGATCTAAACTTTGGAACGATTTGGCTGCGGATCGATGATGCCAATTTCCGCATCGCGCTCGACCGCGTGGGAGTCGTGGCAGATCATTCATGACCGATGTTTAATACACGAGGCGGCGGACTCCCTTCAAAAGCAGAGTGGCTACCGCGTGTTTCCAATCATCTTTGCTTTATTTTGCTTTGGCGATTTCGCCATTCCTGTTTAGCTACTGTGCTCATTTGTTCTGCTTGCGTTCTATTGCTTTGCTTTGCGTTGATTTTCGTGCGTGTGATGTTCCCATAACATTCCATTCACTTGCCGCTGCGTTTTCATGTCCTCCCCCCCGGCCCCTAAATGCTGGTGTTCAAAATGTTCCATGACATGACATGAGCGAAGGAGTTGCTCCTTGAATTTGTTTCCATTTTTGACTTCGCGCAGCATTGCATCGCATACCGCCACTAGACTTTTGCAGTGTACTGCTTTACGATCTGATTACTTCAAACGACCTCCGAGTGTCTCGGCTGATTGGTTGGACACTGAGATGATGGGCGGGACGTTAGCTGGCCGGACTGAAGCCGATCAATTTCACGTCTCGCACCGCTCTCTCAGGCGGCCGTCAGTTCGCTGACCAGTGGAAGAATCTCTGTTTCATGACGGGCATGATCGTTTTCCGCTTCTTGCCGCATACTTCAAACACGCTCACAGGGATCGGCGGCTTTCACGTCCCTTTCCTTCTCTCACGATTCACCTGATTGTAATCGTCGCGTTACGCTTTTCCCTTGATTACTCCCGATGCCACGGCAGGGGTGTGCTGGAGCGCACACCAATAGATTTGTCTGGGTTATGGTTTTCCGGGTTTTCCTCTTTTTTCTTTTATCACACATCATCCGGGTTGGGGTAAACCCAACTCGCGACGGGAGGGGTTTTTTTCACGGAGGCATTTCTACGACCCCGGTAATAGGCGCTTTGGGAGGTGCTGGCCTCATTCGCTAGAGTTGCGCAAAAAGGATCTGGGGGTTTCATGGTGTTGTACGTCGTTCAGGCGGGTGGCGATGGGGGTGGAGGTAATGGATCAAGGTTCGTTCCTTGGATGGGAGACGATACGCGGGGAAAAGTTTCTACCTGCCAATATTGAAAGGCATGCTTCGTCGCTCCTTCCCATCCAAGAACCTCCATCACTCTCCTATCACCCAACAAACACCCCAAAGACACGTGACTTACATCAACGATCGTTTCATCAACGCATTCAGCATCCATCATCGGCCGGGCGATTCCCAAAAATTCATGTTTCCTTTCCTGTTTATGCACACAAACACAACAAACCCATGTAAATACTGATACATACATACGATTATCCAAACAAACACGATCAGAGGAGTCCAGCATCAAGTCGGCTGCGGCGTCCGAAACGCAAAACCGAGCGAGCAAGCGATTTTTCTCATGACTTTCGTTGAATCCGACCGGATTGTCGCGTCGGACCGGACAGTGCACATGGTTGTTAGGTGGGGATGACGGAAATATGAATATCTTCGCTTGCACAACATGACATGGCTAGACCGTAGGTGAAATCGTGACGAAAACAATAAACATATTGATTGTAGATGGCATTCTATATGACTGGTGATACCAGGGCACCGAGTTCCATTATTAATAGCCCAAGATTGAAGATTCCCTTTATACACTGAATCTACCGATATCACAAAATCGACAGATCCTCCTTACTCCCCTCGTCGAACCATTCTCCTTCCCACCACTCCCCTTCCCCCTCATTTCCGCCTCCACCTCATCCCCTCCCTTTCCCCCCTTATCCTCCACCGGATTCATCGCCAATCCCCGCCTAATCGCCCTCACCATCTCCGGTGTCATCCCCCCATCGCATTCCCGACCCCCTCCTTTCCTTTCTCCGGCGCCCGCGGCGCCGGCACAGTTGTGGTCATCAAGGCGAGTTGGTGCTATCCGGGCGGCGTCCGGGCTCTCTGGACAGGTGGGGGAAGGCAACGAGTGGGAGAGCCGGCTGCGAGGCGATGTGCGGTATCAGATGAAGGTCACGAAGGACCATGTTAGGGTGGTCAGAAGGATGGCGAGGTTCGGCGACGCGAACACGAGCACCCACACCCGAAACGTCGCGGTGGGCTTGTATGGGCTCGGGAGGCAGGTTGGCCCGAACCGGTAGGAAAATCCCGAGACCGCGATATTGATGGCCAGGAGGAAAATCACTTGTCCGAATCATGGTCTGATAGACCACACCCGGGCTGGTCGCCTAGAGACAGCAGCTTACACCATTCCTTTTCTTTATTCGTCCTTGCGGGAACCATGTGCGGGCGCATTGCGTGAAGGGATAAAGGAATGCACTAGATATAGATTCTCTTAAGGCACGGTCGCGGGTAGCTGCAAGGAAGTTCAACGTAACAAAGCGAAAGATGGCACGACATGACTGAGAGAGAAGCATTGGAGGTGTTTTGGAAACCTGATTGTGTACCCGCGGGTATAGTACATGTTTGAAAAAACCCGGCGATTCCGAAATCCCTGATGCGGTGTCATTGAGCGGCAAAAGGCTCAATGATGTTTGTTCCGCCAGTCTGTTCTCCCTTGCATGATACCTCCTCATCCCATCGAAACAGTACTACTCGTACATCCAGCACAGGACGCCAGCAACAATGAACCACAGGACCTTAATGCGCCCTGATATTAAAAACCTTTCCCCTTTGGCGCCTCACATCGTCAATAAACTCAATTCAGCGGGACAAAGCGCGGAATGCGCATATACCCTAAACCGTCTTCATGACCGTATGTCAGTATTTCAAAACATTACGCCACCCGCACTGGGTTTCGATTAGACGGGAAAACCTGTGTAACCGATTCGGAGGTGCCCGCGCATCCCGTCATCCTTCTCCCTCCCCCACTGCCTCATCCAGTCCCGTTCCTTGGACTTCGCTTCATCGAACGCTTGGCGGCAATCAGGTGGTAGCTCGGCGAGCACGTCGTCGGGTACCGCAGAGAGACTCTTCGCGTAGTCCGGGTGGCCCTGCACGGTGTCCGACCCGGGGGGTCCGAAGCCAGCCATGAGCGGTGAGCGCATCTCCGTGTCGACGACGATGAAGTTCCGGGCGATCTTCTGAGTCGGGGGCGGGAAGCGGGAGGCGACGAGGTCCCGACGAACCTCGCCGTCGATCTCCATCTCATGGCCGTCGCCATTGTGTGCTCCGTTGACTCCGTTCGTCACTCCAGCAATGGCGTCCAGTTCGGCGGCGTCGGTGTTGACTTGCTGCCATCGGACGTGGGTCGGTTGGGTGTTCTGAGGCCTCATCATGATGTTCGTGTGGGGATCGTAGATGCCGCCTAGGACTTGGCGGCGCATCTCGGTTAATTGGGAGTTGTAGCGGCTGGCGGATGTTAGGGAGGTCTTGAGTGATTCGAACGCGTTCCTTACCTTGTAGCGAGAGCGTGTTCCACCATCCAGTTTGCATGAGTGATCTGAATCTTTCGCTTTCCCTGCGGCCTCTGTCCTGGCTGGAGTGGAACGGTCGGTCCCGATGTGTGGTAGACGGCGCTGGCTCCGTGCCATGCGACATATTGGTTTTTATTGTAGGGTTCGCCTGGTGGCGGAAGTCGGTCGTTGGGATCGGCAAGTTCGCCCTCGGTAACACCAGATGCCTTGTATTCCGCGACCTTGTAGTCGTCGATGATTCTTCGACCGCCTACAACGATCCTCGAGCCAAACTCTCGGAATACGGATCGTGCGGTGACCACGCCAATGGCGCGACCTTTGTAGGAATGAGGGATGACATCTCGGCTGATGAGGTCCCGTTTCTCTTCGTCGGTGGTGATGACTTTGTGGAGACGCAGGTGTTTCGTGAAGAACAGATAGCTGTCTCGGAACCCGGTACATCGCGCCGGCTCGGTGGAAAGCATGTAGAGCCTCCCCGACCGTCCACTGATGGTAAAGGTGCGGACACGGTACTCGCGCCCCTCGAGAAGGTTTCCAAGCTTGTCGACCTTGGTCTCGCCCTCGGGATCTTCAGGCAATACGATTTCATCCGCGACCACCTCCGCCGTATTCCCCTCTTTGTCGATGGGGACACGATTGCTGAGAGGCGTATAACCGCCTCGACCTCGTCCACGACCGCCTCCAGGGGGTCGGCCTCGTTTGCGCTTGACGGGTGGCTCGGTATCTTCGACGCCTAGATCCCAGTCCGGAGGGCGGTTCTTGGGAGGGCGACCAAGTCGCTTCCGACGCGGAGGGAATTGTTGGATTTGTGGAGGTGTATCAGGTTCCGATCGAGGGAGTTCTATCTCGGATTCGGGGGCTTGCGACTGAACATCTTCTTCAACGACCGGCGTTTCGGGGGCAGGTTCGTTGACATCTTCGTCCATCCGCTCGGGTTCGGGCTCCTCCTCGGAGACGGGCTTGACTGGCGTGGATGTTGCTAAGGTATGTTAGATCCGATAGAGGAAGTATTCTAGTGGAAGGATGCTGTTGGCCGTAGGACAGACTGTACATACTTGATATCGAGCCATTAGCGATCGCGCTGCGTCGCCCTGAGCGGCGGGCCATTTTGGCAGTAAGGACTGGCGATGCTTGCGGGTGGTCCTTGCGGGTGAACAGAGTACCTGCGGATACACAATGATTTTTCTTTGCGATGACTGTAACCCGAAATTGATTTCACGAATCTTTGTCAACCATCACCATCCCACATCAGCACATACGTCCTCCTGGCTTCGTGGTTGTTGATAGTTAGCAGAAGCGCAAATCGCAATCGTGAGGGAGGTGATCCGTGCACGGATGGCTGCAAGAATGAAGGGTCTGATTGGCTGATTTCCCTTGCTTGATTACAGTGGACGAAACGAGCCACAATCATCATTCCTTTCTCCAGCGGGCGATAGCGACCCAAATATCCTTGCAATTCACCTGACACTGCGTGCACCGCTACAGACTACAGTAATGCTGTACAGCGGACGAAAGCGACCGGTGGTGCAAGGCCAGGCCAACGCTCGGCTTTGGAACATCAACAGGATGATGCAGCGGGCGACGGAGTGAGCGAACTATCAACCACTATCAACCACCTACTGCCCTCTCTCTCATCTATCTCAACACTTTCGCCCTATGAGAGGGGCACCACCGCCTGACATTGACATTCAACTTCTAGCGGCCTACCCCATCTTGTACGACCGCAACCTCCTTCACTAAATGGATGTCCTTCATCTTCTCGGAGCCTCTTTGTCGTCCTCTACATAGCCAAGCTCAAGAGGCTTCATGAGAACCCGCGAACCTTAAAAGAGGAACAAGAGATGGCGCACTCTTCGCGAGACCTGGATCGCGTATTCCAGGAATTGAAATCCAAGTGAGTTCAACACCTCTCGCCTTGGAAACTCATCCGTATTTGCTAATGCGCGACTAGGAACGACGATGTCCGCTTTCGAGCTGCTGGTGTCTTGCGACAGACCGTCGACACCGCACATCGAGGTCCGTACTCACCATGACTTGGAAGTGGAATATATTGCTCATGAATAGCAGAACTCCCGCCCGGCCAGTTTTCCGGATACTACGCCAGTGTCATCTCGAGAATCTCAACCCTCGTCGTTCAAAGCCTCGACACATATGACCGAATCGGAGGAATTCTTGCCCTTGATGCCCTCATTGACTTCAAGGGCGATGATGCTGGAGTCAAAACTTCTCGCTTCTCCGGCTATCTACAATCCGTCCTCCGCGGCAATGACACAACTGCGATGGTCTTCGCTGCACGCGCGCTCGGGAGGCTCGCAATACCGGGCGGAACCCTCACTGCGGAGCTCGTCGAAGCGGAAGTCAAGGGTGCCCTAGAGTCACTTCAAAGTGAAAGGAAAGAACAAGAGCTCCGCCGCTATTCGGCCGTTCTTGTCCTCAAGGAACTGGCTCGGAACTCACCCACCCTCATCTATTCCTGGATCCCTCAGATCTTTGAAGTGATCTGGTCCGCCCTGCGCGATCAGAAACTTTTCATCCGCGAGAAGGCCGCCGAGATGGTTCGGCAATGCATTACGATCATGAGCACCCGTGATGCGAAGACACGCGATCAATGGCTTAACCGAGTCTATGAGGAGGCTCTACATGGTTTTGGGATCGCAACAAATGAAGCGGTCCATGGATCCTTGCTTACGGTCCGAGAGCTGTTCGATAAGGGCGCCATGTTCATGGAAGGCAATAGATACCGCGAGGCTTGTGAAATTGTTCTGAAGTACAAGGATCACAAGGAATTGGCCATTCGCAAAGAGGTGGTTCAAACAATTCCCGTTCTTGCGAACTACACCCCCAACGATTTTGCTACGAGCTATCTCCATCCATGCATGGTTCACCTGCAAGGCCTCATGCGCAGAGACAAGGAGAAGGGCATATCTTTTCTTGCAGTCGGCCAGATTGCAGGTGCTGTTGGCAGCAACATTGCTCCGTACCTCGACTCAATCATCGGCTTCGTTCGAGAGGGTCTTCTACCCCGGAATCGGACGAAGGTCCCGTGTGAAGCACAGATCTTCGAATGCCTCAGCATGATCTCTATTGCTGTAGGACAGGCAATGAGCAAACACGTCCCCACGCTTCTGGATCCAATGTTTGCTTGCGGCCTGTCGGAGGCGCTCACACAGGCACTTGTGGACATGGCTCATTATATCCCGCCTGCCAAAGCCACCATTCAACAAAGACTCCTCAACCTCCTTAGCCAAATCCTCTGCGGACGTCAATTCGTTCCGCTAGGCGCCCCCCATCACACGCATGGCCCGATTCAGATCTGGACTCGAGATCACAAAGATCCTCAAACCATTGAGCAGCGGGAATCCGAAATTGCTCTTTCACTTCAAACACTGGGAAGCTTCGATTTCTCTGGGCATGTGTTGAACGAGTTTGTTCGGGATGTGGCCATTCAATATGTCAATGCCGACAATCCCGATATCCGAAAGGCGGCATCACTGACCGCCTGCCAACTGTTCCTTAGAGATCCTATCGTCCACCAGACGAGCCGACATGCGATCCGTGTTGTCGGAGATGTCATCCAGAAACTACTGACCGTTGGTGTTGCTGACCCCGACCCGGAAATCCGTCGTGTGGTCCTTAAGTCGCTCGACACTCGGTTCGACAATCACTTGGGGAAAGCAGACAATGTTCGGAGTCTCTTCCTCGCCCTCAATGATGAATTCTTCGCCAATCGTGAAGCCGCAATGGAAATCATCGGTCGTATCAGCGACATCAACCCTGCTTACATCTTCCCCTCCCTTCGGAAAGCGATGATCCAACAGCTCACGCAAATCCAGTATTCCAGCAGTGCAAGGAGCAAGGAAGAGAGTGCTCGACTCCTTAGCCACTTGGTGACTGCTGGACCGAAACTGATGAAAGCGTTTGCCGATCCTATGGTCACGATCATGCTTCCCAAGGCTCGCGACGCGAACCCGGAACTGGCTTCAACAACCCTCGAAGCTCTTGGAAACTGCGCTGCGGTCGGTGGCCGCAACGTGCAAAAGTTCATCCCGCAGCTAATGGGAGCGATCATTGAAAATTTGCAGGACTTGAGCTCCGAGACCAAACGAATTGCCGCCCTGCATGCGCTCGGCCAAATCGCGACCAGTTGCGGCTATGTCATCGATCCATACAAACACCACCCCGAACTTACCGAGATCCTTCACAATATCGTGAAGCATGAGGGCCCTACTGCTTTGAGAGGTGAAGCGGTTAAAGTCATGGGGATCCTTGGTGCTGTCGATCCTGACGTCGAAGCCAAGCTGGCAGAGAAATTGCCTGAGCAGCATCTCATCTCGGACACCCAGCCGGTCACGGACGTTACTCTCGTCATGAACGGCACTACTCCGTCCAATGAAGAATATTATCCGACTGTCGTCATCCACACGTTGATGGGATTGTTGAAAGACAATTCGCTCGCGCAGTACCATTCGGCTGTCATCGACGCAGTCATGAACATCTACGCAACAATGGGCCTCAAATGCGTGCCTTTCCTTGGATTGGTCATACCTGGTTTTGTGACCGTCATCCAGTCGGCTCCTCCTGGTCGCGTCGAAGGTTACTTCAACCAACTTTCTCAATTGGTGCGGATCGTGAAGCAGCATATCCGGCAATTTTTGCCCACGATCATTCAATTGATCGACGAATACTGGAATGGACAACCGCTCCTCCAGGCCACCATTCTGTCTCTCATCGAGTCTATCTCCAGGTCATTGGAGGGAGAGTTCAAACGATATCTCGCTCCACTGCTTCCTAAGATGCTTTCAGTCCTTGACACGGACGCATCCCCCTCTCGGCTACCGTCTGAGCGAGTGCTCCACGCCTTCCTCATATTCGGCAATGGTGCTGAAGACTACTTACATCTCATCATCCCCGTCATTGTTCGAATGTTCGAGAAGACGGGCCAACCACAAAGCATCCGCAAGCAGGCCATCGAGACCCTCGGACGTTTGTCACGGAAGGTCAATCTTGCTGATTATGCGCCGCAAATGATCCTTCCGTTGGGTAGAATCCTTTCAACGGCAGACACGTTGATCCGACAGACAGTTATGGACACGCTTTGCGCCCTTGTCTATCAAATCGGGCAAGATTACATTCCCTTCATTTCGACCATGAACAAGATCCTTCAAAACAGCAAGATCACCCATGCGAACTACGCTCAGCTGGTCAACAAGCTCGCTCGAGGAGAGTCCTTACCTCAGGATCTGAGTCCGGACCACCGATATGGAGACGACGACGATGACCATATCATCGCGGAAGCTGCGCTGAAGGAGCTGCAAGTCAACCAACAGCATCTGAAGAGTGCGTGGGAGGCTTCCCAGAAATCGACCAAGGAGGATTGGATCGAATGGATGCGTCGTCTTAGCGTCGAGTTATTGCGCGAGTCTCCCCAGCAAGCGTTGCGAGCATGTACTCCTCTGGCAAGCATCTACAACCCCATCGCACGCCAGCTGTTCAACTCCGCTTTCGTGTCTTGCTGGACCAAGCTCTATGATCAGTATCAGGAAGATCTGGTCCATTCCATCGAAACAGCTCTGACATCGACCGAGATCCCCCCGGACATTTTGCAGATGCTGTTGAACCTTGCGGAGTTCATGGAACATGACGACAAGGCTCTGCCAATCGACGTGCGTTTACTGGGTGCCTACGCCATGAAATGCCATGCATATGCGAAAGCCTTACACTACAAGGAGCTGGAGTTCAACGCGGAGCAAAACCCCAATGCGGTCGAGGCGCTCATCGGCATCAACAACCATTTGCAGCAATACGATGCGGCGTTTGGTATCCTTCGCAAAGCGCAAAACTACCACGATGTTGATCTTCGCGAGTTCTGGTACGAGAAACTCTCGCGATGGGATGAAGCTCTGATAGCCTATCAGCGCAAAGAAGACGCAGAAGGCGAGAAGCCCGAAACCACGATGGGCAAGATGCGTTGTTTGCACGCTTTGGGAGAGTGGGATGTTCTGTCGGCGCTCGCTGAGGAAAAATGGGTCGGGGCAACCTCGGATTGGCGTCGCCATATGGCTCCTCTTGCGGCGGCGGCGGCATGGGGTCTTGGAAAATGGGACCTCATGGATCAGTATCTTAAGACGATGAAGAACACCTCTCCGGACCGATCCTTCTTTGGCGCGATCCTTTGCATTCATCGCAATCAATTCGACGATGCGTTGACTCTCATCGAACGAGCTCGCGGGTTGATCGAGACCGAGCTGACGGCTCTGTTGAGCGAATCATATGATCGAGCATACCTCCAGGTTCTCCGTGTGCAAATGCTGTCCGAGCTTGAAGAAGTTATGGCGTACAAGAAATTCCAGGCCGAAGATGACGACGACAAGATGCAAATGATGAGACTCACGTGGGCCAAACGCCTCAAGGGCTGCCAGCCGAATCCGGAAGTATGGCAACGCATGATGAAGGTCCGCTCCTTGGTGATCGGGCCGAGCGAGAATATCGCCATCTGGATCAAGTATACCAATCTGTGCCGCAAGAACAATCGTCTGGGCCTGGCGGAGAAGTCGTTACATTCGATGCTGAACACCAGCCAGCCGATCGCCCACTACATCCAGGCCAACATGCACAACACCGAGGTTGTCAGCTACAAAGTCGCATACACCGCATTCAAGTACATGTGGGGCAAGGGCCAACAAGGGTATGCCTTGGATTTGCTGAAAGGATTCAGCACCAAGGTGTCGGAGGATATTTCTCACCGTGCTCGACACATTGCCCGAACGATCGAGGATGCGAAGAAGCGGGAGGAGGGACATCGCACATTCCCGCAACATCAAGGCAATCCGCAGGTCAATCCCCATCTCCTTACTGGACAATCCAGTCGAGACCACGATACCAAGCCAACCCACGTCATCATTGACGAAGCGCTCAAAGAAGACCGCACCCTTTTGGCCAAATGTTATCTAAGACTCGGAGAGTGGCAGGAACAGCTTCTGGAAAGTAAGTGGGAGGGCGAAAGGGTTCACCATATTCTGGCTGCGTACAAAGCCGCTACGGAGCACAACAAGTCGTGGTACAAGGCATGGCACGCATGGGCATTGGCCAATTTCGAGGTCATCAACTCCTACAATTCGTCGAGCGATCGCGAAACTACCGACTTCCCTTCGAGTGCGATCAAAGATCACGTCGTGCCCGCCATCGAGGGGTTCTTCCAGTCGATTTCTCTCTCATTGAGCAGCTCGTTGCAGGACACGCTACGTCTGCTCACCATGTGGTTTGCTCACGGAGGCCACCCGGATGTGCGAAAGGCGGTTCGGGAAGGCATTGAGCTCGTGAGCGTGGACACTTGGCTTGAAGTCATCCCGCAATTGCTGGCTCGGATCAACCAACCGAACCGGATCGTCCGAGAATCCATCCACAATTTGCTCATCATGCTTGGGCGGGCGCACCCTCAGGCCCTGGTGTTTCCATTCACCGTGTCCGTCAAGTCGGATGCGCACCAGCCGAAGTCGCACGCCAAGGAGCTCATGGAAGTCATGCGTCAGCACTCCCCCAAGCTAGTCGAGCAAGCGGAGCTCGTCAGCACGGAGCTCATCCGAATCGCCGTCCTTTGGCATGAGCAATGGCACGAGGGCCTCGAAGAAGCATCGCGACTGTACTTCGGCGATCGGAATATCCCGGGGATGTTTTCGGTTCTCAAGCCGCTGCACGACATGGTCGACGATGGGCCGCAGACTCTTCGCGAGATTTCCTTCATCCAGTCGTTTGGGCGCGAGCTTGGGGAGGCGAGAGACTGGTGCAATACCTTCAAACAGACCCGTGAAGAGGGTGACATCAACCAAGCATGGGACCTTTACTATCAGGTCTTCCGGAAGATCGCCCGGCAACTTCCGACGCTTTTGACCCTCGAGATGCAGTACGTGTCTCCCAAACTCAGAGACGCGAAAGACTTGGACGTGGCAATTCCGGGCACCTACTATCCCAGGAAACCGGTTGTTCGCATTGCGTCGTTCGACTCGATCAGCCATGTCATTCAGTCGAAGCAGCGCCCGAGGAGACTGATCCTGCGCGGAAGCGACGGGAACAATTACCAGTATATTCTCAAAGGGCACGAGGATATTCGTCAAGATGAACGAGTCATGCAGCTGTTTGGGCTCTGCAACACGCTTTTGGCCAACGATGCCGAATGCCGCAAGCGGCATCTCGACGTCCAGCGATATTCCGCCATTCCGCTTTCGACGCAGTCCGGTCTTTTGAGTTTTGTGCCTAATAGCGACACCCTTCACGTTCTCATTCGCGAGTATCGCGAGAGTCGCAAGATTCTTCTCAACATTGAGCACCGAATCATGCTGCAGATGGCACCCGATTACGACAGCCTGACGCTGATGCAGAAAGTTGAGGTGTTCGGGTACGCGTTGGACAACACCACCGGCCAGGACCTGTACCGTGTCCTCTGGCTCAAGAGCAAGTCGTCTGAGCAATGGCTTGCGCGACGAACAAACTACACGCGCAGCTTGGCGGTCATGAGCATGGTTGGCTACATTCTTGGATTGGGCGATCGACACCCTTCCAACTTGATGTTGGATCGCATAACCGGCAAGATCGTGCACATCGACTTTGGCGACTGCTTCGAGGTTGCCATGCACCGAGAGAAATATCCGGAGCGCGTGCCGTTCCGCCTCACTCGCATGTTGACGTACGCGATGGAAGTCAGCAACATCGAGGGAAGCTATCGAACCACCTGCGAACATGTGATGCGGGTTCTCCGGGATAACAAGGAGAGCGTGATGGCGGTGTTGGAAGCGGTACGTCCTTCGATCGATTTCTTCTATTTATCCTGTACTGACTTTTCGTCTCCCTTAGTTCATCCACGACCCGCTCCTCACCTGGCGTCTCAACAACCGCGAATCTCCCGGCGAAACCTCCTTCACCTCCGAACGCCGCGCCTCCATCATCGGCGTCGAGCCCGCCGCCACCGGCGCCGCCTCCAGCATCCCCGACCACCCCCTCCCCTCCCACACCCGCCGCGACTCCTCCTACCGGCCCCGCGCCCGCTCGTCCACCTACGCGCAGCAGAACGCGGTCAACGACACCGAAGCCAAGGAAGTGCAGAACGCGAGGGCGCTGCAGGTGCTCGGCCGCGTCAGGGAGAAGGTGACGGGTCGTGACTTCAAGCCGACACCGGAACTGGGGGTGGATATGCAGGTGGATCGGCTGATTCGCGAGGCGACGAATCTGGAGAACTTGTGTCAGCATTACATTGGATGGTGCTCGTTCTGGTGAGCAGGAAGCGTTGTAAGAGAGGGCAGAGTCCGGTATGATGGATCTCTCTATTTTTTCGTCTGCCCATTTGATCATATCGAGGCGTTTTAAGACGACGGTTGCTGGTCGTTCCAGCCGAATGTAGCATGAGCGAGGGTTCGAGACATCAATAGCTGCAGTCTGCCGTGTCTTGCGAGTGCTCATTCTAGCACCTTCAGGCGGAAACCAGGGTCGCACGGCGTCTATAAGGGAATGACGCTGAGTACGGCTTGGTGTTATACGGAACGTAAACAGGACTATTTATCCCAAGGGTCGGGTGATTTTGTACGATACCCCAAGAGGAAGCGATATAGTATACTGTTACCGTAGCATAGTTTAGATACAAGCAATCATCTTAACCTCAGGAGCGCTCGATAAGGTGCTAGGATAAGGGATGATGGTCAGCCTTCGCATCCTCGGTTCCACAAATGCAGCCATGTGTTGATGTCACGGGTATGCCCCATTCGTATCTTCGTGCATCGATCAGTGTGTCGATCACGAGTTTCGACAACGGTTAATATCTACTGCTCAAACAAGCATATACTTTGCTTCTCATCGGGTTAGAGCATGGCTGGCATGGCTAGCTTCCCCAAGATATTCACCATGGGCATCGTGACATAATCTCCGTCGCCACGCTTGTGCAACCATCCAAAAGAATTTCATACATTCATCATCAGCTGTACGACTACCTGACACCTGTAGATAGGATACCAATTGCACTTCGAGTCACCCCGCGGTGCCCAGCAGGGGCAAGCTAGGCCTGTCATGAATTCTGCACATCAACCCGGCGCTGATGCTTGCATCCTTCTAGCCAACCAATGACGTCTACGGCTATGGAGGCACCATTACGGAGCCCACGGATATCATGTACAAACGAGGCACGATCAGTCACCAATGCAGCACTTGAGCTTGATCTGCGCTGCTTCTAGTGGGGTTCATAATTCATGGGGACGTCTCCGCAACGGCGCAGAGCACGAGGGAGCCGGTCGGATGGCTTCAGGTTATACAGAGACATATTCCCTTGGGACGTTTCGTCAGATGCCTCACACCCACGAATTCCGCACCTAGGAGACAGTATCGGTCTCCAATTGGAGTTTTGACAAATTATACGGCCGGTTCACCTCCTAATCATAAATGTTCTACCTTCGATTCGCCATTCAAGAACATTTCCTTAGCAGCTTACAACTGATAAGGAGCCTTGAACAGGTGGGCCGGAATCCTGACCTCATTCGGCACCAATTCGCCTCTCTTGCAATGTTTCCATTGCAGGTCAATATGCTAGAAGCCTAGAATCATACCGAACACATCGGAGATATAAAAAGCTAGGGGGTCTTGCCGTCGTCGGCTTGCTCGATATCAGCTCCAGGCCGCATGCTCCCGGCCAGAATGACTCAGCCATCCGGCCCCGTCTACGAAGATATTCAACCCCGGAGTCAAGATTCCGTTGCTTGGAGGACCCATACGCCTTCTACCAGTAGGACTTCCCGGATCGACTTCGCTGGAAGACCTTCTTTACGGAGTGTCGCTGAAGACCCATTCCGAGACCATCCAAAAGCTCGGCCAGAAGTCTTCAGGGAGGAGGATATGGGACCCAGGCAACACAAGGGATTCGTGCCTAAAATGGAGGACTGGAATGGAAGACCTCCAGGGGCCGCCGGCCCGAGTTCTAGACAGTATTCGTATTGGGATGGTCAACGGGCGCCGAGTCTGGGGTTTAAACAGCGGATAAAGCATTTTACTTGGACATGGTTTGCGATGACCATGGCAACTGGCGGTCTTGCGAATATGATACATTCTAGTAAGTATCCCATACATGCCGGCTTAGATGGATGTCACTAATAGGCCTACTCAGTCCCCCTTCGATTCCCAGGGCTGTATGAAATCGGATGCTTCTTTTTTCTATTCAATATAGTTCTGTTCGCTTTCAACATCGCAATGATATCCACTCGATTTTACCTATATCCTGTCACATTCAGGGCTTCGTTTATACATCCTACCGAATCCCTTTTCGCGCCGGCTGCTATCATAAGTTTCGGGACTATCTTGATCAACATCACACAATATGGGACACGGAGTACGGTCGACAGGGGACATGGGCTTCAAGTGGATACATGGTTGACAGAAGCAATGATGGTACTCTTCTGGATTTATTGTGCGTTAGCGATAATCTTCTCGTGTGGCATTTATTTGGTCATGTATGCCTGGTCCAGTTCAGTCTTTCCTGTCGACAATTTATTAATGCCCTTGCAGGTGGTCCACCCAAACCTTTACCATATCCCGTATGACACCTACTTGGATCTTTCCTGCGTATCCACTGCTTCTTGCTGGACCGTACGCTGGCAATCTCGCTGGCAAACTCCCGAACCATCGGGCGCTTCAGGTGATTATTGGGGGTTACGTCCTACAGGCAACAGGTTTCATGGTGGCATTCATGATCTATGCTTCATTCATCTATCGCCTGATGACAGAAAAGCTGCCTAGGGAATCAGTCCGACCCGGGATGTTCATATCAGTCGGCCCTTCTGGCTTCACCATCAACGGCATAATGAACATGGGCAATCTACTTCCTGCTATCTTAGAGTCACACGAAGAGTTCATGGGAATAGATGGAAAATTAGCTGGGGCGATATCCATGGTCATCGCTAACTGGACTGGAATCTGGATGTGGGGACTGGCTCTCTGGTTCTTTCTTATTTCCATCGGAGCACACTATAGCAGTGCCGCCAAAGGACATATGGAGTTTGCGATGACGTGGTATTCCTTCGTCTTCCCGAACACCGCACTTGTGTCCGCGACGTTTACCGTGGCAAAGGTATTAGGCCCAAGTCGCCCGATCCAAATCTTCGGATGCGTGCTTGCATGCATGGTTCTCCTTACCTGGGCCTTCGTGTTCTGTATGACGATCCGCGCCGTCATCACTCGTCAGGTTCTGTGGCCTCAGATGCAGGAGGACCGTGATGAAGGTGGTTTTGCTCGCGGTCGGGTTGAGGAAGAGACGATGACTGCCGTCCGAGCCGCTGCAGCGCTCGAGGGTAGGCCCGGCACCCTGTCAAGCAACGGTAATTCAGACATACGAGACGGTGTCAGGCGGCGTAGGGCTGGTACCTTGGAGAGGATGCTACGTGACAAGGAGGAGGAAGAAGTGGTGGGTAGAATGAGCACGGATAGGGCCCCCAGAAGCCGCGTGGACGAGGAAGCCAATGCGATAGTTCGAGCTTATTCGAACCTATCTTCGGTGTGACTTGACGCCTGTTGCTTTAATGTTTTCTGAAATTTCCGACCGTCAGTCTTGGTGTGCAGTGATATAATTACAGGGGTCTCTCGTATTCATACGAGACGGCGTCCTTCGGTTGCGGAGGACCTTGACCGGTACAATTTAGCCCTTAAGAAATAAAATCCCCAACAAAATGTCTCCTTTCCTGTAATTGCTGCTATCCTTCCCCGATGTTTTCATGAAAACATAGTAGAAAAGCTTGGAGTTATTAGAGTCCCTAAATTTGCTTTCTTTTGGCCTCTACAGTTGCAGGTGTCCCCAATCAACTGAAATCCTGTGCAATTTTCGAAATAAATTCCAAAGATGTCACACCCATACCCCGATCTCGATCCGGCGCTGGAACCATACTACAGGGACAACATGTATACGAAGTTTGACACAGTGCAGAATGCTCTCGGCGCCGTATTGGAAAAGCTAGGACTAGGCGAGCTCGATAGCTTCAGAAACCCGAAATGGTGGGAGGTGCCTGGCAATCCGCAACCCGCTCTTCCTATGGTCCCCTCTGCTGAGGGACCAACAGACGGGGAACGAAAGCCAACAGACGATGCAGAAGACCCAACAGACGAAGTAAGGTTCGGCGGCCTATTCGAGGAGCAAGATGAAGTCGAAGAGCCAAAGGAATTTGAATACAAGCCACTCGACTCCTCTCAGCGACAGATCCGGGTCCTGGAACTCGTGAAAGACAGATCCGACCCCGAGACTCTCAAGGGAAAACTCCACCATGTCAGCTTGGACTCCTTCGACAGTGATTCGTGGACAATGCCAGAAATCCCAGACATGTCCGATCCAGAGAACCTGGCGAAGATGAGAAAAGACCCCAATTGGTTTGCCGAGGTCATGGCGGAGTCGCAGCCAAAGGAGTACACGGCGTTGTCTTATACCTGGGGAGATTCCGTGTTTGATGCGAGCATAATCATTGATGGTCAGCGAGCGAGTATCACCACTAGTCTCAAGAACGCGTTGGTGGAGCTGAGTAAGATCGAAAATCTAACGCAAGGAAAATGGTGGATTGACCAGGTTTGTACGTGTAGTGTCTTCTTTCTGAATATATATGAGGCACCAGGACGAGGCTAAAGTATATCAAACAGGTATCAACCAATCCGACGTCGAAGAACGCAACGCGCAGGTAGGTTTGATGCGCGAGATATACAAATTGTCGCGCGGTGTTACTATCTGGCTCGGAGAGCCTGTGGACCCCAGTTATAATGCCATCGATGTGATTAAGGGCGCCATCCTGCACAATGACCGTCAACCCGGGCGTAGGGAGCGACAACATAAGAAGTCCACAATAGAGGTGGTCCAGAAAAACTGGGAAGAATTGCGGCGGTTTTTCCAAATGCCTTGGTGGTCGCGGTGCTGGGTACGTCAGGAGGTTGGTTAGTAAACTACGTTCCGTTCTATTCAGCGTGACCTCAACTCACCCTTCCGATAGCGTTAACACGGGACGCCTCCATATGTTACGGCGGGAAAACGTTGGACTTCTATGAACTGGGTGATTTCTTCTCGGCTGTAGCATACGTTGAAGACATTGGGTTTCATCCCGAAACCCTCATGGAGCCGAACCCAATACAGGAGGTGGTCCCCTTCTACGAGAGTGCAAGCGAGATATTGGATCTGAAGGAGAAGAATAAACATGGGACTCAGTTCCTTGAACTATCCTTCCTTTTGGATCACATGAGAGCGCGAAAAGCGACTGATCCCAGGGACAAAGTGTACGCTATACTTGGACTCGCCGATCATGAGATTTATGACGTGCCTGTCGACTATCGTCTGCCTTTTGAAAAGGTGATGACGAACGCGGTGCTCGCAATCTTCAAGGAAGAGGAATGCCCGGTCACATTCGGGCTCTGTCAAAACCCAGAACGGGACCACGATGTTCCTTCTTGGGCGCCAAATCTGTTGGAGGAGTGGAAAGCCCAGCCTTTTCGGCTTTTCAATACCGGCGGACATATCAGTGGAACGCCACGAATGAAAGTCGAGGGCGAAACACTCCTTACGGAAGGAATCTTCTGGGAGACCGTTGACCTGGTCTGTGATACGGTCGTTCCCAACGATTCCACCACCGGCCAGCTAGACGCTGTGATGGAGGCTTGGCAACAGTTTGTTGATGAAGCCGCAGAAAGAGAGGATCTCCAGAGTTATGCCATCGAGTATCTTCAGAACAATCTGGCGAGCGAGTACGAGTACCCCACAGAAGGATGGAAAGAGTTTCTCTCCCTGGATAGGATCCAGGCAAATCGTTACGGGGACCCGCCGAAGACGGCAAAAGAAGTGGATGAGTACCATAACATGCTGGATCTCAAGGCCGTCCGATCGCAACTCGTGGACCCCGCCTTCAAGTATGACCCGTATGGGCACGACCTGATACGGAAGAATCTGGTTCGCTATGGAACCGGTCGTCGACTTGGACTGTCAACGCAGGGTTTCATCGGGCTTTTCCCTGCGGATGTGCAAGAAGGGGATAGCATTGCCTTGGTGGTAGGGGCACCGCTCCCAATCGTTCTAAGACATGTGGGAGGTGGTGAACATGTCCTTGTGGATGAAGCATGGATGCCAATGGTCGCCGGAGATGAGCTGGAAGAGAGTCCTAGGGTGACCATCCGCATCGTGTAGTCTTAGTCCGCACCATGAGATACAGATGGGCGGTAACGATACAGATATGACGAAATTCAATGGCACTCCAATCTTTCCCTAAGAGGTGTCTCGTGTCACGAAGATGTCGGGAGTTTGCGAGGCTATGCGCTCGGCCGGCATTTTGTAACGAAGGACTTGACAGAAAAAAACCAAAATTGCACAAACCGATTTGAAGATGCAACAAGTGCGATGAGATGGAGACAGACCAGACGAGAACGGGGCTTCACAGAACATGGAGGAATGTTGAATATGCTTGCATTCTGGGCTGAGGCGGATTTGAATTTCCTGGGTTGTAGGCAGCCGGCAAAGAACAGCCGTATTATCCACCATCATAGCGGAAACCTGGAATAGATACTCTGCGGATAGTTAAAGGACATGAATGTAATTTCTTAAGTTGATAATGTTGATAAGCTATGTTTATGGTATTTACTATTACCACCCCACCCCTTTGGTTCTACGATGGTAGGATGTAATCTGAAGGCCTGTGACTGACGTGTTGGGATTAGCCTTCCGGTTTGGGCTTTCCTTTGTATGAGTTAGACAAAGAGATATGGAATAAAGGGAAGAACATTCCCCTATGGCGAAGTTAAGGAATGTGCTGCAAACGGATAGGCAGGAGGATTATATAAGGAGCGGTTCTGCACTGTTATTTTGGTTTCAATTACAATACAACAGAAGTTCTACAGACCTTTGGACAGTCCCTCGGGAACAGTTTCCTATTATAACATTTTTGCCCTTGTCGATCTTGATCGTCTCTCTACCTCTGCGTTATACATTGAGCATCTGCAGACATTCCAAATCCTAACACTCCCAAAACTTTCCAATCTACGACGTAATTACGCAGCTGTAGTAAATCCCTCTATCATGGGGCGAGGGGTTCCAAACGCGCCCTGTGTTTACATCGTCTTGCCGCGACTTACCCCCCCTCGCTCCTAACCACCAACAACCCGCAGCCAACGTATTTGCACCCAACATCATTAACCAACGGCAATCACCTAGCTTATCCAGATCCAGTCTCCCTTCATATCAGGTCCCTGCCAGGATCGTCCAGATTGATCAAATGAGCTCTAGCCTCTAGTATAGTCTTCTGAGCGAACGAACCTTTTGCCTACGCTACCATCATAATGGACGATATCGAAGACCTGCGACGAAGGCTCCTAGAGGAGCAACGTCGACGCGAAGCAGCCGAAGAACTTGCCGCTACATCGCAGCGACAACGCGAAGAGGAGCAACGCCGACGCGAAGCAGCCGAAGAACTTGCCGCTACATCGCAGCGACAACGCGAAGAGGAGCAACGCGGACGCGAAGAGGAGCAACGCGGACGCGAAGCAGCCGAAGAACTTGCCGCTACATCGCAGCGACAACGTGAAGAGGAGCAACGCGGACGCAAAGCAGCCGAAGAACTTGCCACTACATCGCAGCCGCAGACCCTTCAGCAATACCTCGAGACCTGCCATTCAGTCTATCTTGCTATTCAGGTTGTAACTAACCGATCTTTGACTACGCAAGGCGAGACTACCAATCCGACCGGCCGAATTTTCCCTCGACAAATTATACCCTGGGATGACTTTGCAATGAGACAGGAGGAGATCTGGAACGCCCTTTCGGTCGGCGACTTGTTCTCCACGCCCGCATTTCCATCTAAGCATCAGATGGATTACGTGAAGTCGATGCTCAAGCCTATTAGCAGTGAGATTGGGCTCCGATACTTCGAGCATGTTGTCGTCGAAAACGCCGTTCAAAATTTAATGGACAGGGCATACACGGATCCACTACTACGAAGAAATCTTGACCTCCAAGGGTCCGTGACATTCGAAAGTCACACGAATCTCGGTACAACCGACGATCCCATATCTCAGCCCATGGAGCACATGCCTCTTGGTGGGGGAAGCTCTGATGTAGTGGCGTCAGCGTTTATCCCGGAGCGACCGACGGCTTCCAATACTCGTCGCAAAGCGAGGGGCAGGGGCAATCGGGCGGACCAGTTTTGTATATACAGGACTACGGGTGGCCAAAAAGTCCCAGCGCTCGCTATTGAATACAAGGCACCGCACAAGCTGACAGTGGATGAGATCATCACAGGCCTTGAGTCAGAAATTCAGCCGGAACGTGATGTGATCAACCATGATGGCCGAGGTTTTGACTTCACAGCCAAGCGGCTCACCGCTGCCGTCATCACCCAGCTCTTCTCCTATATGATCGGCAAGAGCATCCGGTACGGTTACGTGTGCACTGGACAGGCACTCGTCTTCCTCCACATTCCAGACGATCCGTCAATAGTCTACTACTCGGTATGCTTACCGGACCAAGACGTAATGGATGACGATGAGACGAGACTCCATCGAACAGCCGTCGCACAGGTTTTAGCCTTTATTCTCCAAGCTCTTCGCGCAAGTCCACCAACCCAGTCATGGCAAGACGAGACCGAGACCCTTGGTCTTTGGGCTGTGGAGTACGATGATATTCTGAAAGATATCCCCGCCACAGAACGAAAACGTAAGGAACCCCGTGCTTCTCCATATAAGCCGCAGCGCTGGAAAGGCTTCAAGAGGTCGCCAGTTCGGACCCGGTCTCGCTGCCAGCAGCCGAACCCTAGTGCTGGACCGTCAGAGGAAGACGACGACCCTCCTTCCCCTACCCCCAATCCCTCTCGCACTGATGGGAAAGCGGCGCCGTCGAGAGGAACAAGCTCGCATGGTGGTGGGAACCAAGGACAACACCGAGGCAATCAGCAGCAGTCGGGCCCAGCGACGAAGTCGGACATACAAAGCCGGCCATTCTGTTCACAAAATTGTCTCCTGGGATTAGCATATGGCGGGCCTACGGACGAGAACTGCCTTAACGCAGACTATCACGGGCAGGAGCACATCAGCCGGCTCGAGTTCCTCCGACTCATCCGAGACCAGCTTGCCACGGACCGCGGCAGCGATGCGGATTGCACACCACTCTATCTATCGGGGGCGCGGGGATCACTCTTCAAGGTTCGGCTGTCATCCCACGGCTATACGCTCGTTGCCAAGGGTGTGGAGGGACTCGATCGTGCCCTCTTACAGCACGAGAACGAGATGTACAACCGACTCCGGCCTATCCAGGGAAAACACGTTCCCGTATGTCTCGACCGTATAGACTTGGTCCGGCCATACTACTATGACTGCGGTGTTTACGTGCATTTCATGTTTCTCAGCTGGGCTGGACAACCCCTGTTTGACTGTGTGGACCAGGACCTTAAACCGGGCATCAACGACGCCGTCAGCACAATGCTCAAAGCAGTGCACAAATTGGGTGTTCTTCACCGTGATGCAGAGCCCCGCAACATTCTATACAATACAAATAGCGGCAAGCTCATGCTTGTGGATTTCGAGCGTGCAGAGTTCTACGATCGCCGGCCCCTAGGCTTGATATTTCCTAATGCCCAGAGTCCGAAAGGGAAAAGGAAGCGGGGAATCTTGCAGAAACAAAAGAAAGACAACTTTACGAAAGAGCTGGAATGTGCTGTGGAGACGGTTTCAAGGTATACTGCGAGCTTGCCGAGTCCGACAGTCGTTGGTGTGGACACAAAAATATAATTATAAGGAAGCTCAACAATTGGCGGAGCCACAGGAGGAACCAGGGTCACCGTGAGGAACGGTGAGCCAGGAGGATACATGTTGAAAGTCCACTGCGCCAATAGGGGCCCCTTGGTTGGGAGTGTAGGACTTGTTATTTTTACTTGACAATACAGGTCTAACCGCCATGTAAAGCACTAACTACTAAGCCAAGAGTCTGCGCACAGACCCCAGTCTCAGCTGATATCTCTACACCCACCACTTACTTGGACAATCAATAACTTTACCAAAATGAGGTCTTTTGGCACAGAAATTAGTGGTAATCGAAGGTCTAATAAGGAGTTATCAGTCTCTCAAAGAGCTGGGATTATTCAGGCTGTTGAAGATGGGAAACCAAAGACTGAAATCGCGCGCAACTTTCGCGTCTCTCGACGCGCGGTGTATGGGACTATGGAGAGGTGGGAAGAACACAAAACCACCGTATCCTTACCCCGTGAAGGGGGTCCCCATAAGCTATCACGCTCTGACGAACGGCATATCGTTCAAATCGCGCGTCGATTTCCTCAAATGGAGTACGGAGAGCTCCTCGCAGGTATTTCGTACCTCCGCGTTCCTAGGAAGACCATCTACCGAACCCTTAAGAAATATCACCTTACGAAATGGCGAGCGAGGAAGAGGCCTTACCTGAAGCCTTACCACGCAAAAGACCGCCTTCGGTTTGCCCACGAATTCCTTAAATTCGACTTCTCCCGGACCCACTCCACGGACGAGTGCTCGTATGAGAAGGGGGCGGGCGGTAAGCAGGTATGGGTATGGCGCCTGTACCACGAGGCATATGATCCGCAAATGGTAGAGCCTAAGACCTCTGGTAAGGCCATTTCACAGATGATAGGGGGCTCAATCTCGCGTGATGGGAGGTCAGACCTGGTGATCATGGACCGCGACGAAACCTCCGCAAGACAGGGCTATTCCGCGAAATCCTACATCGCTACGTTAGAGGAGGGACTTCTCCCTACGTATGAACCCGGGGATGTTGTTATCCAGGATAACGCAAGGATCCATACGGCCAAAATCACCCAAGAATGGCTGGAGACGCACGGCATTTGGGTCATCGATTGGCCGGCCAATTCCCCAGACATCAACCCCATCGAACACATGTGGCATCTGTTGAAAACCATGGTCCTAGAGCTCCACCCTAAATTTGAAGACGATGGGCGCCTCGGAGGAGGCACGGGAGGCCATGAATCCGGCGTTAAAGGAGGCGTGGTGGGCGATCCCGCAGGAGACGATCCGAGAGCTGATCGACTCAATTCCGCGACGTCTACAGGCGGTAATCAAGGCAAAAGGGTGGCATACGAAATATTAGATATTTCCCAATTAAGAAACCAAAAAAGTAGACTGAATTTGCATTTGTATGTGTTTTTCAGCGTATCTCAAGATACGGTGTATGGCGATCAGATTTGGTGATTTTCGGGGGTGTGCACAGACACATATCTACTTATTGTATATAAACAAGCATGGTCTACACTCCTTTGACCTTGCGTTCAACTCATCAGAGTTTCTTTGGCCCTAGTTGTAGATTGATATCTTCGTGACATAACGCTACGTTTGTACTTCGAGCCTTGACACTCTTCTCCCAGAAACTGATAGACAGAGTCACGTGCGCTTGACATTACAGGGTGTTTGGAAGGGAGAAGAGAAGGTTTTCGTGACCAGGTCGTGTGGAAATCCCGCCCAAAAACCGCGTCACATACCACCCTTTTCGGCAGCAATTTTACAGTTCCGCATATTCTGCCTGTAATTATTGTGGTTCTCACACGTGATGATAAACATGCACCAAACACCATCAGATCTACTCCTTAGCCAACTTGCAAAGCATTAACTACAACGACACGGGTATTCCACTCTTCTCCATACGGATGAACGTACTTGAACCCCATGACATGTAAACCGCCTCGCAATGTCGACATCCCGCCGCGGCGTAGGCCTCGCCGCCTTCTCCAACAATAGCGTCGCTTCCGCCCAATACGCCACCCACGGCACCAACATCCGCGCCGCCCACGTTGACTCCCTCCAGACCCAAATCTCCGTCTTCCAACAGCTCCTTCACCAGTTCAGCATCACGCACGGCAAGGACATCCGCTCGAATCCGACCTTCCGCGCGGAGTTCGCGCGCATGTGCAACGCCATCGGTGTTGATCCGCTGGCGGCGTCGGCGCGGAAGCCGCCAACGGGAACGGCGAAGGTGGTGGAGGGGGCGGCAGGGGGGATTGGGAACCTGTGGAGTCAGATGTTGGGGGGAAGTGTGAATGATTTTTACTTTGAGTTGGGGGTGAGGGTCGTGGAGGTGTGTCGGGATACAAGAGCGGAGAATGGGGGGATGATGAGCGTAGGTGAGGTGCGACGAAGAGTGCAGAAGGGGAAGGCGATCGGAGGCGGCATGGAGGTGACTGAGTATGTGGGCCTCTACAGACTGAATTGCAGATATGGTGCTAACTGTAGACAGCGACGATATCCTCCGCGCCGTCAAATCGCTCGAACCTCTAGGATCCGGTTTCACGATCATGAAACTGGGGACCAAACAGATGATACGATCCATCCCCAAAGAGCTCAACACTGACCAATCCACCGTGCTGGAGGTCATCCAAGTCCTTGGCTATATCACCGTCTCGATGCTGCAGTTAAACCTCCGTTGGGAACGGGCACGAGCGAAGGCGGTTATCGAAGACCTCCTAGCAGACGGCCTGGTCTGGGTGGATATGCAATGCGACGAGGCTGAGTACTGGTCTCCAACCTTTATCACCGAGGCCGCGGGCGGGTGATGAGCAAGAAGATATCGGTCTCTCAGAATATCACCACGTGAAGGAGAAGATGACATGGAAGCGATCAAACTTTCCGGAGGCGTACGAGTATATCGAAATTCATGCCGTGGCCGCGCCGCGACCAAGAATATGTCTGGAAGCACGCGCTCCCACCAGGATTGAGGAGGTGCTATCCGATTGGCAGCAAAGATGGAGACGCCCCGAAGTTATCGGCCATAATGGGCTGATATCAGTCGAGAATAGGTCTTGACGCAGACCGAGGAGGAAGGGCAGAACGACTGCGAGACGGAATAGCTGTCATGATAACTAGCGCCAGCGTTCCAAAGTGGGATCGCAACAGGGCGACTTGGAATTGATGCGACCCAACCCCATTCCGCTACCGCCTTTGATCACGTGGTATGGGACAACGGATTGTATACGTCAAAGTCGAATGATGGCTACCTATGAAGCTAGCTAACCTTTTGAGCACCATACTATGAACCTTACGATGCATCGCGTTCATGCTCATGTTATGCTATTAAAACGAGTTCAAAACGCCTTGTGCCTATGACACTGCTTTCAAACCACTCAATTGCGATCTCCCCCACGATCTCCCCCTCCTCCTCGACCCTTCCCCTGGCCCCGCCCCCTCGGCTGATTCGTCCGGTTCCCTGTTCTCTGCTCCAGCACCTTCTCGTTCGACTCGATCAGCATGCTCGCCTTGTCGCTCAGCGTGATCGCCAAGCTCTGCAGCCGCGAGATCTCCACGCCCTTGCGGAAGATGATAGTACCGGTGACCTGGTCGAGCGCAGCGCGCAGCTCCTCGTGCGAGATCATGCGGCTGATGACCGCGGCAACGTTCTTCTCGCTCAGCTCGAACATGCTGGCGATGGTGGAGACGGAGAGGGTGTCGTAGTAGGGCGCGTAGGTGAAGAGGTACGTCCGCAGACCTTCCTGCTGGATCTGCTCGGCGAGGCTGGCCTTGATCTTGGCCGACTGCGGCATCAGGTCCCAGATCTTGATGGCGTTGATAAGCTCGGATGATCGCTTCCATTCGCCGGCGGCCAGGGCTTTTGACGCCTGCATGACGTGGTCGCGGGTATTCTCCGGTGGCCCGGTGAAGATCTGTCGCTCGTAGTACTCGAGGAGACGACGGAAGGTCTTGGAGATGATGCGCTTCCTGATTTCGGGAGAGGAGCCGAGTTGCGCGAGAAGAGGGATTTCGAGAAGCATGCTGCAGGTGAGATAGACGCATTCGAGGAGTTCGAGATTGATGTGCAGGTGGAATGGGAGTTGGCGTTGGCGTTCGAGACGCTCTTGCTCCGGGGAGATTTGCGAATATCGCTGCAGTTGGAGACCTTGTGCAAGCAACTCCTTCTGTCGGTTGCTGCCGCAGATCTCCTGAAGGGCGGTTTGAGATTCCCAGACCAGGCCTGCGCGGAAGGCACAGAGACCGACCTGGACGAGGGTTCGGTTGTAGAGGATCTGGGTGTTGACGTCGAAGTTGTTGATGCCCTCTTGCAAATGCGACATGAGCATCATGTCTCGAGCCTTGTAGTACTGGTCGTGTAGGGCAAGGAAGTAAATCTGGCATAGCATGGCGCGCGCCCTAATGATGCCTTCGCTGTTCGAGAAGAGATAGGTGCAGAGCGTTCGGACGAGTGCAGCAGTGTCGGATGATTCGCCCCGTGGGGTGATCTTCGAGTCCAGCTCCGCAGGGATTGCCTTCCAGCAATTGTCCTCGAGCATGATGACGACTTGCGAGGGCTAGCCCGGAGTTAGCAGGGTTCAAAGTGTAGATCACGACCAACATACCTTGAAGTAGACATGCTCAAGTCGGCGCATGACTACTCGGTTGATGGAATCTTGAGACGCCTCGAGCTTGGGGTTGTTCTTCAAAACCTCGACATACAGAAGCGCGCGGACGATGTTGTTGTAGAGAGCGCCCTCATCAGCCAGTCGCTCAACATATTCTGCAGTGTGCGGGTCAATATGCTGGAGCGACCTCGTGAGCTCGTCGTCTAACCGCTCAATGAACGAGACCATGCTGCCGGGAATTTTGAAGAGTTCGCCCTCGACGAACACTGGCTGCTTATCATCGTCTTCCCACTCCTCTGCGCCTTCGATAACCACAATGTCGCGGTTAGTCTCGAGGATGGTCAGGAGGTTACCGAAATCTTGCTCGGCCCTGGAATCATAGTTAGCACGGTCCATAAAGTTGCGTTTAGCCGCCATACAATTTCCACTGATCCACCGGCATATGGTTCCCCGCTCCTGACGTCAAGTCAAAACGAGTGGAAATCACGGTGAGCAGAACCCGGATCCGCTGGTAGTCGTTGACCGCCACCTCCAGCAGCTTCTCCATGACGCGAATCTGCTCGGTGCGATCCGTGTTCTTCTTGCCTCGCGCCTCCACGATGGTCCGCAGGTGTTTCAAGATGCTCTCGGGTGTGAATTGCACCGCTCGGCCACCGGCACCCACCATGGTGAAGCCCGAGTCGTCTGCGCCAGCGACCATGTCTTCCGCAACGTTCAAGGGCGTCCGCTTTGGTTTCCGGGTCGGTTGAACGATCTGCTCCACTTCTGTCTCCTCCATGAAGCCATCTTTGTCCTCTCGGTATGCCTCGACATCTTTGGCGTAGTCCTTGTTATTTTTCTTGACTTTCTGACGAACGGCGTTCAGTCCTCGAGTGTTGATAGCGTTCATCTTCTTCGGGGAAACCTTCTGCTTCTCGATCGTCTCGAGCATGGTCGTCTCCAGGTCGGCGATCGCCTTGACGTAGACTTTCGGGACTTTTCCGTCATTTTGCTTGATGAGATTGGGGATCATGCGATTCAGCTTGTCAAATTCTAGAGACAATCAATGTTAGAGTTGCCAGTCGCCATCAAATCGGGTTGTGGCTGCTCACCAGAAGAGATCACCGCCCAGTCATTAATCTTCTCCGCATTCTCGATGAGTCGGATGGTCGCCTCCAACTCATCGTACCGCTTGTCCTTCTGGCTCTTGACAATGGTGATTTTCCCTTCCTCATCGCTACTCTCCTCCTCGCTCTCTTCTTTATCCTTCAAGAACCGGTTTAACCCGGTCTCGCCATCTTCTTCATCACTGGAGGACTCTTCCGACCCCTCCTCCGACGATTCTTCGGATTCCTCTTCCGACGATTCTTCGGATTCATCGCCGGAGGACGATTCGGCGTCGGACTTGTAGAGTTCTTCCTCGCCGGAGGAGCTGTCGCTCGAGCTGTCGCTGCTGTGGAAAAAGCGAGACATGATGGGTGGTCTGACCGCTGGTCCGCTTGTTCACTTGGGTTGGGTGCAGTGACGGTGCAGGAGAGGGAAATGGAAATTCGGGTGTGAGGTGAAATTATTTGGAGGACGCGGTAGTGGAGGGGCGTCAGGGTATTCCTCTCTCACTGTCAAGTTTCACCTCAGTTTGCGCTGGGCGGTGGCATTCACGTGGTTGGTCAGTTGCTTTTGGGTTCAAGCGAACGGATTAACTTTGATCCTTGGTACGTTACATAATTTATTTGGTGCCTGAGACAAATTGAGGCAATAAGGCATAAAGCTCCAATTCCTCCAATTTATTGTAAAGTACGGAATACACCACACTTCAGGCTCCTTGCAAGTTGCAACTTTCCCTATGTGGGCCGACAGATGTTGGCTCGAACGGGTGTAGGAATCAATCAATCAAGCAAGTTGCACACAATATAAAAGATACAATCGGAATATTTCATACTGCATTCGTTCGATACAGCCGTCGCCAGAATTCCGAACACACCTCCACCATCATCAAATCAAGTATAATATAGTCATCTCCTGAGTCCCCTTGTGTACCATCCTAGCTGAATATCGCCATGCGACTCTAGACATCCTTCATAGGAAACGCAAACCCATCGCAATGAGACTAACCCATGTCTTTTCGGGGTCCGGTGCGACAATCTCTGCGCAATGGGAAAGACGCGGTCGACCCCGCAATCCGAGGAGCATGTTCTCCAGGTCATTTCGTGCGTGCTACAGAATTCGAGCACATCGGACGACCGCCCGACGCAGGATCCCACCCGCACGACCCTCAGACGGTGCGACCCGAACCCGTGAAACCGTGGAGTGAAACCAACACTTTTAATCCCAATCCCATCCATCCATGGGACCGCCCGTTCCTCCCTCACCACTGCCCATTCGTATTGTTCATAAACCCCTCCTCGAGCGTGCGATCCTCCAACGTCTGGATGAAATTCTGATTGCCCCGCGCGTTGCCCGTGCGGCTGCCGCGGCGCCGCGAGCTGTTGGATTCGGGTATGCCGTCCGGAGGCGGCGGGTAATATGCCGGGCTGGGCTGCAGCCGGATCGGCGCGTTCGGATCGAGGTGGCTCATGACGCGCTGGATCTGCAGGGGGACGCCGCTGCCTTGTTGGTCGAGAGTGGAGGACCGCTGGCGGCCGGCACGGGTGGTCGCTTGGGCGTAGAGGTTCGGGGGCTGTTGCTGGTAGTGGCGTGGCTGGCTGTGGGCCGGCATCATGCTCAGAGGCGGGTTGTAGGCTTGAGGGGTCTGGTGGGGGGTCTGATAGGGAGGGGGTGCGCCTTGCGGGCTGTACATGGGGCTGTACATAGGGGTTGGCTGTTGAGAGTGCGGGGTGGGGGGGTATTGGTTCATGGCCATTTGTGCGTACGCGGCGTTCTGTTGTGCCTGGGCTTGTGCCTGGGCCTGGGCCTGAGCTTGTGCTTGCGCTTGAACTTGAGCGGCTTGCTGAGCCTCTCGTTGTCGGCTCATCATTTCTGCACGCTGCTGCTCTTGAACGCCCGGTGCCGGGGACTTACTCGTTCCGGCTCGATATTGCATCGGAGGCACAAACGGACCAGTGAACTTAGTCTGGGTAATGAATGGGTGCAATTTGGCTTGTTGTGGCGTCCATCGTTCGAGTGGGTTCAGATTCAGTAACCCTTGGGCAAAATCGATGAATGCTGTTCGATTGGCCATTTCTATTGCTGTTAGCGAAATACATCAAAGGGTGTGGATAGTGACTCTACCTCTCTCAATCTCCGCTGGTTTCATGTTCTTCCGTGGCATCGGGTAATTCTTGATAATCTCCGGCAATGTCGTAGCAGAGAAGTATTTCTTGCTGGGCTGCTCTTTCGTCCCGTGCTCACGCGAGTACTGCTCCATACTCTTCAGTCGGTACGTTCTTCTCCCAAACTCATCCTGGACCTTCTCGTAGAATTCTCCCGATTGTTTCCCCACTTCCAACATCCATTTCGGCGGCAGTCCCAGCATTTCGGTAATTCGAGCGACCTGGTTGTACTCCGACGATCCGGGGAAGAGAGGCAGACCAAGGAACAACTCGACGACAATGCAACCTAATGACCACATGTCGATTGCGGCGGAGTAGGGCAAGCCAAGAAGGACTTCAGGAGAACGGTAAAATCGAGACTGGATGTATGTATAGACGGTTTGCCGTTCGTCGCACGCTGAACCAAAATCAATGATTTTGATAATAGGACTCTCGAGGCTTTTCCCAGGTTAGCATAGTCAATAGACTGGACACCTGCTCACGCACTTTTTGAGAAGGATATTTTCGGGTTTAAGATCGCAATGGATGAGTTTGGCCTTTCCGAGCAGAGCCAGACCCTGGAGTAACTGCTGCGCAAATACTCGGACCAGAGTCGTGCTTAGACCACGGAATTGGTTCTGTTTGATCAGCTCGTAGAGGTTCACGCTCAGGAGCTCAAAGACTAGACACAGATGCTGGCGGTGGATGAAGGTATCTTTGAGTCGAAGGAGGTGGTGATCGTCGTTCTTGTCCATTTGCTTGTTGATCTGTTCTGAAAGTCAGACCATGTCCACCGTTCAATCAAAGAATCCACGTACCAAGTCCAGGACAGACACTTCCATCATGCTTTGGTTGAAGTATGCGGTTCTGTTTTTGACCACCTTGACGGCAATGACTTCTTGTGTTCGCAGGTTCTGGCATTTCACGACCTGGCCGAATGTACCTTGCCCGAGAACGTCCAAGATCAGGTAGCGGTTCCTGTTTAGCGCCAGTAAGTACAGATTCGCGCCGACTGCTTCTGGATCGCCTTACTTGTGACCAGCATCTTCTGACCCGAGGATGTCATTGACGTAAAGAATATAATCGCTATCTTCATTGTCATATCCGTCATTCTTGACACCTTTGCTCGGTTTCGTGAGCACTCGGCGCGGATTTCTCGACGATTCGTATTTGAACCCAGGGTTACATATCCGATATGTCGCAGGAAGATGCGATGTCAACGCTTGGAGGGGCTTGGACTGTCAGTAATCCGCACAGAACATCTCGGTAAGAAGCTTACGCTTATGAAACCACCCTCTGGGTTTGCGCGACGGAATGGCGGTTGCTCATTGATGCTCGGCACAAGCGACGAGACGGTCGTGCATTTCTGGAATTTTGGCACCGGAAGTGGTGGGCCAGCGACGGATTGAACAACCGGTGTCTGGATCGGCCGTGGAGATCTTGGCTCTCTGCTGTACACAGCATTAAGCTGCGCCATCTGACTTGGCTGAAAATGGGCTTCTGGACCCATATTCGACTGGATCGGCGGGAGTTGCGGTGCATGCGGTCGAGTAGCTGAAGTATCGGTCAGTCCGAGATCCCGTCCAAAGTAGTCGGGGTCTGTACCAGGCGGAGAATAGTACGTCTGAGAAGGTGACATGTAGGAGTTCGGGCGAGTGGGAGACTGGCGCGATTGGACTTGTGGCGTGTAGCTTGTATAAGAAGCGGTCGTGTTGGATTGTGGGGGAGGCATCGACGCGTATGGAGAGGCGGGTGATAGATTCATGGGAGAATATCGTCGTGCAGCCGAGGATTCTTCCTGCTGGACAAGCTGGGACGAATGCATCCGACGATGGCCTCCGGTCTGAGACGCTTGCTTGAGCTTATACAGATCTGCGTCCTCCATCTGCACATCCCCGTCTCCATCGCCCTGGCCGTTGTATTCCGGTCGATGAGCCGCTTGCTGTGGTGGAGCAGATAGCGGCATTGTTGGCGCTCGCGGGCCCATCTGCGGCGCCGCTAAGGCGTCGTTTAGGCCAGTGCTGCTGTTGTGGCTATGGTTCGCAGTCGACGGTGGAGGCTGTTGTGACGGGACGGTCTGTGGAGCGTATCGTGAGCGGGTCGTCAACGGGCTCTCGGCGTACGAATTCCATTGCTGATGATCCATGGCTGATGCGCCGATACCCGTAGGAGAAATGGGGAAGGAGGCGGTCGCGAATTTCTGATGGTCAAGGAGCCGGTTGTCACAGTTCCACGGTCACGCTATATCGCATTCCGGTTGCGCAGCAAGCGGTGGCTTTCTTGCAAGAAGCGCCTAACAGCGCCCAGGAACGTTGCTCAGCGGCTCGATCATGAGTAGTGACAGCTCGCAGGCAAACCGACTGGGAGCAGGAACTGAGGTGAGTCAAGTTGAGGAATCGCGTGCGAAAGTGATAAATAGCGGGCAGAACAGGAGAAAGGTCTGGTGAATGTCTGACGATGAATCGTACTGAGGGGCTGCTGCGCCAATGGACAATAGTGGGAGCGGACTTGATGCAAGCAACTCAACAGCCGTCAGCCCGATGCAGTAGCTGAAGAGGAGGAGGCAAGCCGTGAGATTTCACGACTGCGCTAGGTTTGGGGAATAGCAGCGCTCAGGAGGAGGAGAATGGATGAATGGAAAGAAGGTTGTTGTTAGGATTCAAAGCAGTTGAAAGACGACATCTGGGATCAGATGTGTGGAACAACCAGTCAGTCTTACACTCTTACTGCTACACTAGTTTGCGCTACCACCATGCTACCACAGTAATTACGTGAATCAATACGTGGTGTGCTCCATGTGCTGGTCTGCTGGGCCACCCGGCCCATCCTATTCCGTATTTCCTATCAATTGCTGCGGTAGTTCGGTACGTACCTGTCAGGTATCCGTACTTTTTGTACGGTAATTACTAGCCGCGGAGCAGCAAGGAGCATGACATGGCAGTATGCGTCCACAATAACTAATAAGTCTTGATCTGCGTAGCAACCTTCTATTCACCAGACTATGACTTGTGAGAGAGGAGTCTAGACATTCGCTCTTGGCTGCACAATGCTAATGTATGTGCTTTGTTTGCCATTTGGTCGGTTGGTCCCAACTCCCAAAGGACCGCTGGGCTCAATCAAATTACAGGTATGCGACCCTGGAGCTTGACCTTGCTTACCGCAGGCCAGCTGCTCTATGATGGTGAGACACGATGCCGACTGCCATCTGTCCGTCGAAATCAATCCATGCAGCCTTAAAATGCTGCTTATGCTGCTTAAATATCGGCCTTAAGAGGTCTCAGTAAGCATGTTCCACCTCGTGTCTATTGGCCTTGAATGCACTACCAAATCCGGTGATGCACCAGGAATGGAACTCTCACAATGGTGAGGTCCTCCCTCGGGATCTTCGCCATCTTGGTGCTCAGACACATTCTTTATTGCCCCTGCCATCCATTCATTTACCGATCGCTATCCTGCAAATGTCCCCACTGGTCCATGTAATAATCATCTATCAATCATGAATGATTTCTCGATAGGACTTGCCGACCGGTCTGCGCGCTGTATCCGATGCAATATGAGTCGTTCACCCGGTCGCGACCTCATGGCTGGCATTGACTCGCAGCCGACGAATGCGGCATCACTTCAGAAGCTCGATGCTGCGTTCTTTGGTACACCACTTAGGGAATTGGGTGTTGCTGGGGCGGTTCCCTTCTGCAACAGGTGCACCGATGGTGAGAATAAGAAGACTTCTCCCCCTCCAGAGTGTAAGAAACTGGAGTCCGACCAAATGATAGAATGGAGCCATCTCAATGTCACGCCGCACAATGCTCATCACAGCCCGTCGGCCTCGCGGGGTCATAATATTCGTAGCCCACATCATCCGAATCATATTCGTCTTCGTCCGGCTTCGATTTCGGTTCGTCTTCAGGAAAGACTTTCTTGAACCCGCCCGAAGGCTTTGATTCCGCTGGTGTGGGATCCGCGGAGCCAAACGCGCTTTTGAATCCCCCTTTTTTGAACCCTCCTCGGCTTCCGCCTGTGCCTTCCGCCATCGGCTTAATGGAGATCAGTCCCGATTTCTCGTCCGCTTTCCGTTCCGCTCGTCGCGCTCGGTCGAGCGCGTTGGGGTCCTTCTGCATCTGCTTCATTTCTTTCAGTCGCTTCGACATGTTAGCACGGGGCCTCCAGCCTTGGATTGAACAGTAGAAATCTAGGTCCGTCAGTTGAGCGAGGAATTCTTACTCGTTTGTGCTGGTGGTCATAGGATGATTCATGAGCTTCAAATTCATTCATTCGACTGTAACCTTTCTGACATAGCTCGCCTGCCCATTGTTAGAAGAAGCCATAAATCACAGAAGAAGCGAGCGTGAACTGACAGAAGAATGATTTTCTTGCCTCCTTTGCGCTCTCGGTCTGTATTACTTGGTCAATATCGTCGACCCAGACACCAGGAGCGGTAGCTTACCAAAGGAGCAGGATTAGTCTGGAAGCGCTGGTATAAGGATTAGCATATGTACTGGAAATAAGGTTGAAGGTACTTACTGGTGGCATATTGTCAGTAAACAAGAATAGCGGTATCCTTTAGTTAGACTTCCCGTATAACAATACTCGTGTATGAAGCAATCTGGAGACTTGGAAATGCGCTAGTCAGTCAGCTCGGTGATACACGTTGTCGCCTTATGGCCTGGGGCATCAACCTGAACTACAGTAACCTCTGCTCTGCTGGCAGGGGCTGAGTGAGCAATCCCAAATTTCCCAACCACCTTAAGTTAGTTACTAGTTACGACTTACAAGTTACAACACACCTTCCAACCAGATCAGATGTTACTTCTGTAGTCCTATGATGTTCTACAATGAAGTGCCGACTTCAGTTTAGCGACAGTTATAGTTACTGTATGTGTACTAAGTAATGTCTTGCTGATGAATTGAGACGCATTCAGAAACCTACGCATATGATCAAGCCGGTGACATCTCCTAACCACTCGTCATTCTTTGCAGCCCGTCAGACGATAGACAAAAGAGTATCTATACTTATGGGCAAGTGGGAAGGGTATGACTCGGTATCGTACTTACCGCAATAGATACGATGGCTGTTTCTCGTTTGGATATGCATACCAGTCGCTACTATATCAACCAGGATCTATTGCTGTCTTCCATTGTTTTCGCTCTTCAAACTCCAACATCTTCCATCTCAGCTCATCCAAACCCACATATTCCGTCCGTTCCTTGGTCCTTATTTTTCAGTTTATTGATATTCCACATGTTTCGAAGACTTCGTTCTCGAGCGAGAGCCTCCCTCAGGAAATTTGTCAATCTCTTCAGGAGGCCCAACAAGACCACTACCGAACCTACCCCCGCCGCCACCTAGGACGTGTTCGTGGAGCACTTGAGGACGGGGTGAGGGGTTCCTGTATCTGAAGACATCCTCAGTCGTCTTGGAGTAATTCAAGCCAATCGTGAGTCCCAGAGCTGGAGCTGTGGACGTTCCCCGTGGTGGTCAACCGATGCTAACTGACACTGAGAAGCCTGTCAATCCACATATGACGAAGCGAAGCCGGGCAGCAAGGAAGCGTAATCGACACATTTTCCATCAGGCTCGACAGGATCACCAACTGGGCGGTGTCGACGTCTCCACTCAGACAGAGCAGAATGACCGCATCCTCTGCAGTGACTACCAAGCACCCCTGCCACTATCACGATACCCAGGCGGGCCCAATCTCTGCACAGAGCCAGCTCATCACCTAAGGGAGGTTATCGCATTGTTGCATGGCTCGGATCGTCGATCTCCAATGCCATGGTTCCCCGGGCAGCGACAAGATTGGCAAGCGCGTCGCTGCATTCGGGTCTACAAGCACTTCGAACGGAAGATGGAGAAAATGGCTCGGCTGGAAAGTCAAGCAAGCAGTGTGATTATGCGAACGGGTCCGGAGACTCCGAGCATCGAGCCATACGTCTCTGACGAGCTCCTTGCCGAGTTCGTGAAAAAGGAGTCCGAATCCGATCACCCCGTTGAGCCTTACATTTCCGACGAGCTACTTGCAGAGTATCTGGAAACGAAGCGTGGCCACCCTGCCCGATCCGAATCTGAGTTCGATTTCCTCGACCTATGCTCTGACCTCCTTTCCTCGCCATGGCTTTCTGTTCACGATGTCTCAGAATCTTCTGATTATGACAACGATGACATCCATGCGTGGAAGCTGCTTGCTGAGATTCCGGAAAGCACTCCTTGCATGCGCAATGTTACTCGCGAGGAGGCTATCTCTTGCAAGCGTCCAGAGAGTGATGGTTGTCAAGTTGATGACAACGCTGCTAGGACCACACACAGAGCCGCAGCTATGGGGATTGACGATTGGTGGGGGTGGCACTGACGGATTTCCTAACACGATGGATGGATGAAACAGATTCGCCTAGCAAGAATGGCAGCCTGACTTGACTCGTATTCCTCAAGATAATACTTCAGCTATCAAATTTCAACTTTCCGCTAGCCTGCTCGTACAATTTCCCAAACTTGGTTGGTCAAATTTGAACCAGAGCATCCTGATAAGATTGGGGGTATTCGCTGAACCCTCGGAAAACAAGTGGGAAAAGAAACTCCGTCATGACGTCTCATCGTTATGAACGATTATCGATCATTTCAAGTATGGAATACTGGAAGCCCCGGCTGCCAGCCAATCTGCCTGCAACAGTGAAACGTGTCCGTCTCGCCCCTATGGTTATCTGAACTCGTTCCAGTCTTCTGGTCGATACTCGCATACACCGTGAAGCCATGTGATTCCAGTCCCTCAATCAGCTTCAGGATCAAGCTCCGTGCATACATGGTGTCTGATCCGCTAGCCATCCCTACATAACTGTAAGCTCAATGACGAGGGAGGGGAAATATAAGAGTTCCACTAACATGGGTAACCGTTCATCTTCAACTCATAAACATGCGGCAACCGGAACGACGCATGAGATTGGGTCTCCTTCTGGAAGAGCGCGATCATGTTCGAGACCAACTGCTGCGGTGCATCGATGAACCGGATCCGATCGGTTTTCGAGAACGAGATGCTAAACCACTCCGCTGGTCGAGGAGGCGGATCCTGCTTGCGGAAGATCAAAGTGTCCTTGTCCATCGCCTTCTTGCTGATGTCCGTCGACAGGGACAGGATCCAGCCGTGCTGATACAGCGTCGCAAGGATATGGTTCATCAGCCGCCGAGAGTGAACGGCGTCATCCGAATATCCGCTCCCTACAAACAGCAATATGAATGGGATGGCATTGGAGCAGTGGGACGGTCAACGCTTACATGGATTACCGCGGAGTTTGATCTCATAAGAACCATGATATAGCCTCGTATCCTGGATCCCACGACTCCAGACGTTCGTAATGATATTCTGAACCGCCGTGATGATCTCCTGCGGAAACTGCAGGAACCGAAGCCGGTCGGTCATATGCAGCGACAGCGACGCGAACACGGTTCGGAACGGAGCCGATTGGGGAAATGGCGGAGGATACTGCTGTTGGGGAGGCGCATATGAAGGCAGCGGGTCCCCTCTGGATGCATCCGGCTTCTTATCACCGAAGGGCGGTGGATCTTGAAATGGGGTCTTTTGGTCGAACATGCTGAACACGACTTAGAAATGGATAGGCAAGGGATCGAACGAGATGAAACTGCGTAACCACGACTTCGGATAGGTATAAAGGAAATCGAAACTGGCTATGGAATACGATGAACGCAAATTAAATGGCTTCTGGATTCTTTTTATGCGATGGGCTTGTCCTTATACGACAAAACGAAGAGCAAGGCAGACTGCATGTGGCAGTGCCGTTTGCGTCGGCACGGAAGTCGGTCCGCATGCACGCTTTCCTCCGGAAAAGTGCCCCGACTGAACTGGTCACTTCTTACTGATGCCCCCCAGCTACCTTACTGAGCCTTACTAGTCTTCGCAGGTCCTTAGAGAGAATTCGGTGCTAAACATAAACCCACCGAACTTTCAAAAGCTTGAACGTTGGCATTCGCTGATTCGCACAATGTAGCTGGCGAGTTGGACGAGTAGAAGAGAGGAAGATTGTTAGTTAGATCTGAGATCACACACTAGTTCCTCCCAGCCACTGCATGTCGTAGGGCAGTGCATATGATCGGCAGGACCAGGTGCCTGGGACGTCCTCACTGGCTCATTCCTTGCGGCTCACTACTACGTAATATTTAGCTTCCTGGTTGGAGGTTTGACCTGGGCCGCGTTGGGTCTTCGACCGTGGACCGGGATGGATAGCGTGGCGCATACCATAGTATGTATCTAGTTAGTATTAGGTCAAATCATTCCTCCGCAAAAGTCTCCGTTCAACTCCCATTTTCCCACCAAAACTGATGGTTTTATTTTATTTATTTAAAACATATTAGGACCGCCTAAGTTGTAAAGGTAGATGGCTTATAAAATTATCGGTTTTGGTGGGAAAATGTGGGTTAAAAAGGGACTTGCGTGCCAGGAGGGTACCTATTATTAAACATGGGGTCCCGGAAAGGGACTGTAACATCATGGTTGAAAATCATTCCGGGCGATAGAGCAAACCTACAAACTCCACCCTCCATCCATTCACTCCTACACGATTCCCAACCAGCATAATATCCGTATCTAATGCCTACTTAGATGTCTTAATTCATTTTAGCAATAGAACCTCAAATTTTCGACAAGGTGCAGCTCACCCTCGCCTTCGAGTCCTTCCAAACCATGAACCATTTGAACTGACATAGGTACTCTACTCAGGGGACTCATCATACCTCAGAAGGCACCCTGTGGGCATTCATTACCGCACTACACAAAGAGAGTCCTGAAATTACAAGTCTCTAGCCTGATGTCTCGAGGCACTTCTCTTAATAGTCCAGATATTGACGTCGTCTTGCTCTTAACTCCCTAATCCATCACGAATACCAGGACCGAAGTCGCGTCTGCTGCCTCGTGTTTGAGCCTCTGGCTTTTGATTCTACCACAATGGGTCAATGAATAAATAGAAATGATACAGTTGAGCCAAAACAGCCTCCTAGAATCTAAAACTGGAAGTAAATGCGCCACATTCAGGGCCAAATCTAAGGAGTTGGAGCCCCTATGCTACCAGCAAAGAGTTGGACTTCTCGCTGTCATTTCGACTAAGGATATTCGTTTCTAGGCTCAGGAAATGAGCTACTCGCTATGCTTGGGGAGACTCGTTTCTCCACACGAAGCCGTCACTACCAGAATATGGGTACTCCATATTATGAGGCTTCTTCAGGCTTGTAACTGGACAAAGAAAGTGTACTTAAGACTTCATAACCTTCACTGGTTCACTTTGATTATCTGTTACAGTCCCATCATACCATTCCTTTTGTATAACAAGATTTGGTTCTCAGTCACTCACTCCCCTAGAGCCATGTGGACCATTCGTTCTCTTGTTGCATTATCATTGTCTTCGTTTGCTTTGCTTCTTTTAGTCCATTGTCAGTCGGGACTGAATTTTCCAAACGCCCATAATATTGTGACCAGTCCCGGTATCGTAAAGCTTCCTATTTCCGTACCGCGGAAATCTACAGCCAGTCACAGTACAACTTGATACTAAATCGTCCGATCTTTGGGTCAACCCTACGTGGGCCAACTCCGTCAACCCGGAGTACTTCAGAAGCCTGCCACGTTACGATCCATCCAAGTCCTCCATATCGAAGAAACTGGGGATACTCTTCGGCATTAAATCTCAGCAGCATTACAGAACCGCCAGAAGAAAAGTCCTCTGTTCCGTTTAAGCTAGCACCCACGAAGACGCCAAAGACAACGACCTCGACGATGCTATCGACAACGACCTACCCCTCGCCAGCTATGCCCCAACCATCGTAGTGTCTAGTCGGCGAAGCCAGCCGGCGAAATCATTATTAGTGTAATCACAATCACAACCACAATCTGCCCAATACTAAGACGCCAATTATGCCTGCGCCACTACAATTCTCCTACACCCTATCCTCCCAAACATTGAGAGTTGTCCCCGCCACGTTGGTGAAGCACACCCCCTCGGTGCCCCCCAGCACCACTCATTCGACCATGTACTCCAAAGCGATTACCCCGACAAAGAGCGGCAACTCGAGCGGCACCGGACTCCCGAGAAAGCCCACCGTGAAACCGTTCGAGGGAGAGGCGGCAAGCTATTCTATCAGCGGTTGCTTGCTCCTGGGAGCGGCATTTTCGGTATTGATTCTAACATAATTACCGCACCGTGGACTGTTGATTAGCGGTATTGCAGGTGACAGGCTTGGATGGCTTGCAATTCCGCATTTTGGGCGTTTGGTTGATTGTCCAACCCTCGGGTGCACGGCGAATTCATGATTTTCTCTCTCTAGGGAGACATGGTATGATAGCTGATGGGCCCTGTCCGGTACTTGGATTGTTGCTATCGGGTAATCTGGGGCTTTTTCGGGAGAAATGATTTGACGATGTGGAACTGCACATCGAAGGATCTCTTCAGCATCCACGTGTACGAATGCAGCGCATCAGGTAGATTGGATATCTCAACGGCGCCAGAAGTGAATATACCTCATTCTATACTTCGGTACTGGCTGATTACTCTGTTGAGACCATTTAAAACGGCGCTGTTGATCGTTTGCACCTTACAAGTCATTCTATCGGTTACTAAATAAAGTTATCACGCTCGCAATATCTTATCTATAGTCTATAAATTTATCTACTCAATGGTCATGCTTTCTACAACCAATAGGAATATACACGTGCAGCATCCACGTATGATCAAGGGGTGCGTCCCTAGTCTCCCTACAATCGTCCGGGTTAGACTGCCGACTGGAGGACCCTGACGGTTGGTGGACACTTGAACACGCCAACCCAGAGTTTCGACGTCATGAAATGTCATTGTTATTGGTGCTGTTTGAATTTGCCATCCAACTTCTCTAAACCAACTTGTTAATCCATGGAGCAAAGCAATAGTACAATCCACTCCAAGACTCTGATAAAGTCCTTAAATATGGCTCATGGACACCGAAGCCAGTTCTTGAGGCCACTTCATATACCCCCAGATAACCCGACATTCGTTCTATACATGTACGTACTCTCGTAACAGATCGTCGTGCGACTTCGATCATGGATTCCGAAGACAGCTTGAAAGAGAAGAAGGAGCCTGGAAGAGCAGACTCCCTGACGTCACGCGTATCGATACCCCCCAATTCTCCTCCGTCGGACACCAGGAACAGCAGCGTCGTTGGCCCAATTCGAAACCGGTCCGGTTACCAGAAGGATGAGAGGTATTCTTCCGGTGCTCCGTTGCAATCGCACGCTACCACCGCGTCGGATCGAGCCCCCGCGGTGGCTAACACCACCCTCTCCACCATCCGATCGCGACGCCCAGTGCCCCCATTCACTCATCCCCTGGCCAGAGAGAAAACCGCACAAGATGTCATTGTAGAGTTTGATGGGCTTGATGACCCTTACCACCCCATGAACTGGAAAGTGGGCAAGAAAATATGGACGACGGCGCTATATGGCCTAACTACGATGGGCGCCACGTTCCTCTCGTCCGTCTATACTCCTGCCGTTCAACAGGTCACCGATCAGTTCGAGGTCGGGCGGATAGTCGGCCAGCTAGGTCTGGCCCTTCTTCTTTTCGGATTCGGCGTGGGGCCGCTTCTCTGGGCCCCCATTTCCGAAGTGTATGGCAGAAAGAACGCCGTCATTCTGCCATATTTTATCGCGACGATGTTTGTTTTCGGGTCCGGTGCCGCGAAAGATATCCAGACTCTGATGATCACTCGGTTCTTCGCCGGCTTCTTCGCCTCCGCGCCGATCACGAACACCGGCGGTGTCCTGGCCGATATCTGGCCCGCGCAGCAGCGGGCTGCGGCCATGGTGGGATACGCCATGGCGGTCATCGTTGGGCCGATATTCGGTCCAATCGTCGGGGGAGCGATCATTATCAGTGGCGGGTCATGGAGATGGACGGAGTTCACGGCGGCCATCCTGATGATGATCTTCCTCGTTCTGGATATAATATTCCTGGACGAATCATTCCCTCCCGTGCTGTTGGTTTACAAAGCTCGGCGACTGAGGTTTGAAACCGGGAATTGGGCACTGCACGCCAGACATGAAGAGTGGGATGTCACGCTGAAGGAGCTGGGAAATAGATATTTGGTGCGGCCGTTCCAAATGCTGTTAACACCGATCTGCTTCCTCGTGGCGCTATATGCGTCCTTCGTCTACGGGATTCTCTACGGAAACCTCGCCGCATTCCCAATCGTCTTTCAGGAGATTCGAGGGTGGAATGTATTAGTCGGATCGTTGCCGTTCCTGGGGCTACTGATCGGAGTTCTTCTTGGTGCGGTCATCAACATCGTCAACAACACGTATTACACCAAGTGCCTAAAAAAGAACGGCGGCCGCGCCGTCCCCGAAGCTCGCCTCCCACCGATGATGCTCGGTTCCGTCCTCTTCGCAACCGGCCTGTTCCTCTTCGGCTGGACCGCCGACCCGCGCTTCCACTGGATCGTCCCGGTCGTCGGAGCCGCGTTCAGCGGCATCGGATTCTTCACGATCTTCCAGGCATGTCTAAACTACCTCATCGACACGTTCACGCAGTATGGAGCGAGCGCGGTCGCGGCAAACACGTTCCTCCGAAGCGCGGTTGGCGGTGCGTTCCCGCTGTTCATGGGCCCAATGCTGCATAATATGGGAGTGAATTGGGGCATCAGCGTGTTTGGGTTCTTCGCAGTGGCGCTTATTCCTATTCCGTTTATGTTCTTTGTTTTTGGCAAGCGTATCCGGGCGCGAGGGGTCTGGTCTCGGGCATCTGCATGAACGTGCCTGGCGTTCTTGTGGTTGTGTCTGAACGTGTCTTCAACTAGAAGTATAGCGAGGCGTTCATCGAGGGTTTGCATGTTATGATTCCAATGATCGAAGTATTGGGATCTAGAGTTTTATGTTAGTTTAGAGATACCTATCGATAATGCATCTCCAATTATTTTGAAGTCCTATCTCATATCTGTACAACTGAGCGGCTAGAAACGACACTGATTGTCAATCATCAGTTTGATGTTGACCGTCGCCGAGGGAACCACATGGCGATTAGCTAGACATGGAGGACAATAATCGCGGAGACTTAATCTGTGAATTGTGAAGGCGTTGTTTAAAAATATGAGCAATTCAACATGAGCTAAACGTGTTTCGGAGGATTTTTAGATTACCATTTATTAAATATTAGGTTGAGAGGCTGATGACGATATTCGGAGCTTTTGATGATGATTTTGCCACCCAAGTTAGATGGCACGGATGGGTCCAAAATCTTCATTTTCCCTCCTCCATCACAACATTTCGAAAGGATACTTATATCCAATCAAACTAAACTGCTGTTAAATTGATAATTGTCAACTTGTACTGGCCTCAAATTATTAAGAGAGCTGTGATTGAACCGACACAAGTGCAATACTTGTACCTTCCCATTGTTCTACTGTCTTCTTATTCAAAGTCATCCCAAAAGCATCTATCACCAGTTCACCACTGTCGACCAAGGTTTAGAATTTTAAATTGCTGGGCTCCTTGGTCTACGTTGTCTTAATATCTTGATAAAATAATCTCGGTGGCGACAGCAAAAATGCCAGAGTCACTTGCTCATCCATCCACTTGGACGAGCGACAAACCTGCCCTTCTTTCTCACGATCGATACGCGATCTACAATGGCTCTCTCCAAACCCCACTAGAAACCGACACTTCATCAGAGTTCCGTTCGGTAGATCCAGCAACGGGAATTGAACATCCATGCCGCATCTTCACCTCCTCTCCAAAAGACGTCGCCGCAGCCGTCTCCTCCGCAGAGGCCGCCTTTCCGGAATGGAAATCCACCACGCCTTCCCATCGAGCAGCCATCCTCATGCGCGCAGCAGCGCTCCTCCGCGAGCTCAATGACGTCCTCGCGGAAGTAGAGACCCGTGACACTGGCCGCGCCTTCTCAGAAACCAGCGCCGTCGACGTCCCTTCAGGCGTGGAGGTCATGGAGTACTGCGCTTCGTTCGTGGCTGGAGGCGGACTGGATGGACGCACTGTGAAGCTTCGAGAAGATGCGTGGGTCTACGAGACGAAGGACCCGATCGGCGTGTGTGCTGGCATCGGAGCTTGGAACTATCCGCTGCAGATTGCGATTTGGAAATCCGCGCCGTGCTTGGCGGCGGGGAATGCTATGGTTTATAAGCCTTCGGAGGTGACGTCGTTGCACGCGGCGCTGCTTGCGAGCATTTATTCGGCAGCAGGAGTCCCTTCGGGCGTTTTTAATGTCGTCTATGGTGCTGGGGCGGTTGGAGCACAGCTGACTTCACACCCTGGGATTGGGAAGGTCAGCTTCACTGGGCAAGTGGCTACGGGAAGGAAAGTAGCCAAGGCCGCAGGAGAGGGGATGAAATACGTGACGGCAGAGCTGGGCGGAAAGAGCCCTTTAATTATCTGTGACGATGTGGACATTGAAACAGCCGTTGATGGAGCCATGATGGCGAATTTCTACAGCACCGGGCAAGTCTGCACGAATGGGACGAGAGTCTACGTGCACAGAAGTATTGCGAAGAGATTCGAAGAGATTCTTCTGCAGAAGATGGAACATATCCGCTTCGGCGATGTCATGGACGAGAAATCGAACATGGGGCCCTTAGTCAGCAAAGAGCATTTCGAAAAGGTGATAGGATACATCAAGCATGGCATTGAGGTGGATAAGGCCAAGCTCCTCTACGGTGGCCTCGAGACACCTCAAATCGACGATAAGTTCAAGGGGGGCTACTGGGTGAAGCCAACGGTGTTCACCAACTGCACCGACAGCATGAAAATCGTCCGCGAGGAGATCTTCGGCCCGGTCATGTCCATCCTCCTCTACGATACCACAGACGAAGCGATCCGCAGAGCCAACGACACCGAGCTGGGTCTCGCCGGGGGCGTGTTCACCAAGGACGTCAATCGCGCTCACAAGATCGCCGGACAGCTCGAAGCTGGGATCATCTGGATCAACACTTGGGGCGAGTCACCGGCTGAGATGGCAGTTGGTGGGTGGAAGATGAGTGGTGTTGGCGTGGAGAACGGTCGGAAAGGGATCGAGGCGTGGACGAGAGGGAAGAGTACGTTGGTCGATATGAGTGGTCAGGTACCGACCGCGTTCTCCAAGCTCTGATTCTAGAAACGTTAGGGATGGCCTTCATTGTCATTCAGGGGTACGGAGGTAGGGTTCCTATGTCCGCGACCTGAGCATCGCGATAGCCGATAGGGACTAGTATCAGCATTCAGCAATAATGAACGAAAGCACAAGCCTTTGACTTTCTGATATCATTCAAACTGATATCATTCAAACTCGGGGAAGAAAATATGAAACAATTATTCATGTTCCACGTGATCCCTTGTCCCAGAAGACCGGATACGCGTGCATAATTAATTCCAGCAGCTTGGGTTTGTGTAACTTGAGTAGCTCTAAGTCAACGGACCCAGTTTCCGTGCACCCCCACCACAACACCAATAGGACACAAAGACGAATGGATTTTGCGGAATGTAACCACCACCATATATTTTTCTATAGCTGTAATTGAAATTGTTGATAGAGTGACTTAAACATTGCCTTCTGCAATTATCAAGACGTTTCCTCCGGGTTAATTTGAAGGCGTTTTGCAGCCTTTTGTTCCCTCTCCCTAGCTGCCTCCTGAGCCGCAACAATCTGGTCAATCTGAACAAATCGTTCGTTCAGATTGGGCTGAACCCGTTTCCTTTTCTTGCCAGCAGGCCCTCCTAAGTCTGCAACTGTATTTTCAGCCCTTTGAAGTTCGGCTTTGAGTCGGGCGATTTCCGTGTTCTTCTTTGCCAGCGCCTTTGCGACCTTCCCCTGAAACCTCCTGAAATCCCGGGCCCCCATTTCGTCTAATTTGGCATCGTATATATCTTTGGGGCCTTTAGGCGTACGGAATGCATAAGTATATTGGGGTTCTGGAGCCACATGACGTTGTATTTGATGGTCCTCGTTTAATTGGGTGCTATTTAATACTTTGTCTGGGTTGAACGGAACCATTCCAGTTCCACGGAAGCCGGCACGAATATTGTACGAATTCAAAGCTTCTTTTCGGGATTTAGAGTATATATATATATATAAAATTATGCTTTTTACAGGTGCGGAATCATCTAATGATGCTAATTGGGAGAGCTCTTTATGATATTTGGACTTTAGGGGCGAGAAACACGCGACGTCAAGGGGCTGGAGGAGGTAGGAACAATGGGGGGGCAAAAACAACAAGAATACGCGGTTGTCCTTGGCCAACTTCATGAACTCGACCGTGGCGTGGGAGCCGTGCCCGTCGCATATTAATAGGCGCCATTCCTGCTCGCCGTTCGCTGCCGGGGAGTTCATGGGCTTGCTTTCTGGCAAAAACTTCTTCTTGAGCCACTGAGGACCGATTTCGTTCGAAGTCCAGGCATTTTCTGAACTCGTATAGTGCCAATTTGGTATGTCTGTCTGCTTAGGAGGGAATTAGGGAGACTGGACCGTTTTTCCTTTGAAGACAACCAAGGGAGAGATTGCTCGGCCGTCTGCTGATACAGCTTCGATCACTGAGACCCATTCTCGATTTTCTGGGGACTTGACGCATGTATGGCTCTACTTTCGCCTTTTAGAAGAAGTCTGAACAAAAGCAATTACTCTCCCGTTGGTTCTACAGCCAAGGGAGAGGCCGGGCTCGTCGAAATTCCACTGGTTTGAGATCTTGATGTTGTACTCCGCGCAGACACGCAGATATGTATCAAAGAACGCTTGGATCCTCTCTTTTGAAGCTTCATTGACGCGGGCGGCTTCGATTGATCATCCCACCACTGTATTTACCTCCGGATTGCTTCGTAGAAATCCCTGAGTCCAATCGATACCGCAAGGGGTAGTATCCCCATTTTCTCGTGCAATTGCCTCAGCCATTTGGCGTACTCTTGCATGGGAGGGGGCTCTGGCAGCGAGATCTTCTTCCTGGATCCATTCGACCAGCCATTTTTCCTGCTCGAGAGATAACTTCTGAAGTTTCTTCGAACTATTTTGGTGGGAATCGTTGCCGTTGAGTCTGTCCCGGAGTGTAGATCTCTTGATACCGTACGCATCCGCACATTTATTCAGCGAGTCAAATTCTTGGCCATGAAAAGCATTAATAGCTTGTTGGACAGCCTCTTCATTAATACGAGGCATCCTGATAATATTAGATGGTGTTGTTGAATTTATTTCATTGATCAAAAGCGATCTAAGTATCTACGTATTATCTCAAGGGGTGCACGGAATCTGGGTTGCACGGAAAGTGGGTCCGTTGACTTACTTGACCAAAATTCTAAATATTCCATTCCCACCACGCACAACTACACGAGTCATTACTCCGCAGCTTCAAAGTTCACTTGCTGACAGACATACTGCTATCACCGTTAATCTCCATACTAGGAGAAAATCCAAATATTGAGAATATTATAGTATTATGGTGCTTGTCTTGATTGTACCCAAGGTGCTTGACACCGTGTTTTCTCTGCTGAAGAGGCGTCGAGCGTCGATGTATATCCTTTTGTGGTGGTTCTGCCACCGCCGTTGAGTACAAGGAACGAGCTTGGACTTGGAGCCGGGGAAGTCGCTAATGGAAAGCTTGATATTGAAATCCTTCGTTCATGAAATCATGAGCGACCCGGAGACACGGCCCCAAACGGCTAGGCCCGGGACCGGTCCGCAGTTACCCTAGAGCCCTAGGAAGGAGAATACTATGTAGTGAAGCGTGGGGGGTCCACTGCCATGCTATCTCCGCGAATCCCTAGCCTGAGAGAGTCAGGAAGCGGAATATCCGGTTTCACCGAGCCGATATATGAATCATGGAATCATGATCGAACACAGCATTGAGCATGGAACAGGTTTTCTCCGACAAGGAGCCAATCATCATTCCGTTATTCCATACGAAAGATGCTAACGTGCTTAGTGCAGAGCTGATGGGCAAGCGAGCGACATTGATTTGCCCATATGAGGCCATGAGACTAGACCACTGGAGTGGAGAGTCCCTCGTGAGTCGTGCACTGGTGCCGGCCGACTACAGCCTGCAGTCCGAACTGTCCGATACTAATTTAATAATAATGTCGCCTGCGTTTTACCGATCTGCCCCACCCCCAGGTCGCCATTTGGCTGGGTCATCAACTCAACCGTCCTCGGTATGCGCACTAAGGACTTCCCTAATCCTAGGAGGGGGGTCCATTGGGATTCTGACTGATGGCCCTTCGCCTCTATTCCCTGCCGGTCGGCAGTTGGCTCTGATAGACAGGAGTAAAGATAGCCAGTGGAAACTCGCCGTTTGGTCTCTCGCCTACACTTGCATGAAGGTCAGAAAGGTCGAGACTCGAGGGTGACTGGAAACGCAATCGACTGGAAACATGCAGTGACGTGAGAACTTTAGGCCTCTGCATGTCCGCACCAGAGGGCCCTTTTTTGCGACTTCACAAATCCACCGCTTGACTTACTGCTTGACTTCAAGCTCCTAAAAAGGAAAAGATGGCAGCCTTCTTCCTTTCGTGGCAGACGGCCGTGGCTCTCGTCGGCCTCTATATCGCAGGATGGATTGTGCTTGTGGTTTATCGCACTACTTTCCATCCTTTGGCCAAATTCCCCGGCCCGAAGCTGGCGGCGATGACATTTGCCTACGAGGGCTATTATGATGTCGTCAGGGGCGGGAGCTATAACGAAAAGCTTGTTGAATTACACAAGAGATATGGTACGCATCCACCTGCAGCAAAACTGTCCGAATCGAGGTCTCTGATGTTCCTCTAGGCCCCATCATGCGTATTAATCCGAACGAGCTCCATTGCAACGACCCTAAGTTCATCGATGAGGTCTACCCGGTCGGTTCACGACGTCGGGATAAGTCTCAATATTTCCTAGATACCTTTGGACCCAAGGCTCTCAAGACCGGTTTCGGATCTAGAACCCATAACATACACCGACTCCGAAGAGGTGTCATGAATAAATTCTTCTCGAAGGGCAGCATCTCTAAACTGGAACCGATGATCCATGACCTTGCCCAACGGTTGTCCGACAAGATCTTAGCCAAGACCGGATCCGGTAAGCCATTCGATATCACGATGGCATATAGCTGTTATACGACTGAGGTTATCTTCACATACTGCTTTGGCAAAAAGAGCGGATTCATGGATCAAGAGGATTTCGAGCCAAATCTGAGGGAGCCCATATATGCAGGTCTCGCAAATCATCACATCGGAAAGCAGCTGCCGCTTTTAGTGAAGGCTATGAACATGCTCCCTATGTAAGTCTTGCCATCCTTGAAGCATGCAAACAACAAACAGTTAACAGTTGTATATCAGACCTCTAATGAGGATGCTTTCCAAGGAGCTCGCCCTTTACATCGACACCATGTTTATAGTAAAATCCAATCCTACTCCTCCGTGTATGGCCGCCTAACATCTGACCTAGGGCCTTGGAAAACATGCCGCCAATATGAGAGAGGCATATGAGAATGGCACGTATGAGAAAATGATGGGCGAGCGATCTACCATCTTCGCAGAAGTGTGGAACAGCGACCTTCCCGCAGAGGAAAAGAGCGCGGAAAGGGTTGGGTCCGAGGCTGCGAGTCTGATGGGCGCTGGAACCGAAACCACGGCTTGGACTCTTTCTCTCCTGACATTCTACTTGAAGACGCAGCCCGAGATATACGAGCGGGTGACGAAGGAATTGAAAACGGTAGTCAAGGATCCGAGACAGCTTCCATCCTGGTCCGCCCTCGAACAGCTCCCATATCTGGCCGCCACAATCCTGGAAGCAATTCGACTGTCATACGGTGTTAGCACTCGCCTCGCTCGTGCAGCTCCGGACGAGGAGCTTATCTACAGAGGAACATATACGCCTCTACCTACGAAATCCGGCGTCGACTCCGAGCCTGTCCAAGTAGAGTATGTGATCCCAAAGAACCAGTTCGTAAGCATGTCTAGCTACAACATCCATGCAAATGAAGAAATCTTCCCGGATGCAGGAGAATTCAGGCCTGAGAGGTGGTTGAATGAGGAGGGAGAAAGACGGAAAGATCTGGAACCGTATATGATGAGTTTCGGCAAAGGAAGTCGGCAGTGTCTGGGCATGAAGTACGTATTGTCCATTCGTTAATTTCCTTCCCACTTTGGGGTCAAGTCTCGGTTCCATTCCATTCGTAACATAAGCCTTTAGCTTGGAAACCATAGTGTCGTACTTCGACTAACGGTTATCGCATAGTTTGGCGTATTGCGAGCTGTATCTCGGACTCACCGCATTGGTTCTGCGCGTCCTCCCACACCTTGAAATTTTCGAAACTACTGTTGATGATGTCAAGTATCACCATGACTTGTTCGTACCGATGGCGCATCCAGACAGCAAGGGAGTCCGTGTCACCATCGAGTGATGGGCTATGGCTGCATTGGGAAGCTTTCTTCGTTTTGGGCGATTATGAACACTCACGACTTGCATTCCAGCCTGTTGTATTTTAGATTAGGATATACCTTTTGTGTGAGCAACTTTCGAGAAGGGTTCGGATGATCAATTCTACCTATATTCGCGTCCTAGCTCGGCTTTATCATGAATCCGTCTTGAACGAGGACAGTGAATCCGTTAAGCATTCGCTTCCACTGACTGCTCAGCTTCCATCTGCCTTATCCGCGCTCTTACTCGCATCAAGGCCTTTCCAAGTAGATTCTCACCCCACTCCGACCAATTATTATCCGCCTGCGCCGCATCGAACCCAATGCCCCAGATTCGGTCGAACGGAGAAGCCTCCACCAAGAGCTTATCTCCCGTCTCAAGAAGTTTCCTACTCAACTCAGGCGCTTCCTTGCTCCGCAGAAACTTGTGCATATTCCCTTCCTCGACGATGCCCTGCTTATCTGGGAGAGTGAGTCAGCCTCTGGATTGACCCCGAGTGAAGCTAATAGCCCTACGCTCGTTCCATTTCTTCCCATCGTATTCTTTAACTTTACGACCAAGTCTTTTGTGTTCGCCGGGATTCGACGTAGCCTTCATTTTAAGGACGATATCCTGAAATATACATCAGCGAATGTATCAGCAAAGGAGACCAATAAGGTGCGGGTAGCACAAGACCACCGGAACAACACACGTACCTCATCTTCGAATAACTTCGCCTTCTGAATCATCATCCACATTTCCGCCGATTTATAGACGATGCCTTCATGTTCCCATATCGCAGGATACCATTGGGACAGGTAATCGGCGACTTCCCCATACTCCCTCCAGAAATACACCACTCCGTGGCCATACGCTTTTTCGTAGTCGATCACTTCATGGTAAGTTGGCGACATGATTTACACGTTATTCGTGTAACTGATGCAATCAAGTACACAGTGGGCGAAGACCGCGATTAGGTGATCTGGATAGAGGGATACAGCGGAAGAGCTCTGTTTGATCAAGAATTGGGAGGCTTGATTGATCTTGTTCCTGATGAGCGTGAAAACTACAAAAACACGCCCATCTTTATGTTTTTCTGTATATACCATACGTTGGGACTGTGGAGATCCTGACTTCCTCAAACCGAGGAAAGCAGCAAAGAATGAGGGGGATCTGTTACATCGCAGATGCGAGATATTACGCCTCCATGGGGGAATACAAGGTCTCAACCACTAAAAACCAGGCCGATGCTTGTGAAGTGACGTTAAACTTCACTCAATAGTTTGGTAATGCAGGAATGTTATGACGTTTCATCCGAGGGCGAGGTATTATGTAACCCCAGGTCAACTGCTGTCTGCCATAATGGTATGAAAGCCTCAAATTCAATGGAATAAACTATCGAAAAACGACCCAACGCCGCAAGCCCACTGCTGAGTATATACAGATCGAGAGACGCGAAAATTTACGAAAGTAGCCTTCAGGACCAGATCCCCCTTAGTTCATCGAAATACGACGGCCATCAGACGTTACCCAGAGCATCCAACCAGCCTCAAGCGACAAAAACCACACCCGCTACCGTTCAAACTGACCATAACTAACAGTTTTGCAAGTAATTACTGGGTACCAAGCCAGGTCGACCATTCTTTCCCATAACCTCTGCCTCCCACCAGCCGTCATCCTGAAGTCGGAGGACGGCCAAGACGTCGCCTTTAGCAAACGACAACTCCTCAGGAATGGCGGCCTGATACATGTACATGGCTCGCGCTGCAAGGGAGTTAGCCATGATTGACCGGATCGACCTTTGAAAGGATGGAATCACTCACCATAATGAAGAATCGCCCTGCCTTCCCTCGTGTAATCCCTCTTCTCTGCCATACTCTTACTCCTCACCCTGCCGACCGCCTGAGTTGGTGGTGCAGTGGACGGCCCGCCATAATAACTGGTCGGTCGACCACCCATCCCTCCTCGTCCATATGCTGGAGTATCACCGTGTGATAACGTCATCTCCATCCCATCGCCGCCTCGACTCCCCGGGCTTCCACCATACCCACCTTGACCACGTTGTGCGTACGGATTTGGACTCGCAGATCTGTGTTCCGGTCCAGGCTGAGCACCACTGTACCGCCCTTGGCTTCCCCAGCTATTGTACCCCTCTCTCGGCTTGACCGGCGACGAGCTCTGCGCCCTTGGCCGCTGACTTTGGCCGCCAGGCGGCATCGCATATGGATTCGGACTCGTGCTCCTGCGCGGCGGCCCTCCCTGGTTCGATCCAACACTATTGCTCAAGCTCTGGTTCTGCGGAGACCCATACCGGCTATTCCGATACCGTGGGCGCGGGCTCGTTGCGCGCATTGGAGCGGGGCTCGTAGCGCGTGGGATATCCGCACCCCGCGACCCCGGCCGCGCGGCGCTGTTCGGTGCGCTGTTGAACATGGCGCCCTTCTGCTCCACGAACTTCTGCGTCGTGCCGATCATCTGGCGTTTCGTGAACGCCGGCTGCGGCGCGCCGAGGCGGCTGCCCGGATCGTAGCTGGGGGGCGGTGTCCCCCGCGCGGCTGCATGCGCGTCGCTCTTATTCGCCCGCGGCGTTGGCGTCATGCCGGAGGCTCCGGGAGGCGCGGGAGTCTGTAGGCCAGCATATCGATCTACGGAGACGCGGTCGGATGCTTGCTTGCTGCCTGCGACGCTCTTGAGCTCGGCGAGGGCGGCGGCAATGGGGTCGAGGTCTTCTTGGGGAGATTTGGTCGCGATAGCACCACGGGAAGATCGGGAGGCGTCGACATCGAAGATGTTCGAGCCGATGGCCATCTGAGTTTTTTGCGTATTCGGAGTGATCGGCTCTGGGGTCGGCGTCCGCCCAGTCCGAGAACTGGGCGCCCATGTGCTACGCGTTACAGGTTGTCGTGGGGTTTCCTGCTTCTGGTTCTCCTTGTTGCGCCGGCCAAATGGCGAGTTGAAGAAGCTCGGCTTGTCGGAATGGAAGAAACCGGACTTCTTCTTCTGTACCGCTTGCGACTGGCTTGGCGGGGCCTGATTGAGCTGATTGAGCTGCTTCACGGGGGACTGTGCTCCGCTGGAGGGTTCGAAGCTCGAGAATGAGGTTGGGTTGCTATAGTCGCTATGAGAGTCTCGTGAAGAGGGACGCGCGCTGCTGAGATCAGATCCTGTAGGACCGGATCGACAGAACTGTGTCATCCCGTCTGGCGGATACTCATTGTGTGGAATCTTGGGGATATCGCCAAATTGGTTGACGTCAATGGCTTGGCCACGGCTATTGACTCTCATTGCCGATTGAGGCATCTGTGGTTGAGTTCGCTCAGGAGTTGGATCTCGCGCCTGAGCGGAGTCGTGACCAAAATATCGAGCGAGAGAAGAATTAGGGTCATGGTGAGACTCCAATACCGAAGGCTGCGGCGAAGAGCTTCGGAAAGCGGGATTGATCGTCCGCTGAAAGTTAGCCACCGAGTATTCATCTTCTTCCGCTAGCTCGGAGGCATCGTCGACGTCCCCGCGGCAAAAGTCGATGAACTTAGGCGGATCAGGGATCTCCTGGCCCGTTCCGGATTCCTTAATGAACGAAGCGATGTCCTTTTCGACCTCGCAATCTTCAAGGGAAAGCCGGATCTTCTCACACGACGCATCATCGCTGACACAGACTGTGGAAGCAATGTTGGCGAAGGTCCACAGACTGCTCTTCAGGAAGTCCAGTCTCTCTTCCTCTAGGTCTTGGAATTTGTCACATGCTGCCTTCCAATCTCGGTTCCATCGTCCGGTTGTTTCTTCGAGAATATTGACTGAGGCTTCGTACTCGTTGCTTGTCGTCGACAGTTGAATTTGAGTCTTCTCGAGTTTCGCCTTGTTCTTGCGCTCTTCTTGCCCCATCACCATGTGTCCTTGGGCCAAATACCCTTTGATCTTCAAGCTCTCCTGTTCATACCGGTCCCTGGACTTGTTGACGGCTATTGTCTGCTGGACCTTGACCTTCAGCAACTTCTCGATGGCTCCCTGCACAATCTTCCGCCTCTCCTTCACCGCGCCTCCAAACGCCGCGAGCGGTTCATCGAGCTCCGTCTTCATCTTGCTGGCGATGTTGTGATGCGCTTTTCCTGTCGCCTCGATCTCCCCGCGCACGATGTCGAGAGACATGCGCAGGGTTCCTTCTTCCATAGACCCCAGCGGCTTCCGGGCCAAGCTCAGAAGTTTCCGCGCATATTCTTCTTCGAGCGCGGCGCGGGCGCTGTAGAAGGATTTCAGCTCGTCCATGGTAGTCTTCGCATTTTGCATGCGGCCGAGGAGGGGAACGACGCCGGCGTCATCTTTGCCCCAGAAGTTGTTCGCGACTAGTTGGCGTGTTAGAAGCTGCTATCGCTTTTGAGACCATTGAGGAGAAGCATACAGGAGAGCGAAACGGAAGGTGGCTCTGAGGTGGCTACCCCAGGCATTTCGGGAGATGTTTGCTCTTAGGTAGAGTATGTGTTGCGGATTTGTTGGTATCTGTTGATTCGACCAACGACGTAGGTACGGTCGTCAATAAGATATAGAAAAAAGGTACCAAGTACAACGAGATGATGGTTGGATAATTGCTTCAACAGTTTGTACGATAGTGCAAGCCAGGGTTTGGGGTCATAATGAAAGGCACGGTGTGGAGAGTGTCGAGTGTCGCAATGTCGGGGAAGGGTGTTTACAATTCGTTGCCATAGCGATTTGGCCGTATATCAACCACTCGAACTAGCCCAAGCCTTCCACGTGATCACGTGCAATGCCAAGCCTATTTGAGATTTTATATATTTGCCTTATTGCCTTATTGCCTTGTACGTCTATCGTTAATGCCTGACTGCCTTATATTTATACCGGTACTAAATGCACATCCATGCATCAAATGCCCCTCTGGTCCAGTCTGGTATGTGTGGTCATAGCATTTTCGACGCCTTACTGCCGTGCTGCCTGAATCCATGGGGTCAGTGCGCGGCGACTCGTGCTGGATTCAAACTCCAAACTGAACGACTTGCTTCCCAAGTTCCCTTTACTCCTCCGTATCTCAACCCGTCTTCTTACCCCCTCCCGCGCCTATTCCTTCCATCAACCTATTCTCCCTCCGAACCGTGATGCTTCAGGGCATGGAATAGCTGTCTAGATGACCCAGGAATCTCCGTGGGGACAGCCAGCGAAGCAGCAACATAGTGCCCGGCAGGTCCTCACCCCGATATCCACCGCTTTCAACTCGTCCACCAGTCAATCCACCTCACGAGCAAGCGCGTCATCTTCTGCTTCGTTGCAAAATTCCAAATCCCCTGCTCCATCTTCCTCCCATCCCCTTTCGCAGCCTCCGACACATCGCGCTCCGAGTCGCGCTTCGTCCGTCTCGTCCAACCCTTCGCCTTTCCCAGCCACGCAGCAGTCTGCTTCAAGCCAGCTGCTCGCCGGCGCCCGATCGAGAGCCATAGCTTCCTCGAATAATCCATCATCCACTTCCTCCGCCGCGGGTTTGTCTGCCCCATCTCAAGGAGCTGCGGCGGCCAGCAGCGGCGGGGGAGGAGGAACCGCCAAACTGGCTCGAGCCTCACCCTCTCTCTCGCTTTCCAGCGGCATTGGTTCCCCTATCGGCTCGGCCAATCCAAATTCGATTCCTGCAACCAACCAAGCGTTGGCGAAGATCGTGATTGCGCAGGTATTCCTGTTATTGAGTGGACTCAAGGACGATAGGGACAAGCCAAGGTTCGATCAGCAGGCGGAGCAATTGCGCAAGGTGAGTTCTAAGACCTAGTGAATTGAAGCATAGGGGATGCGGTGGATGCCTTGAGGATCGTAGAGCATTCACCTCTCCCTGTCCCGTGTCAAATGTGTGTTGCCGAGTTTGCGCTGACACGTACCTTGAAATTTCAGTTAATCGATGCGCACGGCATGGATGTTTTCTCCAAATACTTCCGCCGACTTCTACAACAAAATGCCGCTCAAGTATTTCCAAGCTCAGGTCGAGTTGACACTCACGGAAGTTACGGAATCCTAGTGGGAGAGCTTCAGAAGGTTCGCACGGATATTCAGCAAGCTGATAAGATCGCGGAATCCATCAGCGCACCGGAGGGCGAATTCTCCCGCGATTTTGATTTATCGACCTTTATCGATCACTTCAAGTTAGATATTTTTGCAAAGATTGCACTTGCTTCATCCTTCAAGCGCGTTGCAAAAGGCGATCTGAAGACCAAAGGTAAATATTCCTAGACGCGTTATTCACTTTCACCCTCAAATCACTCATTGATCCACGATTTCACTCTAATGGACCTAAGTCACATGTTCTTATCATTTCCTGAATTATCACTAACACTGTCTAGCGGATGCAATACTCTCCAACTCTCTCAAAACCTTCTTTGCTGCCCTCTCCACTCCCAATCGTGAAGAGGACGACGTCTCACCTGAGTATCTCGGTTCGTTGCTCGAACGGATTGGACGCGATCCACCTCGGAATTGGAACGACGAGAACAAGGCTCACCTCCATTTTGCCCTTACATCTCGATACGACGCCTTAAAACGATCTCCTTCGCCAGCGGTGCGATCGGCATTAATCGCCATGGACCTCGTGCAGGAGAGCGATGTTCTTGTCCGAGCGCTCCTCGATGCGGGACCAAGTGGCACAGCTTCACTGGAGGCAGCCAAAGAGATGGTCTCGAAGATCGACGTACAAAGCTTGAGCGCCGGTCAGATCGCGAAGTCGCTAATCTTCCTCATCACGACATTCCAATCCGCTCAATACAAAGCCCCTCACCTCATTATGGCGATCCATGACAGCCGTGCCGGAACACCTGTCGATTGGAAAGAAGTGGTTTCTTCACTTGATCGCAACGGCTTGAGTGTCACGAAGCAACAGTTTCTTACACTCTACGATTCACTTCTTCCTGTTGCCGAAAAAACCGAAACCTTCGATATCCAGCAGCTATGGGGTGGCACATGGAACCACATCGACACTCAGCTATCCTTTGTGGTCGCCTTCCTATCCTGCACCCCAGAAGAGGTGGATGCATCTCGAATCCCAAGGCTCCGAGCAGCGTACTCATCGGATCAATTCAAAGATTGCTCTGATGAAGTGAAAGCATATGCCGAGAAAGCCGTCAAGCACCCGCTTGTTTCACTCGACGCTACAGCGGCCTTGTTCAACATGATTTTCCGTTCGCAAGAAACCTACAACCATGCACAAGACCTCCGAATCCCCGAAACCATCATCAACCCCAACACCGATCTTTTTCTTGTCGCTGCATCAAAGGTTCCGAAGCCCTGGACATTATTGCAAGACCAGGCCATTCGTCAACTGTTTTGGCCGTTTTTGCGAAGGCAGCTACCGAACTACGGTTTTGTCCTGAATGGGCTATGGAACAACGATTCCTCCTGGATTGTGGAACGCCTGATCGATCTTTATGCCCAAAACGCAGCCTATGTGAGCCTGTTTTTCGACCAAGCACAGGAACAGGGTTGGCTGGAGCCTCTCACCAGCATGCAGAACGAGCTCGGTGCAGATATCGTCGTTTATGCACATGCGCGAGGAGCTCTCGACCTCAAGGCTTGGCTTGACCGCATGGCAAAGCAGAGTCCGGAGAACTTCCCGAAAGCGTTGTATCAGTTCACGCTTGCCAAAGCGAATGCCTTCATCGAAGCCCACCGTGAGAAACTGCAATTCGCCATCGAGATGTCCGTCAAGACAGTTTACGAAATGATCAAGTTTCTGGAACGCTACGTTGAAGAGGATGACATGGCGCCCCTAGAACGTGTCTGCATATCGGCATATCCTCGACTTGTCAACTATGGTGAAGGACACGACGACGCCCTAGATGAAAACGGGAAGAACGGCAATGCCATTGGGCCTGAGACGGATGCGAAAATGCAAGAGCACTTCAAGAACATGTATAGCGGAGAGAGCGATGTTCGCGACATCATCGAAGCCCTTCAGCGATACAAGAGCTCCTCCGAGCCCGCCGATCAAGATCTCTTCGCATGCATGATTCACGGATTGCTGGATGAGTACAACTGCTTCGGTCAGTACCCCATGGAAGCGCTTGCTACTACTGCCGTTCTCTTTGGGAGTATCATCAACTTCAAGCTTCTTGGTCACATTGCCCTTCAGACCGCACTCTCGATGGTATATGAATCAGTGCGGGACTTCACCCGGCAGGACCCCATGTTCAAGTTTGGACTGCAATCCATGATTCAATTCACCAAGCGCCTTCAGGAATGGCCTTCCTTCTGTGAACGCCTCTTGCGCGTTCCTGATCTGCAAGGTACTGAGGTCTGGACTGTTTCCCAACAGGTCGTCGGCGAAACCCGAGGAACAGATGTGAACGGAGAACCGAACGGCGTCACCCTCACGAACGGTGACACAGATAAATATCCCCAACCCGCTCTCCCCGAGTTTTCATCCCTCCAAGTGGATGCTCCGACGAGATCTGACTTCGAGGAGCCAGATGATGACACGCAAGAGAAGGTGCTCTTCTTCCTAAACAACGTCACGGAGAGCAACCTGGGCGAGAAAATCTCCGACCTCACCGTTCTCAAGGAGACACATGTGCAGTGGTTTGCCTCTTATGTCGTTGCGGAACGAGCCAAGCTACAGCCCAACTTCCATCGACTTTACCTCGAGGTGCTCAAACATCTGAGTGACAAGACTCTGTGGGCGGAAGTCTTGAGGGAGACGTACGTCACCTGCTTCCGTTTACTGAATTCGGAGACGACCTTAAGGGATCAAACGGAAAAGGTTCACCTGAAGAACATTGCTTCATGGCTGGGCCTCCTCACCATTGCTCGCGACAAGCCCATAAAGTTCAAGAACATCTCGTTCAAGGATCTCCTCAGCGAAGCATACGATACCCAACGCCTTGTCATCGTCATCCCCTTCACTTGCGCGGTTCTTGTGCAAGCGGCAGCCTCCACAGTTTTCAGACCGCCTAACCCATGGCTCATGGAAGTCGTTCGCGTCTTGGTGGAACTATACCACTTTGCAGAGCTCAAACTTAACTTGAAGTTTGAGATTGAAGTTCTCTGCAGAAAATTGGAGCTTGACCACAAAGCCATTGAGCCGAGTTCGTTCATCCGTACCCGACCTCTCGACCAAGAGTCATTCTTGGATATGGCCGAAGCTGCAGACCTTCCTAACGACGGGCTCGCACTCATTGGACTGAACCGTGTTGGTGGAAACGAGCGGTTCTCTCAGACAGCCATTACTGCCAGCATTCCCGACTTCAGCGCCCAACTTGTCTACCCACCTTCGTCCAGCCGACTGGTCGGCGAACCTCGACTCCGACAGATCTTCCAGACGGCATCTCAATCAGCGGTTGCCGAAATCATCGCTCCCGTTGTTGAGCGTTCAGTCACAATTGCCTCCATTGCAGCTGCTCAACTGGTCACCAAGGATTACGCGACCGAGCCGAACGAGGAACGATTCCGGGAAGCCGCATACAACACCGTCAAAGCACTTTCCGGAAGCCTCGCTCTGGTGACCTGTAAGGAGCCACTGCGTGTGAGCATCACCAACAATATTCGCATGATGGCTCGCGATCTTCCCGAGCAAGCACTCCCCGAAGGCCTGATTCTCATGTTCGTCAACGATAATCTCGATACCATCTGCAACATCATTGAACAAGCCGCGGAGACGCAGTCAATCAACGAGATCGACAACCAGATCGAAGAAGCCGTTAGGGTCCGCCAGGTCCACAACACCACTCGCATGGGCGAGACTTTCATGCACCCTCAGCTCAGCCGCTGGGCACTGTTCATCCCCGACCCGTACAAACAGATGCCTGGTGGGCTCAATCGAGAACAGCTCGCCATCTACGAAGACTTCGCTCGTCATGCACGCGGCATCCCTACTCATGGACCGTCGTCCTCGCAGGAAACTCCTCGTCAGCTCCAAGAGGCTATTCAGGAGCAATTCCCACCTGTTCCGAATCTGCCTACTCCTGCCGAAGCCCCTGCGGTTCTACAACAAGCGCCCCCACAGCAAACCGCCACACCGCAACAGCCAGGCGCGCTTGCTCAGCAGCAAGTGAATGGCTTCATGCCGCCCGATCTCTACCAACGAATGCAAGAACTGTTCAACAACCTTCATCGCACGATCAAGGAGGCATCTGAAGAGCATGCTACCGATTTGGGCCCACAGTCGCCGGTTCGCGGGCACTATCAGCAACTCTTGCAATTTATTGAAGCTTCCGGAGGACCCAGAGAGCCAGTCCATGACATCCTTGCCGTTCCCATCGCTCAGCGAATCTCTCAGCTTCTGTTCGAGGATGCGACAAGGCTGGAAATCGAGGTCTTCGTTCAGCTGCTCTCACATTTGTCCAAGATGTCCGAGCACGCTGCGCGTATTGTCTACACCTGGCTCTTCAATTTCGACGAGAAGCGCGTGCTTGTGGCACCGGTGACCATTTCCTTGTTCAACTCTGGCCTTCTCCCGGCCGAACGTGTGGATGGATTGGTCGCGAAGGGTCTCAAGCAACGAACCCCACAAGCTGTTCACTTCATGCATGAGCTAGTAGATGATGTGGTAATTCGAGAGAATATGGGTTCCCTTCGGACGGACTTCACTCAATCATTTGAGGCTCTCGCGCAATGGGCCGTTACCGACCCGGAATTCGAGGGTGCACGGAGCGTCCTTTCGAAAGCTGCATCTCATATCCCAACTGATGTGGAAACCCCCCCCGCTTCCAAATCTGCGGACGACTACGAAGCAATCTTCGAGCACTGGATCCATTTGCAGCAGGTTGATGCTCCCGAACGGGTTCTCGCGACATTTGTCTACCAGCTCTACGAAAAGAAGGTCATCGATACTCAGGAGAGTTCCATAGGGTTCTTCCGCGCCTGTATTGACATGGGGCTGGACACTCTCGTGGAGCCACTTTCAGCCAAGGACGAACCGAACTACCTATTTGTCGACTCGTTCGCCAAACTTGTCCTCTGTCTCGGAACTCACAATGGCGGTGACGAAAGCAGATCCGGAGCGTCCTTCCTGGAGGCAGCACTGAGCCTTGTCTGCTTGATCTGCTCGGCCCACCAGGGGTCGCAAAAGGAGCGATGGAATCCCACTTTCTGGTTCCGCTTCTTCAAGACAACCTTGGATCAGATCCAAGAGGTATCCAAGCGACCGGAACGATACACTTTCGCGTGCGACGCTTTGATCTTGGTTGGGAGATCGCTATTGTTCCTTCAGCCTCAACGTCACTCCTCGTTCTCTACTTCATGGCTGTCCTTGATCGGATACAAAGAGTTCATGCCTGCGATGCTTACCATGACTGATGGCGGATACTCCGAGCGTTGGGACGTCTATGCATCGCTAATCGAGGCCGGGCTGGAATTCGTGGGTAACCTCGTCAAGCCTGTCGAGGCATCGGGTGCTCGCCGACTGTACTACAGTGCCGTCCTTCGTATTCTCTTGGTCCTTCATCATGACTTCCCGGAGTTCTTGGCCGAAAACCATTACCGACTTTGCAACGCAATCCCCGTGCATTGTGTTCAGCTCCGAAACCTGGTTGTCAGCGCGTACCCATCTTCGTTTCCCGAGCTTCCGGACCCGTTCACTGCGGGCTTGAAGGTCGACCGTCTTGAAGAGATCAAGAAGGCCCCGGTCGTGCGTGGTGACTTCGAAACACCGCTTGACAAAGCAGACATTCTCGAACCGGTTAAAGCCCTTCTGGAGACCCTCGATCAGTCTCCGGAGCAGTTGAAGCAGGTCATGTCCGTGTTGAACGGGATTGAAGAGAAAGACAGCTCGAACACATTCGGGTACCCGGATGTGACGGTTGACACCACCCTCATCCACGCCGTTGTCCTCTATATCGCGGTCTCTGCATTGGACGCCGGCGGGCGTACTGCGTTCAACGCCCAGTCTCCCCATGCGAAGCTTTTCGAAAACATCGCCAAACAATCTCACTACAGCACGCGTTATCTCCTGATCAGCGCGATTGTGAATCAACTCCGTTACCCCAACAGCCACACCCACTGGTTCTCCTATCTTCTCCTGCACCTCTTCGGATTCCCGAACAACGCCACCACATATAGTGAGGCGGAGGCGGCAAACCTTGCCGGCGTGCAAGAGCAGATCACGCGAGTTTTGTTGGAGAGGCTCCTCGTGCACAGACCTCACCCGTGGGGATTGATTATCACGTTGCTGGAAATTTTGAAGAATCCCAGCTACGGGTTCTGGGAGCTGCCGTTTGTGAAGGGTTCGGGGGAGGTGAGTTGCTTGTCGGGAATGTTGACAGGATGACGCTGACCTTTCCCAGATCGAACAACTTTTTGGGACGCTCTTCCGACATATTGAGAGTCCTCGAACGGTTTAGGTGCCGTTCCTGGAAGTTGAACGAGTTGGGCAATGCCGATGAAGCGGCTAGACTTATGGCAATCTTACCTCCTTGTGGGTTGACACTTTTCACGACGCCATGGCAACCTACATCCATATCATGGCGCGAGGATGTCAACTCTCCCAGATGAGGCAATGAACATTTACCAAAGAAAATCCATGACGGGCGGATCATGGCATCCATGTTTCTTTCGAAGCGACGGGGCGGTGGTTCACGGCGTCCTAATGATGCATCTCTTTCCTAGAAAGGTTGCTTCTCCATCTCCCAAAAGCATCCGAGGGCTTTCATCAGCGAGCTTTTCATATCTCCTCTGCTTGCGGTCAGCCTAGGTCCGGATGGATGGGTATGGATACGGTTCTCCATAACACGTGGATTCGTCCTGGTTCTGCAATGTAGCATAGTTTAATGGCTTCTTATAAGCATCGGGTGGAATGGCGTTTTCGGGACAAAATCCAATGATTTGATAATATTGAACACGGCGGTTTCTTTGGTGATATCCTCGATTGAACGTTCCAGCCTATATGTTGCTTTTCCAACCCGTTGAAGGCGATACAACCGATCTGTATGGCAAGATCTAAATCCCAACATTCCGGTATTCCGGGTACCGCTTGGCAAATTTCACGGGATCAATAATCTAGCGCACTTGGGAAGATTGATATGATTCATGCTACACATAGATAACGATCGATCAATCTACCTCTGGTGGCCCATCCGGTTCTACCTGAAAGAACCTGAAGATCAACGCCTTCTCCGCCGTGATATCCAACAAGCCTGGGTGTTCATCCAGCATATTTGCGTACAAATTGACCGAATCGCTCTCCGTACTGTCTGTACTAGATGCGCCGGATAGGATCTGGTACGGATTCTCCTTCGGCAGCGCGAGCTCGACCTCTCTCCGCACCTCTCCCGCCCACGAGAGGTCCAGCTTATGGATGAAGGTCAGCACCGAGGCGCCTCGGCAGAACGCGATCCGGTTGCGGCTGAACTGCTTGCGGATCTGGGTACCGACGGGCTCCATCAGGAGGGTCGGGAACGTCGATTCTAGTTCGATCCAGCGCCGGCCTCGCGCATACGCGTGGAGGTAGTAGGACTCCAGACCGTGGAAGAGCACGGAGACGTCCTTTCGCGAGCAGCAGGCGTCGATCCAGGTGCCGATCTCCTTTCGAGCCCAGCGATTGATGCTTGGGACGGCTAGCTTGTCCACTCGGAATGTATGTCCTCCCCCTGATTCCTGCAAGGAAAGTATGAGCCGGACGTTGGCTGTCAAATGCAGCTTCGGGCTTTTGACGCTGATGTCATATTGGAGACGGGGCTCTTCCGACACCCCGGGGTTCTCCGATCTAGGAATTATTGATAAGTTGCCATGGAAAGTGAAATGCGTGACTCGTTTCATTGTTTCCACAAAATTGTCGTCTTCAATGGGTTGCAACGATGGTGGAGGTTCCGTGTGCTCGATCGTTCCGTTGGCCTGGGATACATGTGCATGGCCCCGGAACAATGAGCCCAGCAATTGGGACATTGATAGCGGAGCCGTCCGGTCCGGTGTCGCGGGTTGCTCATCGTCCTCGCATAGCGCAGACCTATTCTCAGATTAGGATTCTTATGTCACGAGGCCAAGGCGTAAAGGGACATACAGCAACGCGTCGACATCTTCCGGCCCATCGAAACTGAAATCCAGGAACGTTTCCGCTCGCTTTGTCTGCTCGTCGAGAAGCCGAACGTCACGCCGCAACTCAGCCAGCTCCAATTCCAATCGGAGCATCTCCGCAACGATTTCCTCGGACGCAGGTGGTGGCGCGGTCGCCTCCTCAACAACTAGATCGGCATCCCGTTTCCGTTTGCTAGTGCGCTTGTGCTGGTTCGAGGGAGGCGACCTGTCTCCATCATGAGCGGTAGGTACATGTTCACCAGCTTCGGCCTCGGTCTCCGCCGGTGGTTCGACGGGGAATGGGGCGATCCCGAATACGTCCCGTAACCTAGGGCTCTCGAGTCTTCGACTGGCTGTCATCAGAAGCGGCTCCGCCAGCCTCATAGACTTGCGCCGAATTGGCGATAAAGACCCAACTTCCCGGCCCATGGTTTCCTGATCGGTATCTCTCTCCACAGCCGACGATTGTCTCTCAGTCTTCGCGGCGGACCTGCTTCGTTTGCTGATTTCGCGGGGAAAGTCTGCGAGACCGGACGGGACGAGTGATGATGATCTAGGTTGCGACAGCGAGCGGATAATCGAGCTTCTGCGCGACGGTGGGAGAAGATCCGGATTGAACTTCGCGAGGCTCGCTTTGGTTGGGGACATAAAAGATGCTCGGGTCGGGGTGAAGTTGCCGATGGATGATTTCCTCCGTTTTGGAGACCGGTATGTTGAGTCCATGGTTGCGATTGCGCTCAGCTCTTGGCTAGAAGTCCAGGACCACTGCCTCTGTCTCGTGGTCAGATGTTCTTTCGTGTGTTCTCGCGCTGGGTAGAGGCAAGTTCGATGTGGTCGCTCAGGTGCATAAACTGCACTCGATCAATCTGGCAAGACGTGATATTCAATGTCAATTAGATAGCATTGTCGATAATCTTTCGTCGTAAATGAAAGTACCATAGTTGAATGAAGACCTCTATTACTGATACGCGCTCGTTGATGCTTGAGATGAGACATCGAAATCGCGTGTTGATAGATTGCCGTTTTGGGTTTAGTGACACATGAGCAGTCTGAGCAGTGTATTGCCTTATTGCCTTATAGTATTGCCTTAAATACCATGACTGTGACGTCTTGCCGGCATTGTCGTCAAAATGCCGAGTTGTTCTCGAATCTCAAATCTGTTTGAAGTTTAGTTCTTCATGTTTTCACCACCGGCCTACCAAATAAATACTCCATGAGGCCACCGGGCAATGCCGTGTCTCAAGCGGTTCACTGGCGTTCACGTTCATGTAAACAATGCTTTCGTCAATGGCACCGGGATCAATCCAGATATGCAAGCACAATCCCAAGACCGCCACGAAGCCCTCACATAGCAAGCCACGGATCACAGGCATTTCCCCATCTCGGTTATTATGCTGGTAAGGACCAAGGACACAGTCCATTCTCACCTGGTCCGCAGCTAACAAGGAAAGAAATCCTTGGGAACCCTCAAGGCAAATCGATTGCCCAGCGGCACGAGGATTCGGCGAAGACCAGCGAATCCGACCAAGCATGGAAGGACGAGGTCGCTGCGAAAGCCCGCGTCGTGTTCGGTTCTCGCCTCGCGGGGCCGATCCAACGGAAGGCCGAGATCGCGGAGGCCTCGAAGCTGATCGCCGGCGTGCTCGTCCCGCCTCGGCCGGGAGAACCCGATAACTGCTGCATGTCGGGCTGCGTGAATTGCGTCTGGGACCAATACGGGGAGGAGCTGGAAGAGTGGGCGGAAAAATCGGCGGAGGCGAGAGCGGCGGTACAGAAACAACGTGGTCAAGGGATCGGGACTGGGATGATGACGGCGAAAGCAGGTACCCCGAGTCATGTAGCTTCGTCGATGGATGACGATGGAGGGGGCAGCGAGACCAATTGGGGCCTTGATGCTTCAGCGGCTGGAAAGACAACGGAGGATCTATTCAAGGATATACCGGTGGGGATCAGGGAATTCATGAAGACGGAGAAGATGCTCAAGGAAAAGCATAGACAAGAGGGATCCGCATAGATGTACGATACCACATATCACTTTGGGGTTTTCAACTTTGTATGTCGGTCAACGGCTTTCAGGAATGAATTATGCGGCCAGAAACTCGGGATCTAAGCGTAAGGCGAGTGCTTCCAACGAGTGTAACGGGTACTAAATAAGTGCTTCCCACCGGAACGCCAAAGGAATCGACTGCGGCACATGCTACATGACTGTACAGCAAGAGTTCTGCTTCTTTGCCTGCACGAGATTAGCAGGTCCCCTAATACCAGTGGAAATAGATACCTACCTTGGTATAAAACATCTTACTTTGTGCGCTCAATCCATCGCTCTTAGCTACTAACGCATCGATCTTCTCTCCACGCTCCAGCACGCTCTCAATAGTCTTGTGCAGCACGATCTTGGTCTCATCCAGCTCCTTCTGGATCTTCATCAAGCTGTCGGCGTTCTTTGGGTCCTGATATTTCTCGACGTATTCTTTGAGCTGGGGATATGGTAACTCGGTGGCGTCGATGAAGGCGGATCGCGGGTATTTGGTCAGGAACTCGTCCACGGTCTTCGAGAGCACTTGATGTGCCACCAGCGACGGGTACTCCTGGTCAGTAATGATAATTCCGCAGACACCCTCTGCTCGAGCATATGCGTGGAAAGTGTAGCCTTCGAGACTCGAGTTAGCGCTACAAGAATAGTATTCCCCAGGCATGGTACACACCTTGCTCCTCAACGTCCTGTCTTTGCCCAGGCCTAGTCCTTTCCGCGACCGTCTTGCTGAACATAGTCATGAACTCGCCGATGCTGGGGTGGGTTTAGCATGAAGGGATCCATCGTCGACGGAAGGTTGTGCATACGTCGATCTCGTGAACCGATTGACGCTCGTGAGGTCGCGCTCCGCGCACAACTCGACGGCGGGCCGCTCCTCATTCTTGATGATCTGGTCGTCGTGTTAGTGTACGGTCGGTGATCAAGCGGTCTGGACAAGGTTCCATACCCCGATGTATACAAGCTTCATGATTACAACGCACAGCAGACAGGTGGTAAATTGAGGGATGTCTAGGTCTGGAGAATGGAGTCGTGAAGGTAATATAAGGTTGCCTACCGCAGCGGTTAATCAAGAGGCGCAGCCAGCAACAAGCAAGACACCATGTCGGCATCATATGAACACTGGGCCATCTACTGTTTCATGGTAGTGGTGTTGATGCTTGGTTTATGCCTTAGGCAACGGTATAGTTGCCTTACATCCCAAATCAGAACGAACCAGAAACATCGGATCTCGAGCATCCGTTCAGTCACCACACATCCCCCAGAGGAGAGACAACACAGCTCGGTCCTTTACAGATTTATATTATTACAAGATTCCTTCTCCGGAGTCACTCTGTCACTCTTCTACTGGAAGCCTCGTGGCTTCAATTCTGGAGAAGGATTCTTGATTACAATTTACAAGAAAGCCTCGCTAGAAATTCTCGGTGTATAATCTCATCATGGCGCCTGCATCGGATCAGGTTCAGGCTCAGTGGCTGGCCCGAGTAGCTGAGATGCGAGAGGCTTTGGATGCCATACGCTCTATGAAGACGACTGGGGACACCAGTCAGCCCAAATATGGCGATGATTTGGTGCTCTCAGAAGACGAACTGTCTCCAACTCCATCGGACGATGATATCTGGCTTACCTCAAGTCATTCGTTTGCTGCAGATGCACACATCGAAACGGATGTTAGTCAGCTTAACAACACAGGTTCAAGCAGTGCAGTTCATGGCATACAGTGGCTTAAGGGATGCTGTACTCAGCTAGGAAGAAGAAAAAGCGGATTAGACTCGGACTCGCTTTTTGAGCAGATCATGGCTGTCCTCGCTGCTGAAGAGAATGATGATGCGCTGCAAATGACCCTCGCAGACCTGGTAGGATACGACGATCTCGACTTGGTTACGGACATTATCAGCCACCGTCAAGAGCTTAGTTCCTCTCACACTAGAAAGCCTACACATTCTGTTCAGACTAGAGAACGGAGGCTTCTCACTCGTCAGGAAAGAGAAGAGGCACTTCGCAAGCAGGACATCGAGCACAAGGCAGCATCTCTAGGACCGTCAGTTGACCGCGGTCAAGCTCACTACCCCCATGTGTACCGCAAGCATGATGCTGGTAATACGCTTTCTACTCACGGCAAAAAATACCTCCTGCCTGAAGGCAGCGACAGAATCGAGCACGAGAAGTACGAGGAGTACTCTATACCCGCTACCAAAGTCGGGACCATTGCCGCCTCTCAGAAGCTAATTCAGATATCCGAGCTCGATGGCTTGTGCCGGATGACTTTCCGCGGCTACAAGACTTTGAATAGGATGCAGAGCTTGGTCTATCCCGTGGCATATGCGACGAGTGAGAACATGTTGATCTGCGCTCCAACCGGCGCAGGTAAGACGGACGCCGCCGTGCTCACCATCTTGAACGCCATTTCGAAGCACGTTGCCCCTCTTCCGTCCGAATCTCATGATGTAGTGGACTTCACGGTGGCCTATAACGACTTCAAAGTTGTTTATGTCGCGCCAATGAAAGCATTGGCCGCCGAGGTCACTGACAAACTCGGGAAGAGATTGGCTTGGCTTGGCGTGAAGGCTCGTGAACTCACAGGCGACATGCAGATGACGAAGACGGAGATCATGCAAACCCAGATTATTGTCACAACTCCCGAGAAGTGGGACGTTGTGACCAGAAAGAGCACGGGAGATACAGAGCTGGTCCAGAAAGTGCGCCTGCTCATTATCGACGAGGTTCACATGCTCCATGATGAGCGAGGCGCGGTCCTCGAGTCTCTCGTTGCCCGAACTCAACGGCAAGTGGAAAGCACGCAGTCCCTGATCCGAGTGATCGGTTTGTCTGCAACGTTACCCAACTTCGTAGACGTCGCGGATTTTCTAAAAGTGAACCGGATGACGGGACTGTTCTACTTTGATGCTTCTTTCCGACCGGTGCCGCTGGAGCAGCATTTCCTGGGTGTAAAGGGAAAAGCAGGAACGAGAGCGTCGAAAGACAACATCGACCAGGTGTCCTTCGAGAAGGTGACCGACATGCTGCGCGAGGGTCATCAAGTCATGGTGTTCGTACACTCTCGAAAAGACACCGTCAAAACAGCTCGAACCTTTTACGAAAAAGCCATCGAGGAAGGCTGCGTAGATTTGTTCGACCCGACGACACATCCCAGGTACGATATGGCTATACGGGATGCGAAGCAATCCAAAGGAAAGGAGATTCGAGAATTGCTTCCTAAAGGCATGGGAACGCACCATGCTGGTATGCCGAGGACAGACCGCAATCTTATGGAACGACTATTTGCAGAAGGCGTACTCAATGTCCTCTGCTGTACAGCAACTCTCGCATGGGGTGTGAACTTACCCGCTGCGGCCGTGCTGATCAAGGGCACTCAAGTCTATAGCGCGCAAGAGGGCAAGTTTATCGATTTAGGCATTCTCGATGTCATCCAGATCTTCGGTCGTGCAGGTCGACCTCAGTTCCAAGCAACTGGAATAGGTTTCCTCTGTACAACTCACGATAGGCTCCAGCACTATCTCACTGCTGTCACTCAACAACAACCGATCGAGTCGAATTTCTCCAAGAAAATGGTGGACAATCTGAATGCGGAGATTGCCCTGGGCACCGTGACTTCGGTGCCGGAAGCGGTGCAATGGCTTGGGTACTCGTATCTGTTTGTCAGGATGCAGCGAAATCCTTTGACGTATGGGATTGATTGGGCTGAGATACGCGACGATCCGCACCTGGTTCAAAGGAGACGGAAACTCGTAATTGAAGCCGCTCGAACTCTGGCACTTTCGCAGATGATCATATTTAATGAGACAACCGAAGACCTGCGTACCAAAGATGTGGGACGAATTGCTAGTCAATACTACGTTTCCCAAACTAGTATTGAGATCTTTAATAAGATGATGCAACCACATGCGACTGAAGCAGATGTTTTGAAGATGATCAGCATGAGCGGCGAGTTTGACAACATTCAAGCCCGCGAAACCGAAGAGAAGGAACTGAGTCGACTCATAGAGGAGCAATATGTTCCATGCCAGGTCGAAGGAGGCATTGGGTCTGCCCATGCAAAGACAAACATCCTTCTTCAATCACACATCTCCCGTGCACGTCTAGAAGACTTCACATTAGTTTCCGACACGGCATACGTTGCACAGAACGCAGCGCGTATATGCCGAGCGGTGTTCATGATAGCGCTGAACAGGGGCTGGGGGTATCAGTGTCTGGTACTCTCGGGACTATGCAAGTCAGTCGAGAAACGATTATGGCCCTATCAGCATCCATTCCATCAGTTCGATCTTCCTTGGCCGGTGCTGAGGAATCTCGACAACAAAGGCTCGATAACGTCAATCGAATCGATGCGCGAAATGGATGCGGCTGAGATCGGCCAGTTGGTGCATAACAACAGTATGGGTAGGACTATCTCGAACCTTCTGGATATCTTCCCAACTTTGACCGTGGAGACGGACATTGCGCCGTTGAATCGCGATGTTCTCCGCGTTCGACTGTATCTGATTCCCGAGTTTCGCTGGAACGACCGGCACCATGGCACGTCGGAGCCGTATTGGGTCTGGGTGGAGAATTCGGACACGTCCGAGATATATCACCAAGAGTACTTCATATTGAACAGGAAGAAGCTCCACGACGATCATCAGCTGGACTTCACCATCCCGCTCTCAGACCCACTGCCGTCCCAGATCTATGTTCGAGCTGTGTCGGATCGATGGCTAGGCTGCGAGACCGTCACCGCCGTGTCTTTCCAGCATTTGATTCGGCCTGACACTGAAAATGTGTACACCGATTTGCTCAATCTGCAGCCCTTGCCCATAACTGCTTTGAAGAACCCGGCATTGGAGGAGCTATATGGAACAAGGTTCCAGTACTTCAACCCAATGCAGACGCAACTCTTCCACACCATGTACCATACGGATGCAAACGTCTTACTTGGTTCCCCCACCGGAAGTGGAAAGACCATTGCCGCCGAACTTGCCATGTGGTGGGCATTCAGGGAAAATCCGGGTTCTAAGGTTGTGTATATCGCACCGATGAAGGCGCTTGTCCGTGAACGAGTCTTGGACTGGGGAAAGAGACTGGCTGGACCTATGGGATTCAAGTTGGTCGAGTTGACTGGAGACAATACACCAGACACAAGATCGATTCGTGATGCAGACGTGATCATCACGACGCCTGAAAAGTGGGACGGCATCAGTCGTAGTTGGCAGACTCGGTCTTATGTCCGCCAAGTTAGTCTCGTCATCATTGATGAGATCCACCTACTTGGTGGCGACCGAGGCCCGGTCCTCGAGATTATCGTCTCTCGAATGAACTACATCGCATCGCAGAAGAAGGGCTCCGTAAGGCTGGTGGGGATGTCCACCGCGTGTGCCAACGCCATGGATCTCGCCAACTGGCTCGGCGTCAAGGAAGGGCTTTTCAATTTCCGTCACTCCGTCCGACCGGTGCCCCTCGAGATCTTCATTGATGGCTTCCCCGACCAAAGAGCCTTTAGTCCGTTCATGCAGTCAATGAACCGCCCTACCTTCCTCGCCATCAAGAACCATTCGCCAGACAAACCGGTCATCGTCTTTGTCGCTTCTCGGCGACAGACTCGGTTGACGGCGAAAGACCTCATCAATCTTTGCGGAATGGAGGACAACCCACGGAGATTCGTCCATATGTCTGAGGATGACTTGGTCCTTAACCTTCGCCGGGCGAAGGATGAAGCTTTCCAAGAAGCTTTGAGTTTTGGCATCGGTCTTCATCATGCCGGGCTAGTTGAGTCGGACCGCCAATTGGCCGAAGAACTCTTTGCGGCCAACAAAATTCAAATCTTGATCGCAACAAGCACGTTGGCATGGGGAGTAAATCTACCAGCCCACCTTGTCGTCGTCAAGGGCACTCAATTCTTCGATGCCAAGATCGAAGGGTACAAAGACATGGACCTCACCGACGTGCTTCAGATGCTTGGACGAGCCGGACGACCGCAGTTTGACACCTCAGGAGTTGCTCGAATCTTCACTCAGGAAAGCAAGAAGGCATTCTATAAGCACTTTTTACACACCGGATTCCCCGTCGAGTCATCGCTCCACAAGGTTCTGGAAGACCATCTGGGAGCCGAGATATCGGCCGGAACGATTACGACAAAGCAAGATTCTCTGGATTACCTGACATGGACGTTCTTCTACCGGAGGCTACATAAGAACCCTTCATTCTACGGGCTGGAAATATCCGCGGAAGATTACAACACCATCTCCGCTCAACAGACCGCCAATGAGTACATGGTCTCTCTGGTCGACACCGCTTTGAATGAGTTGGCACAGTCATCTTGCATTGATATCACAGACAACACCGGAGAGCTGTCGTCGACCCCGATGGGCAAGATCATGTCATACTATTACATGTCGCACAAGACCATTCGTTCCATTCTCAACGCTTCTCGCCCCAAGGTTCTAAGCTCACGGCAGGTGGCTGTTTCGTTCGGTGATGTCCTGTCCTGGGTCAGTCTCGCTACTGAGTACGATGAGTTGCCAGTCCGTCATAACGAGGACTTGGTCAACGCCGAGCTGGCCAAACATCTGCCGCTCGACGCAGAGGCATTAAAGCTGGTGATGTGGGATCCACACGTGAAGGCATTTCTACTTCTACAAGCACACTTTAGTCGCGTCGACCTTCCCATTTCCGACTATGTCGGCGACTTGAACAGCGTACTCGACCAGAGCATTCGAATCATGCAGGGAACGATCGACATCATGGCCGAATTAGGCAGCCTCGCCGCAGTACGCGCGGTCGTTATCCTCCTTCAGTGCGTGAAAAGCGCGAGGTGGCCAGAAGATGGACCGCTGAGCATCTTCCCTGACGTCGACGTTGAGGCCGAAAAGGCTCGCATGGTCGATTCGAAGAGCGCGCCACGCGATCTAGTCCAGCTCGCAGCCATGAGACCGGACCAGGTCAGGTCCCTGGCGCAGAAGCTGAACGTTCCCAGCTCTCAACGCGATGCGTTCGCGAAGGCCGTTGCTCGACTCCCCTGCGTAGACGTCAGCCTTGGTACGGTATCTGCCACTGAAGTCAGCATCGACTTGAAGCGACAGAATCCGTTTGTGCCCGACGGTCGTATGTATGCTCCAAGGTTTCCGAAACAGCAAAGCGAAGGTTTCTTCGTCCTGGTTTCCTCCAAGACTACCGGCGAGCTCCTAGGACTGAAGCGTGTGAATTGGCAGCAGAAGAGAAGAGGTGAGGCGAAATCCGCTTTGAGTCAGCTTGCCAGCGCCCGACTCAGGGTACCGCCTAGCGTGGATAGCAGGATGGTGGAGGTTGCGGTGCTGAGCGATGGGTATATCGGTATGGAATGGAACATCCACGATGTGGAAGTTCCGGGGGTTCCTGTCGTCGGTGAACACGATGTACAAAAGATGAAGTAGAACAATTCATAGACAATCACCTTCTGCTTGCACTGCAATTTCGAGATTTTGATCGAAACTAGCGCTGCATTTGATGTTCGTAGTACTCATGTCTGCAGAAAGCCGACGCGATAACAGGTTGCTGAGTAAACACTATCAATGCATATATTTGCGGATGCCCATAAACGGAGAGTCGTCTCGGTCATCGAATGTTGTATATCCCACCCGTCCGTTTTTTCCCCCTTGGCCATTACGGTCACTGTATCTTCTTTTCCTTCGGATCCTCCGATGGTCCCCTCTCAATGTAACCCGCCCCAACCTGAGCCGTCTCTCTCCAACCCCTCTGCCGCGCCCAGAACCGGTCTTCAACATTCGATTCTCCTGCGTGTCGCGCATCTTCTTCCAAACTGGCCCGGTCAATCTTCTCCTCATCAGGCGCCAGCTCCACAGGGCCTTGCTTTTTGCTGAGCTCCTCCAACGACTCCTCGATATACTTCCTCCGCACCGCATACCGCTCTCGCCGTTCCTTCTGCCGGCCGGGCGAGTCGAGCTTGGAGATGGCCACGCGGACGAGCCACCGCACGGTGAGGAAGGCGTGCTCGGATATCATGACGGCCAGCAACAGCTTCCATCCGGTAATAGCTTCGGGTGATCCATCGGGTCCGAGGCCGTCGTTGGAGAACATGTAGACAAGTGCCGACGTGGTAAGACTGCCCACCCATGTGAGGAATGAGAGACTATCCAGCCATGATCCGATGGTGTCCGCTCGAGCTGGGGTAGGACGTTTCATCTCCACGCAGATCTTGAGGGCGTCGGCTCGAAGTTCGAGCCAGTCGTTGAAGACGAAGGAAAGGCCGGTCAGAGGCCAGACGACGGAGAAAAGGGATAGGTAGCCGAACTGCGCTTTTGTGAGTTTGGTGCGCCACCGATTGCCTGCTCGGACGTTCACGTACCTGAAGCACCATCTCCCTAAGATCTGTAGTGACATCATAGACATCCAGCTCCGCTTCGTTCCTCACTCGCGCAAGGAACACTGCCTCTTCCGGGTGATCGTTTTCAGAAGGCTCGGGCAAAGCACCGCCCCTTCGTGCGGCCCTATCATTCTGAAATTGGCGGAACTTTGAGAAGCCCCTGCGTTTCAGATAGGGGACAATCACTTCCATGGCTAGATTCACCACCTGGGCAGTAACCGTGAAATAAATGACTTGCTTCCGCAACCGATCAGGGTTGATGGTGAAGCCATCTTGGGACACCGTAAGTTGCTTCTCATGTTCAGCAAAGGCCTGGCAGGTAACACTGAAAACGTCCAGGTAGGGAACCACAATACTACCAAACGGAACATAAACAAAAGCCGTGAGGAAAATACCCAGGTACGATGTGATGAAGTTAATGACAAAGATCTTCTGCGTCATAGCTGTCTCATGTGCACCCTCGGTCTCGTAGTTCTCGTAAGTCGTAAGCTGCGTCGCGATCGTCGTCATGATGGTCGTCAAAATCGGAAGAAAACTCGAAACAATGATCGTCGGAAGGAAAACGAGAAGCCACTTCATTGGCCCGTTATAGATCTCTGAGATGAAGATCTCAATGCCAAAACACGTTGCAATCAAGCTTCCAAGGGCAACGAGCACGCAAGCAGCGAAGGGAATCTGGAGAAGCTGCCTTTGCAACCTCTTTCGAACCGGAAACCAGGTCACCATTTCGCCAGTAACCGGATCGCGGATCTCCTTTTCATGCTTGAACTCTCGTCTCCTATTCTCGATCTGGGAGACGTGACGGACGCCCCAGCGGATGGCCAATTCGACTTCCTGGTGCTTCCAGTACTCGGTAAATATGATACACCAGAAGGCATTGACGATGGCGTAGATCGGCGAGAAGTGTCCGAGCAAGAAATAAGCAGAGACGCCAAATACGGCAGGGAACAGTAGGAAGGAGAAGTACGACTGGGTGAACGCAAAATAGAAGGCGATTCTCTCGCCCAGCCGATTCCTTATGGCATCGAGGTCTTCTGCCGATAGGAAGTACGAAGTACTCCATTTCTTGATCCACTCCTTATTGTACTGGTGGTTGTGTAGGGCGAAGATCGAATCGACGTTCTTCCATTGTCCTTCCTTCGGCGTGATGCCAGCTCCACCATCCCCCTCCGAGTTCGTTATTAGCTGATGTATGATTCGGAGGCGTTCTGCTTCGGTCAATGGGTCCTTTTCGATAGCCTCTTTCATCTCCTTCGGTGGTGCTGAGGATTGAACGCCATGAATCCAATCTCGAGCTCTGCGACGCATTAGCTTGTTAGTTACACACAATGTCGAGCCGACTCGGATGATATGATCGAACGCACCTTGAACGATATATTTCTCCGTATAGGTGCTCCGAAGAAGCAACCTTCACGAAGACAAGAAGAGACGTTCTATCTCCCTGCCGCACTTCGGTGGCCAAACCGACTTTCCCTAGGGCTGAGACGAGCTTCTCGAACTGGACGGCGGCATCTTTCTTGTCTATTTTGTCGTCAGCGAGATGCTCAGACGGACATCAATCTCATGGGTTGCCATATTTACCAACACTCGTGAACTTGTAGTGGACAACGTAGTCCACGCCCATATTTGTCTCCATGGCCTGGCCCTTCGAGCCATGCTTGTCCATCTTAGACGATGGTCAATCGCTTGCTCCTGTTACTGTGGAGATGATGTACCGGTAAAGAGGCTCCGCTCTGCAGCAGCTATACCGGAGGGCAATGGCATAAACAAACAACGTACGGTAGCAGATAGAATTACGGCCAACATATAGGTGGGATAGAAAATATCAGACTTTAGGACCTAGGTAGATCAGGGAACCGAGTTTTGTTGAATGTTGCAGAACAGGAGGACGTCATCAGATACACGAACTCGACCGCGGCCAGGGATCTGATGATCGGCCGCTAAAGATTTCGAACCACACCTTTGATATTCGCGATTCCACTCCCAACTAAGGTACCTTTTCTTTCAAAGACCAGATATAAATGAATTGATAGGTTGAAACCCCCTTGGAGACACCAATAAACAATATGTCGGGCGCGTCCGATGCCTTGAAGAGGCTCCTCCTACTCTCGAAGACCACCCAAAGTCTCATCTCCCACTTCGACTCCGGATTATCAACCCTCCTCTCCGCTCCCACGACTACCCATACTTCGGCATCTTCCTTAATTCAGTCGACATCGGCTACCTCGTCTACTCCCCCCGACCCCACCGCGACCCTCGAAGCGCTCTGTGCTCTCGCCTCCCATCTCAAGTCCCGTACCAGCACCTTAATCCTCCTCCTCCTCCAAACCGCCCCCAAAGATTATGGCTCCGCCAGCACGCTCCGAGCGATCACGCCGCTCCTGTCCGAGATTGGTGGGAAAATTGTGCCTACACTCGTGGCGACGGTGACGACGCTGGCCAACCGCGAGACGAACACCGAGTGGCCCGCCGTCGTGAAGAAGGAAGTCGTGGCCGACGTTGCGCAGATAATCGCGGCGGTGGCGGCGTTGGTGGGGGAGGTTGGGGTGGCGGGGCAAGGACTGAGGGATGCGATGGATGGAGGGATAGCGGCAGTCAGCGAGGCGAAGACGATGAAGGAGACGAAATATGGGCAGGCATTGTTGGCTGGGGCAGGGCGGGTGTGGGGAGGCGTGGATGTGGTGGTGGCATTGAAGGATAAAGATGGGCTAGCGAGGATGATTGCGGGGTGGATTGAAGAGCGGAGGGAGGTGGTTGCTGATGGGGTGAGCGAGTTGAATGGTCTGGGGACCCCGAAGGAAGAAGGCGACGAGGATTTTGGGGACGAAGAAGATGAGCTAGGAGACTTCGGCGGGGAGATAGAGGAGGATATGAGAGAGATCTACGATTCGACCATGGCGAAGCTTGGGACATTGGATGAGCTCTTCGTCCAGTTGACAAAGAAGGTGGAGGGAAGAAACATATCGGAGATGGCCATGGTTAATGGTCGACATCCGGTTGACCAGCTCCTCGACGCAGCAAAACAGATACAAGAGGCGGTGGACGACGTTGCCGCTGGATTTTACGATGGAGACGAGGATGGGGTCAACGTCCCAATGACCACGATTCGAAATCAAGTCCAGATCATTCATCGAGTGCTCGACGCTATGGCTCACAGTAGCCAAGAAAAAGCCAATGGCACGACGAACGGAACCGAAGATAAGACGACAGATCTGATCAGATTGTTCGAAAAGTGGGCGATATGAAGACTCCATCATACATGGGATATCCTGATCATCCCGACTAGCTAGGCTTTTGGAAGATCTAACGCGATGCTCTCGACTGGTCGACCGGCTCGAATCAAACACCCTCCATCCTCCCATCAAGACACCGTTAACCGCCTCAATCGATACAGAAATGGTACAGTTCCGCTTTCTCGCTGTTCAACTCAAAGCCACGCTTCCGTCGCGAAGCAATCCATATCTATACTACTGCCCGGTTTCCGTATATTTACAGGAATGCAGCAGCGATGCCGGCAGCAACTGCACCAGCTCCAATCAACTTTCCCGGCACTGCAGCACCAGTGCCCGTGGGTGCCGTAGCAGACTGAGTGGCCTGCGATACTACGGACGCGGCGGCCGATGTAACGACGTCGACCACGGACGAATCAGCGCCCGCTACACCGGCTTGTTTGCAGATGTCTATGGTAGCGGGCTCGACCTCTGATTGTGAGCAAACATGTCAGCTGGAGAAGCGCATGTCGGTTATAGAGTAAGTGACCAGTGATCGGGAAAGGAAGCAGGATAGGATGTACTTAAGGCGTCCTCTTCTGAACAGCTTCGGATGATACACGGGGTTACGAGGGTGGTGATGGTCTCTTTTTGCGGGCCGCACTGGCACTGGTAGTCGACGCCACCGCAGCCAGATTGTTGGATGGCGGTTTGGAGGCAGATGTGCTGGAGGAGGGGACGTTAGTTCTTGACGGTCAATTGGGACTGATATGAATAAGACGTGGAGGATGGCGCAGTTTGGGCAAGTGTTTGGTGGATATGGGGGCTTTATATAGCACGTACAGAGCACTTAGGGAGAGCACTGAGGTTGACCTGTTGAGCGGACACGAAGGCAGCGCTGAGGAGAGCAGTGGCGGCGGCGGTGAACTTCATGGTTGTCGGATGGAGATTTGGAGATTATGTGCAAGGTCATGAAGCTTTCAAGAAGTTGGAATCGAAGAGATTGTCAGAGCTATGCCAGTCTCCCAAGGTGTCAATACAAAATTATACGTATAAATGGCCGTTAACAAAGCAGCAACTGTTCCAATTCAGAGAGAAATACGAAGCAACAAAAAAACAACCTCATGCCGCTCATGGGATTAAGCCCTATTTCTGCAAATCCTGAAGTCTGAAAGAGCGAATCCATCCGCCATTCCCCTCGCTTCCATCCTACCGTTGAGGATTTGAAGTGGAGATGAGTGGCTGTCTCGATCCAGTCGCTCCTGTGCCGTGATGCATACCTCCTGGAGTCCTGGAGAGACACGAAGCGGCCCAAGACAGTGAGCCATCGAGTGGACGAATGGTAGACGAAGCCGTACCAAGACCTGCGGGCAACCAGCTAAAACGCGTCGTAAACTCTTGTTTCTGGAAGACGTGAACTTTATGATGGAGGTCGAAGCGCGAGCCCCTATTCGGCGTCGGTGCGATTTTGATACGTGATGCAGTCGTACTGGCCCGGCGGTTCAGTGGCTTGCTGTCATGCCGATTGCCAGGGTTACCCCATACATGAATCTGACTAGAGTTTTGGGGAATTGGCTGGTGCTAAACATGCCTTTGTTTCGTCGCCTATTGTCGGTTTGGAGGAAACCAATTAAAGAAGAGGAACCTAGATATAAGGTTACTGATTTTGCGATCTGGTTAAAACGGTGCCGCAGTCTTCCTTAACTAAGAAGGACAGTGATCTGACTTCTAGAGATTCTTTTCAGCAGATTACCTGAAATCCCACCCCCACCTGTTTTCAACGACCCTCAGTCTTTAGCCTTTGTAGTATCAAAGCTACGGAATGATAGGCTTTCGCATGAGGTCTTTGTTGTTCTGTGCCTAGTTTGAGGCCACTGCTACTTTTGGATAAGGTACGCTGTACACAATATATCATTCACGCTGCACTTTTTCGTTCCCAAACGCCCAAACTTATCTCCAGCAAATGGACCTCAGAGGTTATATCGCTACCATGTATGTCTCCTGACCCGAATCGGCCTGACGGAACCAAGGATGCTCCAGAGCCCCCCGCGTAATGATCCTCCTCGCTAGATCCAAGTTCATCAACTTCGTAGTCAAATCCCTAAACTCCACATCCGCGTAACGCCACATCGTAAAGGATTTTCTCGGCCTCTCCGCATCGAAGTCACCCGCGAGGGCAATGAGGCGCTCGAAAAAAGGATTCTCTTTTCCAATGTGCTGAAGTAGGTTCTTAAAGCCATCCTCGCCTCGAATACGAGATATCTCCAGAGGATATGCCGCCAAGCGTCGCCCGCACCCGGCTCTTCGTCGCTCACCCAAAAGATCATGTCATTACCGGCCGTCTCTTCATAGTCGAGAAGGATATTACTAGGTTTAATGTCTGTTAAATCGCTAGGCTTCCTCATTATTCCAAGGGTGCTCCGGTGTGACACAGCCGAAGTAGGACTCGCCAGTGTGGACGATTCCTCTATCATGAAACTCGATCAGCCCAGTGAGAGTACTTCTGAGGAAAATTCTCCTCGTCTCCTTGGACAAGGGCCTCTAGCCATTCTGAAGGAGGTCGCCAGCTAGAAAGAGATAAACGAATAGTTCGAAGTCTGGAATGGTGTCGGCCACCGTCCGCAGGTTGGGACACGAAGCTAAAGGGTTTTGTAGTTCTTGCTGATGCTCGAGTTCGCCCGGTATCATGTTTTTAATATTAAAGTCTTCTCCTTCAGCACTTAGAAGAAGCATTTAGTTGGAGTTGGAGTTGGGGCGCAGGATTCAGGGTCTCCATGGACCGCTCGAGGCACCTGGTGCCCCTGATACTCCCCGCACCGTCTTCCGGTCCGTTGGTTCTGCCGCTGCACGGCTACAGGGTTTTTGAGCTTGCAGGCTTTGAGAATGGAGGGTGCTGTTCCGGGCTCTGGGAAATGGTACTATGGAAGACATCCACAAATTTGAGAACCCTACACAGGATGTGAAGAATTTGCACCAGACGCGTCCTCGATGGTTGGCATGGGTAAGTTGAGTTTACCCCTGAACTTAGTGATGTGAGGATCCAGCATGCTGAAAAGTTGGACGACATGGGAATGCTAGTCAATTTCTGCCACCAGAGACGAATGTACGTAGTAGGCTTTGTCGTCTGAATCTTAGTATCGAGCTGGAAGCCTGGAACCCTCTTGTTTGGCATGTGAATCGTCCGGCACAGTCGCCCGAACATCCGGACGCGACTCTGCAGGGGAAACCTACAAGTCCTCAATCACCCTGGTATGCCACGAGGTAAGCACTTGAGGCTTGCCGCGATTCGAAACTTCAAAGGATTGATGGCAAGGTCGGCTCCCTGATACATAATGCAACCGAAGGAGATGCTGATTGCGGAGACTCCAGTCATCGGCTTCAAGCAGAGGTTTGGGAATCCGGGGAAGCATGGGAGATGCAACGCGCCATTGTTAGCTAATGGTAACTGTTGATTCTCAATCCATAGGGTAGGAAGAGCCGAAGAGGTCTTAGTCAAATATTTAGACTTCAGATTGACGGCACACATGTTAGACTCGTTTACGTGGGGGATGTGGGCAGGCTAGATTTGTGTAGCATGTCAATCTCGAGCGACGCCTTGCTGTGAAGCAAGGCTGGTCAGGTCCTGGAAAACATACTAGTGATAACTACCTGTAGAGTGTAGCTTCAATTATTGTTTCGATCCAGTGCAGTTCACTTGGTACTGGTGATAAAAAACAAAGCTGTAGGTATTTAAGACCTCACGTATAGGGACATCACATAGGAGAGAACCAGCAGGAATTTAAGCACTACAATAGACATTTCGTATGACTAACTTTATTTTACGCGATTATACGTCCAGTTACGGTACTTGTAACATGGCTGCAAAAGCACTATTCCGCCTGATTGTAGAAAGATCATCTCCCCAGGCCCAATCGTCCTTGCAACTTTCGCCGGTTCTCGAGCCGAGACGCATAAGACTCCGTTCACTTAACAGGGCCCAGACAATTTTGAGATAAAAAGAAGGTGTGAAGAAGGTTAAAGAGAATGGTCGTGACGAAGGAAACAGTTCGTGAGGGGTAAGGAAATAGAAAAGAACAAAACCCACGCCCTGAGGCGGTCGAGTACTTGTACTGTATAATCGAATAAACGCATAAAAGGTTTCCGAAACACAATCTTGAAACCCCGTTTCCCTATCCAGAACCCCGAGAAACAAACACAGTCCGTTTGGTTTTAAAAATGACGCCGATAATCGAAGAAACGAGTCAACCGTTTCTTTCCATCTTCTCGCCCCTTCTTAGAACATCCCGTTCACCACCCTCGGCGGACTAGGCCCTCGCTTGCCCCCAAACACCGGCATCGCCGGCGGGTGGCCATTGGCTCTTTGTCCCTGTCCAATCCGTCCATGCCCGTTCAGTCCCCACCCCTCGCTCGTGACTTTCCGCAACCGACTCACTGATTGGGTCCCCCTCTCATGCTCGTCGGCGCTGTACGCCATCCCGACTCCGCCATCCGCGTAGCTGGTCCCCGGCGGGCTGGTGCGGGCGCTGTCAGGAGGCGTGGCGTCTCCGGCCGTGCGGCCGAAGCCGAAGCGGCGTCTCCGTGGGTTGATGGGGGGGAGAGGCGGCGGGTCGAGTTCGTTCATGCCGTTGGCGAGGGACGCGCCGGCGGGGAGGGCGACGGTGTCGATGTTATTGGTGGTAGAGAGGAGTTTAGGTTCGGAAATGTTGGATTTCAGGATGGAGCGCTTGCGGGGGCGGCTGGTGGTGGTTTGGCGAAAGGTGGATTCGAAGCTGGGAGCGACGGGAGTAGTGGAGTTGGAGACTGGAGGGGTGGAGTGGGCGGAGTAGGGCGCTGCCATCGGCGAGGGACGAGACGGGTTGAGTGCAGGCGACGCCGACCCTAGACGGCCTGAGAGAGCAGGTGAAGGCATGCCATTTGACATAGTTGACGAGAATCCAGGAGAGGGTCGTGATGAACCAAGGGAGGGACTTCCGCTAGCCTGCAGATGGGGAGAGCCTTGGTTGAAATAGCCGGGGCTACCAGGGGCAGGGCCATTGCGCATTCCACTTGGAGCAAAAGATGGAAGATCGGGAATTGTTTGTTCCAATTCTGGGATGGTCGGTGGTTCGTCCACGGGGAACATGCTGTGTGCACGGCTACTGGTTCCCTCCATCATAGCCTTCTCCAGGTCGTCCCTGTATCTTCCTGGCGGGCGGCTTCGTGAACGACCGCTCGAGACCTCCGAGCTCGATCGATTCCTTGCAGAAGTTTTCGACGACATTGGCGGTGACTGATTCTTGAAGTGGCTCTCCTCCTCAGCCTCGTGGATTGCTTGCCGCGTGCCTGGTCGTGACGGTCTTGATTCCATTTTCTCCAGATTCGATTCCGACTTCGTGTAGTCGAATCCATATGGCTTCCCATCCTTGATGCTCGGCAGCGCTGAGGTGCTTGCGTTCGGATTTACAGTAATTCCAAGCATCTTCATTGCCTTTGTCGAGGGGTCCACGGCCTTGTTCATCGAATCGCGGCTGGTCTTAGACCGGAGTGTGCCGAAGACCTTGTTGATCCCAGGCAGCTGACTCGGTCCTCGGTCTTTATCAGAATCTAGCATAGTACTGGCAACTTTGCTGCGCAAGTTCTCCTGTATCGCCCTCTTCCTCTGCTCCAATTCGTTTGCAAATGCTTCTCGCTCATGGGCCGTCGCGGTGCTGGCATCTCGAGTGTGTTTCGTCTTCAATTCCTGCTCCCAAGTGGGCTCGACTGTCTGAAGCGATGACTGCATGTACCCCCTCTGCGCATCCAATCCGTTCAGAGCTTTGCCACCAGCTTTCGATTTGGGCATTTCGATAGGGCTGACGCCCGAGCTGTCCGCTTCACCAAAGTACGCACGATCAAGATCCTCAAGATCCCAGGGATTTGAGGGGCTGTAGCTTGAATGCGTAGGAGTACCAGCACGGGAGTCGTTGGTTACACCCGAAACATTCCCAGTCTGAACTGCTAGCGGCAGCTTCGGTGTTGAGGGCTGCACGCTGTATACGGAAGAAACATTGCTGCTCGTGCGCAGGTGCTGGACCATTCCACCCAATGCGCCCGAATCTCTATCCCTAAGTGTAGGAGAATCAAGGTTGTCAGCTTCCTCCTGGATTGACGCACGCGCACGCGATGACGGTCTTGACCCTTCATTTTTCAGGAATTTCGAGAATGGGGGTGGATCCAGCTCGAAATCGAGCGGTGGCTGGGAGCGAAGAGCTGGATGCTCAGAGACGGGAGGAGCAGCTCGTGGTATGATATTGTTTAGCCTTGCTGGGACTTCTGGACTTGTAAAGGCGGGTTTTACGGGTTCAGGCTCGTCCTCAGTATCACTACCGGCAGGAGAACTGAAGAAAGTCCGAGCAGTCGGTGGGCTCGGTGGCTGCGGTGGCTCTTCAGGCTTTTCATCGGGCGCTGTCTTCATTTGATTGGCTGCTTTTTGGAAGATTGAAAACGCACTCCACTCTTGCGGTTGTTCTTGCGGCTGCTCTTGCGGCTTCTCCCGAGGCTCCTCGGGGGGAGGCGTTGGCTGCTGAGCGCGGAATTTCGGTTGCAGATTTAATGGCGCCGGCCTTGCCTGATCGAAGCTGAACTTCGACTGCGAATCCACAGTTCCCGATCGAGATCGCATATAAGACGATTCGCCGGCTTTCATGTTTCCAGCGTTCTTTTTCGAGAAAGGTCCAGCGGTTGTGGACATGTCTCGTCGAAACATCGGGGACTCGCGCCCTGGCGCATGGCTCTCCTGGATCGGCTTCTGGCGATCCGGTCCACCGGGTGCGGATATATCCCTTCGAAACATCGGTGATTCACGGCCAGTCTCGCGGGCTTCCAGAATCTGCTTCTGGCGTTCCACTTGAGCGCCCACAGACACGTCTCGTCGAAGCATCGGGGACTCACACCCTACCTCGCGGGGCTCCGGGATATGCTTCTGTCGTTCCGGCCCAGGGGGTGCCGAAAAGTCTCGTCGAATCATCGGGGACTCACGCCCTGTCTCGCGGACCTCCTGTAGAGGTTTCGAGCGTTCCGGTCCAGCGCCGCCGGACAAGTCTCTTCGAAACATTGGGGACTCGCGACCAGGCTCTCGAGTCTCCTGGATTGGCTTCTGGCGTTCTGCTCCAGTGGCAGGGGACATGTCCCGTCGAAACATCGGTGACTCGCGCCCTGTCTCGCGAGTCTCCCGGATCTGCTTCTGGCGTTCCAAATACTGTTCTTCGCTGAACTGTTTCGGTCGGTTGAATGCCCCCATCGCCGTTGCTTTCCCACGGTCCCCGTGACGGATCGCGGAGTTGAGAGGGCCGATTTCCTCGGTATCGCTAGCTAGGGGGCTTTGTGGGGGGGAGTGTGGTAGAGTTCCGAATCTAGGAGATGGGGTCGGATCATCTCTAATGGGTTCTAGAGAAGTGGGTGTCGGAAGCGCACCGGATGGAGGGGGGCTTGCGGCACGGAAGGATCGTAGAGCGCGGTGAGGGAACTCTGGTCCGCTCGAGGGACTCCGGTTGCGGGATAGCATAGGAGGCGACATAGCGCGGTCCATTCGAGGGTTCTTGTTGATGGAGTTCAAGCGGTTCATGGCAGACGACTGCTGGTCTTGCATGTCACGATTGAGACCCTGCTCATAGAGACGGCGCGCTTTCGTGTTGGACCGGTCTATTGGCATCTGGGCTGGCTTTGTGGAGGTGGGAAGGACTGGCGAACTGGGGGTTGCGGAGTTTGCAGTTTGAGAGTTGACCGAAGTGGCAGCAGTGGACGACCGATGGTTGTTGGAAGGCCCGGAATTTGTCGAGGAGCTGGTATTTCGGCGATCGAAGTCACTCTGGGGGTTGGCCGATAGTGTGGTTCGTTCCAACTCTTCCAATGCCTGTTGCCGTTGCCTCTCTTCCTGGCGATGTTTCTGGAAAGCAGAGAGACTGAGATCATCATCGTAGACGACTTTACCGGTCATTGCGCCACTACTTGCGGATGAACTTCCCAGGCTTTTGTCGGATCCAGTTGTCGCAACGGGGATCTTGTAGACTTTTTGTCGTCCCCCGAATAAGACATTTCCCTCGCCAGGCCTTGCTCGGCTCATCATACTTCCGCTATTCGAATTATCATCGGTTCCATAGCCTTCCTCGGAGGCATATGACTCCTGGCGGCCATTCATTTGAGGTCGTCGTGATACACTGCGAATCGAAGAGACTTCAGCGATGTCTGCTAGACCGCCAGCCATGAAGCCAAAGTCATGGAGACGGGATTGACGCCGTGGGGTCAGAACACTGTCGTCACTCGCTTTGCCTAACATCGAGTTCGGATCATCCTGCTCTCTCAACATGCTGAAGCGAGCAGACAGATTGGGCATAATCAAACTGGTGCGAAAGTCATCTTGTGAAGGGAGCGCAGCAGTGAGGTCCACCTCCACCCTGGCTGGGACGGGAGCCTTTTTGGCCCGCTTTTTTGTTAGGAACCTGTTCATGATTCCTTTAAGGAGGTTAGACTTCGGTTCTTTTTTGGGTTTCATGGACTTTGAAGGGTTTTGTGGTTCCATGGTCGCGCATTGAACACTCCCAATGATCCAGGAACGAAAGAAACGAAACGAAAGCAATGGAAAATGGGAGATAAGACATACAGGTTCTTGAGAAGCACAAGAAGGGTTAACGTGTGAAACGAAGTAAAGATTCGGTTTCTGATAATCCGAATCCAGTAGTGCGCTCGCGGTCCAATGTCACATGCCCAGCGAGCGACAGTGTTGCGAGAATGAACGGCAAGAGAATTTGTTCTAAGAACTCGTCAAGAATGCGAGATTGAGGGCGCCAGCGCAGTTTCAGTATTCTGTAACGATAATCATCAGCATATCTTGCCTCAGCTGCATCTTCCCGTCATTCTTAACAACTCTGCTAGGGCTGCACGTACGAATGAACGCAAGTGTCCGGACCACGGCCCTTTTTTATATCAAGTTTATGCCTTTTCAGTGAATGATGGGCTATCCATTCAAGCTATCGTCGCATATCCAAGTCGAAATATCCGGGAATATAGTGTGTCGGTCGGCAGTATGTCCAAAATGGTCGAGAGATATCGAATGAGTGGACACTGTCGAGTCAACAGCTTGGATACGAGAGTCGAAGATCGTCTAGATCGGTTTGAATAGAGGGAAATCTCGGGAGAATGCAAGATAACGTGTCTGATAGAAATATCCGGCCGAATGCTTGATCGGGAGGGTTCCAAAGGTTCGAGTGGACTTTGATCTGGACGTTTCGGCAACGGTAAACGAGCGGCAGTTGCGAATATACGGTTCGGATTCGAATTCCAGGTCCTTTCCAAAAGAGTGACGGCCGCAATCAAGAAATGATGGGGCGATATCGAAACGAAGACGCGAAACAAAGGCACGAGGTCAAATTACCATCGAGCTGGAATGATTGAAGAGTCGACAAAGAGGAAAAGAGAGGACCTGGACGAGCAGAAAGATGGATTATTGATCGACAGGTTCTAGCTCAGCCCGGCGATTGGGCGGCTAGGGTGGGTAGATATGTAGGGGGGATCTCAACGAGAGGGAAGGGTTTCCTGGTAAAATTTCCTTCCAAAGCATGGGGAATCCCGAATGTGACGAGTGACGACCGCAACTGGGAATGTGGGACAGCCAGGCGCGAGCCAGCCCAAGGCAAAGCGCAAGGAAAAGACCGAAGTCGCCGGATCCTGGCAGGGTAATTTCGGAGAGCAATAAGGCATCCCCTGAGAAAGGGCACGTCCAGACGGTCGTCTTGTCCAGCTCGGGGGATCCCCTCGTAGGAGAGAGCTGCCAAATGGATGGCTGGATAGGCTGATATGGGTACTCGATGGTGCGACAACGAAAGCAAGTCGACTCATGAGCCTAGGCGTGACAGTGAACACTGGATAGGGAGAGTTGAGCGAATGAAGATGGTGATGACTGAGGACCAAGGGGCATCGTGAAGGAGAGAAGAGACGAGACCACTCAGACGAAATGTCGTTGGTGCAATGTCACAGCCGATGGCCAGAAGCGTCAAGCTACTGCAGGAACACCTTCAAGTTGACCAGTGGCCCGTCAGGAACGCCGTACCTCAAAAGGTACGTACCGGAAATTGGGAATTAGGGAGGCTTCGCATAACAATACATCCCGATGTAGGGTAGGGGTGGAAAACGGAATATATAACGGTCTGCCATGCACAAGTTCTGGTGTTTCAGGTTTCGAGCCAGTCCCCAACCAGCTTACTGAACGTTACTTCTCCATGTCGATTGGGGAAGACCTTTCTTGAGAGCAACAAAGGCAGGGGATTCTTGACTCCAGGATCAAATCAATACTTGTGTATTGTCTATCCGTACTACATGGAAAACAAAATAACGAAATCCACGAGTCAATAATAGCGGCAAGACCACTTGTGTAGGTGAATCACGAATACACGATCGCATTCCGGTACCAGAATATCTTGATCACGGCAACAAACAAGGGACGGCGGGCCAACGTCGCTCCATTTCTTTTCTTCTCCGGCTCCCATTCCCCGCTGGCCGCTACACAGAGTCAGAACTCAGATCGTTTAGGAATGAAATCGTTGAGGTGTTACGTCTACTGTGCAAGTGCTACTACGGAACAACAACGGAGGATCGCGTTTCTAAGCCGCTTTCTCGTCTTTTTTCTATTAAACTTTTCAACTTTTCGCACCAGAAGGCAGGATCATTGATTAATGATCCGCTGTTGATTTGTTCTAGAAAACTGCATGCAGATCTGCGATATCTATTCTATGATTAAATCAGATTGCCTTTAGCATCGACAATTCATTTCGAGAAAATTGCCCCCAGCCCCCAAACCCTTAGAGGCCCATCGTTTCCCCTGTCCAGTTTTCCCAGGCTCTGTTGACACACCACGCGGAGTGCACAGACAAGCCGCAGGGAACTAAAAGGAGACAACCTCGGTCATCATTGGACGAAAGGAACGGGAATATTGCTCCTTGCAAGGAAGATGAGAAGAAAATAGGGGCCAATGCGCTTCGTTACGCTGATCTTGGGCGAATTGCAAACAAGGAACCACTGTGGCCTTGCTTTTGGTGCCGTTCCAGCATCCTGTCACCAACAGCCGATGACCATTGCCTTAATGCCTTCGACCAGTTGGATATTGAAGATTTCTAGGAGAGGGACAATATGCTCCTCGACGACGTTCACTAGGTGATACTTCGCGCTCCTGAGGTTTGATGGCTCTCCTGCATGTCGCTAAATCGGATCAACTCGTCCATCTTACAGGCTCACAGCAGACGATGTGTAAGATCAGCCTGCTGTGCCAGGACAAACATGCAAGTGGAATCAAGCTTGAACCTTGAATTCTGGCAGGGAGATGTGACCTGTATTCTGACATTCTCATCTTGCTCGACTCCAGGCACCCAATCAGAAATTGAATGACTGTGCCCTATGAAGAGCGAAAATATGAAAGCAGCAGGCAGCCGATGCTATGCAGGGATCACTTCACTGTCCACTAACTCGGGATCATTTGTGACTTTGCAACCGACAATACTCTGGTCACTAGTGTAGCAGGCGACGAAGGTAGGGAATACAGTTCGTCCGGTGCTCGTTCGATTTCCGATGCGTCTATCGCTTACGAGGAATCGAGGATTGCCTCGAGGCCGTGAGTCGAGGGTCGAGACTCGAGAGGGTGTAGGGCTGTGATACGGGTACAAAGTACTTCCGTACACGAGTCAGCTTGCCCTAGAACTCGAGGCCAGTTCACCAGCCTGCGAACATCCCTAGTCGACTATAGCTCGCTAATTTCCGAATGTAAATCGCCATTTCTTCAAATTCGACTCGTTCGTCCATGACGTAGCACCAATATTCGAAGACTCGAAGTACTGTGTCATGATTTGACATCCGGAGTCAGACCAGATACCGACGCCCATGGCACCCATTAAGTCAAAACCCTTGGCGATATTCAATGCCGGAAGTGTAGACTTAAACGATTTAGAAGACTAGACAATATAATGGACATTCCGAATCGCAAGCATCTGGAGTCTCTCCAATACCCGTATTGACAGCCGAGCTCGTCAATAAAGCGATGGGTATGCTATAGCTTCGCCCCAAGTGTCGCCGGCGTCCAGCAACCAGCATCTATTTGAGATCCCGTGCTCCCAGGAGGGAAGGCAGCACAAAGATTCGTGATACAGCGACACCGTTCAGACTTCCGTCGTGTTATCGTGTGGCATGTAGTTCGTCGCACATCGCGTAACTCCAATTCGAGCCGCAGAACGTGCTGTCTCGTGCCACGCTTTGCGATCCAATTGATGATCTTGTGCGATCCCCGCCTCCTTTCTCTCGCAATCGAGTGGCTCATTGACGAAAAGGAAACCCCTCTAAGCATAACTCGTGCCCCGGGATAGGCAATGACCGAGGAAGATGAAGGAGATAATGGGTGAAATGCATAGCAAAACCGGACCACCGGGAGAAAAGCCTGTATGCCAGATCGCCAGAGAAAAGGATTGTTACTGCCGTGACTCTGTACTAGAGAAATAATGGCACCTTCTCTATTGATTTAGTCGCTGATGAGTCGTTGCCCGGAGTTGACTAATATATAGAGAACAACACTGGCTTCAGTTCCTCGTGGTCTGAAACTGTAACATATTAGCCCAATTAATCAAACAGTTTATCCATACAGTAGAACGCGATGCCATGATGATGTCAGGTCTTCATGCAAGTCTCCTAATACTACCTGCCTGAACTTGCAGTACCCAATGGCGCAGAGGGTTGGTATCAGGAGCCTAGGACGCTTGATATCGCTAAGAGGAACCTCCACCCCTAAAACAGCGACGATTTCACTACTCATCGGAAGAAACGCCCTGCGATTACGGAGTTCATGTTCCACCCCAGAAAATTACATCCAGACTGGGTATCTTTCCGTACCCTCTACGCCATCCCGGGTTTCCCTCTCCCTCGGAACCGTGATCTACGCCACATCGCCGCCCTAACGCGACTAAGACGCGTCGGGGGAACTTGACCTTACCCCAACAGGCCGACATACCGGTGCGACCTCCGGTCACAGTCTGAGGAAAACAACGCAGGACAGGAGGGACAGTTGATAGGGTTGAATTTGTTAGCTGGGAGTTGCGACGGCGTCATCATGCGGGGTTTTCCCTTGAATTCGGAATGGATTCTTGACTGGATGTCAGATGTGGAATCTGGACTGGAGTCATTTGCGGAGGCGATAATCTCCGGATGCGTGTTTCCGTACCATGGACATGGGCGAACAGGTGGTTGAGAAATGAGACAAAACAGGGGAGGAGGAATGATGGCGTCAGGTGTCTGAGGTGTGAGACTGAGTGCTGATTCAGCACTTGTATGTAGTATGTTTCTGGATTCTGGCTACCTGCAAAGTCGAGATGACCGAGCTAAAGACTGACGACTCAAGACATGGAAGGTTCCTTCATTCCATGTCGGATCGCCGATTGGAGAAATCCAGAATTATGTTCTAGAAAACGATGAAAACTGGACACTTTCACCATTCAGGGAAAGGGTTCAATCACCAATTCACCATTCATCAATCATCCAGACAGTGGAGAGTGGACCTCTTCAGGAGTCCACGAGGCTCTCGCAAGTTGAATCATCTAATCCGGTGAATCATTTCTGAAATTACTAAGAAAGGATGGTTCTGGCTGATCATTTTATTGAAAGATCTACTAGCATCTATTATCATTCCTTTGGTCGTTTCAAGTTGTCTCCACTCTCCAGAAGACCCGCTCCTAAATCCCCTCGAAGCCGGGACCCATCTTTTGTATCCGTAGAGTAAGCGTACGATCTCCTGGGAATGGCGTTCTGAATTTCTGATGGACACATGGTGCTTTAGACATCACGAGACTCAGTAGGATCCTAATAACCGCAAATGAGACTGGAATGACAAGGAAACGACGCTTTATGCTTCTTATGAACCGGCAATGTTGGCCATGCTACACGATACATTCACATCTATCCCATAACCGACACGCCAGCCGCCTCGATCACAATTGACAAACCGCATCCAAATCCCCCGTTGAAACGAGACTTATCGTGGCTGATAGTAAAAGTCTACAACTCATCCTTCTCACGCACCCCTTTCGCCGTTCCCTGTGGCTGACAGGCCGCAGGCGTCCCAACCTCCATCCTATACACGCATTTTTCCTCCTCGGTGATCTTCCACACCTCGTCTTTCTCTGCACATGCCAGGACGACCAGTGTGCTCCGGTTCGGACCATTCCAGCAGAACTGCCCATTCTCATATCGCAACGCAATCCGCTCACCGGACCCCAGCCCCTTTCCATTGGGCGGCAGCTCCTCGTCCACCATGACGGTATCGACCCGGACAAAGTTGCCCATTCCGACGTTCGCGCCGCCTTTCTTGGGCTTTTGCGTCGTGCGGTCAAGCCAGCAGAGCTCGTAGGTGTATTCGCCGGAGTCGGTAGAGATGCATTGCCCTTTCAGGGCGCGGAAAATGTCATCGAGGCCGTACTCTTTGGCCAAGTCGTCTTGGTGGGACTTGAGTTCGTCCTGCTCCCTGCGGAGGGCGGACTTCGCGGCTTCAAGACTTTGCTTGGCTTTGGTAACGGCAGCAGATTCCGAGGCGTCACTATGTGGGTTTGCAAGGATGCCGTTTTCGATGAGGAACACCCTAAGGTCGCGAAGTTTCTGGTTGAGCCACTCGCGGAGTGGCTTAGGAAGGTACTGTTCGAAATTGTACACTGTAGTTGTCAATAAGTGTTCCCAGCGTATGAATGGTGATGACCACTTACAGACTTCGACGTCGCTCTCGTCTGCATCCTGGAATTCTTCCCAGTTAAGACCGTTCTCGGCATCTGGCTTCATGATCTGCTCCAAATCTTGTTCCAAGGCATTGTTCAGATCAGGGGCTTTTCCTTGTGCAATGTAATCCTCCCATGCTCTGACTGCTCGCTTCACGCCCTCATCGTTGAAGTTGGGATTGTATTCCTCCTTGAAGCTCGTCAACAGCTCCTCAAGTCCGGCCAAACGTCTCCTAGCATCATCTCGCTCGTTCTTGACCCTGTCCACGTTTTTTAGAAGCTCCTCGATTCTTTGCTTCGCTAGGCCACCCAAAACACTCAATTTTCCACCACCGGCAGGTCCTTTGACCAGCTTGCCTTTCTCGGCTCTTTCGACTTCTGCCACCTCCTTTTCAAGGTTGTGTACTTTGATCTCCGAACCCTGAATCTCCGTTTGTAGAGACTGGAGCCGGTCTTCCATCTCCTTTCTCAGACGCCCTGCTTCCTTCACCAACTCTGCCCTCCGCTTACTTGCCGCGCCCAAGGCCCGCTTTCGCTCCTCATCATGTTTCCGCCACTCCTTTCCAATCTCTTTACACTTGTCTTCGCATTTGATACCGCCTACCCCTTGCCATTCATCGGAGCCATTGCAGCAGAGGTCGTAATCGCAGACACCATCGTTGACGGCCGTGAACGGGACGTACCCCGGATTGTGGCCTTTGTTCTTGCAGTAGAAGCCAGGAAGGGCGAGTTTGTTATTGAGGGTATTGTCGACAGGGCTAGGTGGTGATAGGGGTGAAATATGAGCACAAGCGGAAGTACCTGGCTCGTCTGAGCCGTCTGGACAATCGCAGTAGTCGTCGTTCAAGGAGGCGATCGGAAGAATTATCGATGGATTCGAGATACAAGCGAATGTATCAGTCGTTTTGTAGAATTTGGCAACTATCCCAGAGTTCAGTCAGCTTCTTTCATCACGCCCAGTCCTCCTAAGCAGCTTCGTTAAGGGGCTACATATCACTGCAAGCAGGTAATAGATATGAGAGCTTACATTCAGGTCCAACACCTCGTGGGCGCTGGGCATCTGCACTGAAAGCAATACCGCCATAGATAATGCTCGTATACACAAGCCTTGTAAGTATTGATTCCCTCATTTTCGTCCCCAAGGAGAATTGAGGATTTGTTTCTATTTGTCTAAACTGCCACCTGGAGCTTGTAGTTTGTTGACACCGCTCACGTGACTTATGCTTCTACTGCATCTGACATTCGAAGCTATTGTTGTTAACAACAGTTATAAAGATATCCTTTGGTCTTATTGTGTCACGCAGTGTCTATTAACTTCCTTATTTTTCCTATCTACTTTAATTGCAATGGTAATTCTATCGGTGGTGCAAATGGTCCCTGAATCTATGCTTCAGATGTAACTGGCCAAGAAACCGTATATATAAAAGAGAAACAATTCCGAATTCCGAACCTCAGGATTTTGTCCACATAATCAACCAGGTTATGAAGAAGATTTCTTTTAACTTCCTCTTTCGCACACATTAGGATCGATTACGATTGTTTGGCCTCATGTGGTGAACCGTGGTTGACCATTCCTTCCAGCTAGCAAGTATTTCGGAACCCCAGAGAAGCATCAACGAGAGCCACATGGAATGGCACTGACGATCCAAGTACTTGGAAGCTGCCAATCATGGCGGTGGCCCATAATAAGCAATTATCACGTCAATGAATTAGGTCAAGTTGGAATCTCTGTGTTTGCGCTCTCTACTCTAGACATATCCATCTTTTTCCCCTACTTCATGGTTAGACGCTTTGTTCGATTCCTAGCTCATCTCTCTCAGTTGTACAGTCCTTGAGCTTCTTTGTCTGCATTTATTCGCTGTCATTACCCAACTAGTCAAGTTGTTGCCCTCGGGCATGGTCCATAAACAATAGCTAATGTCCCCGTCACAATCAGTGCCTGCTCTTATCAGGTCTGTGGATACTGGACATGGGGTCTGCGAGCATCAAATCAACACTGGACCCAGATCGAGGGGAAATCGGCATAGTGAAGGGTCGCAGTCGTCGGTTCGAAAGTTGACAAGGAGATCCAACTCCTTTCCCATCAATGATCCACCGCGATCCCCGTGGTCCTCGGACCTTGATTCTGATACGCCCTACCTTCATAATCTTCAACAGCGACATAGTGTCCATCGACAACGCAGCTCGGCGGATAATGACCACGAGCCATTCGAGTTCGGACATTTCTATCCCATCATAGCCAAGCGCCCCTGCCGAGCGAGTCGGGAAAGCGTCTCACATACCGCCTGTTGTGTCCCTGAAGAGGCTAGGCATGTGAGGTGGAGCAGTGGGAGAATGTCTCTACCTCCGCTGGAGTCATGGGCCACTAGAAACGGTCCGTTCGCGGTGACGCCTACTGTGCGCAAGTGTAGCACGATTGACACGATACGAGCAACACCTGCCGAGCCCGTTACAACACATACACATGCACGTTCGGTAGCCGTGTCTCAAAGACTCCCCGATCGGTTGCCTGCTAGCGACGAGGGTTCTCACCATGTGACATTCCAAATGTTCCGGTCTGGCACGAGTGTCTACGAGGTGATGTGGAAGGAGAATGTCTCTGAGGGCACCGACGGTTCAGGTCACTGGAGCCCTGGGATCTCCCGCGGAACGCGTTCTCCAACAAAGTCCGGTCCACCACGTATAGGCAAGGCCTCTACTAACCAGCGAAACTCACTCAGCTTGGTCGATAGTAAACTGGCAGAATGGTCTTGGAGTGGTGACGCTTCTGGTTCTCTCCGATTACGGGATCACTCCAGCGAAGGATATCCTGGAGGCGGAAGGCGATATCAAGGCTCCGGTAGTGTCTCATACGACGTCACACCTATCCTGACTGTGCCACCGAATAGCGAGCGCCACAGTCAACGATCATCAAAGCGAGCAACATCTACAGAGTCGCCCCAAACGTCCGAGTCCTCAGTCACAGACCATAAACTGAAAGGGTATCGGCACGGATCCACAGTTCCTGCATCGGACCTCCGCTCTACCTTATCCACCAATACCGGCCGCCCTCCCTATGAGCAGCATTTCACCGGCCACAAGGACAGCATATCGCTGCTACGAGCACAAGCACGCAGGTCTTCAACCCAACTATCCTACCCTTCTATTAGCTCCACCCTCATCAACGACCCCAACTCGCCACGTTCTGGTTCCAAGCTAGTCGGATCGAGACCACCCACACAGGGACTACGACGAAGCAGTGCTGACCAGTCCCTCCGTCAGCTACTCAGGGGCCTAAGACGTGCAGGTTCGAAATCAGAGCCACCCATGCTCGCACCCATCTTGGGCGCAAAGCCGGCTCCTATCACGATATCTTCGGTTCCGAGAAGTACCGGTGTGAGTAATCGGCCTGTGGGTTCAGACGGCAGCCCTCGAAAAGGGGTACATTTTAGAGAGAGTGTTCTGTAATCAGAGGCGTTGAAGGCCGAGGAAGAAGGAGACCAGCACTACTCGAAAGATGGGTATAGAGGTTCCTTTTCACCCGCTCTCAGGCGATGAATTCCTGTATGTACAAGTTCCTAATAATCTTATTGTTGGGTAATCAATAGACTCCTATGGTCGGCAGTCAGCACGGTCAAATTTTACATCCTTGGCACTCCTATTTGCAGATCATACTGGGCTTCAATAGGCGACTTCTTTGACCGGATAGAACCATTAATACCCAAATTCACGACTGGGTTCAGAAACGGACTTTACACGGACAGTCGGACTTCTGCTTATAGAATGCGACGCGCTGACATCATCCTTTGTTCGACTATTTTGTCCTAGAAGTGAGTAAGCCACCTGATGGAAAAATAGTAAGACATATATATAACTTACTATTTATTTACTACTCCGTCCCCTTGCTAGCTAGCTATAGAATGCTATTCGTGCCCTTGCCGTCCTAGGTACAAATCGAAAGGCGGCATTCACCACGATAGCTGCGGGATGGACTTATCTACAACCTAGTGTGGGATTCGCAAGGGAGAGGTTCCCAAAGCTGACTGGGTTAACAGCATTTGCAGTTTGTAGTTTGCACATGCCTGGCATTTCAATTTGCATCGAACATCACCATTGCCCCCCTGACATCCGCGACATTGACGCGAATGCAACCGATCATCCGGCAGTTTGATTGCGCCGCATCTCCGATCGCCGCAATGCCGATTCGCCGGTTCGGCGATTGAGAATCACTCGGAATCTAGATGAGTAATTTGCTGCGTCCACCCTCTCGCAATCTACGCCCCGCGGACTGCGGCATAACGATCCTCGGCTAGCTATCGCTAGATCGATTGGACGCGACGGCCAAGTGGCTTATGTGCGCAGCGCAACGTCACTCATTATTATTCATGTTCATGTCAATGTCAACGCGTTCGTAGGCTAAGCCGTAAGGATCAGTGTCTACTGGCTACTGCAGTACTGCTAGGCCCTGGGCCTGAATGCGGAGACGCCGACCTGCCGCAGGGTCGGTGTGGGGCTTGACATGGGGAGTGGGGTCGTCCTCTTGGCCCCTGACGTACTGAAAATGAACACCTTGCGTGGAATGCTTGATGACTCCTCAGGTGCCGTGTGCCTATTATTTGCTTGTTAAGACATGTATGTAGAAGCTGTATGCGTTATGGTGTAGACTCTGAGGCGATATCAATCAGCGGACAGCCCCACCCACGGGTTCCAGGCAAAGATCGTGTGGAGTGCATGCGGAATACTACATGAGTACGTACTGTCAGACGCGAATCTTGCGGCTGGCAGCCTAGCCCTAAGGGCCTAATACATGCCTTACGTGTCAGCAATTAGATAAGTGGATGGGGAATTGGGGCCGTTTCTAGAAAGAATCCCGCAGCCACGGACGAGGGTGCGGAACGAGCTTCGTGTTAGCCACCTTGACTTTGACTGAAGTTCTGACTTTTGAGACACTGCCGACTGGACAGTGGACACCCTAACTAATATCTTGTTGCTCGTGTTAAAATGGCGTGGATGACTCGCTGCTTATATTTGAACCTCTATAAAAGTAACCGACGCTCATTCTAAGGCTCCCTCACTTCTGTTCCGGTTTCCTTGTCCCCTTGCATGACACGGGAGAGTCGCCTTTTTCATCATATTCGGCAACCATCTCTTGTCCATCGTGGGTGTTAGACGCAATCTCGTGGCAAGATTTCATATCCTTCGTGCCACCTGTGGTTTTGGGCTCAGTTCCCATTCGAGTAACGGGATCCTCCTTCGACCTGCATAATACGACGATAATATCAAGATATATGCATGACGGATATAAAACTTAACTAGCGATAGCGCTGTTGTTTCAACGAATTTGATTTTTTGGACGCCTGTACCCCAGAAATTCAAAATGCATACCTCAATCTTAGGTCTCATCCTCCTCGCCGGAGTGTATACCGTATATTTCATCGTCGGTCGCATTCAGCGATACTTCCGAAGAAAAGCATTCGCCGCGGAGCATGGATGCCGCCCCCCGACATCTGTTCCGAAAGAAATTAACGATGTTCTCGGCCTGAACAGCGTGAGAAAGAACATGGCCGCCGCGAAGAACAAGAAGTTCTTGGAATCCGGCAAAGAACGATTCGACAAATATGGCCATACGTATTGGATAAACGTCTTGGGCAGGAAGATGATCATGACGCGAGAGAAAGAGAACGTCAAAGCCATCCTTCACGATCAATTCGGTGACTTCGAACTCAACCGCCTGCACACCCTGGGTCCGCTCTTCGGGATCGGCATCTTCACGACGGACGGCCCGGCGTGGAAGCATTCTCGCGCCATGATCAAGCCCAACTTCGATCGCAAGCAGGTCGCCAACCTCGACATGTTCGAGCGACACATACAGGAGCTATTCCACTGTATCCCTCGCGATGGATCGACCGTCGATCTCCAGGAGCTGTTCTTCCGACTGACCATTGATTCGGCGACGGAGTTCTTGTTTGGCGAATCGGTCAATAGCTTGTCAAGTGATGACACGACTGGACTGTCCGAGGAAGTTCAGTTTACCAAAGCGTTTAACCAAGCCTTGGAGTTAACCGTGATGAATCTCCGGTTAGGCCCTCTAAGCCGATTTTGGTACAACCCGAAGGAGGCCGAGTGCAAGAAAGTCTGCTGGGATTTCCTCGACAAATATGTCGACAAGGCGCTCAAATATCGGCAATCCGTCGACCTGGAGAAGGCCACCAGCAAGAAGGGGAGTTATGTCTTCCTGCACGAACTGGCCAAGTCGACCAGCGACAGCAAGCGCCTTCGAGATGAGTTGTTCAACGTTTTGCTCGCCGGTCGCGACACCACCGCCTCCCTCCTCAGCAATCTGTTTTTCCACCTGGCCAAGCAACCCGCGATCTGGGCGAAAATCGTCGAGGAAGCGCAAACGACGCTCAGGGGGGACCTGCCCACTTACGAACAGCTGAAGGAAATGAAGTACCTCCAATACTGTCTCTCGGAATGTACGTACCTGCTCTCCATCATCCTATTCGCATGCTGATTCAACTAGCCCTCCGCCTGAACCCCGTCGTACCCGGCAACGCTCGCACGGCCACTCGCGACACCTGGATTCCCCGCGGCGGCGGTGAAGACGGGCTATCACCCCTTTTCGTCCCCAAAGGTACGGCCGTCAACTACTCTCCCTTCTCCATGCACCGACGCAAGGACTATTTCGGGGAGGACGCCGACGAGTTCGTTCCGGAGCGCTGGGAGTCATTGCGCCAGAACTGGCAGTATCTTCCGTTCAACGGCGGCCCACGGATCTGCGTCGGTCAGCAGTATGCGTTGACGGAAGCGGGGTACGTGGTGACGCGGTTCGCGCAGGAGTTTGCGACGTGGAAGATGGAGAGTCGGGACCCGGAGGAGTGGATTGAGGGGTTGACGTTGACATGCTGTTCGGGCAATGGTACGAAAGTTGGTTTCGTGCCGAAGGCATGAGCTTGGGCGGAATTGGACTTGAATCTTATGCTTCCCTTGATATGGGTTTGAGGGTGGTTGTTTGCCTTTTGGATGTCCTCCCATCTTAGTCATGATCAGGAGTCTTGTTGGTTGGCGGAGTCTGGATTGACATGATGGGACGTTTGGAGAACGAATTTTTGGGTTGACAAGTCTCATCTTATCAGACTTATGTACTGTATTGGAGATTCTCCCCACCCGATATTTCTTGAAAGTTAGGATGAATGGAATGGTAATTTGAGCTATGAGTCTGATACTAGGAACGTTCGGGGGGTGAACTGATCGTCAACTGATCGTCCTGGGGACGGCAGCCGACCAACCATGAAAGCTACAAATTAGTGTACGAATCGTTGGATACTATGCATGAACGAATTAGTATTTCTCTCACATCTTGAAAGTCGCTGTGCGATATGAAGTAAGCTATATGTGTGAAGCATGACTGGACAAAGTGAAGTTGTTGACCTCTGGTGGTGGGGCGGCTGAATGACGTTGGTTCACCATTCGTTGGTCATCCACCACATCCACAGCCATCTCTCATCAACTCATACACAGACCATTGTTCCCTCGAGCAACCCTGAGATCTTCATTTAACACTGTGACGGTTCATTTGAATACATCAGTCCTTTCCCCGAGTCCTAAATATCTATTGCTCCTCTCGATATCGCCATGTCCGGCTTAGAAAAGGCCCTCTTCAACCTCAAGGTCAGGCACCCGCCCTCCCGGTCTACGATCCTCCACCGCTAACCGTCCGCCAGTTCACCGCGAAACAACTCAACCGACAAGCTGCCAAAGCCGGTAAAGATGAGCAGACTGAGAAAGGGAAGTTAAAGAAGGTATGATCCCCTCTCTCCGCTTACACTACCACCATCGACGCAGCCCGGCTAACTCGTTCCCTCCTCCCGCCTAGGCGATCCAACAAGGCCACCAAGACATCGCCAAAATCTATGCGCAGAACGCCATCCGCAAACAGAACGAAAAGCTCAACCTCCTCAAGCTCGGCTCCCGCATCGACGCCGTGAGTAGCCGCGTGCAGACCGCCGTGACGATGCGCTCGGTATCGCAGAGCATGGGGAACGTGGTGCGTGGGATGGACCAGGCGATGAAGTCGATGGACCTCGAGCGGGTAGGTGTTTTCTTTATCGCCATCCACAGCACCAGCCAACTGTCCCCCCATTATATTCTCCCCACACGATCGACTAACCCCCTCCCCTGCAGATCTCCGCCATCATGGACAAGTTCGAAACGCAATTCGAAGACCTCGACGTCGCGACCGGGTACTACGAGAACGCGACTAGCTCGGCCACCGCGGTCGCGACGCCGCAGGAGGACGTGGACCGGCTGATGAGCCAGGTGGCGGACGAGGCGGGCGTAGAGTTCCACCAGGATCTGGAGGCGGCGGCGCCGGTGAAAACGAAGTTAGGGCCGACGGAGCAGGAGGAGGAGGGGCTGGGGGATCGGCTGAGGGCGTTGAGGAGCGCGTGAGCGGGGGGGGTGGAGGTGTTAAGGCGTTGCTTACGATGTCATGCGGGTTTGGTACTGGGTGGGAACGGGTTTCTGAACGACTATTTGATATCTATAGATGCGTTTTCCCTACGATCATAAACACGGAATCAACCTCCAACAATCATTTTATATCCTCCGGCTTCGTATCAGGCTTCCTATTCCGATTCCGTATCTCCTCTAACTCCTCCCCCCCAAACCCCCCCTTCCCCAAAATCACCATAATCACCTCCGACTTCCCCTCTACATACTCATCTAGATCTTGTGTCCGCCCCGCCAGCGCCATCTTCACCCTCGCATACTCCTTCCTCAATCCCCAATCATTCCTCAATACATCCCGCACCGCCAGATGGTTCCGAACTGCCTGACACCCCTCCACTACCACGTACAGATTCCTCGCCGGCACCTCAGGCGCCCGCCGCAGCGCCCACCGATCCGGGACGCCCCACTCCCCCATGTTCGTGTACCCAAGCCGCGCTTCGAGGGCGGCGATGGCGGCAGCGACATGTGGTCGCGCGACGATCACGTCGATGTCGAGGATGGGTTTGGCGGCGAGGCCGGGGACGGAGGTGCTGCCGACGTGTTCGATGGAGAGGAAGGGAACGAGGAAGAGGGCGGTGGTGAGTTCAGTGCGGAGAGCTTGGAAGGAGATGGGCCATTGGGGGTCGTAGGGCTCGACGATGATAGGCATTGTGAGGGACTTTGGTAATGAATAGGGTGTTTTGTGGGGGGAGACGGTTGGGAGGGTTAGGGGAGGGCTAAAAGGACAGCGATACTAATGTAGACGCAGGGTAGGGTGCGGGTAGGGACGAAGAAGGGATTACTACATGCAGATAGCGAATGCGTGCGGTGACTCCATAGGCATCACGGTCAATAGCTCAGGAACTGAATGCAATGCAACAATAGGTATAGCCGGTCATGGCCACTGATGTACGTTCGAGTATGGCTTGGCCATGGCATATTGCACGGAAAACGCAATGTGGACCATCCAAAGACAAATATGTTAATACTCTTCACCAGTCCATATTCCCCATTCTCCAACATGAGATCTAGATGAGATATCAGGAACCAGGTCAATGGCTTTTATGGCGAGGGACGTGGGAGGGTCAGACAAACCAGCCTCTCTACACCGACAAGGGCAGACAGTACTTGAGAGAACCCCCTCAGTCCTTTGTGGCACCGTAGTGGATGGAAACCCTGGGTTGAATTGTTGAATGATGCACCATGTTAGACTTGCTGGTTGGAACTTGGAACTTGGTATGACTCCCGTCGTATAATCGTATTGATGGGGGCGATGACGAAATTGATGATTGAAGACTTGAAGTACTGTAACACCTCAGCCACCATTTCCCTTGTTCACCCTGTGATCCTATAAGTCACAACACATCAAGCAGCGAGTTCCATGTCACTGACTTACATAGCATTTAAATGTTGAATGCGATCAGATTCCTTAGAGATAGATGTTACTTAGGACGATCTTCATCTGGTCAGGCGTTTTCTACAATCATTGAATCGATCCTCATTGCGGTCCCTTTAGGTTTGATATGCGTAAGTGTACCACTGTGCCTCAATGGTCAAGCTCCACCAGTTATTTCCCTTGTCAATCTGGCCGTGGCTCTGGCAATCTGTTATCAGCCTGGGCCCTGCTAGTGTAGGGTTGGCTCGGACTGCAGGTGGCGGCTTATTAGTTATTACTACCATAAACCCCAGCTTGTCCGACTCTCCCCCAGACTCGTCTTGCATACTTGGCGATTTCTTATTTCCCTTTATTCCTTCTTCATTCCACTTCCATCAGGCTGCTGTTCCACTTCAAATCTATGGGAAACCTCTCTGACTACTCGAGCGTGATAGACCGTATCCGTTCCTGGACGCGTACGAATGCTCCCGACGAACCGCGATCCGCCCGAGACCCCGAGCTCCCGCTGCACCGCCGGGACCATCTCCAGCGCACACGCTCATACACTCCCGCCGGCGGCATCATAAAAGAACGGCTAGGCAATGGCAGCCCTGTCGCGTCGCCCCTCGCTCGATCGAGGAGCAACCTCAGCCAGAACGTCTCGAATCCCACCGCGGACAACGATGCATCGGCGACGTCGCCTCCCAATCATACCGAACCTGATGGAGCGACATCTGCCGCCCTAGACAACGAGAAGACCGGGCCGGAAAAGCCCGGTATGAGTCTTCTCCGCGTCAGAAATGGTTCTGTCCGCTTCGTCCAGCATACGAAGAAAGTCTTGACTCATAGCTGGGTCAATGTGCTCCTCATTTTCGTGCCGATTGGCATCGCGATGAACTTTGCCACCGATAACCCGGAGCTCATCTTCGCCATGAACGCCGTGGCTATCGTGCCCTTGGCGGGAATGCTTGGTCATGCGACCGAGAATGTGGCTAGCGAATTGGGGGACACCGTCGGTGCATTGCTGAATGTTACTTTTGGCAATGCGGTGGAATTGATTATATTGTAAGCTTGGGAATTGGATGGGCGAAGTACTCTGCTAACAATATCTAGCATGTATGTCCAGCACCAATTACCAGCCAACCGACATGCTTTATTTCTACATCTAGAATTGGCGTGGTCTGGTCCTGTTTGCATCTCTTCAATTTATGAACCATGGTTGCTGACTTAGTCTTCCTTCCCCCCTATAGCATCGCTCTCGTGAAAGTAAGTCAAAATAATGGCTCAGGAACAATATCGAATTCTAATGATTCCTGTAGAATGAAATTCGCATTGTGCAAGCCTCCCTCATCGGATCCATCCTGGCCAATTTGCTTTTGATTCTTGGAATGGCCTTCGTCGTTGGAGGTCTTCGCTATCGGGAACAGGTTAGATTGAAATGTTCTTCTGACGAAAAAGGTGCTAACTATGACAGATCTACAACAGTACGGTCACGCAGATGAGCGCCTGCATGCTCAGTTTGAGTGTTCTGAGCTTGGTGTTGCCTGTAGGTCTCCTTTGAACCGGCGTATATTACAGTGGTCAGGCTGCTTGCTAACGCGAGTTGTAGACTGCCTTCCACGCCTCTTTCTCTGACTCTAATCTTGCCGATCAATCCACCTTGAAGATCAGTCGAGGTACCAGTGTAGTACGTGATAACCGATCATCTCCTCCTACCATTCTGACACGTATTAGATCCTCTTGATCGTTTATGTGCTTTATCTACTGTTCCAATTGAAGTCCCATGCATATCTGTACGAGAGTACACCGCAACATATTATCGATGAGGAATCCCACCCTGGATTACTCGCGGATGTCCTTGGCGGCTCATCCAGTTCGTCAAGCTCCGACGACAGCTCAAGTTCAAGCGACAGCGATTCTTCATCCGGATCGCATACGACAGCGAAGAGAATCCGAAAGGCCTTCCGTCATCGCAGGCGACGAAAGTCGAGCGTCAGCTCCAAAGATACACAGACTCCACCTTCCGATCTTACTACGTCTGCGGATCATGCCACTCATGATGCGAACGGAGCTGTATCAACTATGCCTGGAAGCGCTACCCATCGCAATCACAACCTTGGAGCCATCATCAGTGGGGACGAGGCAGACATAGACGGTGATGAACACATTCATGGGCCGGCTGGAGTGAGAGACTTCGGAGTCGACCAGGACACTGCAGCCAGTCGATCTCTCGAACAGAAACGTAGGGGAAAGAAACAGAAACGAAAGTATAAACAGCGTCATCACCGCAAGCCCGAGCCCGAGCACAATGATGCCCCCACCGATATTAAGGACCCGACTTCCCTACTCGATCCCGTAGATCCCGCCACTGCGACGCCCAAAGTGGGATTTTCCGAAGACATCCAATACAACGAGTCTCCCAACGCCCGAAATCCATTCAACATGCGCCGCCCCCTCTCCCGCCCCGGATTCTCCCGCGCAAACCTCCCCACACTTCTCTCCCAGACCGTCTTCTCCAGCACCGCCACGCCCGCCCCCGCCGGCGCCAACGCCCCCACCCGCGCGACCCCCGGCCTCCGCCGCACCTCCTCCCTCCCCGACCGCCTCAACCGCCCCGCAACCTCCAGCCCCGCGCCCATCAACCCGCGCATCGCCGCCCCGGTCTTCGCGCCCCATCCCCGCCCGATCAACACCGGCGCCGACGGCCCGATTAGCAGCGACGAGCCCGCCGAGCACGTGCGGGCCATGTCGCGCACCACCGCAGTGATCACGCTGCTCATCTCGACCGGCCTGGTCGCACTGTGCGCGGAGTTCCTCGTCGACGCGATCCCCGCGATGACGGAGCAGTCGACGGTCAGCCAGGCGTTCATCGGGCTAATCATCCTCCCCGTAGTTGGCAACGCGGCGGAGCACGTGACGGCGGTGATGGTGGCGAGCAAGAACAAGATGGACCTGGCGATCGGGGTGGCGGTGGGCAGCTCGATTCAGATCGCGCTGTTTGTGACGCCGCTGGTGGTGATCCTCGGGTGGATTCTGGGGAAGGAGATGACGTTGTATTTCAACCTGTTTGAGACGGCGTCGTTGATCGTGACGGCGTTCGTGACGAACTTTTTGATTCTGGATGGAAGGAGTAATTATTTGGAGGGGGCGTTGTTGGTATCGTCGTATATTATCATTGCGTAAGTGGAACTTTTGATGGGTTGATGGGTATGGGCTAACATTTCGATGTAGGGTTTGCGCGTTCTTTTATCCAGATGGAAGTGCGCAGAATGCAAGTGGTACACTGAGTGGGATACATTAGCTTTGCCAGTGGTGTTTCCGAGCAGAGGTGAAGGAGGGACTGTCTACAATTATCGTGAATAGCGGAGTAGTCTGAGAGGCGGATATCATGTCGAATGGTCGACGATGTATACACAAAAGTATATATAACCATCCCATAAAGATAATATGCATGGCATTCGTTCCAACGAGCATCATTAATTTAGCAACCATGACGTCCTGATCATCTCCCCCTGCGGATCCGATCTGATGCTCTAGCTGCTTTTTTGTTTTTATGCCAAGTCACCCTCCCTCTTCATAAGTCATACTGCACTGTAACGCCTCTATTAATCCTCCCTCTCCCGGAAACACAAATACTTTTCCCGAACCATCTCATTTCGCATAACCCCCACCCACTCTTTCCCCTCCTCAACTCCCATTCACCTGCGCCCTCTTCCTCCGCTCCCTTACCGCTGCCGCCAGATCCTTCAACACGTCCACTGTCGTCGCCCAATCGATGCACGCGTCCGTGATGCTGACGCCCTTCTTCAGCCCCGCGGGGCCCTCGGCGGGCACTTTCTGATTGCCGGCATTGATGTTGGATTCGAGCATGACGCCAACGATGGCGGTCTCGCCGGCGCGGAGTTGCTCGGCGATGGTGTGCGCGACTTTGGGTTGGTTGTTGTGGTCTTTTAAGGAGTTTCCTGGGGTTGTGTTAGCTCTCACTATTTTTCTCTCTACACCGCCCTATTCCAAATCCGGGATCTAGATAGGAGTAACGTACCATGCGAACAGTCGACCATCATCACCTCCGGCAACCCCTTCTTCCGCAACGCTTCCCTGACCTTCTTCACGTTCGCCGCATCGTAGTTCGTCCCCCCCGTCCCGCCCCGCAAGATCACGAAACAGTGCTCGTTCCCCGACGTCCGCGTGATGGCTGCCAACCCCTGCTTCGTGACGCCCATGAAATGATGTCTTGCCTTCGCCGCGCCGATCGCGTCGATCGCCACCGTCAACCCGCCGTCAGTGCCGTTCTTGAAGCCCATAGGGAACGACAAGCCCGAGGCGAGTTCGCGGTGCAGCTGCGACTCGGTGGTGCGGGCACCGATGGCGCCGAGCGAGATGAGGTCGGCTAGGAACTGGGGGGAGATGGTGTCGAGCATCTCGGAGGCGATGGGCATGCCGGTGGCAGTGAGGTCGACGAAGAGCTGGCGGGAGACGCGGAGGCCCTTGTTGATTTTGAAGGACTCGTCGATGTCCGGGTCATTGATGAGGCCTTTCCAGCCGACGGTGGTGCGGGGTTTCTCGAGGTAGGCGCGCATGATGATGACGAGGTCTTGGGAGAGGTCGTCGGCGAGGGATTTGAGCTGGCGGCAGTATTCGAGGGCGGTGGTGGGGTCGTGGATGGAGCAGGGGCCGACCATGACGAGGAGGCGGTCGGATTGCTGGGTGATGATGGAGATAGCGTCGCGGCGGCCTTTGAGGACGGTGGTGACGTTTTGGGGGGTGGCGGGGATTTCGGTGCCGAGGAGAGCGGGAGGGATGAGAGGGTCGTAGCCGATGACTGGGAGGATTAGTTGAGTTCAAAAGAATAAGGTTAAGAATCGTTTATACCGCGAACGTCATCACTGACGATTTGTCCTTGCTCAATGGCGGGGGTGATATCAGCCATGATGGTGAGTGCGTTGCGCGTGGGGATTAGAGAAACGAGACTAGAAATTGATGAATTCGGGAGGAGTCGAAGGGAATGTTAGGATAGAGATGTGGACTGAAGAAAGGAAAAGACGAAAGCTGAAAGAATTTGAAGAAAGCTGTAATGCTGGCGGTGAGTCAAAAGAATTCTGGAGCAGACGGAGCAAGTGAACCAGACGATCAATTCGTGGCGTAACTACGCGCCCGACAAACTGTGAATCTATGTCTGCTGGCTGCATTGACCAGGATATTGACCAGGACATCGGATAGATTGGAAAGGATGCATTGTAATTGGCTTTGGCGTCTCCCTTCTTCCTCCGAGAATCGGTCCTTAGATCAATTCAAGCTTCGTTCAATATCGCATAGGAGTCACGAGCTGTACTGGGTTTTGGTGGCGCAGGACAGCATCAAGCGAAGCATCGGATGGCCATGCCATGTTACCGCTCTCGACTCTTTTAAGAGTTTAATGTAAAGATATTGTAACTCCCATTGTGGCCAACGATTTTGCAAGGCCAATGACTTCTTTACCTCTGTCAATTGTGGTGGGAGTCTAGTGACACCAGTCTCGAAATTTCCCCGAAAATGGAGGCGAAGCATTTCGAGCTCCTGTCGTCCGCCGTAGCATATCAAATTTCCGTGACTTCATCCCACCGCCGATGAGTCCAGTCACCAGTGAGTCACGTAACCCTTGATAGAAATCTTTGATAGTATATCACGTATAAATTCGAGTTCGAAAGAGAAGGAATCTCCAGAATCCAGAGAAATATCCGGACTGTCACTTTTCTTGTCATTGAATTTTTAGATTTGTTGGTAGCTGCATCATGTCGACGACACTCGTTCTACGTGGGGAGGATAAGCCGATGGAGCATCGGAGTGCTTTGACTGTACGTCCATCCCATCTTGTCTAAGTCTTGTTCTGGAGTCAATTGATTCATATCTCCATTTTCGCGATCAATTGTGAAGCTTGGAGTTCCCAATTCAGGAAGACGGCTAACCTCTCTCAGCCTACCACAGCCAAAGCACTCATCGATTCCGGCTACACCATCAAAGTCGAACGAAGCGACCAACGCATCTTCGACGACAACGAATTCTCCTCCATCGGCGCCCAACTAGTCGAAAAGAGCTATTGGCTCACCGCCCCTACCGACGAGGTAAACCCCCTCCTCCCCATCTCCCAACTTGCTCCCAAACAACCATACTGCTACCTTTCACCACCCCTAACGCTCTCCAGATCATCATCGGCCTCAAAGAACTCCCCGATCTCCCCGCCCGCCTCCCCCACACCCACATCCAATTCGCCCACGTCTTCAAAAACCAACACGCCTGGGCCCCTACCCTCGCCCGCTACGCCCGCGCCGACGGCACCCTCCTCGACCTTGAATTCCTCGCCACCGGCGGCCGTCGCGTCGCTGCCTTCGGTTACCACGCGGGGTTCGCCGGCGCGGCGCTCGCGATCAAGGCGTGGCGCGCACAGCAGGACGGGGGGGTGCTGAAGAATGTGGATGAGTATACAGGGGGGAAGGGGTATTATCCGACGGAGGGAGAGCTGGTGAGCCAGGTGACGGAAGATATTAAGGCAGTTGGAAGGGCGCCGAGGGTGTTGGTGATTGGGGCGCTGGGGCGGTGTGGGAGCGGAGCGGTGGAATTGTGTCGGGCGGTGGGGGTACCAGAGGAGCAGATTGTGAAGTGGGATATGGCGGAGACGGCGAAGGGGGGGCCGTTTGATGGTGAGTTTTTACAGTCGACAAGAAGCATTGGGAACGGGAATGGACCGCTGATATCTTCTAGAAATCGCCGAGGCCGATATCTTCGTCAACTGCATCTACCTAACCGAGAAAATCGCCCCCTTCATCACCCCCGAGAAACTTTCCTCCCCCAACCGCAATGTCACAGTTATCTGCGACGTCAGGTACGTCTCCCTTTCCTGTAACTATGAACCACCCACTCACCTTCCCACCACAGCGCCGACAACACCAACCCCAACAACCCCGTCCCAGTCTACACTGAAACCAGCACCTTCACCCAACCTACCATCGCCGTCGACGGCGTCGCCGGCACCCCCGTCCGCGTCATTAGCATCGATCATCTGCCGAGCTTGCTGCCGCGGGAGGCGAGCGAGGCTTTCTCCGGGGCGCTGTTGCCGTATCTGAAAGAGTTGCGGGATTGGCGCGCGAATCAGGTGTGGGCGGATGCAGAGCGGTTGTATCGGGAGAAGGTGGCGACGTTGCCGGAGGGGTTGGTGGAAAAGGCGTAGGCGTTGAGTCGACATAAATCAGTCCTCGGGTATTAGAGGGGCGTGTGGAACTCAAAAGTTGGGGTTACTGGTTAGGTTTAGATGGGTGTTTGGGAAGAATCCCTATCTCGAATACCGATATAGGTAGCATTCGGCAATGATAGGATATTGTTTGATCGAGTCGTAAGTATAAAATCGAAGGCCCTCAAAGCCTCTCATCATTGAGCGGCTGCACCACGATCAGGCTGGATCGTTCTTCGACCACCGCCATGTGCCTACAGGCTGCAGTGTCAGTAATACGTACGAATATCCAGATTCCCGGTCGATGCATTTCATGCAATCATATGCACGGAGCCCCCGTTACCGACACTCAAGGAGCCATCTCTCGGAACCGAGCGATGCAGTGCTGACCATCGGGTTTCATCTTCTCGATCTAGAGCATTGGACTGGTCGAAAAGCAGATGACAGGAGCATCGAGCTTGAGGTTGCGTCCCATCGTGGGGCTGCCGCTGTCAGTGCCTCAGTGGTCTTGGGGTCGTTTCAGGCTTCGGGGCTGTAAAGCTGAGGCGGCTACAACGACGACTGAATCGGTGCGCTGGATAAGAATTCGAATTTTTTACCACTCTCCATATCATCCAATCCTATGAACGGACACGCAAATTATGCGAATGGTAGATTCCTCACCCTTCGCGATATTACAGTACATATTCCCCCCGAGCCAATATGCACCAGGCACCACGCGACGGAACCCCGGAACGACCACTGTACGTAAAAATAGCGGCCACACATCGATAGCGGCGTCCGATAGATGAACCCGACCGGGTGTCCGGATCGCCGCAGCACGATCCGACGACCGAACGCGCACGTCCGCACTCTATGTCCGGCGTTCCCGCTGCTGGGTTGGTGGATGGAGGATGGAGGGGCGGCCAGTTGGAGGTCTAGGACAGTTCATTAGGTCTTGGTGGCATTCGGGAAAGGATATGTTAGGACTTGGGACTTGGGAGAGATTGTGTTTGTCCGGGGTCGAGTGGTTCTTATCATCTTATGTTACTTTATTTGCCTTTTGACTACTTTGACTAGGTGAGCGGACGGACGAATGGTGAAGATCGTAGGTGAGGAGACGTTGATCAGTACGAACGAGGGGGTTGCATGAGATGGAATTGGAGCCGCTGAAAAGGGATTGATCACTTCACATTTCATCATCCGCGATGAAGGATATCTAAGACATCTATCACTTCTTTCGGGTCTTTCAGTCTCCGTGATTGGGTTTTTCTTGAATCTGTGGCTTTTTGAAACCCATCCACGTCGCAGCCACCGATTTCAACACATTTCAAGTTCACTTCAAAACCCCCACCTCGTCACTTCTCCGACATCACCGACATTTCATCAGGATCACTTGGCTTATCCTCCCCTTATCTGACACTCTTCTCTTGCACTTTGGATTTTTCAATTTTCATCCTTTTGTGTGCTCCTTGACATCCTTCGCACTGCTTTCCATCTTACCTACCATTCAAAACTATCGAATTGACTCGTCGCTGGTCGGCAGCTTGTGATCAGAAGGGGTTGAATGAGGTCAGCGCGGCTTGACACGCTCGGACGGGTCCATCACTGAGCCACTGCGTCCTATGCTGGATATTGGCTATTGCACACAACGAGGACTGGAGATTTTGCAAGAACAATAATTCAACTCACCATGCCTGGAAAGAGAGAGCGAGATGATTTCGAGGATGAGGACGTCTCTCCTTGGGGAACCCCTGAGAAGGTATATTACTACCAATTATCATAGCTCCCTCGACACAGGATAGATGCTAACCACATATCCATAGCGACTCCGCTTCAACCTCAACGTGAACGACAACAAAGCCACCTTCTTCACTCCCTTCAACCACGCTGAATACCGTACCACCTCGACCAGCGAGAGCCCCCCCTCCCACTTCGTCGTTCCCCATCTCCTCACCCCGTCCCATTCCCAAGCATCGAGCATCGCGAGCTACGACATGGAACTAGAGCAACCCGACCACCCAATGCCCACCATAACGTCCCAACCCCCCAATGAATGGGCCAACTTCTCCGCCATTAACATCCGCGAACCCAGCGCCGAGCCCCCAGGCGACGACGTACCCATGGACCTCGACGACCCTCCCTCCGCCCCCTCCACCAACACCATGCTCCCCTCCTCCCCACCCCCCTCCTCCCCCTTCAAACGCCCCCCCCTCCTCCGCACCCGCCCCGTCTCCTACCCCACCCGCACCACCCCTCGCATCCCCACCCCTATCGCCTCCTCCTTCCCATCCAACCTCACCCCGATCCTCCACGACTCCCTCCTCCCTCACCGCACCATCGCCTTCCCCCCCCTCCACCTCTTCCCGCACCACCTCGTCCACGACCGGCCCATCGCCTCGCCCATCGCCGAGGACGCGCCCGAGACGCCAACGGGGCTGCTGGTGGGGAATGAGTTGGCGCGGTTGAGCGTCAGCGGCGCGATGGATATGGAGGGGACCGAGGTGTCGCCGCGGTCGACGTACTTCGCTGCCCCCCAACCATCTGACCCGCCAACTTCGAATTTCTCGGGCTCCTCAGGCAGTTTCGAGTCAGCCAGTTTCAACTCAGCCAGCATCGAATCAACCGCCCCACCCCGGTCCCCCCCAACCCACCACCGACACCGCTCCTCCCACGCCTTCCCTGCTCTCCGTCCGGACGCGCAGATCGACGTGGTGGACCTGTCGAGCGTCGAGAACACGGGTCTGCTGGCGCGACGGGGGCGGGCGAGGGCCGGGGCGTTGATGGAGCGGAAGAGGATCGCGATGGGGTATCGGGAGGAGTGTGAGAAATGCCAGGCGAAGATACCGGGGCATTTTAGTCATTTTTTGCCGATGGGAGTGTAATGGATGAGGATGACTTGCGATATGACTTTGCTTGGTTCCGTGGCAGGAAACGAATAGGAGATGATCAGGTGGCGTTGGGGTACAGGAGAAGATATCTGATAGGGACATACTTTCACTGCATTAATTAGCGAGCGAGCGAACGTCGTTCATGAAATCCAATGACTTGCGCCGTTGGTCCAACGGCTCCATTTTCCCAATCTATAATCCATCGCTCGATCGTACATTATGTGACACTGACACCCTCGCTCGCGAACGCTCCGTGCCAACCCTCGATCTATTCCACGAACCGTATAACATGAAGTCCCATCCACCAATGTCCACAGATCTGCAACAAGCGTGGTATGTTTTCCCGACTCCCCGCGCAAAACCGACGAACGCCCTCCCCTCCCCTCACCCCATCTCTTTTCTTACCATCACACCGGCAAACCCCCCTCCCCCGCCAACCCCACCCTCTCCCCCATCGCGCGAATCCCCGGCCCCACCACCGGAACCTGCCCGGCATACCCGACCAACGTCCCTAGAAAGTCCCCGAACAGCACCACGATTCCATATAACTCCACCAAAAACCCGATCAGCGGCCAGCGGAAGAGGATTAAAAGGATCCCGAGGGTGAAGGCGGCGGTGCCGGGGAGCTTGTGGCGGCGGGCGAAGAAGGAGAAGGTTTTTTGGAGGCCGAGGAGGAGGGGAAGGCCGATTAGGAAGAGGATCTGTTGGAGAGGGGGTTAGTATGGTGCGGAGGACTATGGTTTGGAATAGAGGGGGGAGGGACGTACGTTTCCCATGGCAAGCATGGCGCGGTCGAAGAACATGAGGAGGCCGCCGAGGAGGAAGAATGTGCCTGGAAGGAGGGGGGGTTAGATCGGGTTGGATTTCGCAAGTTGGGTAGGACTGGGGATGGAGGCGATGGAGTGGAGTGGGATAGGTTACACACCTCCGGAGCAGAACGCGACGCCCACCTCTATGAAGTACGTTAGCATGGTCTTGTTTCAATGTGTTGGAGGAGACGGACTTTGGGCGTCGGATAACCACATGGACGGCATGTTGGCAGATGTGATGCGGACGGAGGAGTGTTGAGTGTAGGGAGGTAGGCAGCTGGACGTGGCTATCGAGGGCGTGGCATATGGGATCCCCGGCTGGTAGGTATATGAACGAGGGACGAGGGTGAAGGGATTGGGTTGATGTTGAGAATGTCCCGAGTGCTGGAACAGAACTGCCTTATGGACGCACGATGTGTCCCCTTTCTTTTCACGGTGATGGCTGACGGTTTCGTAGTTCGCGCAGTGAAGATCGGCGATGCAAGGGTCTGGGCTGCATCCTTGTTCCGCCCTGTGGCACGGGAGGACGCTGAGATTAAATGTTGCCGTGCATGTGCCACGAGGCTTGTTGGGGATAAGAAATTGAGCTGGGTCTTGTTCTTGTTCTGCTGTTTCTGGGAGAATGATATTGGTGGAAATATGGAGGGACGAAGGGGTTGTTGTCTTGTTCAGCGCAAGCTGTGCCTTCAAGCACGAATACAGGATGACGGCTATCAGGTCATGGAGAATAGGTGATACCGTTCAAGTCATTCCATTTCTCTAACTTGGACCATGTCAACTCTTACATCCCCCCGCCTAGCCCATCGAGAATGTCCGTAGACGATAAATCGGACGTTGCTAGGATCGAAGGATGGTGCCACCGAGCGGACAGAGCAGGATTTCAGACCTTGACCACCTCTCGTCCAAGCGACCGTCCTTGTCGACCGCAGCGCCAGAGATCTCACTCCTCAGGAAATCGTCGGTGTCGCTCTCGGTTTTGCGGTATCTCGTACAGTGTCCCGGCATCCACGCAACGTAGAATTCCCAGCGCAATCCATCAGCTTCGATAATTCATTCCCCATCCTGCGGCGCCGAGTTGAACTTATCCGTCGCGGACCGAAACAGCTCCTGCTGCTGCCGAATGAGCTCATCCGTCGACAACCCACTCTGCTCCAACTTGCTATGTTTCTTCTCCCGATGCTACACACCATTAGCCCCCACCACCCAACACCCCCACACTCAACAGAAAACATACCACTTGCTGATTCTTATGGTCCTGCGCCACCTTCAAGATCTCCGGCACGTACTCCCCGTACCCGAGCTGCTCCAGCGCCGTCTGCACGTGCTCGCACGCGATCGTCTTCTTCGCGTCCTTCTCCGCGATCTCGTTCGCCTCCGAGGAGACCAGCGTGATGAACTCCACGCAGCATTCGATGAGAAGGTCGCGCGTCTCGCGGGCGAACGTCGCGCCGCTGTCGTGTGCGAGGATCTCGCTGATGATCTTTTGGACGGTGGCTAGGGGGGTTAGTTGGGTGGTGGGAGATGGGGGGAAATGGGGGAGATGGGGGGATTACCCTTGGGGAGGGAGAGGTCGTCGCTCCCTGTATAAGTCACCATGTTAGCCGATATAGCGTCTCTGGACTGCGTCCTTCCAACGGAGGGTATTTACCTCCAAACTCGCGGTCCGACATCTTCCCGTTTCTGCGGATGGAATCTCAGATACAAAGCAGCTGCGTCTTCCCGTGGGACGATTGATTGACGCGGTTTGGTTCCTTGGTTGCAGTTCTTCAGGATTCAGGTTCATCCACCATTAGAGGCACAGATACACAACGCACATGTAGGTACAAGGGGATGGAAAGAGAATGTGCGAGCCATTTGTAGGAACATGGAATTTCTGGCTTGGAGAGGAATGGATAGATGATGAACAGCGATTGATGACATGGGTGTTCACTACAGCTCCGATCCAGTGATACAGGAACCGCTCCGCTGAAGTGCCCTGTGCTTTTACTGGGCCCGGGACACTTTATCTTCTCGCAGAATTTTTCTAATTCCTTTCTTCTATCCCCAACAACTGCAGCCGTCTCGACAGAGGACTGCAGTCGAGCTATGATGTCCTGGTAAGTCGATACTCTTCTATTTTTCCCCTTCCAAATGATGAATTTTCGTGTCGCCCCTATCTTAGGAGTGTGGCTTTTAAGTCACGCAGCTGCCGATTTTCCTGTCCAAAGCCAAAGGACTGTCTGATTTGGATTCTCTCATCAATATTGCTCTCAATCTGCTATGAGGACTTTCTCGCTAACGGCGATAATTCTAGGTTCGACTTGCAATCCTCTGGTAGTGCCGATGCCCAAGACCTTTGTTGAGGCCGAATAATGTTGAACATATCGGCTGTGGGATGAGTACCATGAAATGTTTAGCGAGTGTAGGATACTGCTGGCTCGGTTGATATCTTCAATGGGCTCTGCATCTGGATGTGTATCTCGATATGTATCTACTCTATCTTTACTTTATCTAAGAAGTTCAAAGGGTACGTCTCAACTCTCCTTCTCACGTCCACCTCTCCTGATGAACCCAAACATTCCATGCTAAGGCTGAAGGGTTTACCCTCATGCTGAAACAAATGTAAAAAGCTTTTCATCTTTCGTCTGATCTCCTACCTACCTAACAGCCTTTTGAACCAAATCTGTCAGTGGCCGCTCGCTGACATCTGGCTTGTTTAGATCTCTGAGTCCATGTAGACATCAGTCCTGGAATTCCGCAAGCGCAGTATCATTCCAACTGCTTGCATGTTAGTAGATTAGTCAAATACAACCTCAGGAAACCGTACCTCATAAATCCTCCACTCAACGTCTTCGGTGCCCCCAGTGCCAACTTCGCAATGACATGTCCAGGCTTCTCCGGGGGCAACAACCCGCCCTCCATCTTCAATGCCGCAAACTTGTCCGCGTCTTTCTTATCCATGATCGTCTGATGCACCTCACGTATCTCCCGCTGCATCTCCGTATCCACCACGCCCGGCCGGATGGACACCGTCGTGATGCTCGGCTCCTCCACCGCCAGCGTCATGGCCAGGTGATTCAGCGCCGCTTTGCTCGCTCCGTACGCGCCCCAGGTGCTGTACGCACCCACCGCCGCCCCCGACGACGTGATGACGATATTCCCCCCGGACTCCCGAAGCGCTGGCAACGCCGCCTGAATCTACACATCGTCAGCATCCACCCACTCCATCCCAATTGCATCCCAATTGAGCCCCATACGTACCATTCCCACTGCCGAGAAGAAATTCACCTCAAATGCCGCCCGCCACTCCCCTACCTCCGCCTCGCCAACCCGCTTAATCGGATCCAACACCCCATGATTGACCACTAGTCCATCGACGCGCTTCCACGCCGCGATCGCCACGTCGACGGCCTTCTGCGCGACGGACGGGTCGCTGAGGTCGCCGGCGACGATGCGCACGCGGTCGGCGGGGAAGGTGGCGGCGACGCGGGCGAGGGCGTCGTGGGTGCGGGCGATGAGGACGAGGTGGTGGTGATGGGCGAGGTGGTGGGCGACTGCGGCACCAATCCCTGGGGTGTGTAAGCAGGCTGATGCGACGTGCAATGCAAATTATCCAATGGATGCGTGGATCGGTAAGGAGAGACCAATGATAGGAAAGTCCAAAACGTGCCTCTAGATGCACCAGTGACGATAATAACTTTCGACGTCATCTCTGAGAGTGGCTTCGTGTCAATTTAATGCTCATGTAGGAATCAGGCCAGTGTTACATGAAACCGACAAGCAATGCCACCGAAGGCCCCAATTCCTTAACCGTGAACCAATCCCGCCCGACAGAAGTCGCACCCACACGTTCCAGATCCTTCGACATCATCGGTGGTCGGACCACACAATCAACCCCTCCCTTGCCGGTAGTGTCACTGTCTCGGCGTTTTCCCCAAATATTCACGCCATTTTTGAAACAAACTAGATATACAGGTATCTATTATTATTTGATTTATTATTTGGTTATCATTATCTACTATCATTATCACCACTCGTTTCCATCTTTCGCTCCGGTAAAATTCCCTCCAAAGAAGACGGGGCATTCGAAATCGGAATTGATCGATCGCTAACAGGTGGGAAAGGCGAGGCGGGGACCCACGCCCTACCCTCTACAATAGCTCTTACCTGATGCGGACGCTATCATACGATAAACGGCGATTGTCGAATGTTTTGGGCGCCGGGGGGCGTGATGCGATGAGCGATCGATGCACGGAGCAGGGGGGAGAGGTGAGGCATCGGACACGAGACTGGGCCACTGGGGACATCATGATATTAAGAAGACTAACGTAATATGGGAATTTAATGGTCGATGGTTAGCTAAGTAGCTTGGGGGATTGAGTTGTTTTCATATCACCGTCGCTCTTCCCGCGATTTCCTGGAATAGTAGAGTTCAGTTGAGCCCCTCGTGTACAAAACCGATATTCTGTTATCGCCATGTCCAACACCGTCATCGTCGGCGCCGGCATCATCGGCGTCTCAACCGCCTACTACCTCTCCGAACCCTCCCACACCCTCGCCCAATCCATCCACCTCATCGACCCCGCCGACGAACTCTTCAACTGCGCCTCCGGTCTCGCGGGTGGATTTCTCGCCGAAGATTGTATGTCTTAGTCCCCCCTCCTCCCTTTTCTTCTCCCCCTATCTTCCCTCTCCTATCATTCATGAACCCGTCCAACAATCACAGGGTTCGCCCCCTCCGTCGCCCCCCTCGGCGTCCTCTCCTTCCGCCTCCACCGTGAGCTCGCCGAGGCCCACGATGGGAAGACGCACTGGGACTACAGCCGCAGCACCGCGGTGTCGATGTCCGGCGACAGCGAGTCGGCGATCGGCGGCAGTGGGGAAGATTGGTTGCGCGACGGGACGAGCCGCGCGCGGGCGGCGACCGAGCCGACGGGGAGCGAGGGGTTACAGGGGGGGGAGCCGGCGTGGTTGGCGAGGGGGGAGGGGGTGAGTGTGGAGGTGATTAGTACGAAGGGGAGTGTGGCGCAGATGTAAACGCTCTGAGATCTGATGTGTTCGATTGGGGAATGAGATGGCTGACCCGTGGATGTGAATTAGCGACCCGTGGAAACTCTGCGAATGGCTCCTGAGTAAGTGCAAGGAGCGTGGGGTCCACGTCCACAATCCCGCCCACGCCATCTCCGTCGCGAAAGATGTCCGTGACACTCTTTCGAGCGTGCGTATCCGCGAGAAAGACGGCGTCGAAACAGACCGTAAGTCCCCCATCCACCTCTCCCCACCCGCCCCTCCTAACCCTCCCTAGTCCCCTGCCACCGCCTCATCCTCACCGCCGGCGCCTGGACCCCCCGCGTCTTCCGCACCCTCTTCCCGCACTCCCCCGCCGCCATCCCCATCTCCCCGCTCGCGGGCCACGCGCTCCTCGTGCGCTCGCCGCGCTGGACGGCCGCGCAGGGCGACGAGGGGTGCCATGCGGTGTTCGCGACGGATACGCTGGGGTTCTCGCCGGAGGTGTTTAGTCGACGGGGGGGACGGATTTACGTGGCGGGGCTGAATAGTACGATGGAGAGGTTGCCGGAAGAGGTGAACGATGTGGGGGTAGGGGAGGGGGAGAAGATGAGGGTGGCGGTGGAGCGGATGAGGGGGGTGGGGAGGAGGATGTTGGGTGGGGAGGAGGTGGAGGTGGTGAGAGCTTCTATGGTGAGTGAGAGTGAAGATTGTTGGAGGTGGGTGCTGATGTTCGATAGTGTTTTCGGCCGGTGACGGCGAGTGGGCGGCCGTTGCTTTGTAAGGTTCCGGATCGGGTGTTGGGGGATGGGTTGTGGACGAGGGGAGGGGGGGATGGAGGCGTGTTCATATCGGCTGGTCATGGCGCATGGGGTACGTTGCCGAGATTGGTCGAGGATCCAGCACTAACGGATTGTGGTAGGTATCTCTCAATGTTTGGGTACAGGACTTGTTCTGGCGGAGTTGGTCGAAGGGAGGAAGATATCGGTGAATATCACGCCGTTGGCACTGGCAACCTGGTGACGAGTTCGGAGTAGAATACATCGGATTTAGGAGTGGCATTTCGAGGCTGTACGAGAAACCCATCAGCAAGGGGACGATGAGAATCGGGGTATATTTCCTTTCCGACCTTCCGACATACGGGAGACGCAATCCTCCCTTTCCTTCCCGTCCATGGTAAATAGAAGGAAGTAGACCGCTCATCACCGAATTCATCGACATATCCTCACCCACATCACCCTAAATCAACTCTTCTTCTCTGGCACGCAACAATCCCCTCCCGCATCCTCCACCACCCTCCCCACCAACCCCTCCAACCCTCCCTCCTCCCCTCCTCCCCCCCTCGCCCCATCCCTCTTCGACAACCCCACATCCCCCGCAATCTCCTCACACTCCCTCGCCACCCGGACATCCAGCTCCGTGACCCTCGGACCCTCGGGCCCATCGCGCGGTCGATGCGTCACCCAGCGCACCATCACGCGGTTATAGACGTTCGCCCACTCGGGATGGTGGCGCTCGCGGGCGGCAAGGTCGGCGACGCGGGTGATGAAGGACATGGCGGACTTGAAGGTGGGGAAGAGGAAGGTGCGGGTGAGGGAGGGTGGGGAGGCGTGGTGGGTCCAGGGGGTTTGGGTGGTGAGGGAGTGGATGGAGGTGGTGAGAGGGTCGGTTGGGGAGGAGTCGGCTGGAGAGGAGGCGGTAGTCATGGTGCGAGGGAAGGAAGGGGAGGCGTAGAGGTGGTGGGTTGGAGCGGAGCGGAGGGAGGAGGTCGATGAGATGTGGCCGTGAGATGTCGGGGTCAGAATGGTTCGCATGAACGCGAGCCGTCTCGTGGGAGAGGCCAGCATATCGAGGAAATCTTGGTGGATGCAATAGTTCGGAAAGATTACCCGGGCTGATTATGTCGTTGGTTCGATATGGACCCAATCCGATCTAACCCCTTCAAGCACTTTGATAATAATTAGTAATTACGAATTATTAGTTAGTAGGGTTGATAATTGAGGGGCTGGTGATGGTGATGATCTAATATTTCCGAAGCCTCCGGTCAGCAATGACTCGGTCTTCGATGTCAATCGAAGTCCAAAAAGTATGCGAACATCCCCTGCAACGTTGCCGTCTTGCCATGGAAGATCGTGAAATTAGCTCGAACAGTACACGAGGGGTTTATGCAGCGCAGCCATGATACAATTGTGGCTCAATTGTTCGACTTGGTACTTGGTAGATCCGTGTTTTGTCCGAACATCTCCAGAGAGCGGTCCATGACCAAGTCTCCTCAATATCGTATGGTAGCATTTAGGTTTAAATGAAAGCGCCGTGCTCCGTACATACGAACTTATGAGATCCACTACTTACATTGAGATTTGAGAGTCCTGTTCTTGGCCCCTAGCTTAGAGCCCTACTCCTCTTCCTAAAGTCCAATGTTTTTCCAACGCCTCTCCCACTGATGAGATCCGCGTGTTTCCATTTGTGGATCCTCTGTCCTCGCGTGTCGGAGTTACGTTGCGGTGTTCGATCCCGTACGTCCGGCAACAAGAACCCGCCCTTCAAAGCAGCGTGGGTGAATGGCGACTCGATTTGTCAGCCCTTTGCTGGACGAAAAATAATCAACAACGATGGGACTACCGATCAAAGATGTCGACCATTGATAAACCCTGCCATCTTCCATCAGATGTACCGGCACGTGCCGTTTCCTGTGCATGGCCGGGGGACGGCCCTTGACTAAGTCCGATAATATAAAGTAATTGATGACTACCCGACGTTGTCAAAGTCATGGATAGTCGAGCAATGGTACTCAAAAGCCTATTGACTCGCCTCTTCAAGCCCTGCCCTTATCCCCGAGTCATTGCCTAACTTGGACGCTGAGGTTAGCGGCTGCCAGCAATAGAATGACCCGAACGGCGTCCGATTACGTGATTACGTGATCGCCATTTCCCGTATGCTCCAGTAAATTGCGCTTCCTTTGGCTCGGTGGCGCCTCCGTTGCCTGAGGCGTCCATCAGCATGCCAAGCACCTTCCGTTCTTTTAAACCTCTCACGTCCCCTCATTTTACTCCTCTTCCAGATTTCTGACTCAGACATCAGTCAGCGACCGAGTCCCTCTCATGAGATCCCTCTACATGTCAGGTCCCCTCCAAGCCTGTAAGTAGCATCCAATTCATTCATCATCGTGCGTCCCTGGTTGAGAATTTGTCGAATATGTTTTTGGATCCTGTCTTCGTCACAGGATTTGAAAATGGTTCCTTTCCCCGCATGCGCCTTCTCCCCAGCCTCTCCTGGTGATCGCGCTTGTTCCTGCATCGTTCAATGTCAGGGCTAGTATTGTCGATATCTGTATCGACGATGTCGGAATTCGGGCAAGGTTGACTAACATGCATATCAGCCCGAACCTTGAGCACCAGCTGTGCACCACTGCATGTACCTTATTGCCTTCAAGCAACAGAACCTTGCCTGGTCGTTACAGTATAGACAGGCTGGCGACTGACCGCCCGTCTCAGCGCAATTGCGACTGGTCGTTATCCACAGTCCTCGCTCTTTCAATCGCGTAGCGGTCCGACGCATCCACGTCATACTTCACTTACTTTCTACCGACCTTCACCTTATCGATCCATTGGCAGCAGCCCTTCTCTTCCGCATCTTCATGCAGACTATCTTTTCCGCGAACCCTCTCAAGAAACCACCGGTTACCGCAATGCAACGGGTAAGCTAGATGATCTCTATCTCTTTTCTGTGATACAGTTTTGACGATAACGTGTGTACAGAGTGTTGATACAATGACGGCCAAGCAGGACAATAATATTGAAATGAGTAAGTCATCTTATATTCCTATTTTACTTCAGCATCTCGACTTGCCTGCATTGGGCGAGTGTTGCCGTGTTAAACCCTGCACGGCGCGAGGGTATTGGAGGGTTTCGTCCTCACTGCCAAATTGGGTTATCACGATCCTTGAAGAATGTCTGATCCTTTGTCGTCATCACCTCCTGTCGCTTTGATTTTCCTCCACGGAAACTATTCATCCACTTCACGCCTGTCTGTAACTGCCCTACTGGTCTATTTCCGCCATCATCCTACTCATTTCATCTCCCTGTCGCAACACGTTCCACTTATCGCAATGGCATCTGCAACCATGAACGTCTTCTCACTGATGTACTCAGGCCTGCGTGAACACCTTCTTGCAGCACAAGCCGCCCAGCAGCAAGTTCAGCAACAGGTCACCGGAACAACATCAGCTCAACCTGAGCACGCCATTGATCCTGCGATCTCCGGACCTCCCTCCTATCCCAGTATGGCTGCTGCAGATGTTGGTGTTGCCGTGAGTGACGCTGCCTCTCTAGACCCTTCCAGTCGCAAGGGCAGACGTGAGCTGTCGAACACTAAACGCGCGGCTCAGAACCGTGCTGCACAGGTACGTTTACATCCACTCCTTTGGTTTATATCCTTTTGGCATATTCATATGCCAGGATGTAATATGTATCAGTGATTCTGACTCATCAACCAGCGTGCCTTCCGTCAACGCAAGGAAGAATACATCAAGTCTCTCAAAGACCGCGTCGATGCGCTCGGCACTCTTGATCTCCGCTACCGCGATGTCGTGACTGAGAACTATCGCCTCCGCAACTACATCATCGCCCTTCAGTCCAAGCTCATTGAGACCTCGATTGAAGTCCCTCCGACCCCAGCGGATCTCGACCTGACTCAGGCTCCGAAGCATCCTTCCGAGGTGCTTGCGGAGCACGCCATGTCCTCAGCGGCGGCAGAGCAGTTGCAGGCGGCGGCGGCAGCTGCTCAGGCGAGTGAGTTCTCTGATGCAAAGGAGTCGGATGATGGTAAGTCTATTTTTAACTTATTTCCTGGTATTCGTCTCGTCACCACAGCCGACGGCGACTAACAGCCACCCAGCAACCGACGGAGCCGCGTCCCATTAAGCACTGTTACCCTCCATCATATGAATACACCCCTTCAACAAAGGCACGATTTCCACCCACCTACCACGGCGTTTTTTCTTTTACGAAACGGAACAGATCCGTATCTGCTGTCGTAGATGCATCTTCATGAGTGGCGTTAAATGGCGTTGCCCGCACTACCTATAGGAGTGACAGGAGTTTCTCGATGAAACTAATGGAATTCAATCAGTGGGGTACGAGGGGTATAACTTAGGGACTATGGCAGATAGCATAGTGCAATTCTAAGATGGTCGACGAGGCCTATATTTATGACTTCTCCTCTAGTGTAGATTCCGCGTCTTGTAATCAGCTTGTCTTGTTGTACTCAGCTTATCTTGTTGCAGCCTGCTTGTCTTGATGCAGTCCGCCCGTCTTATTGCGGCCTACCCGTCTCGCAGTAGCTCATCTCATTGCCATTAATTTCGACTTCTGTTATCACAGCACCTAAAAATCAACCTGTGGCGCTACTTACATGGGTGAAAGTACGAGCAATCGCATGCTTACGATTGTTCTAATAAAAATCACGTGCATAAATTCACCACGAGGGCATAAGGAAATTCGGATCACAGAAATGTCCTATCCAGATGTGGGCATGCTGGATACACGACCCAAGGCTCAGACCGCGTATTGGAAGGTTGGAACGCGATTCCCAAGGAATCTCTGGGAGGAATACCGTTCCAAGTACTACCAGGTATTTACAAACCATCAAGTTACACGAAATCCAAGAGCATAGCGATGCAACTGCCCGTGTTGTTTAACCCCTCGTAGAACCATTTCGTTTGATTGCAATATAATAATAGGCGCTGTCAAACAAAGTGATGGAAACAAAAGACAATCAAAACCATGTTCTTCTCAAACGTGGTTGGCGACGACCTGTTTATACGAACCAGTATTCGTGATTCAAAATGGCAAGTTTGGTTATGGTAGTATATAACGGTTGAGCCAAATCTCAACCGCCCACAGGAAATTGGCAATTTTGGGGGATTAAAGCGCACCCCCATTTCTTCAACATGGAGATTCTTTTGGCAGTCTGAGCATGCTTCCCGGGTAGGTTCAACACCGTTCGGGAATGTGAGGCATCATCACAGCTCTGCGTCCCTTACCACCACCGTGAAGGTCAACAGCTCAGTAGCCAAATCTGTGAGACGAACAAGATCGCTGCCTCATATCGCTGCGACTTGCATGTGTCAGTTCACACCTCTTTGAGTAAGGGACTCGTGGATTGCATGGGATTCACAGATGATGACTGGGTGACCTGTCACATCTCTCTCACCACCACCTTGAATCGCAGTTCCTCACCAATAGAAACGCTACTCAACCTCTGTACAGGAATCAACTAAGATGGACGGTCCGCCCGAAGACAGACGGCCCAGCAGAAAAGGAAAGGAGCGGGAGAGGACCCCCGACCAGTTTGAATGGGCGCCGCCAGTTGGGACTGTAGCTGGTACGTTGGAAACGCGATGAACAACTTGCTTTATATGACTCTGAAGGTGTAGAAGACTGGAATGGCTTGGGGCTATTACTGATAGACCGGGAAAATAGGACCATCGTCAAGTCGGCCGTGGCCCTCCTCGTCAAATCGGCCGGGACCCTCATCAAGTCGGCCGCTTCAACGGTCGACCAACCCTGATGACGAACGATCTAACAACAAGGGAAATACACTGGGGTGGAATGGCGAGCAATCTGAATTCATGCCCGTTGGGTATCTTGGCCGTAAGTTGAAGACCCATGATCAACTTGCTTTCGCAGACCCAGAAGACGTAAAAGACTGGAAATGGTGCTGGGACAGTCACTAACAGACTCAAAATCAATAGGACCTTCGCAAAGCCAGCCTCCTCCAAGGGCGACACTCCCCGACAACGTGACGGAGGAGCGGCCCATTGCGAAAGGCCAGCGAGCCCTCGAGGGCCTGATCGAGGCCAGCTGCCAGCCCTTCAGCGAAGCGGCACGGGCGGCCAGAAACGAGCACGCGCGTCAACGGAAAGAAAAGATCGATAGCGACTACGAGGACGTGTATGATCTCGACACGCCGGAAGTAAGTGCCAAGCATCCCGACCTACCAATCCTACGATCACTAACGCAACACATAGGATGAACAATACCGCCTCAAAGCGCCCCACTATCAACTCCCCGGCCCCAACGAACGCAAATACCAAGACCTGCGCTACGCCGTCCACGCCACCGCGGAGCGCGTCGCCGGCACTAAAGACGCAGTCGTCGACACCGCGCAGTTCACCCTCGCCAACCCCCGCGCGGCGCTGCAGCACGCGCAGGAGCTCGCGGAGGACGTCGCGCTCTCGACAAAGGCGAGCATCGACGTTGGGGCCGCGGTGCTGGTGTGGACGGCGGCGGGAGGGGGGGGAGAGATGGCGAGGGGTTTGTTGAGGACGACGGGGGGGATGGCGGGGCGGTTGGGGGTAAAGGGGGAAAATAGGTATGAGGAGTTGTCGCAGACGGATTGGGATAGTAACTCGGATTCGGATGATTCGGATTCGGATGACTCGGATTCGGATTCGGATTTGGAGGATCGGAGCCGGAGGAGAGGTCGTGGTCGTGGACGGCACACGAAGAAGGGCTGGCAGAGTGTGTGAGTGACCTGGGCGTGAGGCTGGTGGTGCTGCCCGTTCAGGGTAAACAAGGGTTACGTAATCATGGCGTTGGTAAGGTGTGCCACCATAACTACAGCGGACTATAGAGACCAATATAGTACACACCAGGCTGTCTACTGTAAACTGTTAGGCTCTGATGCCCCTGGACTGCTCACTACTGAAGGGTGACATACTTGATAGGTGGTTTGCGTGTAGGTAGATTGATATTATGACCGTTCTCAATTCTCATGACCGTTCTCTACGCTATTGTTTACCAGAGCCCTTTTTCTTATTCGATCTTTTCCTAGCATTCGGTGGTCGCTCCCTGCCCGTCCCCGATGGTTCCGCGTCTTCCGCCGGTCCATCTCCAAGCAACAAATGTTCTCCAATATACTCCTCACCATGGTCACTCGATGGCGTATCCTCTGCGCTGCTTCTTACCCCCACCTCATCATCTGCCGACTTTGCTCTTGCCTCCTCCTTCACCACACTCTCCCCCATATCTCGCAGGATCGCAGTCGCTTCGTTCTCCACCCCGTTCGACGCCCCGCAACCATGGCATCGCCATCGTCCCACGTCTTCCAATCGTCGGACGCCCGGAGGCGCCTGGCCGTTGACCAGCCTGCACGTTTGACAGATGAGCGCCAACCGGTTCTTCGCCTGCGTTTCGTCTTCGCCGAGGAGCGCGTCGAGGATCCGGTCGTACCAGCGCGGCTCGGTGAAGACTCGCGGGGTCGTGGTGTATTGTTGGACGTTGAAGGCGTTCGGAGCGAATTCTTCGCCGATGGGTAGTTGTTGCTGTTCGAGGGAGGTCGGGGTTGGCATGCGAGGGTCGCCGGGAGGTGGTCCTCTGCGAAGCTGATCGCTTGGAGAAGCGGGCGGGGGCGGCGTTCCAACATACGCTGGTACCTCTTGGGGTCTCTGGATATTCGCAGTTCTTGGAGGTGGCATTCTAGTTCTGCCGTGTTTCGGAGGCGTCTGCTGAGGCTGCTTTGGTTGAGACGGGCCAGGTTTCGGCTTCTCTCCCGAGTATTTATCCAATAATTGCTTCGTAGAGTTGTAGTTGGTAACTTTCTTGAGCATCTCGATAGTCGTCTCTCGTTCATGGTTGAGCTTCTCGAGCTGATCGGCCGTTGTGGAAATCCGGTAATTGAAAATGTAAGACACGGTCCATGTAAGACCGAACAGCCTGTTCGCTGGCTTAGCATGATCAAAACCAACCTACGGAGAGATCACATACATCACCGGTCCTCCACAAACCACCTGGTATTCCCCCGGACCCCAATTCCGCCATCCCGTCACCAATATCAAGATCAGGGCTGCGAGCGTGTACGCGAACCCGCCATAGAGGACGGTGGACACTCGCGCGCGTCTTGCCTGTTGTCGCAATCGTTCTTGTCGAGCGGTGGTGGCGGAAATCTTCTTCGCGAGTTCGGCCAGCTCTTTTTCGAAGGATGCGGCGGACTTCTCGCCGGCCTGCAGAACGGACATTCAGTAATCAGTCATACATGGCGAGGAATGAGGGATACCTTGAAGGGCCAGAATGAGACCATGGTGATTTCTATAGCTGCATGTTCAGGAGGACGGAGCTAAGCAGGCGTTATATGCAGGTCAAAGGGAGGAAAAATAGAAGTGAGCCACAACGAGAAGGAGGTGAGAAAGAAACAGGTGTTCTTATTTCTTGTGCAATAATAAGGATGGAAGATATGATGTGTAAATTGTGTTGCCTGATTCCTGTTCCTGAAGGATGCGCCGATGCGGAGGAGTCGCAAAGCGCAGAGCGTCAGTCCTCACAGTATTATTAGTAAATGATCCTTGTAGCTGCACGTCACTCCTTCAATTGGCACAAAGCGTCAGTGAAAAGAAAGGGTTGAGTGGCTGTGCTGTGATCCTCGAGCAACTGAAGTTATTCTGTACAGTGACTAGACTCCATCAGCAACTGCTTCTTGTATTCCGTGACCGAACCAGAACCCTTCATTGATATTGATTCTTGTCATCATAGACAGATGGTCATCGCCATGACAGAATGATGGTCTTGATGTCGAAGCCATTATACCATTTGAGTGCGCATCAATAGAACATCATGTTTCAAGTACAGTTCCATATTCCATTCCCAAGCTTGCAATCTTCCCAATCCCTAACCACTGTCTACCTTAACAGCGTTTCAAGAACGCGATTGATGCTCGAATCGCCGAAGAGCAATCTCGCCAATCCCCTCCACCGACCGCGTCACCCTCCAGACATCCTTCGTCTCGCAGAAGGGCAAACTCACGAAATCAATCTCCTTCGACCCAACCCGGGAAGTCCGGCGATGGATCGGATAAGCCACCGACTCGCGGTCCGGACCCGTCAAGCTTCGTCATTGGGGACGAGGAGACGATGAGCCTAGCGGAGACTCTGGTACCCAGCGAGACGGGCGGAGAGGACGCTACAAAATCAAAAGAGTCAGACGCGCCGAAGGCTGAGGTTGTAGACAAAGATGGAGGAAGTGAAAAGGGCGAGGAGGAAGCGAAGCCCGCTCCTATTGAGCTGCCCGCGGAGGTCCGGGTGAAGCTTCGGAGGCTGGAGAAATATGAATCGAAATATTCTGGTACGTCAATGCAGTATCCGATGGCTTGGAAGGTGATCTAAACTGTCTACAGAACTCCTCCGCTCCTATCGCATCGCGCATGCAAGAGTTTCGGCTATCGAGCCTTTCGAAGCCTGTCTTCGCGAGAATACACCACTTACATCCATCAATGACCCAGGCGCATTGGTCGAATATCTTAACCAAGTCAATATGAAAGGCGATCTGATTATGGAGGAGTTGAAGCGCGTTTCGGGAGAGAACGAATCGCTCAAGCACAAGCTTGATGAAGCTCAGGAAGAAGCTGAAGCTGCGAAGAAGGTCCTAGATCACCTGAAGGAGACAACAACTAGTACTAGCCAAGCATCCGATCAGGCGAACGGCGAGACGGAGCCTACCGACGGAACCGCACAAAGCCCGAAGATGGAAGCAAAGGACGTTCGGTCATCCTCGCCGTCGCAGGCAAAGTCACCAAAGTCAATCTTCTCCGCGATGAATGCTTTTTCCCCTCGCAATTCGACATCCGAACGACCTACCGACATTGTTGAAAGTGAGGAATTCTTCTCCGTCGAGGGTGAAGTACCTCGACTCCAAGCCGAAGTCCAAGAACGGGAACAAGAAATCGAAACCCTCAAGTCGGACAACTCGCAACTCAGCAAAGATCTCGCGGTTGCCAAGGAGTCGGCGGAACAACTAGTCCAAAACTTAGAGACCGCCACCACCGACTTGCAGAGCTTGCGAGATGACAAGGTCAAGTTCCAGGAAGAGATGGATAGCCAATTGCGCAATATCCAATCTGACGCCGAGGACCTGAAGTCGAAATTACAGAAGGCACAGGAAGATTTGCAAGAAAGCAATTCCGCCAGCGAGGCACATCAACGCCAGGTGGATGAGTTGCAATCTAAACTTGCGGAGTCGGATCGAAAGCTAAAGGAGCTTCAATCCTCCGAATCATCCAAACTCTCCGAAGGTTTACGAAAGGAGGATATAGATCAGATTGCACAGCTTGAGGAAGAGCTTTCTAAACTGCGGAGTGAGCAGAGTCAATTAGATAAGCGTAATACGACATTGAACAATCTGGTCGACACCCTTCGTGGCAGGGTCAATGACGCCGAAGCCGAAAAATCCAAAGTCCTCGAAGACCTTGAACGAAGCAAAACGGTTGCAGAGCAAGAGTCCAAGAGCACTGGTGGGAGCGAGAAGCAAGGTCCGACCCAGACTGCCTCCAAGAAAAATAAGAAGAAAAAGAAAGGTGGAAAGGGTACTTCAACGCCGACAGCCACTGAATCCGGAAGCAAAGCCGAGACGTCGAGTACAGGTGCTCTGCAGCAGCAACTTGAAGAAGCGCAACAGAAGTTGGTTGAACTTGAGCAGGCTGTGTCTTCCAACGAGGAAAGAGCAGCAACAGCCGAGAAAGAAAAGGATACGATCCTAAAGAAGTTGAAAGACCAAGACGATATGCAAGAAGAGATCGACCACCTGCGCGACGAGTTGTCCGACATCGGTAACGAATATGTCGGTGCGAAGGATGACATCAAGAAGCTTCGAGCCGAGAAATCCGCTCTCCAGGAGCAAATTCAATCCATCGAGAAGGAACTCGCTGAGCTTAAGGTTGAGCATTCCGCCGGCCAAAAATCCGCTGAAAAGTCGAAATCCTTGGCCGCCGAATTCGAGGATCTTCGACTGAAACGTGACACTCTGGAAACGGATCTGAAGGCAGCGCAACAGCTCGCTGCGGCCCGGTTCAAAGACCTGACCGAGCTTCGGGATGTCCTACAAAAAGCTCAACCGGAACTCCGATCGTTGCGGAAAGATGTTGCGGAACTGCGTGAAACCAAGAGTTCGTTGGGTTTGAAAATCACGGAACTACAGAACCTGGAAGCGAAGGAGAAAGAGCTCCGGAGCGAGGTGAGCGCGTTGACCAAGCGATTAACGTCCAAAGACACCGAGCTCCGCTCGTTGAATGAGAAATTGGCGCAAGCCAACTCATCCCGCTCGGAGATTGAAGAAACGAACCGAAAATCGCAACGCGAGCTCCAACGCGCTCAATCCGAGCGCACCAGCGCCATCGACGCGCGCGACAAACAATCCCAAACCTCCAACGGTCTCCAAGATGACCTCAAATCCGCCCGCGACCGCATCACCAGCCTCGAATCCCAAGTGTCCCACCTCACCGCCGACACGACCGCGCTTCGCGACGACATCTCCCTCAAAACCGCCCAATACGCCAGCGCCCAAAGCCTCATGAACAGCCGCGAATCCGAGTCGCACGAGCTCTCCGCGCAGATGAAAGAGACGTCCGCACGCTGCGATTCCCTCGAGGAGGAGCTCGCCGACGCGCACCGGCTGCTGTCCGAGCGGGCGCGCGAGGGCGAGACGATGCGCCGGCTGCTAGCGGACGTGGAGGGGCGGGCGGAGGCGCGGGTGCGCGAGATGAAGGCGAAGTGGGAGATGGCGGTGGAGGAGCGCGATCGGGCGGAGGAGCAGGCGGGGACCATCGGGCGGCGGCGGGCGCGGGAGGTAGAGGAGCTAAAAGAGCGGGTAAGGGACGCGGAGCGGGGGATGCGTGGCGCGGAGGAGGCGCGGGAGGCGGTAGAGAAGGCGGTGGGGTGGGAGCGGGCGACATGGGCAGAGAAAGAAGAGCGCGCGGCGCGCGCGGCGGAGGACGTGGTGCAGGTGCGTGCGGCGATGGCGCAGTTGCGGGAAGCGCTGGACGAGAGCGAGAGGCAGGCGGGGGTGCTGGAGCGGGAGCGCGGGGCGGCGAGGAAAAGCGCGGAGGAGGCGAGGGGGCGGTGCGAGCGGTTGCAGGGGGAGGGAAAGCGTCTGGCGGAAGAACTGAAGGCGTTGCAGGCGGTCACTTTGAAGACGAGCGGGCGGTCGTCGCGGGCGTCAGTCGATCACGGACACGCGGGGTCGCCGTCGCCATCGCGGGGGCGGATCGCGTCACCGGCGGGAGGGAAGGCGGAGGCAGCGGCGATGGACTATGTGTATTTGAAGAATGTGTTCTTGCAGTTTTTGGAGCAGAAGGATAAGAACTATCAGAAGCAGATGGTGCCAGTGCTTGGGAGGATTCTGCACTTCGACGGGTAAGTCTAGGGTTGTTTGGGATGTTGGGGTTTGCGATGGCTAATTGTTCACAGGCAAGATGAGCAGAAGTGGATTGCGGCAATCACTGCGAAATGAGATCCTTTGGATGGTGGTGGAGGCGTTGAAGGGATAGGGGGTGGTGGTGATGGAGTACTTGGTCATAGGGTGGTGGTGATTGATAGGGACTGGTACTTGTATGACTGACAATAGAGCAGTATGGTTAATACAGGCACCATTTGTATTATCAAGCTCGAATCCCCATTTTCTCCTGATGTCTTACAATATAAATCCCATGTACTCCGTAGACAAGGTCTTAAGGTACGTACCGATGATGATGATGATCATGATCTAGTGGTGACTGTGACACGGCATGCTGCAGTACAACACATACACGGTATAATACATATTCCGTATATCCTTAGCATAGTGTGTCATTGTTATCCCCCAAGGCAAAACTACAAATTCAATGAATTAGATATATGAATTTACAGCCATGCACTACCTTGAGCGACCCATCACATATTAATTATTCACAGCCGTGGTCGTGTGTTCGCAATGTCTTAGTGGTGGTATGGTGGCTGAGTCGTGATAGTCGACATCATCACCCGATTAACCGCCCAATGGAAGCGCCTCACCACAAGCGTCAACAGAGTGGCATCTCTCCAGCAAGTTGAAACCCCTCAGTTCCGTCTTACGGTGGATTGTTGGACGAGTTAGACAGTTGGAGAGAGATGTTTCGTAGTTCGCACCGTTTTCCGATCGATCGCGCAGTCCGAACCACCCACCAAGTGACCCAGCAAGCTTCCCTTCTCAGTTCTCTTGTCTAACCAGTTCCTCATACTTACGACTTCTCCATCACTCTTCACTCTCACCACTCGGACCTGAACCCATCCTGCCTTGCACCGTCATCTATCCACCTCCTCTCCAGATTAATTCCCTTTCATCCCGCTACACCCATCGTCCATCCAACCGGCCCATCTCATCCAACCCACCACCCATTCCACCACCAAATGTCCGACCGATACCACCACTAGCTAGCCCTGAGTGGCCACTCCGCACATCATCGAAATCCGCCCCTCTTCGTTTCCCTGTTATCACCGCATTTCCACCTCGTCAACCGTCCAGATTCCAGGCTAGCCCACCGCTGACCACCCACCCGCCACCACCGTTCGCCGTTTTGGTCCCCGTCTCGCTTCCTTTCCCTGCTATCGTCCATCCGCTCCCCGCTGCTGCAAAATGAATGGCGCCGACCTAACCAAAGCCGCCCTCAACAAAGCCAAGCAACTCGCGCACGGCACCACCACCTCTGGCGCTTCGGCCAATGGCAATGGGAACAAGAAACGGAGGAAGGGTCAGGATCTGAAGCCCATCATCACGGCGGAACGGAAGGCTCAGGAGGCGGGCGAAAGTGGGGGCGCCGCGAACAGTTTCGCATACAGGTACGCGACCTCGTCCTTGCATCGATCGGATGGCGTTTGCTGCAGTCGTGCGCCAGATCTAACCATTGTTTGTAGTGTTCAAGCGCCCAGTTCGCACCCGAACCATCAGAAGCCCGCATATACCAATCAGTTGCATCGATCGCCATCGTCCTCGTCGTCCGATGATGTCGACGGGGAGGAGAACACAGCCGACGAAGAAGACTCGGAAGATTACTGCAAGGGCGGATATCATCCGGTTCATGTCGGCGAGCAGTATAAAGATGGCAAATATACCATTGTGCGCAAATTGGGGTGGGGCCATTTCTCGACCGTCTGGCTATCGAAGGACAACACCACAGGAAAACACGTTGCATTGAAGGTGGTACGGTCCGCTGCACATTATACCGAAACCGCCCTCGATGAAATCAAACTGCTGAACAAAGTGGTCGGCGCGAACAAAGACCATCCGGGCCGAAAACACGTCGTCAGTCTCCTCGACTCCTTCACCCACAAGGGACCCAACGGCAGCCACGTCTGCATGGTGTTCGAAGTCCTCGGCGAAAACCTCCTCGGCCTCATCAAGCGGTGGAACCACCGCGGCATCCCCCTTCCCCTGGTCAAGCAGATCACCAAGCAGGTGCTGCTCGGCCTCGACTACCTCCACCGCGAATGCGGCATCATCCACACCGACCTCAAACCGGAGAACGTGCTGATCGAGATCGGCGACGTCGAGGCCATCGTCAAGGCGTACGTGGACGAGGACCCGGCGAAGAACGCGAGCAAAGACGATCATCGGAACGGCCGTCGGAGAAGACGGACGCTGATAACCGGCAGTCAGCCGTTGCCGAGTCCGTTGAACGCGAGCTTTAGTCAGAGCGATTTGCAGCATTTCCCAGGGAGTACGGCGAGTTTGAATAAGATCATTAACGAGAGTAAGAGTGAGTTTGCTTCATCTGAGGAGACCTATTATGGCACTAACTGATGGTAGGCACCTCTGCGAACAATTCTGGTATGTCCTGAGAATCGCCCTAAGTTTTCGCAACTCCGTTTGTACCCCTCGAATATGTCTGATTTTGATAGTGAGTGAATCGAACAACTCGACTTCCGAATCCGCAGGGAAGTCCATGCTAGAAACGCTCGGCATCAAAGGCGAAGACGAAGAAGTTCAGAAGCAGCGAGAGAAGACAGCGTACGTCCCTTTGCTCACCTCGCCAGAGAAGATATGAGCACTAACCTTCGCATAGCGATATTCTTACCAAGGATATCTCCGGAATAGATCTCGGGAAATCCTCCACCACATCGACACAGACCTCGCCAACCCCGCAGCCAGATGATATGAATATCGAGGTCATATCCGTCAAGATCGCCGATTTAGGGAATGCGTGTTGGGTGGGTCACCATTTCACCAACGACATTCAGACCCGACAATATCGTTCTCCGGAAGTCATCTTGGGCTCTAAGTGGGGCGCGAGCACTGACGTCTGGAGCATGGCCTCCATGGTACGTTTCTTCCCCCTCCCCCACCGATCTTCCTAACCCCCCCCCCAGGTCTTCGAACTCATCACCGGCGACTACCTCTTCGACCCCCAATCGGGCACCAAATACGGCAAAGACGACGACCACATCGCGCAGATCATCGAGCTTCTCGGCCCGTTCCCCAAATCCCTCTGCCTCTCCGGCAAGTACTCCCAGGAAATTTTCAACCGCAAAGGCGAGCTCCGCAATATCCACCGCCTCCGCCACTGGGCGCTGCCGGACGTGCTGCGCGAGAAATACCACTTCCCCGCCGACGACGCTCGGCAGATGGCGGACTTCCTGGGACCCATGCTACAGTTGCTACCGCCGGATCGCGCGAACGCGGGGGGGATGGGGAATCATCGGTTTTTGGACGGCGCGCGGGGGATGGAGGGGGTTCGGGTGGATGTGGCAGTGGGGAGTAAGGGGGAGGGAATTGAGGGGTGGGCGACGGAGGTGAAGAAGGGGAGGTAGTTTAGGGAGGGGGAACGGATGCGTTTGGTTCGGTGCGTGGTTGCGATTGTTGGGGCTGGTGTTCGTGCGCTGCTGTGGATGAGTACGATGTGGACGAGTCCGACGCGGATAAGCACGGTGTGGACCTGGATGAGTACGATGTCGACGTCGCCCGAGCGGTGTGACTGACTTGACTGGCTGATTGACGGACTGATGGACTGACCAGATGGAAACGAACAACGACCACGGGATCTGCGCACTACTTATTTGGCAAGGAAGAGGTCCCGTCATGATGGCTCAGGGTCCGTTTTTGGCGGACACATGAATAACGCTTCAATACACTTGCTCTTTGCCCGTCCATCTATTCGTGCTCCGCGGCACACTGATGGCGCCTCTGTGGTGTGGAGTGAATGAACTGAACTGAAGCGATTTTCAGGTGTTCGTTTCTCATCTTCGGTGATACGCATTTCAGGAATCCTGTACTTCCTTGAAGTTATTAGATGCCACTTGCCAATGTATCGAGGGAGGGATGTAGGGCACAGACTTGTTCTTCAACGAACCGGAGTGGTACGGTGTTCTCGAGCATGAGTTCTGATCATACCGGTATGAGCATGTAATGCAATGGGAGATATATTAAACGGCTAGGATTCGCGATTCCGGTGCTCTCGACCCAGGAGTCCAGTCCGGACCTGTCTGGTTGACGGAAGAATACCCCTGATCAACCTCATTGACCCCAGCCTCTGCACGTGCGAAACCGCTCCAACAAGTGGACAATCCAGATCTCGACCTCAACTCCCTTTCGCGCCCCAACAAATCAACCACGATGAACTGATTCTCCCGCCCAACAGCCAAGGGAACCCGGGGCGTTTCCAGGCGGATATATAAATATCCGCCATCGACAACTAGGCATGCGTTCATCCGATCCCCGTGTTTCAGATGAAGCGACGGCACGGTTCTCGCGAGAGATTCGTGCATGATATCGCATCTCATAGACTCGGCATTTCCCATAATCCGTCCTATGTCAATCTATTGATATTGTTCTCTTCGCTTCTGCAAGTCGTAGGAGTCGTAGGGGTCGTGCTGAGTACAGGGTAGTCGATCCTCCCTTTCGCTTCTTTTTTATCCAAGTCTTTCGAGCGTTGCTTGTGGCGTTGGGCTGGTCTGAGACTTCGTTTCGATCGAATTGGACATGTCCTACCATGTACAGTCTACAGGGTGCCTGTCGTGTTTTCTGGCTTCCTCCAGAGGTACTCCAGTCTCGAACCCCAGAATGAAAGCGACCTGAACTATTTTCAGCCCCGAAAGGTCCATGTATCTAGATTCTAGGTTCGAGCCGAAGGATGGGCTGATGAATTGCATCGAGTCCGACGCTTTGGGTTCTGGGTTGCAACTCCTTCCCGCATCCTCCGCGTTTCTCTGAAATATACATCGTACTCCATTCCTTCGCAGATGCTCCATGGCATACATCGTACTTCTAAATTCTGTATTTTGCGTCGGTCGATCTGTTAAAGCTCGTTTCCCCCACATATCTACCACGTCTTCGCGCTATACGGACGTGTGGAACTGGAATCCCGCGAGCAGTGACCACTAAAAGATGACATGACCACCTCGTCTATCCCACGTTGACCATGGAAGACCGCGGCCCTCAAGTCGTCGTCATATTCACTACTTTCCTAGCCCTCACCTGGATCAGCGTCAGCCTCCGATGCTATGTCCGCCTACGCATTGTCCGATTATTCGCCCTGGATGACTGGCTTGCTGTCGCGACTCTGGTAGGTCCCACTCACTCATCCTTAGTGCGAGGGGATGATTGAACCGATGTGATCTCTCCAGGTCCTCTATACCTTGTTTTGCGGATTCGGGCTGGATAGCGTAGGGCATGGTGGTGGGCGGCACCATGCCGATTTATCGAGAGACCAGATCCGGGAAGGACTGAAGGTATGCTTGTCGTTGCTGACGAGGAAGCCGACTGGCACTGATATGCGTGTCCTCAGGACTGGTACTTCAGCGAGATATTCTACGTACTGAACTCGTCCTTCCTCCGCCTCGCACTCGCTGCATTCCTCCTTCGCGTTGCCGTCAAAAAAGGTACGCAGACTAACGCATTCCCACCTCCACGCTACGAGAAACATCGCTGATGTGCCCAAACAGTGCATCGCAAGTTTATATATACCCTCATGACCATCCAGATCGTCTTCAACGTCTCCTATCTGTTCATCTCCATTTTCACGTGTTTTCCGCCGTCGTTTTTCTGGAACCATTTAATGGGCGCGAAGGGGACGTGTATAGACGCCGGGATCAACAAGGGCATGACGTATGTTCCTTCCATTAAGTCCCGTCCCCTACTCTGTGTACCCCTCTGACTATCAACAGGTACGCGCAAGCCAGCATAGCCGCGGCTACGGACTGGGCATTCGCGCTGCTCCCGGTGGCGATGCTGTGGGATCTGCAGATGCGGCGGAAGAAGAAGATAGCCGTGGGGGTGTTGATGGGCATTGGCGCCATGTAAGCAACCTCAACGACCAGAAAACGCCGGTTTAGGCGGTCGCAACTAGAACATCTCTCTAACTCTCCGTCACGGAAACAGAGCGAGCACCGCCGCCATCATCCGCATCCCATACATCGCCTCCGTCGACCAACCCCTCGACTTCCTCTGTACGCCCCCTTCCCCCCCCACGAACCTCAACTAACCCCTCCAGACGCCACCACCGACCTCGCCATCTGGAGCGCCGTCGAGCCCGGCCTCGGGCTCTCCGCCGTCTGCCTCGCCGCGTGCCGCCCCCTCCTCGACCGCTTTAAAGGCTTCGGCGGGGATGGGTACCCAACAAGGAGGGGCCGGGGGCGGTCGGATGGACGGGAGGAGGAGTGGGGGAGGTCTGATTTTTGGATGCAGGATGGGGAGGAGCGGGGGGAATGGACGGGGTCAGCGGTGGCGATGGTGAGGAGGGCGGAGGTGCAAGGGGTTAAGAAATGAATGGGTTGGGATGGGGAGTTGGAGGATGGCGCTATACGCTTCGATGTCGGATGAAATGCTACTTGACGATGTTTCGCAGTTATGGGTGTACACGGTGTACCCTGGGGCCGATTCGGATTTCTACTCCTTCCTCTTAGCTCAGCATGGGTCATTCGGAAGATAGACCTCTTCCTTGAATCAATTCCTTAAATATTAGCACCAGCACGAACACCAGGACACCACTACTATATTCTCAACCCAACCTGCGAACCGTTCATCTAGTCTCATTGCCTCAAAGATGCCAATCAATCGAGCTGTTGCAGTATGCTACATGTCCACATGCACAACACCCTCCCCTCCCCTATCTAATCCCGAACCTATGAATGGCACCCCCCCACCCCCCAAAAAGGATGCACAAGAAACCCGAACCTCGCACATCCATCCATCCCTCCACAAATTGGCACAGAACAGCCTCTTTCCCGGCAAACCAAAAGCGGAAGAAAGAGAAGAAAAAACACGAATGAAAAGCGAATCAGTAGCAGCGTGAAACCCTCGGAAACGTGAATAAAAATCCCGGGTGCCGAACCAATGCAGGGAAAAATATGAAATTAAGTCAGGCGAAAAAACCTCTTTGACGCCGGACCCGGAAGTGTTGGTGTAGTAGCAGTCGACAGCATGAGAAACAACGGAATCGGCGCGAGAGACGGGAGGGTGTGGTAGCGAGGCGAAAGACACCGTCGCTGTCTATGTCGTAGTCAAACAGCGGGTCGCGAGAATGGCTAGATGTCTGCTCTCGTATCCCCGCGATATCTCCCTTCCTGGGTAACAGTATCATACCCCACCGTAATTACCCCCCCAACATCCACCTCCCTCCTCCACAGCCCCTCCTCCCCTAACAACAATTCTTCCCCAACCCCCCCCCCTGCTGCTTCTCCCCAATCGCCACATTCTGCGCCTGCGGCGCTGATGACTGGGTATCGACGATGCGCTTCTTGATGTCCGTAGCCAAACTGTAGAAGGCCTTCTCGATGTTGATATTGCTCTTGGCGCTGACCTCGAGGAAGGGGATGCCGAGCTCGTCGGCGAGGGCCTGGCCCTGCTCGGTGGACACGGCGCGCTTCTCCTCCCAGTCGCATTTATTGCCGATGAGGATCTTGTTGACGCCTTCGGTGGCGTGTTGTTCGACGTTGGAGAACCAGGTGCGGATGTCTGGTGGGGAGGGGTTAGTTGTGGGTGGGTGGATGGGTGGGCTGCAGAGGCATATGGGAGATGGATAATTCTATACAACATCTCCACCACATATCCCGAGCGACCCGACGAAAGGAAAGAGAGGCAGCCACTCACTGTTAAACGATCGCTCATCCGTGACATCATACACCAGCAAAATGCCCATGGCGCCCCGATAATACGCCGTCGTGATGGTACGAAACCGCTCCTGGCCCGCGGTATCCCAGATCTGCAGCTTCACTCGCTTCCCGTCCAGCTCGATCGTCCGGATCTTGAAGTCGATGCCGATCGTCGTGATGAAGGACGGCGTGAACGAGTCCTCGCTGAAGCGCAGCAGGCAGCAGGATTTGCCGACGCCTGAGTCGCCAATGAGGAGGAGTTTGATCTAGGGGAGAGGAATTAGATAGGGTTGGGCGGGGGAGGCGAGGTGATGGGGAAAGGGGAGGGGGAACGTACGAGGAAATCATAGTTCCGTGTGCCTGCCATGGTGGAGTATGGGGGAAGGGAGCTTCGGGAGAGATATGGGATTCGAGGAGTCAAGTCAGGACCGGATAGGTCGTCAAGTTGTCACGGAGTAGCAGTCAAGTGCTGCTGTCGACAACGAAGGGACCTGGCGTTCGTGATGACGACGGGATTGATATGTCTTTCAGGCTGACCAGTTGCGTCGTCGAAGACAGATATGGACACGGAGACAGTCAGCGAGATTGGGATCTCCCACTTCTTCGCTGTATCGAGGATCGTATGCGATGGTCGGATGAGATCGGTGGACGGCGATGGATCGATATGCGGTGGATTGGAGTGTAGTGGAGTGGAGGGTTGACGACGTTTCGATGTTGGGACTTGGGATCGAACTGGACGTCGTTCTGGGGGGGGCGTTCTGGGGTGATGATGGTGGCGCAGGCTGTGGCTTGCAGGCTGGACGGGGGGGGAAGGAGCGAGCGGGACCTGCGCCGGGACGTCACTTTTTCCGGTCCGAAGTGAAAGGGGAGCTGAGCTGGCGGCACGTGATGAGAATGTGACGTTGATGATACCTGGTGGCTTTGGGAATATCAATGATCGATCAATGAGACAATAATTAGATGGACTACTCCTGCATGTATTTGCCAGACACTGGATAAATCAACGCTGCCTTTGTTTGATAGGTACTGGATTCTAAATACTGTATATTCCATAATAAATCAGTTCACTTACTATAGTGGAATTGGAACACCAGAGATGTCTCTGTGTCCTTATTTATATACATGAAAACCACGACGCCACAGGTTACCCTTCCAGGCGCTATCATCCAGCTTGCTTTCCATTACAATCATATCTCTCATAAAATCGTCCATATGTCTTCAAGCCATTGTCCCTCCACCCGAATAAATATCGCCCAAATAACCCAACCCAATCCCACAGCCCACATAGACGAAAGCCAAACAGATCTCGCCGTACCGCCGTGCATACACCAGCAACGTCCTACACCTGCGGCGTCCTAGCAAGCCCAATCCCCAACCCCACCCCATCCCCCCTACTCCGCTTACTCGCCCCTTCCGCCGCCTCATGGACCGAGTCGTAGAACTTCCGCTTCCCGCCATACCCCCCGTCGCCCCGCGGCTTCTTCACATGCCCGAACAACTTCGCCTGCACCAACGGCTGCGACACCGACGTGCGCGACCCCAATCCGGATGCGGGGTGGGGCTCCGATGGGAACGCCACTGCGGATCCCGAGACGCCGGGGAGCTTTGCAGAACGGGAAAATGACTGCACCGGCGTCCGTCGCAGCATGCTCGTCGCCGCGCGCGACGCCTGCGACTCCGGCACCTCGTCGCCGTCGGTCGCGCCCGCGATGCAGTCGCTTGAAGCGCTGATGGTCGAGTCGCTGCTGCCGGCGCGACGGCGGTAGGCGCGCTCGGGGGCGGATTGCGGGGCGAGGGAGACGGGGCGGAAGGAGGGGTTGGGAGGGGTGTGGAGGAGGGGGAGGGGGGCGCGGCGGGGGGAGGGGAGAGAGGAGAGGGATTGGGAGGCGCGGTGGTGGGCAGGGGGCCGGCGGTGGGGGGTGGAGGGGGCGGTGGTGGTGGTGGTTTCTTGGGAGAGCATTTTGTCGGCAAGAAGGAGGGCTTCGAAGGGTTGGCCTTGGGAGGGGCGGAGGGGGGTAGAGTGGCGGGGATGGTTGCGAGGGGTGGAGCGGTGATCGTGCGGGGTAGTGGAGACGGAGAAGGAGGTGGGGTGGTCTTTCATGGAGTCGAGGAGGCCGTTTATGTGTTCGCGGTTCTTCTTGATGCGGGTGCGGAGTCGGTCGTTTTCTTCTTGAAGACTGGCCGTCCGCGTCTCGAAGCCCTCGCACTGTTTGCGCTCTTGGTTGAGGAGCTCGCGGAGCTCGACGTTCTCATTTCGCAGGACGGTGCATTGCTGGGTCATCTCATCGACGAGCGCGACGGTGGCGGCGGACGACTTTTGGGCTTGCTGGGGACTTGTGCTTTCTTCGCGACGCCGTTCTTCGGCTTCTTGCAGCACGTCGACCTCGCGTTGAACCATGGCTAGTTCGACGGCCATACGGTTCGAGATTTCAGAGCTGTCGAGACAGAGCATGTTGTACTGCAGCTTGTAATGCGCTGCGGTCGTCCGTGATTCGCGTAGGCTGCCTGATAGGTTCTTTGCCAGTACGCGCAAGTCGGCGGTAGGAAGCGCATCAATATCGTCGGCTGTTGGCGTCTGGTCGGATGCGACTTGAGCATCCATCGGCTTGATAGTGGGCGGAGGAGACGATAACTGAGAAGTAGCGCTCGACGATGCCCTTTGCAGTGTTCTTCGGGGTGGTGGAGCAATTTGAGAAGACGGAGGAGGCGTAAATGAGTACCCGAACGGAGCGGGCGACGCGAACTTCGCTCTCTTCCCTCGCGACGTCGGCGGCGGAGACGTCGCGGTTAATGTCGCGACATCGAGTTTGGAGGATGTCGATTGTTGCGATAGAGGCTCACCCAGGTCCGACTCTGTGACGATGCTTTCCTGGGACGCAGGCGGGTCGGGGGGAGAAGTTGAGACCATGGTTGGATGCGCAGATAACGACGGTACCTGGATTCGGAATTGGGAGATAGTGGGTGGGGTCGCAATTGGTGCTCGAGTTGGAAATCGCGCAAGAGATCAGGACGATAAACAATAACCAAGGTATGCGACAATATCCAAAGGCCGAGATGCGCGGGAGTATGCAGTATAGAGTATGGAGTATATAGAGTGAGTGAGGAGAAGGTGGGTGGGATTTGGAGTCAATTGTCCAACGAAGGTTGACGCGGCGTCAGGTGGTGCGCCGGCGTTGGGTGGTGCCTGCCTGACTGGGGAATGTTTCGAGTGGGTGGCCGGGGCGGAAGCTGGAGGCTGGGCGGGGAAGGCGCGCTTGGTGTTTCCGCCAAGCCGTTTGGGGATTAGCGCCGTTTCCGCCGTAACCAAATGCGTGCCTGACTGCCTGGCTGCCTGACTCCCCCCGGCCTGTCTCCTATCCGACGTTCTTCGTGATCATCACTCCACCACGATCGTCAGATCAACCCCGACGATAAACATCCGGATATTTCAGGCAAGGCAAGTCTTCGTTCTTATATCATTTTATGCCTTGAAGCAGCCCTATTCATTCTGGGCTGTCTTGAATGGTTCAGCCCTTAGTATCAACAACAAACATCCTATAACCGTCATTGAACCCTTAACGAATCGTAAATATGGATAATCCCTCACTTCCAACCCCCGTCCCTGCAAGGGCTTCTGCAATTCCTCGCCTATCTCGCTTGCCCGTTCCAAAGACGTTCACTCGACCTGGGACTGGTCAAGGATCCCATCCGAACGGTCAACCGGCTGTCAATCCACCAAGACCACAACCTTCAATGGAACGACCACCACCCCTATTCTTAAAGTCATCCTCTCACCAACCAAAGACCGCCGGGTATCTTAGATCGACCGCTGCTAGTGCAGTACGGTCCAAGGAAGAGCAAGGAAATCCAACTGTAGCCCCCCTCAGGAGATCTGATGGGTCCAATTCCTCCAGGAGCCCAACTTCCACCTATTCTCCGCAGAGGTCTCCCGTGCACACGAACCCGTCCGACAAGGCCGCTGGGCCTGCACGAAAGCCTCGCCCGTCGCTGTCTGACCGCACCATCGAAAGTCTAGCCCTGATCCCCCCATCCCCCATTCGTAGGAGGAAGTCCAATTTCTTTGATCCCGCTGGGAGTCTAGCCGTTCCGCGTCCAGGATCTTCTGCGTCAAGGACGACATCTCGACCAGGGACCAGCGATGAAACTCTTCGCCCGAGAGTAGCGGCAGCCGGGAGCACACATGCCACCCCAACGAAGTTCAACACGGCGGTTTTGCAAGGAGGGTTGAGACCCGCTGCGCGAACCGAATTGAATTTCAGCACCAGAACCGTCCAGAGTGCGCATACAACACCGACGGCCAAATTCAACACCGCCGTTTTGAAAGGAGGGTTGAGATCCGCGACACGAACTGAACTGGACTTTCCCACTAGGGCTGCCAAGAGCACGAACACGACACCAACAACGAAGTTCAACACCGCTGTTTTGCGAGGGGGTATACGACCCGCAGCTCGAACCGAACTGAACTATCCCACCGGGTCGCCTTTGCCAGCGAACAGGGCGGGAGCGTCTACTTCTCGACGTCCGCCCATCCTGAACGGCAGTAAGAGTATGAGTGCGACCCCGCGGAAGCCGCGTCCCGCAATCAGCGAGATGTTCAACCCACCGACAGACAACGCAATCCCACCGGTACCGAAGCTCTCCGCAACCAAGAACATCGCCTCGAACACCCCGGACAAGACCTCGAAGTCGTCCGCGGCGCTCAGGGATCAGATCCGGAAGGCAAAGGCGGCGCGGAAGTCAGATGTAGCGTCGACCCAAGGAAGCAAGACCGTAGCATCCGGGTACTCTACGGACGCGCAATCGGATCCGTTCAACCAGCTCCCGAAACTCGGCACCTCATTGTTGAAACGGCGCATCGACATGGCTCGCACGGATGGCCGCTTAAACCTGATCGCCATGGGCCTGCAGGAGTTCCCGCCGGAAGTGTTGAAGATGTACGATTTCGAGGCCAATGCGGACAGCAGCGTTCCCTGGGGTGAGGCGGTGGACCTGACGCGGTTCAACGTGGCGGATAACGATCTGAAAGCCATCCCCGACGAGCTGTTTCCGGATGTTGATATGGCGAATGTCGACAATAACGAGGAGGTCGATCTGCCTCAATTCGGGGGGATAGAAGTGTTGGATCTGCATGGGAATCTGTTGCGGACGTTGCCGATGGGACTGCGGCGGTTGGAGAGACTCACGTCGCTTAATCTAGTAAGTGCTACCTCTAGTCAACGATCCTAAATCGATCGAACACACGCTAATTCTTTTGTGAAGACGCGAAATAATTTGGACGACAACGTCTTCGAAGTCATCTCCCAAATTAAGCCGCTCCGAGATCTCAAACTCTCAGAATGCTCCCTGTCCGGCACACTGCCGGAATCAATCGGCCAGCTCCATGCGCTGAAGACCCTTGACCTAAGCGGAAACAAACTCACCGCCCTCCCCGACTCCATGCAATCTCTCACCCACCTCCGCATCCTCGACGTCTCCCAAAACAAACTCACCTCCCTCTCCCTCTCCATCCTCCAATCCTGCCCCCTCCGGGACCTCCTCGCCACCAAGAACTCCCTCGCCGGAACCCTCTTCCCCCCCTCCGTCCCCGGCCACCCTCGCCTCGAGCGCCTCGTCGTCTCCTGCAACTCCCTCACCTCCCTCACTCCCCTCCCAACCCTCGCCCTTCCCTCCCTCGCCACCCTCGACTTCTCCGTCAACCGCATCACCGCCCTCCCTGACCTCGCCGCCTGCCCGCAGCTCACGGCGCTGCTGGCCGAAGATAACAAGCTCACGGAGTTGCCGCGCGGGTTCACGGCGCTGGCACGGCTGAAGAGCGCGGACTTCACCGGGAATGATCTGCGGGTTATTGACGAGGAGGTGGGGTTGATGGAGGCGTTGGTGAGCTTGAGAGTCGCGGCGAATCCGTTGAGGGATCGGAAGTTTTTGACGATGGGGGCAGAGGAGATTAAGAAGGATTTGAGAGGGAGGTTGGCTCCGGATTTAAATTTTTGAGGTTGGTGGACCAGGGATGACGGTGAGAAGCACCCAGGGGCAAAGCCACGTGCTACTAGACTGATAGCATTGACTTGGCTAGTCATTACGAAGTGATGAAAAGTTTTTGTTGCTTTGGAGTTCGGTTTCATCTAAGAGCGGTCAAATTGTATGACTAGCGATGTATATATTGTAATAACGTCTAATAAATCCACCATTCGCCTCCAGAAAAGAACGAACTTTTGTCTTGAACCAGTATTAGAGTGGTTGCGGTTTCGTACCTCTCCCACCCGCCCTCGCCAACCCCTCCTTCTGCTCCTTCGTCAACGCGATTCTCGGCAACGCCCTCCCACTCTCACTCGGCGCCGGCATGAACCCGATCGCGACCAAATACGCGAGATACACCCCCACAGTCTCCACCGTCACTGCCCCCCCCTTCGACCAATCCTCCCCTGTCCACCTCTCATCCGCCCTCAGCGCCCGTTCCGCATTCGTATCGTCCAACTCCGGCGCCTTCGTCCCCTCAGGCATATCCGACGTCACCATATCCAACAACGGCAATAACGCGAACTCCTCCGCCGCCTCCGCCCCCTCCACGTACCCCTGCACCGCCGTCCGCCACTCCTCGTACGCCACCTCCGGCACCACATATCCATACGTCTCCAACGCGCCCACGAACTCGTCGAACCGCAACCGCGGATGGCTCGTGACCTGCGCCACGCCCAGCGGCGCAACCGGCGGGTTCATCGTTGCGGCGACCGCCACCCGCGCGACGTGCGTCACCGGCACTTGGTTGATCGTGTTCTCGATATGCGGCCGACACGCCACCTGCACGCACCCCTTCAGCAAGCGCACCAAGAAGTCGTCGGTGATGGTCATCCCGGACGTCGGGTGCCCGGTGACGTAACCTGGGCGGATGATGCAGCCGGCGAGCCCGCGCCGCCCGGCCTCGCGGATGAGGCACTCGCTGGCCCACTTGCTCTGGCCGTAACCGGTAGTGAGGCGGCGCTTGGAGCCGTGGAGCTCGTCTTTCTCGGCGACGCCGCGGCCGCCCGCGGAGAGGATGCCGTCGGAGAGGCCGATGTAGTAGTCGGTGTCGAGGACGCTGGTGGAGCTGACAAAGCCTAGGTGCTTGGGTTTGGCGGTGGCGCAGAGCTGGAGGAGGGAGACGGTGCTGAGGACGTTGGGGGGCTTGAGGTTGGAGTAGCCGATGACCCAGTGGACGCGGGCGCCGTTGTGGATGATGATATCGACTTGGTCGGCGAGTTGGGTCCATTTGTCGGGAGAGATGCCGAGGTTGGGAGCGGCGAGGTCGCCGGTGACGCATTCGATTCGGGAGGACCAATCTTCTTGCCAGAGTCCGTAGACTCGGCAGTTCTCGATCACTCGGGACTGTCCGATGTGTTCGCTCTTGGCTCGGACGTGGCAGATGACCTTCTCGATATTCTTCCGTTGCAGGAGATCGCCCAGGAGGAACGCGCCGAGGAATCCCGTTGCACCGGTGAGGAGGACTGTCTGCGGCTTCGTGAGATCCAATTGCGCGGTCTCGAACTTCTTAGGCAAGCCGGACTTCAACTCCTCCGCATCCGCAGCGTAGTCGATATCTTGCGAGCCCGGTCCGCTAGGACTCTCCGCCGTATCTAGTCGCAGACCAACTGGATCCAAAGCTCGGTCGATTTCCCCGGCGAGACCACGAAGGGTAGGGAACTGGAATATAGCGGGTAAACGAAGGTCGACCGACCATTCCTTTCGGACCCGCCAGAGCATTTGCTGCCCCAGGTTGCTGTGTCCACCCAAGTCGGCGAAGTCACTCTCCGGTCCGATGACGTTCACAGGCGTGCGCAGCGCCTGGCTCCAGATCTTCGCAAGAGTCCTTTCCGTCGTCGACATGGCGGCCGTGGTGTGGGATGTCCTCCTCGGCATGGAATGGGCTAGTTCGTGGGGCTCGGGGAACGGGAGGGCGGGCCTGTCGATCTTTCCGTTCGGATTCAGCGGCATGCGGTAGAGAGGGACGATGACTGTCGGGACGGCGTATACGGGGAGCTTGGTCTTCAAATGATCTCGAACATCGTCTCGCAGTTGTCGGAAGCGCCGGAGCCGGTCGACCATGCTATCTTCGCTCGCCTGAACTTCCAGGCTGCGGCCTTTGTCTTGCTCCTTCGCCCAGGCCTCCCATCGTTTCATGTCGGGGACAATGTAGCTGACGAGTTGCGGCTCTTCGTTCGGATCCCTTCGTAGGAGGGTGACATTTTCGCGCACAAGCGGATGAGATGTGACGTGAGCATCAATTTCACCCAGCTCAATTCGGAACCCTCGGATCTTAATTTGATTGTCCGCTCGCCCCGTGCATTCCACGTTGCCATCAGCTCGTCGCCTTCCCAGATCTCCTGATTTATACATTCGATCTCGTGGCCCCTTGTAGAATTGTCTCCAGGGTTCCGGCTGACTCAATGCTTTGACTCGTTCTTCATCTTCGACAACCCACTTCTTCGGATCCACAAACCAATTGTCAACGAACTTTTGCTTGGTCAGATCTTCGAGTCCGAGATACCCTTCGGCTAATCCGCCAGCGCGGACATAGATCTCCCCCGTCTCACCAACATCGCAGAGGCGGTCTTTGTTCTCTCGATCGACAATGAGCAGTTGGACATCTTTCATGCCTTGCCCAACAGGGATGACGTCACCGAGTGTGTCGAGATATTTCGGATCTGCGTTTCGGCTTGGGATTTCAAAGAAGCTCACCGCCCGTTGTGTCTCCGTCGTGCCGAAAAGGTTGACAATGTGGACATTAGGAGCCAGCTCTTGCAACCTTCTACAGTCTCGCTTGATCAGGATATCGCCTACGAAGAAGGCATGATGCAGTGACGGGAATTGCTGAGCATTAGACCCTCCGATGAGGATCTGTCCCATAGCTGGCGTCAAATGAGTCACGGTGGTTTCCTCGCGATTCATCCATGCCGCCAGCTTCTCGTATTCGATGTCCTCTTTCGCTGGGACCACGATACGAGCACCGAGAAACAGGGGGGTGAAAATGTCACGCTGAATCGGATCATGTGCGATGCCTACAAATATCAGTCAATAGTAAGTGCATGCGAAGGGGATGGACGGACCTGAGAGCATCGTGAATCGATCATTCTCGGTCAGATTGAACTGCTCCGACATCCAGTCGAAGTAGTAAGCAAGAGAGAAATGTCGGCCTTGGACCCCCTTTGGCTTCCCTTCTGATCCTGAGGTGAAGCTCAGTGTAGGGATCGAATCGGGACCGACAACGACCCCCGGGTACTCTGCCTTTCTTGAAGTATATTGTTCCAGGCAATCTGCCCCGTTCACTTTACCACCGAGCAAAGTGCCGTCATCTAGAAGCCTCAGTGCAGGCACCTCGGTTTTGAGCTCGAGCTCGTTGTCCACATAGGTACGGACCAGATCCGACAACTGCCCAGCTTCGTCTATGGTCCGTTCAATAGTAACCAGAGCTCTTGGTCGGGATACTTCAAGGTAGATCTGTTGCCGATCAGGAGGATATAGAGGGTCCAGGACCGAGAATGTTGCACCTGCCATGAGGGTTCCCATGATGCAAACAACGAGGTCGACGCCTCGGTACGCAAAGATCATAACCACATCCCCTCGTTCAATGCCATCTGACACGAGCTTATGGGCTAATTGGCAGGAAGCTTGGAAAATCTGCTGATACGTGAACTCTCTTCTCGTCGAGGTGTTCGATGCCGTCTCCACCACGCATAGTCTCTCCGGGAACTTGGCAGCATTTTCGGCGAAGATGTCTTGAATAGCACCTCTGAAATCAGACCACTTCAGATCCGCCGTGGGATCCGGAAGCACGCTTCCATTCGTAGTTGAAGACATACTTGAAGCAAAATAAAAAGAATCGGTTATAATGACATTGGATAGGGCGGGACGGAAGACTTTATGGCATCAATAATGACTCAGATCTCGAATCTCCGATCAATTATCAATCGGAGTGATGAAATGTTGATTCCGATTCCGCGGTTAAATTTTTGACCGGGGTGTGTTAGCCACAAATTGGCCGATGAAGGCTTGAGACTTTACAGGTACAAGGCCACGACTCCACGTATGGCATGAGTTATGGACGAAATCAATTGAATAGCCGAGATGTTCCAGCCTCTAGACCTTTTGATATTGTCTGTCAGCGGTAACAGCAAGAGTACTTCCGATTCTTTACTGCAAAGGAAGGATTGAAGTGGTAGTTGTCACGTGAACAATCCCACTAGACCCGTTTAAGCTTAGCTCAGTTCTCCACAAGCGAGGCTCGCCAAAGCTTTCACCAACACCAAATTTCCATTCGAGATTCCACCTCCTCCGACTTGCACACTTCACACCCATCGATTTTGTTAGGCTGTCTCGTTCAAAATGGCGATCAAGCATAACAACGCCGTCCCCAACAACCGTAAGCCTTGCTCCTCCTGCTTATGAAGCCCATCAACTAACCGATCGCAAAGATTTCCGCAAGGATTGGCAGCGCCGTGTGCGCACGCACTTTGATCAGGTAATTCCCCTCTCAGTCCCGTGAGAGCAGTGGCGCCTGCGATCATCAAAGCGGACACCATCCTTCGAAAAATCATGCCTCTAACTGTCGATGATAGCCGGGACGGAAAACCCGCAGGCGTCAGGCGCGTGTCGAGAAGGCCGCCAAGATCGCCCCGCGACCGCTCGATAAGCTGCGACCCGTTGTGCGATGCCCGACCATCAAGTACAACCGCCGTGTGCGCGCTGGCCGTGGCTTCTCTCTCGCTGAGTTGAAGGTATGAGATGCCCTACTGAATTCTCGTTGAACAGAGCACTAATCGTTCGTAGGAGGCTGGCATTCCCCGCAAGCTGGCACCCACCATCGGTATCTCTGTCGACCCCCGCCGCCAGAACCTCTCCGAGGAGTCCCTCAAGGCCAACGTCGCGCGTCTCAAGGAATACCAGCAGCGCCTCATCCTCTTCCCCCGCCGCAACGGGAAGCAGACCAAGGGCGACGCCTCCGCCGAGGAGGTCAAGGCCGCCAAGAACGGCGAGGGCGTTGCCAGCGCCACCTCCGCCGTCATCCCCATCGTCCACGCCGCCGCCATCACCGAGGGCAAGCTGTCGGACTACCCGACCGAGGAGAACGCGTACAGGAAGCTGCGTCTGGCCCGATCGGAGGCGCGCTATGTCGGCGTGCGGGAGAAGCGTGCGAAGGCCAAGGCGGACGAGGAGAGCGCGAAGAAGAAATAGATGCTCGACACGGGACGAGGTGGGGAGGTTCAGCGTGGAAAAGCTCTTATTATGGTTCGGTGTCACGGTTCATTATAACTAGCTACGGCTCGGAAGGCGAGTTAACGTGTTTTTGCACGAAAAATATCATGACCGCTTCAATTCTTCACCGCCAATTATCTGCCGCTACCTTCAATTTGTGACCCGACCCTCGAATGAGTGATTCTGATTTCGAAATCTCTCGGTAACGTATATATAATCGCATGAGCCAGGTCACCTCCAGCCTACTTTCCCTTCTTATGTAGGCCATCGAGCCTTTCGTCGCTCAGGGATTGAGGTGCTGTAAAGCATGCTCGTCCTGACCATGCCTAAGCCGCAAGTCATAATCTTCATGTCATCCATATAGCCCACTTCATTCGGTCTCACTCTCAACTGCCTCGGCACTCGCCTGACCCCGTCCCACTCGCTGTCCTCTCTGCCTTCTCTGAGCCGCCATCCCCTTCGCCGCCTCCTGTCCCACGAAGTCCTGCCCCGTCCACTCGGTCTGACACCGCGGACAGTTCTTCGCCGCCCCGTTCCGAAAGAACCCTTGCGCGCAGAAGTTATGAAACCGAACCAGACAATCGGGATTCGCGCACCGCTGGCCCTACCATCCGTTAGCGAGTAAACCCCTATCTATCAGAGCCACCACCACTTACAATCGTCACGATATCCTTACACCCCTCACAATCCTTAATCCTCACCCACCTCTCCCCCTCCTCTTCACCCTCTACCGCCTCATTATACGTATCATACAACCACCCCCTTAACTCCATCAACGCCCTCGGACTCAAGCTCAGAAACCCCGCTCGACTCTTCTCAAACCACCCCTCCTCCACCAACCCCTGCAACACCTTCTCCGCCCGATCCACCGTCAACGCCGTTCCCCCGCTCCCCTGAGTCTCTGCCCCCGCGCCCCCCGCCTCCACCCCGTTCGCCATCTGTGTCATCGCCCCTTCACCCCCTTCGCTCCGCCGCGGCGTCTGCGCCTGCGTCTCCGGCGCGTTCGGCGGCCGCCGGTTGCGCAGCGCATCGATACCCTTGACGGCCATGGTCTCGCGTTTCGGGGTGTTGTTTTTCTCGAACATGTCGTCGAGGACACGCTTGACGAAGGCGATGTCGTCGGGAGAGTGGGTGGTGGCGAGTTGGGTAGAGAGGTCGGAGACGGTGTTGACGAGGGCGTAGATGAGGGTTCGTGGGGAGGGTTGCTGGGTGGAGGTGGGGTGGTTGGTGGTAGGGGAGGCGGTTTGGCGGTGGGTGTGGCGGATTTCGTAGTCGAGGGGGGAGATGGCAGCATTTACTGTTGCGATGTAGGATTGGATGTCGGTGGCGGTGATGTCGTCGGGGAGGGTCTCCCGGTCGTCTGCGAAGCGAGTTAGGGAAGAGCATCAGGGTATATAGACCATTATAATACCGTGAGCAGACAATATCTTGGCGAGGATGGGTTTCGCTTCATCCAGCGTCATCACGCTTCGGGCGAGGAAGGCCTGCAGAAAAGCTTTGTGAGAGTTGTCGTAGCCGCGGTCAACATCGCCGTAGTCGTCCGACATTGTGACCATGACCTCTAATCAAGTGAGAGGCTATAATTTCTAGATATGGACACAGGAATTGAGCATCAATGTCGGTACCATTGATACATGTGTGGTGGAGGGCATCTTCTCGGCTGTCGCACTGAATCTGATAAAGACGCGTCGCGGTGGGGTGGCGCGCCAACCAATCATGACGCGTGGTCTTGTGACCTTCACATCCGTTGGACTGCAATCGTGATGGCATTGATTGCCAGAACTCAACTATATATACCTATCACTGGGCCTTGACGTGTTCTATTCTAGATATCCAGGTGCTTTTCATTCTTGCTCATCAGAGATATGTTGTCAAGGTTGTGTCTATCAATTTCAATTATGCTGCATGGGCGGAACATCTTAACATTGACGACCAGACAAGGTGAGGTCAAGGTGAGGTAATACAAGGAGAAGATAAGACGAGTCCATAGATTCTGGATTGGATGCTACTGAACTGACAAGTCATCATCATTATGCAGTACAATGTTTGGGCTACCCGAAGAGCGTCCCCTGCTGATGCTTGACGCCAATACCAACCTACCTTTTCCTCCATCCATTCTCCTGGTATATCACACCGAATGATTCCAAACATTAGACAACCAGACCCTTGGTTTGCTTGAACTGTTGGTTCATTGTCAGTCATGTTGTACGGAAGTCGATTGAACAGGGTTTTACTCACATCCTTGACCTTGATATCGCGCCAAACCATGATCGCGGGGAATCCGAGCGCCAAAATGGCCGTGCCGCCGATGAGCATATACCTCTGTGCATCGGCATATGCCATCTGAATTGCGATTCTCTCCGGAGAGCCCATGGGATATGATAGCTGCGTCTCGATGTCGCCGTAGATGGTCAACGCGTCGGCTTTAGATGACTCCGGCAGATACTCTGCAAGTCGTACCGGGAAAACACCAGTCCATACAGCCTATGACATCCATCAGTACAATATATTTCAGGAGGAAATCAATCCACGTACGCTTGCAATTGCTTGGCCGATGGCTCCACCGACATTCGCAAACATGCCCTCGATGGCCAACACGACGGCAACGTGTTGATGGGTCACGGCAGCCTTCACATATCAGTTTTATGTCTCTCGAAGGCGGTCAGAATCCGCTTACCATTGCTGCCATCTGCTCGACGATCACCAACGTGCCTCCAGCGAAGGCAATGAAAATCTGGCACATCACGATCAATCCGATTTTGCTGTCTGCCGATCTGAAGGGGATCATCAGAGCCTGTGGAGGGTTAGAAAGTGCGGCCAGCCATGTTCAAGAAGGGAGACATACAATGCCGAGCACGTTCAGTGGCAGTCCGAAGTAGAGACCGAGCCATTTGTAGCGCCCACTCCAGCGGATAAGACCGCCGACGACGATCGACCAGAAGCAGGACCCAATGCTATAAATATTGGCGACATAAGACGCCTCCGTCACAGAGAGACCGTTGACCACTTGAAGGAAGGAGATGAAGTAGCTGTCCCAGATATAGAAGCTGACAAACAGGACGCCGGAGAGAATCGACGCTCCCAACACCGAACGGTCGACCAAAATCTCGAATGGAATGAATGTCTTAGGGGCCAGGTACTTTTCGTACAGACCAAAGCCGATGAGGAGGAGTACGCCAAAGATGATGAAGCAAATAATCAAAGGGCTCTTCCACTGATCTTTCTGGTAGCTATAGAGCGCAAAGGAGAGAAGGAAGAGTGAAAAGCCCGTGATTAGGAGCATCAGACCAGCGAGATCAAACTCGATGGCATAGTGCTTCAAAGATTGAGCAAGTGTTCGTCCGCTATTCCGCTTAGGTGCCAATCCGGCCTTCTTAGCCTTCATGTGGTTATAGGTGAACAGCGCATATAACGGAAGCGTCACAGCTGGCGTCACGATAGAGAAGATTCCAAAGCCCCAGCGCCATCCAGGGCCTTTGAGAATCGCATTGGCCATCGGACCGCCAATCCACGTCGTCGCGATGTAGGGGCTGCTGGCAAAGGCGAGCATGAGGGATCGGTTCTTGAGGGACGATGTATCGGCAATGAAAATGGAGAGACAATATCCCACGCCGTTGAATCTGGGCTCGGTCAGCTACTTCGAAGCTTCGGCAGAATAGTGCGATCTCCAGTGGCTTACCCGACCCAGTAGAACACCTGCGCCGCAGCGTAGGTTTTGACGTTGTTGCATCCGGCCATCATGACGATACCGACCGTCAAGATAAAGATCATGAGGAGGAAACCTTGCGGGCGGCCCCAGACATCGACGATCTTCGCCAATGGAAGCTTGGTCAGACCACCAATGATACTGGACAGGATAGACGTCGTAGCCGTCAAGGAATGCTGCGAGAAGGAACTGGTAACATAGGCTTCGCAAGGTCAGTACATTGGCATAATCGGTTATGTCCAACAAAACTCACGGGTCAAAGAGTTGGTTGCGCCCGACTGCATGGAATCGATGAAGTAAATCAACCAGATCCTGGGAATCATCAGTACCCAATGGCCAAATGGTGTTGGAATCGCTCGTACATCACGTATGCTATGACGAGATTCGAGAAGGTCCAGATCTTCGTGGTGGCTTCCATATCTTGAACACCGGTCTGAGCCTTCTTGTCAATGCTGTCTTCATCACTGTCCGACACATGGCCGTGAGACGCATGCTCGTGAGATTCATGATCTTGAGGCACAACGGTCGTCTCGGCGTCTTTCTCGAAGGCCGACGATTCCGCGACATGCGCGGAATCGTCTTTAGAATCGCCTTTAAATTTGGCGAAGAGGGCGCTCATCTTGGGTCGGAATTGGGATATATCTAATGACTATCCAAGTTCCACCTCTTGCGAAACAAGAGAGATAAAAGTTGACGACCCCGAGAAGATCGCTTAAAACTTGAAAGATCTGTACGAACTACGAACCCCTCGGGGCAAGCCTACCTGGATATATGTCGTGCTCCGGCCTCAGGGCACCTTCGGTTACATGACCTTGACGCCGCATGGAAGTAAATCCTACTTTAGCCTTGTGGAGCCCTCCGACAGTCGGCCCATATTCTTCGGAAAGAATGAGCAGTGTATGGCTCCTAGCCAATCGCGCCCAACCCTAGGCCCTCTAGCCACGAGGGGTATGGACTCCGGGAACCCGCATGTAGGCACTGGGTAAGCATCATTCGCATGAGCGAATGATCGGATCATCTTGATTTACCCTCTTTATGCGTCGGCGGGATGCGTCGGCAGGATAGCTGAAGCAGACTGCAAGGAGGACTGGTGCAAGAGCGGAAAGGATCCAAGCGATGGTGTTGGGACAAATGGACATGTCATGGTTGCTGCAGCAGTGGGAAAGTCCAGAAAAGGCGTTAAACGTCCGGGAGGTTTTAATTGGAGCCAAGGGAGCTTAGTCGGCTTATTTTGCAAGGAATCCCTGCTTGATCAGATAAAATTTTATCTGATCATCACAGTAGTTGATTATCAGATGGCGTGGGACACGACGATTTGGTTCGTCAAATCGTGAGCCGGTGGGTGATGAGGCTTGACTATTCTTTTAGCGTCGAGAGCAACATCACACTTTTCTGTTCTAAGGAACATCTGAACACCCTTCATTTCTCAGAGGCTACCGCTGCTTCAATATTCAACAAGCCGGAGCTCTAGAAAAAATTCTGTCGCATCCATCCCGGCCTTTCTAGTCCAATTTCTAGTTTTCTGCCTGCAATTGAAGGACATCTGGTGATTTTGTCGATAGAGTTCGCCATCTCGATTCTCGAATGGACGATGGACGGTGGTCTATGGAGAGACTGAGCAGGTTTTGCTCGCCTCAATCATGGGTAAATGATCCTGGAATTCTCAACCCTGCGATTCCAAGGAGCAAGGCCCGTAAAAAGGCAACATCCCGCTAGTTATCCCGCGTCGCATTTTCCTCGAATGTGATCCGCCCAGCGATGATGCAGGCAGACGCGGGATTATTAGGTAACGCACCTGATCCGAAAAGTTCCTAGATTCCACGCTCTCTTCCAGGATTAGTCTCTATGAATGCAATACGCATGTGCTCTTCAGCAACCAGTCTGACTAGACACGGGTGAGGCTGCCCTGCGGACCGCTGCTTGGCGATGATTTTGGGATTTCGGGAAGACAAAATGAGCTCCACTGACAAGGAGGCAAGAGAAAAAATCCAATTGTATGGGCTATTGAGTATTAACCCCTTCCATCGGGCCTAACTTACGGCAGAGCAAAGATTTTCCAAAACCAATCTGGTAAGTTCTGGATTCCAGGTTCCATGGACTGATCCGCCTGGGTCCTGGAGTTATCCGTCGCACACTCGCACCAGTATCACTAGCCTAGTCCGGACTGGAATTATTCCGCTACTTTGAGACACTGGATAGATCGATCGATAAGATAAAACTTGAAAACCCATTGAACTTCTGGGTTCCCAACATCCCAAGGTATCAGGGATATTCGATCCTCTTACGTCGATGGAGGCATGGAGGCATGGTCCCGTCTCGGCCCGTTGGACTTGCAGGATCGAGCGGCATCTACTGTCGACCGCGTGGGCGGACAATTTCCAAATCGTTCGCATGACTCGTTTCTCGTAATTTGCACGCTCAGTCAACGTCTTCAATCCATGTGGTGTATTCTTCTCTCCGAGACCGGACTCTGCTGCTACGAACGATTAGCCAATCTGACTGGAAAATACGGAGACTTCTGTTGTGCAGACGTCACAGCTTCCAGGCCGGATGAATCCATGGCATCTGATCTAATTTCTCTAGAATTTGTTGCGGGAAGTGCAACAATAGTGCTTAGTTGTACTTTCCGGTGCCCAACTTCGCGATTATCAGTTCACAGAAAATGGGAAGTACACAAGCCTCGAGAGTTGCCGGATCTAAATCATCTGCAACCAAAAAGTTTGTGCCGAAGCAAAAGAAACAGATATTATCTTATACCTAGTTGAAGAAAGGGGAATGGGGGGTAATTTCCCTGATTAATATGTCTCACGCGTTCACGAAGGCCTACAGTCCTTTATTCCATTATTAGATTATGTTTGTAACGAGTCGAAGCGGACGAACTTGTCACCTTTTCGGACGCATCATGATGGGGATGTCTTAGGTGAATTTTTTCTTATAGCCTGACGATGGGACTCCGGTTTGGGAAATCGATTAAGGAATAAGAACGTATCAATAGAATCGGACTGATCGAGTCTGATAAAGCTGATCGTGGCCTAATTAGGATCCTCTTGCTATTTCAGAGATACGATGGATAGTAAGGAGCCTCCGGACTTCGCGTTCCTCAAGTTATGGTATGTTTTGAGCTGGTACTTATGGTAGGTCAATCGATCACTACGTTGCTTGCTATCGTACATCGCCAATTTAGCAGTCTCTTCCCATCATCATCTGTACGATGCTTGGTCTTTTCCTTTGAGCATTTCTCTTTCGAATTCATCCCTGTTTTCGTTGGCATATGGCGACTTCATGCAGTAATTGAATGGAGAGGCTGAGTTCAAAAAGTCTGTCCGGTCTTCCTGTAGGAAGATGCTCCACTCGTACTCCTCCATAATGTCATTGACATCACCCTTATTCGGGAAGTTCTCCCAATCATGCTCATCAGTAAACTCGACCTAATCAAAACCCACCACAACAACCTGCGGATCTAAAAAAAATTATCCGATTTCAGGTCTACATGGCTCACCCTCGACTCGTAGATAGAGCGGACTACATCAGTTATTTTCGCCCTTAACCCCCCATCTCTAAAGCAGTCATCTATTATGCATTCATAAAATGTTCGGCCGTGGACCTCCGAAAGGACCACGGCAGGTTTTCCGCCATAAAGTCCTACGCCATATAAACGTAGTACCAGATGTCCTTGCAAGTCCATAGCCGCTCGTATGCAAGCAACTCGTTTTCGAAAAGTATGTTCCTATTATTCTTTTTCTGCTCTATAATTACAATCCCAGGAAGGCACCACCACTGAGGCCAATGCTCAATAAGCCACATCCGAATTGTCTGCGGAAGACATGGCAGGAGACCGTACAGGATCGTACGGCAAGCAGAGCATTTAAATGCTAAGCGAAAGGCAGTTCGACGATCATCGAGACGCTCGGAAGATGATGCGGAAATCCGATGCGACCCTAGGTAAAAGTGCTTCGAAGGTTAGGATCACGCTTCCAATGGAATGGGTAAGGTTTACCGTTGAGGCTATCAGTGGGCCATCGTCGAACTCGTCCACAGGCATCCCCGAAACGCAAACGACAGAATTAGGGATGTAAGTAAGATAGGATAGAAAAGAAGAGAGACCGTTTTACATATTAGGGATCATGTTTGTTCGATTGTATTGACCACTGTTTGCTACCAACGTAGAATAAGAAACTGGTATAACGCGATCATTCCCAGCAAGTGGTATCTGACCTCTCAAACCCAGCCCCTGAATGGATTCAGGTTCCTCCGTCCTGTTATTCCACCATCGTCAGATTTTGACAGAGGCGGAAGCGTGCGAGATTTGGAGAAAGCATCGGCATCCCAATATTGCACAATACCTAGTCAGTGTTGTTCGGGACGGTCGGATCATAAGGCTTGGTTCGGTCAAAGATCCGACGACTCTCTCGCAGATGTTAAATGATGGGATGTCGTTTAACAGGAGTGCTTGTCTGCAGGGGATTCAGGCTGGTACAAGTCATATGCATAATTTGGGACTTGGTCATAACGATTTTCGACCCATCAAACATCGTGATAGATGGAGATACTCCGGCAATTATTGACTTTGATTCATGAAAGCGAGGAGGGTACGAACTGGGTTCGAAAGTCGGTTTCCATGGGTGGGCTCTGGATGGTGAAAAACACGCGACGCGAGAGAATGATCTTTACAGCCCGTCTAAGATACAACAGGCCCAGACCAAAGTGAGTTGATTCCAGGTGGTTCGAAAAAGGAAAGACCTCATGAGAAGTCGAAGCATCAAAGTCGCTCTGGTCAGACGGCACGTCTATGGTATGTACCAAATCCACGTGATGCATCCAACCATTTTCTCACCTCCTGTCCCTTCACTATTTCTGGCGCATGGGCCTCGCAGAGAGGCCTGACGGGCGTATGAATCTCTCTCTCACTATTTCTGGCGGAGCCAGAAAAGCGCACATGTTAAGGTACATACAGCAAGATAAGGTAAGTATAATTCTGGCATTTTCTTTTTTACCCAAGTTTATGTTCAAGCGATGTTTAAAACATGCTTTGGCTCTGCTAAACCGATCCGCGTGTGCCCCTCCCACCGCTAGGACCTAAGCTCGGTTCTATGTAACTCGGATAGACCGATTGCTCGACGCGATGCGGAGTTCCGCAATACCGAATACCTCTGACGTCGGCATCGCACTCGCGATGTCGTTTTAAGCTCTTCGTGTGGCAGTAGCAGTGGTATTCCATGGCCGATACCAAATCCATGACTTTTAGACCCTTCTGATATTCCGATCGAATGTGCTAACCGCCAGTGTTGTCCTCTCCTATAATATATAAGAAGGATTATCATGATTAGACGATAGCAGCCATGCCTCAAAGATCTCAATATAACATCGACATACCATCGACGAACATCCTTTCCTATTTATTTCCGGAAAACTCCATCCCTTCCGAAAAGCCACTATGGATCGACTCCGTCAACCCCAATTCAAAGTCCTTGTCGCCAAAGCAGCTCCGTTACTGGTGTAAGCGAGTCGGCCATGGCCTGCGATCGCGCTATGGACTTCAAGATGGCGATCTCGTGCTTATGCTGTCAAATAACCATATCTTTATCCCCGTGGCATACTTGGGGGTCGCTGGCGCTGGGTTGATCTTTAGTGGATGCAACCCGTCCTACACCACAAGAGGTACCTTATTTTCATGACGCCAACTTGTCCAGTTCTTGTTGTCAGTGTTTCAGTGTTAACATACGGGCTTGCTCTATTAAAAGAGATTGCCAGGCAGATTACTGATAGCTGCTGCAAAATCATCCTGGTCGAGCCTGGCCTCTCAGGCGTTGCGCTTGAAGCAGCTCAAGCGGCATCATTTCCGACTAAGAACATCCTTCTTTTCTCCGATGCGCCTTGTGACTCCCAAAGTGGGCTCCTAGACTGGCAGACGGCATTGCCAGACACACGAGAAGCTCAATCATGGCGATGGCCTCCTTTGACGGGGAAATGTTCTGCCGACACTGTTGCAGTCCTGAACTATTCATCAGGGTAAGTTTGTTTCCTAGCACGGAAACAAGGCACTCTTTATTGATACGGAGAGATAGAACCACCGGCCTTCCAAAAGGTGTGATGATTAGTCACCGAAATCTCATAGCCAATGTCGAACAGTCGATATTCATGCGGAACCTCCCGGAATCTTCAACAGCAGGACAACAGGATGAACGCTGGTTGGGATTCTTACCACTGTATCATGCCTATGGTCAACTCTGGACAATCCTAGCCGCTTGTCGAATGCAGACACCGTGCTACATGATGTCCAAATTCGACCTCATGGCCTTCTTGTCTAACATCCAGAAGTACCGAATCACACATTTGCAGACAGCACCTCCTGTTATAGTTATGCTAGCAAAGCGGCCAGAATGCAACTCTTTCGATCTCAGCTCGTTACGGAACATAGTGTCCGGAGCAGCGCCCTTAGCAAATACGCTGCAAAATGAAGTATCGGATAAATACAACCTGAGGATCGTCCAGACATATGGCATGACCGAGCTCACCTGCTCGACCCTCCACGTACCGGGTAACTTGGACGACCGAAGCGGAAGTGTTGGCCTTATCGACCCCAATGATGAGGTGAAACTGCTGGATAACCAGGGGCGCGAAGTCGCCATGGGTGAAAGAGGAGAAGTGTGGGTTCGTGGACCAAACGTGTGCATGGGATATTGGCGCAATCCCACGGCGAATGCCGAGACATTCGATTCCGACGGGTTCTTGAGAACCGGAGATGTGGCCGTACGAGACGACCGAGGGTGGTACTGGATTGTTGATCGGATCAAGGAGTTGATCAAGGTGAAGGGCTTTCAGGTTGCTCCAGCGGAGCTTGAAGCCGTACTGCTTGAACATCCTGGCGTTGCGGATGCGGCTGTCGTTGGACTTAAGGGGTAAGTGCCTACAAAACATGTCCTCGGCTGCATTGTCCATGCAACATATCGGCTAACAATATGGTACAGAGAACACGAAGAGCAGCCCATGGCATACGTTACCCTAAAGACAGAAGCGCTGGGAAAATTGTCCGAGACAGCGCTACGAGAATGGGTGAACGCAAAGGTTGCAAGACACAAGCATCTCACCGGAGGTGTCTACTTTGTCGATATAATTCCAAAATCACCAAGCGGAAAGATACAGCGTATGACAATGCGAACCTGGGCTGCTGAAAAGGCAAAGGAGATGGCCGGTACGCCTGCGGTAAAAGCGAAGCTGTAGAGACATGAATGCGGGACCATCAATCGGGGAAGCACCGTTGTTAATCCATTCGGCGCAAGTCTCTAGCCCTGAGCCCAGGAAGAATTGACCATAGAGCGAAATCTAAGCTGGGACAATGTCCCACCTCCTATGGCTTGAGACCCAACCTTATGTCGGACTTGAATGGAGTTAAAGCTGGTAGTAATTCCATAACAAATGTGACTCGATTGCTACAGCTATCCATGTATCGCCAGATATTTAGTTCATGGAGCGGAATTTGCAATGATGGCATCGAGAAGACTGATAGTAGTTAGCAGCGCTGGGCGGCGATAATGGACTTAATAGCGGTTATCGCCATTCCCCGCACTGGAATGAGGATGAGTGACGTGACCGCTAGAGGAACACTTCGATCCGCATTTCGTACGAACGTACCCGTATCAGTATCCGATTGCGCCATTGAACACGATTCAAACAATAAATAGATGGTACTTCCTCAATTTAAGTTCTATTAACAAAAGCCTATATTCCTTTAAATACCAAGCCGCAGAACCCATACCCTCAAACATTTAGCAATACCATCACACGCTTTGGCGACCCAGAAATTCAACATGGCTCGAGTTTTGCTAACTGGCGGAAGCGGGTTTATCGCTGCCTATTTGCTAGACCAACTTCTTGAGAAGGGGTATGCCTGATGTATGCCATTGTTTTACAACTACTTCGTACTGACATGCGAATAGATACTCAATTGTCACCACAGTGCGTAGCTCGGAGAAAGGCGAGAAAATCCTTAAAGAGCATGCCAAGTACGGCAAGGACAAGCTAGATTATGTCATTGTTGAAGATATTGCCGCCGAAAATGCGTTCGACACAGCCGTGAAATCAGATCCGCCATTTGAGGCGGTGTTTCACACGGCCAGTCCGTTCCACTACGATGTTACGGACGTCCAGAAGGAGCTCTTGGATCCTGCCATCAAGGGAACCACCGGAATCCTGAAGTCCGTCAAGGCGTATGCTCCGACGGTCAAGAGGATTGTCATAACATCATCTTTTGCATCGCTCATCGACCGCTCAAAGGGCGCTTGGCCGGAGCATACCTACTCTGAAGCGGACTGGTGTCCATTGACCCTGGAAGAGGCGCTATCTAACCCCACACCAGGCTACACCGCCTCAAAAACATTTGCCGAAAAGGCAGCTTGGGCGTTCCTGGAGAACGAGAAGCCGAACTTCGACATCGTAACGATCAACCCGCCGGCTGTTCTCGGGCCCGTTGCACCATGGATGAACTCTCTCGCCGCCACCAACACGTCCAACCAGCGCATCCTCAATTTCATCCAAGGCCAAGCCAAAGACGAGATTCCGTACTCGGGGGTGTTCTTCTGGGTTGATGTCCGAGACGTCGCCACCGCGCACGTCCAAGCCCTGGAAGTAGCGGAGGCGGGCAAGAAGCCCGGTCGGTTCTTCACCACGGCTGGGCACTTCTCGAACAAGGAGATCGTCGAGGTCATCCGGAAGAACTTCCCGGAGTATAAGGATCAGCTGCCGGCACCGGAGGCGAAGGGCCAGGGAGACTACCCCGCAGAAGGGATTTATCAGTATGATAATAGCCGTGTGAGGGAGATTCTCGGGGTTAAGTTCCGATCGCTGGAGGAGAGCGTGGTGGACACAGTCAAGTCCCTGAAGGCAGTCGGTGCGTAGGTGGACTCGAAGCACGTTTATGACGAAGGACAGAAACGTCGTACATGAGAAGAGTTAATTGATATTGAGACCTGAGTAGCAGGAACTGTATCTGAGTAGAGATGTCAAACGACGCCATCTGCTGTGCATAAATGAAGATAAACGCTGTTCCGCCATGAGCAAACCACTCTGTGGCTTGTCGTCACTCAAACCACCAACTTGGCGTCAGGGTTCTGACCAGTTGCAACGTCACCACTGCCTTTGTGAGCAATAACCTTCACCGTGCTCTCCGAGTTCTTAGTATGGACTCTCAATCCGATCACACAGACTGCATTCCATGGCTCCTCAAACTCATCATCACCAGCCGGTTTCTCTGCATCGCCAGCCGGTTTCTCTGCATCACTAGCTGGTTCCTCTGCGTCACCAACCGGTTCCTCTGCATCCTCATTTACTGTAGGATCCGCTTTGTCGCCTTGATCATTAGCTCCACTCTGTCTTTCCATCGTCTTTACGAATTTCTTAGCAACTGTAGGGCCCTTTGAGACTTCCATGGAAGATATTCGGGTTGAGCTGCCCTTTTGAGTGGGGAACGAATGCGAACGAGAATCAGTGCATCCGGCTTTGACTTTCGCCTCTGAATCGCCCGATTTCGTGCCATTCTTTCGGCTCGCTGAGCTTGCACTGCCATGTTTCTCGGAGGCAGAATTAGTCTCTTTCTCGTCAACTGTGACTTTGGGCCTTCGGGCAATGTCGGCCGTCATCGAATTTTCGAGGTTCACTTTGCGGACCGGTTTTTCCTTGGTATTGTCAGTCGTTGCGCCTTCTTTCGTCAATGTCGCCTCTTCAGCTCTGAGACCCAAAGCCTCCGAGACCTGCGCTTGGTTCAGGCCCTTTGCGTAAGCTACGTCGTGATTGATCCCTAGCTGCCTCAATTTGGATGGATTTTTCCCCGCATACTTCCTGACCACGTCTTCAACAGCCATATAATCAGATACCTTTGCAGCAGCGATGCAAGGGATGACTTCGTAGGTACCTGGCTCGAGTTGAAGCTCAACACTCACAGATCGGAATTCGTCGTCTACCGTGCGTACATGGACCAACTGCTCTTGACTGTCAACGTTTTTGAGGATGAATTGAAGTCCGAACTTGTATTGACCCCCCAGTGATTTGTAGTATCGGGAATCGGGTCGTGAAAGGACGATTACCACCGGCCCAGCTTCCTCGATCGTGATTTCGTACTTTGTTTTGAGGAATCCGGTCATCCACGACACGCTGACTGATGTCCACTTCTGCGTGACGTGCCACTCCTTTCCGAAGATGCGGGTGCGCTCGATCGCTCTGAATCGCTTCAAAAGGTCTTCGTACGAAATCCAGAAAATCCCGTCGTCTTTAAACTCATGCTCGAGCTTTTGCATCCAGTGCAAGTTCCATTCTTTGGAACCATCGCTCCATGCGCCATCCCACTCGCCGCTCCCGTCATGGCTTCGATGGCCCCACGGGTTGCGGACTTTGACGAGACGGAACACTTCGCCATCGTCGGACGTTTCTTCCGTTGCGCGTAGGATGGAATAACCGTGGCAGGTTGGTATTCCTCTTGAATGGTCCTGTTCCGGGGTTGGACTCGAGGACGACACGGTGAAGACGAACTCCTTGTTCGGATTGAGCATTTCCTTCCAGAGTCGCTCTTTTCGAAGAATTTTGCTGGTGAAAATGAAGGTAGTAACACCCCCAGTCAGGTCTTCAACGCCTTCGCCACAACATCCACCATCGATTGCCTCGTAGTCTCCATGGACCTTCGCATAAGCTTTCTCTAGCAACGGAAGCCATGTAACATTCTCATCCACAGATTTGGCAAATTTCAATGCCTCCGAGCCAGTCTGGAGCCAGTTCTTGTACCGCTTCTCTAGCTTCCCACCGGCATCGTAATCATTTGACGAATAGTCGGCGTGGCTGAGGTAAAGATTGTCATCCACCACTGTCCAGATCCACTCGCCGTCTTTGTAAAATACAAAGCCGTAAACACCGCATTCCTCGTCGTGCTCAATGAAAACCTTGTCGATGAGTCCGTTGACACAGAGAGTGGCGACTGCAGCAAGCCACCAACAGTCACCCAGGCGGCCTTGTTGGACATCCATATTGGAGAATTCTCCGCGCTTGAACTGCGGTTTCTCAAATATGTAATCGATCCTGTGGACGCTCTCTGGTTTGTCTAGAGAGTCCGATTCTCGGACGAGGCCCTTTCGCGACGCCTTTACGTCTCGAGGCCCAAGAGTAGGATTGGACCCAAGGATTCCAGTTCCCAGTCGAGAGGACAGGCCCCTCTCCAAGGAAGTGGAGGCGACCTTCGTCTCTTCAGTTTCGGCTTTCCCGCCATTGAATTCAGGGTTATGAAGCAGACCATAAAGGTAGTTGTGGCGCGCCTCAGCAAAGTCGTCCTCGATGTCAAACTCGGCATCGGTGAACTTCTCGTTGGTGCGTTCGCATTCTCGGACTATGCTTCTCACGCGCGCTCTGCATGCTGCGGCTGCTTCTTCATAGCTCTCCACGGCATTTCGACTGGACGATGCCCCATATGGCGATGTCTCGGGCGGTAGTAGGTCGGCATATAGGGTAGGAGGGAAAATGCAGTGTGCTGTGGATGGTGTCTGCGAAAGGAATCTGGACCAAAACAAGGTTATTGCCTCTTGTGGCGGCATTCGAGGGTACTTATGGCGTGGCTGTTCATCTGCCATTGTGTCGGTGACTGCGGCAATCTAAGACCAATCTGGAATTTTATCGGCAGAAAGCAAAAATGTATGAACTTGGAGATCGAACGAAGTTGACTAGGAAGAACAATTGCAATAATGCAGAAGCTAAATAACTGAATTTGATGCAAATATCAGCCTGAACTCTCTTCACCACTGTGATTTGCTGTGCCCAGCTATTCAATGCTTTACAACGAACACTACTAGGTGGATTCACCTTGAAACCAGCAATACCTTATATAGTTATCTTCGGAGAGAAAGCGAGGTCAGCTGGAGTATCAATCGAGCTGAACAACTGAACAAAACTGTGGAAATGGGGCGCTTGACTCAAAATGTGTGACATATATGCGCCACTTGCTTTAGTGGTCTGACATCTGATCTAAGCGTTCGATTCGTCTAACCTGGTGCATCGCCAAAGCCATGCCCAGCACGCCAGGTACCTAGGGAGAAGAAGGCGTAGGCCGTGTTTTGGCGTGTGGGATTCTGACGCTCATTTAAAACGAGCCTCTGATCTGTCCTAGTTTCGAGACGTAGTGTCAACGGATGCTGGGAATACCGAATTCATCGGTGCAGCCATTTCAACATCATGCTGTCCCCATCCTGGCAGTAGTAGAGAAGTTGAAAAGGCAAGGTGAATAGCCGCTGTGGATAGGGGCTCCATCACGTATGACAGACAGGACTACGGAATGACAAACGGGGCAGCTCGGAGCATTTCAACCACCTTTGGGCTTGGAAACTGGGATGATGTTCTATCCAGGTAAGACTGAGCCCTTCCAGCCTCCAGGATCCCGTCTCTCAGAGTCACACTTGCTGACTTGCATAACTGTGAGGCTGAAGGCCTGAAGCAAAACACGATGCGAACAGGCCTCATTTGAGTCCTTGCGTCAACGGTAATCAATCGACTATCGAGCACTGTGGCTCGAATGACCAATAATGACTGCCGTTTCACTACGCTTTTGCTGCCGGGAACTAAGTCAGGAATCGGAGTAACTAACTAGTTAACCGAGTTAAGTTAGATGTATCAAAATGGAGGGAATGTTGGCTAGGGGTGTGTAAAATGGGTATTATGAGCATGTTACCGTAACATAGCCTCCAGTAATGAAAAGTAGCCAATTTTATCGTAAAATACGTATTATGCGCTAAACCTAGTACGGCCTAGGGTTTATCGGAAAAAAGATCTTCCACTGCCGGCTGAACTCAAAGCCGCAACAGGCCATTTGCGCTAAGATCTTATACAATTTGTATGTAAAGTGGGCCCGGTAAGGTAGAATCTATTTTACGCCAAGACCCGTAATTACCGGCAAATCTATTTTACAACATCTTACATTACACACCCCTAATGTTGGCGGAACCCCCTGTCCAACGGTTGGCGTCTTTGCTCCAGCCTCAATCTCAGAGGGAATGTCTCCGGGAATGTCTGCGGTCTGGCATCCATCGAACTTCGGGAAAGCTGAATATCGTGGCACGAATGAATAAATACATTCGAGGTATTGACTCCATAATCCGTACAATGCTAAACTCTTAGGAATCTGTAATGCTGTGAAATTTGAGAGTCGACAGGATTTATATCAGTGCTCAAAATGAAAGTTGAATGTCAGTTGGTCCGAGCGTCAATAGCAACGGCCAGGTCACGTGCCATTGTTTACAAACACCAAACATCTCCTCACAAGGGATCCATCGACAATTTGCGTATCACAAGCCTGCAGAGCATCAGCACAAACGGCTCCTATTATTTCAATTGCCATGGCGACTCCTCTTTCTCCGAGTTCGCAAAGTCATCTCAATTCTCGACTCTTCATCTTAGACTCCACCATGACCTCCACGCCCCAAAAGTCTCACCAAGAGCCTGGAGAGGAGACGTTCCTGGATTGGAAGACTCCAGCTTCATCACCATTCGTCTCAGAGATCGAGCAGGAAAATCGAGATCCGAATACTCTCAACCTGCTCTTCGAACTGAACCCGACAAAACCTCAGTCGAAGAATCCTTCCCCGATCAAGACGGCTCCAGACCTCCAGGACGAAGATATCATTGACTGGAGCGACGAACCGACTCAGAAGCTGTCTACTACGCCGACGGTGACATCCCCGGAAAAGCAGCCCGGTGATCAACTGCTGGAAGAAATGCAAAGATCTGCCGCGATAGATACAGTCGATACGGTTGTTCCATCGTCACGGCGGTCATCGCCCAAAAAGCGCCAACTGGACCAGTTTGAGATCCATTCCGATTCTTCCCAACGCAGCTCAGTCACGACTAGTTCATCGTTTAGCCGTGAGACTAAGCGTCAAGAAACCATTGTCATATCTAACGATATTGACATGACGCTGCCGGACGAGAATGAAGATCCTGCCATAGACGATACCTGCTTCAGCATGTTCTCGGAAATCCCGAACACGGACATGACTGCTTTCGCTAAACTAGGCCAAAGCCCTACGAAGACATTCTCCATCCAGGTAAGAACTTTCTAGAGCATGACCCAATTCACTATACTGATACAGACTCAGACTCAGACTCCTCGTGCTCTCAACTTCATGACGCCGAGCACTTCTCGCCGTACCCGCCCTTCAGATCTCAGCTCCCCTTCGCCCACCCCCCGCCAACGGGACATCTCCATGCACGTCTCCTCCGAAGATACCACCAACCTTCTTCTCGACTTCACTCAACAATTCGAAGCCTTCTCCAAAAGCTCCATGCGCACTCCCACCGGACACGGCTCACCAACTAAGACCGAGCCCCATCTCCTCTCATACATCAACCAGCAGCGCTCCCCCCAGAAACCCTCCGTAGCACCACCAAACGCCACTCCTAGTAAATCGACGCTTCTGAACCTCCTGGACTTCGAGTTACCCCCCGCACCCACCCCACGCTCCATCCCTACTATCACCGTCCGTGAGCTCGAATCCCTCAAATCCACCTACCAATCCCAAATCAGCAGCCTCACCGCCTCACTCTCTGGCCGTGACGCCGAAGTCTCCTCGCTCAAACGCGCGGTGGCCGACGCGGAGCGCCGTGTCGGCGAAGCCGCCGAGTCGCTGCGGGACGAGCGAGGGGCGCGTGAGCACGTCGAACAGGAGAAGGAGGCGTGGGAGCGGAAGCGTGAGGAGGTGGAGAGCGTGCTGCGGAGCGTGCGGGATGAGGTGATGAAAGCGGAGAAGGAGCGGGAAGAGATAGAGAAGCGAGTGGAGGAAGCAGAGACACGAGCAACGGAGGCAGAGCAGCGTGCGGTGGAGGCGGCGAAGAAAGTGACGGTCGTGGCGCCGGTAGAAGGGAATAAGGAGGGAGGAGAAAAAGGCCTGTTTACCGCAGAGCAGGTGCAGCGGCAGATCGACGAGAAGGTCCACGCGCTCTCCGCCGAGCTACACGCGATTTACAAAAAGAAACACATTACCAAAGTCGCTGGCCTTAAGAAAGGCTTCGAGGAAAAATCCAAGAAGCTCACCGACGACCTCCACCAGCAAGTCGCCCACCTCACCCACCAAGTCGAAGACCTCCAATCCTCCAAAGACGCCACCCTCTCCGGCCCCATCGCCCTACCCTCCGGCGCCATCCCCGCCTCCGAGCTCGCCTCCCTCCGCGCTGCCGACCTCTCCCGTCTCGAGTCCCAGCAAACTGAACTCGAAGCCACCCGCGCCAGCCTCGCAGGCCTCACCCAGGAGCTGCGCACCTTGCGCACCGCGCAGGACGCGCTGCATGCGGACCTCGAGCAGGAACGCATTGAGAAAGGCGAGCTGGTTGCCGCCGTCGACGAGTTGTTGGCGCTGCAGACCGAGGTCGGGCCCGTCGAGGCCGTGGAGGATTTTCGGAAGAGTATTGCGCGGCCGAGTGGGTTGAGGGGACCTGGATTTGGGGCCAAGGGGCAGGGAGGGGAAAAATCGAGGATTGGGAGGATTGGGGTGCCCGCAGCGCCGGTGGCGACGGCGGCGCCTGGGTTGGTGAGGAGTGTGAGTGGCGGGAAGAGTCGGATGATGAGTCAGTTGGAGAGGATGGGGAGTGGGAGGATGGGGGAGCGGTAATGGCCTTCTGAATGCAAGTATCCTATGTCTTGGAAAGCCGGGCGTTGAGGGATTTGGCGGGTTTCGGAGTCTGAGAATGGGAGTCTAGTTAGTATCATTGTGGATTTGGACGGTATAGATCCATCGATCACTCGGGGACGACAAGATCGGCGACCGGGTTTTCGCCCATGGGAAATAAACGCCTTGTCTATATCTGATTTAGTGATGAGACACCTGGTCTATACCGTTGATTTCGTATGCTCCGTAACACATAATGAAGCCTCCTTCGCGGCAATGAGAATGCCCGACTCCGATCATATAACACATCTAAAAACGAACCCACCCAGCAATGCAGCCTAATTGGAAAGTCGGCCTGACATGTCCCTTGGCGACTACGAAGGATCGCCTTGCATCCAAACCCTACACCATCGATGTCTTCACCTCCTCCCCATTCCCCTCTCCCACAGCACCATCTTCTCCCCTCCCCTCCCCTTCCACCCTTCCCTCCGCCTCATCTCCCACCTCCTCACCACGCGCATCCGCCTCTGCACCCTCTAACATCCCCTGATGCGACGCTAGCAAGCTCGGCTGCGGGATATGGACGTCGCCGAGGTGGTTGTGCGCAGCAAGCGTCGCGCGCGACTGCTCTAGATGCGCTTGCGGGCCGCTGGACAACGCGGCGAGGTCGTGGGCCGAAGAGGACGTGGCGCTCTCGACGCTGATGCTTCGCGATGGATCGCCTCCGACGGGCGCCTTTCCCTTGCCGGGAAGCGTGGCGCTGGGGATGGTGGTTCCCGAGGCGGAGGGGGCGGAGGGGGCCGAGGCGAGGTCGGAGGCGGTGCTGGCGTTGTGGACGGGGGTGGCATATAGGTTCACAGAGGAGGAGGAACCGCCGGAGGATTTGCGGGATTTCTTCTCCTCCTTCTTGCGTCGCTTCTCTTCTTTCTTGGCGTCTTTCTCGCGCTCTTTCTCTTCTTTCTTCTTGCGCTCTTCTTCGGCTTGAAGTGAGAGGCGGATGGCTTCCATCATCATGAGCTCTTCAATGTCTTCGATGCGAGCGCGGCGGGAGGTGTTTCGCGGCGGGGGGAGATCAGACGCGCCGCCTGGGGTGTTTGATTGGGCCATTGGTACGTTAGGTACGGTCAGAATAGAAGCGGTGTGACAGCGTGAAGACTTACCATCACCATGTCTCGGTGTCCCAGAGCCGCTTCCCCCAGTTCCACTCCCAGGACTTTGATCGCCAAGTCCCTGTCCATTGCCACCGAACAAGGGCCTTCTACTACGCCGGCCAAATGTGCCCCGACCATCACTGCCACCAACATTTCCCAGAACGTAAGCAGCATTGTGAAGAGCAGTAGCCGCAGCAGCGCGTCGTAACGCTTGCGCACGGGCATCGGACAGCTTTTTCGCCCAGTCGGGTCGCACGCGGTCCGTCGTGATGACCTGAGGCGCCGACGCAGAAAGCGAAGTGGTTCGTCGCCGGTTCTGTGAACTGGATCCTCCCGGTGACGTCAGACCTTGCGAGTTCAAGGAACTGGACGAAGACATGGCAGAGGCGGCGGAGGCGAGCGGGTTCCCAGGGGCACCAGGATTGGCATACGCTAGGCCTCGTCGGAAAGGTGGCGGGTCGAAGGTTACACCGAATTCCGGCATTTTGCAGAACGGGCAGGTTGACGGTTCGGAAACGAGCTGATAGTCTTCGTTTGCGGCGGCGGCGGCGCTGCTTTCCGCTTGCTGGGTCGTATTGCTCGGGTCGTCATCGTGGTGTTCGGGAGGGTGAGGGTCAGGCCGTTTGATCTGGACAAAACACTCGGAGCAGATCGGTTGGTCGCAACATCGGGTCTTGTTCAGCCATGGAGGATAGTATAGGAAGCAGATGGGGCATTCGGCAGCATCCTTGTAGAGGAAGGCCTCGACCCGTTGCCCGTTCACGTAAGGTTCTTTCGGTAATTGGATCTCCTGTTGCACCATCTCGGACTGCGAGCTATTTCGGGAGGTGGTTAGAACCGCGAGAGTCTTGGCTCTGCCCCTAAAGAATGGTGAGTTTGTTGACGCTGGTGGCGATCCGAAGGGTGAGGGAGGGGAGGGCAAGGAGAAGGCGGGATGTGAGGGAGCAAGGTTTGTCTCTGAGCTGTGGGATGGGGATCGTCCGGTGATGGGAATGGTGAGGCTATTGATGTTGGTGTCGGATTGTCGTGGGCTAGTGTCATGTACTGACGTCCGTCGCGAACCATCTTCCTCAGGAATCTCATCGGCAGCAGGTATGGGTAGTCCCTTTGCTGCAGCGACCAGTTGATGTTCGGTCCATGAGTCTTCATGATTGTTGAGCCCTCGCCAGAAAGGTGCAATCCGTCGTTCGATCTACAACATCCTGTCAGTTTGTGTCTCGTCACCACGCATAGCCCATACTCACCATCAACTGCCGCACAATCGGTTTACTGAAATCCTCGGGACCTGTATACACGCCCACCGTTACCAAATACCCACCGTCAACCCCTTCTTCCCTCATGCTCCGTTCACGCTCCTTCAACCTCGCGGCCCGCTCCTTCTCCAACTTCCGTGCCTCTCTCTCCGCCTTCGTCTCCCGTCGAGCCTCCGGCGCCGACGGGTCCACATCGGCATTGCCGCGTAGTCCTAGGAACAAATCATGCCGACTCCGTCGCCCGCCGCTCGATGTATGTGTGTAGACCCCGCCCGAGGAGGATACTTGGGATGAGCTCGCCGGTGCGCCGGATGCGGTCGGAGAGTGAGAATGACCGGAAGGATTGTGTCTACTTGATCCCGGCGGCCGTGCTTCTTTCGTGTTGCTATTACCCATTGTGATGTGGATGGGTTAGCTTCGATCAGCGACCGTGGGAACAGGGTGGATGGCGCGAGGACCAGAGTGCGGAGGAGAAGGATGTAATCTATCTCGTGAGGTCCAGGATGAGCCCCAGGCGGAGCGTGATCGGCAGATAGGAAAACCAGGTGGATGATAAGATGGTAGATATCAGAAGAATATGTTGAAATGGGGTGTCGTGTGAGAGGGTGTCACAGGGATAGGCTCATGTAGGAGCAACGGAGACGGCGGTTGGGCAGGTTTTGCGACAGGTATGACGAGGAGTGATACCGCTGATACCGCTGATACCGCTGATACGGTGACGGTGACGGTGACTAGGATGGAAGAGTGGAATCTTTAGTAGCGAGTGTCGGTGGACGGGATTGAGGAGTAGTAAATCGCATGCGAGGAATCCGGGGTCGGAAATGGGTTTGATGATGATGTATTTGCGGTATTAGATGAAGGTGGTAAGGGAGGTATGGATGAGGGGACAGGGTGACAGAGGGAGCACGGAATCCAGTGTACGGTATGCTGTTCATTCAACGAAGTAATTGGTAGGGATCATACTTTGATACGTACCGTAGCTGGTACTTCATGTGTTTGCTCACGTTGGAGCGCTGGTCGAAGAGTGGGAATGAGACATGAGTGGAAGACGTAGAAGACCAACTTCGCCCGATCCGTCCATCGCCCCGCGTTCCATTGATTCTGTTCCCAACTTCCACCCTTCCATCTACCTCAGCCCTTTCAGCTCGACATTCTGGCCCCAACTCCTCAAGAAATCACCTTGCATGATGCAGGATGGATAGAGGTACACGTATCAACTATCCAGATTTCAGGAGTCGCATATTTTCGGCTATCTTGCCTGTAACCACATCCCATCCCATCTTCACGGCACACGATGGTCGGATACAAAATCACTGGTTCCATCTATATACTCGGAAATCAAGTCACCCTCATACCAGTATGTAACCGTAATTATTTACCTGTATTGTATGTCTATGTCCAAGTCATTGTCGCATCAAACCTTCGTCGTCATTTCATTTCAAACACCTACAGATCGGTATATCCCTGGTCTGACAAGGGCGCATCCACGCTCCATGATTACACACACAACGATTACCGATGCTCACTCACTTGAAGAGCTCGTCTCGTCAGCTGACAGTAGCATATAACCGCGCTTTTCTATTCCTCCCACTTCTTCTTCCATTCCTGCAGCGCGCTGGAATCGCCATCCTCGGCGACCGTCGCGAATGCCGAACTCCCTCTTGAGCAGGCCATGCCCTTCAACCGTGTCGACTCGGTGACCGACACATCCGGTTGCAGCGGAGGAGCTTCATCGTTGACCAATATCCGAGCTTCACATCCTTCTTGGATTCTGGATTTGGTTCTCATGCTTTGGTGGTGAGGCCCCACCCAACGTGGGCTACTCGGGCCGTAGCCATAAAGGAAGCGCCAACAATGGTAAGGACACCGCCGAATACCCAGATGTAAGTATACGAGGACGCGGTCAGGATCGCACCGGCAATGGGCATGCCGACGAGCGTTCCGAAGGAGGTAACAGTGAAGCACATGCCCATTCTCGTACCTATCATTCCACGATTCCGTGTAATTTGGACCAGAGCCGCGGGGGACAACGACACAAACGTCCCCGAGAAGAACCCGAAGAGCACGCAGATGACAATGAGGCTGGCCAGATCTCGGCAACCGATCAGGCCGAGCTCCACTACGCCCGTGAGAACCGCACACGGCATGAGAATGTTCAGCGGCCCGGCTTTGTCCGCGACGAAGTTCGGAAGAATCCGGCCGAAGGTCGACGCGGCGTTGATAATGGCCAGGAAATAGAAGGCCAGTTCCTTGTCCGCAATGCCGTGGTAGAGAGAGAAGGACTGCATGTAATAGAATGGGCAGTAGAGACCCATGAAACCGAAAAAGCCTCCGATCACATAATAGACGAAGGGCCGCTCCCTCCACGCAGTCATGTCGTACAGCTTTCTCTTTTCGTCTGGAAGCACGCGAACTCTCATAAAGGTATTCGGCACGATTAATGTCGCCATGGCGATGAATGCGAATATTCGTACTGACCATCCGAATCCCAACTTGGGAATGAGCTTGTTCAAGAGGATCGGATAAATGATGCCACCTGATGATTGTTAGTTCTTGCCGAACCACATTGACTCTGTCGACCGGCATAAAGAGAGGGAAGATGAACGTACCGAAACTACTCCCTGACGCAGCAAGCCCCATGGCAAATGCCAGCTTGGTGGTGAAGTATGTGGACAATATCGCCACGGACGGAACGAACAGACACCCCATCCCCAGCCCCACGCAAATCGCCTGAGCGAGCAACGCCTGCCAATACGTCGTGGCCAAGCTCAGCATCATCATCCCGAACACGATCAACACGCTCCCAATCCGGAGCAGCCACCTAAAGTAGCCGGCATCGTACAGCGGCCCCGTCAGCGCCCCCACCATCAGCAGCAGGAACGCCTGTATCGACCCGATCCACGCGATGGTCGACGGCGTCATACTCTTTAGGAAATCGGTGGTGTAGAACGCCTGGAAGACGCCGAACGAATTGATGATGCCCCAGGTATTAAAAAACAGGAAGAAGCTCCCCGCAACCTGGCACCACGCGCGAAGTCCCCCGTTCGGGATCGTATCGAGGTTGTTGACGGAGTCAATCCGCACCGCCGGCTCACCCGTCACGTCTTCCGGTCCGGTGGACTCCTCATATTCGGCATGCACCACCTGTTCATAGTCCTCCTGCTTCCCTTGCTCTTTCGACCGGCCCAATTGCTTTTCTTCGTCGATGGCCCGCCCCACGGGGAGGCCGTTCCCATTGAGCGTCACATCCGCCGAGCTCGATTTTGCAGCGTACTGCGACTTTTCACTCATCGCCACCGCCAGTTCGAAATTCTCGAATGCCCTGAAGGGGAAATGGATTGGAATTTGGAAGACTTCGGACGGAAGACGGAGATAGCGCGCTTGGCAAGAATGTGGGGAAATGTTGACCGTTCAGTCACTTGTCTGGAACAAATCTCGTCTCGCTCACCCAACTGTGCTTGGCAAAACTAAGCGTGTGCTGCCACAGGTAGACGGTAAAGACAGTAGAGAATCGAATTTCGTTTATGCAACCATAAGTAAGGAGTGGACCGACGCCAGATGATATCCCATCCTGCCTCATTAACCCCGCGTATGTTTGCCGAAATCGTTGCAGCAGGAGGGTTGCGACCCCATACTGGCACGGTAGTACGGTACGTGCAGTGTTGGGCACTGGGCAGGGTATCGAGGCGACATCCCCGGATTTTCCTGCAAAAATGTGCCGTTTTGCCGAAACAGGCCGTGCCGCATACAACTACAGCCTACAATGGGCAGGACATGAAGGATGTTCAGGCCACATGAGATCTGATGGTTGTTGCAGCATGGCAGTGGGGCTGCATGACAATCCAAAAATTCCATGTGCTATAGCGAATCAGATGTGACGATTTGATTTCAAATGGTCATATTAATCGTTTAGGTTGCCGTATTCAGCCAACTCCGACGCCCGAACACTATCAATTTGCCATGTTAAAATCAATGCAATTGCTATTGTTGATAGCGAAGACGATATGCTTCAAAGCATATCATATCATTGATCTATCTTATTCATCGGTGTTGAACTCATGACAAGTTACGGTCGTACGGTAAGCATAGCTATAAGTATCACTCCTTCTCCTTCGTCTTCTCAAGTATTGTCTTGATCATTTCATTTCCCAACTTCGTCGCTTCGGGGAATCGTGGGGAGAAGTACGCCTGTATCGTCTCGAACTTCTCCCGATACACATCCATGTTTCCGAGGAGCACTCGTTGGCTCCAGTCCTGAAAAGCGGTGAGCGACTTGACACAGATTCGGTGCTGAGAAACTTACGCGGGCAGCAAATGTGAACTCAAGGTCGTCCATACGGAACGTGTTGTCCTCAATGGAGGTGTCAATGCACTCCTGAAGCAGCTCTGGATTTCGGAACACATATTCGGTGATCCCCAACCAGAGGCGAAAGAGCTGCGCGCTAATTAGTTATTGAACGAATTTAACGATCTCATCTCCAACTCACCGGCGTCGAGCAAATCATATGATCATACGGCACGATCCCCAACTTCCACCAACAATCCACCATCGCCAACAGCGACAGATGGTTATTCGGCACCTTCTCCGGCGGCAGCTCCCCCAACGAGAACCGATCCAGCACCTCGTCCTTCAGCAACAAGTCCGGGTCGTTCCCTCTCTCCTTGAACACTGCCGCCCCCGCCGCCTTGATCCGGTCGGTCAGTTCCGCTCGTCTTCCGCTGAGCATTAGCTTGAACAGCTCCGTCACCGACGTCGCGTATTGCTGGATCTGGATCTTCGCGGACGGGTTGAGCATTGCGAGCCCGGCGTATACGTGCCATTTGTTGGAGTAGATCCGCAGGGCGACGTTGATCTTGACGTTTTCGATCCCGCCGATGTAGCGGGCGATCTCCCAGGGGAATTGTTGGTTGGCTTGCCAGGCGGCGCCCATGCTGTGACCCCATACGTCAGTGCTTCATATAGAATTGAACTATCAAGTCGAGGACGTACCTGAGGAATGCAGCGTGGGTCACGGCTTGCGTATCCGCTGTGATGCGGTCGTGTTGTTCGGCGGTCAGATGGACCGTCTTCGACTCGAAGCAGGATAGGATGTTCTCGACCAGCTGGGCGCTCTTTTCTGACGCCCGGTGTTTGATTATGACCTAGGAAATGCTAATCAATTGCTGCCATCATGGAATACCACGGACACTTACCAGAGGCTGGCCCTTTGGGTCAACAGCGGGCCCATGGAGCGAGTGGCAGGAGACAATATCGACATCTTTGGGCAGATACGTCTCGAACGCTTCGATTTCGGGAGCTTTGCATGACGTTTGCCCGCCAACAATCGCTCCGACTTTGGTAGCTTCATCAACGTCAGCCTGTATCACACGTCGTGATAGATGGCGCTCCTTACAAGGACCAAATTGCGCAACAACCGCGCCGATGCTCTTGGCTTCGACGCTGTACATGATCCAATCGCTACACCGCGAGACGAGATGACCGCTCTCCATGATATGGACATTTTTCTACAGGATATGTGAATAAATTGATTTCTTCCTTGGCGGGCTACTAGATAATCATACATGTGTCTGGAATTCCTCGCGTAATTCCTCGTACTTCTCTGGGACATCACAAGCATAGACACTAAGGTAGCCTTCGAATCAGCTTCACTGATCACAACTACTTGGAGAGCCTATACATGACCGTTAGCGATCGTTTCGACCTGACTAGCGATGATACGATGTAGGGTGAAGTGAAGGGTCAGACAAAATAATTGTTAAGGTAGCTGAGAATTTTCATCAAAGACAGCGAAGTCGATCAAACCCATGGCCAAAACGGACACGGGTCGAAAGACAATGCCATACTCGAGCCAAATGCGCTCAAGTCATCATACAATGGACGAAAGATAGAAGGAGAAGTGAAACATACCTTCGCTCGGGACACACAGTCCTGAATTCTTCGTCAATAGTAACTTACGTCCATCCGGCTTCGCCTATCCTTCGAGCGTACATCTTCCCCATATCCCCCATCCCGATGATCCCCACCGCGATGTCTGACATGTTGACTGGTCATGCGGTTGGGTCTTGGTGGAAAATTTACGAGCGAGTCATCTTCACCATTACAGGCATGAAATCGAACTTCCAGGCGCCTATACTGGCAAAGTTTATGTCTGAGATGACATGAACGCAAGCAAGAAGATGATTGACCCAGAGAACCAAAGGTAGAAGTAAAGGGTGCCTCGCAACACAAACGAAAACAAGCTTGAATGGAATGTGAAGTTAAAGAAATCCGGAATTTCTGTGAACGCGAGAAAATGTAGATGTGTTGAGGCTCAAGCGCCAACAGCACGTGATTAAGACACTAGCCACATTCGGTTCGCTTCCTCGCCCACCACCAAAACCTCCCCGAACTTTTCGCGACCACAACTTCACGAAATTCTGATACACATCCATCCATCCCATCACACGAGGAGTTCATTACCAGAATCTCGAATAAAGATGGCTCCTAAGAAGAGGGTCGCTCAGCCCCAAGAGAATGTCCAGCTTGGACCTCAAGTCCGCGAGGGTATGCGATTCCATCACGCTCCCTGTGTATAGGGATCGACTGCTAACATACCACCTCCAGGCGAACTCGTTTTCGGTATTGCCCGAATCTTCGCTTCCTTCAACGACACCTTCGTCCATGTCACCGATCTCAGGTTCGTAGGACGAATACAACATGACATTCCCAGGGATCAGGAGACCAGACTAACATCGGATTTCAGTGGTCGCGAAACCATCGCTCGTGTCACCGGCGGCATGAAGGTCAAGGCCGATCGTGACGAGTCTTCTCCCTACGCTGCCATGTTGGCTGCTCAGGATGTCGCCATCCGCTGCAAGGAGCTGGGTATCACCGCTCTGCACGTCAAGATCCGGGCTACTGGAGGTATGTGGCGCATAACACTCGAGCAATCCGAATAGTTCACTCACATCAATCTAGGTAACGGCACCAAGACCCCTGGCCCAGGTGCTCAATCTGCCCTCCGAGCTCTTGCTCGCTCAGGCATGAAGATCGGCCGTATCGAGGACGTCACCCCCACTCCCTCCGATTCCACGCGCAGGAAGGGAGGTCGCCGTGGTCGTCGTCTCTAGATGGAGATCGTGGTGGATTTTGCGATGGTTGTGGTGCACTGGTGGCTTTTGTAACCGCCCAAATACGCGAGGAACGGCCGTTTTGCCTGGTCCTCTACATCCTGTCACAGTAGAATAGCATTTTAAGCAGGTGTAAAAGCTGTTCATCAAAACCTCGCATCCATTTCTTCAAGGTCTTGCTCTTCCTCTTCTTCCTCGGCGAGTGCTAGCTCGTCCTCCGATTTCTTGGCTTGGTGATCGTGACCGAGAGCATTGGCTTGCTCTGCTGTAAGCTCGACTATTTGAGGGGCATATTCGCCTTCTTCGTCCTCGTCATCCCTGCCCATTGCATCCATCTCGACCGTCTCGCCGTCTTCGAGCTCCAAAATGCCCGTCCGGAGAAACGGTGCATCGATCTCCCATTTGTGGACTTCCTTGAGGTAGTGCTCCAGCTCATCCAGCTCATCCAAGACGTCCGCCTTCGCCTTCCCATCCAGATCATCCAACCCCCTCCTGAACTTCTTTAGCAAATCTTTAAGGAATGGCGCTCCATCATCCGACAAATCGAACAGCCCACCGCCTTCAACATTCCTGCTCTTCTCGAGTTGCAACCTAAGCATCTCCATCACATCCACAAAGAACCCCGGGTGATCCTTCACCGCCGCCTTGCTCGTCATCGCCAGCTCCAAGAGTCTCTTCCACTGTTCCAAGCACGAGTAGTTATTCAGCGTCATCACCATAAGAAACGCCACCTCCATCTCCCCCACCACCTCGTCCCAACTCCCCCAACAATGCTTCTCCACCGCCTCCCCCAACGCCCAACTCCGATCCCTCGCCGCCTCCGTCCTCTCCCGCCCCGTCGCATCCTCCTTCCACGTCCTCCGCAAATCAACGACCAAAAACCCCAACTCCTTCTCCTGATGCTCTTCCGCTGATATCCCGGGAATTTTCTCCGCGTCCGTCGGCGCCGTGCTCGCCGAGTTGAGCGCCCACGTCCTTTCCCCCAACACCCGGTCCAGCAGCCTCGCGGACACATGCGTTGTCATCTGTGCCCACTCCTCCTTCCCCTGCTCCTGCGCCTCCTCGTCCGCGGTGTCCGCGCTCTGCAGATACGGCACCAGCCCCTCGCGCCAGATGGCGCCGAGGTTCGCGCGGTGGCGAAGGCGTTCAGAGTCGGAGGTTTCGTCCACAAGGCTTTCGGTGGTAGGGTCCCATTTTTTCAAGATTATGTGCGGGCCGTATTGCGAGATGGCGCGGGATCCGGATCGGGGGACTTCGACCCACACGCCCTGGCGGATCGACTGCGTGTTGGAGACGCTGGTGAAGACGAAGTGGAAACCGGGGGGGAGGTGCTTGATGCCGTGGAAGCGGGGGGTGGTGGTGAAGGAGAGGAGGTTGATACCGATTAGGGAGCCTTCGGGCACGTTGAGGATGAGGAGGATTGATCCGCCCCCTATGTCGTCCATTTCGGGTGAAACCCGCAGGGAAATGTCTTCGTGTTAGACCAGAAGTGGGGAGCGGAGGAAATTTTAAAAGAGGATGAAAAGATTATGGCTTCTCAGATTCCTAGGACGTACGGTGGCCTTGACAAATTTGGGAAGTTCGTTGATACAAGTTTGCAAGATGTATTCCTGATTCCCAGCTCTTTAAATATTCGATTTCTCTACTGCGCACGGAAGTGTGGAAAACCCCGAGGGCGAGTGCAAATGTCCTTGCGGAGCGACTGCCTGTCTGTATAAATGGTTAAAAGCACGTCCCTAATAAGAAAATGTACCCCATTAAATCTTGATCGATATCAAAGCTGATGTGTGACGGGTTAGGTTGATATCAAACTGTGGTGGTTTCGTGAGCTTCGCCACTTCGGATCGAATGACACTTTGACTGTGGTGTTTTCATCAGGAAGAATATCCTACCACATAAACAAGAGAAATGGCAGATATAATGATACCTATAGATTTATTACTAGCGTAGAGTCATAGATTACGACGTTATGAGCATATAAGATATGGTAATTACTACTTAGTTTTACCGTGCCATTATACCCAGAAGCAGTGCTCTATCAGAATTGACCAAGCGCCCATTCGCCATGCAATGAACCGGTAACTACACATACAGAGACTGGCTGCCACAACGCTCATAACGTTGACCGCACCCAAATATGTCCGGCAGGAGACTACTTCCAGAGCTTCTTGAGCGAGGTATCCTTGTCGTCGTGCTTGTTGAGAATCTTCGCGGTAGCCAAATCGAAATCTTCCTGCGTAACGTGCACCCTCCGTTCCCTCAGTGCATACATGCCTGCTTCCGTGCACACGCCCTTCAGCTCCGCCCCCGAGCAGCCGTTCATCTTGTCCGCGATCTTCTTGAGATCGATGCCACGGGTCAGGTTCATCTTCCGCGAGTGGATTCGAAGGATGTCTGCTCGCGCTTCGACGCTTGGTGGAGGGAATTCAATCTTGCGGTCTATCCGTCCCGGACGCAACAATGCTGGGTCAAGGATGTCGAGACGATTCGTCGCCATGATGATCTTGATGTTTTTGGTCGGCTCGAATCCATCCAGTTGGTTCAGTAGCTCCAACATCGTCCGTTGAACTTCCGAGTCGCCACCCGATGATCCTTCTACTCGTGAGGATCCTATTGAGTCGATTTCGTCCATGAAGATGATGCTAGGTGCATGCTCTCGTGCCATGATAAATAGCTCTCGAACCATACGGCTTCCTTCACCGATGTACTTCTGAACCAACTCTGAGCCACTCACTCGGATGAACTTGCAGTCGGTGTGATGCGCAACGGCACGAGCGAGGAGGGTTTTGCCGGTTCCGGGAGGTCCGTACAACAGCACACCCTTCGGTTGAGCGATACCCAGGGATTCGAACAGTTCGGGATGTTTCAGACCCAGCTCAATCACCTCCTTGATCTCCTTGATCTGTTGATCCAATCCTCCGATCATGTCGTATGTGCTGTCAGGGACCTTTTCGACCATCATGAGGGAAACAAGAGGATCGACCGACGAAGGCAGCATCTTCTCGAGCTTGTAGGAGTCGCTCAACAGCGTGACTCGTTTGCCCGCGGTTAACTTCGAGATGTCGACCGAATCAGCAATATCGACGACTAGGCTGAACTTAGCATTTGCAATGGCGATAGGGTTCCCCGACGCTTCATACCATATTTGCCTTCTGGATGCACTTTGACGAGCACCTTCTTCGTCCCCATGACCTTGACAACCTCTCCGACATACGAACCCGGCTGCTGAAGGAGGCCAAGTTCTTCCCGCAATAACCGCACTCTTGAGTTGTAGTCGTTCCGTTGTGCTTCTAATCGCCGCAGCTTGGATTGGCCTTGGATGATCTCGAGCTTCATGCTCTCGATCTTGTTGTGGAAGAACGTGTCAAGCGCCATGGTGACGACGCGGCGACAGGAAAGGTGGGTGGATAATGGGAAGAAAGGTTTGATAGGATTTGAGAGGGTTTGATGGTCGGAAATGGTTGGTTGAGGCTTTGAGAGATGTTGCTGCTTGGGAATGTTCACGTTCCAGTCTGAGGCAACGGAGGTTGACGATCACAAATTGTGGGTCATATTTGGCTAATTGGCGGCCTTGGAGCCTTAGGCACACGTCTGCTTCGTGCTTTCACTACAATCTCAACACGACCCAGATTCCAGTCCAAGTTCCAACATTCAACATTCAACATCGCGTCCAGTTTTTCTGTAGTACCTAATCAGAACGACCCACAGTATGAAGATAAAGGAGCCGTCTGATGGAGTTACGAATCATTTAGAGTAGTCCTTATTGTCCCAAAGGTTATAATTACCGTTATTTTGCTGCGAGCCACGCTACAGCTAAGGTGCTACTATTACACCTCCTGAAATGGCAGCTGACGCCATATTATATGCGAAAGCAGGGTCATTACTGGCTCCTACTATCACTTTCTCTACCAACCGACTCTTTTTCAAAGCGGGCATGGTTGTCTAAAAAATGACTATTTCTCAAACCATGGCATCACCTCTAGATCTTCAACGACGGTCCTATTCGATGGATTGATGAGCGTTACAACATGATGACGACATAAATGTTGGACATTCTTATATCCAAGCCAGAATCCAATAGAAAACATTCTTTCAATACGCTAACATCACTCCGACTGTGAAATTTCTGTGTCAATATGAGATCAAAAGCGAGTTCAGTTTATAAGTTCGCCTCTGTTAACTTGTTTCATCGTCATCCTGTCCCGCGAACATTTTCAACTTCAGCCCTCTCCATACCACTCCAAACTACCTACACTCGCCCCGTCAAGCCAACTACACAAACATACGCAAAGTCTACTCGTACAGCAAGTCATCAATTCAACATGGCCTCAAACGATCCACCCAAACTCAACAATGAGGACTTTACCCTTCAAAACGTCTTCAACGTCAGAGGCAAGATCGCCCTTGTCACTGGCGGTGGCTCCGGCATTGGTTTAATGGTCACTCAAGCCCTAGCTGTCAATGGTGCGAAAGTCTATATTGTCGGCCGGACCGAAGAGAAACTCGAGCGCGTTGCAGAGATATATGGAAAGAATATTTCGGGGCAGATCATCCCTTTCAACGCCGATGTATCGAAAAAGGAGGCTATTGCGGCCATGGCAAAGGAGCTGGCTTCCCGTGAGAAGCGCCTTGACATTCTAGTGAATAATGCTGGAATCGATGGAGCAACTTTCCAGACCGAAGCAACCTCTGCCGAGGAGATGAAGAAGAATCTTTTTGACCACGATTCTGCCACTGTCGATGACTGGATGTCCGTCTATCAGACCAACGTCCCGCCGCTCTATTTCACCACGTTTGCCCTTCTTCCTCTACTCCAAAACGCCTCGCAGATGGAGCACGGCTACTCCGCCACAGTCGTCAACATCACCAGTATCTCCGGAATCGTCAAGACGGCACAGCACCACTTCTCTTACAACGCATCCAAGGCCGCTGCCGTCCACCTGACCCGCATGATCGCCAATGAGGTCGCTAGGAACGGCCTAAAGATCCGGGTCAATGCCATTGCACCTGGTGTGTTTCCAAGCGAGATGACAGCGGGCAGCAGCGGGGAGAACCAGAAGAGCGCAATACCGAAGGAGAAGTATGAATCGAAAGTACCCGCCGCCCGGCCGGGGAACGACCGAGACATGGCCGGTGCGGTTCTGTTCGCTGCGTGCAATCAGTATCTGAATGGGCAGAACATCGTCGTGGATGGTGGCTATACCCTTGCTTCTGGGCTGTAAAGGGGTTTTTTTAATGCAAGCAAAAGCCGGCATAGAAACAGTGTGGATTCACGGGTGTACGATAGCATAGTGTGACGGCAAATTCAGGCGAGATTGAATATCCATCAAAACCGCAGCACTCCTATGAGTTGTGGCAGCCATAACAAGATTGGCCAACAGGAGCCCCATCTGATATTGTGGAAATCTTGCGTGTTAATGTTAACATGTCTAGGAGGTATATTTAAGAGCGCTGTTTCCACGCTGAACCCTTTGGAGATAGGTGTGTTCCTACCTGCCACATATAAGATATGCGAACTGACTGAAATGCGAAGAAACCACACAAGGTTGTTTAAGTACTTCCTAACCACAAAACCCCTGCCAGATTCGATGCCCACAACGGCTGTACTGCATACCTTTAGATGTTAGTCTAATAAATTTAACTAGTTAGTACACAGCTCATTATGGGCAGGGAGACAACTATAGTTGTCAGTAGGGTGACCACCACACATTATATGGCACTAAAACCACTGATCCCTTGTACTTAATATCCGAGTATGGGCTCAGGTGATGGCTGACGGTTGGAAGAGGAACGAGGCGAGCTTGGTCATGTGAAGAGGACTTGCTCTAATAGAAAGGGCTAATGACAGGTCGAAACACTTGAATCTTAAGGACATGATTAAAGTATCAACTATGAAATTAGTAATGTCTAAGCGCTGCGTCTCTTTAAGCATCGCTCTTCTGGTAGCGACACATGTCCAATAATATACGCTATAGTAACCGAAACACTGCCAAGATATACAAGCATTTCCCAAGGTATAGCGATACGACCCGAAACGCCAGGTATCCGGCGTGCTAGTATGCTGATATGCCTTATACCGTGTACCTGAAGAAACTCGCATTATCACCCATCTCCCGCTCGGCTTCCTTCTCCGCTTCCGTGTACTCCTCGGGCTTCTTACTATACTCCCGATCCCTCCGTGCGTTCTCTCTCCGGAGATGGATCGTCATGAAGACGGAGAGAATCATGCTCATCGTCGTGGTGGCCAGCAGGATTCCGTGTCCCTTGTAGAACTTGGGAGAGTCGACGGTCAGGTAGATGAAGCCGGCAATGGCGCCGCCGAGGTTGCCGAAGCCGACGTGCATCGCAATGCCGACGCCGCGCTTGAGGGAACCGCCGATGTTGTTGCCGTTCCATGCGACACCCTGAGGGACATTGGGGTAGATGCCTGAGGCGACGAAGAAGGTGCCTGCGTATTTGACACTGGGGTTTTGCGTTGCGATCTGCATGACGAAGCCGATCATGCTGAAGTGGAAGTTAGTGACAGAACTGGTGCATATTTTGGAAGGAAGGAAATCTCTTACGCAACGATGCAGAAGCCGATCATGTATATTCCACGTTGTCCGTGGCGATCAGCAAAGTGACCGCCAGCGATGCAGCAGAAGCAGGCGACGATGTATGGTGGAACGGTCATGAGCTGCGCCGTATTATTGGTGTAGTTCAGAGTCTTCACGATGGTAGGAAGGAAGAGACTGAATGAGTATAGCGGAGTGTAAATTCCGATGGTGATGAACATGTGCACCCAGATCTTCCAGTCCTTCAGACCATCCCAGAAGAATTTCATGTTGAATTCATCGGCGAGGGAGGATCGATCCTCTTGCAGACGACGGACAACTTCTTTCTTTTCGGCAACACTGAGGAATTTGGCGGTATCGGGATAGTCCTGCATGACGAAGTACGCGGCGATGGCAATGATAAGCGTCGCGATACCTTCGATGATGAATATCTGGAGAGAGTTGTCAGTCAACGCTTTTTTGTCCTAACCAAGAGAGAAGTACCCAGGCCCAACCGGCCCTTCCTCCAATTCCATCCATCTCCACAATGCCGCGTGCCAGGAGACCTCCGAAAGCACCCGCTGCGGTAGCTGCCGAGAAGAAGATGGCCATTCGAAGACCACACTCATTGCGCTTATACCACATAGTGATGCTGCCGATAAGTTAGTGCTTGTCATTTCAGCGTCAATCGTAGCTCGTACAGGAAAGTAACGCCAGGGAACAGTCCACCTTCTGAAATACCCAGAAGTGCTCGAGTGGCCAGGAGGCCTGCTTTGTTCGTGACGAGGCCCATCATACAGCAGAGGAAGCCCCAAAAAACCATAATGGAGGGAATCCAGATGCTCGGTTTCGTTTTCTTGAGCATCATATTTGATGGAATCTCTGTTGCGCACCATTAGTGTCGAGTCCTCGCGTCGGATGTTGATCTTGAGATACCTGCTGCAACATAAAAGGGAAAGAAGATGGCTAGAGCAACCTGTCATAGAGCATCAGCATTGGCTCCTCATCCGTAACCGGTGATGGATGCGTACATTGTAGTCCAGTCCTTTCATTCCAAGGTCCGCCTCGAGATTGGCGAGACGCGCATTACCAATATTGGTGCGATCGAGGAAACTTAGTCTACAAAGCTCAGTCAGTAGATGTGGAGGCGACTTTCCAGAGCCTTCGCACTTACAAGTAGAGGAGCGCAAGGAAGGGTATGAGCGCCCAGTCAATCTTTCTGAGCAGTTTCTTCGTCTGCTGTTTGTCAAAGCCGGCCGACTCCACATCTCCAAAAGCGACGGATTCGACTTGAAGCTCGAGAACTTTGTCCTCTTGAATAACTTTCTCGTCGTGACCATGTTCTACAGGAGTAGAAACCCCAGACTCATGCTTCGAAATTGTCATAGTGGGCAAGCAGCGACTCTCGCAGGGGAGTTCGCACAAGTCGCCTAGGGACGGGTCTTGAAATAAGATGACTGAATAGAGAGAACAACTATGATGAAGGAGCAGGCGCAAATAAGTATCTGATAGAAGGTTCAATCAGCAAGAGATCGAATCTTAGACCAGGTGCTGAAGTTAGCAGTTCTGTGCGATAGGAGTCTTCCCGGTCGATCCTCCTATGGGACAGATGTCCGTTTTATAGAAATACAAACTTGGCGATCCGGGGAAAGACCGGAATATGACCCAGATGATACTAAATTGTCTTGACCCTTCTCCCCATCCTCCTCGCTTACAAGCTGAAGACTACCACTCGGTATTTCGGATGAACCCACTTACTACCCGGCTGTGCGAGGTCCCAAATTCAACCGCTTCGAACGACATAGCATGATGCAAGGCCCCAAAGCACGAGCACTGGGTGCCCTTGCATGTCGATTGTTGATACGTGGATAAGGCCGCAATAATGGGACTCACAATATGGAGGCTACCCGGTAGCACTACTTGGCGTGTTCCCCGGACTGTCTTCGCGTGTATCTCGTTCGGGGTTCATGCCGTATTTGGCACATCTGACGCTGGCCGATCCATCGTGATGTGAGAAAAACACAGACGGACCGAGACCGAGTAGCCGCACAAGTGTGGTTTCAACAAATCTCCTTTCAAGCGACTGAAGCAAGACATGGTGAGTGGACTCGGATGAGTGGTACAGAGTAAACAGGAGCGAACGCCACGCCGGCCCAAGGGAATGATTATCGAACCCGCGTGTGACTATGGCGGACCGCGGGTTGAGGATCTGCATCATTGATATGGCATGATGGCAAACAAAACATAGACGTCTGAGGTTGGGATGGCGCGGGAGGAAAAAGGAGGCAGGGGTCACACAGGGCAATGAAAGGTAATCTTCCACGCTAACCGCTTCAGGTGAATGTATCTGGCTCATCTCTCTAGGCTGTCCCTTACCAAACCTGCGGAACAGATTCCAACAGGGTGATCAAAGGATGATCAAAGATAGTAGGCTTGGAACATCTCACACGTCCATGTTCCATAGTCCACACCTCGGTTCGGAATCACATACCAATTGACAGCTATCCAATGGTCAGGAAGCTGGGAATTGTACATCTGCAAGAGTCCAGACGACGCTGCACCGAGACGGGATCTCATGTTGACGGACTTTCTCCTCCGCACACGAAAGGGCAAGGACATCATCGATTCCATGGGACCCTTCTCACTTCCCAGTAGGCCAGTACGTATCCCATGTCAGACTGCGAAGCTATCTACTGTATTATTCCATACGTATCATCAATCATGAGCGATGAGCCCATGAAGGCCATGATATGCGCCTTGGCAATCCACCTTTCTACAAGCCTAATTCGACGCCAACTCCCCAAGAGCCGAACTATGTTCGGGCCGTTACATCCAACACCAAGATTCTACGCTCGGACATCTGATAACTATTGCTTATTGTAGACATTACTTTTTTGCTCGCTTGGATTCGGTGCTACGGATGGCGTTGGTCCAGGGCATTCGGAAGACAATATTTGTTGAAGGCTTGAACCCGTGAAGGGTGGATACCGCCTCCGTCCACCGCCTACTGAGTGGTGAGTAGTGGCCCTATGACGGGTTGGCACTTTGGCAGTCTATGATCCGACTCTGACCTGCAGTTATGCAGTTCCACGCATCCTTCTACGCTTCTTGAGGGTCTTGGCCTTATTTGGGTCTCCCCCAGCCCCCAATGCCCCCCTGCTTTGGACATGCAGGATTCGCCGTCGTCCTTGCTGCGCATGTGATATCTAGTTTCACATTGTGCAAGTCGACTACTAGTCGAAAGATGAGGCAATCCCGATGTTTTGTCGTAGTTTTAGCATCCGAGCCTGTCACGGCGTCATTCTCAGACCCTTGATATATCGCCTGTCCCGTTTTTTGCGCCGTCCGGTCATGGTACTAGGTGGAATCTAAATTCGGCGGTGGACACGGGGAATCTATGAAGGACTCAGATCTAATTTACAGCGGCACTTAGCTTCCACTTTCCAATTCCAAGGTTTCTACCCCGTAACTAGCTAGCGGCAGGTCAGATAGAAATTGAGCGGACCAGCGGAGCTGCGGAGCAATGCCCACGATCGACTGCCTGAGACCCCACGATCGACTGATGAGAATTGAAATGGCCATGGAACAAATCTCACTAGGACCGCCGAGCTGCAATTCCTGGGGTAGCCTGCCCCGCTACAAGCCGGCGGACTTGGCAGTTCTAGGCGGTCATCTAGAAGTCTAGAACCAACCCTCCCCTTGATGACCTCCATTTCCCATCTTCCTCGCATGTCGGCATATTGCCTGCTTCTCAGGCAAGGATCAGGTGTTATAATGTAACGATGCAAGGCAGCCCAAATCCTGAGTATTATTTCCCCCTGGACCCGTCATGGCTTGCATTGAAACGCCACGAAAAAGCTTGCTGATCGTCTTAATATCTCGTGAGGCTTTGAAGGCGCCGAATAGCTGAGCATCCTCTCGTTACCAGGCTTGGTATCCGTTCGACCGAAGCAATGAGATCTCTTAGCCGACGACAGCGGCTTGCCGAGCATTCTAGCAATCTATGAGAATTGAGAATACTTGCGCACAATGATCGACAGCACTCGTAGCATCAAACTCGACGCAGTGCCTCGTGGCATCAACTCGTGGGCAGCATCGCGTATTCGCGTCTGCAGCAATTGAGATTCTCGGACGTCACAATCGTCCCTTCGCATTTCGCGAGATTGCTAGCCGCCTTGCCCAGAAATTCCGTCTCAACAACCCATTCCTCTGGATTAGCAGGTTATGCAAACATAGCACCCGGAACCAGAGCTGAAAGTTGGTATCACTTTCAGTTATCGTCCCGAACACGAACAGGGATGCTCCCAGGCGCTAATCTCCAGGCCGCAGGTAATATCAGCTTCATCCTCTCGAGTCTAGAATGAAACAGACACCTTAAGTATCTACCGGTGCTTATCTTGGATAGTGCTTTCATATCGCAGATCTTTCCGCGTGGGATTAGGAGGATGCACTTTATTTCGAGTCAGCAGTGATAATCGTCGAGTAGTATCACTTCTTGCAGGCCCATAGTAGATTCGAGGACAATATTACCATATTGTACACAGCCATTTTAGTGTTTACAGCTGAGCATTGCGCCTCTCTGGCATACGAGTTTCGCTCAGATCCTACCTAATTAGTTATGGTAAGTATAGGTAGTTACCATACAAAGCACGCCAGTAGAAGAGGAATATGGTGGACATTCAACCTATGGATTGGGACTGACTACAGTAACTATATTATTGCTATCTACTGCGCTCTCTTGCCCCTGGATTCAAACGGTAACAGCAAGCTGAGAATAATGAGCAAGCCAAACAAAGCTGCGCAGACAAACAGCGGCGCCGTAGTCTCGACATTAGCATAGCTTCCGACAAGAACCCCCAGAATACCACCAATGCGATTAACCACAACACAAAGGCCATATCCGGTAGCACGATGAGCGGATGGAAGAATCTCCGGAGTATAGGCATAGATTGTGCCGTAATAGATGTTGCTGCATATTAGTTAGTACTAGTTCGGTTTGAAGAAATGAGAACTTACGACGCAGCGCTGATCGCAGAAGACAATCCCACATTCCCGGCTTCGTTCGTGATCTGGGTGTAGCCGAACTGTAGCGCCATGGTCGTAGCTGCGCCAATGGCTAATGTGCCCCGACGACCGATGTACTGCGTTTCAACCAACACTGCGGCAATGATTGGACCCAGGATACCCACCACATGATTAATAGCATAGTCTGACGAAGAGTTAGGGCGAACAGAATCAGACTGTATCGGAAGAACTCACCTCTCCAAGTCTGATAATTCGAACCGTCACCAAACTCGGCACCGCGAGATTGAAGATAGAATGGCAAGAACACTGAGTAGAGCGGGCTGACCATTCCAATGACAAACCAATTGGACAGGATCAGTGTCGTCGACCACGCCAGCTTTTTTGTCTGGAACAAACCCGTGACATGCTTCTTCAGTCGAAATGAAGACCAGACCGACTTCTCGGTATGCGCAACTGTGCCTTGGCCTGAAAGCTCCTCCAGCGTCAGAGAATGTGATCGACCGTGCTTCCTTGCCAAATCGTCGAGGATCTGGATCAGCTCTTCATCTCGGTTCTGGCTGACCAACCAACGTGGGGTTTGCACCATCTTAATGGCGAAGACTCGGATAAATGCCAGAACGATGACCAGTGCACCACTGGTGAAATGGAGGTATCGCCACCCCATATTGTCCGCGCGGTGGCAGCTTTCAGACGTTGCCTTCGGGGAGCAGGAGAAGTTGCTCATGAAGCCCCAGGCGAAGAAACCTGTGATCATGTAGCCAACTGCCCACCAGACAGCCATGAAGGTGACCAGCCAGTGATGTGAGGTCGGCAGGAATTCCAGGAAATTGGTGGCATCAAGGATATAGTTCCCACCGGCACCTGCTGAGTAGAGGGCCACACTGGACACGGCTTGAGTATGAGCTCTCCTATCTTTGGATGGAGCACTTACAGCGTCGCGAATGAGATGTAGTTGGGCATGGCTCCGGCAATCAGGACGAAGATGGCGCAAGAGTAAAGACTGGTATTGAACGCGAGCTTTCTTCCGATGATATCTGCGGTAAACCCCCAAAGACCAGCACCGACAAGAAGACCAACCTGTGATGCAAGTGGAATGCCCGAAATATGTTTGTCGGGCTGCCCATATTCGCGCTTAACGGCTGGGTTCGCAATTGATTGATTCACGACCAGGAGCTGTTACAGTGGAATGGGGTTAGTTAACTTGCTTCCATGAGGAGGGCAGTAGTTGATGACTTACCGAGTCGACAGCATATCCAAATCCATTGAGGAAGAACAACTTCCACTGAAATCTGGTCATCCCGATGTCATCGATGGCTTTGTTGGCAAGTGCCATCTTCCGACCAAGTACAGGGTCAAATGCTTTGACATCGAAAACTTCCTGGACAGAGTCCGAGGAGCTATCGTCAAGTGCCCGATCCTGCGCTTGAGCTGCTTTCTTGCTTTCTAGCTGTGTCTCCAATCTTTTACTGTCAGTCTCCCGATCGTCGTGATGTTTATTGTCGGTTTTAAGGTCGTACCCCGACCAGCTGGCATCCGAAATATGAGCCATGGCAGTCGTAGATTAGGATGGAGAAGCCATATGAAAACAATGATTTAATGCTCCATTACAATAGTCTGTATGACTTCCCGATAATAACAATCATATTGCCAATTTTGGTGCAGTCACGTCATAGACCTAGAATGTTGCAACAACGGCTAGCATGGTGGCTAGGAAGACGCAAAACAGCCCCAAAAGCACGTTTAACGCCTTATCTCTGCCATGCTGGTTAGAAATGCCAACCTCAAAGTGGATGGGGTTAACTCGCAGCAATTAGTGATCCGAAGATCGTTCGTATTCAAGGCATTCTCGCTTATGGCTGACAATTGCATTGATATTGAGGATTTAGATTCTGAGCTGTTTATGCTGTGGATTTCAAGTTCTTACTCCGTCGACCAATAACTCGACGAAATCCTTCTTGTAAAAGCTGATCAGACCCTGAATTGCAGAACTCTCATGAGTTGGGTATTGATAATACCAGATCAGGTTCTCGTGCTTCTGGCCTTTGACTGTGAGAGAGAAATACCTGGGGTATGTCAGACTGAGCCGTATACGGCGAAGAACTCCGCCCCGTACTTACCACGATTCTCCTTTGTAAGGACATGCGGTTTTCAGGTCACTCTTTTCAATAGCTCCCCAATTCTTGATGCTTGTGGCTGGGAGGTAGTATGTCTCTCCTGCGTTGGTTTCAGTGAGTAAGACAGCCACATTGGTCTCCGCAACCACTTCGCCATCGACTTTGACAACAATGTGATGAGCAACAGCGTCAGTGTCAATCCTTTTGTACGGGTTCTTGATGCCTGCAAATATAGAGCCATTCTCAAACCAATCGTCTATGCAAAACCAATGTTAGTGGATAGATTGAGCGTCGAAAGTGCAAACTGACCAATTTCACTGCGTTCAAACCTGATGTGTCCTTTCAGAGGCCCCTCAAGAAATCGTACCCAGGGCGTCGTCTTTGATCCCACAGTAAGACGTTCAATAACTGCTTGTGATCCATTGCAATTCACTGTGTCCACAGTTGCAAGCGAAACGGATGTTCCAGGCGATGAGCTTGCGAGGTGAGACTGGATATCGGCATGCAAAGACTCGATTGGAATATAATAGCGAGGGTAGCCTTTCTCAGTCTCCCAGATTAATAACGGCTTTGCCGCCAAGGTTGTTGATGCGATATAAAGTCCTCCAAATGCTAATGTTAACTGCTTTCCACCCGTTAGGATCCGGAAGGGTGTCTGGTTGAGAAGCTCGGTGACCGCTACTACATCTGGCGGAGACATTGTGAAGGATTCGAATTTGGACGGTTCTTGTTTGATACGCTTCGTTTGATTCTTGATGTTCACTCCTAAGGGGACATTGTTATTGTTTCTCGTGAGTGAGTAATTCAAATATGGCCAGAGTTCGGACGGCCGACCACTGCCAGGGTGTTTACGAGGTGGGGTAACTCCTCTGATCCCTCATCCAATCCATAATCCTATTAGCTATCCGATATGCAACCACATGGCACTCTTGACTGTTCAATTAGTCATGGGAGCTTAGGCGTGATATGTCGCAAGATGCTCAGCTAAAGAGTAGAGATGGATTCCTTATCTAGAGTAGTAATCAGACATGTGTCGGCCCGAGATGTGGGCATCCGGAATAGGAATAGTTCAATACTCCAACAGGGGTTTACGTAGTAGATTCTTGCCTCTCACCTCACTCGTTACTCACGATTCATTGCTTTCAATTCTAAGCAACAATTTTAGCTTCTTCAGATGGGATAAGTGCCTTGTTTTACTTGTTTTACGACGTGATGTCGTGATCATCGTACATATCAAGTGATGACATGATATGACTCTGTAATGGCGAATCAAACCAAGGCGTTAGGAGGCCTTAAGGGAAATATTTCCTGGATGACTGATAGCTCCTCTACGATTTGGCCGCCCTTGATGAATTGACAACGCAGAAATGACAAATACGAGGTTACTATCTATGATCTATAGCACTCCCGAGGAGTCTCGGCATCTATTTTCTTTGTCAAAGGTGTTCCATTTCCCGTCAAAAATCCAAAACTGTTCAGTATACACTATACACCCACTGTTTGAGCACATTCCACTGCTACCATGGTTCAGAACACCATCACTCCAGCTCTATTGGCGTATTCGCCACCTGACCCTCCTCTCAAAGAGTTCACTCCTGCCAAGGATAGGGCCTTTTTCGCTGACACGGAGAAGAGGTCGCTTCTCTCTGCAGCATCAGCAGCCGAGGACCTTACTCCATACATCGGAACAGAGCTGAAAGGAATCCAATTGAGCCAGTTGACCGACCAGCAGAAGGATGAGCTAGCTCTACTCGTTGCTGAGGTATTCTTTGTATCCCTTTTGGTATCCGGATATCATGCTAATAGTGAACAGCGGGGTGTGGTCTTACTCCGGGATCAAGATATTACTCTGGAGCAGCAACATGCGCTGGCGGCCCATTATGGCATTGTAGGATACGTGCCTTTCCATGCCGAGTGCCATGGCTGATATCTTATAGCAAGATAGAGACCCAAATCAGCAAGATCCAAACCATGTGACCATTATTGGACGCGGAGGGTACGTCCAATTTCAAGGCCAGCGAAATGCCTCGACTGACTCTATCTAGAAATATCCGCGCCCATGGCCACTCCGGGGGCGAGTATCATGCGGACCATTCTTTTGAGGTCAATCCGCCATCCTACACGTTATTGCGCTTGGTTAAGACTCCGCCATATGGAGGCGACACCATTTTTACTAGCCAAACTGCTCTGTTTGACAAACTCAGCCCAACATTTCAAAAGGCGTTCGAGGGCCTACATGGTATTCATTCTTCGGATGTAAGCATTTGACTTGAGTCGACCCTAGCAGTGGCATTACAGCGTTGACTGTGTGCAGCGGGCATATGTTGCATCTATCAATGGTGGTGGCTCACCTCACAGAGCTCCAATTGCAACTGCACATCCCCTGGTACGAACTTCAACTTTCGTTTAGGACCAGATTAATGATGATGATAGGTCCGAACGCACCCAGTAACTCTACTCAAAGTGTTAAACTATAACCCTACCTTTATCGAGCGGATTGAGGAGCTAAACGGCCAAGAGTCACACCACATTCTCGCCTTCCTCCGCGAACACCTCCTTCAAGCTAATGATCTCACGGTGCGATGGAAGTGGACTCCAGGATCCGTCGCGTTCTGGGACAACCGCTCGGTGGTCCATCGCGCCATTCCTGGTGGCTACGACGTCACGCTACGGGAAGGGAAGCGAACTGCGGTCTATGGAGAGCGTCCGTTCTGGGACCCAGAAAGGAGTGAGAGTTTGAGCCAGAGACTGGAACGACTGGGGGCGAATGGCCATGCTATCGGTACTGCGAACGGGCATGAGAATGGCAAGTCGGAAGGTCTTGGGGCTAACGGCGCGTTCTAACGGCGAGGTATAGCATAAAAATGCATCCTCGGGTCTTGTAGTTACGAAAAGCTTGGACGGGATGTAGGACTCGTAAACTGCCAACCATCCGCGCAGTCAAATGCAGGTGATTAAGAAGAAGAAACGAGTATACATAGGATGTCCTAGGCTTTATGTTAAATGTTGCGGATGTGCCCTTTGCAGCTATACTTCGGACCCTGCTTCCCCCTTTTAGTGTCTCCGTCCCCTTCCTCAGCCCCGTTCTAGTGTCTCCATACCCCCCCTTCATTGTTTCTTCCCACCCCCACTTCACTTCTGCCATTTGAATTTGTATCTACTTACGATAGTACCACTTAGAATTTTCATTCTTCGTTGTACTTCCAACAGAGAGAAATGTTTGTAGCAGAAGACCAACAATGAGCGCCACAAAGATTCCTGCGCATGTACTATCTCCCAAACGTTTCTAGACACTCGAAGATTGCGTAACTCGGGTGGTCAATACAAACAAAGCTAGGCAAGCTTATGCACTAATCATGGACGGAGCCTCAAACTCTAGCACCTCTCACTACACTGTTGGGTGGCAGAGTGTTCACGAAGAGACTTTGTGATGATGCATTCCGCGCCTGGGATACATTTCACGGCCAGTTCTCTTTGGAGATATTGAGCTTTAATTCAATGGTACATGAAAAGGGGACTCTCGTTATCTCGGCAGCAGCTTATTTTGTTAGGTCATCCAAGCTTATCAAAACGCGACGTTCAAGAGCCCGGAGTTCGTCCTCCGCTTTCTCGAACTGGTCATGATCGCATGCCATGATTTGATATCTTCCTAATCAAGGTGGCCAAGGGCGGCCTTCGACCACTTGAACTTACTCTAATGCCTCTCGCTTCAGATCTCCCTGCTGATATAGTTCTCTCGGAAGTTCTGCCCCCGACAGCCTTCTCGTACGGCGAGTATAAATATGACGAAACGTATCCAGAAGGCGTCGCCGAACGTGTCGGTTACTGGATAGAGTTCTAGATCTTCGACGGCATTGTCCTATTCGACAGATGCTAGTCAGGATTCGAGGTTAGTCTTATGTACAGGTCTATAAGTTCTTGGGAGCCCTCACTTATTGGAGGAGTCCAGTGCAAGTCTGCTTTTATTCACCCTGGCGGGGACTGGATGATAGCCGAGCTCTGCGACAGCCAGTTGCAGGGATTTTTGATATTTGGGCTTGGAGAATTTGGTGGAACGGAGCCTCCCTTCCTGTGGAAAGGGAAAGGGGGGAGCGGCTAGTCGATCCATACTACCCAATTTTTGGGTTTTATCACTGTTGCGTCAAGATCGCGCCAGACGTTCTATTTTCCTTGAACATTACTCTCTTCGCTGGAACAGTGCCTTGGCGGCGAGGTCCTCCACTCTCCATACCCTTACAGCGATAAGGACAATGGGAACACGTGGCCGGCAGCGGTATTAATAGTAGGATAGTCCGACGTTATCATCGCCGCTGTCACTGAATTCACGGCGGGCTTTCCGGACAAAGGCTGATTTGTTTTCGATCGTCATCGGAGAAGACGATCCCCATGGGGTAACGTTTAGGGCACCACAGCGCTACGACCACCCGAAGAGTGCCCGAGTGGGGTGCCCATGGTAGCCCCGGGACAATTGTTCGGTCGTCCGCACCGAACCGACACTTCCACGGGCCTGGTTATCGGCTACAATTCTGCTACCGCAATCACCATGTTGCGGATTATTAATAATAGCATAATTAGGATGGAAGAGGATCCACGAAATGGCACTAGTCATTTAAGTCAAGATGACCTAAGACCTCAACACAGGATAACAATCGCCGCTGCATTGGAATTGGAATCCTCTCCAGGGGCGTCCTTGAATCTATTCTGGAGGTCTTTATCTCCATCAACTCGACATGGCCAACGTTGATATGCCAAATACTGGACCTTTGGCCAAGTTTATTTGGGGCGAAGACCGGCTTAAGCGGCGATGCGAAATCTTGGAGAGTTTGGCCGACCACCCAACTTTCCGCAAGAACGTCAATCTCCATGCCCTGGCAAGGAAAGATTACTTCGGCTATAGAGCCCAACAAGCAAAAGAGTTGATCAATGTATGGTTTCAAAAGAGGTGGAGCAGGGAGAATTTTTTGGAAGCAGGACGCATGGTTGGTGATGTTCCTTGCTATGGCCAGTTTAGAAGTATACAGTTTCCATTCTTTCGTGGTTGTGAGTCTATATTGATGGAGATGACAGTTTTCATCAAGAATCTCGAAGCCCAGATAAGTCCGCAACAGCAAGCATACTAGATTCCTAAGGCCAATCGCTTTGAAATCATCGGAGCCTACGCTCAAACGGAGATGGCCATGGAAGTAACTTGCACCGGATAGAAACAACCGCCACCTTTCACCCCACCACTGATGAATTTGTCCTCCGCTCGCCTACAATTTCGAGCAGCAAATTCTGGATTGGAGCTCTCCGGTGTTGGTCAACACACGCCATTGTCGTGGCACGGCTCATCATTAACGGGGAGGAGCATGGCAACCATCTCATCATGGTCCAAGTTCACGATCTCGACACTCACGAGATCATGCCCAATATCACAATCTATGACCAAGACGAGAAGACACTGGGAGCACTGGGAGCACTGGGCGGCATTGACAATGGTATCATGGGGTTTTACACCTCCAGGATTCCAAGGTCTCACATGTTTGCCGGCTCCAGTTCTGTGTCAAATGACGGAACTTACACTGCAGCCAAGTCAAACAAGCATTCGTCCGCTTCCATGGTGATCATTCGGGGCACGCTCGCTGATGAACTAGACCTTGACGTAATGAAGCCGCTATATGCCGCGGCCAAGTGCGTACAGTTCAGACGCCAATTCGGAAACACCACCCCAAATGGCCCAGAGACGAGAGTAATCGAGTATGCAAGTATGAAATATCGTTTGTATCCTGGCTTCAGCCCGAAGTTCAAGAGGTCGTTCTCCAGTTTCGTGCTGCATTTCTTGCAGAAAGGCACCTTGAAGAGGCTGCAAGAGGCAAAGATACCAGTTACGAGTGTCTTGAGTTTACGATGGCTCACAGTGATCTCAGCTATTGGAGAAGATTCAAATCACAGCTTTCACTTGCACCGGAACAGGGGAAAGAGGCACTCGTAGCCCTTTTCCAAGTGGTAAGCATCAGTGACTTCATGCTTATACTACTCGGATAGTTGGTATTTCTCCCATTTAGTTCGCACTGAGTACAATTCGAGAAGGCCTTTCCACATTTGCCGGTACCAACTTTCTCACAAAAAGGGATGTGGATGCCCTACACCTTGAACTCGAAAACGTCATTTATGGTTTTGATAGCTATCTCGATACTATCCTGGATGCATACTCATTCACCGAATTCGAACTTGACAGCACATTCACGAAAAAGGACAAGATACCATACGAGGCAATCATGGAACGTGTTTACAAGAATGATATGAATGATATAAACTTCATTCTACCTACTCTTCGCGGAGTTCGTCAGCTCTGGAAAAACTACCCGGAAAGCCCGTAGGTTTCAAGCAAAATGTAGGTCGCAATGGTGGTCAAATTCCAGAACAGGAAGTTTACAGAGGCAAGGCGTAGTCGGAGACAGTAGCATGAACTTTTAATTCATATTTGTTCGTGTTGTGTATTGTATCCATAGTGAACATATGGGTTAAAATGTTAAAATTTCCATCCAGTACGGTAGCGCAAACAGACTTGTGATAATGCAGACCATCATTCCATAATTACTAGGAGAAGAGTAGTCGATTCACAATTCATATAATAGCTCAATTGCTCATGATCGGGATTTAGGAGATTTAAATATTGCATAGAAGATGGGAGAGAACAACGTGCATATTTTACAATGTGGATATCGCACGAAAGCGCTCCGCTAGCTCATCTGCCAAAATGGGACATTGGAACTTTTGTTGGCGCTCCCGGGCCACGGCTTTCACTCCGTCAGCATGGGCGCGCTGGCGCGGGCTTGAGATTTCCAACAAAATCAGTCATTGTGCCTGAATCCGAGTAATTCTACAGAGGAACCGTGCATAAATATGAGTGAAAGAGGTAATCATCCAAGCGCCCTTTGAAGCGCCATGACGTCTTGAGACAGAACTCTGGACACAACAGGCGCTGGGAAGCCTCTGCCTGTCCGTGTCGTCCTTGAGCCGATAGCCAGTTGTCCCGAGGACTTCTGGCCTTGCAAATATTCTTCCCTATCAATTGGTGCATTGCCTCGGGGGCAATTGAACAACCCCGTGATTTGTATACGTTAGTTATCCCATCAAATCCTGGCACGCATCGCTCACCCAGTGCCTTATGGATACCACTTTTGACTACCAAACGCAAGAAACTGTCCAACTCCACTTCTCACTCCACGATTTGAAATATCCAGCCATTTGATGCATCAAATATGCCATATATCAACCGTTCAGGTGTATCGCTTTACTACGCAACGTACGGTAGCGGAACCCCGCTCCTCCTCTCCCATGGCTTTTCCGCGACCTCCGAAATGTGGTCTGGCCAGATAGCTCTGCTTTCGGCAAGATTCAAGCTTATCCTATGGGATATGCGCGGCCATGGCAAGTCTGACTACCCGGAAGATCCGGCGATGTACAGCGAACAGCACACGGTGGCTGATATGGAAGCCATCCTGGCCGAAGTCTGCGGAACGAAGAGAGCCATCGTCGGGGGTTTGTCACTAGGTGGATACATGTCGCTTGCTTTCTACCTTGCTCACCCTGAGCGTGTTAAGGCGTTGTTGATCATCGACACCGGCCCGGGCTTCAAGAATGACGCAGCGCGTGATGGATGGAATAAGTATGCTCTTCAAACGGCGGAGCGGTTTGAACAGCATGGGCTGCGCCGTCTCGAGAAAATGAGCGTAGAAATGAAAACTTCGACGCACCGAGACGCAAAGGGATTGGCATTGGCGGGGAGAGGGATGTTGATACAAAAGAGTCCTGCGGTTATCAAGTCCCTGCCCAACATCAAGGTACCGTCACTGGTTGTTGTTGGTGCCAATGATACCCCATTTCTGGCGGGGTCAGACTATATGAGTAGGACAATTCCTGGGTGCAAAACGCTGGTTATAGCTGACGCTGGTCATGCGGCAAACATTGACCAACCTCAAGCGTTCAACGTAGGTCTTTTGAACTTCCTAGCCAACATCGAACCTGCTAGGGGCAGCCTATAGTTATGATAACAAATGAAGCACGTTGACCTCTTGAACAAAGTCTTGCTGTCGAAAGCTGGATGAGTAAGTCATCAATGATATGGTCTGAATGTGGTGTATATTCAATACTACTAGCAGTACTCACATCCCACGCCCATTATAGTTAGTATTAATAGGCGCTAGCCATCTTTACAGCAAGAGCACCTTAACGATATAAAAATATGCCCTTAAAGCGTCACAGCGCGTTATCTTCGTACTATTCCCTCATTGCGGCGAAATTGTACATTACCAATACTATTTCTATACTCTACCCGAGGCATACGTATTGCCATACCAAAACATGATAGAGTTATTTTTGACCACTCTGCCCAACGGTTGCGACACCAGTCACTGACCCTCGGACAAACGACTCTGAAGCTTCTGGAATCCGGATAGTTACTGTATTTGAGTAAGTCAATAACAACCAGTTTCGCGAATTGACGATTTCCAAAATATTTCACCATGGACTCTTTGTTTAAGAGTCCCTTTCGAGGAGCATTTTGATTGTTCCGATTTCTTTGCACCAGTGGAAGGCCCGAATGTGCTGGCATTCGATCTCATTTCTCAAACCCTTTACAATCTTGCTGTCCGCCAGAATACGTCTGTCATCCGTGACAAAAAATCCGGACATGAGGTCAACCACCAGCAGTTTTTAAGCGACATCTTGACATGCCGGAACAATCTGCTCGAAAGCCTGGACGGCGACACACACACTCAAAAAAACGCCAAGCGTTCTCTCACATTTTGCAACCGCCAGCGGGCATTGGGTCGCTTATGAAATCAAAGCTGGCTCCACAAGTGGCGCGCAAGGTCCTGCTCGAGGGGCATCGTTATACTGGGAAAGAGGCACTTAAAGATGGGATTGTCGATGCGATTGCGCCACCAGATAAGATGCGTGACGTCGCACGGGAGTGGGCAGAGAAGTGGAAGCAGAAGGCGGCAGCAGATGTATATGGGCTGCTTCGAGGAGAACTGGAGGGTTTCTGCCAGGAATATGTGGAACACCTGAAAATCAGGCTCGACAGCTGTAATCCGCTGATTAAGCGGTGCCGCTATACCTCTTTTATTTTCAAATTTAAGGCACGTGATAAGCACACGTGATTTTGTTTCTGTAATTATACGGTACGCTAACAGATCAGCCAATTAACGAGCTGGAAATCGGGCGAACCTGACCTGAAAACGATTTTCAGGTCAACTCTCTGCATTTAGCCGGCTTATGAACTAATATCTAGCGGTTAGGTTGGCTAACTGGGTATGGGCAAATAAAACGCGCTACGCTGTCGAATATTACACAAAACGCAATTTCCAGGTGCCCATAATTCCTGGCAGAAACCCTCCACTGCAGTCAGAACCTTTGCAGCGGCTTCGGGATATTAGTTATGTTCACCATCCGCCTGTTCGGAAGTCCAAATCGCCTGTTGAAAAGTTGTAACTATTCCTAAACTATTCCTAACTAACACTAGTTAGCACGTAGCTACTGAACAATCTTTCAGATCTACTTGCACAATCCATATCTATGCCAATGAGGATTTATATAACCTTGGAGCTGTGGAATGGGAAAGGCTTCCGCTTGACTGCTCGAGGAACAGGTATGTCGCATGCCCAGGCCGCCGTGGGGTATTTACAGTGTACCATTTCCCGGAGTCGCTAGGAAGTGATAGCGAGGGGGTTATGTTGCGGGGCTCCGCGCCCGAGCCCCTTGATGGCTGCAGTGCTCAAAGACCAGGGTGTCTTACCAGGGGCTTTAACCCCCGTGGCCGATACTTCGACCGCCGGGAGAACGTCGCCCTAGCATACTATTTTTTTAATACGATCTTTTACATTTTATTTATGAATTTCTTTCATTTCCGACCAAAAATTCCAGGCAATTAAGTGGTTGTGTGGGCAAGTTAGTCGAATTTGGTGGTGAAAACAGGTTTTGATGAGGAAGTTGAGCCCTGCAGCGACGGCCATCAAGGGGATATGGTATATCCGAGCGATAGTTATATCGTTTGTTAGCCACACAGAACCATGCCAACCAACCTCAAGAACAAGTCTCTGTATCTAACTATAAAATCTACATCTAAAATAATCCGCAATTTGAATCCCAACAACTAGGACTTTACAATTAGGGCTGGACACGAATATTCGACTATTCGTATTCGTACGAATATTCGTAGTCGAATACGAATAAAATTTAGAATTTCCGCTTACTAATATTCGTACGAATAATATTCGCATTATTCGTAATTATTCGTAATTATTCGTCTATCTCTGAAGCTATTTCCATGTATCTCGCATCGGAGAGATGGTCGACAAAGAGCTTTGAGCTGGGGTCACTTGGCTTGCTGAATCGTCAGGAGTGATCAATTCGACGCTATTGATATACTTTGTATCTCTTAGAGCTCAAATCCTCCAGATCGTGTTCGGGTAAACAAAAGTCGCGACTGCTGGGCATTCATTCATTGGCTCAGCTTTTGCCGAATAAGTCTTGGCATTATTTACGAATATTCGCGAATAATACGAATAAAACGTCTCAAAACTTAGTCGAATACGAATAATCGTTCAAGAGGAAAAGTCGAATACGAATAGCCAAAATCCTTATTCGTGTCCAGCCCTATTTACAATCTCTGGGACAACTCACCAAAGACGCCTCAAGACTGGACAATATAGATTCAACTTTCGATGTCGGGGGCGCGTGCACCCAAACACCCCGTTATGGCGTTATCAACTATTTCCTCTCGAAAACCAGGTCGCTCAAGGCGCGCTGCCAAAAGTGCATCATTCTGCGAATTTCCTAGCGTGCAATCTAAATTCTACTTGGACTTGACTGACTTAATAGTGTAGCATGCCTGTCGTGCCGAAACCGCAAGGTGCGCTGCGACGTCCTCTTGCGACATCCGGATAGTTGCACCAACTGCCAAATGGACGATGTTTGAGTGTAGTGTTCCCTACAGCAGGTCGGTTCATTCCGTTCCTTGTACATCTTCCTCAGTCCACGTAGCGATATTAAGCCATCCACATAGACGAAATAAGACTAGGGATCACAACCGCCGCACTTCGGCCATAGCAGATGAAAACTCTCCCACAAACGGACAGGACAGGTTTCCATTATTACCTGACGTTTCGCTTGCCGATAGTACTTCACCAACTAGATTACCGCCTCCAGTCGCCTCGTCTGGGTTAGCGGAAGCCTTTTTTGCATCTTATCCGAACCTGGTTGCGCCGTCCAACCCAAGTCTCAACTCCTCCCAGGAATTGCCAGATGAAGAGTCGTCACCATGCTCACCTTCAGCCTCATCTTACTCTGCACGTATGTCGGGTAGGACAGCTATGACCACTCTCACAGGCGCAACCATGCTCCAGCACGATCAAAGCAAGCCTGATCCGGGGAGGAACCCAAATACCCCTCTTCTTGATCTCGGAGATCATTCCACACTCTTTAATGACTTTCCTGGATTCACAGATTACAACTTCCACAACTATTTTGATTTGATGGACACCAATCCTATAGCCAACCCTCTAGTTGACTCGAGCTCTCTAGTCAACATATTACCCACTGAGCTAGACCCCTCGGTGGCCATGGTGGATAATCATTGCTCCTGTACACATCCCTGTACTACCTTCACCGTTTCCTGGATTGCTCTCTGCTGCAAGGCATCACTCTGTGGCCCTACATACCATGATGTTGTAAATTCACAGGCCCTTTCAGTTCCTACGGAGGACGTCATGCGCGAACTGATCAACCTATACTTTGTCTATGTTCATCCCATTTTCCCTGTCATAAGTGAATGGAACACTTACAGTCTGTTAAAACCTTTGCTCTCTAATGGCGGCGAAACGACTAGCCTAATGAGTCTAGCCATGGTCAACGCTATTATGTTTTCCGCTAGTGCGGTATGTCGGGAAAATACTGGCAGTCGATATCAATATGCTAATCATCGTATACGCAGGTTGCAGAAAAGATCTCGTGAAAGCCGCCGGATTCCCAAGCATTGTAGTAATGCGTAGAACTCCTCACACCCACACTATTGTAAGCCGCCCAGTTCAATCTTCCCCCCGCACCCTTGGACGCTCCCGATTCTTGCCACTGATCGCACTGTGTAAACCCAAGTACTGATCCCCGACGCTTCATAGGCCCTTTTGGAGGCTGGATGCGAGCGAGACCCTATGAATAAAGCTCGAATCTGCCTCTTACTTAGCAAGGGGCGCATATATCCGCGAGCTGAGTTTGACGATGAGAAATGGCTGCTCGAAGCCCACAACCAGCTTCAGCAAGCCAGACTGCCACCCGTCGATTCATCACCAGCCGAGTCTAAAAGTATGGTCTCTCAATGGAATATCCTACGAGCGTGCTATTCCATGCGCGTCCGGTGGGAAATTCTGGGTCTGCGCAGGGCGCATTTGTATCCCGCAATGCTGGTGAAAATGGTGCCGTTTCAACCTTCGGACCTCGAGGAAGATACTCGCTTTCCATGGTTCCTGAGCGTTGAAGTCAAACGCAGGCTTTCCGAAATATTTCTGGCCCTGGTTGATCTGTCCCTCATTACATATCCGTTGTGCCACATTCTAATGGGGCCCAAATTGTATCTTGGATGGCTTGGCGAACCCCGCAAGTTATCAATCATGGGTGAATTGGAGGAATGTGAGGGGCTGTTGGCACAGTGGCAGACCAACCATACGCAATTATTGCTTACCAGCAGCGATCCGCCAAAGTCTGACCCTAGTTACTATTCTCTCCTTGCCATCTTCGCCAACTTGAGACTGACCTACGAGTATGTCCTTCGCATCTACCCCTTCCGTCCATCCGACTCTAACAAATCCTTGCAGATACCTCACTTCCACCCTTCACCAAATCAGCCTCTGCTCAGAGAGGCCTTAGCTCTACGATATGGGCTGCGAGAATGCGAGACGCTTCTCACCTAGCCCTCCAAGGGTCCTCTACTTTGACAGTGGCGATTCTCTCCGATCTGCTCGATAAGGATGCTCTGCAGTACCTCCCTGTCTCAGTGTACGTCCCCGCGTTTTCCTTATACCAATCTGCGTACAACCCAAGAAAATACCCTTCCGTGAGCGATGCTAACATGCTCTGGCTAGAATTGTCTGTGTCTTTGTTCCTATGACGATCAACTATATCTTCCTCCGATGCTCTCTTCGACTATCAGGCACGCCAATCCACAAACTTGCCGTCTACTTGCGCGCCCTCGAAGTCCTCGCCGAACGCGATGCCGTTGTTCCCTTCTACCATTCCCTATTGAATGACTCAATAGTACTGATTCATAAGCGGAGCTTCACTCCAGAGTCATCACTTCCGACAACCCTGTCAGATGCTCTACTAATCACGGAACAGGCAGAAGAAGTGACAATGCCGCCAACGAATATCTACTCGGCTGTGCTAAAGTTTCAGGAGCAGCAGTTCTGGAAAAAAGCGCCATCAGACGTGGGCCCCGCTATCTTCGCCATCACGTCTTCTTCTAGTGGTCCGATTTGTGTGTAGGTCGCTAGGGTTGTGTTGCTGAACAGGGGCCTGAATGTGTCTCAACATAAGAGATGCTGCATGGAATTGACTGCGTTACTGGTTTATACCAAACTAGATCACCTGTCGTGGGAACGTGATGCAGGCCTCGTTATATTCTGATTGGCTCCGCTCTACTGCCCAGCCTATGCAGCCATGTTCCTGGATGTTGGAATCAAATCTTGAAATCAGTGCAGGCAGTCTGTCTGTCAAAAACAGCTGGATATGAACCGGCATGCCATCGCCTCCTCCAAGAATTCATAGGTAAACATTGTGTCACAGATTACCACAATAGTGACTATGGTTTCTACCGCTTTTAATGTGTAATAAGACGCTTCGATACATCGGACTACAATGCAACTGTGTTTTACCTTTCTCATGTGTATGGATAGTTTATGGCAGTCAATTTTCGTATCGTCACAGCTCCGGTGAAACGATCCATATTTAGCGAATTTAACATGAGAAAAATTCGCTGCCCTTTGGTATCCTAGGATCTGTCCATAGTTTGCTGATTCGCAGTGCAAAGGCACAAGTTTATAGAGATGTCCACATACACCTTCCATCAATCTACAAACTCCTCTATGCCAACATCGTATTTGTAGCACAAAAAGCCCTCGCCGTTCCTATTGAGGGTATCCATCACCGTTCGAACAGGTTGGTCTGGAGCATTGAACCCCATCCACAACATTGAGTCCAGTGTCACCGGTGCCCGGGTAGTCCCGGCCATTTCTGCAAGCCTTGACTCACTTTGAGACTGCCAGATGGCCCAAATACGGTCTATCTGGGTGTGATGCATCCAGAAAAGAGGGTCGTTGGGCGAAGAGAATACATCCATCATCTACAGACCAGTCAGTAAGAGCCACATGGGTGAATGTTACTTTGGTAACAGTTGGTGGGTATAAAAAAACGTGGTGGATGGGATGAGGATAGTGGTTAAAAAGAAGGGAGTGTGGTTGTGTACCTCTCCACTCACGCCGCCGTGTCCAGCATTGTGCAATCCGCTTGACCCTTCAGTGGATGATCGGAAGGATGCATATGTGTCGATTGCCAGCGTTTTTGCGATATTTGCTTTGGTTGCGGAACGCTCAGCCTAAAACACATCAGATCAGTCCTCGTTCTTATCACTGAAATCTATAATTGGCATGCGCGCTCACCGATGCCCCTTGGAAATCCCTCGTTAGACACCGTTCATTGCCGACTTTTACAGTCGACATAGGACCTAGATGCAGCTTGATGTCCTTGAACGGCCCATCTTGGATGCACCCGCCTCCGGACCCCCCTCCAAAGAACCCACCAAACGCACTTCCCCATCCCCTACTCCCTTCATCATCATCCTCCTCATCCTCCGCTCCATTTCCTCCAAACCCAGTGACTGGATCGAATAGAGGTGATGTGACAAATGAGCCTCCTGCCTCCGGAGTGTCCAAGTGCCAATCCCAGTATGGTTGCGCCCCGGTATAATTGCATTCGTTGCGCAATGTCTCTTCAAACTGCCAGACCGTGTATCGATGCCAGGGGTAGAAGATCCCAACACCGTGAATGCCTGTTGTACCTCCCATTGGGAAACCCCTTTCGGTGTTAAGGACGCCTGCAGTGAGGTCAGTACGAGGTGTTTGAGTCAGCTGATAAGTCCCTACCGCCACCAGTGGCATTGACGTGCATAGCAACGAAATCCTCATATCGACTTGTGATGGGCTCGAAGTATTGCTTTCCCGTAGGTGCCGCTGCCATCAGGCATTTTATTGCACCGATGTACTCTCCCTTTTCCGCGTCGTTCAAACTTCTCCTATAGATCTGTGTAAGCTACGAGGTACTGCACGGTGTCATCCCTTTGTCCGTCGCTTCATGACAACGTCTCACACGTACCATTCTCGCCGTACTCTTGGTTCCGTACATGGCGCATCGGCAACGTTTAATGCCGCGTTAAACGGCGCTGCCGTTGATAGATTAATGACACTTAGGATCGCGAGGATACCAAGTCCATATCGCTGAATGAGCGGCGCAAACGCCATGCTGTCGGCAAGCAGTGGAGTAACTTAAAGACGAAGTGCTTGAAGTTCGTTTATTTACTGTCGCTGAGCGGTTCAACCCTATTACATATTCCAGAAAAAACAATGGATCGGAAACCCTTGGCTCTTGGACCGCAGCCCCAGACGGTTCGGTCTCGTGGATGACCCTTCCAATTACATGGACGGCAACCTCTTACAACCGGCAGCATGGTTCTGTAAAGAAACGTAGAAAGCTTTTTCATTGGCAATAATGGAACGGCAAGCCGGATAGCATGGATTGCGGAGAAGCTCAGGGTAATAGAAAGCTTGAGTGGAGATTCATTAACAATGTTTGAAGGTATAAACCGATACGAAGAGGGGATTCAGTAATACGCCTGCATCCAAACGCGGTAGCCCTCGTTGACTAGGGATGGTTGGACGTAAAACAATATGAAGTCGTTGCCAGATAGAGTGTTGGAGAAGACCAAGTAAGCCAAAACCGAAATATATATTGCGGAACGCAAGGTTGCAGGTTCGGAGAATAAACGAATCTTTCAGTCCCTCGACTAGACGTCTGGCACGAGGTGTGGAGACGAACCATCATTGTGGAACCTATTGAAGCTATTGCATGTCATTTTTCTGTTTCTGGAAATTCTTCGGCCGTCGCGACAGATCAATATCAGCTATAATTGAATTGATATTGTGTTGAACCGAATTAAAGGTCTCACCCAAAGCTGTAGCTGTCAGGGATAGATTACCCCACAAAATGACCGCAATTGCGGAGTGGCGGATTGTCATTGTATGATCCTACGAAATTGGATCAATTGATCAGTCGGGAATGCCGAGGAATAATCCCAAAGAAGAGACCGGAAGATATAAATGGCATCGACTCAAAGATCGCCGTGCGACACGGAACATATGGAAACTTTGCGAACCGGAGAGTGAGGCCAGGGGTCAAGTAGCAAAATTGCCTTGGTGCCTCAGGCTCCATTTCAATCTCGAAGCCACTAATCTGATGACATTCTTTGATTTAACATTAGAGCGGTACTACTACGTAGTGCCTGTACGCGCAAGGTAGAAGTGAATAATAAACAACTTTCAGGACGCCCGCTATGCAACAGAAATAAGTATCGAAGACGCTCAAGTCAGGTGATGCCGATGCAAACTCTCCCACGTGGCCTGAATGCCACTCACAACTCCGTTGGCTTGTCTCGGTAGACTGTAAAAGGTTTTAGACGCCCGTTGATTGCGAGTGTATCAGTGGGATTGATCTCCAGCAACGCGTCGCTATTAAAGCCGCTCAAGTAGAACCCGAAAATAACGACAAAGTACGAAAACACGAGGATGCTGCCCTTGAAATAGTTGCTCTTGCCTTCGCCGTACATATAGGATAGGAGGAAGACGCAGAGGATGACGGTAACCATGTCCCACTGCGGGAAGATGAGGGCTTGGGACACGTTAGTTGTCCGTATTCTATGACTCAGCGATCGGTGTACTACTTACAGAAGGTATGACCGGGGATGCTTTCAGGGTCAAGGTATTGAGCGGCGTAAATCGCAGAAAAGAGTACGAGGCATGGTATTTGTAGGAGGCAGACTTGCAGGGCATACGCCGAACCAATTTCCATGGACAGGGCAATGTTACCGTTCATGGCGAATGATATGGCGTTCTAGGAGAGCAGTCAGCGGAGGTATCAGCCAAGTGCAGCCTGTTCAACCTACCAAGAATTCCGTCGCATTTGGCACTAGTGCGAACAAGGTTATTCCCAAGAACTTCTCATCAACCTCAAAGTTGTTGAGCACAGAGTCAACCGTGTTGACCAATATCTCCGCAACTAAGGCGTACGCAACAGTCGCGCTCAGAAGGATCATAGCGCTCTTGGTCCTGCTCCAGTTCGGCGCATCATGTCCGCCGCCCCCATGTTCGTCGGTGGCAGGGTGGCCTTCCGGCTCTGTCGTTGTCGTAGGTAAGCGAGTCAACGCCAGACGTTCTCGTTCCTGTTGCTGCATTTTTGCTGCGGGTGTGGTGTTGGCAGAAGGCTTTCGAACCGCATCTCGAGTTGCAATCGTGGCAGCAGTGGTGGCAATCTCGGTGACTTGTCGTACTAGGTTCCGGTTATCTTCTTCAGAGAGGCTCTCGATCCGGAACCGAGCATTGTCACGGCCTGGGGGAGGAACAATATGAGGCGTTGGAGATTCCACAGGACTGGCTGGTCTCTGCTGGTGCTCTGACTCGCCCGGACCTAGGAGCTGTCGTTCTGTCTGGCCGAAGATCCGTTTATACAACTGTGAGTCGCGGACGTCTGACTTTGAGACAGTTCCCGTCGCAAATCCGGTATTGGTCCGTGTATTCAACGTATTCCCAGTAGAGAACCCCGCATGGTCGACACCCTGGTGGATCATGCTACTTTCTAGGTGGGCACGCTTTTCGTCCGGTTCATTGCTCCAAATAACCGCTGCATGGGTGCGAAGGGTGAATAGCAGCCCGGTAACATATGACAAGAACAACATGACAGCTGAGAACCATGTGTAAGGTTGTATAGCCTCTCGGTAAAAGTGGTCTCCCACAGCGGGTACTTGAGAGAAGAAACATCGACGACAGTCACGGTCGCCCGGCAGTTGGTCCACGCACTGGTGGCATTGTAGCTCATGCTAGACCACATGTTAGAATTGTCGACTGGAAAAGGTAGGATAACTTACGCTTCCATAGATCTGGTAGAACAATGTCGGCGCAAATGCCCCAATGACGGCGAAAAGAAGCATGGTCGAGGTTACACCAGCCGACTGGACATTGAACCGTTGCGTCTTTCTCTTCAGCGCTCCGAAACACATGGACAGGCCGGGTAAAAACAAAACGCCTGCAAAAATGCTACCGATGATGCTGCCTTCTACGAGCTGTGATTTTCCTTCTTGGAGTGCAACGCAATAGAGGTAGACTTCCACAACGGTAGAAAAGAACGCATTGATAGTAGCGCCAACACCCATGGAAGACTGTGCGGATATGGATGCAACTGCTTGACCGATGAAATAGGCCAGGGGAATCGTGGAAAGTAAGGAAATTGCAAAAATTATGAACGGGTTCGTAATGAGGATATCTAGGCCAAGAGCCTCCCGAAGAAGGAAGAAATCGATAATGACGAATGCAACGAGCGCAAGGAAGTTGAAGAGAAAAATGTTGGTCCCATCTATCGTATATTTCCAATACTTGGGGCCAATAGCACGATAAGTGCAGACTAGGATCGTGCCCGGTTGGCGGGTGTCCGAGGTATCCGAATGGAACGAGAGCGCTAGAGGATGGCGACGCAAATGGCTTAGGAGAAGCATAGTAACTTTTCCCATGGGTATCGTGAAGACAAGGAACCAGCAAATCCCTGAAACCAAAAACAAACAAGGAGTTAGTAGGCCATAGAAGAAAATGAAGAAGACCACCCGACCGACCGTCCATTTGCCTCTGCCGAAGAGTCTTCTCTTCGGCTGGCTATTAGAACGGTCCGACATTGTGCCCCTAGCTGCCCTTCCAAGGAGACTCTCGGTTTCAGCAGTGGAATCTGCGCTAGGTCTTCTTCGTCCGATGAGCGATCGGTTCATGATGGGACCGAAGAATAGACGTCCTTCTTCCAGATCGCCACTTTGCCATCGCTCGTACTCGCTAATGCTTCGGCCTTCGCCCTCATCTTCGTCTATGTATGCGTCGTCCTGGACCAGCTTGATATACTTTCCAAACGGGTAGAAGAGGTAGGATGAAAGACCAAGCAGAACCCGGCCATAATCAGCGCAGCCGTTGAAGATCCCAAGAAACATGCAGGTTAAAGCTCCAGTGAATGCAATGAGAGCCAGCCACCAGCCAAAAAGGAGAGTCCATAGCAGGTTGAAGAGAAGCAGCCATTTGCTCACGAAGCCTCCTGGGATTGAATGAACATCCTGTTCTGCTGTCTTCTGGACCGAGCGGTTCTTCTTGTAGAGTGCCGGCTTCCATATACGAATACCGAAGGGATGAGTCTCGTTTATTGCCTGCTGACGGTCCTTCAAAGTGAAGCTCTCGGCGTCACTTACATCTCCCTCGTCTTCAGCTGGGGGTTCGTCCTCTTCGTCCTCCGTCAGCACTGCCGTGTCTTCTGGAGTGGCCGATTCTGGCTCTTGGTTTGTCTGTGCGCTTGCAGATTCTTGTTCGATGTAAACGTCTTCCAACTGCGAATCAACTTTTGCCAGAGCGGGCATTTGGGGGGTTGGGCGTTTTCGAATGGTGGACGTTTTGCTCTTCGGATGGGTACCGGCCTTTGGTTGATGTCTATGTAAGGCCTGATCCTTATCCGCTTCTTCCAGCGTATCATCTACCGAGAACTCTTGCCCTCGGTGTGGGCCATGCGATGTTGATCGGCGTTTCAAAGAAGGCTTCAGGCCCTTCGTGTCGGGTGAGCCTGCGGCATAGCGTGAAGGTCCTCCACTCGCTGGGGATGTAATCGACCCTAGGCACGACATCAATTAGATTCTTGCATGGCACAAACTTTATAAACATACGGTACACAGTCACTCACCGTATCCCTCCATCCTAGGCTGCGAGCGCGGAGGCTTCTTCCGGGACAGTTCACCGGAACTTTGGCTGTCGGTTCCAAACTGCTGCGAAGCAGCCAGATCCGCACCGGAGGCATTGGAAGACCGCCTGGTCGATGGATGAGACGCTGTAGCCTTCGAGGCCGAATCATCGGGCTGGCTCCTGTCCGCCATACTAATCCCTAAACGCGACGGGGAATCGCGTGTCTTTCACCGTGTCTTTCGTGTCTTTCACCCTGTCTCCGCTCGTTGGGCTATATGAGAGCTTCGCCGGGACACAACGACGGTCAGCTCCTCGAAGAAAAATGCAAAGTTAAAGACATAGTCCGGAGCGTGATCACGGAGACGGATGACGTTGTAGGATACGGATTGCGGAGATTGGCTGGCGATGTTAAGCAGCTGATTTCCATCAAACACGGGGATTCCGTACCACCTGACGAAAGGGTCTTAGTGTCTTTTACCGTTATCGCCTGGGTCCTTGTCACATTGTCCCATCCTTTCGAGGGCAAGAGTTCAACAAAGAATAATTACATTTAACAATATAGAATTCCCACATGGTCATCTCATTATCACAGCGGCTTGGTGCATTTTCAGGTGGCGAGGGATAATAATCATACGGAGTAGATACGGTGGTCTATATAAACTATCAGGGAACAGGATGAACAAGCACCTGAGGGTTCATCAAACGTTAATACATAGGGACCCGAGCAATATTTCATTACCATTTACTACTGCCCCCGATCCTCTGTCTTGACTATGAAACTAGTCTTCCTGATAATACCATACTGCGGCACAATCGCCTCCTCGCTCTCGGGGACCGATGCCCTGTCCCAGTCCTTTCCAGGCTTATCGATAGAATGCCCGCCATTGTCCCTCGCCGCATGCGCCGTGCTCGAGATCATCTCGAAATCTCCATGTGTGAACCGTCCCGACGGTCCTGTTCCACGGATGTTGCTTCGCGGGGTCGTTCGGTTTGATGTCAGGGATACGCCCATCCTCTTGAGTCCCTTCTCGAACATCGCACGAAGGCAGGGGATACACGCGGCCATGATGCCGATATATGATTCGGTAAAACCCCACAGTCCCATCTCGACCGTATCCCATGTCGCATCATTCTGTTTGTGGACCTGCGAGACGTAGAACAGCTTCCGGATACCAGCAACCGTGCAGAGTAGCCCTAGTCCCATGAGAAAGGCGAGGACTAACTTTTCTCGTAGAGGGCGGGTAAGTGAGAAGATGAAGGTGAGAGGGAGAAGCGCAAATAGGACGTCAGAGAATATAAAGGTAATCGACGTCGCCAAGACCGAGTTCCAGACGACGTGTTGAGGCCGGCAAGTTCCTTGGATGGTCTTTTTGTTCCAATAGAACTCAATTGGTTTGCACTCAGTCACCTGTAAGGTCATCGTGACGACGGCAGAGACGAGGAGGTACACAATGCACGCACCCATGCCGACTCTCCATAGAGTATCCCTTTGGATCCTAAGCAGCATTGCTGCAACGGAGAGCTTGATGAACGTCACTCCCCATTGCCAAAGGATCTGATTGACGAACACCATCTTGGTGTATAGGGACGCATCAGTGGGCTTGAGGATTTCGATATGTCGTCCATATCCAAGGGTGATGTTGTGGACGGTAATTCCATAGCTTGATATAACCAGGGCCTTCAGGCATCGTTAGTCCCATTTCTGCAAAATGTTGTGTCTAAACTGAAGCTTACCACCGCGATGGTGATCAGATAATCATCCCAGTGGAGGTTGAAAGTTGGTCGCAACCTGGAGACCATGCGGCAAATATACAAAATAAGAGCGATAACCAGTAGGGTCGTCTGGACTCCTAATAGCAGGGGAACCTTTGTCTCGTCTTTTCGATTCGTCGCTCGCGGATCAAAAGAGTTAAAGAAGTCATCTGACATATTGACATTTGACGGTGACTTGGGAGTCTCGGACTCTTGATAGTGGACGGTCAATGATCAATTGACCATGCAACATATTAGAGAAAAACGCACGAAGGTTGGAAGATCGGACCGCTTAGAGTTTGGAAAGAGGGTCTATAACTATCAATAGTTCGAACTAACTCTCCGATCATTTCCTGAATGCTGAGCACCACATGTCTGTTCCGGGTCACAATGATCAAGAGCCATCCAAACCCCACAAAAGACGGGAAAGATGTAAGCCTGCAACAGTCTGCCCTACGCAAATTACGAAGTCTGGCCCATGAGATAGTCGAGATGAAGCGCACAACGGTTTCGCTGACGGCTTGATGTACGGAGGAGGTATGATCAAGAACTCAAGGGTGAAGAAACAGCAATCGCAGTGGCGACTCATCCCTCACCAGAAGTCCAGAACCGAACCCCATCAGGAGCGGATCCAACGAAAGAAGAGGAGACGGAACGTTAGTCCTAAAGTTAATCCTAAAGTTAGTCCTAAAGTTGGCCTGATCTCCGGCCCCCTACACAACGTAACCTTACTATGGTAAAGTTCGAATGCTGGCTGCATTGTGGATGCAAATGGCGTTACGAATGGGCGAAACACCATTCATACTGAGCTGAGCTTGCAGAATGACTGTAAACGAACTGGAGGTGTATTTTGTCAATCCCAGTGCTTCTTTCTGTCCCGCTTTAGCGAGACCAATCATAGACGAGTTCGATGGGAATTTATGGACAACAAGGTTGGCGGAAGTTAACATTTGTCAGGCCATCCCATCTTTACCTACCGATCTCAGGTTCGTGAGGAGTTGGAGAACGGGAGAATGTGCTTGAGGTCTGCATGATGCCTCCAGGATTCCAGGGTTCATGGTTCCAGGCTCTTGAAGTTTGAACTCTGAAGAGTGAAGATGGCAAGTTTGTTAGCCGCTAGTGTCTACGGAGTACGCCGACACCATTAGTATATCGTATTAAGATTTGAACCAGGTTGAAATGTGGAGGTGGCTGTTCCGACGACGAAGCCTACTGACAGCCCGACATCAACGATTCAACGAACGACCCAGCACTCTGAATGAAGAGATTGATGGAAAAGAGCTCTCTCGGAGAGTGGGAAGTCCCAACTGTTGTGAAGATCGAGTCAGGGTCTCAGGGATGAGGGAATAGTTTCATAGCCGATGCTAGATTAGGAACGGAGGAGCGTATCCCAGACCGGATTGATAATCAAAGAAGCACAGAGGTCAGAGAGCTCCTGCAATTATTCTGGATATTTGAATTTTTGGATAGCAGTAACAACTTACCAGTCATCTGGCTCCAAAATCCAAACGGACAATAATAAGTGGTGTTCGATTGACAAGTATTGATCTACTGTACTTTTAGCGAGAAGATTGAGAAAACTGGAAGACGGGGGAGGAGTCTGGGTGCATGGATGATACGAACGTACCAAGGGAGGACGAATATAGACAAGTTAAGTCGAAAACTCAAAACCCAAGAGGTAGACAAGCTGCTGCTTTGGAGAGGTGTTAGTAGTGTAAATAGCATTGCCAATACCCGATACTAACGCAATAAGTTTTTTTTCTTGCTATTTAATACAACGCTCATCGGCACGTAATTCCGCTTCACTGAGCATTCACGTGTATCTCAACGATTGAGAAAGAGTGAATTCCCTAATCGACTGCTTGGACCTCAAATGAATTCTTCGCTGGCGTGATCGATTAATGATCAATAATGTCTCCAGTCTTGATGGCCAATGTTCATGGATCTCATAAGCGAGCCATTTTGGCCCAGACGCCCGGTGCCGTCCCTGCTCGAAGCGTGTTTCATTTCCACTGTGGCGTTATTGCCCCTGAATCGTGAAGGACCGACTGGATGGTCTCCTTCAGGCTTGAACTCCGCAACTCACAAAATCGAGTCTTCGACATCCCGGATTCTAGACCACTGCATTTTTTGTAGGTCTGGTGGGCGCACTAAATTGAAAAGGGAGAGATGCTTGAAGATCTAAAGGAAGAGTGAAGCTGGAATCTCTATTGTGCTGAACTGCTGAATATCTCGAGGATGAAGGTTAGCCCCACTGATTCGCGATTCGCAATCGGCAATCCAGACTTGCAATACCCTCAGGCCTCATGGCCTCATCTGCTCATCACACCATAGATAGTACTTAGTGGATAGTATATTATTAGCTCTGACCCCATTATCATGGGCTCATGCTTTTCTTTTCAACCCCAGCTTCCCCCATGGCTTCCTTTTTAGGAAGCCAACGACGGATCTGTTTCGATCACGACTGGCGAAGGTCATTCCTCTTCGGCCTTATGCTTCAGTTCTAACCGTCAATAGGATATAGACGTCACAGAATCAATCTTCTCCGAGAAGAACAGCACCAATGGCAATTGGCATAAACCGATGATTGCTTTGAAATAGCAGGGAAGAGTGTCCAAAGGGCTGTTTCCGGGACGGCCTGCAATAATTCGGCTCTAAACCATCTCAAGTCTCAACAGTCAACAGGCACATCCTTGTGATCCACGAAAGTAGGTAAGTACTCACCCTCGCTAACGGTAGTCACCGACTCCGATCTCCACTCGAACAGTGCAATTATCTGCGGACTGCTTGGCCAATAGTAGTGCTACTGCCTCGCTGGATGCTAGAGAATGTTCTATTTCTTTTCCATTCTCGGCACGAGCCACATCTCGATAGTCGATAGTCGATACCCATCAGACGCGTGAGCTGGCAGCCTACAGAGAGCGTGGATCATTCTCGCTTCTCTTCCGATTCGCTGAACTGCTACTAAATCCGACCCATAGAGCAGCCAACCGCCCAAAGCGAGGTCAATGGTCGAGACTCGAGCCCAAGTATGCGTCCAACTTGAGTCTGCCAAGGGCCCAAGGCGATATTGGAGATAGATGACAGTGAAATGATGGCACTATATGGATCCGAATTCCCGGTTCCGGGAAAGCTTTCGGCAGGGTCTAACCAGGAAATTTGAGGGCAACGATGAGTCGTCTCTGTATAAGTATAAGCCGCTCACGCTTCACTCTCTCCCAATCTTCAAAGTCAGCAACCGCTACCGTTCTCAAATTCGAGTCTTTTCCAGGCCGTTGATCACTCACCATGCGCCCACTCACTCTCGTCGTTTCGGCGCTTTCACTCCTTTCCAACCAGCTCGTATCCGCACAGGATGCCGATCCTGCTGCTCTTGCTTCACGTCCGGGAGCGACACCTCCAGCACCAAGATTGAAGTTCCTATATACGGCTTTCGTCGAGTGTACCGCCAATATCGCCGGGGAAAAGGGCCCCGCTGGCGTTCGGTCGACCATCCCCATCGTCGGCGGCAATGTAACCGGACCCCTCATCAAAGGAAAGATCGCAGACGTGGGCGCGGACTGGGGCACGACGGATCCTCAGACCGGCGTCTTCAGCGCAGACACAAGATACAATGTTATCACGGACGACGGTGCGGTCATTTTCCTCCGGACCAGCGGGCCTCAAATATCGGGCAAATTGCACTTGCGGGTCCAACTCGAGACCGGGTCGAAGAAATATTACTGGTTGAACAATATCATTGCCATTGGAGTTTTGACACCAGTCGCCATCACTGCGGAAGGATCCACACTGAGGATTGATACCTGGCATGTAAGTGATTGAGATGCGTTCTTTTCCCTCCCCTGCAAACAAAGACGGTCGTCTCTGACATGGATGAAATAGTTTGCCGACGAACCTGAAAAGAGCACTCTTGTTTAATAAATAATACACTCACTCCTCGCTCGTTCTGTCTATCCAGTTCTTGTTCATCTTTTCTAATGAAGTCGAGCATCACATCAAAACTGTCTAGTCCACTGCCTTTATAGACAGTTGCAGCGAGTGGAAACGTGGCGCTTTCGGCCTTGGGAAGTTGTTTCCAATGATATCTTCTGTTGCGTGTACAGTTCTCATAAGCACGGCGTATTTTGTGTCGTTCCCATCAACTGTCCTTAGATTAAGTTCCCTTCAGCCTTTGCATTATGAACCGAAGAAATTCGCTTGCCTAGGTATTGCTGAAAGCAGGGGTCATCGATACAATTTAGACTTCCAAGCATTTGATCGCACTGATTCAGCCACCAGTGATTACCTTTTGAAACCAGGTACAGCGCAGTTAGGTCAATCGAGGCGCCCTCGCTCTGTGGGAAGCCACTGCAAAGAAGCCCACTGGTTTCAAACTAAACGCACCATCCATCTTCAGTTGGTAGCCAGGATCCGCGATATTCAGATCGACGTCTCTCAGAATGGTGACCAACGTCACGACCGACCACTGCCAAGCGTACGACTTCCCGATGCATTGCCGCTTCCCGTTCCCGAATCCTTTCTTCACCCCTTCAGGGATCCTTCCGTACGCGACCCCGAGCATTCGCTCGGGTCGGAATACCTCGGGGTCAGCAAACACGACTGGATCCCGGTTGACAGCGGCGAGAACCGAGATCATCGGCTGGTTCGCCGGGATCTCGTACTTTCCGCCTGCCAGCTGGATTGGGCCTCTGTTGTGTTCGGACGGCAGAGGCTCGATGTTGAACCCCGGAGCTGGCGTCGACAGACGCATCGATTCTCGAAGGATGGCTTCGCAGTACGGCAACCGTGCGAAATGCTCATGGGTCATCCGCTCGCCGTTGGGAAAGACCGAGTCGATTTCCTCCTGTGCAATTTTGAGCTCTCGCGGGTTCCTTAGGAGGTAGTAGAGGGCGAATGCGAGAAAGTTAGGAGCGGTGACGCTGCCGATTAGTAAGGACACAATCTCGTCAATGATCTCCCGTTCAGTAAGGCCTTTGCCCGTTTCTGGGTCCTTTCTATGCAGCAAAGCGTCGAGCATGTCCCCAGTGGTATGTTGGGACTGCCGCTTAAGCACAATCTCGGCCGCAAAATCTCGCATTGTTTTCGTGTACGCCTCGAACTTTCGCTGATACAGCAAAGAGTTTAGTAGTTTCGGCCTTGTGGGACGCTTTACCGCCTCTTGAGTCGCACTATAATATGCTAGTAAGGTATCTCCCTTTGGTTGGCGGATTTAGCCACTTACCCTTCCATCGCGCCGATGACGGGAGGCTCTACTCCCTCTAAGCAGGAGATATCTTGACTGAAGAGGCACTTGACGGTGGACTGAATATTCAATCGCCGGAGGCCATCCACGACGCTGAACTGACGACCGCCTTCCGGCATTTCCTCAGAGCCCGCCCATTTCGCCGTTAGCTGTTCCGCAACCTCTTGCATGATTGGAACCTGTCCTCGGATCGCCGATGTGGAAAGCCCCGGCGCCATGATTCTATGCGCGATACCCCAGCTGGGTTCATGGTCGTACGCGGTGAAGAGGGAATCATTGACGGAATATCGAATTTCCACAATAGGACCGGTGACGCATTTCCGAAAACGTGTCTCATCGCAGACCTCTTCGAGGAGAGAAGCGGAGCAGATGAAGACGATCTGATGTCCAAGAGCTTTGATCTTGAATATCTCGCCTTAGATGTGTCAGCAGATGGTTGATTGATCTTGGAAATCAACTCACCATACTTGTCCGCCAGAGTCTTGAGCGAGACCCAAGTGTTATTCGGGTCTATGTCAAAGATGTTCCCAAGAATGGGCACACCGGGTGGTTGCGGAATTGGTTGAGAAGCCATATCGCTGTATGTTCTCTCCAAACATCAAACAATTACTCACATTCTTTAGGATTGAGGAGTGGAAGCTGGATTTTAAGCCAGTTCGTGGGGGAAATGGGAAATCATCTCATCATACCTAACGTCGAGGCTCCGGACTTTGCTGTCGTACCACCCGCGTCATTGGGTCGAGTGGAAGAATTCAACATGAGGGGTTGAACCAAAGCCTATCAGACTATCAATAACGTTACCTTTGTCCGACTTAATTACGGTGATATGCCAATTTCAACCCCAGACTGAAGATGAGGTCGGCTAGGAACGGTATACAGGACGTTTTCCAACCGCCTGCATTATTGCATTTGGATGCAGTGTGACCGAAACTGGGATGGATACCATACGGTACTGGTAACTACACAATTTCGCTTCTTTGGGAATATTTCGTCATCAGTTATCACTCATCACTGACCTACTTGAATATTATTTGTATTATATAATGCGCTAATTAAATTTAGTCAAGGTCTCCACTCAGAATTACCTTATTAATCAATTCGTAACAGCAGACGCACACCCTTGCTAACTGCAACCAATAAAGGAATTATTTGCACCCATTAGCTACCATTGTTCCTAATGAGCGTGGGGCGCAAGTAGATACTACAATATAACTCAACGTCACAGACAGTTAGAGCTCGGCACGGATCGAGTTCACGGATACACCAGCCCAACCAGCCATACTAGGATAATATCCGATCCGCGAAACTTTGTATCCGTATTCGATCCGTGAAATACACCGGTCACGGATAGAGAATTCCTATCCGGATAATTATCCGTACCCGCAAATATATCCGCCAATATTTCCGTGAAACCCTTGAGGCTATCCGTAAAAAATCTCTTTAATTGCCCTGCAGCCTCTTTAAGCATCAACATATAGGGACATATCGCCAATGTCTTCGCCAGGTTCCTTTCTAAGCTTCTCCCAGCGAGAGCCTCGGGCCCTACGACTCAACTATCATGACCTAAACGACGGAACAGACGAGGAGAACTCAGAGTACAACGGTAGTGTTCTAGAACCGGTAGATCTTAGTATCACGGCGTCATCGGTGTCACAGGATAGTTTAATGTATTCTGCAGATTCTATTTCTCATAATTCTCTAGAACAACCACTAGGGAGCGTGTTGCCTATCAATCGTGGTGGCAGGAATAGGAAGAAGCATAAGTGCTGGGTCTGGCCTTCTTTTCAACCGATAACAGATCAAAACTGGTTTGTTGTATAAAGCCAGGATGTCGCTGGTCATCGAACGAAGGCCTCTTGTAGGGTTCTACGAGCAATCTTACCCGCCATTTATCGACAACGCACGCAATCACTCGCGCTCAACAACACCCTCGCTCGTTCCACCAAATTCCCTCGCTAGCTGGGTCTCTTCGACTTCGGCTTTAGATCCGGTAGCGGATTCCTTCGAAGAAGCTCTCCTTAAATGGGTCGTTGTTGATAAGATTGCATTCTCTTCCGTAGAGAGTCCGGCCTTCCGAAATATGCTAAGAGCAGCAGCAACATCACGAGATCCTACGAGCTCCGCGAGAAGCGTAAAGCGAAGTCTTGAGAGGTAGTTCCTAGAATCCCGGGAAGCCCTTATTGCAGAGTTGGCCAGCACATGCAGTACTGTCTCGCTGTCTACGGACGCTTGGACGAACACGAACAGCATCTCGATAGTGGCGATCATCGGTTCATGGTTAACCCCTACCTTTGAGTTTAAAGAGAGAGTATTAAAGTTTACAGAGATTGAAGGTAAGTCTATTTACTGATAGTTATCAGTTTATTTAGTGCTAAGTTCGTTGTAGGAACGCACAGCGGGGGGAATCTTGCAAAGATCCTATATGAGATTCTCCAAGAACTTTAGATTAGCAGCAAGCTCCTAGCGGTAACAGCGGACAACGCTTCAAGCAACGACGTGATGGTGAGCGAGTTGTATGGCCACTTGCTTGCGGAATACGGCCCCAGTTCATCCTCTACCGATCTAACTGATCCTTCACTCGGCGACAACCTCCCCTTTCGGTTTCGCGGCTCTCAGAGCTTCGTTCGCTGCCTTGCTCATATTCTGAATCTGATTGTCAAGGATATACTGGGGGATCTCCGCAGTGGATCTCGCCAAGCGGCTGCAGAGTATGTCGACCGACTGCGATTCGGACTTGGACCGCCGGTAGAACACTCAGCAATCGAGAAGATCCGGATCCTATCGTTGTGGATCCAAGGATCTCCACAACGTATTCAGAACTGGAAGCGCTTCTGCTCTCTATGCGAGCTCCCGAGTAACCTTATTCGATATGATGTTGCAACTCGATGGAACTCGACATTCCGAATGATCGACGACGCTATTCGCTCTCAAAAGCAGCTAATAGAGTTTGTCAAGGTCACCCAGAGATCCAATCCCTAGAAATAGCCTCAAACGAATGGACCTGGCTTAGGGACTTGCAAAAAGTTCTAACGAGATTCGATAGCCTCTTCTATCCGGATAGGCCATATTCGCGGATGATCCGCGGTATCCGTATATCCGTGCCGAGCTCTATCAACGTGGCAGAAAAACAGTAATGGAAGGTGTCAGAGAAAGCGAATTGAAGGGAGCTCAATATAGGCACCAACACCTCTCCAAGCGGTTCACCAGACAGTCACTCATCAGCATGAGTAGTAGTCACGTAATTCTAGTGTTGAAGCATTAGATGGTAATACGATTAAGGTAAGAAGTATTTGTGGTATTGGCATCGGGTTATACAGGCATCCGTTCAAAACCACAGATTCAACCAATTCCTACACCAGTCATACCACTCCCTCCTGGTGTAGGGCTTGTCATCTTTGTCCGTATCACAGCGACCATCATATTTCACATTTTTGTTCGCCGACCAGCATGCCTTGTACTGATCACCACACCTCTTCTGGGCGATAGTGAAGCTCTCAGGAGCGTCCCGGTTGCGGCGGTCGAGGCAGCTGAAAGCGTAGCTCATACACCACTTGTACTGAGTTGTACAGGCATCTTGGCATGCATCCTCGAGCCGATCTTTCTTATAACTTGGACACCTTCCGAAGTCCTTATCGTTGAAAGCTTGAATGGCTTTTGGTGGCGGTTAGGTCCCATGTCATTGCAGCCGACACAAGGAAGCTGATAGCCGCCAACGGCATTGGTACCAGCGTAAGGGGCTGGAGTGGCGCAAAGACACGAGGGCGTAGGAGCTGGGATGTGAGTAGTAGTCTTCGTGCTACTCGGCGGAGGGGGTGGAGTATAAGTAGCAGAGGGGATGTCGGTGGTTGACATCCAACAAAAGCTGTCAGTAAGACGACTCAAAATGCTGGATTATTTACTCTCATAGTAGTAGATGATGTAGATGATGATGGCTCTGGAGCCTCGCAAGGGTCAGTTGATTCTATACCCTTTGCCACAATACGTTCAGCAGACGACTGCCTCCGCACGTTTCGGAAGGATTGCCATTGCAGGGCATGTTACATTGGGACGCATCGACTGGGTTCGTTCCATTCCCCAACGCGGTCCCGCAGTAACTCTCCCCAGACCACTCGGTGCCGGCGAACGGATATCCTTTATAGCCGCAGGTGGATAAACAGAGATCAGTGGTCATTTGGCTACTGTCCAACTGATCTTAGAATACAGCAAGAGCACGGCCCGGCGATCCTTCCGTATAGCACCCAAGGGACATATAGTCCGTAGATTCAGCGACCCCGTCTGCATCAGGGAAAGTTGGATCTTGGTAGATGGACAGACGATCGGTATCACCGCATACTTGAGTCTCGTCCCCTCTGCAAGGAAAATTGCAATCTGACTCTGGTGTAGCAGCACTGTGGACAGTGCCGCCGCAGAAGCATTGCCCGAAGTACTTGAGGCCAGCATATCGATAGTTATTGCCCTACATCTGATGAACTTCCGTGGGCTATGGTTGAAGAGTGCTAAGTTACCTTGCAGAAAGAGGTGCATGCTTCGACGGTCATATTGTCGAATTCCAGTGGAGCGATCAACGGAAGGGATCTGCTATCAACGCTGTCGACATAGCACCCTGAGTAGACAAATGCAGTATAAGGGTATGCACATGGGGGGGAGAGGTCTTGATTTCGCTTCTTCAACGAGCAGATGTTGTAGACAAGAGAGTGCTGACTGCCAGAGCAGTCGCCATCATCTTGCTGACCATGATGTTGGAAAAAATCGAGACAAGAAATGACTGACGGGTTGTGCTACAGAACTTGAAAATGAGCGGCGCAAATGTCGACGGTACTGTTCGTTAATATACTCATGCGTCTCGACCGTGGGTGGCGTTCGGTCAGCGTTCGAAGTCATGGGGACTAAATGGTCGCCGATTTCAAATATTTGCAGGAAAGGCATACTAGCTGTAGATATATCGAGGGCAATGGCTCAGATGTTTTTAGCAATTGATACTATATGAGCGCGGATGTCTTTGAAGTCGTCTATCCTGTCTTATGACGCAAACCACGTCTTCTTAAGCAAGATCTCTGTCAATCTCCTGAATATGCGAATTGCAAAGATCTCGTGGCAGATGTTCTAGACTTTCAAGTTGCCTGGCCTGCAAAGCCAATGCGAAGCTTTGAACTTTGTGCTCAGCTGTCAGGGGTAGAGGCTCAAGGGTCCTTAATCCTTATTGTGGTGTTGTGGCGGCTATTGGTTCTCCTTTACCAAATCGATATATCGCTGTGCCCGATAAAGTAACAAACTATGTAATGCAGACAGGCAGTGGAAACGTACAGCATAAGTTTCAATAAATACCACTTCTAAGCGCCAGACAGGAATACTCACTGAAGGAGAAGCTACAAGCTCGCAGGTCTGGAGCACACCACGATCGCACTACGTACTGGTACTCTGGTGAAGTCTAGAAGTCCCAAGAGAGGCGTTCCTCAGTTTCTCTATTCCTAACATTATCCGTTCAGTTGTATATCTGGTGCTGATACTTATTCCCAGTCCGCAATGGCGGACCGCTCTCTGTTTCTTTCCTTACCCTCGATCCGTCAATCCATAAAAATGGCGGATCTCTTTTTCCTGATTGTATTGGACCTGGCAAATTTTACATACCAGGATTCACTAAATGATATCATGTAATAGAGACTCGTTGAGGTAGGTATGAGGATCCTTGAACCACGATCCCATGAGTGAAACCTTTCAAGTTACTAACACTAGAAAACGATTTATCATAGAATATATAGTCGGACAATCGAATTCTCTTCCCATATCTTCTACAATTGGTACCGGAATTGCGGATTCTTCCGGTCTGTGAGGTCATCGTCATAAGCATGCTCAAATCCTTCGGCACCTTCCGCGTCCCGGCGCTTGTTCTCCCACACGCAGAGAAACCGATAGAGAATCGCCAGAACTGCTGCGATGATGGAAGTGACCAGCACAACGACGAATCCGGGGGCATAGGCTGGGGCATCCTTTGGCTTGAAAACTAGAGGTCCGACAATGTTGCCTGCAATGGCATTGTTAGCACATTCAAAGTTCTCGGAAGCTGTATCTTGAAGCCAACTTACCTAAGCAATATCCTATGAAGATTCCTGAGCTAGTGACACTTCGCTTGGTATACCCAGCGGTGTTGGCAATCTGTTGACCCATCTGGACGGCATAGCCACCTCCAAATGATGCCAGGATGAAAACGCCGAAAAGGAGGCCGCCCTTTTGAGAGCGCGGCAGGAGCCAAAGCAACAAGCTGGCAATAATGGTACCGACCTGGCATACAACAACAATGTAGCTTCGAGTATTAGGGACCTTATAAGCAATATACGGAGCCACCCACTCGATCGTACCGATAATGGCTCCCGCTGGCATGGTAAGGAGTAACGAGTTAAGGGTGCTATAGCCAAAACCAGCGATTATGATAGGACTGAAGGTGGCCACAGGTCCGTTCGCGATCATAATCAAGAAAGCCATGGCGAACATGATCCAAAATTTAATGTCTGTGAGCGCATCAACGACCTGGTCGAACTTATAATGGGTGTTTCGGACGCCGGTATTGTTGGATCGTATGCGCGCAACGGCAATATATCGCTCGCGATCATTAAAGCCCTTAGCACGAACTGGATCCGGAGGCAGGAAGAAAAAGATGCAGACTCCCCAGATACTAGTATTCTCATTAGCCAGGCATCCCAATGTATGTTAAAGGAATAAGATTGAACTTGCACCGTCAGTAGACCAGCAACGAGGTACATGTACTGCCATGAGCTCAAACGACCCCCCTTAATATGGCCCAGTCCGTAGTTAATCAGAGGGGACACCATAGAGATGTAACCGGTACAGCAGTACCACATACCTTTGCCCGTCAATCAGACGGAGATATTTCTTTTATATAGACTGCACTTACCCATTCGCAATGCCTGTTCATCCTTCTTATACCATCCTATCCTTACCGTTAGCTTTTGCCGAGATTTTTATCAGTTCTAGGTATTTCACGAACCGCCAACTACCATCATGAACATTGGAGAAATGCCTGACTCGAGAAATCCTAGGAAGAAGCGCTGTACGTAGAGATGTTTCCATGTCGTGCAGCCAATTGTTGCCAGCAAACAACCGCCCCAGATGATGACAATGGCAGCAGCAACTCGCTCAATCGGCCATCGTTGCGCCATAACAATGGCTGGATAGGAGCCGGCAATGAATCCCAAGTAGAAGATGGCGGAGGAAAAGGAGTATCGATCCCCAACATTGAGATCCAAATCGGATCGCAATCCAAAGAGCGCCTAAAGGATCTGTCAGCCATGATGGTTCGTGGGTTAACAAGGACCCAAAGCGCGATTGTCTTACGGCTTGAGATAGCATAGCTTTATCATAGAACTGAAGGCCATAGGTTATACATAGGATGGGCATCAGCTTAAAATCGATTCTGCGCCTGAGTTTCTTTTCCTCCTCTTCGGTCCAAGTCTCCTCACCGCGGTAGTTCGCCAGGACCTTCATGGCCTCATCACCATGGATCGTGTCCACAGTCGCCGCCTTCACGTGGTCCTCCACGATCACCCGTGGAGCTTCCTTATCATCCTTAACATCAGTGTCGACTTTGTTCTCCTGTGACATGATGGCGATCGACGAAGCAAATAAAATATCCCAAGTCAAACCAAGAGAGAGTTACTGGGACTGACTAGAAAGGACGGAAGAATGAAGCGTTAACCAAAATGACTTCAATGCGGCACCGGAAAGGTCAAGTCGTTACTTATACGATAAGCATAAGCGGGGAATGGCTTCTCAGACACCAGGCAAGTCTGGATACCTATCTTAAACCCGAGGGTATGGAGGTCTACAGATATGCCAAGTCTAGATTGTGCGGGGAGCTCCCCTGAGCATCACGAAGTCGGCAACGAATTGCGTGCATTTATGAAGCACATATTCAGTTCCATCAGGCAGGATAGTGATTCATGATGTAGAGAGTGACTAGGTGAAAGAGGGAAAGCGGGTGGTAGCGTATCCCCAATTCCCCGCGAACTGCTGGGGGGCCCACGATGTTGGCCGGGAACGATTCATGCTCCCTGTTGTAGGGCTAGCGAATTGAAGCTCAAATAGTGGGCTTGAACTGGAAGATTTAAACCCGGAAATAAGGGAACAACCTGCAGCCCGGATTCGCTAGGTAATTTTTGAGACCTCGTGGTCTGGGTCTGTTCCAGTAGCCCCAGCCGATGAAAAGTGCTGCTCACTGCTCAGACCGATTATTTTCGATGAGGTATGTAATATCATCAGCAGCTTGTTGAAAACGAAGATGTGCTGTCTGGTAAGTGGCGACATCCCGATTCCTGAAGTATCCCATGCTCTTCGCGATATTTTCTGCTAGCTGAGATCTGCTGGCGTTCGCCTAAGCTTTGGGGCATGTAAGTCGTGATGCCCAGAGTGCTTCAGAGGTTTCCATAAGGTACCTTATTCTATAGACATTCCAGAAATGGGAGTAAGACGAAAACACATGCCGAGCAAAACGAGGAACGACCAAAAGGCTAGGACCACGAGATCCAAGGCATGAACGAGTCATGATCGGTATGCCGAATCATTCCCTCTTGAGACCTTGCCTCTGCATTCTGTACTACAGTCAATCCATATACACAGTGTACTAGTAATGATGGGGGGAGGTAATTGGTCGCTTGCTCCGTTGACAGCTGCGACGTCTTCGCCCGGCGTTCACATCCTAGCAATAGCTCACTTAAACCTCAAGCTAAATCGGAACGATTGGATCCTGATGAGTGGTGAGGGGAAATTCTCGTTGGTAATCCGCTAACGGTACGTATCACGGTATCTACGCTAGAGTACGATACTCCGCTCTAGCACGCGCAATCCTGTATTTCCTAATTAGCACAGAGCAGAGTCTGTCCCATTCAAGCGTGCTGGGGGGCTATAGGGTCAGTTTCTGGGGTGGTATTGTTGGGATAAACAATTCAGCAGAAATCAACTCACGATACGAGGTTCCAGCACCATTCAGCATTGCAAAGTGACGATGTTCTCCAAAATAAAAATGATTGATTGATTGATTCCTGCGCCCGTTCGGGTCAACTTCGGTCGGCCCATGGGGAGAAATAAAAATGGTCCCCCATGTCCCACTTCCATATGGTATGGACGTATGGTAACTTAGGAACCTTCGGTTGAGTACTCAGTACACCTGGAGATATGGTATTAATACCTGGAGAAGTGTGGGTAAACTAGGCAATCCGCCAATTCCAGCGATATCGGCACCCGACATGATAGCAACTTTATATCTTCTTACCTAGTTAGGATCTCACTAGAGCTCAAAAGTCCGCGGTGAAATCGTGGCCACAATATTGCCATTGTTTGCCTTGTGATAATATCGTTCGTTTGGAAGACGTTACTCTTAAGCAGCAACTGCTCCCGTCACCATTCTCAGCGTTAAGTCAACACCTTCGGTTTCCGTGCACCCCCTCAAAAGTCTAATGGCACGGAGCAGTAATATAGAATCTGCGTAATTCAACAGCCACCATATAATTTTCTATTAATATACTTGAAATTCTAAATACATGGGCTCGAACGTAGAATCTTGTAGTTGCCGTGACCTGTTCTGCACGTTTTGTCGCCTTTTCCTCCGCCTCCCTGGCCGCCTCCTCTGCCGCAAAAATTTGTTCAAGTTGGACAAATCTTTCATTCGGATTGGGTATTACCCTTTTCCGTTTTTAACCCGTAGGCCCGCCTAGAGCTGTCACTGTGTTCTGTAGTCTTAGAACCTCCGCTTTGAGCTGTGCGATTTCCGTGTTCTTGTCCGAAATCGCCTTCGCGACTTTCCCCTGAAACTGCCTGAAATCTCTCGGTCTCATCCCATAGAATTTTTGACGATATACGTCTCTCGGCCCCTTCGGTGTGTTGAATGGTATAGAGAAACTGGGTTCGGGGATTACAGGACGTAGTATTTTATGATTCTGATTCAATTGGGTGCTATTCAATAACTTTTTAAGGGTTATATGGGACCATTCCGGTTCTACGGAATTCTGCACGGATATTATATATATTAAGAGCTTAGGTTCATGATTCGTGATATATAGATATAAATTTATACTTTTTAACAGGTGCTAAACCATCAAGAAAGATTAGTTGGCTGGGTTCCTTATAATATCTTGACTTCAGGGGTGAAAAACATGCAACATCAAAGGGCTGGAGGAGGTAGGAAGCGTGAGTAGGAAAAAACAAGACAAAAACACGATTTTCCGTCTCCAACTTCATAACCTCCATTGTGGCATAAGAACCATGCCCATCACATACTGAAAGGCGTCATTCGGCTGCGGAGGAGTTCAGGGGTTTGCCGGAAAGCAAGCCCCTGAGGAGGACGCCTCCCGGGCAGTGGGCAAGTTTTTCTGGAAGACGCAATATCTCTTCTTTCAGAGGGGTGAGCGTCGTAGAAGGAGATGTCGAGATATCCGAGTGTGGCGAGTTGAGCTGCCGAGCACCACTCCGGCGTGTAAAGGCCTCTGCTATTCCATAGGGGAAGGGAGGGAAGCGATGGCGGTGAAAATGGCTGCGTCAAGATGCGAGATTTTCGCCTGAGTCGAGGCTTCTGTGGGAATGCTATATGAAAAATTGATCGCTTCACCACGTACATCTGGTCGGAAGTGAAGCATTCGATGAGGCGATTGGCTTTGTGCTCTTCGATGATGAGAGAACCGAAATCTACCAACCAATCTGTATGGCTTAGCTCTGCTGGCAATACCACGCCTGGAATTCGATCCACTCTGGGTCCCAAACAGAATGTCACTGGAAAACCCAGCATGGATACAAGCGATGATGTGCATATTTGGGTAATAGACTTGCAACCAGAAGAGCAGCGCAGCAGGCTTGATTATCTTTGCGTCAACGCATCACTTCGTGACGAGCCAGACAGGTATCGAATTCATCCTTCGGAATCAGAGATAAAGGGCCGGGAAGTGAGAGGACTAAGAGACCCTAGAGACTTAGGAGTAGAGTCATGGTCGTCAGAGATAGTTTATCCTAAATCTTATGCAAGAAGGAGAAAGGAGGCTTCACGCCTGAGTATAATGGACGGGGCGCTACGATGCATTGGATATTGCTATCCATATTGGAACCTGCGGAGCAGGGTTCAAAGAAGTTTAGGAGAGTGGGGATGGGGATGATAGGTTCGCCGGCTTGGATAGATAGCGCACAGCTTGATGACGTTTGTCGTTGTCTAAAGTTGAACTGTTCAAGGCAAATAGGGGTAGTTAACCATATGGTAATAATAGTTAATGATATGCTCCAGGTAAATGCTTGTGGTACGGATCACGACTCCACCAGCTTTCTGGAATAAGGCGCATCAGGAGTCAGATAACTGTCGACGATAGACGAGTGGGTGTCTAGTGTTTACACCAAAGCCTATTTACGAAAAAAACCTTTTATAAAAGTTGAATTTCAAAGCAATATCAAAACCGGAATGAGGAAAGATCTAGTCACGTGCGTCCAAGTACCATATCATAGACAGTGGAGTTCATCAGCGGATCAACAATTGAAGTATCTACATCTACTACAGCCCATGCATTAAACAGTCTCATGCGACAATTATCTTAGCGCTCAAAGGATCTGTTGCAGGGCTACCCTGATGTGAGATTTCCCCAGAACAATGGCATCCGACATGCAGATCAATCCGCAACGAACCGCTCAGTTGAGCGAGAACATAGCCCAAGTGCTCAAGAGCATAAACCGTGCCAGCAAGGGTAAGCAGGTATTTGAATCACGAATAGCATTCTTCAACACATGGAAATTGGCTGACATGTGTAAATTCAGGTGCGCCTCGTGGCTGTTTCAAAACTCAAGCCAGCAAATGACATCCTCGCATTACATACTGCATCGTCCAACCCGCAATCGCATTTCGGCGAGAACTATGTGCAGGAGTTGCAGGAGAAGGCGGCGATCCTTCCCCGATCGATAAAATGGCACTTCATCGGAGGACTACAGACGAACAAGTGCAAGCCGCTTGCCGAGCGCATCCCGAACCTATGGTGTGTCTCTAGCGTAGATGAGGTAAAGAAGGCGGATGCTCTCGAGAAGGGACGGGCCGCGTTGGCCAACTCACCTAATGCTCAGAAAACGGAGAATGAGAGCAAGCCGGAGGAATTGGATGAAAAGCTACGCGTGCTTGTCCAGGTCAACACATCTGGGGAGAGGAATAAGAGTGGCTGCGAGCCGAGCGAGACACCGGCTCTATGCCAACATATCATCTCTTCATGTCCGCATCTGCGTCTATCCGGGCTAATGACGATCGGCTCGATTGCACGGTCAGTTGCTACCACGCTGGAGAATGAAAACGAAGATTTCATCACATTGCGGAGCACGCGGGACGAAGTTGCTTCCAAGCTAGGGCTGAAGCCCGAGGACCTAGATTTGTCCATGGGAATGAGCTCCGATTATGAAGGTGCAATTGCAATGGGCAGTAGCGAAGTGAGGGTAGGGAGTACGATATTCGGGGAAAGGCCACCGAGAAAGGAGGCCAAGGTTCGAGAGGATGCTTCGGAATCCCAGCCGTCATGACCGCATAGCTCTTCTCATGAGTGAGATGAATATGAAAACTATGAACAAAGAAGGAGATTAATCACCACAATGTTTCCTGAGTACCTATCACGTCGCTCAAGTCATTTTCCACCAGTCCCGGGGTACGACCCCTCGCAATTATGTCGCACCAAAAAGGCTAGTAAACAACGTTCTTGATATGTAGGCAATGCTGCCCAAATATGATATGACAGTTTCCATCCTATCATGACCCCTGCGACAAGCGTTGCTCCAGTATCTTCATCAGAACCGGCGGAACACCCTCGTCTGTTGCCCGAATCGTGAGCCGATACATCTAGACTACGTCAGTATTCCGTGCAAGACTTTCAGAGCACCAAACCTACCTTCGACTCATAGTTGGGTTCCAGGCGCATGAGGCAACCGAACTTCCCTCCTGCACTCGTGTGCACCACCGTTGCCCCGACGATATTCTTCGCATTAGGATCGACTCCATCGAGAATGCCCCATTTGAACCCTTCCACGATCTTTCTGGTAGATTCCGGAGTAACCCTCCCGTCTCTCGACGTCACATGGATAATCTTCTGGGCTTCCCGAGTCCCGCCGCCGATCTGCTTCCATCGCTTGAAGAAGTCGTCGCCGGACAACTCGGCTGGGTCCATGTACTTGGGCAACACGACGGGGAGCTGCAAGGTAAGAGCCTGCAGGGCACCAGCAAGGTATGATATCCGAATTGTCGGCGGGTCGGAGAAGACGTTCTTGGCCTCGAACATGATCATCTGCTGCGATTGACCCTCCGGTGCAATGTTAGGTTCAGGCAGACTCTTGATGTCGGAGCTCAGGTTCTCTGCCGAACGGTTGTCCAGCGTTGTCGTGAACGATCCTATTGAGTATGAGGACTTGTTGCTGAAGTAAAGAATGACGCAGCCGCGGTCGGCGCGATATTCGGTACGCAGTCCGATTTGTACTTGAGCATCTTCGTAGAGAATTCCTTCCGAACGGAGCAACATCCGATTGTAGCCCACTTCCCAGTCTGGACTGAGGTGGGTTGTGCTGGCGAGGTTGGGGGCTGATTCGGACATATCCAAGCCAGCAAGCTCGTGTCCGTTGGAGAACGTCCCATTTGTGGCCTTGCCGTTGGAAGCAGGGATACCATTTCCGGGTCGAGCCTGAATGGGCGATGCGTTTGTGAACGACCGCTTGAGCCCGGTGTTCTGAACAAGGTTGAACTCCTTGGAATCCACGTTGGCGTCCTTTCCACCAACGACCCATGTGCGTCGGTCGCTTGATTTGGCATGTTTTTTATGCAGCCGAGACAGCAGAGCCGACGCTCGTTCTGGGAATGGGGGCATCTCGTCGCATACCGTCCGAAGGAGATCATCTGTCGGAAGCTCCGCAAGCGCAAGATATTCGCATGCTCTTTGCTGTAGCTCGGACTCAAGAGAGTGGCTGTAGGTCTTAAAAACCTGTAGGAGCTGAGGTTTGATTTCGGGGAACAGATTGACGAATTTGACGAAACTGGAGAGGATAATGGCTCGGGTGCTGGACGAACATCCTTGCATTTTCGACTGCAGGACCATGAACTGTTCTATCGGACTGCAGCCCGGATTCTCTGAAATGAGATGTCCGAATTCGCCGAGCAGGTAGCCCCCAATTTTGACAATGGTTTCATGACAGTGGTCTTGCTTGACGTAATTCAGAATACTTTGCGCCGCGTACACCTGGAGCTCTTCGTTGTTGGTCACGATCTGGATGATCCGCTGCCATACTTCATCGCTGACATGATCGCCGGCCATGGAGATCAACTTGAGCGAGACGTTGACATACCATTGGATGTTAGTGGCGTACTTCTCCGCGAGAATCGCGATCTTCAAAACCATCTCCTCTCGGATGGCATAGTCCGCACTCTGAAGGTACTTGAGCAGCTCGGTGACGATGGCTTGTGAATTTGTTGCGTCGCACATGCTGTACAGCAAGTCCAACCCTTGCCGACGTACACTAATATCTCGATCTCGCAAGGAGCCGATAATGATGTTTTGGTGTTTCTTGATTGGATCCAGGTTCTCGCTCCGGGCTGCCAGGTGGGTCATCGCCTCGAGTCCTAGGTATCGAACATTTGTCTCCCTTGCCTGTATAAACTTTCCAAGGTGGGATGATATCCGAAGCATCAGGTCGCGCTCCGTATCAAGGTGTATCGTCAAGTTAATGGCCTCGAAGAGAACAGCATTCTGCGCATTGTTCTGCTGCACGTTTTTAGGCGTTGACATGGTGGAATCTAATATGCCACGCAAAGAATCTCTGATTAGGTCGCGAATGTGGGTATCATCTAATACTGTTAGCTTTATGAGGCCCAAATGTTGCGTGATACGTACTTGAAGGAGGGAAGTATTGCAGCAACCTCATCAACTTGACTTGTATCCAGGGACAAGGAACATTATAGTAAAGATAATCCGGGGCGCACTCCAGGTCGACGACAATGCTCTTTAATCTTCTTGCAGCCTTTACGTAGCTCCCTTTGTACTGCTCTGGACTTTCTTGAACCAGAGCCATGACAAAAGAAGTCACAGAGAGGGCAACGCCCATATCGGGGTCATCCATCAGCGATATTATTCTTTCCGCCCATTCGTTCTGAACAATTTCCGGGAATTTACGATATAGTCGAAGAAGTGTCAAGGCCGCTTTCTTTTTCACAAACGATTTCGAAGTTCTAAAGGGGAATTAGCACCAGCACCGCCGCAGGAGGAGATGTCCTTACGGAGAGATCATCAAGCGATGGACATCTGCGCTAAGAGACTCGCCCATTTCCCTTCCGCCAATGTTTGCAATCGCATGAAGCGCCAAGCAGTTGTTCAATTCGTTATGGTCCATCAAGTCTTTCCGGATGCTGTTGACCACCAGCGGGACCAAGTCATGTTGTTCGTGAAGGAAGAGCGTCACCGCCAGGTATCCGATTTGTTTCTCCGAGTATTTCGTCGACGAGACCAGATTGACAGCTTCGAGGTGGCCAAAGTCGACTTCCCATCCGAGGATGTAGATGTAGAGGAGCTTGCAGACATATTTCTTCTTCTGGTAGCCGTTGAGTTTGCCGTCCTTGAACTGCTTGCGGATATTCGCCAGCTCCTTATTGATTCTTTTCTCCTCCAGCTCGCGGGCTCGCGCGTTTCTGAGATCCGCAATGAAGGAGACCAGTCCTAGTCCTTGTCAATACAGAATATGACAAATGCAACGAGCACAATACCTCGCATAGTAGGCTCCTTTCCCGACGACCCGCGGCTGAACAGGCCGGCGCCTGCTGTAGAGGACGACATTTTGCTTGAGGCGGACATCCCCAGATCGGTGTAGATGTGTGCAACGAGCTATACTCGTGAATAAGTCTTGGGTTGAGGCTATCCGCTGGGCATCGACGGCGTGGGATGAAGCTCCGTGACCATCTAGATGTTCCTATTCATATCATGGAGGCGAAGCCCACAGATGTTGATTGTGGCATCCCATTCGTGCCAGAAGCTAGACTCGTCGGGTTCGAATTGTTAGTATCAAAGACACCCTGGAACAACAACCATGGTGCATGTTTATTCCAATCGCCTGTCACCGGCGGCGGGAGTCTTCAGCCACAGCGGAGAAAGATCGTGGTGGTTGACATACTAGCTGTTCTGCCTCGTTGCCTGAGGCTTCAACATCTCTAACCCTTCAACTTTTGATGCGACTTCAAATGTCCAGAAGTCGAGATCTGGAATCGCATCTTCACTTCCTTCAAACGCAGGTTCGAGAAATGGCGCGACAAAACCGCTTACTCCTCGATCTTTATCGAGGCTATAACCTGCGATCATCTCCATGCCAGTTTGTCTGTCGACAATGCCAGTCAAACCCGAGCAAACACCCATCTCGATCCTTTTCGACATCTCTACCAGCTCGGAATGAGCTACGGCGAACCTTGGGCAGCCAGGAAATCGCCGAGGTCGATGAGGGATATGAGGGACCTCCAATAGAAACGCCAGCTCCAAATATCTACCAAGCTGCCGAAACATGGCATGGGCTCGAATGGGTTGGTACGGAGGAATGGCAAAGAAAATGGCGGGCTTCAAAACGGATACCCTTCGCTAGGTACGCATCGGTCGATACTATACCGGTATCGCATTCTCTGACAACATCGCGTAGTTTCCTCCCTCGATCTCGCGAGCTATCCCCCGCCCAAATTCAGAACTTCGTGCATAGGGCAATTGTGGAGATTTTCACTATCAAAGCGGCGTCGATGCCGGTTCGACGCGTTTCGCAGCTGCCGTCAGACTCGGTGAATGATGTAGCCCTTGCTACCACAATCGGAGTATCAGAGGATGGAAATCAAGTGACACTAGGTTTCCCAAGCGAAGAGGCAAGACTTTCTTTCATCCCCGAGGAGGTGCAAAACCCGACTTCGCCGGATCAACAGTTGGTGGAGAACGAGGAGGACGTTGAGGCTGCAAAATCCGTCAAAGATATCGTCGGAAACACTGCCGTGGCGGACTCAGACATTGAGGCTTGGAGAAACCTCTCCTTAGCTGATCCGGAGATAAAATTCGCAGTATGGGCACCAACACACCCCTTCAACAGATGGCTAAATATACTAACACCCCGCAGGTCCTCAAGCGCGTAATGCAGCTATCTGGAATCAGAGTCCCTGATCATTCCCTTCACAACGCCTTCACTGCCGGAGCATTATACGAGTGTCTTATTCTCCCGCCGAAACAACCCAAGCTAGCGCAGGGGCTGCTTGCCAGTGAGCTGCTTGCTGCCCTTCCCAATGTGAAAATATCGGGCAAGAAGATAAGTGAGATACAACGAGAAACGGAGGTTGGCAGGTGGAAGGTTATCAAGGAAGAGCTCAGGAGTCGCGATCTTCCGCTGCGGGTCCGTTGTTGATTGTTTCCCAGCTTTGGTCATGAAAGAGTCTTGTTTGCTCTCGATAGAGTTTGTATCATCAGTTGTTGATTAGCTGGAGGCGATGAATCCTATTGGCTGGGTGTCGGCTTGGTGTTTCTGGCAAGGTGAATTGGGTAACTTTAACTTAAATCCCAGATTTCTTACCATGAATCCATCGCTGATTTATTTACGTGTATTACACTTCTTCTCACTCACCTCCCACTTCCAACCTCTTCGCCCTTTACATGTTGTCATTTCTCACTTGAGAGTCCAATACCTATCATAGTCTCCCAAACCCGAATCTACACATCACATTGGGCATAAGCGGATTTTCAACTCTTTGGTACTAGATGAAGCTAAGCACATACAGTTAAGTAGTTAGTTGAAAATCTCCACTGCGGTTCATTGTTGAAAGGCCTGTACTGAGAAGCAGAAGAGTCCCAAATCAAAAACCTCGAACGCCTTTTCGAAGCATCAAGCTACCCTAGCATTGCTGTCACCATGGTCCTCTGTGCAATTTGCAGCAAACCCGATGCAAACAACTGTAGCGGCTGCAGGTGAATTGCCTATTGCTCGAAAGCATGCCAACGACCGGATTGGCCTGAACATCGCTTTGTCTGCAACTAAATTCAAGATCTCGGGAACCGGCCCAGTGATCAACACCAACACAGCTTTATATTTCCGTCATAATGGATGCAGCCTAAAGTTGGCTGGATTCTGTTTGGCCGAAGTGAAGGATAACGGACGAGATGTGTGGTGACGCGAGGGACGATGATCGCCTCCTGGCAGATTGGAGGCATCACGAATCCCAACCACTGAAACAAATTCCAGCTGTGATCTCATTCCGCTGGAACAGGATTCGCGGCCGGAAACTGGAACACACGATCAAGATTTTCTCTTGTGCGAGAGATATCAAGGACACGCATCTCAGCTCTACGGTCGTGGCAGTGGCCCCGCGCGTTCTCATTCGACAGTCCCCGGTTCCATATCATTGGAAAGGCCTCTTTTCGTTATGAAGCGCAAAGGGGACGGATATAAGCCGACTGAGCATGAAGATGTCACTGCCCACGACTTTCTGTACCTCCTCCATTTCGTCCGTGGATACGGGAACCCCGGGGAACGATTAGGCCCGCAAGATGGCTTCTCTATCCCATGCTAGCAGAGTGGTTCGCAAGGACAAGACAAAGGGTTAGCTGTGTGTGTGCAAGGTGTTCGAGTGAACGGAGAAGGAGATCAGTCTACGTCTGGTGCCTCCCTCCTCAAGGCTGCCTAGTGTCTACGTTCCGAACGACCACTTCGTTTTCGCGGAGCCGATCACACCAGCCTCACAGCTTGTCCGTTTTCCTCTACGTCGATGGAAATGCAGTCTCACTCCTGATGCGTGGGAAAACGGCCCAGACGGCGAGTTCCGCAGTGGCTTTGCCAACTGGCCAGCAATCTATCCTTTTGGGGTTGCTGATCCCTATTCACGAACGTTTAGTAGTCCTCCAATTCCGAAATGGTCAGTATTGGAAGTATAATCATAGTTCGGGCCGACAGACAGGCGTTGCCCCTAGCGGACGGGCAGAAGTTGCTACGCTTCTTCCTCTATATATTCGGCTTCTACGGTCAAGAAATCCTAGAGGCAACTGGGAATGACGATCCCGTTTACCTCGATTCCCCCCGGCAACAGTGGACCGGATTGGTGACATCTGAAAAGTTCCAGCGAATCGTACCAAAACTTCCTCAACCCAACTCGGGTGGCGGCTTCAGCAGGCCGGATTATTCCCTCCTTGATAACCACGTCAGACCAACCCTTAAAGACGACCACGATGGTTGATGTTCGATCTCGGACGGTGCCACACGACTCAGGACCGTGAACGGAAGGGCCATGGTGACTTTCGAGGGAAGACGATGTGTACCTAATGAAGCTGAGACGCAACTTGGGATAGAAGTAACTTTCCGTGGAATGGAATTCAAGCCGCAACTAGGATGGATCTATACATCTCCTTCAATTGAGTCCGGAGTTCATTGCTGGAGCAGAGGGAGATGGGGCGGGCGTTTGCTGTTCGAATATCTTCCAGGAATGAGATTCTCTCCAACTCATCTAGTGTACTACGTAGTGGCATGGGAAATAAAGGCGTCAAAACTAATACCAACTTGCTTGACTCCGTATTCGCATGTGAATTTATGAAATCTAAACCGGTCGATTTCGATTCTTGACGAGATCACGGGCTTGCCCCGGATTCCCCAACCGAGGTTTGAAGCTTGGACGTCAACTCAGGGTTTGCAAGGGCCAAGGGGTGACGATCCTAGTAGAAGCAGCGATGGAGCCCATCTTGCGTTTCAATCACAAGTTGCGTGCGTAACGTATATGAACCATTCCCCCGCTGTAGATTTCCATGTGAGTGCTCCTGTGAACCATCCCAACCATCATCCTCCCTCTAACCACACCATGACAGCCGTCCAGAAGTTCTCCATCTATAATGGCAAGCTCCAGCGAGCCCTCCTGGACCCTCTGTTCACCGGCCCGTTATGGTGGGCGCTGGCAAAGAGTCCCGAGTCCGTGAAAGGCGCTCTTGTTCCAGTGTTGACGTCCGTATTATCCGAAGAAAAGGTACCCAAGGTCGCGAAAGCGCTGCAATGGCTGTTTATCCTCGGCCTCGTCGCGAAAGCGAACCGATTCCTTAGCGATCTCGCGTTGAATCACTGGAGATTGAGCGCGAATAAGAAGGAATGGGTCTGGGATCGGGAAGTGGCGGTCTTGACTGGAGGATGTAGCGGCATTGGTCTTTTGGTGGCTCATGGCCTCCAGCAGAAGGGTATCAAGGTTGCAATTCTGGACATTCAGCCTTTGCCCAAAGAGCTGAAAGGATGTAGGTCAATTGAGCTTAGAGTTCGGATGGGTTTCGCTTTACTGACTTCGATCACCAGATAAGAACGTCAAGTACTGGAAATGCGACGTGACAAAGCCGGAAGAGATCGTAGCCACCGCCCGGGAAATCAAACAGATCTGGTGGGCGCCGTCCATCCTCATCAACAATGCTGGGATCGGTGCCCCCCATCACATCATCGACATCGACCACAGTTCCTTGACCAAGATCTTCGGCGTAAACATCATGAGCCACTTCACAACCGTGAAGGAGTTCTTGCCCGACATGCTCAAGAAGAACAAGGGCCATATCGTAGAGGTAGCGAGCTTGGCCAGCTTTGTCTCCATCGCAGGTATCACAGACTATTCTGCCACAAAAGCCGGTGTCCTCGCCTTCAGCGAAGGTATGTCAATCTCCCTCGACGCACTAGATTCTGTTCATTGACCCCTATAGGCCTCAACCAAGAGCTCCGACACCGCTACAAATCCAACGGCGTCGTCGTCACGACCGTCCATCCCGGCTGGACCGCCACTCCCCTTGTCACCACGTACGACGAGGCCATCAAGAAACACTCTGGAGATCTACTCAAACCGGAAACGGTGGCGGATCAGATCGTCCAGCAGATCCTGAGCTGCCGAGGCGCCCAGTTGGTGATCCCTCGCGAACTGAGCGTGTCGTCAGCTGCGAGGGGCTGGACGAATTGGTTGCAGGAGTTTTTGCGGGACACTCAGAAGGGTGTGACTGCCGTTTAGTTTGGGTTGGTATACCACTGGAGTTTGTTTTAGAAACAGGCTAGGGTGGAAAGTCGACATGGCGTGGCATCGTTTATGGAGAGCTATACCCCCTAGTTCGGTTTCACACTAGATGAGCTTTACTGGTGTTTTCGTGTAGTTCTGCTGTGAGTCTAGCCGTGCTGTAATATCATTGGACAATCGAGACATCGCAGATTCCTTATCATCTTGTGATATGCAGCTGTTGAAAACTGGTATACTTCGTGCTCACTTAGCAATCACGAAGTCATGTCTTGATTCCCCCTCCGCACCCCTGAACGATTGACAAACTAGTTATAACTAAGTAACTAAGTACTGTCATACAAGTTTTCGGTGGATTTTAGAACCGGAATACAGCATATAAAGACAGGTTGGATGAACCGAAGAGATGAATATATATTGTTCTCAAATGTGGAACTGGGAAATCCAACTCTTCGTCAGCACTAAATGTTTCCCCCAAATTTCCATGAATTCAAAAACTTACCAGAACTACTTATATGTTAGCTCGTTGCCTCGGCCAGTATACCTACTCAGTCAACTCTTTCAGTATACCGTATCGAATACCATATCGAATACGTTCCTTGCTTTTTTGTCCTCCGGATTAGGCCCCGTTTAGGAAGAACGGTGACCGGAATCCGTCAAATAATACTTTCGGCAAGATCTTTATCAATCAAGATGTCCCAATTCGCTCCTCTCCAACTGTCTCAATGTGTTTCAATTCCTGAGTGTTGGTTAGTCAAGGATAGATCAAATTCAGAATACTTCTGCGAGAAAAAATAGGCCGTCATCCGTAATATCTGCAGTTGCGATTGGTGCCTAGCAGACTATTGTGTTCACAATGTCGATAAATTCCGTACTGACGTATCCTACATCTGGCCAGGCGCAGTGGAATGCAACGGGAAAATTTTGGATTTGCGCAAACTAATGACTTGTGGGGGACCTTGACACTCCAGTCATACCATATCTGACCTCACTGTCTTCATGATGAACGAGTTATTATTAAAGTAGAATTCACACTGTCAACGTTGGAGCACAGGAGTGGAAGCACCTTCCTGTTCGCGAGAAAGATGGGCTGCTTCGGAGCCATGGACCAAGGCACACCGGGGTATGGTAGATAAGTTGGTATAAGAATGAAATTCGGCCCTATGAATAATTTGGCTTTCTAATCAATGTTTGGTGCCGATGAACATCGATGCTTGTAGCGACTAGTGATAGATGCTGTGGGAAATGACTCGAGTCCAGCTTCATGATATCTAGCATCCTTCGTCTTAGAAAAACCCAGGTTATGGTTTCGGCGTCAACCCAACCATGCGGTGATGGTTCTAAGTGCCATGTTCAAGCCGAGTTGATGTCTTGATGAAGTACAGTTGTAAATCAGTGTTCTGTGAGTGAGCAGTGCTGCCAGGCTGTCAGTGAGGTTGGTGATAGACAGGGATGATCGGTTCGACCCCTGTCTTTCATTTATTTATGGTGATACCCGACACTTCCATGTTCCATCATCCATGTTTGCATGTTTGTTGTTTACTGGGCCAACACCCGAATAACATCAAATATGAACCACGGATTGTGCTCCATAACCTCCCCTCCATCCCCTAATCTTCTGCTTCGTCTTTGCTTATCAAAATGGATCGACGCTCTCACGGCGGGCCTATGGACTTCACCTGGACCAATGGCCTAGGACCTGTTGACGAATCTTCTCCATTCGCCACCCTTGCACGAACAGGAGCCCAGCGACGAGCAGAGCAACAGGAATCGCAAAACGGCACGGTGAAGAAACGTATGTGTCTCCATGACTTTCGTGGATAGTGAATACCCGATGATGTTGACAATGTATGCACAGGACCGCATAGTGTTTTTGACTCCCCCACCAAATTTGAACCAACCTCCTTCCGCGAACCAACCTCCCAGTCATTCTTGTTCTCCCAGCCTTCGACCGAGCGAAACAAGCCGCTACCACGACCCCCACTGGGCCCTCAGTTCACGACCCCGCGGAAATTCGAGGTTGAGGTGTCATCGGGGGGAGAGACTCCTGATACACCGGACATCAGTTTTGCGGATAGTGAGGGCACCCCGGGAGGAATCCCCATGGCCTTCGGTGCAATCAAAGCTAAGGGCGGTGATGCAAGACCAAGATCTCCGGTCAAGTTCAAAGGAAGCGATGATGAGAGCGCCCCGAAGAAATCAGGGCGGAGAGACAGCTGGATGAATTTCAGGAAATTGATATCCTCCAGCCCAAAATCGAGTTCATATTCTACTAAGGGAGAGCGGCGAATTATGAAGCGGCGAACAAAGGCGGCGGATACCGAGAAGAAGTCCCTCGTACGACGTCGGCGACATGCTCGAGATAGCGAGGACTCAGACGATGACGCGAATTCTCAACCGACAGCTCCCGAGTCGAAGCCCGGCTTTGGCTCCTCCATCTCCTCCTTCTTCACCTACCTCGAATCCCACCCTAACCTCCCCCACATCCTTTCGTACTACGTCCAGCTGGCTCTGAACATCTTCATCGCCTTCATGTTCATGCGCACGCTGTGGTCATTCTGGTCCGGGATCATGGACGACGTGAACCAGCGGGCCGAATCGGCCAAGATCAATATTCTCCACGAAGTCTCCACGTGCAAAAAGCACTATGAAGAGAACAATTGCCATGTTGCCAGGACCCAGGCATTGGAACCGCTATGCCAAAATTGGAAAGACTGCATGAACCAGGATTCCGACAACGTCTACCGAGCCAAGCTCAGCGCCCGCATGTTCGCCGAGATATTCAATTCCCTCATCGAGCCGATTTCCTGGAAGGCCATGGTAAGTTCCCACCCCCTCCCTCCCACAAAGCAACCCCCTACTAACCCACCCCTAAAGATCTTCATGATCCTCTTCGCCGGCTCAGTCATTCTAGCCTTGAACGTCGCGTTCAGCATGTTCCGTAACCACTACCCCCCGAATAACAACACTCAACACTCTTTCATGCCGCAGCATCCGTCCTTCCCACAAACTCCTCACCGATACCCAAGCGGCGGCTCGTTCCATGATGATCATGCGTACTTCACCCCGTATGGCACGATCGGCCGGACTCCCAGCGGGGAGCACGGGGGGCTAGCACTGGAGCCTGGGCCGAGTGCGATCGCAGGCGCACAAAATCAAGGGAGTCCTGGAAAGCGGACATGGAGGTGATGCTCCCGACGACGAGGAATGCCCTGGTCGGGTCATCTCCGCTCAGGAGGACGAAGCGTAGCTTGTCGTCCGTTTGCTAAACAGCATATTTCCTTTGTACAGGTAGCGACAGCTTGCTGCCCACGAATTGAACGTTGTATTTTAGAGGATTGGAGTCTTCGTGCATATAGTTGACATATTATCAGGGTGTACGATAACGGGAACTCAGGAAGTGTGCATTGGCGTTGTCAGGGCAATAGTTATCAAATTGAGGCGACAGGCATCGAATCATGGACATATAGACCGCGTGATTTGCAAGCAGTAGCTAGCACCTATCCAGAACTGGCATAGCATACCTAGCATACTAGAAAGGAACGAATTATCAATGGATCCTCTGACCATGCCGTGTGCCCTTCCAACTTTCCGAGCAGTGTGAAAAAACCAAGTTTATTGCTTCCATCGTCCTCGCAATTGGCGTTGATCATGGCAGTGGATTTCCGTTTTGGGGCTTGGTCGGCCGCGTGTATCCAATAAAATCGTGAGTCTGGGCCATTGCTGACAATCAACTTCGCTCTGATTGGCCGAATGGTCGACGTCGCCACTGTTTAGACATGACCGTCACCTGTTGTGATATCGCTCTCAAAGGCATTTAAAGAGCCTCAACTCTGCTCTGATTCTAATTCCATATCCTTCTTCTTTATCTAACTTCAATACCTATATCTCTCGATCTACCAATCCAACCAATCACCCAGAAACACTCCCACAACCTCACAACCCACCCCTACATCACATCCACGTCACCGCTCAGCTCTATATTATACCGCACCATCCATCACCCAACCCACCAAATAACCTTCTCAACATGCCTGCTCCCATCGCTACCGCTCCCCCGGCATGCTGCCATCGCACCAACGCCGGCTCCGGCTGCATCTGCGCTGCCGAAGCCACCTGCTCCTGCGGCAAGCAACCCGCCCTGCACTGCAACTGCGAGAAGCGCGTCGCTGAGAACGCCGTCTCGGGAGCTACCTGCTCATGTGGTACGTGGAATCCCCTAGCAGAGAACCATGTGGATGAGGATTCTTTGGAGTCCTTCAGTTGCTTTGGCTGTGGTGGTCTGATATAGTTGGCTTCGTATACTGACTGGTGATTTCAGGGCGAAGGGAAGCGGGCCACTGCACCTGCAAACGTAGCGACAAGGAGAACACCGTCCCGAGTAGCACGTGTGCATGCGGGAAGCGAGCGCAAGGTACTTATGTTTGATTGAGTAGAATCTCGAATCGCGTTAACTCATGTTGTAGATTCGTGCACGTGTGGTGGAACGGAACTGGGAGGATCAACGGCCGAGGAGATTGATTTCACCACTACGAAATGAGTTGTCTAGGGTATTATAAGGTGGAGACGGCTTGATTACGGCGTTGGGTTATGAGTATCCATTGAATTGACGAAGGGAAGCCTCTTAAGGCGACGTCATGCTTGGATGAGGACTAGCGATGTATTGTCTAATGGAATAAAAAATCAATTTGGTCCTATCATTCTGAATCAATAGTTAGGATTCGGAACTCAGATATCGATGCACAATTGGATTTAAAAACTCTTCTTGTGATCTATTCTTCCATAAAGGAAGAGTTACGGTATAATTTAGACCATCGCTTTCGTGGTAGGTCTTCGTTCGCTATTCACAGAAAGTAGTCGGCTTTCAGTCGTCTCCGAAGGTTAGACTCAAAGCAGAAGGGATGAGCCAGCTGTGAGATCCGGGAATACCCCATCTATCCAATCTATTCGCAGATGTGGCACCAGGTCAGGTCCCCTCGTACCCTCTCAAGAGCTGTTAAATTTGTCAAATAGTGCCGTCTTGTCAATGAACTTCATGGCCCCGATCGTATCCATAACGTTGTTAAGTGATATTTGGTGCTATGGCTTCATCCTCCCACCGGGGAGCAGGCACTACACACCGTATCGTACACCATTCTTGTTCCATCGAAACGCCAGAAACGGAGAAGGCAACCCTTCCGCTCAATCAACATCCACTCCCGCCGCCTTTAGCTCCGTCCGCGCCTGCTCGATCTGCTCCATCAGCTCTTGATGCGCCTTGGGGACGTCGTTGAAGGTGAACACGCCGAGGCCGAGTTTGAAGAGGAGGTATGCGCCGAAGGACACAAGCGCCCAGAAGGGAAGCTAGAAATACTGTCAGTACTCCATGGACGGACGGAGTGGGGTGATATGGCTACAGGGAAACGTACGACGGGTATTATCTCATTCTGAATGTTCGCGGGGAAAGGGATGAGGCCGAGATAGCAGGCAAGGTAGAGCTGTTGTGGTTAGCTGGATCAGAGAGTGGGAAGGGATTTGCGTACTGAGGAGATCAGCAGGGCTATTGAGATGGTCTGCTGCGCTCGAGTCATGATGGCGAAGGAGTTTGCGATGTTATACGGTCGGCAATTGGTAGCGGGTGGAGGTGAGCGATGGGGTTGGAGCTGTAGGGCTCTCGACTTGGGGACGCGACGTTGAAACGCGACGGTGGAAATCCGGATATAGCGCCTGAGGCATCAATATCGATTTTTGCCCCATCGTCAGGCATGGATTTGAAGTGAGATATCTTAAAATACTTTACCGCATATCAAAATACCATCACTCAACTCTTTTGGCGAGTACGGATCTCATGAGATTCTAACTCTGTCAATCACATAAATAGAACGTGCTTTCGTCCTACTACCTGATGTCTTCTCCCGAAGACAATGTGCGGCTACACATCAGGCCGCTGAACGAATCCCTGCTAGAAAAACTCGTAGGCGGCCAGAAATTTTCGAGCGGCACGGTGAAAGATGTTTTTATCCATAAATCTGAGGCCGAGCCAGAGGGTTCGTTTGGGTTTTTGAGCCTTCCGAAAGGGACCGCCGATGCGCTTCTCAGGAAGTACAACCACTCCACGATCCAGGGCCGCAAGCTCAGGATCCAGAAAGCAAAGCCCGAGACCTGGAAGGACCGGAGAGAATCTAGCGAAGAGGAGATTTCCACCCAGACATCCGGCGTGATATCATCGCCATTGCCAGCCCTCCGACCTTTCGGGTCGGTGCTCACAGGCTCCCAAGTAAAGCGAGACAGTCACGGCAACGAACGCCACATCAAACGTGGCTGGATCATCCCCAAGCGCATCCAGCAGAAAGGCGGCAAGGAGGATCGATTCTTCCAGTACAGTCGATGCGCATTCAAAACGCGGGTACCGCCGAATCGGGTATCCGACCTAAAGCAACCAGCTAAGGGACCCGACCCAAAAACGAGCACTGGGACCAGGCCGCACAGGAAAGAGGCGACGATTGTGGAATTCGGAGGCGACAAGAGGCGGGCATGGCTTGGGATGGATTCTAAACCTGGAGGTGGCCCGGTACCTCTGACGTATTTCGACGAGTCTAGAGGGGGTTGGGTGGCAGAGGATGGGACCTTGGTCGAGGCCGTTGGGGACAGAAGAGCTCGACCGGCAGCAATCTATACCGCTGCAGAATTCGCGGAAGCCATGGAAGGGGTATTTGATGAAGAGGAATCCGAATTGGGGAACGATAGTGTTTCTGAATTAGGTCACACGCCGGGCATCTCTACCGCTGCGGAGTTTGCGGCAGCCATGGAGGGGGCATTTCTGGACGATGAATCGGATTCCGGCAGTGATGATGCTTTGGAGTCATTGCCGTGGGGGAATCTGGCGGAGCCAGTTGATGATGGAGAAGCTCCAAAGGTAGTCACCTCTACAGCTACTGAATTCGCGGCTGCTATGAATGGCGCATTTCTTGAAGATGACGATGAACCGGAATCTGGGGATGGTGCTGCGGAATCAGGCCGCGAGTCAGTCAACTCTGCCGCAGTGGAATTTGGGGTTGACATGGCTGGCACACTTCTTGAAGATGAAGATGGACCAGAATCTGGCCCCGGTGATGCTGCGGAATCAACTCGCGAGTCAATCATCCCTAACGCAGCGGAGTATTCGGTGGCTATGGACGACGCAATCCTCGAAAATGAAGATGAACCGGAATCTGGTCATGATGATGCCGCGGAATCGACTCGCGAGTCGGTCATCTCTACCGCGGCGGAGTTTTCGCCGGTTATGGATGATCCATTGCTTGAAGATGAATCAGTATCTAACAACGACGATGCCTCGGAGCCGTCGAATGGTCAAGATGGCGCCTCTGTGGAGGATGAATCCAAACCTGAAGCCGAGGAAAATTTAGCATCTTCACACCATCAAGGCTGTGCCAATGAATCAGATTCTGCTTCTACTGCAACGGTGGATCAGGACATGGGCAATCCAACAGTTGGACAAACACAGGATACAGAGCATCACACATCAGAGGAGCATCAAGAAGTCCATCCGCTTGAGGAGCTATATCGGAGAACTGGCCAGCCAAAGGTGAAAGATTTCTCCTTCTCATTTGGCGGAGCAGATGACGTCTCAGACGAAGCTGTTGACGAGGAACCGAACTTCGCACCAGAGGTATACCATGACCCTGAAGATGTTCAAGAAGGTTGGCCAGTCATGGTGGAGGAATCAATCACACCCAGAGGAGACTCTACGGTTGCCGATGTCGTGCAGCCTAGTACAGGACGTTCTGGGTTTGAAAAGAGCTTTAGAATGGATCGCTCTGCATGGAAACGAGCACGGAAAGAGGGTTTGAAGCAAGAGAGACAACGCTTCAATCGAAGGTGGGGTGGGTATTGAGTCATAACGTCCATAGGGTTGACCGCTATCGTCTCCATCTGAAACGACGCATAAGGCATGCGCTTGTCACTGTCAGAAATACCCTTACACAATTACCAATTAACGAAGATCTCATGTTCTGAGGTCATCAAGAGTCCCATACTACAATCCCGTAGAACAACGGAACCATTAGTGATTAGCTGCTCGTATTTACGGTTCGCTACACATTTCATTGAGCTCCAGTGGTGAGTGGACGAATATCACCCCTGTCTGGATCGACAAAAGTTTCGTCAACAATGTTGTTTCCATTAAATTTTTCGAGTATAATCAGCCCTAAACAACTTACAACAGTCATTAAGCATCCAAATTCCGGTCAGCTCAATTCGGAATAATGTATATGCATGCATGAAGCCGTCCTCGGTTGATTGGAGCTCCCATGCATGCCACGTCAATTGGCTCCACGACAGAGCCGCACCTATCACGGTCATCCCTCTCTCCCCCCAAATATCAGACTCCACTTCCTCCACCAGATCATGTTATCCGATCTTCCCAATTCTTTAGCGCGCTCAATTGTGCCATTGGCAACGCTTCGCTTGACAATGTCCATCCGGACCCATGGACTCGATTCTACCGTATCTCTTGACGCAGGCCAGCAATGTCGTGGACGTTGCCGCCGCTCTGCATATCTTCTACGATGAAATTCCACAATATCGGGCCGATATTGGCGACGTCCTTGGGCTGTTGAAGCAGATCGGCGACTTGCTCTACGCCGTTGAAGGTGCCATTGCGACCTCTCCGAACGCGAGAACTTCCCCGACACTCGCAATGGATCTGAACATATTCACAAGAGGCCAGTATTACACACTCGTAGCGTTTAGGAAGATGATGCGCGACTCCAGGCCCACGGCCTTCGGGAGGCCGTCGTATGCAGCTGCATGGAACCTGATGTCGTTGAAGATGCGAGATGAAGGGTGTGCGGTCCATTCAAGGCTCCGAATGTATATCACCTTCTTGAGTAACATCATTGAAGCAATTCGAAGGTAAGAGATTCCTGCATTCTCGTAGACAGCCAGTCTTTTCAGTGCCATTGTAGCATTTGTGCATCCTCAATTCCTTAAAAATTCCCTCATACATTTGGAAACAGGAGGGATCGCGTTGGCAGGTGTAGCGATACGACGATCATACATAAGTCCTAGGAATTAAATCTCCTGCATGTCTCACTTCATCGTTCGGGTAATCCTATCATATCCCTTTGGCTTTTTGTCTGCGCCATGCTGAGTAAGATTGCAATCTTTTGGGTGACATGGGCTACGTTTTGATTATTCGAGACGTACTGTCCCCTGACCAGTTACTGACATCCAGATAGGAGAATAATCAATATAGCCGAGATGGCAGATATCCGAGTTCGTCTAACCGGTTTACTCCACGCTCAAACGCCGGTAGGGGAGCCGTTCAACCCCTTGAGGATTGATAACGAAGGTATGAACCGATAGATATCGGGACCCTATCGCATTTTCGGGACACCACTAATAAACCATCAAGTCCCACCACCACCACCTCACCCAGCCCATGGAATGCCCGGTGCCTTTCCCGGCGATTTTCCCTCCCCCATCTCCCCTATCTCCACCACCTCCGGACCCAGCGTAGGCGACGAGTTCTTCCCCATGATGTCTAACTCCCCGCGGCCAACCACCCCGTTCGCAGCCCCAGCACCCCACTCGCGCCACTGGGCCACCAAGATATTCGAGGCGCAACCCCCGCGCAGCGTCTTCCGCGTCCGCGGACCCCGAACCAAGTGCCTTGGCCGAGATGATGCGACGGCGTCGGAGAACCTACGACATAATCGCTATCAGGAGGTCGCGCGGGTTCCGTTTTCGAATGGGGCCCTTCTGGTTCGGTTATATTTGCGGGATGCGGATCAACGCGCGAAGGTGCTGGTTACGGGGTCGGATCAGCAACGGTTCGATATGCTGTGCAGCATGCCGATAACCGGACTCAAATGCGTTCGGAAGCGCTCGTATGTGGAGCTCCATCGGATCAATCGAGAGTACCTACGGCCAGAACTCTGGGCGAGTCTGAGCTTCTCAACTTCGGAAGGTATTTTGCTATTTCTTCTTCGACTGGGATGCAATGCTGATTGGTTACTCAGAGCTCGTCCTCTTCGCCAGTGTCTTTTCAGCCATGAAGAGTCAGGACTCAAGCGTCGTCGCTCATGGACTGGACGATTACATCTCCCCGCTAGACTACGAGTCTGTCGAGTTCACCGGGTATGTTCAACGGCACTCAGACTGGTCAATCCATTCCGTTCGCTAACCAATCCCAAAGGATGATCACTTCCCGTACTTTCCTCCATGTTCTCCGAATCTACCGCGACCTCTCCACCAACTCAGTGCGGCTGGAAGCCTCTCCTCTGCGCGGAAAGTTCGCCGGAAAGCCGATCTGGACGGCGTTTGTGACCCAGTTTATCGGATCGCGCACGTGGATGGAGCTGCACGGGAACGTCGTGAAGCTTCTAGATTTGCGACCCTACATGTTCTGCGATGGGTATGAGCTACCGAGAAGTCAGTCCGGGCGGTACATTCTGACATTCACCGAGACGAGAGGTATGTTTCTCGGATATCTCATATATTTGCGCCGACTGCTGACAATGGGGGCAGATGCGAGGAGTTTTTATGAAACGTTTCATGGTATTCGCACGAGTTGAGGAGCTGGATCTCACGATATGAATGGTGTCTACGATGTCACGACATGACGGCTGAAAAACCAAGGGATCGATTTTGATACATTATACCTGACAAATTGGTTGTTTGCTCTTCAAGCGGAGCGGTTAACTCAGGGTATCTATGCTGACGACTACCATTGTTAAAGTTGTACTTGCATCTCATATGCTGTTTTTGTGGGGATTTCAAAGGGAGGGAAATGATCCTCAAAGTAGGAACGAGTATCATGTTTGTAGCATGTTTTCCGGAACATCCCCTATCAGATCCTCTTGCCATAATTCCAAGTGATCATCATATCTACCGACACGCACCAATGTGAATAAGTTCTAATCGCCGGCTTGATCTCTTCAATGTCCAGCTTACGCAGATACAATCCTCTCGTTGCTAGGCAATCGGGCCTCATATTCCAACTTCAGCAGACACGCCAGTCCCTTCTCCAAGTCCACCGCCCAAGAGACCTCGCCCTCCTTCTTGACCGACGCCACGGCTTTTCCCCATTTCTCCTCGCCGCCCTTAACTGTCCCACCTGAGGCGCTCCCACTCCCTCCCGCCACTCCCTCTTTCGCTGACCAACCAGTCCTCACCGAATCGCCCTCCCTGCCCAGTTCCCTCGGAGTCAACACCTCAATCCGCAGCTTCTCATCCTCGCTCACTGGCACCTGATCTAACACCAACAGATTGATCGGTATCGCCTTCGTGTTCGTGACCCAGATGCTGCGAACGAAAGTCTCGCTGCTCTCCTTCGAGAAGATCCCCTGCGTCGCCCGCCGCACCGTCGGCTTTGGATAGTTCACCTGCACCCCGGGGTCCACCCCCAGTGGCAGCTCAAACGTCTGCCCTGCCGCCACCCGCGGCAGCGACATGTTCCCGAGGAACGTCCCGTCGAGCGTGATGCCCGCGGTGCCGCGCAGCAACGTGACCGTCTGGCTCGGGTTCTTGAGCTTCGCGCGGAGGAACGCGGCGGCGCGCAGCTTCGGGACGGCGATATGGGAGAGCACGATGTGCGGCGAGATGAGTGAGGCGATCTTGTGGCGCCGCATGACGCTGCTGGGCGCGAGGGTGCGGGTTCCGGGCATGTCGTAGGTGGCGGTGAGGCCGTGGTCGGCCCAGTTGGATTCTTCGAACTCGATGGATGGACCGTTGTCGCTGCCGACGGCTATGCACCGGTCAATTCCACGCGCATTGAATGCCGATGGGGCTGAATTGAGGTGTTCGCCGCGTGCCAGGACCCGTTCAATGCCAGAGTGTACTGCGCCTGGTTGTACCGGTGTCTGCCTACTACGCTGAAAGCCGTCGCTAGCTTCCTCAACGTTACGAAAGCCATCCAGGCCACCCGTATTGCCAAAGCCCCCTCTGGAACTCAAAGGCAGCTGAGAGGCCGCCTGGGTCTGGTAAGCCGGGACAGTTTGTTTGGACCATTCTTGTGTCTGATCCATCAGAATAAGCCTCTTATTCTTGACGTTGCGCATCGAGCCGCCATCTCTACCAAACAGTTCGCTGCGATTGAGAGTTTTCGCAATGGAGGTATTGGCATTATTGAGCCTGTTCCGTTCCGCCAAACTGAGAAGCCCGCTGTTGGGGTCCGCGTAACCTTTGCCGATGCGAACTCGCCATGGGTGCATGTGGGGAACTTTGTCGCTAAGACCCTGATATGAAGTCTGAGAGGTGGACAGGACGACCTTGGCATCCTTCCAGGTTTCAGAGCTGCAATTAGCAAACTCGGCACGGTAGACAATAGTCGCAGACTTAGTAACGGAAGAAATGGAGATGTCGTATACTGGGGACCAGCTTGCCTCATGGGTGACATAAGACAGGGACAAAGAGACCATGGAGTCTTTGCTGGACGAGTAAATCGTCTTGTCATTGGATTTCCCGACCGACTCAGGGATCTGGCCTTGCGCGATGGTGACGGAGTCAAAAGAGTTCCGGCGGCTGGAATTTGGCGTGTCGATAGAAGTCTCCAGCGTCACGACGACACGATAAACGCTCTTCGGCCAAAACTTGAGTCTCTCCTCCTTGATGCGTGCCGCTTCCTTGCGCTTCTCGACCCGCTTCCTAAACAGCAGGTCCTGCTCCTTCCGTTTCTCGTTCTCAACCTTTTTCTTTCGCTTCCGCTCGGCTTTGCCGGCCTTGGACTTTTCGTTCTCCTTGCGAGCAAGCTGTTTGTGGAGTGTTGTAAGTTCGTCCGACGCCCTCTCGCGAGACACGTACACGGATGCACGTTCTGCGGAATACATTTGCATGGTAGTACTGATTGCCTCCGGCGATTGGTCTCTGGGATTTACTCTTTTAATGTACGCGTCTAGAGCATCTAGCCGATGAGTAGCTGAAATCTGGACCTCCGTCTTATCCTTGATAAGGGATTGGACGGTCTTGATTTCTGCAGCAATGGCACGAACTTCCTCAGGTTCGTCATCGCTGTCAGCATACTCGTAGAAATTGTCCTCCTCATCAGAAGCATCTTCCTCGGGGTAGACTTCTTCGAAGATTTCGCGATTCGGCACCAATTCAACCGTCATGTCAACAATGGTGGCCGAGCCACGTCCATCGATCTGGATAGAGTGCTCATCGGCCGTGGGGGTCAGACCATAGAACTCGATTTCGTTCGGTCCGGGTTTGAGGACCAGGTCGTTGATGTCTCGAACAACGTGAGCTCGAGAGGGGTAGAGGGTGACTGCCTTGGTGGGCAGATCTTTGATATTGATCTCCTGCTTGGGGAATTCGTTCGCCATGTTGAATTCCTCAGAACACAGAGAATGGGTCGGGGATTTCAAGACTTGGAGTAGGAAAACAGATATGGGGGTTTGCTGGGATTCATATGTTACACCAACGCGGGAAACGCTCAAGGTAACGGCCGGTCAACTGCGTGTTAAAGGACACGAAAGGCGAGCAAACAACTATGGTACTTTGAAGTTCAGGAGCATGCAAACATGGAGAGAATGAGAACTCTAGGGCATTCGGCCAACTCCAAGAGAGTTTAAATACTCAAAGCATCTGAAAGGAGGCATGGTAGACGGAGCAATTGGGCTGCGCCTCACAGGTTTCTCAGTTGGAGCCTGGAGGATGTCAGGATGTGAACTTCTTAGCATTCCATTCAGCAACGCCACCAAACTGGACAATCCTCGCACTCTGGGATGTTCCAGCCTCCTGGATCTCTCAGCCAAAGAGTAAATGCACCTTTACCAGCCATCTGAAGTTCTATGTGCTTTTTCGGGAATTGGCGTTGTTGGCGGAGTGTTACTAAAGATGAAATGGCTTTCAGGCAACAGAATTGAGCACAAAAACGGAGGGAGCCTCCGAGTGCTACTTGTGCCTTGGAGCCTGAGGTAGAAGGACTGGGACCCTCCGGTGGGGACGAAATTGAGTTACGTTTCTTGGCATTCCCCCAACCACAACTCCCACGACCTTAACCAGAACGCGGCGGAGAATTCACCAAAACAGACCTCTAGTAGTTGCTTAGTTAGGAAAAGAGTATACTTTTGATATTATGCTGTTTTTGAGCGAATTGGGCCTGCCTGTGATGGTGGTGATGGTTGGGGAATGCCAAGAAACGTAACTCAATTTCTTCCCCCCCGGAGGGTCCCTCCGGGGTGGATAAAATTGAATCGCGTTTCTTGGCAGTTTTCTACACATCACCACCCTCCACCAAAGACAGTCTGTATAGGCACCTTGCATGCAGTCCAATTCGCTCAAAAACAGCATAATATTGAAATTAGTATATATTCCTTAATTAGCCAATTACCATAGATCTGTTTTGATGAACTCTCCGCCGCGCTCAACGAGCATCTGGCAGCGCAGCGGCATCTCTGCCATTCGCGCCCGAATCTCCTCCATCGTGATCTTTTCCCACTCCTCAATCAAGATCTGTTTGAGCTCGTCCAATGACTCCCATAACCTGCATTTTATGCGCTGTTTAATGAAACCCCAAAATGCCTCAATTAGGTTGAGATCGGGGGATTGCGCTAGGTGCTTCAATCGATGATAGAAGATTGTACAGAGAGTTGGAGTAGATCGAATGCCAAGAAATGCCACTCAATTTTATCCCCCCCGGAGGAACGCGTCGCCTTCAACAGGTCGCCAGGAATTGGGCACAACATCTTCACAAATGGTTTGCTTAGCCATTATTTTGAACACTTCGCTCTATATTGTTTTGTTCCGTAATACAGTAGTCTTTCTCCCGCCTCTCCTTGACTTATGGCGTCGATTAAGGCTATAATATCTCACTGCAGGCTACACCGAATCCGATCGAAGCCACTGTCTGGAGCTTTCGCGTTAGAGTTTTCTTTCATTGACCCATCACCGTTGTGGGATTGTCCAATGGCCTGTTCAGGTTCATTTCGCATCCAACTCTTCTCCTCTACTTCTCCTCTACTCCTCCATGAGGGAAGGGGAGGGTGGAGTAGGGATAAACGGGGGCGGGGTGTGGTGAAAGTGAGGATAATGTAATAGTTGATAGGCGGGGATTCGGGAGACCATGTTCGCTTGGTTCCAGGGACGCAGAGCGTTCCGTTATGAGGGATGTGAGGTGACAAAGTTGAGCTATGGAGTATGCAGAGAACCCAAGGTCCCGCCATGGACTCCAACCATCTTAGAATTTCTCCATTCCCAACACCCCCCTATCCACCCCCAACAGCACCCGAACCTGCACCTTCCCCCGTCCCACCCCCTCAAAGAACCCCTTCCTCAACCCGTCCAAATACAACTCATACGCCGGCATATACCTCCTCACGAACTCCACCACCTCTCCCTCCGCCATCCCCCTTCCCTTCGCCTCCCGCAACTTCTCCTCCTGCTCCACCCGCCACGTATACACGTTCTCCAACCGCTCCGTATCCAAATGCACCAACACATCCAACCGCCTCGGCCCCATGAACGTTTCCGTATAGCGTTCCAAGCAGCGGTTCACCTGCAGTAGATCCTCCAAGCTGTGATCCGCAAGCGTGTTGACCGGCCTCATTCCATCCGCCGCACTCCCCCCGTGATCATGACCGTGATCATGTCCTCTCGCCTCCCGCGCCGTCCTCCACCGCGCCTCCACCTCCCCCTCCGCCAACGCCCGAAACCCAACACACCACCCCTCGAACACCACCGCATCCACCCTTCCCTCCACCACGCTCCATTCCCCCTCCGGCACGCGATCCCCTTCCCCGCCAAACGCACTCTTATCAAACTCCGGAACTCGCACCCCCTTCCCAGTCCTCACCTCTGCGAAAAACCGCTCCGCCAGCTTCGCATCATGCGTCCCCGGCTGTCCGCGCACAGAATACAGGGTATTTTGCTCGCGGAGGGTGACGAGGGCGGAGTGCGGGAGGTAGAAGTCGTCGAGGGAGACGGTGATGGCGTGGAGACTGTGGGTGGTACGCAGAGCGTGGGTGAGGTGGGTGGCGATGGTGGATTTTCCGGAGCCTTGGAGGCCGGTGAGAGCGATGAGGAGGGGGGGTGAGGGGGTGGTTGAGGAGGGGGTTTGGAGGCGGGAGAGGTGGGGGGTGAGGTGCGTGAGGATGGAGGTTATGGTGGCGTCAATGGACATGGTGGGAGGATGGAGGATTGTGGGCGCGACTGGGAGAAGTAGGTAGTAAAGAAAAGGTCCCCGATACGCTTTAAACCATCTCTTCAGAAAGGCGGATCACACCAATGGCGAGTATATGCGTATGGGTAATAAGTACCAACTCTCACGATGAGATGCATCCGGGCAGCTTGCACCGAACCGCGCTTGAGGCCGACGACATGGGGATTAGCAACTGTTAGTGGGGCTCTACGGCCAGGGAGTTTTGGGGGCCTGGATACCGTTCTTGATTCCATTGCTGACTCTACAGACGGACTCGAGGTTCAAAAACAGTTACAGCCGTCGCTCTCTTAGTGTATCAGGGAGAGAAATGGAGATAAGTCCTACATAGTATGTTGATGGTGCATGGACTCTTGTAGTGTCGGGTGTAGCTCTAGCAAATAGCAATATGGTGATATAGACCCGAACGCCCTGTCCACCAGCGGGTTTGCGTTTCAGCGTGGATATGATCCCAACGACGACTAGACGGAACCCTTTCACTTGTCTAGCTAATGTTGCATGAAAGTACCGGGACAGTATATAACATCGTCACCGTATAAAGTCGTTCAGAGCACCACATCACCCTCATCCCGCATCCATACAGCTCCCCAGTCCCTTGAGCCAACTCGCTCCAGTACATAGTAAGTACCACAGACTCCGCAATCCATCGCCTCCAATGTTCCATATACCGGATATAATCCCGACCGCGCAACTCCCGATATCCAAATTCCAAGCCTATCCACCGAAACGGCGAACGACAAAGATCTTTAGGGTCTTGACTCTGACACAGAGACATGCTGACTGCTAACGGGATCCGCGACGGTGGCAAGTGAAGCAAAGGCAAGCCCAACGGAACTGCAGAAGACGGCTTTTAAACGGTGAGGTGCCTGGACCTATGGATCAAAGATTCGATCCTCAGATCAGCCAAGTTCCAGAATCCAGGGTCTTTTCCCACATCTGCTGTTTTGTTCGTGAACAGGGATTGATCCTCCATCCACATCCCATAGGATCGAGCTACATTTATACCGAGGAGGCCCACCTTGCCTGAACTACCGACGTCTGATGGCGGTCATGAGCTCATCGGTTACAGATAGACGACGGGGCTTGAGATATGACGGGAGGGAGTGTTTCTAGAACGTTTCTCGTATAGCGAGAGAGGCAGATGGGTAGTTTCATGCTCGGGTGAGCAAACAGGAGACCAGCCAGCCTCACTACCAGTACCGTCTGCCAGAAGCCCGCCGGAAGGTAGAAGCATGTCGTGGGGAGCCGATCTAGTCTCCCCATCCGCCGAATAACCACGTGCGCATCCCGTATACAGAATTTCCTGTAATAGATACGTCCCCCCTTAGCATTAAAAGCCCCATCGTGACCTCGTTCTACCATGACGTGAGCACGACCACCCGCCGACCTGGGGAACATTCCCACGCCGCACAGCGCACCCTTCACCAACAGCCCCAAATTACGGGATGACGGGAACCATGCATGCTGGATCGGCCGGTCCAATCACGCCCCTGCCGACGCGGGACTAACAACGTTCTGGACCGCCATGGAACTCGGGGCGCGCCATGCAGGATGCACGTTTTGGCGAGCCGATCAACGCTCCACGGGTCGACCGGATCGGAGGGGCGGGTTGGGTGAACGGGAATATGGGATAGTGGGATGGGGAGTTCACCAATAGGCTGCTTGGATGGAACCAAGCAAGCGCGGGCGTGGGAGGGTTTGGACTTTGGACCCTGCGTTTTTTTTATTACCAGTAGAGATGACGGCGATCGGCAATTGCGAGATGGGACTGGGCATGTGCGATGATGCAGGTTTCTGTGGCCATTCGGATCGGGGAGAGATCTACATTATGCTGGTCCGCAACTGGTGGCTGGAAGTTGGGATTAGTTGGATTGGTCATTGGACGAGGGTAAAATGGAAATGATGTGATAGTCCCTGCAGCGGTGAGGTCGTCGCTCTTTACATGGAGTACTCAGTACCGGATCTTTGATTCTCAAGAGAACGGAAGGCTACAGCGTTGTGTCATGGTGACAAGACGTGGTCTAGGAGGTATCTGGGAGAGTTCTGGTGGGCGTATAAAACCATTATTTATTCATCACGAGATCCAATACCTAATTCAGACACTAGGCACAGCCCAACATGCGTGTGAAGCAATAAATTACCTTAATGAATTACCTACTGTTAAGGAAGGATAAAACATTGAAAGACTGAAGTTGAAAGAAAGCTGGACTGCTGAAGGCATCGAGGAAGATTCCACGAATCGGGGATGGCACGACGTCATAATGGCCTGACTCCAGGGCCCCGGTCGCACTTTGTTTCTTTGTCGGTTGGATTGACAGGGATATTGCATGTTGCATGTGGCAGCCTAAGGCACAAAATGTGACTTGTCTTCCATACTCAATTACATAGCACCACACCGACGCAGGATCTTTTCAGCTCGTATTCGGCATTACTCTAGTATATCCATGCTGTCGTGTTGCAATATAGCTGAACGGTACATGATTACAATACCTGATGATTGGCATTTGGTACACTGACGACAAGGATACGGCAATGATGTGGCTGCCTGGCCGATAGGCTGGGAGTTGGGAAGGAAAGAAACGTTGGCTCATGGCCCCATGTAGCATCTAAGTGCGTCATAAATACCGGGGAATGACCGAGGATTGACAGGGAATTGACAGGGAATTGACACCGAAAAGGCCCCTGCGCCCCCTGCAGCTCCTCAAGACCTCAACCCTTTTTCGTGACTTCCTTCCTCGCTTCCCCCCCGGTTGCTCGTATCTTTGCAACTTCGCCATTTTCGCATTTTGGTATCTTCGCAATTCGCATTTTCGCAACTTCACCCGTCTGCTCACTTCAGAGTCCAGACCTGTCTTCCTGTCGCGTTGTATCGCATCGCCTTTGTTCGCCCACTTCGGCGGTGGCGGTTCGGCCATTCCAACTTTATATCGCCATTTCCCACACTGTCATCCCTTTCGCCTCCCTGCTGATCCATCTGATCTTTCACGGCTCCCGCCTCTCTCGTGCTCACGCTCCTCTCATTTTTCGCCGGCTCCAGAACTTCCTGGTGATCTTCCCCCGATGTATCGCTGGTTGTGGAGGCCCAATCGCAATTTCACCATCCTCTTATCCGCTTAATCGACCATTCTTCCTCTCCAATTCTCTAATTACTTGGTAACTGATCAACCCTACCGAATTCCCGCACTGCATTTCCTCCAGTTCTATTTTGTACTCGCCCTGTAAACGGCGAGGGGGAATCATCAGTGCCGTCACTACTGGTGCCTGTTTTCCCGACTCATCTCTCCAATTGCATTGATACATCCCCCAACATCGTACTTCAGCACTACCAACTGTCCCTAACCTTCGCCTCTCATCCCTCTATCACCATCTACCGTCTGAACGTCCTCGGTACCTGTGCCTCAATCTCCAGTTCTTCTGTCACAGGTCCCTCAAAGTCGAATCTAACTGTGGTTCCCTGCGGTTGTACCAATCAGCGTCGCCGCCACTGTTGCAATACATCATACCGACCGTCATTTGCACCTCAACCGTCTACCACGTTTTTCGCCTTAATGCCGTTGCCAGGTGACCCATACTCATAAAACACGTCTTCGTCTGCCATTTCCCGACATAGAGAATGGATCCTCGAGTGGTTTAGGTTGGATATCAAGAAGGAACACGAGCCACAGCCACATTATGACGACGACCGCATCTCCCCTTCCATCTCCTCTCGAGTCTCCCAGATGGGAGACCGTCCACCATCCAAATGGCCATTCTTCGCATCCTCACACAAACACACGAATCCCTCGATCTTCTCCCGTCCCTCGATCATCTCCTGCACGGACGCCGTGTTATTTTGCGATGACTGGCGTGACTCCGTATGCGCCCAAGTTATCTCCACGCACTCGAACCCCTACAACCAAACAACAGGATGCCGGACCGCCGAGCCCCAATTACTTTGGACTGGCTGTCTTCCCAGACAAAGAGAGTTTCTCATCCACTGTTGCTCCCCATGCGTGCTCCAACTTCGACCAGCCGACATCGCAGGTCCGTTCCGTGGCTGCTGCCTCACCGCAGATTATTCCCGCCGATCAGAATGCGGAGTTCGAACTGTTCAGGAGACAATCAGAGCGCCATGTATTCACGATGCCACAGATGGCAAACTTCACCATGAACCAAACCCGACGAGCAGAGCTCGATAGCACGGGTAGCGGAAGTAATGCGAACGACAAGGCTAATTCACCGAGGACGGCAGCACCATCATCAACTGCCATGGCGGCCACATTTATAAAACCCGGATCGAGCACGGTTCCGACGATCCAGGCCTCTAGCACAGAGAGGATTGAAGGTGCCCACCAACGATCCCCCAAAAGACTGCTGTCATCTCCCACCGTCGCAATCACCGATCGACCCAGAAGAGAATCCCCAGCAAGTTTCGTGGGGAGAGAAAGGCGCTCCGATTCAGACGCGGAGGTAAAGTTTGCTTCACCGGAGGATCGAGAAACAAGGCTATCGTTGCCATCAAGTGGCCGGAAGCCAATCCAGAGTTCTGGCCGCGCCGAAACTTTGCCACCAACTTTTGACGAAACCAATGCCGAATGGAAAGGAAAGAACCATGTCGCGGAGGTCGAGCCGGTGCTGGTCACCCCACAGTATGTGGTGAACCTACTCGAAGCATCGAATGAAGATATTCTGCTTCTAGATCTGCGCGTGTCAAGCCAGTATTCACGTTCGCGGATCCAGGGTGCCTTGAACCTCAGTTGTCCCACAACGCTGCTGAGGCGGCCGGCGTTTAATGTTCGGAAGCTGGAAGAGACGCTTAAAGACGAGGAGCAACGGGGCAAATTTGGACGCTGGCGCAACAGCAAATATATCATCGCCTATGATGCTAATTCTTCCGTCCTCAAGGATGCGAATACCTGCATTTTTACGTTAAAGAAATTTGTCACCGAAGGTTATAATGGATTTGCATACATCATCCGCGGCGGATTCGCCGACTTCGCCAAGAAGTTCCCCAACTTGGTCAGCCTGGATGTTGACAAAAGTACTACTCGATCCACGAGCGCATCACCTCCCACCGCCCCGGTCATCGGTCGCTGCCCGATGCCAACGACCAAGTCCACGGCGAACCCGTTCTTCGGCAACATCAGACAAAACATGGACCTCCTTGGAGGGGTCGGCCAAATGCCGATTCGACATCCCAACTCGCTAACGAGCGATGCCGAATCACATCTTCCGGAGTGGATCCGGGCCGCGGCTGACATGAACGATAACGGGAAACGCGTCGCCGATAAGTTCCTACATATTGAGAAGCGCGAGCAAAAGCGCATGCAGGAAGCTCTCTCAGGAAATGTGCGGTATAGCGGTGGCACACCTGGGCCACGAACCGCGAGTCCCCAGGGCGAGAGGAACGGGTATATACAGGCGCCTCGGGGGCGCAACGTGCAGATTGCGGGAATCGAGAAGGGGGCGAAGAATCGGTATAATAATATCTGGCCGTTCGAGCATTCTCGGGTCAGGCTGCAAGGCGTACCGAACGGTGGCTGTGATTACATCAACGCGAATCATATCACGACGTCGATATCGCAGAAGCGATATATTGCGACACAGGGGCCAATTCCGGCGACTTTTAACGTACGTTCCTTTTTTCTGTCTTCTTCGTTCCAGCAGGAACTGACCGCCCACACAGGATTTCTGGAACGTCGTCTGGCAACAAGATGTCCACGTCCTCGTCATGCTCACCGCCGAGGCTGAAGGCGGCCAAGTCAGAGCCCACAACTATTGGACCTCCGGCACCTACGACCACCTTACACTCACGTTCCTCTCCGAACACCGCGCCTCCCTCGAGCCCTCCAAGATCCACCGGCACGGCCGCCCCTCCAACTCCGCACCCCGTCCCACACTCCCCAAGACCCCCTCTACCACCACCCCCAAATCCACCCCCAAATCCACCCCCATAATCGACATCCCCTATGCCCACCAAACCGCTCCAAACACCCCGCAACCATACGTCACCGTCCGCCACTTCACGCTGCGGAACGCTGCCGACCCATTCGCCCCTCTCCGCGAAATCACGCAGTTGCAATACGACCACTGGCCGGACTTCGGTGCACCCGCGCACCCCGCGCACCTCCTCGGCCTCGTCTCGCAATGCGACGCCGTGGTCCGGGCGAGCGAAGGCGGGTTCTCGCCGACACTGGCGAAGCGGATGACTAGCTTAGGGAACGATGCCACTCCGCCCAACAAGGACGTTGGGTCGTTGGCTTCCGAATCTACCGGAGCGGAGACCAGTGCCGATATAGTTGATGATGACGATATCGACGATGGCGAGGACGCCAATGGAGTCCTGCGGCCCGTACTGGTGCATTGCTCGGCTGGCTGCGGCCGCACGGGGACATTCTGCACGGTGGATAGCGTCATTGACCGGCTGAAGCGGCAGCGGGCGCTGGCGCGTCGGAAGCGCTTGGCGGAGAGGCAGGAGAAGCGGAGCAGTCAGGGTCACCATGGTCAAGTCAACCACGTGCACGATGTGAGTGGTGCTGGTGGAAACCAGAGGGAAGGCACGCCGATGGATATTGACGTCGTGGGGAAGGAACCAGCACAGGAAGGGACGGGGAAGTCCGCCACGGACCCGTCGGTCGACCTCATCGAATCGACGGTCGAGGAGTTCCGGCTGCAGCGGCTGTCGATGGTGCAGAGTTTGCGGCAGTATGTGCTGTGCTATGAGAGCGTGTTGGAATGGTTGGCGGGTGAGGAGAAGCAGGGGCGGTGGTCGGCAGCGGCGTAGGTTTTGCATCGGCGTTGCATTGATTGGGGTTGGGGTTGGATGGATGGATATGAGCGCATTGATCGGTGCTTGCATGCATGGTTACGGTACGGATGGATGGGCATAGATTCTATCTTCGGAGTCGATTGGCGTTTTTGGATTGGTTTCTGTCCGTGGCATTGGGTTCCGGCGTGGGTTTTCGTGGAGCATATTCATCTTTACACTGCATTGCATCGTTATGTTGAGTCCCGAGTGCTGTCCTTAAAGCAGCGCTGGGCCATGTATTATGATTATGAGGTCTGTCGGCCATCGCTGTGAGGCGGTGGGGTGGTGGATGGACTGTGGGAATGGTATCTATACTCTAATACCTCAACTCTATTCTGTACTTGTACTCGTGGTGCTAATTGAGGTTTCTGTTGGAGATGATGTGGTTTCTGGGCGGATGGGTTGTTTCTATGGAGCATCCTTTTTATCCTGCAATGCCTGCTGATGTTGAGCCCCGCGTGCCGTGCTAGAGATACGCAGCATCAAGCCATGCATTCTGTCTACGAGTTGTGTTTTATTTATTTCCCAAGCAGAGACATGGGTCCCTTCTATAAAATCTAGATACAGAGGCGATCTAGCTAAAGAGAAGAGTCCCTATATCTCGATAAAACAGCACCCTCAGCACAGCCACTTTTCCGAGGCATCAGCTAGGGCGCTGCACACGCAACATGGCGTCTCATCGCTCTTCTTGCTACACGACGCCGGGGATTCCCAAGGCGTTACATCCTACGAGGGGGGAGGGGAGGAGGGAGTACATACTCCATTCCATCTGTGCTGTATCTCCCCTCCCATAGATTAGGCTGTATATTATGATTCTGAGCGCCCGTCGATTCGTTGTTGTCTGGCGCGGTGGGGTGGATCGATATACGGAAAGGAATAGTATCGATACTCTAATGCCTGGACGCCGTAGAGTATATGTACTCATGATGTCGATGAGGTCGCTTTCGTGGAGACGGCGCAGATATGGATGAAGGATGCAGTCGGAGGATGAAATATACCCACGTACAGGCCACGGCATCGCGACCACTGCTGTGCCCGTTCCGCTGGCAGTATCGATGGCCTGATCAAGAGCGGAGTATTTGTACTCACCATTTCCCATTGTTTATTTCATCGAGATGAGATGATAACTTCATCGGGCAAAGGATGCCACCCATGCTATTCTTCACTAGCTTCCAGTGCTGCTGTATAATATTTGCAGTGTATTGATTTGCACTGCATTATCAATGTACCGTATGCCGTCCCTTTGTCCCGTCTGGAATGTAACAATGGACCAACCTGCAGTCCTGGGTCACGTTGCACTACATCTCCATGTGTCCAATGGTTACCATTGTATATTTGCCCTGCATCTCCGTGATCGTATATTTTGTGTCCGCGATCCCTGGTGCGTTGACCGCCTGCCCCTGACTGGGATTAATCTATCTGGATGCAGACATGCAGAACCCTACTCTCCCCACGCGGTACAAACACCCCCAAATAACTAGAACGAATAAGCAATCATGATGTCCCAAGCGTCTTTAACTCTTTATAATCATCAATCATCCGTTCACAAACCATGAAATTAAATCCGCGTGTATCCCGACTCGTTGTCCGAGCTGCCCCAAATCCATCGTTCCTCCTTTTCCGCGCTCCGCCATCTGATAGGCCGCATCTCCCGCGCCGCTAGTGAGCAAGATGAGATCATCCGTGTCTAGAACGCTAGATGCGGTGCAGCAAGTGGAGACATGGAAATTTTCTGGGAACCGCGCAGGAGGGGTACCTGTCGGACATCGGTCCCACTGGAAACCCAGACCACCTGGACAACGTCGACCGAACATCACCTCGAACCCCTTTGCAGTGCGGATTGCGGATAATGGATTACGACTTGCTTTGCTCTTGATTGTGTGGATAGGAGCCGATTGAGAGTACCTTGGGGGGAGGACCATCGAGGGGACCCCGTTCCGGGACGCCGCATGCGCCGAATTCGCGACGAGGTGATCATCTTCTTTCTCTTCCTCGCAAGTGACTTTTCTCACACGAACACCTATCTATGCGAACAAATCAGCACCCACATGCAGTAAGTCTCGCTCATCGTCTCGCACCTTTGCTGCGTCGATTGCCCCATCCGGAAGCTAACCTGAGCGACCTAGATCGCATAGGGATCCTCATTCCTGCCTACCGTACCTATTTGACGACTCGACGGCGCCTCTGCGTTGCTAAAGCGCAGCCTTGAACTTCCCTTCACAGTGAAGTCCATCCCCGAGCAAACATCAGGCATCGAAATAGGTATTGCAATAGGCATTGCAATAGGTATCGACAACGAGCGTGTCAATCGATTCCGGAACAGTCTATCTCGCATAGAATCGACCGGAAGACCTCGCTCTTTCCACTATCGCCGAGACTGTTACCTGTTAAAAGTCAATCATCCCACAACAAGTGAATCTTTTCCTCGTTTACACTTTTCTTATCACACTCGACTCGAAGCGCGGACTCTTTCTTCATCAGTCAAACAAGAGAGAGCAACAAACTCACTACCAATGACCCCTCTCATGGCAGAGGAGTCCCAGCCGGACACCCGTTCCGTTCCCACCCCGCCTCAGTCTCCTACTGGAGACCCATCATCCGCCCCAAGTCCCGCTAACTCCCGCAAAGGCCGTTCCACTGGCAAGTCCACTGACGACGGCGACATCGAGCGAGTGAGCAGCAGCATGCCGCCTTCTACGGGCTCGAGCGTGCGTTCAGTTTGCAGCGGTGCGGGTAGATCGGGCGATGAGGTCAGTGGTGGACTGGGAGACACTAGCGGATCAATTACCGTTGCGAATGCTCCAGCCAACGTCGGAAAAAGTGCCTTGACGTCGCCTGGTCACGGGAAGAAAAGCACTGATATGAGTTCAAGTGCCCTATCGGACTCAGCGATCATGGGAAAACAAGGAAGAGGAGATGCGGACTCTAATCGCATGTCGTTCTCCAGTTTGTACAGTTTGGGGCAGTCGATGATCCATAATGCGAAGCACACGATGGTTGCAGGTGCGAGTGCGGCGAGCTCAGTTGCCGGAAGTGAAATCGATGGTAAGTGAAAGTCGCCGATCCTCAAGACTTCTTAATTGCTTCCAAGCGTTTTCATTTCAAACATTCAAACAACGGAAACTGAACATATCAACAGCTCCATTTCGCTCTGATCAGCACGGAATCCCTACCACTGGTTCTTCCGTGTCTATCACCACCTCCTCTCAACCTGATCGCACTTGCAACATCAGCAACCCTAGCAATCCTAGCACCTCCCCGCGTCTTCTCACCAATAAAGACCAAACACATCACTCATCCTCGTCCGCCATGGGCATTCCTTATTCCCTAGCTGATCTAGGCCCCTCTTCTCATACGTCCACGTCTCCCCCCAGCGCCCGCAGCACTGGGGCTCGCTCCCGATCCCGTCACCGCAACGCCCGCCGCGTCTCTGCGCCCGGCAACTCCGCATCCCCCGGCAGCGACCGTGGCCGTGCGGACAACCCAATGAAGAAAGCTCCGTACGGCATTATTGGAGTGTGTGCGCTCGACAGCAAGGCGCGATCCAAGCCGTCTCGCAACATCCTGAACAAGCTCATTGCCGCTGGAGAGTTCGACGTCATCATATTCGGAGACAAAGTGATCCTCGACGAGGACGTTGAGAATTGGCCGGTGTGCGACTTTCTCATTAGCTTCTTCAGCGCCGGCTTTCCACTTGAGAAGGCCATTCGCTATGCCGAGCTGAGGAAACCATTTTGTGTCAATGACTTGCCGATGCAGATGGTCCTCTGGGATCGACGCACCTGCTTGAGGATCCTTGACACCATGCAAGTCCCGACGCCGAAGCGTATCGAGGTCAATCGCGATGGAGGCCCGACGCTTCCCAGTGCTAAGTTGGCGAAAACTCTCCGAGAGCGGACTGGCCTGAAGCTGGAAGGTCCCGACGACGGAACCGGCGGCAAGATCGACCCGCCGAAGAAGGTTGAGATGATGGATGATGGCAACGTTCTGTTTGTTGATGGAAAGACGATTCACAAGCCGTTTGTCGAGAAGCCCGTCAGCGGAGAGGATCATAACATCCGCATCTACTACCATGGTGGTGGTGGCCGACGCCTATTCCGCAAAGTGAACAACAAAAGCTCCGAGCATGACGACACCTTGAACGTTCCACGATGCATCTCCAACCAGTCGACCAGTTATGTCTACGAGCAGTTCCTCCAAGCGGAGGGCGCGGAAGATATCAAGCTGTATACCGTCGGCTCCGAATTTTGCCACGCCGAGACCAGAAAGAGTCCTGTGGTTGACGGCCACGTCCGTCGCAACCCCATGGGCAAGGAGATCCGTTACGTCACGAACTTGACCAAAGAAGAACAGACCATCGCAACCAAGATCTCTGAGGCCTTTGGGCAGCGTGTCTGCGGATTCGACTTGCTTCGAGCGAACGGAAGCAGTTACGTCATCGATGTGAACGGCTGGAGCTTTGTCAAGGACAATAATGATTATTATGATCGTTGCGCCGGCATCCTCCGACAGATCTTCATCCGCGAGAAAATGAAGAAAGATAGTCCCGCCCATCAGCTCGAGATCGAAGATCAGCAAGGAGGAAAGGACAAGGCCCCGGAACGAGCTCACCAGCGCAAGATCACCGGAGGTGCACCTGGCTCGCATCGCGCTGCACTGAAGTCAATCTTCAAAAGCCCGAGCATGTCGAAGATGACTGATCATCATGGTCACTTTCCTGGGCATCATCACGCCGCTGATCATGCTACGTCGGATGCGTCTACGCCCGCCTCTCCTATCAAGGCATCATCCAGCATGGAGCGCAATCAAGGAATTCCGCCCATTGGCTTACCACCTCCTGCGGCATTGGAAACATCCACTGCCGATCTCAAGAAAGAACGAGTTACTGTCGCTGATTCGACTCCTAGCAGCACTGAGCCAAAAGAGCCAGTCGAAGCACCAATTCCGCCGCCTGCGTCCAAAGCACAATGGAAACTAAAGGGAATCGTCAGCGTCGTTCGACACGCTGACCGTACTCCGAAACAAAAGTTCAAGTTCACTTTCCACACGAAGCCGTTCGTCGATCTCCTTAAGGGTCATCAGGAAGAAGTCCTGCTCATCGGCGAACAGGCGTTAAGCAGTGTCTTGGATGCTGTTCAGCTCGCATTCCAGGAAGGGATCGAAGATACAGAGAAGCTGACGTTGCTGAGGACGAGTTTGATCAAGAAGGGTGGCTGGACGGGAACGAAGGTCCAGATCAAGCCCATGTTCCGCGAAAAGAAGGCCCCAAAGGATAGCGCCAAAGCTGCCCCGCCTACCGGCTCTACTGTTGAGTTGCTCAAGGAAGAGGCAATCTCTGACCTTGCAGCACAGGGCGAGCAGCAGCCCCTTCGTCGCAGCGATTCCAATACAGGCATCACCTTTTCCCGAATTGCGGCTGCAGAGAACAACATGGAATTCGACAAACTCCAGCTGGTCATCAAGTGGGGCGGTGAACCTACCCACTCTGCTCGTTATCAAGCACAGGATCTAGGTGAGAACCTTCGAAATGACCTATTGCTCCTCAACAAGAACATCTTCGACGATGTCTCAGTGTTCTCCTCTTCCGAACGCCGCGTTACCACTTCCGCGCAGATCTTCTCGTCCGCCTTCCTCGCTGAGGAAAAGCTTTCCAAGGACTTCGTCCAAGTCCGCAAGCATCTCCTCGATGACTCCAACGCCGCGAAGGATGAGATGGACAAAGTGAAGAAAACACTCAAGGTTCTCCTGCGTGAAGGCGATAAAGCAATCGAAGAATTCGCTTGGCCGGACAACTTCGCCGAACCTTCCGTCGTCGTCCGCGACGTCGTCCAACTCATGCAGTTCCACCGAGACGTTATGCGTCATAACTACGCGACGCTCCAGTCTTCAGGGCCCCGTTCCACGCCCGCCCTCGTGCATCCACAAGACACTAGTTCCACGGATGCCGGCACGACCGCAAGTGCACCCTGCACTGCGGCTCAGCGCACCGTCAATCCTGAGACCATCCAGGCCCGTTGGTGCTGTGGCGAGGATGCGGCGCTCTTTCGTGAGCGTTGGGAGAAGCTGTTTGCGGAGTTCTGCGACGGCGACAAAGTCGACCCCAGCAAGATCAGTGAGCTTTACGACACCATGAAGTTCGACGCTCTGCATAACCGCGCGTTCCTTGAGTGGGCTTTCCGGCCGGACGAAGAGGTCTTGGCAGAGGAGATGGCTACCAGTAGCTTTGCGATGGTCGACACGATGGATGAGCTGCAGGGTCAGGACCGCAAAATCGAGTTCCAGAAGAGGCCCGCGCCGCCGGTAAGGAAGCTTTCCGAGTCCAAAGACAAAGATTCCGCCTCGTCCTTAGGGATGTCAGAGCGGAACAGCGACAAGGAAACCGGCAAGCTTGAGAGCAGTGCGAGCAGCGCACGATCCAACCTCGCTCAGCGCTTGAACTTCCGTCGCAGGTCAGAGGCCATGTCCACGCCCGCGAAGCCGCTCGTCAACCCTGTGTCCTATTTCAATCTCGACCGAGGGTCTGGGAACTCGAAGTCCAAACCGGATGCACGCCTAGTAAAACTCCGAGAGCTCTTCCGTCTGTGCAAAGTCCTGTTTGACTATATCGGGCCCCAGGAGTACGGCATGGCCAACGATGAGAAGCTAGAGATCGGCCTTCTCACGTCACTGCCATTGCTCAAGGAGATCGTCCTAGATCTCGAGGATATGCAGGCGGCAGACAACCCCAAGGGGTTCTTCTACTTCACGAAGGAGAGCCACATTTACACGCTCCTGAACTGCGTGTTTGAAGGGGGGATTCCGACGAAGCTTTCCCGGAACTCGATTCCGGAACTGGACTACTTGAGCCAGATCTGCTTCGAGCTCTACGAGAGCCAGAATGCGTCGGAGGGGGGGGAGGTGGGCTCCTTCAACTATAGCATCCGGATCACGATCAGCCCGGGATGCCACACCTTCGCCCCCCTCGACGTCCAGCTGGACTCGAAGCACTCGATCGGGTGTGCTCCGCGGAGGAGCTTAACTCCGCACATTGACTGGTTGACAGTCATTGAGACGTTCCGCGCGAACTTCTCTCGGGTGAGACTCCCGAAGTCGTTCGTGGCGGTGAACCTTTCGGAGAAGGTACCGCAGGCCTTCGGGCCTCCGACGCTGGAGAGGGAGAGGGAGAGGGGTATGGAGAGAGAGGGCGAGGCGGGCGCCGAGGAGTAGGCTGCGGGGCTGCGGGTCGAGGAGGGGAGGACAGTGATGAAGAGGTCGGTGATCAGGAGGATCCGCCTCCTCATCTGCGGTCGGAGAAACGCGACACATCATGGCTAGTCAAGCACACTCGTGATGGTCGTCGTCGGTTCTCCTTCCGTAGCTGCCTGGATGGCGCGCTGTCGGGGGAGGGGGGAGGGGGAGAAAAACTAGGGATGAGGGGGCGGCGGGATTATCACGTCTCTACACCCGTGCCGGCTGGTGGCTCCAGCCGGTGGGACTTAGCATAGCATTTTTACCATAGCATTGCGGGTCGGCGTTGCTGATCAATTGAAGCATGCTTTTCGAAACTCTGTGCATCATGAAACTGTGTCTTCGTTTGTAGTGCTCTGCACTTGATCGATGACTCTCCCATCCGGAGTAGAAGATATCGAGAATCATTGACCTGTGACGGGCTCCTCCAGCCTACGGAAAAGGAGAACCGAATTATCGGCTAACCTGATCAAATATGCAAAGCCAGAAGCAAGTAATGGTTAGTTGTTGATGCCCGGGAACATACTCCAACGCCATCCATCTCTTCCACTCCGGATGAACCTCTCATGCTACAAATTTCCGCCCCAATGAAGTTACGCTAGGCCCAGTGCCTGTCTGGTTCCCATAGCTTGGTACTCAGTGTATCTACTATTTAAGCTGACTGTCTTTAATTGAAGGCTTTCCCATTCTAACAGCGCTGCCACAACAGCCCGATTTGCGTAACTATTTCAGCATTGGCTCCTTGTCTGCGACATTGAGGGAGCAACCTAGTTTGGATAATCGCACTGAACGCTTTCGATACCGAGACAAAGTAGATGTCGTTATCCATAAGCTGGATATATACTACACTGAACTGTCGCTACAATTGACCGTCTTATGGACGCGGGAGGTGCTGGGCACGGTAGATGAGATATCCAGCGAGCATCGCAGGCCCTGTGCTGAATGCTACCCGACGGTGAGGGACCTTCAAAGGAGTGTTCTCCCCATGTCCCTGATTGTGTATCGTTGCTGAGGTTTCGACCGGACAACATCGGTGACAGTTTCACTTTCCACCTCCACTAGCAGACTACCATTTTCGATGGATGGGATCGCCCGTCGCCTAGTCATGTCTCCAGCTGGAATCTCTCGATTTCCTCATCTTCCTCAACTTCCTCAACTCCCTCAACTCCCTCAATTTCCAACCCTTCCATTCCACTTAATAGCATGGATTCCGCTTCCGTCTGCCATGGAGTTGATATGTCGTCCTAGATCACAGGTTAGTCATCCTCAGGTTGCTAATGCTTGGAATTGGGAGAGGGGCGGATAAGCAAGAACATACAGTTGATTCCAGAAGCTTGCTCAAGAGCAAGAGAACGTTTCTCTTCGTGGCTTCGAGGGCAACGTCAGAAGCAGTTTTCGTCTCAGACTTCGGCTCCTCTCGCTCCAGCATGTTCTTGGCCACTTTCAAGAACCGATCCCACCCAGGCGAGTTCTGTTGTCCATCCGCTGAATCCAAAACCGATACGATGGACTTCGATCCGGTTTTTGAGGTAGACAGCAAGGCGAGTGCAAGCCAAGATTCAATAGTCGAAACCTCTTGCTCGGTGTCGGTTGAAAGAGCCTGCTGGATTAAGATCTGGAGTACCTTTGATCGCCTACACAAGTTATCAAGGGCCTCTTCCTCCTCCTCCAACAGCGATCTGATCGTCTCATGCAGCAGATGAGCCACAGAGTGTCGAAAACTTCCATCAAGAATGTCTGCGCATGACAGCACAGTATCGATGTACTTCAGTTCAGTCTCCTGTGGATGATCGACAAGCTTCTTTGCATTGCGACTGCAGTCGTCGAGGAGTGGGGACAGGAGCCGTAATCCAGAATTGATAAGAGTAGGATCCGGACCCTTTTCAAGCAGCGTGATTGCGGCGAGTATTCCACCAACCGGGTCAGCAGCACCGATGGCTTCCTTATTCGGAGCAGAAATTGCTAAATTGTGCAGAAGGCCTGAAGCAGCATGCAGCAGGCTCGTGCTTGATCCCGGTCGCATAAATCCTAAAGCTATCTTGTGGATACCATGCTCCTCGACCATTTTCTGACTTCGATCATCGTGTCGCACCACATTTCCGAGGACTATGCAACCGCCAACTGTGCAGTGCTGGTTCGGATTCGTGATAAGATCCAAACCTGCTTGGAACACTATCGAAATCCCAAGACTTTCCGATGGCGGTGGCTTGTAATCGTATGCAGCGTCAGCGAGATGATTTTCAACATTTTCTATTACCTCCTTCCAGCCTTCTTTGATGCCGTATTCCTCTTCTCCATCACTTGTGAAGAGTTCCGGCCTGGCAAGAATCTTCTCATACCCACGAGCTAAGTGTGCGTAATATCGAGCGAACAGCGAAAACAGGTTCTCGTCCGCAAGGAATCCTTGAGGATCAGGGAACACGAATGACAGCGCATGGCCGGCATCGAATAGTTCCAGATGCGAACTCGACTGTAGGGCACAGGTCAAAAGATCTTTGAAAAAGGACCGAGCCTTCTTACTATCCTGTATGACAGCCTCACGGGTGTCGACTGGGTCAAGGACGGTGGTGATCAGCTCTATGTGGGCGGAATTGTCCTTATCATTGGGACCTTCCTTTACGAGCATACTGGCAATAGTTGAATGAACTCCAAGTTGGGCTAGCTGCCGTTGTGCAGGTGCTAGAGACGTCAGCTTCTTCTTTCCACGGAGTTCAGACAGCAGCGGGACCTACGAAAGTCTAGTGTGAGGTTCTGCAGTACTTGGATACTGATGGTGCGTAGATATGGCACACTCAAACTTTGCACCAGTTGGTCCAGATGTTGTAGTGTTATCGTCCGATTGTCGTCTATGATACACGAGTTAGAATGATCGAATGTCGAACACCAGAGGCGATGCCCGCTCATAGTATGGCCATACCGTTGTCCGCTACACAATTTCCCACAAACCGCAGCACTTGGAACGAGAGCTTCTCCGTATGGGAAGAGGGGTCATAGAGTTGAAGGACTTGTTCCAACAACTCACTACATCGTACTCTTTGCTCTGGATCAGCACACAGGGAGGCTATCCGTTCCAGATAGGCTGCGGTGACAGCATCTTCCACCTGCTGGCGGGAGTAATCTGAGCCTCCAGACCCTGCCAAAATGTCCTGGCATAGTTGGTGGACTCTGCTCCGAGCTCTTTCTCTGATCGTACCCTGATATACCTGTTCCCTCATCGTGGATAGAGGTAGTATGCACAGCGTGGGCTGCTCTGTTGATGTCTCGTACCCTATGACAACACACTTTTTTGCAATATACTATGGTGTCGTAGTGCAAAGTACTATGAATGAATAGCATCCGATTTAAGAAATGGGATTTCAGAAGTGATTGCGTTTGTAACCGTGAAGGCCTGAAATGTGATATTTCCAATGATGCTGCGTTGCCATTGGCTGGATTGGGGCAGCTCCACAAGCTGCGGATCAACCGCACCAGATCACTACGATTCCTTAAGTTTATCAACATAGGACACTTTATCACTTTGTCGCTGTCACGTCCTAGTACTTTCCACAGGAATCCCACCGTCGCTTGATGGAATAGCTGGACGCGATCCATTGGCGCCCAACATGCGCCTCGCCGCCCTCTTCCTTTCCGCTCTCGTCTCCACCGTCTCCGCTGCCTCCAGTCAGACCGTAACCCTCCATGCCTGGCCGACATCTGCTCCCACTCCGACGCCCTTTGCAACCGTTGTATACTCCACAGCACAAACGCCTTCAGGCGAAGATGTCGCTCCACAGCACAAGGCGGAGATAAAATCCTTCACTTCGCCCATTGCCCCTACGGATGATGTACGGAGCGAGGATGCGTCGCTCTTCCGCATCGGCCACTTCGACCGCACCAAGCATTTCTCCTCCTCCCTAGCCTCCAGCGTCATCTTCGCCCCCGGTCAACGCCAGCGAATTGTGCTGCACGTCGACGAGCACGGCGAGCTCTGGCGCACCGAACTCCACAGCGCGACTATCTCCGCGCCGGAGAAGAAAAAGAAGAAGCCGACGGGACCTTCGAAGCCGAAGAGCCAGAAGCGACTGGAACGGGAGGCGGCACGGGCGAAGACCGAGGCCAAAGAGAAGGCGCGGAAAGAAAGGACCAGGCTGAGGAAGGAAGGGAAACTGAAGCCGGGGGAGAAATTGCCCGTGACAGTGGAAGAGGAGCCGGCGCAGGTGGTGGTAGAGATAAAAGGACCCAATCCAGGGGCGGAACCTGTGTTGAATGCGCCGGTGACTTTGAATCCTGATGGGAGAGTTGAAGGCGCGGAGGGGCCGGAGGAGAAGACATTCTTGCAGAAGTAAGTTCTCCCTATCGAGTGATTTACATATTCTGTGCCAGAGACTAACGAAGTTGATATAGGTATTGGTGGCTGCTCCTTGCCTTCATAGCCGTACAGGTTCTTGTAGGTGGGAATAAGGAGTAATATCAAGGCTACCTACGGAGGTCGCCTGGAACTTGGATAGTGCACTACCTGGAGAGCAAGAGCTAGGATAAACCTGCCGATTTTCTCGACACGGGGTTGGACATGGCGACGTGCTGGAGAGGATGGCTCATCGCTGCTCTTAGCTTTGAGAGGCAGCATTGAATGAAGAAGGGGGTAAAAGCCTTCAATATATTAGACCACATCTTGCAAACCTCTCTATTCATGGCAAGCTAGTAGGAGTGCTGTTCTTCAGCATTTCTACCGCCTACATGTTTTTGGACAGTTGCATGAATAGGGACAGTTGAAACGTCCACAGGTACCAGCTATGCTTTCCTGGGTCGATCATGCTCGTTAATAATAGAAGAGAAGCCATATTTTATCTCGTAGAATATGGATCTCGTAGAATATGGATCTAGGTGAATTTGGTATAATATGAGATATAATCGTACCCAATCACCCAATATCTAAACAATATCTTCCCTGGTCAAAACTGATAGCGAAGTGCAAATGTTGATGCCTTGATGCCTTAACTACGCGTCCAGGTCTGGTCTGCGTTGCGTATTGTATCATCGATATGCTCTCGAGTCTCGATATCAGCTTAAGCTGCGGCAATAACCTCCACACTTCAAGACACGAAACGATGCATAAATGAGAGGACACACTTATCTGTTTCCAGTGTGCGCCTAGGTATCATGGCGAGGAAGTATCCCCGCCTCAACTTCGCGGTTATCCTCTGCTGCATCGCAGTCCTCCTCAGCCTTTGCACCATAGTTGACGCAGCTTGTAAGTACACTACGCCTTCGACATAGGATTATCGCTAACCGTCTTAATAGCCGCCACATCCTTCTGTAAATGCACATGCTTCTCGAATAGCACAATCATCGCTCTCGACGGCTCGAAGCCCTCCACCACCGCTCGATCCGGTCCGCTTTCTCTCGCTCGCGACCCGAAGAAAGGGTCGGGGACATGCTCGAGCTGCAACAAGAAGTTCTGCCTGGATTATAATCTACCGATATGCAAGGACGCGACGGAGGATGATGTCGTCACGACATGTTTCCGTATGTTCAGTTTCGACATGCGTAGATCGGGCTGACCAGCGGCATAGAACGAGACTCGGCCAAGGACCAGGCGGTGGTCTTACTGTTTATCATTGTGACGGTTGGGCTTCTGGGATATGCGGCAGTGCGGCCATGGGTCGACAAATGGACGGAGGTACGTCAACTTCTCCAGACTCTCCATCATACGCTAACATCAACAGACTGCACGGGAGAGGCGTAATTACATTCCAGTATCTAGCCGGAGCGATCAATGATATATGTTACACGTCGGCGCCAACTGAAGTCCCTCTATCTCCTCGGTCCCAGTAGATTTTCCAACCCCAAACGCCGTGCGCAATGCTATCCGCCCTTGCTAGTCCCGAGTGGTGCCTTGATCGAACATGTACAGATACAGTTATGGAGGTGCTCATTGCCGCGTGATCCGTTGGTACCAGGTCTTCGAAGTTTTGGAGAGGTCGGTCGCTGTGTTCGCGGCCAGTTGGTCAAGAGGTCCCGGGGACTGCGACGGGGCTAGTGAAGCCTGGTTCGCCGACTTCTCTTCTCGTATGCTGGGTAGGTGTGACACCGCATCTTGTATCGGTGTCTGAGACTGTGACGGTGATTCTTCCTTCGCTAGCCCACCGAAAAGAGATTCTTTTGCCTGGCCAAGGAGGCCTTTCCGTGCTTGAAGGTCTCGCTCCGCTTCCGCTTTTGCCCTCTCTTGACTGATCAACAGTATATGATCGCTCGTAGCCGCGCCTTGTGCCTCTGCCTCATATGCCAGTCCCAATTCCTTCGCCCGCTTCGCATTCTGCTTCGCCAGCCATTCCGCCTTCTTCGTTCGATTGAAGTACGCTAGATTGACCAAGGCAGCAACCGTAACCACCGAAGCAATACCTAATTCGTCAATTAGCATGGAGTCGATCAGAATACCGATGATGCCGCGTTACATGTTAAGCCAATCAGACTCCACGTCGTGGCTCGATGAGCAAAATCCGCAACGACGCGCCCCCTCGTCACAACCCGATCGAACGTCGACTCCTTCGCAAGCTTCGCCCTCCTCGCCGCCTCCCTCAACCGCACGACCTTCTCCTTGGGAGACTCATTCGGCGGAGCGGGACCGCCGAAGTCGATGGTGGTGTTCCGGAGGGTCGTCTTGGACTCGGCAAACGGGGTGGTGGGGGTGAATCGCGTGGCGTCTGTTACTGACCGCGGCATTGCTGCAAGATACGAACCGACTTCGTCCTTTGGAGACGCGGTATCATCGCGTGATCTAGGGACGCCGACGATGGAGGGTGGAAAGTTTCTGAGATGAAGCTCTGGGCCAATCATCGTCGGTTGAATTGCGGTAATACTCCGGGTGGTTTGATCCCGCTAAAGGCTTGATATCCCTGCACGTCACGTGCTGCTCAACCTCCATCGAATCAATGGAGAGTGAGTGGTAATGCCAGACAATGATGAAATATCGAATTGATCCGTACACCATCTGCCACTGTAATTGATTACCTAGGTCCTAGATACTCTAGTTACATGACTGGGATATTTGTCTGAGATGGTAGCACACCATGAGCAATCCAAACACGCCCGATCTGGCCCAGATTCTCCGTGACCTTGCCGCCTATCAACCCGATCCCCAGCCATCGCAAACCGCGCCGCCATATGGTACCTCGCTGAACACGTCCGCAAACGGATCCCACTCTCTTTCTGCTCCAAGTATTTCTTCCTTTCAGCAACAATATCCTTCACAGTCTTTCAATCAGCCAGAAAGCTCCCAAGCTGCGCGTGTTCCTTCGCATACAAACGTTTCCAGCAATTGCAGGCCTTATGAGCCGGGTCACTCGTCCAGTCAGCGGGAATCACAAATCTTGGGTGATGCATCTTCTATTACAGAATGGGGACCAGGTCTACGTCATGTTAGTCGGCTTGCTGCATTAAACCCCGAGTTTGAACGAACCGTTAAGCAGGTATATGTTCTGGCTCTTGTACGTCAAGGATAGCACTGACACAACCAAGTTAATGGCGGATCAGCAAACACATGAAGTTGAATGGTGTGTATCCATCTCCATCAATGTACATATATAGTGCTGACCTGACACCAGGTTTAACGGACGCGAGGCACTCTTGGCCAAGCAAGCGTCGAGGGATGAGAACACGACGAAACTAGACGCAATTTTGTAAGCCTCTACCAGATAGATGCATATCTACATATCTAATATAGAATAGCCGTTCTATTGGTGGCTCAATAGCGCCGTCTGCACCGATGGTAGGTGATGTCCAGCTCACAGGAAGATCTCCATTAACCAAGGTCAGAATCCCCAGGAAAAAGAAGTGGAATTAAGGCAGTACGATAAAAAGGTGTACAAGGCATCCCAGGATATGTACAGTGCCTTCTCCGTCAGACTGGAGCGACTGGGTGTGCCATTCTTCTCGGGGAACAGAGATGGCCCAAGTCCTTTGCAGGAGAAAATGATCAAGCACCTTGAAGATATGTTTGGGGATTTGAAGGCTTAATGCTGGTCATCATAGCATCCAGTAGACAGCCCTTCTGCTTTAATGCCCCCTCACGCTAGTAGCATTGCTTCCTGTTTGTCTATTCAGTTATGTGGTGATGTGTTACAGTATTGGGTTTTGGATTAGCGCCTTAGCGCGTCTCCCATCGATCAGTCTAGTTTCCGTCTTGCACAAAACATCCTTCTCACTGCTTCTCTTGATCAATCACTCTTATTTTTACCTCTCGCACACACACTGTCATTGTTTTACAATCTAATAGTTTCAAATCCAAAGTTCAGAAATCGTATTTTCTCTCAGAGCCATCATGAACTCTATTACCTTCTCGCGCCTTGGTATCGGGTCATACTATGATCAGGTGGATGAAGGTTAGTTCACAACAAACACTCATCTAGTCACATAGTTAACAGCGCTAAAAATGATAATAGAAGATCTACCTGCTGCTGAAAACATTGCCGATACGGCGATCGTCACCACTGATGTCACTGTCACGGACGGACCTGCCCCTGATCCTGGGGTGGCCGATGCGGGCCCTCCCGTCCAACAAACTGTGGCTATCAGTGCTGCTCCTGCTCCGCCGGGATTCTGGGACTCTGAATCCGATGCGGCAACTGTCGCCACTGATAAAGTTATGGATATGAGGTCGAGCTATGCCCCTGATTCTGCGGCGGCGCAGCGAACTGTGAGCGCCAGTGCCGCTTCCATTGTCCAGCGAACTGAGGACGCCGATGCGGCTCTCACTGCGCAGCCGACTAAAGCAGCCGATCCCACTACCACTGTGCAGCGAAGCGGAACCACTGATCCCGCGAATACCGCAATTACTTCTACCACTCCCGAGAACCAAACTGGGGCCATTGATCCTGCAGCTACCTCTATCACTTCCGAGAAGCAAACTGAGACCATCGATTCTGTACCTACTCCTATCACTCGCAATAAACCAATTGTAAAAATCGCACCTCCAATCAAACCTGGTCGCGTCACTTCCACTGCCGAATCCTTCTGGGTCATTCCACCTGATCTCGTCAATGCATTGAACGCCACGCCTGCACCACAACAACTTCCTCCACCCCTGAAGCTGCCGCTGCCAATGATAACTCCACCACCCTCTCCTCCGCCACAAACGGCCCAACCAACCAAGCCGTCTCCGCCGTCGACCGAAGACCTGGAGTCCCAGGCGAGTTCATTGAAGAGCTTCAAAGGCCTCTTCAACACCTTCTTCTTTGACCCCGCCTACCGCGAGAAAAGGTGGGGGATGCTATTCGTCGCGTTCGTGTTGGTCGCCCTCACCATCACGATCGCCGTCCTCGAGCCCCGCTGGCAAAAGTGGGGGCGGATCTTCCCGACTGAGGAACAGCTGAACCCGCCGCAGGTGACCACCGGCCTCAACCCGTAAGTCTAATCGTGCCGAGAAAGTGATGATGCCCGGCTAATGTGATCAAGGGTCTGGATCGTCCCCAGTTCCAGCCCACAGTAGGGGTCGGTGGGCCCACCCCGTGGTCGGGAGAAGTTGGTATGTTTGTTCACTCGCTCCAACTCGACGACAGTCATTTACAATCCATAGCGTCTTGAACGGCGGGGAGTGTTTACGCTTGGCGGAGACAAGAGCCTCCTTGGCGGGGGGTCAGGGAGGGGGAAACCCTTTGTATTTTCAATCTAAGCTCCATTCAGTTTAAGCTAAAACCCATGCTCTCCGTGTTAATCGCCCGTGTTGATTGTTTATACCTTGATCAGTCCCACCAGTTCCCCAAATGCCTTCACCACCTCCCCTTTCACTTTCTCTCCTTCCCAGTCGTTTCTCGTCGCCTCAGCCACTTCTCCCGTGGTCATCCCGGTCGTGAGATCCGGCCCGACATTCCCATGATACGCCAACGCCGGCCTTGTTTCCGCGACCTTCAATTTCATGATCTGCAGGCTCTGACTCAAGTGCTCCCCCGCCTTCAACCCCCCAAAGATGCCATAGCTCACCACCACCGCGCCTTTCCCAGTCCACTCGTTGTACAGATAATCTATCGCATTCTTCGCCGCGCCGGACACCGAGCTGTTGTACTCCGGGACCACCCAGATATAGCCGTCGTACTTTGCGATTTCCGCGCTCCATGCTCGCGAGTGCGCGTGTTTGTGCTCGCCGGCTTTGATCATCGCGGGCGCCAGGTCTTCGTCGAGAACGGGGAGGTTGAAGGCCTTGATGTCGACGAGGGTCAGGGCGATGTTAGACGCGGTGGCTTGCTCGTCGATATGGTTCTTTACAATCTCGGCCACTTTAGGGCTGACTCGGTGGCCGCGGATGCTGCCGATGATGATGGCGACCTTCAATGGTTGAGGGTTGGTTTCGCTCATTTTGGCTGTCGAAGTGAAACAAAGGCTGGATTTGGGGGTTCGATATGATGGATTTTTAGTGGTATGGTCGAATTGTCTTGGGATGCTCTGATACTACCAGAAGCGTGAAGGCGTCGTACTTATATACTCCATTCTGCAATGGCACGCCACATATCTCTACCCTATTCAACCATCTCTAAAGCATAGACATGGAGAGATTTTCGCAGTGGCATTCCACGTCTTAGAAATCACGAATCTCCAAATGCAGACCGTACACCACCATTTTTTCTGGGACCTTCACTGGGATAAGACTTCCTAATATCCAAATATACCCAATGATAAGCCCTCACGACGACAGGGAACCACGTATTCGCCCAGACGAGTTTAGGCAGCGCGCGTTTAAACGCTTCGCGGTGGACGGGCGTGCTGACAATTCCTGCCCCGGGTCGGGGAGCGATTCGGTCCGAGCAATTCTCAGGATTTGGAACTGATTTATAATCCCAGTAAGTCAGCGACCACCGTTTTCGTGCACCCCCTCAAAACTTCAACACCACACAGTATAAGACAGATTTTGCGTAATTCAACGCCCATCATTTATTTTTGTATAGCTAAATTTGGGATTCAAAGCACATAGACTCGAAAGTAGCCTCCTGTAATTTCCGTGATGTCTCCTCCGCGCTCATTCGTCGTTTCGTGGCCTTTTCTTCCGCCTTTTGCGCATGAACGATCTGATCGAGTTGAACGGATCTTTCGTTCAGATCGGGCTGAACTCTTTTCCTCTTTTTCCCTATAGGACCGCCTAGATCTGTCACTGTATTCTGAAGTCTCTGGATCTGCGCCTTCAGCTGTGCGATTTCTGTATTCTTCGCCGAAAACGCCTTCGCAACATTCCCTTGAAACCCCCGGAAATCCCTCCCCCCCATCCCATCGTATTTTTGAAGATATACGTCTTGGGGCCCTTTTGGTGTATGAAACAATGTAGGAAAAGTAGGCTCAGGTGTTACAGGATGCTGTATTACGTGATTCTCGTTCAATTGGGTGCTGTTCAGGACTTTTTCGGGGTTGTACGGAACCATGCCGGTGCCACGGAATCCCGCACGGATATTATGTATATTCAAGGCTTGTATTCGTGATTTATGATATATAGATATAAAGTTATGCTTCTTTACAGGCGCTGAGTCGTCAAGAGATGACAATTGACTCAATTCTTTACGGTATTTTGACTTCAGGGGCGAAAACACCGAAACATCTAGGGGTTGCAGGAGGTGAGACGTATGAGCGGGCAGAAACAAAAGAAATACTCGGTTTTCCTTGGCCAACTTCATGAACTCTACTGTAGCGTGAGAACCGTGTCCATCGCACACTAGAAGCCGCCATTCGTCCGCGGGGAAGTCTAGGGGCTTGCTCTCGGGCAAGAACTTCTTTTCCATCCATTGGAGGCCGATTTCGTTCGAAGTCCACGCGTTTTCAGAGCTCATGTAGTGCCAATTTGGTATATCTTTCTCCTGTGGTGGAAACCACGAAGATTGGACCGATTTTCCTTTGAAAATGATCAGGGGGGAGATTGTGCGGCCGGCCGCGGAGATGGCCCCAAGAACCGAGACCCATTCGCGATCCTCTGGCGATTCGACGTACGTATGGCCTTTTTTACGTTCTTTGGACGAAGTCTGAGCAGGGGCGATTACTCTTCCGTTGGTCCCGCATCCAAGGGAGAGGCCGTGTTCATCGAAGTTCCATTGGTTGGCGATTTTGATATTGTACTTCGTACAAACGCGTCGATAGGTCTCAAAGAACTCCTGGATAACCTCTTTTGATGCGCAATTTACGCGAGAGGCCTCGATCGATCGTCCTACCATAGTTTTTACCTGGGAATTTCGTCGTATAAAGCCCTCCGTCCAATGGTTGCCGCAAGGAGCGTCATCTCCATTTTCTCTGGCGATTACTTCCGCCATTTGACGGACTCTTGCGTGCGAAGGAGCCCTGGCGGCGACGTCTTCTTCTATAATCCATTCGACAAGCCATTTCTCCTGATCTGGAGACAATTTTTGAAACCTCTTGGCTCCATCCTGGTGGGATATTGAGCCATTCAGTCGGGAGCGAAGCGTTGATCTCTTGATGCCGTATTCATCCGCACATTGGTTTAGGGAATTGAATTTTTCATCATGAAACGCCTGTATAGCGAGCTGTATAGCGACTTCATTCACACGAGGCATTTTCAGTATAGCATCTCATTTTGTTGAATTGGTTGATGAAGTAGAGTATAGATCTACAGAAATCTACCTATCTTGGTTGGGTGCACGAAAACAGGGGTGCACGAAAACGGGGGTCGTTGACTTGCGGAGACTCGAGGCAGATGGCGCGGTTCGGATGTTCGCCTACGTAACCCATGCCCTACCAGGGTCCTAGCGGCTAGACCGCTAGAGTCTGTTTCGGGCATCAGAGTTCGGCCATATATTAAACCTAATCCAGTTCTCATCTCAACTACCCAGGAACCTGGTGGGCGAATTGCTTCGCTATAATTGCCACGAGCGTGTTTGGATGTGTGCCGAACATTCATAGTCTATCTCTACTCTCTAGGTTGTTTGTGTCTCTAGATGCCCGAATATGGTTGATCCGTAATTTGTCCGAGGAAGTCCAACAGCCGCCTCTCATCGAGAACACCACGGAAGCAGATATAGGAAACCATCCCATAAAACCAGTCAGTCACAAACTCACAATAATCATGACTGATACCTACTCGTCTTATGCACGAGTCTCCCCTTAACCCAAACCGCAACCGTGTTCCTATCATCCCCATTGTACACCCACTTCGCGACCTTATCCTCCCAGCTTTCCCACCCGAAATGATCCACCGGCCCTTCATCCTCGCCATGGCCTTCCATATCCTGCACCTCGTTCAGCAACACCATCTGCGCATCCCAATCCATCCCAACCTCGAACCCACCAATCCGCTCGGCTAGCCCAACCACCTTTGCCCCTCCCCTCGTTGCAAGATACAGTGCCTCCTCCGTCGACAACTTCACCGCGTCCCCGGCTTCCATTGCCACATGTCGACTCACCCATACCGCCTGCTTAACCACCTCCAGCACGCTCGGACTGAACCCCCCACTAACATCGGTCCCCAACCCCACATCGATCCCGTAGTCCAGATACTTCCGCACCTTCGCCGTACCCGACGTCAGCGCCGTGTTACTTGCCGGGCAATGGCTAATCTTCGCGTCCCGCGCTTTCACCAATGCCACTTCATCATCGTTGAGGTGCACCGCGTGCGCCAAGATCATCTTGTCCGTCAACAGCCCCGCGTCATCATACACGTGCGCGTACGACCGCGCGTCCGGAAACAGTTCCCCCACCAACTTGACCTCATTCATGTTCTCGGATATGTGCGTCTGCGCCGGATACCCCGTCTCGCGGTGCAGCTCGCCCAGCTGCGCCAGGCAATCGGGGCTGCACGCGGGCGCGAACCGCGGGGTGATGATCGGCGACACGATGGCGTGGGTGGGGTCGATGTTGCGGATGTGCGCGATGGATTCTCGGGTGGCGGCGAGCGCTTGGGCGGCGGACTCATCTTTGTAGAAGTCGGGGGCGATGGCGGAGTCCATGCAGACGCGGCCGATGAAGGCGCGCTGGCCGTGGGCGAGGCAGATGTCGGCGAGGAGGTTGGTGGCGGCGACGTGGATGGTTGCGTAGTAGGCGGCAGTGGTGGTACCATGGGAGAGAGTACGGGAGACCACGCGGTTGTAGATTGCGCGGGCTCGGGCGACATCAGAGAAGGAGGCTTCCAGGGGGAAGGTGTAGGTGTTGAGCCAATCTAGGAGGGTGGATTTGCCGAAAATGCCTGCATTTGGGTATTGCGAGGCGTGAATGTGGGTATCTGGTCTTCGTTAGAGCTGATATTCGGAATGTTTGATATGACTTACCTATGAATCCCGGAAAATAGAAACCATTCTCCTTTAACCGTATAACCTCTACCTTTTCCCAGCCATGCAACTTCAAAGCCGCCTCCACATCAGCAGTACTGCGTTCGACGAAGGCTATCCGACCTTCTTCATCTACTCCGATAATACCGTCCTTGCAAATTTCCAACTCTTTCAAAGTCTTGCTTTGCACAAAAGGCCCCACGAACACTTTCTTTGTCCCGTTCTTGAACTCAGACATGATGGAATGATGAATAAGAACACAAGGGAAAAGTCTCTATATCAACCGTGTGCTGCGGAAAGATAACAACACCCAATAATCAAATCTCAAGACCGACTTTATTTATCGAGAACCATTAAACAACTCTTGAACTTGAAACCTCCAATAGCGAGTAAAATGAAGATATTTTCGGAAACGCTTCTTTATCAGCACTTCGATCAAATGAATGACGAAGGCGAAGCTCTTTAGACATCCTACCAACGGCAAGTTTAGGCGATCTCCAACGAGCTAAAGCCCTTCGAGCCGAGCCGAACCAACCTCCACGCTGATCTCCAGCCGCGAGGCCGAAGACCTGCTTTATCTGACACTTGGCAGCGATGCGACGTTGCTATCATTGCGGGGTGCTTGAAAAACAAACGATTGCTTGGTCCTACACTTATTGAAGATGATGCGCGAAAGAATTGATGCGGCGTGGGTGTAGTCAGTGCAGCAGGTACCCTGCCTCCGATCAATATCTGTCGTGTGCATATCGCGCAGGGCTGAACCGAGGGGCTGGGCTGATCGGCTCCGGCCATGCCCTGTCCTGTGGCTTTTGTTAGATTTTCATCGCTGTACTTCTATTTCTATTTGGACAATTTCACGATTTGATCTTACGCGCGCGGAGGGTAAGACTAACGATACGGAAGGCGACTTATGTGACGGGTCAGACAGCAGGCAAAGCCTGGGAGGTCAAAACCTAAGTCTGCGAAGTATACTAAGTTAGACATAGGGGAATTCAATAATAATAGGTGAGCGAGGATTATATTAGACTCTCCAACTATATAGCAGTCCAAAGGCCGCTAAAAATGAATCACCACATCCTTGTACTCCTCATCCACCTGCACCAACGCTCCCATCCCCCCCTCGTCCACCACCTTCGTTTCCACCACAAACGTCGCCAACAAAATCAACTCCTCCGTCTGACTCGCATTCTCACTCGTCTTATGATGGCACCCAGGCGCCTCATACCACGCTTCTCCTTCCGAGAACAACCGCGTCGGGTCGTTATTCATCTTGTTGTACGCGGTCCCCTTGATGATCGTGGCGGCCACCGAGGCGCCCCCGTGTCGGTGCGGTGGAGAGGAGCCTCCCGGTGGGAAGCTGACGCGCAGGGCAAGGACAGAGAAGTTGGGGACATTTTTGAGCGGCCATTGGTAGACGAGCTCGATTTTGGGGGCGGGTTTGCTGGTGAGGGTTAGATGGGAAGGGAGGGAGGAAGGGAGGGGGGAAGGGGGACGTACGTCCTGTCGTAGGCGATGTCCGCGACTTGTTGAACCATGTTGGGCGGTGGCTTGGGGGTAATTTGGTGGGGTTGAGTACGGTATGGTAAGAATTATATTGAGAGTGGAATTGATAGTAGCTAGTAGCGATGATACTCGTTTCCTTCTGGTCATGTCGTCAAGGTCGTGGGAAGTTCGTTATATATACCCCAACTCCTCGCACAAGAACACAAGTGCTCAATCCATCCGAGGAGACCCAAGACGTAACAGTCCTACGACATGCTGAGTCACTCTCGGCCTGCAGATAGCCTATCCACCCCGGCATCCCAATACCCGGACTCCCGACGTAATATAAGCCTCAAAACGTCCCGACGGGTATCTCAAACGACACCACATCGCTACTCGAATTCGACTCCGTATCCGTCATCCCCAACCCAAACCCTGTCGTCTGATTACAAAACTCCGTATAAGCACTCAAATCCGGCCCCGGAAAATAATTCGTAAACAGCAACGGACTCTGGTTCGGCACCTCGGGGATATACGCGTTCAGCAACCCCGCCTGCGCGTCCAGCGCCCGCGATTGCAGTCCGGGGCCAAGCGCCAGCAGCTCCCGTGCGACAGTCTTAACTTCTTTGAGTACGCGTTTTGCGCGCGGCCACACCTCCGCGAAGATCTCGATGGTGCCCATGGCAACGCGGATGCGCTCGCGGGCAAGCAGCAGGGCGTCGCCGCGGAGGACGTGCTTGCAGGCAGCGAGGTGAGCGATGGTGGTGGTGGCGGTCATGCAGATGGCGAAAGGGGTGTGCTGGGCTGTGCGGGCAGGCAGGGTGAGCATTTCGGTCATCTTTGTGATGGCTTGGAGGACCTTAGCGGTGTGGATGTGCGCGTCGCGCGCGTAGACGGAGGTGAGGCGTTTGGGGGGTGGCGGTGGGGCGCAGGAGGAGACGGATTCGATGGGGGAGTAAGAGAGGGTGGAGAGTTGGCGGTGGATGTCGACGGTGTAGCTGGGTTGTTAGTGGATGGTATGAGGTAGCCAACCCAGGCTGTTTTGACCACGGGGCTGGATAGGGGTAATATTCATCAACTTACATCAAAACACCCATGTTCGCCCCGAACAAGAGCTCATCTATTTTACCGTCTTCCCGAAACAACTTCCGTTTCGACTTCGCGAGCAAGTTCACCCATCCATTGCAAGCTGCGTCGTGATTGGCCGCCATGGCTCTCACGTCTTCAAGAGACTCTCTGGACATGCCAATGCAGATGTGATCGACACTACGGAGTAGCCCGACCAGGTAAGCAAACGATGAGAACTCCACATCATCGTCCATGAATTCTCGATTGTCGTAGTCTTCGACAGTGTGAGGAATGGGGATATTCTACAATGTTCAGTGGATGTACGGACAGATTCTTGGTGAACTTACCCCTGATTCATATGCATCCTCCTCGCAGGGTAGATCAACGGTCGCAGGGACGGTCCGTTGACTTGTTCGGAAGATAGCAGCGTGAGTGCTGGAAGCAATATGCGCATCCACGAGATACAAGGTCCACCATGTACGTCTCCAACTCTCCGCTAGAATCGGATTGCCGCCCGAGTTCGCGTCTGCAAAACTCTGCAGGTTCATCCCCAGCGCGATTGCCTTGTCGCTCGCGCCGCCCATGACACTTTTGGCTGCCTCGTCGTCATGGCACCAGTACGATGCAATCGCATACAACGTCAACGCCTGCACCTCGAATGGCGACGGCGTCATCTCGCCTTCCATCATCGCCATCTTCACCCGCTCCTCCAGCGGGTCGGACGCGATCTTCGTGGAGTACAGCGATCCGATGAACTGCATCACCGCCACCAGCAAGCTCATCCCGGGGATGCTCGAGTGGACTTCTTGCGTCGTGAAGCTGGCCATGAACCGCGCGGGCAGCGCGCAGGGGTGCCCGTGGTGGAAGTAGTGGTAGTAGAGATCGAGCAGCGGATCTTGCGTCGCGCTGGCTCGTAGATCGTCAGTGCCGGAGCTGGAGCTGTCGGAGCTGGGGACGGCGGAGCGGTCGTGTGTGCCGGGTGTGACCAGCGCAGGGCTGTGGTTGAGGGGCTCGGACATCGGGAGGCTAGTTACCACTGTGGTCGATGACATCGGTAACGACATAGGTAACGGCACTGACCCTGTTGGGTCGGGTCCTGGGAGTGGTCGGACGCGTGGTCGTCCACCCCGTCGAGACTTGAGATACGTGCACGCAGTGCCTATCAGGATCAGTACGATCGATGTCGAGGCGCTGATCGACGAACGGCTTACCCGTCTCGCTACATCTGCTGCAGATTGGATCGACGGCATCGCACCTGAGATGACGGCTGCGGCATTGCACGCATGCTAACGACACTCGAGTACCCGACTTCCCTGTCGCACTATCCTGCGACGCCTGCATACCCGCGGCAGGAACTGATCTGGGTAATCCGAATCCAAATTGGGGTTGCCAACTAGCACTGAATACCTTATAAACGGGGCAGAGTGGTTTCTTGGACATAAAAGGCTACCTGTTTAGTGTTTGTGCCTGACGCAGAAAAAAAAGACTTGATGAAGAGAGATAACTGGTGTAGGCTTGGTGGGCGTGAGGGGTCGGGAGCACCCCGTACACTCTCGCAGCTCCGTTCCAAGAATAGTAAGACTAGCGAATGATGTTAATTTGGACAATGTTAATGACCGTCACCGAATCTTTGATCCAAGATGCGCCTCGATCAGAATCTTCCTCCTGTTTCCGGTCGCAATATGGAGAGACATGCCATGGACTCGAACTTGATGGCAGAGATTAACATTGGTGATATTTCCGCTGTGCGGAGCACATCCGGGATTGTATACCAGGCTGTACCTTATCTACCTTACCTATGGCAATTGGTAGCAAAGAAATAGACGAAGCCGCATCTTCTACCGATTCGTCGGCGCGCAATTGTGCATCTCCGGCCGGTTGAACAGCTGCTTACTGGACTCTGACTCAATGTCGCCAAGTTGCATTGATTGCCTCGCCGGGAAGCTCGCTGTTCCATGACCATCCCCAAAAAGGGACGCCCCTACTAGCCACTAGGAGACTAGGAGAAGGGCAGATATAGCTTCTTGTGACAGGTTCTCTCCTCGTTTTTCTCCAATGGGTTCCCGATTCCTGTTGCAGGAGACAAGGGGGGAGGTCAACGTCTCCCCCGGCACTTCGAGTCTTCAAAACGCCGTCAAGCGCTTCCGTTCCGCTCCCCACCTCATAACCCGAGACACCGCTCGGGTATTTATTCGCCCCCTGATTGGCCAATTAGATTGCCTAGCCTGTCTTGGCTGCTGAGTCAACATGTTTAGTCAAGATACCGTACGCCGGTGTCGCGTTTAGTCGCGTCCTCGTCATCGCGGAACGCCGACTTCGAAATTACACGATGCCTCTGAAGAGGTGGTCAGAAATCTCGGCGGGAGGAGTATACGATGTGGGTCCTGCGGTAGGTTGAAACGGATAGTATAAATGACTTCGATGCTGCCGGTAAGTTGGTTTTTATCATCAAGCAATGCATCGTCTTTCTCATATTGCAAAACACCTCAAAGCAACGTCCTTCACGTCAGCAATAAGTCCTATTGCGAATCCACGTCCCTTGAATCATTTCTGTCGTCAACAAACCCCATACCATACCACCACCATGTCGTCTACCAGCCTCCCCACCACGATCCGCGCCGTCCTCCAACCAGACATCCAATCCACCGACCTCATCCTCACCTCCCTCCCCTTCCAGTCCGCCAAACCCAACACCGATGAACACGTCATCAAAGTCCACGCCACCGCTCCCTGCGCCGGCGAGCTCCTCTGGGGCAAGAACTTCCCCGACTCTGTCCTCAAACCCGGCAAAATCCTCGTCCCCTGCTACGACCTCTCCGGTGAGGTGATCACTGCCCCCCCCAACTCCCCCTTCCCCCCAGGGACGGAAATCTACACCCGCACCCCCGCGCACATTACCGGGAACGCACGCGAGTACACTGTCGCCAAAACCGCCGAGCTCGCGGCCAAGCCGGCGAACCTTAGCTGGGAGGAGGCCGCCTCGATTCCACTGAGCACGTTCACCGCTTACCAGGCGCTGTTCGAGCACGGGGAGCTGAAATTGGGATGGAAAGACGCGGCCGGGCGTGCCGAGAACGCGAAGAAACGGGTGCTGATCACCGCCGGCGCGGGAGGGGTGGGCGTCATCGCCGTGCAGCTCGCGCGGGCGGCGGGGGTGGGGTCGGTGATCGCGATCACGGGGACGAGCAATGTGGAGTTCGTGAAGAGCTTGGGTGCGACGGAGGTGATCGACTATAGGAAGACGTCGCTGGGGGAGTGGGCGAGGGCGCAGCCGAAAGTGGACTTGGTGTTTGATATGCTTGGGGGCCAGACCCTTGCGGATGCATGGACGGCGGTGAGGGAGGGGGGGATCTTGTTGGGGATTCGGGAGCCGCCGGAGATGAGGAAGCCGAGCGGGGTGGCGGAGGGGATTCGGGATTCGTTCTTCATTATGGAGTCGAAGGGGGAGCAGCTGGCAGAGCTCGCGCCGGTTATTGAGAGTGGGGACTTGAAGCCGGTTGTCGATAGTGTGTTTCCGTTGGAGGAATTTAAGGAGGCGTTCGCAAAGGTCGAGGGGGGACATTCGAGGGGGAAGGTGATTATCAAGATCTAGCTTGGAGGACGAGTAATAGAATTTGTATGACTATAGGAATAATGTTAATATTTATACTCTGCTGCCACTACAACCGAACATGACCATTAACATAAAATGGACTGAGCTTGACTAAACATGAACTGAATCTCTAATCAACTCGGATGAATATCAGCTTCACTTCCCGCCTTATGGCCTCAGGCGTCCTCACTGCAGGTGGATGTCATGGATCCACCGATCGACGTCGCATTTCAATTCGCGTCACAAGACCCTTTGGACCCTTTGGACCCTTTCTCCTGTTGGGCTTTCTTACATGTATTCCTCAGCCTACACTGTGTCTCGCATGCAACAAAGTGATTCCTATCTCCTATACATCGCAGTACTGTGAATTTCCCTGCGTTGAAAGCCACCATCCCCCCGGCTATCCTGCACCGTGCCAGATCCCGCTTTGTTTTGATATGCACCGATCTGTTTACAGTGCCCCACCCGTTCATTAAACTACCCCGAAACTCCCTATTACTACAACAGTCTTCTCAAACAGCGAGTGATCAATGAATTTCTGGTGAAGAGGATATATTCTTTACTGCGGATAGTTTCTCTCGTTCAAACATCCCCGAGGGTATGTGGTGTATCGCCAAACATTTCGTCCATCCTCAGCACCACCCCGGCCATCCGAATCGAACCGCAATTCGACCACACGAACGATGAGCAACAGTTTGGAGGCTAAGATTGTAGTCTTAGGCTCCCAAGGCGTTGGCAAAACCTCCCTCGTCCACCGATATGTCAAAGGCGCCTTCTCCCCGCCTGGGACCGCATCAACAATCGGCGCATCCTTCTTGACGAAGCGAGTAGTCGACGTCGATTCGCAAGCAGTGGTACGCCTACAAATATGGGACACCGCCGGCCAGGAGCGCTTCCGAAGCATCAGCAAACTATACTATAGAGGTACGACCCCACCCCTTAATCCCTCAAAACATCGAACACCTACTCACTCCTCCCAGGCGCCAACGCCGCCGTCCTCTGCTACGACATCACCTCCCCCTCCTCCTTCGCCGAAATGGGCCGCTGGCTCCTCGAACTGCGCGAAAACCTCCACCCCTCCACCATCATCCACGTCGTCGGCACTAAAGCCGACGTCGTCGCCGAACACCCGTCCCAGCGCGCCGTCCCCTTCGAGCGCTGCATCGCCTATGTCGCGGAACATCTCTACCCCTCGCAACCGCCTTTACAAAACGGCACGCTCCTCACTACGCCAGCAGGTGGCGTGTCCCGTCCGTCGCTGTCGACTTATGCGTCCGCGCAGACAAATCTGCCGAGGTCGCATACACCCCCGCTCACGGCACACGGGCTCCCCGGGCCATCTCTCCCCGCGGGGCAATCGCGCGCCAACCACGCTCCGCTCCCTACCCCTCCCTCTAATCGCTCCAGCACCCACAACCTCTGGACCACCGACGTGGGCTGGGACTCCTGCCACGAGATCAGCGCACTCACCGGCGAAGGCGTCGACGAGGTATTCCGGGTGATCACTCGGCGGCTAGTCGAGCAGCAGCAGGCGGCGGAGGCGGCGCAGCTGGGGTTGGAGGGGTATAGTGGGGCGGGGGGGTATTTCGACTGCGAGCCTGGGGGGGAGGAGGGGGGCGGGAGTTTTCGGGTGGGGTATGGGGATAAGCGACGGAGTTGGTTGGGGTTGCCGGGCATTGCGCCGGGAGGTGGGGATGGGGCGGAAGGTGGGGAGGAGGTGAGGAGGTGGGATGGGGAGGTGAGGGCACGGAGAGGGGAGAGGGGTGGGAGGTGTTGTTGATGGGTAGGAAGGGGTGATGCGGGGAATGGAGCTGGTTTCGCGGAGGTAAATCATGTGCAGGGCTACCTGTTTTCGGTCACGGTCTGATACTTCCCATTTGGCATACGGAGACTCGGTCCGCCGGGATGGCGGGGTATATTTCATCGTCAGGCGCTATCCATGGCATCGCGAGGGTTTGGGTTTGGTCAGCGCTTCTTCCGGCGTCATCTGTACGATTTGCATTACGAATAAGTTCCGTGAACATCAATCAGCATGATCCCGGGCTGCCGATATTTATATCCAGTGCTACCGGATCGGGCTGGGATGGCTGAACCCTGAGTGTCCCTGACCGATCCATGTGGTCCGTCCGATCGACGTGAAGAAGCGCTAGGATTGTCGATCAATTTTTCTTCACCATCGCAGTACCCTGACTTCTTCGTCAATATCAAACACCGTCGGTACATTCGATTCATGTAGGGCAGAAGGCTTAATGTAGGGCCGCAGCCTTACAGATTAACTGCTCTATTTCTTGGCCAGGTAATCTTCCGTATACGAGCTTGGTTCTTTTGAGTCTCTTGATCTTACTCTCTCGATGTTGATCTGTCCGGTTTGTCGTATTCTTCATCTACGTCCACTAAAGCGCAGAAGGTTGTCAGCTCTCAGCGTTGAGTATATTTAGCGATGTAGTCGTCCTATTCTTTCGATATCTCTCTTCGCTCCTATCATTCTATCGAGTTCGTATTGTTTAAACTTTCCATCCAAGCCAACATCCACCATGCGCTTCCATCCCCTCCACCTCCTCCCTTTCCTCACCCTCTCCCTCGCCCAATCCCGCCCTCCGGCCGGCTCCGTCCAAGTCACCAGCCCCTCTGTCGACACCTCCGGCATGTCCTCCCTCGCCGCTACTGACCGCACGCAAGGTGGCACCGGCAACAACGGCTGCCCCCCCGGCACCTTCAGCGTCGCCATCAGCGCCGACAACAGCATCATGACGCTGATGTTCGACAATTTCGAGGCCACCATCGGGCCAAAAGTGCCGAAGGGGAGTAATAGCAAGTACTGTGCCGTCACGGTGAAGTTGGACGTGCCGGATAACTGGAGGTATCGGATCGACGCGGCGGATTATCGAGGGTATTGTAATTTGGAGTCGGGGGTGACGGGGACGATTACGAGTGGGTATGGGCATGGGGGGAAGAATGATCAGGTACAGAAATACACAATCGAAAAGATGCGAGGCGTGGTATTAACTCTTTTTAGACGCGCTTTTCGAAGTCGTTGAGAGGTCCGCTGTCGGAGGATTATCTGCTGCATAGTGGCAACCAGCGCGGTGCGACGAGCCCATGTGGCAAGCAGGCGAATTCAAAGAACAGTGTACGGATTACATTGCGGATCGGGTTGCAGAGTCGGAATGAACAGGCGCAAGGACTGATTACCGCGGACTCGGCGGATCACGTGTTTAAGCAGGAGTTGCCATTGACGTGGGAAAAATGTTGATATTGGTATCTAGTCCGTGAAGTATGAATCTCTCTCTCTCTATCTAGTCCGTGAAGCGAGAAGATATTGAGGGGGATACAATGCCTCCTTGAAATCTTGTAATGTAGGAGAGCCATGATGCTGAAAACGCCACCGTGATATGTATAGTCCGCCAAGTATCGACAAGAATTGGTATTCAGATGTCCTCGAACCCTTTTATAACTTGCTCTTCCACAACGGCTGCCTCAACGAGTCATACACATTCTCACTCAGCATATCTCGCGGTATACTCGTATGTCCCGCCGCCAACCCCCGCGTATCCACCAACTCCGGATTCAATTCCGCGATGCTCCGCGCCCCAATCAACCGCATCCCCATCTCCATCTCGTCCTTCAACAACTGCATCGCCCGCCCCACTCCCGCCTCGCCGTACGCGCTCATCGCATACAGGAACGGCCGCCCTATCCCCACCCCCGTCGCCCCCAGGCAGATCGCCTTGATGATGTCCGTCGCCCGCCGCACGCCCCCGTCGATGAAGATCTCAAACCGCGGCGCCCCGGGCGGCCGCGGATACAGCCCTCGCGCCCGCAGCTCCGGCATCACCTCCGCCAGCACCTCGATCCCCGATGGCGCGGTGTCCAGCTGCCGACCGCCGTGATTCGACAACACCACGCCGTCCACCTCCGCCTCAATCGCCTTCAGCACATCCTCTTTCCGCTGCACACCTTTTAGAAGAATCGGCATCTTCGTGATGCTCCGGAACCAGGGAATATCATCCCAGCTGAGCGCGGGGTCGATGAAGCTCGAGATCGCGCGCGCCGCGCCCTGGCTCCGATCCACATTGTCTCCGGACGAGTTCTGCACGCTCGACCCGACGTCGCTGAACTTGCTGCGCATGTCCTTCTCGCGGCGCCCTAGCTGCGGCGCGTCGACGGTGATGAACAGCCCCTTGCACCCGCGCGCCTCGGCATGCTGCACGATCTTCTTAGTGATAGCGCGGTTCTTGTTGACGTAGAGCTGTAGCCACTGGACCTGGTCGCCCTGGCGAGCGTCGACGATCTCGTCGAAGGAGCAGGAGGCGAGGGTGGGAATCATTTGGACGACCTGGTGGGTGTGCGCGGCGCGGGTGAGGACGACTTCGCCTTCGGGGTGGCCGAGCTTGCCGAGGGCGGTGGCGGTGACGTAGAAGGGGATGGAGACTGGGGTGCCAATCATGGTGGTGGAGAGGTCGATGTGTTCGACGTTACGGAGGATGCGAGGGCGGAACCAGATGCGGTGGAAGGCGGCGTGGTTTTCGCGCATTGTCTGGGAGGTTAGGGGGATCGAGGGTGGCTTGAGGACAGACTTACAATCTCATCGTCGGCTCCACTTGAGTAATATGCCCATGCGGTCTTCTTCATCACCCTCCTCGCAACGGCCTCGAAGTCCGTAAGATTGAAACATTGTTCCAAATCCGGTTTGCTCTGGATCATCTTTTGCCGCTCCCCCTCCTCCGGATCCGTCGCCTTCTCCTCCCGCTCCACCGTACTCATATCCACCTCCCCTAAATGCTTGCTGCCATCTAAATACTTCTCTAACGTGTCCGGCGGGTGGATTGGGTCGAACTCTTCGGTGGCATCTTTGCCAGCGTATTTGAGGATGATCTTCTGCCCGCCTGGGTGCTCGGGAAGGAACTCGGTCACATCGTAGGCTTTGCCGTGGACGATCACCCAGCAGGAATCTTTCGAGTTGTGCATCGCGACCTCGGCGCCGCTGAGCTTTTTTGAAGGCGCATTTCGCGTCATTTTCGGGAGAGGAGTGACGTAACCTGGTAATTTGGTGATGGGATTGAGATACGGGGAGGACTGGGGGAGGATAAGGGAGGAGGGAAATTTATAGAATTTATAGCCGTACTGATAGTGCAGGAATATGACGGTCAAGCCGCGGAAGCAGGCAAAGGAAGAATTGATCAACAATTCAATGGTCTAACTCGCACGAGAATCATGATACGGTAGAGTGATATGGCCCGAAGATGGAGCTGGAGATGAGACAGGGATCGTGTAGTGAACCGTCATCGCTAAAGGTCGTCACCAGTTGTCCCGAGGTGATGACATGGTCTAAAGACTAGGCTATTACCATAGTGGGTAGCGGGAGACATCCCAAATCCACATTCCTTTTGATCACCAAAGTCCACTTCGGTGTAGTTACCAGGAAAAGACTTTTAAAGACGCCTCCGTATCTCCATTGCATTCATTCCTGATATATTCTACTATTACGGAATACACCGCTCTTAAATACCCTACGCAGTTATTATTCTATCCAGCACTCACTTCTGTCTCTTCCGACCGCTTACAGGTGTCTTGCCGCGTGAGCAACCGTCATGTCTGCCGACCAGACTCCAATACTGGACGCGAAAGGAAGCCCAATCCAAGGGCGAGTCGAACAGATTAGCGTGAACTTGAAGGGCGAATTCCTCTCCGGTGGAGTCACGGGTACCATAGAGCGTCTCCCATCTGGCGATGTCATTAAATCGCCCTGGCCAAGAGCAGAGAAGCAGTCTGCCGACGAGATCTCACCGTGGAAGCTACTATCTATAAGGTCTTGTCGCTTCACCCGCGCTCAGTAAAGCCGATCAATTGCGACCCTGAAAATTGTGTTTTGATGCTGGAGTATATACCTTATGGTGGCCTCAGTTCGTACCTGAGCGCACATAGCGAAACCATCAATCTCCCACAGCGGCCACGCTGGATCTAAGAAGCCGCTGAAGGGTTACAGTTATTGCATTCTGCTAACATCATGCACTGTGATGTCGAGCCAAAGAACTTTCTGCTCGATAAGGACCTGCACCTGCGATTTCAGACTTTGGCGGCTCTTCTCTAAACAGTTCTCAAGCAACGGCATGTCCTGGGACACGGTTTGAACCGCCGAACTTCGACTGGAATTCCCCGCAGACTATCAAGGACGATTTTTCAGTCTTGGGGGTACAATGTATAACATTATAACAGAGAACGACCTTATCAGGACGTACCTAGCGACGAAGTGGAGAGACGGTATAAGTCGCATGGGTTCCCAAATGTGTCAGGGCTATTGTACGGAGAGATTATCAAGAGATGTTGGCTTGGTAAGGTCGATTCTGCCTAAGAATTCGTCGACTATTTCGCGTCCCAGTGTTCCTTGCATTTCCCCACGGTTTGGTCGTTGTTGACATCTTGCGTTCTTGTCTGCATCGGTGGTAGCTCGTGGTTGTTGGCAGCCGTCACGCGCCTGTCACTGAGCGGTAGTCCTAATAGTGAAGATGAACATGCTCGTTATTGCTGTGCAGCTAGCCGAAAGGTGTGCTTGGGCAGAAGTGGTAGAAGTGGTCGATCTAAGACTGGCTAGGTGGTCAAAATCAAATAGATGGACAGTGACAAACTGTAGGGACTTGGATCATTCCAACGATTCTGATAACGCGTCAGAGATAGAACTAGACGAGCCAAATAGGAAGCTCAGAGCGCGGTAGCTAGCATTCGAGAGCGAACCCGCTGGAGTATTTGGATCAGTGCATAGCAAGTGAATGGCATTGAGGAAATTGCCTGGAGTCAAGCGTCGTCAGTACGATAAATGTTTTATATGTATTGATTAGTTAGGGCCCACCAGTATTCAACAGCTATCGAGCAACATTGCTCTTTGATTCTTGTCTCATGCGGACGACAACCTTACCCGACCCATCAATCCACTCTGCTGCGGTCGACCTGATGCACTTGTGGCTTGCAACATATACGAGCAAATAGATATGCTCTATAATCTCGGCCCAGCAATATATCTTGACTATTCCAAGTCCCCTGTCTGGGGCTGTCGTTTCGCCTTCTGCCTCTCCCGTTTGGGCGAAGGTCACCCTTTTCGTCGATCCCTCCCTATCATTAGCAAATCCGGTTGGGGACTCCTCGCAGCCCTCCCCGTATCGTCTCGCAGCCCATACACCCCAACCACACCTGCCATCTTCCAGAATCTTTCCAAAATAATCCCAGAACTCGACTTGGCGAGCAACATCCCATTGCCTCGTCTCAAACTGCCAATGGCCTCTTTCCCCTGGCCTGACTGGTCGAGATACTGATTCCGGACGGTACTGTCGTCGAAGCAAAGGATCCGCTGTGGTTTTCGCAAGTGTCCTGGTGATCCAGGACGGAAGTTTACTTGGATCGAGATTGCTGGTTGTAGGAAGCGGCGAGTGGAATTCTAGAGGTAGGGCGGATATTGGGGGGAGTTCTGTAGACAGCTCGAGGGATAATGGTGCGGGCAGATTGCTTGGTGGTTCGGGGGACACGTCAGGAACCGTTTTGTTGGTGGTATGTATCGTATCATTCTTCATTGCAGATGATGGCGGCGGTTGATATGCGACTGGGGAGGGAGGGCTGTATGACCCGTCTTTCGACGGCGTAATCTCCGCTTCCGGTAGAGCACTCCGAGGTCGAGGTTGGTGTCTCCCGTATATAAAACCCACCTCCTTGTTTAGTCGTCGCACAGGCTCAAACGTAGTGCTGGGACCACTGCTAACAGGTTCCCTTTCCTCTTGCCCGATATGTTTCGTGGGCAACCTTGTTCGTACCCCTCCTCTGCCGGTCATATCCTTTGAAGCGTTGACTCTTGAGATTTTAATATCTTTCCGCGGTGATGCTAGAGAACGTTTAATCCCCTGTGCAGGGGAAGTCGCATGAACCATGGAAGTCTGTAGCACCTTGAGGGGAAATCGGTCTTTCGAGAAGCAATCAAAACTCGAGGGCAGCTCTGAGGTCTGAATGCTTTGAATTTGGGTGTAGCTTTGACTTTGGCTCGGTGACTGAGATCTGAGAGGTCCGGATACGGCTCTTTGGGTCATATGCGGCGATCCAAACCCCGTTTCTTGTGTTGGTGGCATTTTCTCAGGTGCCTTCCTCTTTAAATCACTGCCTTTGCTAGACGGCTTCTGTGTGGGATTGGTAGGAATGAATGGAACATAGTGCTGGAGAGCATCGAGGGCCTCTTGCGTATTGTCGATAAATGATTGACTACTTAGGATCTGAGATGATGGGACTAGGACTGAGGAAAAAGATTGCTTCTCTGCGCAAAGCGCTTGGACTGCCTCGAGTGCATCCGTGGTGTTCAAGGGAGGGTCCGATTCCTCATCTTCGTCGTCCCCAGGTGATAGAGACTCGGTTTCTTCAATATATTGCTCCTCGGACGAACGCTGCAACTCCCCGATCACGCTCTGCGTTTGAGGGTATAAATCAAAGTCAGAATTGGACTGGGGTTGGCCTTGCACCGCCTGGATATCAGGGACTTTTGAATCCAAGTGATGGATTCTGGAGAGTTCGAAATTGCGATATGATGTTGCGAATCGTCTGTATTCTTCGTCCCTTTCTCTGCTGGTTTTCGCGCAGACATGTACCAGTAACTCCATCCTGACTGGCTAATTGGATGGAGTATAATTACTGTATGAATGTGATGAACCTTCTGTTACCCAGCAAGATCAAGTTGTGAAGCGGCCAGAGGACGCGTCGTTCCACGAAACATGCGCGTCCGCACGTGACAGTCTGTCCTAGAGTACTCTAGGTACATCATGCAATGCTCCAAGAATTAGATCTTTCCTAGTTAACGCAAATTGGTATTAACGATTCCCATTGTCTAGAAAAGGAGATCTAGCTAGTAAGCCAGATGAAGATAACTTAAATACATAGGAGAAGACTGAAGAGTCCTGATTAGGCCTAGCCCAGGGGTAGAGGGCAGTGAAAGGAATGTTAGATGGCAGTAGAAACCAACAGGGGCATCTTGCGACACAGGCCGCTTTCCGAGCCACTATCTTGGCACGATGAACATTGTGTTCACTGTGCCGATGGGTTCGGAGAGCTAACTTCCATCAAAGCTGCTAAATGCGGATGCGATGTAGGAGTGTTGTGCCATTAAAGGTAGTCTATCGCGAACAAGTTGAACATATATATCGTGGAGGAGCTAATATTTCTATTCTGCAAACTTTGATGGACATCTAGAGGTTTTCCCCACATGCACAGCCCCACTCAATGCGCACTTTTTCCTACCAAAATTCGACGAAATCCCTCAACTTTAATCAACCCCTTATAGTTTTGCAGGCCACCTCGAAAATTCCCTCTTTTGGCGTTAGCGTTCTTGTCTCCTCGTTTATTGGCCCATTGCTCTCAATTATGGAGATGAAGGACAGCGATCATACTTAGATCGCGGCTCGTAAACGATACGGGCCGAGTTTCTTCCACCGAGTCGAATCAATGTGGGATCCTCGCTATTTTCGTCATACAGAGGCCATCCCAGTTTGACTAGACCATTTACAGGATCTTTGGCAAATGCAGTCCATGCGCGTCTTAAGCGCAGACTGAGCTTAGCTTCTTCGGGTGTGCTGTTATTTCGCGTGGGATGATCGATCGTGCCCATCACAAGCGCAATTTCAGCGCCATGACCTAGAAATTAGGTTAGATCTAGTGGTTGAGCAACTAATTCATCCAGGTTGCCATCACTGACCTGCTCCTGGGGCAGTATCGTTGCCCCATGTTCCTGCGTAGAGATATCTCCAGGCATTGATCCCAGCGTTCCTGTACGATAGTGCCGCAGCATGAGTTCCGCAACCATCTAACTCTGGAGGGCGATAAGTTGCCGGTAGCGTCTCATTCCTTTGTCTGGCTAGATCCTCATAGAAGCCTTTCTCGTAGTTGGTGTTTCCCACAAGCATCGGCTACTGGTGCATTAGAAACCCGAATTCGAAGTGATGGAGGCCGTAGTCACTTACAATCTTCGCAAAGATGCCTTTGGCTCTTCGCCCGTTGTAATCAGGGAGCACCGTCTTGTTATCCAGGGTTGGTCCAAATCCACCAGCACCAATATTCGCACTCACCCCTCGTCTTGGAACGCTGTCTGTTATTTCTTGCCAGGATTTTGATCTCATACACGCCAAGGTACTCTTACCAGCTTCAATCCCACCGCAACCAAGGCTACGGCTAGATTCCCACCAAGCCGAGGACGTGTTTTGTGGGGGGCCGACTGAATTTGCAGCAACTCCTGATTGAGAGATGAGACCGTACACAATAGGGTCTTGTGGATATGCAAACGAATACATATCCACTGATCCGCCTCCGGCAGATTGACCAAACAGAACAATTCGCTTTGGGTCTCCTCCAAATTGCGCAATGCTGAGAATCTGTCAGCTCTCACGGTAACTCTACTCCATGACGAACATCCACGCACTTGTCTCTCACCCACTCAACTCCGGAACGTTGATCTAAAAGACCAGGATTCAGATCCGGGATAAAAGGGGCCCGAGGGAATCCGTAGATGTTGACTCTGTAGTTTACGCTAACTACGACGACATCGTGTTCGTCCGCAAGACGAGCGCCATTGTAGAGCGGCGTAGAGGATCTCCCTGATCCGAACCCACCCCCATATATCCAAATCATGACTGCCTTGGATTTTTCTCCCACCTGTGGCTTCGTCCAGATATTTAGAGTGAGGCAGTCCTCATCAACGTCCGTCATTGTACTAGCCGGACCACCAATATTCTCCGGGCATGACGAACCAAATGTAGTCGCGGTGATTGACTTGTTCCCTTTGAAAGGTTTCGGCGCAGCAAATCGTAGTTCTCCGACCGGTGGTTCGGCGTATGGAACTCCAAGATACTCGGAAACTTCTGGCTTCCAGTCCGCGCCATGGCCGATAACTGGCCCACTGGAGGTGTTTACCGGCTGACCGATTGACCAGCACGCGGGCCGACCGCAGGCAATGCCTGCCAAAATGGCTATAGTCAATTGTAAAAGCATCGTTTACGATTTGATGCCGTGACCTGTGAAGCATCAAAACTTTGGGGGCATCCTACCTTTAAAAATGTGCAAAAGGTATAACCGAGTAGGTTAAATACTTGATCGGCATAATGCCAATACCAAATACGACCATTACTATGGAATAAACTCGTACTCGGTGCAGGAAATTACTAGAGGCAAATAGAACCGAACCAGGACAGCGGAGGCCATGCCAATACCCACAAATTTGTACTTCCATACGCTTCTTACGGTCGAAAGTGTACATTTGCATGCAACTATAACAAACCGTTTACTAGCCTGATGATTGATACTCCGTAACCGCCGAGGTCCTGTGTAGGTTGTGAGGTTCTTAATTGGCTCCAGGACATGCCAAGCGTACGCGCGAAAACGGCGTCACAAACCGCCAAAAACAGAGGTCAATTTGCCGTTGGATTATTCAAGAGGAGGAAATTAATTAGTTATCAAGTAAAAGAGACGACGGCACATCGACCGCCAGAATGGCAGGTTTGCCCACCGTGCACGCTCATTGGTCGATGCTCATGATCCGAAGATTTCCCGGCTTCTCTGGCCAGTCCGCCTGCTTCGACTTCATATATAAAACGCGCATTCCACTATTCCTTCTTCTGCCGTTTTATTTCATCGCTCCCGTCTTCCCAAACCCCTCAACTACTGCGGCGACCGAGAATCCACGACCGCTCTTCATCTTTCGCTTGCTCCCTGCTCCCCCTATGTCTCTAGTATCGCTGCATTCCCTAGCCGCCGCACTCCCGCCTGATCGCCGTCCCAACTATTACACTCTGTCTACCCGGCGCTGCGATCTCCTCTACTGGTCATTTAATTCTCGAGGAGCTCGTCTACCTGGATTGCCAGGTATGCCTCCCGTTTCCCTGGATCGTTTCTCTCCCTTTCGAGCGTAAGACTGACTGTCTCTCCGAATCCGAATCCGAATCCAACCTCCTCCCTCTCCGCGCTCCTGCCCAAGTTCAGCAGATGGCCGACCATCTCGCTCACATTCTGCTCGCGAGCTCGGAGTGGCCCACACAGCCCCCGGCATTGGGGGCCGTTGATTCCGTTCGGCCACGCCGAGTCCAGCACCTTGGTCCACCGTCATCCTCAATGCGAGTCATGGAAGTCGGTCACAAAGTCCACGGCTTATGACGATCCTAGATCCCTGTATCATTGCTTCGTCGCTTGCTGCCTACGTTGCATTGCCGTACTCGTGGGTTGAGCCAGTCTGGTTGATGTGGAGGTGGGGGAGAAAAAGCAAGACAATGGCGAGGCGAGCAGTGGCGGTCGCGTTCATGCTCAAGGAGGACCACGAGAGGGTAAAAGGGCGAGACGGTGAGATTGAGAGGCACACGCATGTTCCACTTCCCCCTTTAGCTCCTTGGCTTTCCGGAAGTGGTTGGTGAGCTGGAAATCTATTTGACACCCGGTGATCCCGAGGGATCTCCAACAAAATTGCTCATCTCGCCTAACCTGCTAAGCCCGCGTCTCAGGCAGCAGCTGGAGCGGCCGAGGGGGTAGGTATGGCCGGAATTCAGGGGATGGAAAGGGGCGGAGGGACTCGCTCAAAATCTGGGACGTTATGGAACGATGACGCTGTCACCAGACACACATAATGCAGCATCTACCACGGTTCTGCGGTAGAAATGCCGCACCATCATCAGGCGCGAATCTCGGACTAAGTTTCCAAGAGAGCGCATATGACCGAATACGAGCCAATTCATACGTCGCCGTTCATGCGTTAAGCATCTCCGGCGTCCTCTAACGGTCCTCCCTCTGTATTCATATCTTAGTTAGGCATATTCTATTCATATTATAAGAGTCTAGGCGCTAACAAACTCAACGATCTTCTTAAGCGCATGCAAATCCCCTTCTACTGTCCCGGCCAGTTCCTTAGGCACCCAGCCCTCTGTATAGCCACCGCCGAAGTCGATGATCCACGCGTCCTCATTCCTATCAATCAGGACATTGTCCGGCTTAGCATCTCCCCAGACAATACGAGCCGCATGCAGCTGGTTGATGATGTATTGGAGTTGCACAATCCACTTCTCTCGCAAGGGCATTGCGATGTCTGGCTTCACAGCACAAGACAATGTCACACGTCCGCAGTCAATGTAGGCGAGCAAAAGGCCAAAGACCACGCCAGCCTCGTCCCGCACGAGGCCATAGAGTCGAGAAATTCGCAAGCTATCGTCTGGGTTTGCCTCGCTAATCGCCTTATAGTTATTGAGTTCGTTCTCGAGGAAGTGTTTGTCTCCGCAGCGAATGAACTTGAAGAAGGCGAGGATCCCGTCCTTAAGACGCACTTTGCCTGGCACCCCGGAGGGTGGCCCGATAACAGGCTCTTCGCAGATCTGGACATCAGAGGGGAGGAGGGTTTTGAAAGGAGAGCATAGCTCATCTGCAAGATGCACACCGAATCTCGGCGCGTTACCACCCTTACTCTCCTCGTAGGGTATGGGGACTAGCCTCTCGGAGACAGCTCGCAATGTGTAGACAAAGGATTCGGGAAACAAAAAATCGTGAAGGGTGTATGTCTGATCTTTGTCGCGATGCGGTAGGTTCCTAAAGAGGGGAAACAGCGGCTCGGCAGCCCAGTCATAGAAGTCTTCGACGGTCAGCCCGTCCAGCTCGTAGTGCTCAGCAACTTCCAGGAAGAAGAGATAGCGTTCTTTCAGCCGCGGCGACTCGGTAAAGTTATCGGCGAAGAGGTGGAGGGAAAATCGCTTGCCACAGCAGGTGATGACTAGTTCCGAGTCTGTGTTTCTATTGCTAAAGGTGAACTCGAGTACACTCCAAGGAGGTGGAGGCGACTGTGGGCGTTCTTTTGTTTCACGGCTGGTCATGGGATCGGCATGCGTCATGATGGCGAAGAAACGGTTATCTTTGGAGGCCAGACGACGCTTGCTTGGGAATATGGGTGACGGGAAGGGAAGTAGTGCGAGAGAAGTTGCAGGTGAGGGTAGATTGAGCGGGATGAGGAATGATGAGGTAGCTAATTGCTGGATAGAGTACCCAACCTCAAGCCTAAGCGCCTTATTATGATTGGTTACCTATAGATACCATACCGCAAGGGTCCAACCACACTCTCGCAGTTCACGTGCAGCTATCTGATACACTCTCTGATACATTTACAAAACTAGAGGGCGAAGCACACCCCATTAGGCATTAGCATAAGCACCTATTATGGTTGTTAGCTACGACGAGGATCCAATCACATTCTCATGGTTCGCGTGCGGCTATACTGTCACTGTTGAGATTGTGCTAAGATTGGAATGTCTGTAGAGGCTCAAACTTAGGCACAGTGGGGAAGGAACTTCATATACTTCCAAAGGACGAAAGATAAGACGAAGAACAATACAAGCTGTAGCTGTTGTTCTCAGAATGACAGTCCAATATCTGTAGAGTAGTTGTGCTGTAATTAAAACTAAATAACAGTACAGAACCGTTCCTTATATTATCCTCCTGCCTATCCGTTTGCAGCGTTCGTACAAAGGAAAGGCTGTTTAACAAAGATCGACCACTTCATTGAAGTGGTTATCCAAACATTAACCATAACCGGATCTTGATATCTGAAGCATCAAGTTCCATACAGGTTAGCAACAAAGACACTGGTTTGTCGTTGAAGACAGCCATGTCAACAGTCACAAAATGAGTGGATGAAGCGGGCCCAGAATGGCGAGCTGATGCGCTTGACAGGCGACTACTGAAACTGTAGGTACATAGGCCCTATATTACCCAGCGCGCTGATAGTAAATGTTAAGGATAAATAATGATCTCTGCGGCTTTTGACATATCTAAGCAAGTCAATTTTTCAACTTGCCGTTGCCCTAGAATTACTCCTCCACTATTTTTATTACCATGTGCAACCGATATTATCGTCAATACCGCTGCGGCCACCGGGCTTACGCACAGCCAGAGTACTGCCCGGATGCAACATTCAACCGGGCAAGTGGAAGATGGACCATGTGCGGGAATAGGAGGTCTACTACAGCTGTGGCTGATGAAAACCTTTGCAGCAAGCCAGAATGTTATCTAGAAGACCTAAAGCTATATGGGTGGACTTGCTGTCGCTGCGACGAAACAGGGAACCGCATGGATGGATGCCTGGGTCCCCCTGGCGGGCCGATGAGCGCTTGTCAACATTGGGTGTGTCGTGGCTGCCGTTATACTCGTTAATGTATGTCTTCCCAGTCTTACATAAAATTCCTTAACTAACATCTAGATAGAGTTGAAGGCAAAGCAAGCTCGAGAGCTTGGATCGTAGGTCGATTAGAACAGCATATCAGTAGGTGGGTCCTGATGGGGCCGTGTGGGGAGCAAAGAGACACCCCAGCATTTGCCTTCGATCCGGGATCATCCCTGTCCAAAGACTTGGGTTTAGCCCACTCTATTACTGGACCACACAACAGGTCAACCACTATGGTGACCCTTTCCAACCGTCTCACAGTATCTACGTTCCTTATTATTTTCCTACGTCAATCTACTTATCTAAGTGAATACCACTCATTTTACCTTTCCCCTTACAGGGAGACCAACATCAATCCCATGAGAGAGAAATAATCTACCAATGTGATAAACAACCAAGCGCTTAGTATTCGAGAAAACGATGTGGCCAGACCAACCTCATCTCCCCTCATTTTGACAAGAAGCTCATCCGGTAATGGCACATTCAGCTTGTCGTCCTAAAGCCTGAGATCAGAGATGGTGTGCAATCGATGCCTCACACTTACGAGTAGTAAATAGCGTATTACTCGGATTGAGAAGAGATAATGATGACGATACGATTGCTATTGCAAGCAAGTGGCATCGAGTTGGAGTTGAGCAAGTATGACATGCAAAAATTCGAGAAACAAACATGGAACATAATTGGGCAGACAATTTTCACCCCTGCAGTTCACTAACTGAAATTTGGTGAAAGGCAGAGGTAAGGGCTCTGGAAACAGAACGTGCTCCCACAGGCGCCCTTCGCACATCTGCCCATCCGTTTTCGGTAAGGACAAAGGACGCTCAGAGAGGGACATACTGTGGTAGGCGTCACGTAATGCAATTGATCATACTAAGGATTGGTGAAACTGTAGCTGAAGCTATAATAGTATTTATACGAACTGCTGATTTGATACACTCCCTCTGATTGATATCGTCAATCCGGCTCATTATCCGTAGAGAGCACGACTGGAGACGTAGCTCACACAGTCCCGCTTAAGCAGTGCGATATGATAATTCATCTGCATGAAAACCCGATTAATGCTGGCACAGCTTTCATGGAGGGCTCTGCTCTTCTGCGGTTCTGTCCGACTCGGATCCGCCGCAATCACTACCATTGTGTTGACTTTGCCCTTGATTGCGCCCATGTCTGCATCAATATCTTCAAGTTGAGGATTGAGTATATGCCTATCATCGTTTGGCCTGAGTTCGTCCTAGCGTTGCGCTTCGTAATTAACGCATTCAACCACGTACGGGACGATTGCAGGTAGGTTGTTTCCAATCGCCGCTATACCATTGTATTGATTGAATCGTATAATGAGATCGTGTACTCGCGGCTGATTGTGAGTCCGGCATGTGCACTGATGACCACATTTCGGAGGGATTGGAGATCGGCTATCCAGCCTTGGATTGCAGTCGCTGGGCTGGAAGGGAATGACGTAAAGATTCCGGTGGTTTGAACCATGTTGATTGATTGGAAATTTGCTGAGGAGTGAAATTTGGGAGTAGAAATTTGAAGACCTTAAGAAGATGCAATGGAATTGAGGTGAAGAGTATATAATCGAAAGCCTGAGGGATCTTGCTTGATAAAGGAGGCCCGTGTGAGAGATAAGCAATGAGTCACTTCCCTAGTGATCTTGAGAATGTGAGGTTCGATTGCCTGCCATGACAAGATTGGGTCGTGGAGTGGCTGTGGGAGTTGCGTGCGCTAGAGCTCGTAAATATTTGGGAATAGAAATAGACTTTAACACAGCGAGGACCCGAATCGTTATAGCTTCTCCGCAGACATGTAATCGTCTTAGAGGCAGGATAGCAACAATTGCTGTGCGTAGTAAAGAGAGCGATTTGATTAGCTTATTGCAATAGCTGGTTCGCTGATTGAACTTGGACGGTTTAGAAACTCTTATTTCTGACGAGAGGGAAGCTTCCATCCCAGACATGCTAGCGAACGGTGCATCCCCTTGCTGAGAATCGATTCTAGATAGCAATGGCGAAAATCAAGGTCGTCGAATGATTGAATAAGCAATAGCCAAGAAGCTACTTGCGAGAGTGAGAATTATCAATGAAGCAAGATAAGCCTTTCGATCTTCTTCAAGAGTTGGGCTTGGAGGCAGGATAACTTTTTGCAGCTGAAGAAAGCGAGGCAGGCGGGTAGTAAATAAGGACAGTGGGGAGAATAGTAGATGACGATTCGAAGAACGCGAAGAGAAGAAGGGCGACGCCATTTAAGTGAACGTCGCGGAATCTGTTTTAGGGCCATTTCTTGCCCTTCTTCTGGCCCTTTAGACGCCAGAGGATGAGCGAGTAAGAGCAGAGTTGGAAAGTAGAGTTGGAAAACGAAATACTGAAAACTGGACGTCACATGTTCTAGGTCAGAGCAGAGCTAAAAAGGGACATGGACCAAAGTTGGTGGGGCATGGCTAAGATCCATGTCAGCAAGATCCATGTCAGCGAGTAAGGGGAGTTCTGATTGGCGTCAGAGCGTGGCAGATTTACCTGCGAAAACGGCGTCACAAACCTCCAAAAACGGAGGGCAATCTGCCGTCGTTTTGTTTAAAAGAGTTATACTAATAGGCTAGAAAGCTAGAATAGGTTAAAGTTAAAGGATTTCGTCGAATTTTGGTAAGAAACGTGCATTCAGTAGTGAGGTCGTCCATGATGTAGAGAGCCCCTCTAGGCCTCTACTATAGTTATTGATGACTAAACTTCCTTTGACTTCGATGTGATTTATCCGTGGCCCTTGGACCCATACTTTCGGTGTGGGTGGGGTCCAAGGGCCACGGATACCAGTCAAGAGATTCTGTATTAACTCACGATCAGGATGGTGAGATATTCTCCACAGAGTATAAGGAACATAATGCTGTATCCTTCACCAAAGTGTTGCACTAGGGTTCCCGTATCTGCGATTTGGGTTCTATAGATAACTGAGCAATTACTGAGCAATTAACATTGACGAGTGCCCAGTTGCAATGCCAGAAATGAAAGCTGCTGCCTACAACATGGAGCCACGTAAGGAATACGGCCACAGTCAGGTCCCGTCATTTAAGTAGAAATATCGTGTTTTGCTGCATCCAGCGCTGCTCACATCTACTGCACAATCATGCGTTTCCTAAGGTTCATCAGCTGCTCTATACTACTACCTACCGCTCTCTGCCGCTCATGGCGCCCAGGCGACTCGTGTCCAACTTCCATCGTAGCCACGATTCCAGGCTATTCCACTAACGTTCCGGGATTTACCACCATGTCTGGCGTCCACCGAGCTCTCATATCGTGTCCGAACATCACGTCACTACGTCTCCGAGTTACGCTCCTCGGTTGCTCATCGTGGCCAGATCGCTGGTCCTTTCCCTTTGCACTCGACGGAAAGGACACATATCCGAATTTACGAACACTCCATCTTGAGGGATACGACTTCGATCAACGCGAGTGGAATGACTTACAGTCTAGATTGGGGCCGATGCGATGGTACGAGAGATGGGCTGATTGGATATTCTCCGGGAAGGCTTTCAAGCAGATATCATTCAATATAAGCCTTTCTGCAGAACAGCGCGAAAAGGACAATCTTGATCTCTGGCTAGATGCTATGGACTGGGGAATGGTAGAAGAGCTAGCATTGGCAGACAATAGAGCCAACTATACTTACTTCTTCGGCAAAGCCTCCAAGGCCCTAACAGGACTGCAGCGTCTCCAACTGGACGGCGGGGAAGTCAATGAAACCATCCAGATCCTCAAAGCTTTGGCGGATAACGGCGTCGCCCTAACAAACTTCACTTGGACAGACAACTCCAACTCATATCCGCAGAACAGTACCCTGCCGACCATCGCCAAGACCCACGGCCAGTCTCTTCTCCATCTCGATGTCCACTCCATTGAAGCCATGAGTACCAGTGGCATTGTCTTCTCTGCCACTGAGATAGAGCATCTTCAACAAATGCCTAATCTCAATCACCTCTCCCTTAATCTCCCGCGCAACGGCACCTGGCCGCTCGAGTCCCTCTCCGCTATCGCTGGTATCTCCCCACTGCGTACTCTTGACCTGTGGCTCGATATTATGAGTGAATGTCGCCGGCAGAAAACAGAACCACATCACTGGCGACCTTATCCTGACGAAGTCGAAGGATGTACCGAGGAAGAGCAGTTTCTCCGTCCGTACGCCAACGAGACGACGGCAAATGAAGTTTTTGAATTCATGCGTAGCAAGAAACTCGGAAACGAATTAGAAAGTGTGACATTCTGGGTGGGTGACTGGGGTCGACCTTGGGATGGGCCGCTCTATGAGCCATCGTGGGTTGAGAACAGAAGAGCAAAGATTAGCTGTAATGTTGTTGCAGAGAGGTGTGTGGTAGAGGAAGGTAACAATTATTGGAGTCCAGATAATTCTTGGAGGGAAATGGATCCCGAGAAGTAATAGTACTAGAAGGGTTAGACGCTGTTGAACGATCAAACGGCTGTTACCGAGACGCTCGCCAGTTGGGTAGTCGGAATAATTCATCTCTCCCTTCAAGTAATGCTACAAGTTAACAAGCTAAAGAAATGTCTTAGCTCCATTACTATAATAGTGGAGAATATGAGTGCATTAAAGTAGCATGAGGTTCATATCACTCGTGAATATGTGGAGGGCGCTATGTCCGATGTGGTGGTGCTAAACCGTAAGGGGACGTTCTATTTCCATTAATATATTGGAATGGATTGCCCCGGTTTGTAGCTTGGTTCCTACGTCTGTACTAGAGTTGTGGCGCCCAAGACTACTATTAGAGTGATGCTCCGCCTGTTCCTAGCGTGCAAATCTACATATAGACGTTAGCGTTTGGTACCGCAGGTATGAAGTAGTCCGACGAGAACCGTCAATTCTGAACCTACTTATCGGGAGAGTTTCATCGATGGCTCCAATCCAATAGCCAACATCTGGTTTAGAATCGTCTACGGAGCGCCAAAATTCTGTCGGACTGCCGATCCAGGGGTTTTTCAAGACCGGTTTAACGTCATCTCCCAACCAATTGCGGAGCTTGCAATAACCCTGGAAATAATAACCAGCAGGAGGACAGGCGGACAGCTCCGTAGTGTGCGACAATTCGATCTAATGGCCCAAGTGCCCCGTCAAACGGACTCAGCACCAGATCAATTTGAGACTCTCTTGTTTGTGCTAATAGTTTTAGTGATTTTAAACTGGGGAAGTTGTCGATAAGGCGATTGGGGAGATCCAAGCAATACTCGTGCCCGGGCCGGGATTCAACGGCCGTGAAACATTCGACATAGCATATTAGTTCGAGAGATGTGATGCTGCCGAGATGGAGCTCGGGTAGTAGGTTTTTGAAGTTGTGGAGAAGAGCCGATACCGCCCTCGTCCGATAAAAAGCGTATTCTCCAAGAAGATAAATAAGCCGCCCTCGTGATACCTAGTATAGGGTCAGTATGTATCGATGTTAAATGCCGCGGTCAGGGTTCGGTTATAGGTATACGATAATATTTACGTTTGTTGGCAAGCGAGAAGTCATCCTAGCACTCCAAATTTCTCTGGGTCAGAGTACCATTTTGTCCCTTTACACACGTCGTCCACGAAAGGTTGTCGAAATGGGACGTTGAGTAGCTTTCCACATCTCCGGCGGCAGATAGAGCCCCTTAGTTCCCAAGCTCTTTTATTTTTGGTGCGTTCGATTTCGAGGTGAATGACTCCCTGTCTAAAAGTCACTTTGTAAATAGCATACCTGATCTCGCGAGGGAGCGTCAGGAAATGATTTCTGCGCGTTATAGCCTGGTCATTAATCGGTTGTCATCTTGCACGAGAATGCGAGGCTTGCGAGATGGTGGGGCTCGGAATGCCAGCGAATGATCCCAATACTTTGGAACATGCGGTCGGACACGAGCATGGAGCTCATCTCTCCATCTTCGAAGGTGATCAATGGGAATGATGGACGCTGAATCCAAACTCAAAGGCCGCATTCAGACAGGTAAAAGTTCCCAGCGGGAAGACCTGCGTATGTTGAAAGATCTGAAAAAGCTTGTGCAGGGCAGAAGTACAAGCCACAGTAGTAACAGAGGTTAGGGAAGGGAGGACTCGGTTATGATAGCCACTCGACTTGGAGCCGGTACGGTAGGAGGTAGATTTATGCAAGGTAAAATCTAGTGACAAGCATAAAAGGACTCTGTAAATTCGAGGTTAATAGCCAATTGGTCTGTGCCTGAGCTTGCCATCCCATATTTAATAAGGCGTGTCCAGGCCGCCGTTTGGAATCGAAAGTTTTCATCTGCCATGAATCCTCCAAAGAGTCTGAACCTCTACTTGAGATCGGTTCAAGATATGTCCCAGATGGTGACTTGGTTTGCAATTTTACTTGGCTGCTCCCTTCCGGTTGTGTGGGGGGAGAGGAAAGTTCCAGCTAGTTGGTGAGTGCTACGTCCATAGAAGGATTGATGGAGAGTTACGGAGTACTGGCGGCTATGGATACCTATAAGCATTCCCTAAATGCTACAGCGGTTGAGTTTAACATTGCTTAGCGTGCAGGCTATAGCAGGTCTAATGATTATAGACCCACTAAATGTACGGGATAGGTTCCCACCCTATCAGTACAGTAAACACTCATCAACAATCTGCACCCATGCTTCATGTGGTCTGACATCGAACATGTCTAGTTTCTCAATTGCTCTTTTTTGATATGTATATGCCGCCGATAGTGCTGGACTAAGATAGAACGCTAGTTTGGGTTAAGGAGCCTGATTGGGCTCGGTCGGCATGGGGCTCGGAGAGGGGTTTCAAAAATGGTACCCTGGGGGGCATATATTTCCGCTTCCCAAAAGCTACAGTGCATGTCGGTATCCGGTACCATAGTATGCAGTTTCTGCGATTGGATCCAGGACAGATTCACCTGCGACTCTTGCCTAGGAGACCTAATCCTAGCGCTGTACACGAGATATTTTGTACGAATCCCACCGGCTACATGTATTTTGAATCAGTGGCTGTTTCTGGGAGATTATCTCTACCCGACCACTTTGTCCTTAAACTTGGAAGCGGCAAGGTGGTAACATACGACCTCACCTCCAGTCCCAACACACCGGACGGAGATCAGTTGGGTCGTCATACAGTGAGGCTTACCTATAACCTTGATTGGAGAAATGCTTATATTAGCTACATCCCGCGACAGCCGGATATCTCTCGGCCATTCTGCTTGGTCGTACATAGTGTGCTTCGATGTCCAGGTCTTGTGTTCTATCGCTTGAGATACGAGGAGGGTGATCGTAGGGACGAACAGTTCTCTCAGTGGACTAACAATTTGGTATCCGAATATACAGCCCTATTACAGGTAGGGCGAGGTGCGGAGAAGACTATAAAAGTTCGAATAAACCGCTCAAACGAAGTCTTCTTCGATTTGGCGCCGATATTGAAAGGACGTGGAGACCGAATTTGGCCACAACCACACTTATAGAACCAGAAGCCTATGCAGGCGCAAATCGAGTCATAAAATCTGTGAAGAAATTGACGGCCCTTCGCTTTTGACGTCCTCCCTTCAATGAGAGAGGAATTAGAAGACTGAAACAAGGCAATTAATAATTGACCGTTTTCAACGTCCTATGGTATGCATCCGGAGCATTAATTTCTTCCCATCTGGATTAAGCGTGTGGAAGCAGTGTCAGTACACGTCGCGGGATCTTGCAAAGATGTACCACTATGCAATCCATCGAAGCCAACTCAAACCAGCACCCAATCCATTGCAACACCGATAACAAGGCTACATACATATACACGGCACCCAGGCCCATGCGAATCTAAGACAACAAACCCCTTCTGTCCCTACCGACCGACGCCACTGATCTGCCGCACGAAGCCAACTGCAGCAAAGAAATTACAATGCAATGTACATCCTCCCACCATGCTCAATCCATCTGGTCTCTGCCCTCCGACGCATGGGTTTGTATTATTAAAAGTCTTCAGGAGAAACACCGGAAGGAGCGTCTAGAATTCCGCAACTGCGACGGCGACGGCCTGGTCGTCTGAGTGGCTGATGCTGACGCCGACAGATTTGACGCCGGCGTTCTTCGCTGCGAGAGCTGCGTCGCCATGTAACTAATCCAAAGTCAGCATTTATCCATCCATGGTCTGAAACCGCATCATCGCAGAGATAGGTAACTCACCTCAACCGTCGGAACCCCCTTATCATCGCTCACCACCTCAATCTCCCTCAAACTAGCCCCACCGCCCCGACTCTCCACCCCCAAACTCTTAAACACTGCCTCCTTAGCCGCCCATCGCCCCGCAAAGCTCGCCCGCGGATCCGGCCGACCCTGACAATACACCCGCTCCCGCTCCGAGAAATTCCGCTCGACGAAGGTCTCATTGTCAACCGGCACCGCCCGCACCGCCTCGACGTCCACCCCGATCTTCGCGTTTCCCTTCCCTGCGCGCGACGCCGCCGCCATCGTCTCCAACAGCTTCGTCGTCTCCGCCTTCCGCGCCGTCTCATTCGCCGTCAACGGCGTGCGGTCGCCCGCCTTCTTGAGCTTGGGGTCGTAGATCAGCTTCTCGGATTTGGGGTCGAGGGCCACGCGGGCCGACGGGTTGAGGAAGACAGCGCTCTGCTGTGCGTCGGCATAGGGGGTCTTGTCTTTGGCGCGGAAGAGCGTGTGGTTGACGAGGGAGTCGTGCGCGTAGCGATAGGCTTTCTTCTGGCGGGCTTGGACCTTGGCGGCGTAGGCGTCGAACTCGGATTTTTCGAGGGTGGCGTAGAGGTACGCCGGGTGGATGCCGATGGCCTGCGCGCCTTTCTGGCCGAAGCCGAAGGACGTGACGCTGAACGCTTTGATGCCGTCCGTCTGCAGGCTGCGCGACGGATACACGATGTAGTCGAACTGCTCCATCGCCGCATCCACGTTGTCTGCGTTGCGGTTCCCAGGCACCAACCCGGTATTCAGCACCTGCAAGCACCCGTTGAACATCCACGCGCCCGCCGCGCCCTTCGGATGCCCCGTCAGATACTTCTGGAAGATCCCGAGCACCGCGTTCCCCTTCTTCCGCCCCAGGTGCCGCATCTGCTGGCAGATAACATCCGACTCGTTCTTGTCGTTCGCCTTCGTTGACGTCCCGTGGAACGACGCCACATCCAGATCGTCGATCGTCAAGCCCCACGTCGCCAGCGCGCCCCGCAGCGGCGCGATGCGCTCGTCGGATTTCCAGAAATTGTTGCCTAGGCTGTACAGCGCGTCTTTCTCCTGGCGCTTCGCCTCGCGCGCGATGTGGTCCGCACGATCGGACGTGTACTCCGCCTCGTCGAACGCGTCGCCTGATGCGCTGGCTTGCGACGCCATGGCGCCGACTTCCTCCTGCAGGAATAGTAGCTCAGCCTCCTGCCACTGCTTGATCTGCGCGCGGCGCAGCTCCATCTGGCGCTTGCGGTACTTGAGGTCGAGCAGTGGCGAGGGGAACTTCCCGGGCACCTCGCGGGCGGTGGTCAGCACACCCTGGCCAGGCGCGGGGACGGAACGGCCGATCTTATCGGTGGCGGTGGCGGTGAAGCCGAGGACGCCGTAGATGGGGACGCCCATGTCGAGGGCGAGGCGGGCGTCCATGATGACCTGGATACCGCAGCCCTGGGACTCCATGAAGCCGTTGCGGGTGGTGGTGGTGGGGCGGGACATTTCGCGGGGGGTGCGGCCGTGGGCGAGCTCGTCCTCGGCGTTGGAGGTGGCCTTCATGTTGGCGAACTCGTAGCTGCCCTCTTCTTGGAAATCGTCGAAGCCGCCGACGAAGCACATGCGCGCCTTGCCTTCGACGATGGTGTCGTAGCCGATGTCGATGGACTCGACGGCGGTGGCGCACGCGCCGACCGGGGTCTTGATCGGCCCGGTGCTGGAGAGCAAAAGCATGTTGACCCACGCGCTCATGGTGTTGATGAACGACTCCTGTAGAATGTCCTTCTGCAGCGGCTTATCGAGGTAGCGGTCCTTGTACATGCCGCGTAGCGCGCTGGTGCCACCGATGCCCGATCCGATGCAGTTCCCAACTTGCGAGATGTGCACGTATTTGTAGAACTCGTACGGATCCGTGATTCCGGACGCCACAAGCGCCTCCGCGCACGAAACTAGCACGAACAGCGTCACCGGATCCACCTGATCGATGATATCATCGGTAATGCCGTACTGTTTAGCATTCCACCCCGTCGGGATCTGGCCCGCGACGAAGCGATCGAATCGCAACGCCTTGGGAATCAGCAGCGTGGCACCCTTCTTCAGGCGTACGGTATACTCGCCGGAGTCAGTGATCTCGAACACCTCGACGTTCTCCCCATGCTGGCGCTGGAACTCCTCGGCGGTCTCCTTGCTCGCCTCGAACGGATCCAAGTCCTCCTCGATCTGCACCTCGTGCAGCAGCTCCTTCTTGTTAGGATCGTACCCGTGGAACAGCTCCGGCTCGATCAACCGGATTCCCGAGTGCTCGAGGATGTATTTCTCGTACTTGGCCTTGATGTCCTTGTCGTCGACCGGCTCCTTGGTCTTCACGTCCACCCAGCCGGAGTAGGGCCTGCCTTTGAGAGGTCCGTTGTGGTTCGTGATCAACCCCATGATCCACGCCATCTCCACGCACCCCTCGAGTGAGAACTCGCCGTGCGCCTCCATCTCCCAGCGCGTGCGTGAGTTCCCCCACGGTCCGACCTCTGCGAACCCGGTGACCACGACGACCTTCTCGAGGTCCACCATGCCCTGCAGATCAGGGTTCAGCGACTTGATCTCCGTCTCCCAGTCAGGTAACTTGGGGAACTCGAACTTCAGATTCGCGCGCGGCTCCACCTTGACGGTCTGATACAGCTTTTCGGAGTCCTCGCCGTTGACGATCTTGTTTTCGATGGCCGTCTCCTTGGTGACCGCGTTGCGCAGCTCGCTAGTCTCAGTGAGCTCCTTGCGCAGCTCGGTCATGAGGTCCTTGAGGTTCGGGAGGTATTGGAACCCGCCGTTCAAGTCCGCCCACACCGGCTCGATCTGGCACAGGTTGACAATCGCCGGCGCCATCAGCCCGAGGAGGTTGAACGCCATCTCCTGCTGGCTGAACGTGCGCACGCCGTATCGCTCGATGCCCTCAGCGACGATGTTGTTACCACCCATCAGCCCGGTTCCACGCGTCCATCCGATCACCGCGCCGCAGATGGTGAGGTAATTGCCCCATGACTCCGAATGCCAGCGCGTGAACAGCGTCTCCAGCGAGATCTTGCTCTCCGCATACAAGCCGTCGTTTCCGAACGTCCCGTGGTTGGGGCTGAGCGGCAAGATGACCTGTGCAGGCCGTGTCTCGAAGCCGTTCGCATGCTTGTGCGACTTGACGCAGCCCAGCAACCGCAGCAGGTTCGTCAACATGATGCGGTGAGCGAGCTCGGACTTGGAGTCGAGTCCGTCGATCTCGCGCCCGTTCTCCGAGATGGCGGCGAACGGCACCACGTAGTCCAGGTCCCATCCGAGGCCGTTCTTCTGGTCGTAGATGTACTCGACAAGGGCCTCGACGTCCTGCTTGCTGCCCTGATTGAACGGCACGACGATCAGCTGTGACCCACGGGCGCCGTAGCGCGTGTAGATGGACTGGTAGTACTCGTTCACTTCGCGGGAGAAGCGGCTGGTGGTGACGACGACCTTGGCGCCGCCGGCGATGAGGCCCTGGAGGACTTCCGCGCCGATGGATCCGGCTCCGGCGCCGGTCATAAGGACGTTCTTACCGATGAAGGTGACGCCGTTCTTGGCGGCTTGCTCGAGGCCGTCGAGGTAGACCCCGGTGAGCTTCTTGCTGTACTCCCAGCCGCGGTCGTCTTTGCGCTTGAGATGCAGGAATGGGATGGTCTCGGTCTTGCCGCCCTTCTTGCCGCTGGGGAAGCGAGCGGAGCGCTTCTTGCCGTTGACCTTCCCAGTGGATTCGGCGGGGATGATCTGGCCTTCGTTCATGGCGAGGGAGCGGATGACGTTGGAGTAGAGGCTCTTGATTTCAAGCTGCGAGGACTTGGAGAGCTTGTGTTGTTGGCGGATCAGCTTGTAGATGCGCTGCAGGTCGTTTTGGACTTTGGTTCGGTTGCCGTATTCGGACAGCTTGCCGCCCTCGGCCATTTCCCGGACGTAGTGCTCGAGCTTGCGGACGGATGCGCGGGGGCCTTCGACGTAGTTCATGTTGCCCTTCGCGTCGATCTCGAGGGATGGAGCGGTAGGAAGGGAGACGTCCTTATAGACCGGTGGTTCGTTCAGAACGTCTTTGCAGTTCTCGATCAGCTGCTGGCCGAGCTCCTTCGCCAATTCGTAAGTTTCTCCCCGCTCCTTCGGGCAGTGATCGATGTGGTATTGCATGAATTCGAGAAGACGAGGATTCGAGCGGTTCATGATGTTGATGCAGCGTGACACAATCTCTCGGTCGACGGCCTTCAGACGGCCGAAGATAATATCGTAGTACATGCTGAGCGCATCCTGGCGTGCCCAATTCCACGACGAATCGTAGACACGAGCTTTGAGCGGAGTGAAGGCAGGCTCGATGCCGGTCGCGTAGAAGTCACCGTGCTCGGCACTCCAGAGGTCCAGCTGGGCTTGGAGGGCGTCCGCGGATTTCTGTGAGGTAACGAAGGCTTTGTCGCCGGCACGGAGATCCATCTTGAGGTAGCGAGCAAATAACTCCAATTGCTGCTTGAACAGTGCTCGCTGGTCTTTCGTGAGGGCATCGAGAGCAGCCGGGTCCATCATCATGCCACCAGCGCCACCAGCGTCGCCGCCAGCGGTGGGTGATGTCAGGCTGATGCCAGCGTTGTCGGCGTATTTGTTTGAAAGGTCGTCGAGCCATGCCTTTGCGTCGCTCTCGGAGCCCAATCGAGCTGCGGGTTCGTTGGTGAGTGCCAACAAGAGGACGCCGTCTTGGCGACCCGACCCAAGTCCCCATCTTGTTTCCAAATGTTTTCGGACTGCGGTGATGTTGAAGCCACCAGGCATCTTGGCGGATACCATGCGGGCGATGAGGGAGGAGGACTGTTTTCCGAGTTGTCCATTGAACGTGGCCTGCATTGAGCTTCCGAGCTCATCGAGGGGTGTGTCTTCCGGCTTTTCGGGCGTGGAGCCAAACTCCTTGCCCAAATCTCCGAGGATTTCATTTTGCAATGTTGATTTGCCTGATGATGATTAGTCTCGTGTCATTCCAAATGAAGTCATGGACTCACCTCCGACCAGATCCTTGATAGCTTTGGTCACCGGAATATCCGCAACCGGCTTCTTCAACTTCTGCGCGACCAACGTCCTCACGATATCGGTCGCCGTCACCGGCTCATCAGGCACCGCAGCGGCAGGCCCAGCATTTTGTGATGGAGCTGCAACCTGGGCAACGGGAACGGGTGCGGACGGAGCGCCAGACGCGTTTTCGGCTCCGGCCCCGGTCGCAGGAGCGGGCTCCTCCTCCTCCGGCTCGACATCGTAATAGATGTCTCGGGCATCTTTATTGTAGCAGAGAATCTGACGCTGGACCGAGCGGGCGGCATCGTGGGCGTCGTATTTGCTCGCGATGGTGCGTTTGGCCATGACGCCGAGGGTGTCGGCGGGACCGACTTCAACGATGCGCTCGGTGACCTTCTCGCCCAGGATGACATCTTGGGTTTCGATCCATCGGACGGGGGAGGCGAATTGGTAGGCGAGGAGTTCGACAAGGAGGGTGTGGGCGAGGTCCTGTTGGACTTCGGGGCGCATGTTGGAGGCCATGATGGGGGGAGGGTATCGATTGTAGGTGGATGTTGGTCCTAGACGCTCCGGAAAAGGATGTTGTAAGGAGGAATTCGACGACTTCGGAGTTTCCAGTTAAGGAAGACTCTTAACGTCGAAGTGGTAGAGAAGATGGAGATCGGGATGTGAATGATTTAAAGGGGAGGGAGTATGGAATGAAGGTGGAGGAAAGGGAAGAGAGTGAGAACGGCAACTCTTCTCTCGGTGTAAACTGAGGAAAGGGACGGATAAGCCGAGTCCCAGCAAGACAGGAGGCGATATTAAGATAGCTGCCTGTCTGCCCTTCTCGATATGTTGATGGATAAGGACGGAAGGACAATTGATGGAGAAGACGGAGGAGAGGGAGTCCAAAGTGGTGAATGGTTATTTGGTGATGGGCGTTGAGAAGCAAAAAATGACCGGAGCTTTCCCACGAAATTCCGTCCGCTTGGCCCCGGTTCTTTTAAAAACTTCTTATTGGCTCCCCACAGTCAGATTGCATGGGGCCCATGCAGATTGGCAGGGATCTTAAGTGCACTACGGGCTCTACGGCACTCTAAGGCAGCTAGGCATCAACCTTATTTGCCCCTTGTACGCAATCCTGCTTGGGATCGGTGGTTCAACAACTGGGGCGAGTCAAGAATCAGGATCACAGGAGGAGGACGCCACCAAAGAAATTGAATGGCCTAAGAGTGGGAAAAACCGGAATGGATTCTGAAGGATCCTCGTCTATTGGGAATTTGATAAGGAATTTATATGAACTGGAACACAATTGATTTGTTCCACGAGGAGGTTGAGGTTCAACAATAATGACCGATCGACCACAGCATCGGAATTCTGTTGATTCCCCAACAGGCAACGACCAACGTCCGCCAGGCGAGTCCAGATCCTTGATTCCTTGTTGCCTTGTGTCCTTGCCCCCTTGTCGCCTCCCTGTCCTTGCTCCTTCCCCCCCTGTCCCTGCACCTTCCTCCCGCAACGGAGTCAAATCGGCCTTCGACCCCCGGTCCGAAATTTATTCGCGTTCCTTTTCCACCTCCTCCTCAACCACATCCATCATCAATTCACCATTCGCCAACCCATCCCGATACTCCTACCCTTCACTCCTCTTTACGAAACGGAGCTGTCATCATCTCCAATCCTACTGTCTCCGTTTCTATTCCTCAATTCCTCCGCACTCTCCTTTTCATTCCTGTATACTAGTCAGGAGTTCCATACCCCAACCATTACCTCCGAGTACCTCCTCCTGAAGTACGACTCGGATATACGCTTTCTTCGGAGCATATCCATCCATCGGTGCTTTTGAAGAGTGTCGATTTCTCTTGGAATTGAGAGAGATCGGACTATACACATGTCCACCCCAATGTATGTGAATCTTCTCCTAACTTCAGGATCGCTTCAAACTAACTCCCCCAGTCGAGAGAGAAATCTCGACCTCAGGATCACCCCCTCCTCTCGCACCATGTACGGCTCCGGTCCTCAAACGGGCGTCGCAACCCCACGATCCCAAGCCTCCCTCCGTCCTCTCACCCTCTCCCACGGCTCGCTGGAATACCAATTCCTCATCCCAACCGCCTTCCACTACCACGCCACCGAGCTCAAAGATGCCTTCATCAAATCCCTCCCGGAGGCAACCGAAGAACTTGCCCTCGATGACGAGCCTTCATCCGAGGCCGAACTTGTTGCTCGATATCTCGGTCACATTGCCAACCATACCGAAGTCGCCGACGACCCGGACCCATACGAAGAGGTGCTGAAAGTCATCTTGAATGAATTTGAGCGTGGGTTCCTTCGAGGAAATGAGGTCCATGCGCTTGCCGCTTCATTACCCGGCATCGTCTCGAAGAAGAATATCGTCTGCCAATCGTACTACAAGGCTCGCGCCGTTGCAGAGCGTCCATTGAAGGGTCACGAGTCCGCGCTCTTCCGCGAGGCGGAGAACGGGAATGCGTTCCTTTACGCCGTGTTTGGCGGCCAAGGCAACATCGAGGAGTACTTCGACGAACTCCGAGAAGTCTACCAGACCTACGGTCCGTTCGTCGAGCAATTCGTAACCGATGCGGCCGCCTTGTTGCTACAGTTATCGAGAGACCCCAAGGCAGAGAAGCTCTACCCCAAAGGCCTCGATGTCATGCGATGGCTGCACAACCGAGACTCACAGCCAGATATCGAATACTTGGTGTCTGCGCCCGTGAGTCTGCCACTGATTGGGTTGACCCAGCTCTCTCATTACCTGGTAACCTGCCGAGTGATGGGGTCGCATCCCGGTCTCATCCGCGATCGTCTGCGTGGTGTAACCGGCCACTCACAAGGCATCGTCACTGCGGCTGCAATCGCCGCGTCGAGCGACTGGCCGTCGTTCGATAAGTACGCCATGAATGCGCTAAAGGCCCTCTTTTGGATCGGATCCCGCAGCCAGCAAGCATACCCTCGGACGTCCATCAACCCGAACTACCTCCAAGACTCGCTCGATCACGGCGAAGGTGCGCCGACTCCGATGCTGTCCATTCGTGACTTGTCACAAGCGCAAGTCCAATCACACATCGATGCGACGAATGAGCATCTTCCGAAAGACCAGCATGTTGGCATCTCTCTTGTCAACTCCGCCCGCAACGTGGTGGTGACTGGTCCTCCGATCTCATTGTACGGTCTGAACCAGCGTTTGCGCAAAGTGAAGGCTCCGACCGGCTTGGACCAGACTCGCATCCCCTTCACCGACCGCAAAGTCCGCTTCGTCAACCGTTTCCTTCCCATCACCGCCCCTTTCCACAGCCCACTCCTGTCGGAAGCCTACAAGCTCATCATCGACGACTTGAAGGACATCCAGATCCCAGCCGCCGACCTCGCCATCGCCACGTACAATACTCACACTGGCAAAGATCTCCGAGAAGAGGCTGGCAACGCCAACGTCGTGCCTGCTCTCGTTCGCATGATCACCACCGAGGCCGTCAACTGGGAGACGGCAACCGTCTTCCCCAAGGCAACCCATATCATCGACTTGGGTCCGGGCGGCATCTCCGGTCTTGGCGTCTTGACCAACCGCAACAAGGACGGCACTGGCGTCCGCGTCATCCTCGCCGGCACCATTGACGGGACCAACGCAGAAGTCGGCTACAAGCCCGAACTGTTCGACCGCGACTCCGAGCACGCGGTCAAGTATGCCCCTGACTGGGTCAAGGAACACGGTCCCCGCCTGATCAAGACGTCCGTTGGCCAGACGATCGTCGACACGAAGATGTCGCGACTCGTCGGTCTTCCACCCGTCATGGTCGCCGGTATGACGCCGTGCACTGTGCCATGGGATTTCGTCGCGGCGACGATGAACGCCGGCTACGAGATCGAGTTGGCCGGTGGTGGATACTACGACGAAAAGTCCATGACCGAAGCGATCCGCAAGATCGAAAGCGCCACCCCCGCCGGCCGCGGCATCACCGTCAACCTCATCTACGTCAATCCGCGCGCTATGAACTGGCAGATCCCTTTGATCGCCAAACTCCGCGCCGAGGGCGTCCCCATCGAAGGGCTCACCATCGGGGCCGGCGTTCCGAGCATCGAGGTGGCGAACGAATACATCGAGACCCTCGGCATCAAGCACATCGCCTTCAAGCCCGGCTCCAGCGAGGCGATCCAACAAGTCATCAACATCGCCAAAGCCAACCCCACCTTCCCTGTCCTCCTTCAATGGACCGGTGGCCGTGGTGGCGGGCATCACTCCTTCGAGGACTTCCACCAACCCATCCTCAGCATGTATTCCCGTATCCGCAAGTGCGAGAACCTCGTCCTCATCGCCGGCTCCGGCTTCGGTGGCGCTGAAGACACCTACCCCTACCTCACCGGCGCCTGGTCCGCGAACTACGGCTATCCTGCCATGCCGTTCGACGGCGTCCTCTTCGGCTCCCGCATGATGACCGCCAAGGAAGCGCACACCTCTAAGAACGCCAAGCAAGCCATCTGCGATGCCGAAGGCCTCGACGACGGCGAGTGGGAGAAGACGTACAAAGGCCCCGCCGGCGGCGTCATCACGGTGCGCTCAGAGATGGGCGAGCCGATCCACAAGCTGGCGACACGCGGCGTGCGGTTCTGGGCGGAGATGGATCAGAAAATCTTCGCGCTGGACCGGGCGAAACGGGTGCCGGAGCTGAAGAAGATGCGCGCGCACATCATCCGAAAGCTGAACGACGACTTCCAGAAGGTGTGGTTCGGGCGGAACGCGCGGGGGGAGAGCGTGGATTTGGAGGATATGACGTACGCCGAAGTAGTGCGCCGCATGGTGGAGTTGATGTTCGTGACGCATGAGAAGCGCTGGATCGATAAGAGTCTGGCGAAGCTGGCGGGGGATTTCATGCGGCGGGTCGAGGAGCGTTTTATCGTTGGCGCGGGGAAGTCGAGCATCGTGCAGAACTACGCGGAGCTCAACGACCCGTTCCCCGTCGTCGAGCGGCTGATCGCCGAGTATCCCGACGCGGAAACTCAGCTCATCAACGCGCAGGATGTGCAGCACTTCCTGATGCTGTGCATGCGGCGGGGGCAGAAGCCCGTGCCGTTCGTACCTGTCCTCGACGATAACTTCGAGTATTTCTTCAAGAAAGACAGCCTGTGGCAGTCGGAGGACCTCGAGGCGGTCGTCGGTCAAGATGTTGGACGGACGTGTATCCTTCAGGGACCGATGGCGGCGAGGTACAGCAAGGTCGTCGACGAGCCGGTCAAGGATATTCTGGATGGTGTGCATGACAACCATATCAAGATGCTCACCCGGGATTACTATCACGGCGACGCGTCTAAGATCCCCGTGATCGAATACTTCGGCAGCAAACTCCTCGGCGTGTCGGATGAGATCGACGTGGAAGGGCTAGACGTCACCGAGCTAGAGAACAAGCTCACCTACCGTCTGTCGGATGCGCCCAACGCAACGCTGCCAAATGTCGACGACTGGATGCAGCTACTTGCCGGCACCACGTACTCCTGGCGCCACGCATTCTTCACCGCCGACGTCTTCGTGCAAGGCCAACGTTTCCAAACCAACCCCATGCGCCGCATCTTTGCTCCCACCAAGGGCATGACCGTGGAAATTACCAACCCCAACACCCCGGCGACGACCGTCATCTCCATCTTCGAGCCCTACAACGGCGGCTCCAAGACCACGCAAACTGTCGACATCTCCATGACCTCGGCCAACGAGATCAAAGTCGACCTGATCGAGCACCGCACCGTCGAGAAGGCCCCCGTCCGCCTCCCCCTGCGCTTCACCTACCATCCGGAGACTGGCTACGCGCCGATCCGCGAGGTCATGCAGGCGCGCAACGACCGCATCAAGGAGTTCTACTACCGCGTGTGGTTCGGCGCCGACCCCTGCCCCTTCGAGACACCCGTCACCAGCAAGTTCGACGGCGGGCGCGCGGTCGTCACCACCGAGGCAATCAACGACTTCGTGCACGCGGTCGGCAACACGCAGGAGGCGTTCGTCGAGCGGCACGGAAAAGAAGTGTTCGCGCCAATGGACTTCGCGATCGTCGTGGGCTGGAAAGCCATCACGAAGCCGATCTTCCCGCGCGCGATCGACGGCGATCTGCTGAAGCTCGTGCACCTGAGCAACGGGTTCCGCATGATCCCCGGCGCGGAGCCGCTGAAGAAGGGCGACGTGCTGGATACTACGGCGCAGGTGAACGCGGTGATCAACCAGGACTCCGGGAAGATGGTCGAAGTGTGCGGGACGATCACGCGCGACGGGGAACCGGTGATGGAGGTGACGTCGCAGTTCCTGTATCGTGGAGTCTATACGGATTTCGAGAACACGTTCCAGCGGAAGACGGAGACGCCGATGAAGCTGACGCTCGCGACGAGCAAGGACATCGCGGTCCTTCGCAGCAAGGAATGGTTCCGCATGGAGCGCGATGACATCGATCTCCTCAACCAAACCCTCACCTTCCGCCTACAGAGCCTCGTCCGCTACCAGAATCAATCCGTCTTCTCCTCCGTGCAGACCCTCGGCGAAGTCCTCCTCGAGCTGCCCACGAAGGAAGTCATCCAGATCGCCTCCGTCGAGTACGAAGCCGGCGCCTCGCGTGGCAACCCCGTCCTCGACTACCTCACCCGCTCTGGCAGCGCCCTCGACCAGCCCGTGCACTTCGAGAACGCCATTCCCCTCAACCGCAAGACCCCGCTCGTACTCAAGGCGCCCGCCAGCAACGAGACCTACGCGCGCGTGTCGGGCGATTATAACCCGATCCACGTGTCCCGCGTGTTCGCGTCGTACGCGAACCTTCCCGGGACGATCACGCATGGGATGTACAGCAGCGCGGCAGTGCGCTCGCTCGTCGAGACGTGGGCGGCGGAGAACCACATTGGTCGCGTGCGAAGCTTCCACGCGAACCTGGTGGGGATGGTGTTGCCAGACGACCTGATCGACGTGAAGCTGACGCACGTGGGGATGGTGCGCGGGCGGAAGATCATCAAAGTGGAGGCGGCGAGCGCGGAAACAGAGGAGAAGGTGTTGTTGGGCGAGGCGGAAGTGGAGCAGCCAGTGAGTGCGTATGTGTTTACGGGGCAAGGGAGCCAGGAGCAGGGGATGGGGATGGATTTGTATGAGGCGAGTGAGGTGGCACGGGAGGTGTGGGATCGGGCGGATAAGCATTTTATGGATAATTATGGTATGTGACTGCATTGATTGCTTTGTCGGAATTTGCTAACCGTTTGGCAGGCTTCGCGATCACGAACATCGTCAAGAATAACCCGAAGGAACTCACGATTCATTTCGGTGGCCCGCGCGGAAAGGCAATTCGTCAGAACTACATGTCCATGACGTTCGAGACCGTCCAGGCCGATGGCACCGTCAAGACCGAGAAGATCTTCAAGGAGATCACCGAGGATACCACCTCGTACACCTACCGCTCTCCGAACGGGCTCTTGTCCGCCACGCAGTTCACTCAGCCGGCCTTGACCCTTATGGAGAAGGCCTCCTTCGAAGATATGCGTGCCAAGGGCCTCGTCCAACGCGATAGTTCGTTTGCCGGCCACTCTCTCGGCGAGTACTCCGCGCTCGCGGCGCTCGCCGAAGTCATGCCAATCGAGTCGCTCGTCTCCGTCGTCTTCTATCGCGGCCTCACCATGCAGGTCGCCGTAGAGCGGGACGCGGCCGGCCGCTCGAACTACAGCATGTGCGCCATCAACCCGTCGCGGATCAGCAAGACGTTCAACGAAGCGGCACTGCAATTCGTGGTCGAGAACATCGCGCAGAGCACTGGCTGGCTCCTCGAGATCGTCAACTACAACATCGCCAACATGCAATACGTCGCCGCCGGCGATCTCCGCGCCCTCGACTGCCTCACCAACGTCCTCAACTACCTCAAGCAGCAGCAGATCGACATCCAGTCCCTCACCCAGCAGCTCTCCCTCGACGACGTGCGCGACCATCTCCTCCAGATCATCACCGAGTGCGCCGCCACTACCCGCGCCAAAGCCGCCGCCGGTCCGCTCGATCTGCAGCGTGGCTTCGCCACCATCCCGCTCAAGGGCATCGATGTGCCGTTCCACAGCACTTTCCTGCGGTCGGGCGTCAAGCCGTTCCGCTCGTTCCTGCTGAAGAAAATCAACAAGACCAGCATCGATCCGAGCAAGCTGATCGGGAAATACATCCCGAACGTCACCGCGAAGCCGTTCGAGTTGACGAAGGAGTATTTCGAGGAGGTGTATAAGTTGACGAGCTCGCCGAAGATTGGGAATATTTTGGCGAATTGGGAGAAGTATCAGGGAGATGGCGTGGTGGACGGCGTGGGGAAGGCCGCGCCGGCGGCGTGAGGAGGGATGTTGTTGGATTTCGAGTGTCTAGATCGGGGGTGGCGTTCAGTTGGCTGGATCCGTGTTAGATCCTGTTTGTTTCAATACCTCATGTAGTTGTAATTATTGAGCGTCTTAGAATGGTCGTAGTACCGGCTCATGGCGTCTTTTCGACATTCAGGGGCTTGCTCTACGGAACTGTTATTGTGAAGTCATTGTTCGGGAGCGTGTTGCTAAGTAGAACAGCATAACCCCGTTGGTCTTTAGACTGCGCCTGTCTTGGATCGTTTCGCTGGGTGGTTTCGAGGTATTGTATTCTGAGAAGGTAAGAGACTAGTAGCCTAGCGAGTCAGGTCATGAAATTGGTAAGACAAGACTCCATACTGCATTTGCAACTAGCCATACAACAACATGAGTGCTTATTGATAAATCAACCCTCCATCAACCATAAGGTTCTGCCCCGTAATGAACGACGCTTGCGGACTCGCTAAAAACCCAATCGCAGCAGCCACCTCCTCCGTCTCCCCGCTCCTCTTGATATACTGCTCCCATCGAAACTTCTGCATCAACGGATGACCCTCCTCCGCAGCCAGATCCGTACCGATCGGTCCCGGTGATACCGTATTGACCGTGATCCCCTTCGGACCCAGCTCCTCCGCCCACGCAAGGCTAAGAGTCGCCAACGCTGCCTTGGAGCCGGAATAGAGCTGCAGGTACATGCTGCCGTTCTTAGAGAGGATGGAGCCGACGTTGACGATGCGGCCGCCAGGGGACGGGAGGTGGGGGATCGCGGCTTGGATGAGCAGCCAGGGTCCACGGACGTTGGTGAGAAAGTGGGCGTCAAAGTCTGATATAGGCGTCTGCTCGATTCCGGCGGAAGGTATACTGGTGCCCTACAGGCGAGTTCAGCTTAGAGGCCACTTGGGCAAGACTGAATGGAACACACCGCGTTGTTGACGATGATGTCGATCGTAGTAGTATCAAACGTCTTGAGCACCAGGTTGATTAAGGCTTCGCCATAACTTTCAGATGATTGGTTGGCTTGTATAGCAACCTGATATCGTGTCAATTATAAGCATAGGATTGGATTCGATGGGGACTTACAGCCTTGGCGCCTAGCTTTCTGATCCGGCTGGTTGTCTCCTCTGCGGCGGTGGCATTTTTATTGTAGGTTATGGCAACCTGTTCAGAAGTTAGTTGGTTATATGCAAGCAATGCTTCATTGATGGGAATATATATCTTACATCTGCACCATGCTCAGCCAAAAGGTACGCAACCGCGGCGCCAATGCCATTAGCTTTACTGGCACCAGTGACTAGCGCAAGCTTTCCAGCGAGGTATTGATCTTTTGCCATGGGAGATGATGGACTTTCCAATATTCTCAGAAGGACAAATGGTGTTCACAATAGATCTTGCAAGAGGAAGGAAGCATACGAGTTGATAATGCCTTTTTTACATCTTGGCTGATACAAAACTAACATCTTTATATACCGATGTTCCCACCTAGCTTTCATTTCGACTTAATTGGGAAATTCAACAAGCACAGAACGAAAGAACGACTGGATTTGAAAGCAAAGATGGCAAGAAATAGAAAGGCTATCTTTCATCCTTCCGATTCTAGAAAGCCGCAAATAGGGACTGGAAAACTACGGAAGCTACCTTAGGTCAATGACAAATCGTCCACACGCTGTTCTGAAAGCCTGTTCACTCGATCGGCAATACCTAAGGGAGGTTGTAGAGGCTATTCCTGCGGGTATTAAATGATTCAGTATGGGTTCTAAGATGCACGACGATGAAGATGTGAGTGGCAAAGACAATCATATTTCCGGCAAATGTGGCTGGGCACGGGGGGCTCACCCCGATCCAGCAAACATTCTGGGAACATAAAGTTTGTTTTCGGGTTGAGGCCAAGAGTCTTTCTCGTTTTTGTATCCTTATATCCGATCATCGGGCTTGTCGGTAATTAGTCAGTGAATGGAGAACAACTTCAGACCGCTTAGTCGTTTACACCAAGGGTTTACAACTGCAACCGTCGAATGCAACGTTTGTCATCCTAATACAACCCTGATCAACTCAAATCAAGCTTGATCAGGAGAGGGACGGCAACTGGATTCTGTTCGGAGGTTAATATCGGAACTTCGACTTCGTGACCACTGCTTACGAATCGTTACCCAAGGGCCAAGGCTTGGCCGCGAGACCGATGACCAGTAGCGTTTGCAAGGTGCAGCACAGAGTAATAGGGTTGAGCTGAAGGTTGCACTTCTCCAAGCCCATAGTACCGACAAATGGCGATGAATACAAAGAAGAATTCAATGAAGCAGGATAATGAATGAGGAGTAGAGTCAAATTGCCGAATACGGTAGATCAGAGTTTTCAGTTCGGTTGTTAACTTGCACGGTCCACTGATTTCCATCAGAACCAATTCCCGTCACAACCTCATCAAATACGTTAACGGAGCTCCTAGGAGCACGACGTGAGCTACGGCTCTTATTCGGAATATACAATCTAATATTCGCAAGAAAAATCCTCACGAACCCCCTCGCTCACAGCAAGTCATGGCGACAGAAGGTGGGAATCCCAGAACGAAGCCCCCCTTAAGGACTGGGAATGGTATTCCAATGGCCATGATAGGGAGCTGGTTAGGGCGGGTATCTCCCACCCTGACAGAATCAAACAATATGGAATCCGATGGTCTATGTTTGATGAGCTTCAGGACATCCTTATCCTAGACGATCCATGCGATGCCAACTCTACAGCCCGACCGTTTATGAACCAAGACGGCAGTTTCCACCCGATAGCAGCTACTTCGATGCATTATCCCCCGATCTCGTCCGTCAAAGTGGATATAGATCTCCTATACCAGTTGTACGAGTATATGCTGCCTAACTGCGACTGTGACTATAAAGACGAGAGCGGTAACGAGCTTCCCTGCGAGTGCGGAGGCCGGTACAATTCCCCCGCACCGCTCATAGTGACTGGTAACCCTAAAGGCGGTTTGCGTGACCGTTGGCGATTATATCCTTGCGGTCCATCCGTACATAAAAGCCTTGAAGGACGAGATCTTCCGAGCAGAGAGCGTGCTGTCTAATCACTCGGAACCACTCCCTCCAGATACTCGATTCTATAAACATGCCCCATTAGGCCGGGGATGGTTTTGTATCTTTAGAGACGAAGGGCCCGAATCGGTCCTAAAGATATGGGAAGATCAAGCAGAAATAGCCTCTCATCTCAGCAGGAGACCGCCTAAAGAGAGACTAACACGTAGAACACCCAGTCCCGGATTCGGCTCGCTGGGCATGCCGCCGCCGCTTTAATCGACACTGCCCGCCTCTCCGACTCTACTTCTTCAATAGTTCCGTTACGAATACGTCATTTTTGTGGGCAGAGAGTGGGAAGCTGCCATGAAGAATAAGGTTCGTTGAATTTTGAATGCGAGCGTCCGAGGAAGGGAAGGGGAGGTTGGTGCGAATGAGAGCCTGGAATGTCATACGAATCGAGCGGGTTATGTTTTCAGAACCTTTGTAGAGATTGGGATTTCAGCTTCGGTTTAGGTACTATATCGCACTTAGAGGAACCTCTGCTAAGGAGAACCGTCTCGTCCGATGATATACTGTTCCGCTATTAGATCCTAAGTGATACATCCCCGCCAATATCCAAATGTATGTAAACTGTTTGTAGTTCTATGTTCCGGCACAAGACAAGTACCGCCGGTACAGAGTTTAATAGAAACCGTTTCGCCCCGGCTCTTTGGAAATCCTCACAGAAAATCAAATGAAAACTGCTGGACGCCTTGATTATTCTATCTACCTCTTCTTTGAGAGACTTCAGCACGGATGGTGCGATCGACATCCCCTAGTGAAACTACCCTAAGTTGTACCCCGTTGGATCAAGCCTCCACTTCAAGCAGTTATTCTCAACAACTCCGCCCTGTTTGTGCTTCGTCCCGTCGCAGTCACAACTGTCCACCGCAACCTCGAGATACTTTCGACAGTCAATAACATCGTACACCCACTGACAGCCTGACTTAACCTCGACTGAGAAAGTGACGACGACATCGAAAATGTCGTTCCCGCTAAAACCCATGAGAATGTTTTCCTCAACGAATTTGCCCTCGGGAAGAATGCCATAACCGAGGAATCGATCACAGAAGTACGCTATGCCGTCAATCAGAGCAGACCTTCTCGTCCACTGCCCCCGATTGTAACAATTTACAGTGTTTGTAGATGGATTCGGCGTGTTTGGCGGAGGTACAGTAGGGCCCCCCGAGCCCGGGTCTTCGGGAACCGGTGTAAAGCCCTCGTTATCTGGATCTTCATCCTCGTTTCTATTTGGATCACTCGGGTTGCCAGTCGGCGGCCTCCCTGAAAGCTTCTTAACTGGTTTGAGTGTCGGTTCCAGACCCGGTGGTTGCACTTGACCCGGATCGACCTTACCAGGGCAACCATTTGCGGGGAATGCACATGGCCGCACAATAGGTCCCGAAGGACCAATGGAAATCCTAATCGGTGGCGGCCATGGTCCTGGGGCCGGCGGAGGGTGAGGCGGAGGTCCTGGCGGGGCGGGACGGGGAGGTACAGGAGGGTTTGTAATAGTCGTTACATGCCCAGAGAGAATTGTGGTCACTGGTGGCCATGTCGTGGTTGCGCTCAATATTGGCGTGATGATCGGGAAGATAATTGGTGGGAATCCCGTTCCACTGCTCGATGAAGAGGGTTGATTACCCACAACGACCGTTTCAAGCTGCCATTCACTGATCGTAATCGGAGGTACTGTAAGCACCGTTGTCAGTTGACCTTCAGTCCATGTAATGCGGGGATAGTCGACTGTGCTCGTCACTTTGGTCCACGGAGGTAACACGAGAGTGCAGGGTGGGTAGCAGCTGGCCGTAGGATTTGGATCATCCCAGATCGCGGGGTCGATCCATAAGATTGCATCATCTCCCGTATCGTCATCTTCTCCTTCTCGTAATGGTTGTCCCGGAGGGATGATAAATGGAGAAGAGAACACCGTCCCTTTTGGAATCGTAAGTTCCCTTGGTAGTGGAGACCCTGCAGTGGCTGTGCTCCCGTCTGTAGCAACGAATGGCTGGTTTGGCACGAATCCTGCCGGTAGGATAATATCGAGTGGGATCGGAATATTCGCTGGCAATTCAATGGGGTTCCCGATACTGCCTCCATCGCCACAGCATGTAGAAGTGATAAGGCGGAAGAAACTGCAACGCTGACAGGTATTAGAACCTGGACCTTGCGGTATGTTCTGGTTTCCATCGTATGAAAGACTGATAACGTCTGTTGATACCCCGGAGTCAACGGTTAAAGTAGCGCCAGCAGGGACTGTCGTATGAGGAAGTGGAATAACCGTAGCCATATCCGGCGACCGATAGGGATTGGCCGCGCCACCCCCGCCTGTCTCAGGGTCAAAGTCGATAGACTAGATCATGATTCCACCAAGGCAACGATCATTTGCGAACTGCTCCTTTAGTATAAAGGTATCCACGTCATCGTAGCCGACCCAACTATCACCGTCGTAAGTGAAGTATTTGACCATTGCTGTTTCATTTAAGGTCGGCGTGATACTACCTTGCGATGCTGAAAGAATCGACTGGATTTCGCGGTTTGATAAGACGCCGGGAAAGTTAGTGCAAGATCCAGGGCTGCCACCGAGGCCAGGCTGGAAGGGGCAACCCATGGTACCACAGGAAGGATCCGAAAGCTTATACGACTGACCGTAGTAAGCAATGCCCATAACTATCTTGCTAGGGTCAACGCCATCGAACCAGAGGGGCTTCATGTTTCTATCCATCTCAGTGATATCGGTCTGTGGACAGACTTTAGAACCCAAAGTCTCTACATCAGTATCCCTAAAGGTGTAGTTAGCATAGAGCCGAATTAAAATGTAGTAGTAGGACGTACCAAGGGCCGTGCAAGTCGTAGGCCATAAACCCCATAAAATCGACGTAACCCTGCATTTCGGCTGGCTTAAAGCCTCGAAGATACCAGTAGTCTGGTGCAAGGGTAAGGCTAAGGCCAAACCTCCCAGCAAAGGCTGTTTTCATCTCCTTCACTAAAAGGACCAGGTTATCCGCATCAGCCGGTTGTCCGCCACGGTCGTTATCTGAGGGATATTCCCAGTCAAGATCCGCGCCTTGGAAGCCATAAGTCTCCATAAATGTGATAACAGACGTAATAAAGGCAGCCCGGTTCGCTGCAGAGGATACCATATCGCTGAACGCAGTATGTGTTGAGCCTGGATCATTGAATGACCACTAAACATTTGTTAGCGGTATAATTTTAGAGAGAATAAATCTGATATCCTTACTCCTCCAACTGCAACCCAAGTCTGCAGGCCATTCCGATTCAAAGCAGTAAACTGACCATAAAGAGGAATATCGTCCTGATGCATAGGCAACAGCTGGAAAGTAGTTGGATGAAAGAAGACGAAAGCGAAGAAAAGATGGGTGAGACCTCGCGTATTAATTTGGTGAGGATAGACCTTATCACAAGCCCTCTCCCGAGTATTCCAGCCTTGATAGTAGGCGATACGCCGACCGCCTGAAGCAGTTCCTGAGTCTTTCCCGCAGGTAGGAGAGGGCTAGAGGTCCTTATATAAATGACAACACCGTATTCCCGAACGCCGTTGTTATTACGCCAGGAACACACCAGATTGTCAAGCCAGAACGGCCGATTCGAACGGCTTGTTGGTTCTGCAGGTGGAAAATACACCAGAGTCTTCAAAGCGGAGCTCCGAGGCAAATGTTCTGGCAATGCACGATATGCGGTCCTAATTTTAACCTCTGCCGGCAGTATTTTGAAGCATTTCATAACTGGCCTGTTGAGATGGCAGGTAAGTAAATCTATTGTCTAACTAAGTTAGTTAGTTAACTTAAGTTAGCTACTTACTAGTAACTAGGCCTGGCTGAGCTCTCGCAGAATCGCATAGTGATAGCAGAGGTGCCTCCGAAGACATGGCAGCGGCGACAGCAGAATTGAGAATAATACTAGTATATACTAAGTTAGGTTTAGCGGCTTCTCAATTAGGATAACCGCAGTCACAACGCTCTTAGTGTACGCCATTATGAAATTGACAGGGATCAAAAATGTTGTAAAATCATGGTAAGGGATGGCTTTTTACAGCCAGCAAGAGTGAACCCCTATATCTTGTGTTTGGCCAGGCGCCACTTTTCAACCAATCGGACTGTTCTAATAAAGGAATTCGGTGGCATGAAACAAAAAAAGGAGAAAAGCGGTTTCGCATGGAATGCCTCAAGCCCAGCGGCAAAATAATGCAACTTGCTGGTACATACGATAGCTGTTGTTGCTGGTTCAAAAGAATATGATAGGGCAATTGTTGGTGGAATCAAATTGAGATTTGAGAAAGAAATCGAGTGAGCATTGACCTCACCCAACATGTCAACTTGTCAAGACTCAAGAGGCGTCGGGGTTGCGACAACTCGGATATCGATTACCCCGATGTTCGTTTTCTGCACTCTCGCACAAGGCACAACACACAACTCCGAGCATCGACATCTTACAAATGGCATGGAGTTTTGGAACCCTGAACCATGATCATGCCATACTACATACGTAGTAGAGTTTATTACGTGTAGATCACGCTAGTTGCGGGATTGAAGAAGCAGGGGATGGCGAGTTGGTGACAGGAAATCGTGTGAGCCAATTGAGGACTTCTAAAGTCCCAAAGTCCAGGTCATGTTGGCTCCTTGATTTAGCATCAGTACTTTCACGGCACGATACGATCTCGGGTTCTCGACATCTCGTGAATCTTAATTTCCAACTTTCGGCTTCACCTCTTCGTCCAATTCTGAACTTGGAAAAGCCTCAACAGTTCGGCATGTCCTAATTCCTAACCCTGCTATACCCATCATGGTTCAGCCTTACCTGTGCGCCTGTGCCGCTTTGGCGGTTTGGCAATTCTACTACTCCGTACTTCCGTACTCGTAGCCAACAACAAAAGCCACAATGCAGCCAAAGGCAACACCATGGCGGCGTTAATCGCTTCTGATTTGAGGCATTATTTCTTTCCCCTGCAGCACTGGCAATACAGTGAACAGGCTCGGGCCCTCAGCTGAAAAAAGGGAACGGTTTTGGTTCCTAAACTAACCACGTACGTACCACATACCTACCTAGCACAGTAGCGAGTTGTGAACTCAAGAACGCAATTGGAGGGAATAGGATGTCTTTAGGATCTAACCGGTTTTTCTCATGGCGCCCTCCGGAATGCCTGTTAGATAGGAATTTTAGCCCCTCGAGCAACAGGGCAGAGCTGACCAGTGTCTTGACGATATGCCGCTCTATATCTTTACTATCCCGCCGCTTTCATTCTGTAAACCGTGTCTTGTGCATTTCTTCGAGTCTCAAGCCGTTCTATTTTCATATCAGTCTTTTTTCAAACGCGCAATTGCGCCCACGGTCCTTACACGAACTTTGCAAAATCGCAATGACGCCTCTTTTGACTGTACGCCTACCATCTACTTACCGGAGAGCTAGCATGATGGCTGACCTTTCAATTAGCTCCTTGCTCTTAGCAGCCTTGCTGGACATATCGCTGCTGCCCCTATTCCGTCTCCTTTTCCATCCATCGTCTCAATCGATGCTACTGGTGCTTCTCTTCATGGATACCTTGACAGAAGATATTCCGCGGCCGAAATCATGCCAGCCGGTCTTCACGCTGGCTTCGAACGTAGGGCTGCACAAGTCGGTGAAGCCCCAACGGGCTCCTCCTCGTCGGGCGCAAATGGAGCGTTGACAGGCTCATCGGGCGCAGATGGAGCGTTGACAGGCTCATCGGGCGTAGATGGAGCGTTGACAGGCTCATCGGGCGCAAATGGAGCGTTGACAGGCTCGTCGGGCGCAAATGGAGCGTTGACAGGCTCGTCGGGCGCAGATGGAGCGTTGACAGGCTCATCGGGCGCAGATGGAGCGTTGACAGGCTCATCGGGCGCAGATGGAGCGTTGACAGGCTCATCGGGCGCAGATGGAGCGTTGACAGGCTCGTCGGGCGCAAATGGAGCGTTGACAGGCTCGTCGGGCGCAGACACCGCAATGGGATCAGCGAGGCCAGTCGACTCCGCAATGGGATCATTGGGCACAGCTGGTGCCGCAACGGGCTCGTCGGGCTCAGATGTCGCCCCAACAGGATCGGCGGGTTCAGATCCCACTGCCCCAACAGGATCGGCGGGTTCAGATCCCACTGCCCCAACAGGATCGGCGGGTTCAGATCCCACTGCCCCAACAGGAGCAGGCGCGACGAACTCTGCAACAGGCCAGACGGCCCAGTCAGCGGCTGCAGTAGGTCTATCTACCTTAGTGGGGGCGGTGACGGGCGCGACTCCCAAGTGTACGGCGTTCTACCCTGTGGTTGCGGGCGACAGCTGCGACACGGTTGCGGCGCGGGCTGGAGTGGCAATAGCGCAGCTGCGTCAGTGGAATACGGGGTTGAACGCCGGGTGCACCAACTTGATCGCGGGGTATAGTTATTGTATCCGTGCCTAGAAGATGGAGGGGATGGTGGAGTAGGGTGTTGATTTGCTTCATTGGTGATGGATTTGATAAGTGATTTTGGAACGCCCCTACCGGTATTGCGGTCGTTGTCGCCTATGAATCTGCCCGCTGATTATAGAGAATGGAGGCATATACATTGGGAATCACATCTCCACGTGCCCTTGTAGTTGAACCGTCGTTTGTACATCGAATTGACTTGTACAGAAGAACTCTATAGTTTCCTCTCCGTATCAAGAGCCCATTCTCGATATAAGGCCTCCGCCTCACTCGTCAAACTCGCATGCACTTCCTTCAGTGCGTCATCAAAATGTCTGCTAGCGACCTCCTCTGCCCCTGATTTCTCCCTGCATTCCGTATACGCTTTGTCGCACGCAGCATCGACGACATTGACAACTTCAGCCCCGGTATAGCCTTCCAACCGTAGCGTAAGCTCTTTCAAATCCACATCCGCAGCCAACGGCGTCTTCTTCGTCCTGATCTGCAAAATCTGCAACCTCGCCTCCTCATCCGGTGGTCCAACATACAGCAACTGAGAAAATCGCCCCGGCCGTAACAGCGCCTTATCCAACACATCCGGCCGGTTCGTCGCCGCCAGCACCAATACCCCGCGCAGTTCCTCGATCCCATCCATCTCATTTAGCAAGGTCGTCACCGTGTTCAGCCCACTGACCGCCCCGCTGCTACCGCCGCCTCCACCCTCTCGGCTCACCGCGATCGCGTCAATCTCGTCGAAAAAGATAATCGTCGGCGCCGCTGCCCGCGCTTTCCGGAATACTTCCCGGATCGCCCGCTCCGTCTCGCCGACGTACATATTGATCAACTGCGCGCCCTTGATCGCGATGAAGCTGAACCCCGAGGCTGTCGCGGCTGCGCGGGCGGTCAGGGTCTTGGAGCAGCCGGGCGGGCCGTAGAGGAGAATTCCACGCGGCGGGCGGACGGTGAGTCGGAGCATGAGCTCAGGGTCGGAGATGACGCGGGTGGTGGCGTCGTAGAGTTTGCGTTTGATAGTGGCGTAGCCGCCGATGTCGGTCCATTGGACTTGGGGAGTTTCGATGAAAAGTTCTTTGAGGGCGGAGGGGTGGACGCGGGAGAGGGCGTGGGAGAAGTCTTCTAAGGAGAGTGACGTGAGGGAAAGGGATGCGAGGGGGGATGAGATTTCGGCGAGGTCGCCGTTTATACTGTCGTCTTTGGTAGCCTGGTCTTCTGATGCAATAGGTTCTTGTTGTGACTGTCTTGAGCGGAAATGGCGGTATGCTCTGCTGGCAACGAACCTTAGATCGCTACCGACGTATCCGTGCGACCTGAGGGCAACTACACTGAGGACATTAGGCTCAATGCGAGCTCGGTCCCCAATCAGCTTGTTGAGAATCTGTGCCCTCGCCGTCGCGTCAGGGATGGGCAACTCGATTTCCGCTGCGAATCGTCGGCGTAGCTTCGCCGGTATATTGTTCGGTGTAATAGCCGTCGCAACGAACGCCACCTGCGACCCGTCGAGGGAATCGAGGTTTCGGGCAAGAACCGCAATGAGCGGTCCGGATGACTGATCTGACTTCCCCAAAAGCTCATCGATATCATCGACAACTATAAAGCTAGGTTGGTCTCGGAGTGCATCCTGGAATGCTGTTTCGAGTAGTGTAACGGATCTCGCTGTGCCGCTGAGGTCGTGGAGTCGTTTAACTCGGTCTACTTGGGTTAAGAGTGCATTCAATACTAAGCTCTTACCAGTGCCTTCAGCACCGTATACGAGTAACGTTTTATATGCATTTAAGTCGGTGTTCCGTGCTCCTGCCCGAACGGGTTGGGATGGTATATCCAAGAACTCCTTCATCTCTTGGAGCTGGTGATCAAGACCGGCGATATCTCTGAAGGAGGCTGTAGCGGCTCTTGTTCCAAATCGTCGAGGTGCTCCATGGGCTTGGAATCGAACTTTTGTTTTTGAATTGACTCCGAACAGTCTGGTTGAGAGCTCTGACTCGTTTGAGCCGACTCCTTCTGAATCGTGTTGAATGTGTGTAATTTTGAACGTCCTCTTCATGGACTGATTTTCTCCGCGACGGACAACTGCATCAAATGTGCCATTCTGACATATGGCATCGATACCCTCTACATCACATCAGCATCCAATGACTCCGCAAATTATTCAAGCTACTGTACATACGTAGAGCACAATATGCAAGCCCGTCCCAGTCCTCCTGGTCATCACGATCCTTGCTCCCCGATGTCCCCTTTGCATCACTGATCGTTACCTCAGAAGCAAGCGGTAATGTACCATCATAGCCTGATAAGGACACTTTATCTTTGAGCTGGAGACCATAAAATGCCCGAAAGGTATCCGGAACTTTGGCATTTCGCGCCTGGTTGTTGGTGTCCGGCTCGGTTGATTTCCATGCAACGCCGATGCAGGACCCGGAGCCAGATTTGACTTCACAGAGTTGTCCTGGCCGCAATTTGAGTTGGACCAGATCTATCGAGGTAAGATAGAGTCGAAATCCGGCCTCAAGCGGGAGCGAGTCGCTCGAAGGCGTTCCGGATCCGGGAGGCCTGTAGGGCCGGAGTGAGTATTGGATTGAAGCCATACGGTGCTGGACACCATGACAGAGGGATGTCACTTGGAACACACCTGAGCTTCAGAGTAAAATTCATGGGAATATTGTTTAAGATCTATGATGCAAGTAAATCCAATAATCCGCTTCTGGATATAAAATTCCATCTTTTGATCTTCAATAAGACTAATTCTGATTGGTCGACCATCCCCGGTTCAACTCCACTATTCGCAACCTCCATCTTCAACTCAACCCATAGCCTTAGTTGGATATCAGATTCATTATTGCCCTTTTCACGCGAGCCTCCGAATACCATCGTACTACAATCCCCTTCAGTCAGCGGAATTCGCGCGGTATGACGCCTTAGAACCGACAATTCGAAGCTCCCATGCCCCCTTTGCGCGCACCATGCGTTCCATGGCTGCGGACAACCTCTCAGACCTGCGCTAGGAGTTACGATCAATTGCGCCTCGAAAGTACAGGACGACCACGCAATATTTTCCTTAACGGGAGAACAGAAGTGCCACGCAATGGCTCCGCTATATCGAGCGAAGTGGAAACCCGCAAGACGTCCTCTACATCGCTCGATGTAGAACCTCGCACCTTCCTCCCACGCAAAATCTTGGGAGCGCGAGGATTTAAGGGAAAGAATAGCCACCTGAAACGTGCCATGGGTAGTTCTATAGGGCAAGGGGAAAAGACATTATCGCTCGGGGAAAAAGAGAGCAAACGCAATGGAATCGCTGCGTCGCCGCAAGTCACCGTCGATTCGGATGGGTCACCTCTTCCGTTTCGCATTAGGAAGCATATCCTCACTACGAGACGCGACACAGCGGCACTTCCACGCGACAACCAGACCGCCAAACCTCGATCGGTAGATGAAGCGAAGCCAGAAATACCCACTCCACCCACGGAAAAAGCACCTCCTGTCCCAGAAGCCCCGAGACCCAAATCCCTCTTCGCAGAGCTCTTCCCCGAGGAAGTGGAGGAGTCGACATCGCCACTGAGAGGAGATGACTTGGAGCCATCCTTTAGCGTCTCTCACATTTTCGGAGGCTACCCCGACGAGACACCGAAGGCGGTCATGGTGATGCGAGGACTGAGTCCGCACCTACATCTGGACGACTTCCAGCGATGTGTGCCGGAGGGGAAACACATTCCGGGATGGACGAGCCAGGGACAATTTACCAAAGGTATGCACCTTGCACACGAAACGAAGTTGAAAGTTGACTACGTATATCGACGTTGATATATACTAATGCCCACCCACCAGTTATTCCCGAACGCCACCCCGTCACCACCGAACGCACCTGCAACTACTACCTCCTCTTCCCCACCTCTGATGATCTCCGCGCCTACGAACGCCGCGTCACCGAGCTCCACAAACTCACTGTGCAACACACCCCCACCTCCCTCCTCTCCCGCATCACCCCGCCCCCGGGCTACCGCATCAACGACGTCGACATCCACCACGTCCTGCAGAACTTCACCCTCGTTCCCCCGACGCAGAAGGTGCACATCCGCGCACTGAACATGGACACACTGCGGCCGAATCAGCGGTTTTTCTTGGAGCACGGAGAGACGCATTATTTGGTGGCGGCGAGGCGGCGGAAGATTCCCACCGTGCTGTTCGGCGTGACGGAGGGGCGGCAGCCGAGTCCGAAGACGATCCTGAATGCCATCCGCGACGACGGAGCGCGGCGCGGGGTGCCGTGGGAGTTGGTCGAGGAAGGGGAGAACATCAGTGCCATCGACGTGATGAAGCCGGCGGAATGGGGTCGGCGACGGGTGACCTCCGCGACAGACGGCGGGGATGCCGGCGAAAACGAAGGGTGGAGAGCCGGCGGGGATGAGTTGCAGACGGAGGGTAGACGACACCGGTCGCCATTATCGATCAAGTGGCTCATCCACTTTAAGACGGAGCGGGATGCGGTGGGGTTTGCGCGGCGGTGGAATCGGCGGGCATTTCCGTGGCCGCAGCGGGCGGGGACGTATTCGCAGCAGCGGGGGATGGACGAGCTGCTTTCGCAGGTGACTGCGGAGGCGGTGGTGTAAGATCCAGATGTGTCTGTGTATGTATGTGTTAGATACGGTAACTACCAATTGTAGACTTTCGAACGTTTGGATGGGATGTGATTCGTCTGGTGGGTGAGACAATCGTGGAATCGCTCCGGTTTTGTCAGCTGCTGATGTGGATTTTGGCCAATGGCGGAGGACTCGGGAAGTGAACAATGCGGAGTACTGGATTATGCATCTAGTCAGATGGCAGCATTGATAATAATGGGATTTATATTCCTCGTGAGCATATCTTCATCCTCTATCTCCAAAATCCATGATATGCGTCTATAATAGTCATGCAACATCATTTTCACAACACTCCTAAACAATATAAATCCTTTTTACCGAATCTGGTATGAACCAGATCATACCCTCCTCCGTCAACTCCGAAAACGCTCAAAGACTTAAATAGACAAACCATCTCATCGACGATCCCGTGCCCGTCTTCATTCCAAAATCCTCTTTAACTCATCACACGACCTCCCATACCACTCGGCCAACCCCGGTGTCTCCCTAAACGGATTCGGCGCCTTATCCCACGCATGCGGCACGCCAGGGACACACCAATACTTCACCTTCTTCCCCAACCCCCCCTCCCCCGCCAACCGGTCCCGAAACTTCTCCGTCTCCTTCACCAACATATCCCACTCAGCTGCCACGATGACGATTTCCTCCGGAAGCGCGGCGAGCATGTCGTCGGACGCACGCGCGGGCGAGAGGTAAGCGTTGGCCTTGTTGAGGGTCGGGGGGTAAAGGTAAGAGCGATCAAAGAGGTTGGTGAAGAGGGCAGGGAGGTGCTGGTCGTGGCGGATGCAGGTGGCGCGGCGGGCGGCACGGGATTGGGTGTAGTCGACGGGGGGGTAGAAGGCGACGACGCCGCGGATGTTGAGTTCAAGGGGGGAAGTGATGATGATTTTGGTGGGGTCTTTGGCAATGGAGGAGGTGGAGGTGGAGGGGGAGGGGTTGGTCGGGGGGTTGAGCATCGATGTTGTGGTGTTGGTCGGAGGGTCGACGATTGAGTTTTCGGTATCCGTCGGCGCATCAATCGTATCGACAACCTTGACATTTTCCCCATTCTCGAGCTCCAATGTCGACAATGCCGCAGTGCGACGAGAGACCGCGCGGTAGAGCAGACATTCCTGCAACATCAACGGCACGGTAAAGCACATATTCCCCCCACTACTAAACCCGCTGATCGCCATCCGATCGATATCCAGATCCAACTCCGTCGCATGGTCCGCCAGCCACAACATCGCATCCACCCCATCCTCCACTGCTGTCGGAAACGGACATTTCGGCGCGAGCCGATAGTCCACCGACACGACGACTGCACCGACCCTGCTCATCACATACGCCGCCCACCGCGCATCGTCCGTCGGATGACCGAGGGTGAACCCGCCTCCATGAAAGTTGACGACGACGGGGTACAGGTGGCGCTTTACGACGCTCCTTCTGCGGCGCTGATGAGGTTTGATGTGGGCGTCGTAGCCTTTGGGTGCGTAGAAGTGGAGCTTTACACGGCCGGGGTGGGGGGAGACGGTGGTGTTGAGGGAGCGGGTGAAGGTAGGGGAAGGAGGGGAGGGGGAGGCGCGGCGGTGGAGAAACATGCCGATGGACATGAGGCTGCGGAAGAAAGAGGCTTGGAGGTGGAGGATCCATCGTGGTCGGGTCATTGTGGGTTTTGGGACGTTTGAGGTTGGAGGAATGGAGAGGAGAGAGGAGAGGAGACGAGCAGTCTCAGTCAGGAGATGTCAGCGGGTAGATGGTTGAGCGGCTCATAGGAATTGTTTTCATTCGAGGTCGAGAGGAAAAAGCAATCATGAACGGGAGGGGGATAGAGGGAGCATTGAGAGCAATTGAAGGTAAGAATCGTGGATCAAACGAGAGATTCGTGGGTTGTAATACCAGAAAATGGATTGAAGGAGTCCGAACGAAGGCCGATGGATAAGAGGAGAAGACAATTATTGGCGGAGCTGAATGACGTCGGGATTTCAAAGAGTGTTGATACCTCAGGCTGTCAGGCTGCAGTTATGCTCACTCAGCAATGCGCTGACAATCTCCCACAAATCATCTCTCGTATAATCGTATCTCTGAAATTCAACGCTGCTCAGCCGCATTCAACCACTCAATTTTGCCGCACGAAGCGATTTTAATGTTCCAGAACAATCCTCTGTGTGAACCCGGATGGTCGGGTTTACCTTTTTGTCCGAAGAGAGTGGAAACGCGGCAACGGCTCCGAAAATCCATTGTCACCCGTTTCCTCGCGTACAGCTCCGATACTTTGTCTCGATTGAATCCGGTAGATCTATCACGCCATCTGCACGTATTCGTCTGGCGACAGGCATCGTATTCTTTCTATCATTGATGAATTATAGGGATATTGACAATGTTGACCTGCAGCTGCGTGTCCATGGTATGATGCAGATGGACATCCTCTGCGAAGAGTGAACTCCCGCTCCGTCCATTGAATGCAAGATCGCTTCGTGGAATGCTCATCAGTCTATAGCCCCCGTGATACCCGAGAAAATGAAATGATGAGTAAACAATGCAGGTGTCGGTGTTCGACAAGAGCCTGAGGTTCAAGGTGAACGATGACCAGACTCGTGAGCTGACCTCGCTCATGGAGACGCGCATATCGTCGATCCACATGAATGGCAAAGGAGAAACCAGGAAACCCCACAAGGAAACATCGGGCAGGCTGGCCGTCCTACGACCCAGGACGATGTACACCAGTCGTACCAGCCCATCACGACCACTAACCAACTAACTCCCATTCAAGCACCAGAACCTTCAAACAAACTCATACTCGTCCTCGACCTTCTTCTTCTCCTTCTTCCCCGCCGTCTTCTTCTCCTTCCCCTTCCCTACAAACGGTACGGCCACCCCCTCCGCCTCCAGCAGATCATACTCTGTCCTCACGATCTTCTCCGTCTCCTCGTTCTCGAACCGCTCCACCGCTTGCTCCACCGCCATGCTGAGCAACTGGCTTCCGTGGCCCGGCCCCTTCGCCGCGTCGAACGAGTACGTGATCTCCGCGTCCGGCTCCGGCGCCGCCGACGGTTCGATCACCTCCTTCGCGTGCTCATCGGACGAGGACCCCGACGGCGAGGCGCCGACCGGCACGGAGTGGTGCGCAACGCCCTCGTCACGGACATCTTGCTTGAGGGCGGTTTTCGCGAGCCGGTGGGAGCGAATGACGCCCTCGCTCTCCCAGCCGTGAGCCCTAGCGAGTCGTCAGCCTGCGCACTCGGAGATTCCCGTACGTCACGTTACGGACCCACAGTCCCGAATAGGACGGGAATACTTACTTGCGATGGATCGTCATAGGCCGGCCGTGGGCATTGGGACCCTGGCCACGACCGGTGACTTTGCCATGGGCCCATTTGCTCTTGTGGTCGTGGTCGCGCTTTGAGTCCATAGACTCACTGCGGAGGTCGTTGGTGGGGACGGATTGCTCAGAGGCCATGGCAAGGGTGGTAGGTGGGGCGGAGCAACGTCGATGGGATAGAGGAGATAAAATGGTTGGATCGATTATGGATTGATGGGACTGAGGACTTGAGGATGGGGATCCGGAGTAGGTATGTTATGGAGGGAGATAAAGAGAGGGGTAAAGTGTGGTTGGGGGGTGCTAATAATGGAGGGGGAGAAGAAGGACGGCGCGGCGAGGGTTTTAACAAAGAGCCGGAGCAACCACGACCGGGCAGATAAGGCCGCTACTGTCAGGTAGCACTGCAATCAAGGACTCAGCCAAACCACCGCAATGAGCTGAGTGACTCGATGGGTGCGGTGACTCGACAAAGCTTCCACGCTTCTAGAAGATCCGGCACGTTCAGGTTGCTGCGGTTGGTCCCTCTAGCGTTGAGTCACCCGTATGGAAATGTAGTATAGTTCGATGCACAGCAGTCAGTAACTTGAGGTACTGTAGTAGTAGGCTGTGTGCAACGTGCTGACACCGTTCTTTAACCCGAGGGATACAGGTACAGGTAAATAAGTAAGCGGAATAGCGGATCACGTCACGGGATGAGGTGGGCGGCGTGATTGGCGTCTCCAAGGCGTCAAGCACGAGAGTGGCGATGACAGGATGGCCCGGTGGATCTGAAGCTTTGGGACCGGGGAACAAAGAGATTCGAGTAAGATGTAGTAGTAATGCACGTCAACAGTGCTTGGGAATGGAGTTGGACAAAGAAAATCGGGATGCGTGCAGTGTTCTGTTATCCTGTTGGCAGAGTCGATACCTCCACTACCGTATCTCAGATTGATATCTCAGGCTTCCATCAAGGTGGTTGTCTGATTGTCTAGATCGACGAGCCTCGGGCAATGGCTGGAGGGGCGGTGGTCCACCGTCCACTCTCCAGTTTCCAGTCATCCCCCACATGCAACCGCCTAGCTCCATTCTTGTTACCCTCCCCCCTCCAGTTTACGGTAGCTAAAGCAATGATAAGAACTTTCCGCATGCGTCTCATAACTCCTTGGCTTGTTCCTGACAGTCCCTCGCCCCTCTCCACCCAATCGCATGCGCCGGTCCCAAGCTTCCATCCCTGGAGAGCACGCTCCCCGCTGTCATCTCCCGAGCTCCGATGTCTGCACTCTTCGGCGTCAAATTAGCCATCAGGGTTCAAAGAGGGGGGAAGTCGAGGCCAGATGATTCGGGCACGTTCTGGTCATGGTCAGATTGTGTGGACGTCATCTGAACGCCCATGGTGTCATGTGGCGTACATGAGGGGATGCGGCAGGCGACTAGAGGTTAGATGTTGGAGCGCAGCTGCTCCCTGGGATGGGGGTGGTGCCTGTGACGTGCTGCGACGTTTACAGCCCATGTCCTTGATTGAGGAAGCGATGACTTGGTAACTTGGTTGGATAACTGGTTTGGCTGCGGTGATTAATTCCTGGGATTTCCTGGTTGGGGAGCGTGAGAGAGGGGTATCGATATCGAAAGGTGAGTCACGTTTTGCTCCTTATCACCTCGTCCTCAACTACAGGGAGATATCTGATGTCCCGTCCGGGGATAAAGTGGCTGTGCTTGGAGTTTATACCAAACTCCAAAGTTATTGTAGAGATAAAATGGAGATAGATTGTCATACACAGCTAGGACGTATCACAGCATCCAGCCATGCGAAGCCCTGCGGACTGTAGAGGCCATCAACCGGCACCTGCGGCTATGTGACTCAAGGAGATGTCCGAATTATATTTCATCTCTCGTCGAGCGCGATCTGATGCGATCAATTGCGATGTCCCCGTGGAGTCATCGTGTCACAGAGTTTGGTGCTCGACGATTGGCTGCATGGATGGTGATATTCTTGACCTTGGGTTGGTAAAGAATGATTCATAGGACTGTGGATAAGTAGCTCGCCATGTCTCAATATCTTCCCCGATATGGACACCACGGTGGAGTGGAGCTGTGGAGATCGAAGATCATTTCGGTGACTTGGTGTGTACGGTGCTCGATTCGGAGGCCGTGGTTTGACTTGCGTGGCTCGGGGGTACAATTTTGGTGGTGAACAAATGGATTTCCATGCGGCATACGAAATTATGGGACATGAGGTGCTTGAATAATACCAGATGCGGTTCTTGATTCGGTATTTTGAGACTGAACTGGCCTTGGTTGACGGCCAGGTGTTGCCAATGCTGTGTCCGAAGGGCTAGTTCGGAGTCCACGAGTCCACTCCAAATGTAGCTGTGTTTCTCGCCTGGACTTGACCGAAGACGCTGCGATCCATCAGGAACAGATTCAGGACAACATGGAAAGCGAGGCTCCCTTCCTAGCCCCTCCGTGATGGGAATATATCCACCAGGAACAGTAGAGCCCTGCCATGGAGCGTGTAGACCCGATCATCCAGCGGCAGCAGCTTTCATGCTGCTCATGGTGTGCTGCAAGGCGGCCCAAGTGAAGCTGCAAACCAGGCGGCTCTCTTCCATAGATAATATGAATGCCAAAGTACTGCTTCGAGGACATTGAGAGTAGCCCGAACCACGGAATACCTCAATCATCCATCCCCCACGCATACTCCATCTTCTTCAGATTCTCCTTCCGATTCCTCGCCGTGAAATACTCCTTCTCAAACCCATTCGACCGATCCACCCCATCCCACCGATGTCCCGGCCGGATCCCATATCGATTCGGCGCCGCCGCCCCCTGATACAGTGGCTTCCCAGTCACGCTCTTTCCCCCCCTCTTCGCCTCCACGAACCCCGCCGCCGGATCATTCCACCGCTCCTCCCCCTTCAACATCTCGTTCATCTCCACATCGTCCACGCTCCTCCCCACCGTCAAATACCTCGCCTCCTCCACCTCCCTTCTCCTCGCCTCCTTCATCGCCCGCTGCACATCCCCCTTCCCCGCCTCCGCCTCCTCCCTCTCCTTCCTCGCCGCCTCCTCCTCTTTCTTCCGCGCCTCCGCCCGCTTCATTGCCACGTTGATAATCCGCCCACTCGCGTCCCGGTATATCGTCTCCTTCGCCTCCGCCCCCGCCTCCCGCTCCGCCTCCCGCATCTTCCGCCGCTCCTCCACCCGCTTCCTCTCGATCGCCGCTGTCACCTGCTCCGCCGTCTGCAATCCCGCGTGCGCGCCCGATTGCATCTTCAGCACACCGTCGGAGTCCTCCACTTGCGGCGCGTCGTCGGCGGCGGCCTGGCGCGCGGTGTGTTCGGCGGAGGCGGACGCGATGATGGCGTCCGCGGCGGCGGTGTCGGCAGAGGGGCCGGCGGCGAGGGATTGCCAGTTGTTTTGTTTGGATTTGCGGAAGGAGGTGGTGGTGCTGTAAACTATGGGGTGGGGATGGTTAGATGTTGGGTGACGAATGCTGGGAGGGAAACTTACCTGTTGTCGGGTCATCGTCGTCATCGGGGTTCGTGGGGGGTTTCTCCCAGCCCAAAGTATCATCGTCGGCGATCGTCACGCTGGACTCTTCCACGGCATTTCGTTTGCGCTTTTTGCTTTTCTTTTGAGATGGCGGGTCAGCTGTTAGGTAGTTCTTCGCGAGGTAGTCGGCGAGAGACATGGTTGCTCCCGAGTCAATTGATATGATGGGTGATTCTTGTAAGTTATGGTCGTCAGGCTATTAGACAACCAAAATATGCTCTGAATGAGCTGGATTCTATTCGCAAGGAAGGTTAAGTGCAGGTGGTATTTACAATTTACATGCGATTCTGAGTCCATATCAATAAGGTTAGAGAAGCACTATGTCAGACGTTGAACTTGACTCCTTAGGCATCAATTTCTATCATCATCAATTCATTAGTCAGCACTCTGCTAATCTAGATCTCCGGCTTGACCTCCATTGACTCCATCCAGGCCACTTGCCTTCCCCTTTCTCAAGATCTCTCCCATCCATGATTCTATCAAGTGCATATCCCTTCATTTTGTTATTATGATTCAAGTACATTTACGTATACATACTCGTCTTGATCATAGCACCTTCAGCAGCGTTCTCCATCTTTTTTACTCGTTTGTGTCGACCTCCCGATTTCATTGCCTCTCACTATGTAGTTTCTTTTAGCTGCAAGGCAGGTCTGAAGATCCGGCCCTTTTTAAACCTCATTTGTCGCAGAATCGCCGGCTTTGGTGCATGTCAATTCTTCTGTTCGCAAGTGGGGCCTACCAGAGCCACACATCGATCACTCAGTGACATTGGAGTTCTGTAAGATGTTGGGTTCTTTGACTGAGCGGCACTCGATCCTTGATCCGCTCTTCAACACTTACACTAATAAATTTGGATGAGCTCCTTCTCAATGCCCTCACTTGTACTATCCGTACTGTGTCGAAAAGGAAATGGCTTCTCTCTTATATAAAGCAAGGTACCTAAGAGTGATGACACCCTCTGCTGTCGGTCATCCGCGCAGTACTCGCAGAGCTGCGAATCATTCGTACCTTAGAAACCCCTCAGCAGGCACCCCGTTCAAATCGGACTGGTATTTTGCAATGTTCCCAGTCTACCCATTTTACACATCCCTAGTCAGACCACCGTTATTCATGCACCTACTTGTCGTACATCGTGGCAGATCGCATCTCCTGACCTCTCTAATGTTTGTTGATATTGTGTCATGATATGATTGATTCACGATTATCATTATTGCCTTATGGACTAACCTCTCATCACGGAGAGTGTAGGAAGCCAATGCCTTAATTACTATCTTCCGTTTGCTCTTCACCAGATCTTTGCGCTTCCATTCCCGAGCGTTTGGTAACGGCAGCGCTTGCTGCGTTGCAGATGAAGTTTTCGATCATTTGCGAATAGACTCCATAGACTCTTCGCACCGTATCCAACATATCCAGCCTTTCTGGTCTCTCCTTTCTTTCAAAAGATCCGTTCAACACTCAACATGGGCCAGAAACAGGATCCTTTCTGGAACGTCAACCTACCAGAAGAAGAATGGACCGAAAGATATCCAGAATACCTCCACCGCTGCACAGAAAGAGAGAAATTGATCCTCGGGACGCCGGTCTTTGCGCTTGAACCACTAGGCTAGGATGCCATCAAAAAGATCGTTCGTACGGCAGCATGCACAGTCGAGTTATGATGCCATCAGTAACATCGACTAGATTCCAGCCGTATAGATAACTTTCGGCGCAAACTATCCGATCACTGGAGATGCAAGCACTATATGGACGAGCTAAAAGAGAAGTACGAGATCCGTCGCCGAATTCATCCGCAAGAAGCGCCTCGGATGGTCCCCTGAGGACTTCGATCTCAACCTCACGCCGTTCCGAAGGCCTGAAGACGTCAAGGTTCTGCTCAACGATTGGCCGTATCTCATCGACGAAAAGATCGTTCACTTGGTGGTCTGGACGAAATTCGCTCTACCGGATGACACTGACACAGGGTTGCTCACGGAAAAGCCCAAGGGGGATATTGAAGACTACATGAACTCGCCATTTACGATGGTGGACCAGTCGGAGGTAAGGCTGAATTTTGTAATAGCGAACTCTACATTTCCAGCCATTTCCAACCATGTCCCGCAATTGAGAAGTCGCCCGAGGTCTTCAAGAGTGATGCAATTGCTCCACTTTGCACTTGCCGCCATCGGCTGTCCATACCCGGACAAATTACTACGGATGAAAGACATGATTGGTAATCAATGGCTCGCGATCGCAGGATCGCGACACTGTTAAAGGAAGACAACAGCTGTTCTGCCTTTCCACCGACTTTGTCTTCAGCGTTTCCCAATCCAAGGGGATCTGATATCGAAGAAGGAACATAGCTGCAACAATGAAGGAGGCTGTCGTCTCCAAGGGGCCTAAGGTCCAGATCATCGACTCTCCAGTCCCCTCCCCGGGAGCAGACCAGGTAGTCATCAACGTGGTTGTCAGTGGTTCGAACCCGAAGGACTGGTTTGCGCCCCTTTCTCTCATCTCATTCATCGACGACCCTGGACTCGTCCCCATTTTCCTTCCCTTCATGGAGACCTTCTGGAGACCCTGCTGACGTGTCTCGTGCGCGTAGGAAAGTGCCCAACTTCCTCGACTACGCTACCAACCAAGGTGACGACATTGCGGGAATTGTGCACTCGGTTGGCGATAATGTTACCGAGTTCAAGATTGGCGATCGTGTCGCTGCTTTCCATGAGATGGTGACACCACATGGGAGCTACGCGGAATATGCCCTTGCGTGGCAGCATACCACGTTCCACATCCCAAAGACGACGACGTTCGAAGGTGAGCTACCATCCCTCTCCATTTCCGCTAAGGCAGGCGCTGGAATGCGGCCAAAATCAGGCTGCTAACTGCGCCTCGCAAACGAATAGAAGCGTCAACCGTCCCCCTCGCTGCCATGACTGCGGCCGTTGGACTGTATCAGCGCCTGGGATTATCCCCTCCATGGCTCCCGGCGACAACCCCGACCCCACTGGTCATCTACGGCGCCGCCTCCGCCGTCGGTGCCTTCGCCCTTCAGTTCGCGCTCAAGTCGAACATCCACCCGCTGATCTGCGTGGCCGGACGAGGCGCATCTTTCGTCGAGTCGTTCATCGACCGCAGCAAGGGCGACACGGTCGTCGACTACCGATCCGGCGACGAGGCGGTCGTGAAGGGCATCCGTGACGCGTTGCAGGGCAAGAAGCTGCAGTACGCGTACGACGCGGTGAGCGAGAAGGGCAGCTATCAGAACATCACCCAGGTGCTGGAGCCAAATGGGAAGATCACATTGGTGTTGCCGGAAAAGAACATCACCCAGGTGCTGGAGCCGAATGGGGAGATCACGTTGGTGTTGCCGGAAAATAAATACGAGAATATCCCCGCGACCGTAGAGCAGAGCATAACGAAGGTGGGCGCGGCCCATGATGATGGGAAGGACTTCGGGTTCGTGTTCTTTAGGCTGATCGGGAAGGGATTGGCAGACGGCTGGTTCAAGCCCCACCCGCATGAAGTCAGAAAGGGCGGACTGGCGGGCATTGAGGGCGCTTTGTCGGATTTGTTGGAGGGCAAGGCGAGTGCGGTAAAGTATGTATTTAGAATTGCTGACACCGTGGGGGTGGAGAAGTCGAGTTTGTGAGGGGGCATATAGGCACGAGGCTCTCTATTAGGTCTAATACACGGAGTACCATAGCTACACGATCTAGCTACAGGTAGAGCTCCGAAATGAATAAATGAATACGAATATGGCCCGTATTCATATTCGCGAAGCGCGAATATGAATATCATGAATATTATTCATATGAATGCGCCCAATAGTCATATTCGCATTCACATTATTCATATATCTCTGGGGAATTTTTGCGTAGCTCAAGCGGCACGCAACTACCTCTCAGTTCCCTCTACTGAGGTAGGTGTAGAACGTCTTTTTAGTGGTGCGCGAGACGTGTTAATAGGTCTTAATTAGGTGTTGATTGTTTTGGCGTGTTAATCATTCATGGAATCAATAGGCGTGCGAGCAAAGGAATCTTGCGTGATGATTAATAACTTCTGCTTTCCGACATTAGGAGACACTCCCATGAATATATGAATGAAATTTCTCTAATTAGTGAAGGGCGCATACAGCGCATCAGCTAGAGCCAGCAACTATCCTTACAACCCAGACTGTATAAGCCCTAGATTGATATGCTCAAACTAGTAAAACCACTCTGTCTCTAAACGAGTAACCATGGCTCGCACCGAGGAGGCGGCAGCCTGGTTTTCAGCAGTCTATCGAGCCGTCCAACAAGTCCCAGTCGGCAAAGTCACCACGTACGGCCATATCGCTCTCCTACTGGATCACCGTATGTGTTCATCAATCTAGTGAAATGACCTGTTTTGTATTGACTTCTGCAATAGCTGAAAGAGCAAGGTAAGCTCACCCCTATCTCCTCCGGTATAGCCATTCAGCCATTCATGATCAATGCCATAGGCAGGTTGGCGTATGCTTAAAGCACCTTCCATCCGCGCCAGACCCGGACGATCGATACTCACAGCTGTTTAATGGAGGCAATGTCCCATGGCAGAGGATAATTAATTCCAAAGGCGCAATCAGTCCGAGGTTAGCTGAAGGCTCGGATATCCCGATTCAATTGCTAATGGCCGGCAGGGGACCAGGCGGTGCTCAGAGGCAGGCGGATGTGCTTACAGAAGAGGGCGTGGAGGTCGAGTATGATGGAATGGAATACAGGATAAAATTGGGCACTTTCGGGTGGTTCCCGAAGGCGTTGCCGAGTGAGGATGAAGCCGGGAGTGGAGATCATTGTTGATAGCCAGACATGGTGCAGTTGAGGTCATCTTTCAGGGTTGGGAGTACAGTATTATGTCCGAATCAGCTACAAAATACCGACAGCCGTTGATGCGGCATGAACTCATAGAACCCCAATACTTTGTTGGCTGTGTGGAATTCAATTGATATTATTAAACCCCCCAACGTGCCAAGTGGATCATAACGAATAGCAATATGTAAGGTAATGACACTCATGACGATAACATCTGGATCCGAAGGCTAGGACGAGTAGAAACCCAAACGAACTTGAACCAGGAACTACGCCGTCGGGAAAATCGAATGCCGCTAAAACGAAGCGCATCCCAAGCCAAATTGTTGCATAATTGACACCATAACTTTGGCAGAACAGGAGTCTTCCCCAAGACATTCAGCGGTCCTGTCCCCATCCGAGACGCCTGTTGACTTCAGCATAAGCATTGACTCCGGCAGCAAGAAGTCCAACAGCTCCATCAATAGCTCGATTTCCGGTATCGACTTCCGGATCTGGCAGATGTGACTGAAGCAGATCCTGCTGATCCAGGACGCCTTGGCGTTTCGCCATAATGGCCTTGAAAACCGCGCGGTTCCACTGCAAGAGCCACGACTCCTCACTGACCGAGACGTACTTCTTCCGACCTGCGTCGTCCATTCGGGAAAACGGCCACTCAACGATAACTACCGCGTAGCGCTTCGTGGCGAAGAAGAGTGCCGGCCAGGTGAAAATGAATAAGAGCGTGAAGTAGAAGATCCAGCAGATCCAGAATGTCAAGCGCCAGTGATTGATATGGGCATCCGAATACACTTCGACGGCGTTCTGCTCGAGGGGGAACGTGATGGAGAGATGGCCCCTATAATTGGTTTGGCGAACCAGCGCCTCGAGTGACCGGCAAAGAAGCTTGTTATCGAGTCCAGTGACGGTCCTCGTCACGCGAAAGCTTCGTAGGCGTGCATGAGATGCGCAGTATCGGTGGCACCATTCTTTCAAGCTCGGCTTCGCGCTCCCGCCAACCTCGATATCCTGCTTGGCTCCCGCCCCACGCTTTCGCCAAACGGTCCCACGGTGCGTCTTCTCGGTGTTCTCGACGGTCCGCATCGAGGTCCACGCCCGGTCGCACTTGGGGTCCGTATACAGATAGGGTGTCAAGTCGATCTTGATATCGAAATCTACGACGTCTACGCGTTTCTTCCCATTGTCCTTGGTCTCCTTGTGCTCCTTGTGCGTGCCGCGAAGTTGGACAAATGGTCGCGGTGGAGTTTTCGCCCAACGATTCACGGCACGCTCGAGGAAGGCGGGGTCGGCGTCGAGACGCTGATTGATATAGTATGCCGCGCTGTTGCTAGAATCCGACACTCCGAACGGCTTCAGTTCAGAGACAAAATTATCGGGCTGGGGTATCAGATCGTCAGTGTATGCAGGTGGAAGGTCTCCGATATCAGGAGTATCATCGTCGGCGGCATCATCGCGGTACGGCTCGGGTTCGAGATCTGGGTTGGTATGGAGGGACAGTGCGTCGTCCGGGCGGCCATCGTTAGACAGTTTCTTGGAAGGCATGGTAGGCGGAACTTCAAATAGAGAAGAAAATGACGGACTGGTCGTACAGGCTTAAAGAAAGAAAATGAGAAAGGAACTCAAGCATGAAGTTCGAAGGACGCCCTTCTTGACAAATTCCGGTCAAAAGTACTAGTCCGAATCGATGATTACTCCGCCTCTTCAGAACCAATTCTGCGACGCGGGCTGCGGCAGACCAGCAGCATACCGTAGCGTATCAGCAGGGGTAGGCGCCTCGCCTCAGCACTCAATAATTGGGAGTTAGTAACTCCACACTAAATATAGTTATGAATAGGGAATCTAGCTCTGGCCATTGAAGGCCATTTCAAGAAGGTTGAGCAATAGCCATAATACCTGCTCTACAGCCAGCGAAAATATCATGCGATGATTGCAAAAACTGCCAATAGCTTTGGAGCTGGATAGGTCTAGAGGAGATAGATGTTGAGGAACGAAAACTCTAGAGCCGAGCGAGAACCTGGTAGTAGGTGCTACTGCGGGGACCTTTGGGTGCCTTCGCAGGCTTGGTGCCTTAGGTATCAGACAGTAACTCTTCATGTTGGACTTGCTATTAACGACACTGGTCCGTGTCTACTTGGGGCCGCCCATAACCCATTGTCAAGGAAATCCTGTGTGTAACCATTTCAATGACTCCATCACCGAAGGGAAGCATCGATCTCTTTCATCCCATTTCGTACCGTTAAATCTTCACTACTTTTATCTCGTCATTCGCTCCGGACCACGTTGCGGAACACCCATCCCTTCGAACCTACTCTCCCCTATACGCACCCTCTTATCTATTCCTAGGATAGTGGAAAAACACCTCTAGACCGTCAATCAGTTCGCCTTTCGACTTCGCTGAATGTGGACGGATGATCAATTGGAAGTTCCGATGTATCTGGTGCATCTGGGGGATGCTTAATAGTAACCACTGCGCTCTAGTAAGAGCGAGGATCGGGGTGTCGTCCAATTCGGTTTCCTTGGGGTCGTCCACCTCTGCTGGGTCCGGCAGCTGTATTGCAACCCGTGTCTGCTGAAGATGACGATATTCCGACCCCGGAAACGATTCTTGCGACCAACCCAAGTGTGGTCCGACTAAGGTTCGCATCCTGGGGACCCTGTTCGGATCCGGATGACCGCCATGAGCATTAACTGAAAGTAAGGTAGAGCTAAACAAAGAGCATCAAGGGTTGTATCATACGGTATAATAATAATAAGAATCAATTTAACGTACTATCTGGATCCCTTTCGGGTCTATGAGCACGATATTCTATCTGGTCTGCCGCGGGCAAAAGTTTCCCCGTAGCCCTGAGGCTGCGGGTA